CAATTACAGTGGGCTTCAAGTTACAGTGGGCTTCAAGTTACAGTGGGCTTCAAGGTCACCATCTACATAGTCTGCCTGGCTTACTTATTGGACACACTCTTCTTCTTTACCATTGCCGGTGTCTTCCTTACGATTACAATTTACTCCCTGCCTACCCACCCTCCTTATCATTCTTGCTTGACGGGCGCCAGTTCCACATGTATTTAACGCCTGACACCCTTTCCATTTCCGTCTCCGTAATAGCAATTCTGCTCTTCTCAAGCTGGATGTTAACTTTTTCTCTTCCCTTCCCCCCGCCCTTTTTTCTTTTCTTTTCTTTTTTTTTTTCTCCCCTTGTTCCTTTTTGCCCTGCCCTGCCCTAATAAAAGTCAGACGTTCGCGAACAGTGGAATAAGTGTCTTCCAATCACACGAGGGAAAAAAAATTCGATTAATGGAGAGTAACATTGCAGTGTAGAGGGTACCAAAACACCAGAACAATAACATTTTTTAAAAAAAAAACCGGTTCTAAAAGGATACGGGGTGACGATCGACTACATATCATTTCTCTTTCTATTCTACCTTAGTATCTACCTTTAGTCAAAGGGGGGGCTTTTCCCTCCGATATTAGCCAAGAACAAAAAAAAAAAAAATTGTACTCGACTTTTGACGTGAGCTACGAAGGTACTAAAACAAGTGATATTAATACTGAACGAACGGTGTGTTTTGACGTGATAACTTGATACGATCATCTGGTCTCGTGGTTCCTTGAGACAATTTGACAGCGTGGGATGGATAAATTCAGATGGACACGACATGAACATGTAATGTAAAGCGGTCATCTATATTTTTATTCTCTGTTGCTCCTTTTTTTTTTGGCTCTCACGGCCATGCATAGATGTGCCGTAGAATAATCAGGAGAAAGAAAAAAAAAGGGAACAAGCAAAATACAAAAGGAGAAATTGGAAGACCAAGGAAACGAAAAGGAAAAAAAAAAAAAAGAGAGAATAGAACCTTATCATACACCTCTACCTCTATGCTAATCTTACAACTCATCTCTGACCCGCTCCTCAGGCTGCGCGTCGTCAAGCTTGTTTGCATCTTTTTGCGCTTCTTTTCCTTCTCTAATTACACGTGCGATTTCATCATCAAAGTCTGTCCACTCGGGGACTTGTCTCCTTGCTCTGTCGAGCTTTGGCTCTTTCGTCATGGGATTGTTGCACAGATCAATCGTCTTTGCCGTGGCAAGGGATTCATCGGAGCACCACGTCTCGCACCAGAGCCAGTCTTGGGGCAAGGAATGGATGGGCAGGACAGACTGCATGTGGTTGGGCAAGTCCTGGTCCAGGTTTGAAAGGGATTCCGGATCGGCCGAGAGTTGATGGTACTGGCCTCTGAGGCGGTCGCCAGCGGCCAAGGCACGGAAGCGCTTGAGGTCAACGACGTAGAGGGCGGAGATGTGGTATGGTTTCCCGCGGAGGAAGCTCTTCCAGTAACCCTGTTTCCAGAAGCGGAAGCCTTCTATTTCAACGCGGGAGTCGCACATGGGCGTGAAGCCGTAGGGGGCGCCGTTTTCGAGCGGCAGGGTGACGAGGTCATACATGTCTGCGCGGACAATCTGGTCGGCGTCGACGAAGATGACTTTGTCGAGGGAAAGCGGGAAGAGGACGTCCAAGAAGAGAATCTTGTAGCCCCAGATTTCGCGCTGCTTCTCGCGCTGGCCACGCAGCCAATGCGGCCATTTGAATGTGACCATTTCGTAGGAAAAGTTGTAGTGTGCGGCGAGGAAGGGAAGCTGGTCTTTGAAAGATGGGGAGAGGAATTGCTCAATGAACCAGAACTTGACGCTGTGCTTGGTGTGTTTCATCACGCTGACCATCATGATGTTGAGCATGCGCTCGTATAGGTGGCCGCTGGCGACGGAGAAGATGTTAATATCTGCGTGCTGGCTGCTTCCCCTCTTCCCCAAAAGGTTACTTAGTACGGGAGTCTTGGAAAGCACGCCTTCGGCCATCTGAATGCCTTTGGACACGTAGTCGAGTGGCGTGCCAGAAAGGAAGGAGGAAGGTGAATCGTCAAGCACGTCTTCGGTTTCTTGTCCTGGCTTGCGGGAAAGACGAGGGTAGAGCGTAACACCTCGGAAAGAGGTTAATGCGATTTCGGTAGTAAAGTCCGTGGTGGGATCAGAATTGTAGCCTTTTGTGCCGAGAGTGTCAATCTGGTAAATTTGCTGGCTGCGTCCTTCTTGCAGACTAATTTTCCAAAATCCTGGGTTTGCCTTGAACTGAAAGTACCCCAGGTTCGCCATGATGATCGTGTCGCCAAAATGGGGGTCTTTCTCAGTCCCTAGGACCAGTTGTGCGCCTCGAGGAGGTGGACCGATGGTTGTGTCGCGTGCGTGACCCTCAATGAGGATGTGCTCAAGCTCATACACGGCGTCGATGCTGCCGCCGTTGAGCGAGCTGAGCTTGATATTGTCGAGATCATGAACCGACTCCTTGGGAGCTACGAGCCATGATGGCGGAACATCCAAGGTGGTGGTCAAGAGCACATCAGCCGGGATGCTGTTGAACTGTGCCATCGGAGCACGCAATGCACCATCGTCATTAAAGGATGGCTCAGAACCAAGCACCTGCCTGTAGAAGCGTTTAATGGGGAGCTCGTCGACTTTCTCTTTCGGGTTCAGGAACAGCTTCAAATACACGCCGTCCAATTCCGAGAGGACTTTAAGAATAGGAACCCAGCGTTGTGCAGTTTCGCTTGCTGGATCGATCGCGGCGACAATTTGAATTGATGCCTCGTCTGGGTCATTCCCAGCCAAGATTGCTGTGTAGTTTGTTTCCCAAACGTTGTAACCATCAATTCTCATCTGCGACGAACGGTCAAAGATGCTTTCAGGCATATCCGACAAACTGGATAAAGCGACCAAGGAAGACAATTTCGCTGAAACCAGAGGACTCGTCAGCTTTTCCTCGAGATGAAGGCCAAGCAAGCCATGATAGACTGGAAGTATGCGTTTTGTTCGCTCATAATTAAGGAGCTGCTCAAAATCGGATGACGAAAATTGAGAAGATGAAGGGATAGGTCCAATAGCCCGTCCATTGAGCACAAGCCCTTCTTGGCCCGGCTGGAATCCTAGCTCTTCAACAAGAGCCCGTGAGGCTATTGGTTCCTCAGAACCTGAGTCCTCGTTCCCCGAAGCAGCCATAGCAGAGAATGCGTTTTGAAGTGCATTTTTAATACTCTCAGTCGCTACTTCTTTGTTCTGATCCAGCAGCTCTGCTATTGTAGTAGAAGTAATGCCTCCTTGAGACGAGTCTTTCGGATTGTGAAGGAGAACGAGCTCAATCCCGCTGCGCCGTTTTGCAAAAGTTACAGCTTCGAGCAGTAACTCCCGTCCTTTCTCCGTGTTAAAATCATCTATGGCTATCAAGTGTGCAAACTCAGACTTCTCTGCTGTTACCCAGTTACTGAGCCGAGGCAAACTCTCGTAAGTGCTCTTGTGTGACTCCAATGCCTCGTTGAGATTAATGATTTTAATGTCTCCTTCGTCTTCTGGTATGACCAGAGCATTTCGAGTGGTTGCGGCATTAGTGAGAAAATATCCAGGAACCCAGATATCATCAGAGATCTTCTCTTCAAAAAGAGCTTGTTGAAGTTCTCGAATGTCCATATTGACCCTCATGCTCATAGCCTGCAACCACTCATCATTGCGAGGCAAGGCAACGCCATTAATATAGAAGAGGGGCTTTAAGTCGCCGCCCAACCTCTTCAGGTAGGCTTCAGCAGCATTCAGTCGCTCTGCGTGACTAGACTTTTGAATGACTTCTGCAAATGGTAGTTGTGTGGCTTCTCCTCGGAGGTTCCGATTTTTAATTGCATTCTCAAAGTAGGCTTTGTTCGGAGTTCCAAGATCCTTGGCCTTAAGGGCCTGTTCCATCATTGTTAGCCGAGCTCAAATAGGAATTGAACAGTATACTCTGACTCACGGACTCCAGGTATTCAAAGACAGAAGAAAGACCGTAGCTTTCAAGCAAATGGTACACAACCTTGGCCTGAGCAGCAGCGGAATCCGACTTGACAGAAGGTACTATGCCAAATCGAATCGGAATTTTGCGTTTGACAAAGGTCTGCAGCCCTTCCACTACCAGATCTACTTCTTCAGGATCCGAAAGGTCGATAGGCACAACGAGGTTATGGATGTCTCGCCTAACGGTGGGCAATTGCCCTGGGTAGGTTTGTTGAAATAACTTTTAGGAGTATCAGCAGTGCACATGAGAGTGTTTATAAAATCCATGAGGTCAAACTCACGGCTCTCAATTCCTTTGGCCAAGCGTCGTAACGCTTGTCTTTTTCAATATCATTCAACCATACGATGACCTTTCCATCTTCTTGAACGTCTCTGAAGTCATATCTTTGAACCTCTCGTCCAGTCTTTGCCTCGGCAATAGCGCGATTCGATAAAAGGCTTATGCCTTCACTGCTTGTCAGCCCCGCGGCTCTAAGGCCGTTTATATACACCCTTTCTCGCCGCAAATTCTCCAAGAGTGAAAACGCATCCATCTGTCTCGCATCGATTTGAAGTCCGTTGATCCAAACAATGTTATATCCGCCAGTCAGGAAAATCTGACGATTTTTGTAGTATTCGTCGAGGAACTCTGAGGTAGCATTGTGAGCAGAGATTGAAGAGGCGTGTCGAGGGAAGTCATCCAAGAGCTTGAGCAAGGTATCAAACTGATCCTCGCTGCTCATAACAAAGCTTGCAGCTTGAAGTCCAAGGCTAGCGAGCTCAGTTTTGGAGAGGGGTTTGATATCCGCTACATCAACCTCACTCAATGCCGCTTTTCCAGACTTGATTTCTTTGGCATTGCCGGAAGTTGACTTCTCGGCGGCACGATCATCGATGACAATATAATCCGTGCGCTTGAGAGCAAGCTCTACACCGTAGCTGTTTACCCAAAGAGGTTTCTTCGATTGGTTCGAGCGAGGTTTGTAACGGACCCGATAAGAGGTTTGCCCTTGTTTGGCTTTGTTACTAATAACATTATGGAAATTTCTGAAGCTGGGGCAAGTCGGATCGGCGTATAGAATGGACGCGGGTACATCGGGAGCTCCCAGAATACGATCAAACGGGAGTTCTTGTATGAACCTATCGAGAATTAATGGGGACCCAATCCAATTATTGGCTGGAACTCACCCTGGTCCACTTAATACTTGCTGAAACTCTGCAAGAGAAGGATCCGAATAGCGCTTTCCATTGAAAAGCAGCCATGCCGCACAATCTTCTTCGAGTTCAGAATTTGACACGCTAGTATTGTAAAATTGGTAATGAGCTTCGATCCGAGGGGCCGCCGAGTGTATTGAAAGCGAAAGCTTGAAAGTGGATATGGATTCTTGGCTGGGAAGGTGGCCATCATCGCGAAGGACTCCTAGGAATAAATTGTAGAGATCTTGGTCTGTGTCGGCCTGGTCAAAGTATCCTTGCGCAATTCGATCGAGAAGAGGGAAATATGAGCTAGAATTTTCTTGCGCTGCTGTCTCTCTGAACGGACGTTAGCTGAGAACCAAACAGCATGTCGGGTGGAACATACACCAGCTGTAATAAATAGGGGGCCGAGTCAAATGAAGCTTTCAAAGCTACATTGACAGAAGGGCTTGAAGCTTTCACGGACGTCCATTGGGTCGTAGACCAGAGGAAGCTACTGAGGGTGGCCCATGAGCCTACCTGTGCTAAAGCTCCAGTGAAGATGCTCATTAAGGGTTGTGGTTTCATCTTGCCGTCGCAGCCAGACTTCCGGGTTCAAATATGCTGCAAACGTAAGATCACTCGCCGATGATGCTGATGAGCTTGTACATTTGAACGCTGAGCAGTTTGCAAATGCAAAGAGACACTTCCAAGCTATTGAGAAGCTGGATCAGAACCCCAGTCTATCCACACGCAAGCCAATGTCAACACCTAAGCTCCGAATGGGTTTCAGCCGGTCCGCATTAATTTATATATAAGAAAGTGGTTCAGCAACGTCGTTTTGATGGTTAGAATTAGCGAATAAATCCTGCCCGACAGTGTTCTCAAAAGATGCGTCAACGAAAGCTCCAACCCAAGGCCTGCCCTGAAACATTCGGGGAAGGATGGCGCGGCTATGGCGGTAGATTTGAGGCCAGATGTCCCCGGGGAACGGGGCGCTTAGTTCAATCGAGAACGAGGGAAGGAGCGCTCGCCTATGTATACCCGCCTGCCGGGGATGCCGGGGGAGGCGAACCCGGGAAGATCCACAAAACACAAGGTAGATAACTGCGAAAGCCATATGCCCAATCGCTCATCGTTCCCAAAAGCGATGATCTTCAAGAGTGAAGACATGCTTGGAACAGCAGATACTGTGAAATTAAAGTCAGGAAATCCTGCGTTTGGCCAAAGTGCTCTGTATAAAAGCTACGCCTGCTCTCATCGTGCCGGAGGATGGGTAGATCAAATACTGCCGACTTGTAAACGTTATGTTGCTTTGGAGAAGCCCCTTTCTCACAAGCCTCAATCTAATCTAGATCAACTGTTGCTATAAGACAAAATTGACCAAGAGTTGGGCGGTCTTTTCGCTTGGTGCGATGACTGGCTGGTGTGGCATTCCCCCAAAAACATGCTTTTCATATTGTAGGTCATGCGAGACAGAAAGGCTGTTCGCAAGCTGATTTGCAAGCGATAGAATCGTTTTAACATGAATCTTATAATTTTATTCATAGAGATCTCTCTGTGAGAGATTACTCTTATTCCATTGTGAAACTTATCAATGGACTACTCTAAACTCACGCAACCAAACACTTTATCTCCGATCTGCTGCCATCGCATATATGAGGGGCATTCATTTACCATGTCGGAGTTCACTCACGCATGCGCAGCTTCAAAAGTTCCCATTTTGCTGCAGAAAGAAATCACAAAATTCTCTATCAATGGAGATTGTTACAACCCCGGCCGGAGATGATCCTCAAAAACGTTCGGCCGTCTAAGGTCAGAAAAAGAAATGGAACTGCAAATCATAGAGAGAAGAGTATAGGTGGAACGAAAGCCAGTTTTGTTGAATAAATACTCGAGACACGAATGTTGTGCATGGATAAAATGTCCGATTTTGGGATGTCAATGAACAACGAGGCTCATCGTTGCAAATAGGCTAAAAGCATCAATGCACCCCAACGCGAGTCTCAATATTGGGCTTCTGCAGAATAAGGGGGATACTTGAAATCCCTGCTGCCAGGACGGGAAACGTTGCAGGGGACATGTACAGGATATTTGCATGGGTCTCGTGAAGTACCAATCACGAAATGACAGAGATAATGTGGCGGTCACATTGAGAGCAAGACCGAGGTTTTATAGTCAGGGACAGGCCAGACAGCAGATTTCGGCCCGACGCATAATCCGTGCAAGTCGTAGTTACTGCAACATTGCGGAACAGGACGATTCTGCATGGCCACAGATACAGCAGAGAATGGCCCCTATAGGTTGGAGGCAGCTGGAGATGTTCTACTGGACTGGCCAATTTCATAGGCAACGCACTCCCTACCGTTTTGCCTCACATTCTTCAAGGAGTTTGGCAGACTCATGGAATATACCCCTGCCAGATTCAAAAAGGCAAAGTGCTTCTTCGTCTCCTGTGAATTACATTTTAAGAAAGTTGCCTGTACTATCCTCGTCAACGTTCCTGCCGTTCCTTCAGAAAAGACAGCCGATGTATCATGAGGAGGCTTGGAATAGACGGATGTCGGACAGTAGGCCGAAATATGAGCAGAAGACCCAAAGTAGCAAACATGAGTAGGACGAGACACGAGACACGAGACGCATTGCGATTCCCATTTGGGAAGACCCTGCACAAAGAGCAGAATCCGACTTTGAACAGCTTTGGTGTCAATACCAGAAAGATTGCGTGACAATTGCTGCGGGATGGTCAGGAACGATGGAGATAGGAGGGGTAATGGAGGGGTAATGGAGGGGTATTATTGACAGCTCCGCACTGGAAGCGAGAGCGGGTGGATCAGTGGACCCCCTGACCCAAGACGAGAATGGCAAATAGATTCAGATGTAACGATCCAATTGAGAAAAAACCAACCAATTTCAGCTTGCCGTGGGGAATTGAGAATCCTTTTGGTAGATCGCTTGAGTATTGATCTCCGGCCAGGGTCTCACGCGTGAGATCGTCCACTCGCGTTGGCGTGTTTCCATTTTTGGGAGTATCCCAGCTCATTTATGTGCGAAGACGCGATCGAATAACCTTGACCACCCGGGGCTCTTTGACCTCACCTGGAAGTTATCATCATCGTGATTCGGTCTTTTGAGAAACTGGGCATTTGGGCAGAGAGTAGACGAATCGTAAGTAGACAATTTGCTGAAGATGGCAACACCCGGAAAAAGATGCGCTTTGTCACTCAGTACACAGTATGCACAGAGGATTTGTCGGCGAGAATTCGAGGCATCAACTAACGCAGGTACCTAACCGTCTTTACGACCTCGCGAGTAGCAGTGGGGGCAAACGGTCAATGGCCCGACGCGAAGAGATGTTGAGAGGGACAATAGCTCGCTCTTCATAGCAGAGCTACTCAGCTCCTATTCGCTGTGACCCGAAGAGACAGGGAAAGGTGCCGGTAGAGTCTCAGGGGTGGACGAGCCGTGTGCTGCACACTCTCGCCAATCGCCGCCGCAAGATCTCAACCAGCATAGGACGGAATGGCAATTACGGTTGCAGACTTACTCTTGCTCTGGATTACCATTCGCGTTAGGATCGAGGCACTGCCCGTGCGCTGGTTCAATATTTCTTGCCCCGTATGGTGTTGCCTCGACGAGGCGTGCGACAATCACCACCTGATTGATGGCGGGGTCTAAAAATGCCGTGCATACACAGTAGCCACTGAGAATAAATCATCCAGTAACTTTGGCCAAGGCACATGCCGCTGAAGGGATGTCATTTGCACGAGACATGCATATGTCTCAATCTTTCCCATTGAATGTGTAGTGCAACCCGGAGCGAGAGTCATTGGTTAGAGGGAAATGTACCTAATGACGTCCGTGGCCGTTCGTAGGCCATGCATTTCTGGCTTTCCGCATCTGTCTGCCTGAGAAACCTAGAAGTCCGTCGTGGAAAAGGTGTAGAGTCTCCGACGCAGTCGAAGGCGCACTGGGTGGGAATCCCTGGTACTGGTGGAGCTTCTTTTGAGAGACACAGTAAGTGTATGCGGGCCCGCATCGATGCAGCTCGAGCGGGCGGTTCGATGCAGCATGTCCCTGTCCCAAAGCAATCTACGGTTAGCAGGACGGCTGATAGCAGAGCACGGCACAGTGGTAACCGACGGCTCTTTGCCCGCCACTCCTGCATGCTTACCTGTAAACAATGCTCAGAGGGGCTGTGTGCCCCATGGAGAAAGTTTCTCTCGCGGATTCGCAAGCTAGCATGTTTGGCCATGGTCCGTCAGCGAGTGTTTACCTTCGTACGCGCCCTACAGTGAAGCGAGAGACGTGTATGATAACTGCTCAGTAGCCCCTGAGAAATACGACAGCCGGCCGTCGTGTTCCAAACTCAACCGTACTGTCGGCAGAATTCCACCACGTCGCGTTTGTGGTCCCCAAGCAAGCGTTCCATGTCAGGATGCACCACACGATGATCCTACGGCCACAGTATTCCGTAGCATTTGCAATTAAAAAAATGTGATAATGGACCCGAAAACATTGGCGGTTTGCAGCATCCATTGGAATACCTGAAGCGGAGTAGTTCTGTGAAAAAGGAACTGTCACTCTCAGCAATCAAACAACACCCCCTTTGAGAAGGTGAGTGCTGTTGCTCGGCTACTTGTAGAATTACGGGCCCGAATAGCTTCGTAGAGATGCTGTTATTATTGAACATTGTTATGCATGGCTCAGGATATGACTGGTCGGTGCGCATTCGATGTTTGGTCATTGTCCGTCCACGCGTCTGGTGCCTTGTGTGGCCTCAGGGAATGGCACTACATATGCTTTCCGTGCTCCCCGAGCGAAAGTTCAGGCAGAATATGGACCCATCAGTAGTGGATTTGGGTCTTGGTGAAGTAGTAGTGGTGGAGAAAACAGAGAAATAGCGTGAAGACTCGAAAACCCCTGTGACCGGGAGGCCGAGTGCCGTAGCGTCGGGACGACGCGATCAGAACCAGGTGGACGTCTTGGGACGACGTGTCTGGGGTTTCGCCTCGTCTTTGGTCGGATTTCTCCCACTGCTCGTCCTCGTTTCCATAACGGAATCACCCCTAGTGGTCAATCACTATAGCTAAACGAGCTCCTCTCCTGCAAAGAGCACTATTGGGGCCATGACCAGCCAGTGCATTTGTGCGCTCTGCTCATAACTATTGTTTTCTCTCGAGTACGGAGTACAGACGTAAACCAGCCCCATACCTACCTAGGTAGTTAACTGCTGTTCATCGCAATCTAGTGGCTCAATCATCAGACGAATGTGCCATATGTCCACCTCTGAAGTCGATCAACGTGTGATAATCGCTCGTGGTGTTTCATGTTATCTGTGATGACACCTTTTAGGGAATGTGATACTGATAGTATATTTAACTTGGCTTTGCCCCTTGCATACGATGGTTGTGTTCGAAGAAGGCAAGGAAAATGCCCATGATGATGACAGGAGAACATGCGTTCGCTATCGGATTGATAAGATTTGTCGCACGATAAAAGGTCTAATTTTCGCCGATAAAAGAAGCGGCAGAGTTCGTGATCTACAACGGAGGATTCTCCTAGCCAACAACGATGATCGTCGCATCGTAACATGCCTGATTTCATCGTCGCAGTTATAATCTTGTTTTTCCGAGCGTTGTCACCGTTCTGCCGTGGCCGTTTCTGCGGGCGCAACAAACCGCGTCTGACCAACGGGGGCCGGACAAGGGCGGCGGGAAACTTAAGCCAAAGCTAAGTGGGAGGCCTAGGCCAAGGGTGGGAACGATGGACAGGGGGAAGGGAAAAGGGTCCCGCACTACCCAGTATCTAAGGTACCTAGAAGCATGGGGCTGAGGCCTCCTCGAGACCATCTTTTCTCGCCGTTCAAATGAGCATTATTCCCACCCACTTTACGGAGTATCTCATTTCCTTTTCCCTCTTCTCGCGGTCTTGAAGCCTGTTGATTTCATCCAGAATCTTGCATCATTGTCATCATCGTAATCATCATCATCATCATCAACAATCGACGATTACTGTCTCTCGTTTTGTTTTTCTTGTCACTCACGGTTGGTTGTACGGAGGTACAAAAGTACTGCTCTCGACCACAGCCACTTTGCTCTCGCAACTTGTCTCTCCTGCTCAGCGAACCAAATCCCTTGCCGGCCACAGCGATTCCCTGGGCTCTGGGCCTCCCCCCATCTCTCCACCCACCACCACCACCACCACCACCAAGTCACCCGAGCTGCCACCCACGCAGGCCAGGACACCCACGGTTCACACCCCAGGCATATCGCCCTTTCGACATCGGAGAGTCCCCCCCCCCCCCCAAGAGCCAGCCCAAGGCAAGCCTCACGTTTTCGCTTCGCCCCTCTGGGCCACACGCCATATTATTGTCTTCCTGACTTTTTTTTGAGACCTCCAAATCACTCGTCCTTGAGCGTTCGACCACTTTGAACGTCATTGATGCAGCGGTGGTCTCGACACCCTATTGGGGGTTCTTTCTCGACGTTGTGAAACATCAATTGCTACTCCCGGTGAGTCAGCAATCTGGGGACTGAACCGGCCGCTCCTCCGTCAGAGGTCCAGGTCCTAAGCTCCCCTTGCTGCCGTCAGTCGATAAACTCCTGCTTGCTCCCGCACGTTTCTCCTCCCTCGAGACGTCGGGCCACGCAACCTCACTTGTCCTTCGTTTCCCCTTCAGTCGCTTTATCATAGTCATCCGATCGCTTTTTGTCTGAAATCAAGTTCATTCCCTCTTGGTCACTCCTTCGTTGCGTTTGGCCTTATCAACCAACCATTCACTCGTTGCCATTCACTATTTTGAAGCCTATCAGCGCGACCAAAACATCCAGATCGCGATCCAGAATCTACACAAATACCCGAAGCTGGCAATTTTAATCCTTCAGTCATCAAACAACCGTTACTCAAAACCATTACCTCAGCCGACCCTCTTGCATCGCTAGCAATCTTTCCATCGCTCGCTATGTCGGCTCCACAACATTCTGGCCCTGGAGAGGGCTCCGCCTATACATGGTAGGTCTTTGAACGGGGTTTTTTTTTACAGGAATGATCTTTTGCTAATTGACGATTGAAATAGGATCCTCGACCACATTATGTCTTATCCTGAGAGCTACGAGATTCCTCTGAGAACCATGTACACTCTCAATTGCGTGCCTCGCGCACAGCCTTTGCCTCATCAGCTCAAGAACGGCGGCTCGCAACCTGTGTCTTCAGGAACGTCGACCAAATCCTCCTCTCCTACGTCGGCGACTTTCCCCGTGGATCAACTTCATGGCGCACAGGCGGCTGGCCTCGAGTTCAAGTCTGCGCTCATGACACATATTGCTCGATTGCCCTGCCAGCCATGCTCGCTTCCCCCGAGCTTCATTACGCAGTTTCTCCGACGATGCTTTCCTGCCGAGCTTGACATGGTTGATTTCCCGCAGGCGATGACGGCTTTGGATTATTTAAAGGACCTCGAAACTAGACGCCGTAAAGAAATTGCGGCCGCGCTTGCGCGCTTGGGTGTCGATCGCAAGACCTACGCCACCGAGGCAGAGCTGGCGCAAAGATACCCCGGAGTTGTCGCGTGGATCAAGTCCATTGAGGACAAGGAGAGAAGAATCGAGGCTTTGTACACCCAGCTTTACATTGGCCTCCGCCGTTGGGTGAGTCCAAGGCCGTTAATTGCCCCTCTCGAGCTATCATGCTAATCGAACGCACCTCAGGCCCTCATTAATGAAATGTCGCTCGAACCATTTAACAAGCACAATTGCGTTGCTATGCTCAACACACTTTATCCCCCTTCGAGCAACTCTCAGCCCACCTCGCAATTAACGCCCACCGTCCTAAACTCGCAACGCGGTGGATTCTTCCGATATATTCAGGGGGTTGAAAAGAATGGCCCCAAAATCCTCGAGACTCTCATGCAACAAGGCCGTCGGCCCGGCGAGGCAAACGGCTGGCCTGCCGTGAGAGATACGCTTGACATGTATCTGCGCACCACGAATGGCGTCATTGAAGAATGCTCTGAAGTTAGTGGCGTCGAGGTCTTTGCGCCTGAGGAGACTGACGAAAAACGCAAAGGCCGCAAGGTCGACTCTGGAGTGAGCTTTGCAACCGACGATCGCCCGTCGACGAGCAGCAGCTATTCGGGCCGGGACAAGCCCCTTCCGCCCTCCCCACCAATCCATGGATCCCCCAAAGGCGGAAGCACGCTTGAGAAAATAGCGCGAGAGTTCCGTAAGATGAAGTCTCGGAACAAGGCCGAGGACGCGGCCAAGGATGAGAGGCCCAAGTCCAGAGGCCTCAGATCGATGAAGTCCATTGGCACATTGAGTGATCTCAAGGAGAGGAACATGAGCTCCCCATCGTTCGCCAGTTCTAGTAACCGCCAACCGCCGGCATTCGATGTCGAGGCAATGCAACGCCAGAGGATGATGTGGGAAGCAGCACACAACAAGAGTCGCAACCATTCCAACGCGAGCAACGAGATATAATACGATCGTGCTTCGCCTTGACCCATTTGATGCAGACACCATTTTCTACGATCTTTATGATGTCTTCTCACGTTCATTTAACTAGAAATTTCCTGTCCTTCTTTTTTACGATCTTCTTTTTCAATTTTGCCTCCAGCGTCGCAGCGACAGACGCATCACGATCCTTACTATGATATGACTCACGCTCCTTCTACTTTACCGTTGTGTCGGTTTCTTTCCGCCTTTTATTGTTTCATGTACCTATTGTTCTGCGGACCATTGACCTTGGACCATATTGGCTACATATCGCCACTTGTGCTCTCACAGTGTCCCTTTCTGCTTTCTTATTTGGCACTTTGAAGACTGCGTCTCTCGCGAGCAAAAGGATTTACGGTAAAAGTTGTCTTGTCTTCTTTCTTGACAATTTTCTTCAGCTTTTTCTTTTCTCAAATGTTCTGTTTTCTGGTCTGTTCTCCGTTGGGATCATCATCTGGCGAGCGACGGCGTATTGGCCGAGTTGGACTTTTTTCTGCTTCAACATGTAAAATTAACATTTCTCCTAAGGTTTACCCGATTGCATCCGTGTGCACATGGAAGAGGAGGGTAGTGATTGATCTTTCTCCAATGAAGAGCCAAGAAACACATAGAACGCATGCAAATGCAACAGATACTATTTTATCCCATCTTCAATCTTTTTTCAAGATGAAGCTGCGTGCAATATATTCGTGGCCCAGATCGTCCTCTTCTATGTTAAATTTGCGCGTATCCGCGCTCCAACGCTCTTGGCCGTAGCTCCACAGCGCCGTGACCGAGCGAGGGACGCCTCGCTAGCTGGGGCGGCACGAGTCAGGGTCCTTGCGGTTGTCCCTTTGGGGGATGACGGAGTTGAACATGGCATCCATCCACCTGAATTTCGCCTGAGGGGCCGCCTCGCTCGATTATTTCCATTTCTGGGTTAGCTTCAGTAATGTGGTGACGGTTATCACTCCGCAGGACTTTGGATTCTCTCTCTAACGCGGCCTGAAATAATTTGTGCTTTTTGCCGTGCCCTTCGAGCTAGAAGTCTATTAGTCGATGATGCTTTGAAGTTTTACATTTGATTTGCTATATTTCTTTTAGGGCCACTGACCTGGGGAATCCTTGATAGATACGAGGGCAAACACATATAGACATGCATCCCCTCCCGACTGAAGTGGATGGGCCCATCTCCCCTTCGTCCCCATTACTTGGCTCTCGCCCGGTCACCTTTTTTTCTACTGTGCAGCGTGCCTGAAATCTATTTTTTGACTAATTCAATTTGGCTCCAGTCCAGGGACCCTTTGCCTGGATATCTGTCTGGTTTCTCATTTGTCGTTGTCATATGCTATTCTTGTCTCTCTACCCTTGCTCGGCCAGGACTTGAGCAGATTAAGAAAATCTGGTCTATTCCGCCCATCAGTCAGCCTATTTGGGCAACTGCTTGGTTGTTGGATGTGACAAAAGACTTCCAGGAGACGGCTCGAGGAGCCAGCTGATCCTTTCGGTAGCACTGCCGATGCTGAAATCTTCCACTCTGCAGTCTCTAGCGCAGATTTTCTTCCAGTAATTGACTGAACAAGCTTTGACAAATACACTGCCCAGCTGCGGAAGGAAATCTTTCCGGGAACGAGTGGAGCCCTTCTAAATGTGTTGTCGTTGTTGAGGCAATAGTAACAAAGAACATTGGCTACGGAGGTTGACCTTGGCACTTTGCATCGGGTTATAGTGCCGCGCTTGGACGCAACCTTGGTCGCCGAGGAGCTCTGAGTTGGTCTTGGTTTAAGCCTTACGACCTACAGCAAAATGATTGACCAAGCTGGAAATTCGCCGCGGGCGCTGGGACCACTTGACCGTCGAACGATTGTGCGGCGATGTGCTGCTTGCGCGAAGCGTAAAGTGAAGGTAAGAGTTTCCTCTCCTGCTCTAACTTTCTTGCTTAATTGGGACGATATTTGCATTTCCTAGAGCTACTGGTCTCGACCTTTGGGAGTTGACCGTGCTTCTAAATGGGATTCCTCCCTGCTGGTTCGTCAAATACTAATATGTATCAATTTAGTGTCAAGGCGGTTGGCCGTGCAATGCATGTCAACTTCGAGACGAATCATGTGTTCCACAGAAGCAGTCACGCAGCTCAACATCAGTTTTCGTCAATGTCTCCCCAAAACCCCGAGAGACCAAGCCAAAGGGGACGTTAGTCGTCTCCAAAAACGACTCCCAATGTGTAGCATCAATTTCGTCGCGAATGCCGCGCGCTATGCAGCCCGATAGAGAAAGCCTATACTTTGTGCATTTCTTCTCCAAATTCTTAGAAGTCAATAGCTTCACCGGAAAAGACGACATGCAACGAGAGATCCTTAGCAATCTTTGTCACCAGTCACCTATTTTAACGAACTCAATCGTTGCAATTGGTGCCCTCGACGTCAGCCGTGACCCTGATTCATCATGGCAGATGGATAATCAAAAGTCTCCCAAGGTTGCTGCCATTCAAGCATATCGTGATTCAATACTCCAGCTGCGCTCAGCAATTGCGAATCCCGCCGCAGTGCAGAATGACGCAACACTGTGGGGAACTTTTTTCCTAAGTCTCTTCGAGGTACAGTCACATCTATTCTAAAGTTTCCCCTTTTCTTTTATTTCCTTTCCTTTTTTTTTTTTTCCCCTTCCCTTTCCTTTTCTTTCTTTCTTTTTTTTTTCTTTGGTTTGTCTCATCGTATCATACTTATGCTCGTGCATCTGAAACAGCTCATGACCGATGCGACGGGCAAAGGCTGGCTCAAACATATGAGCTACGGCATATATTGCCTCCTTCAACTACACGAGCCACAATACTACCTTTCGGGTCCCGGCCGCTCGTTCTTCCTTACTCTTCGTATTTCCGAGCTCTGCCGAAGCTTAATGTCTTGCGACGAGACTTTTCTTGCGCAACGCCCATGGAGAGACCTAGTGGCTCAGATCTGGGCCGTTTCAACGGCAGACTGGCACCCAAAAGAAGCGCTTTTTGACATTTTAGTCGACGTCGCAGCTTGCAGTTCCGGGTACGTAGTATCATCTCCTCCCCCTCCTCTTCCTACTCCTCATCCTCCTAGTCATCTTCTTCCTCCTCCTTCTCCTCTTCTTTTCCCGTATCCTTTTATCTTATTCTTACAATCCTACGCTCTTCTTGGTTTCCCGAGCTTTACGCACCATATCACATCCAATCAAGAAGCTTATTCTAAATTACATTTATCTTTCCCCCGCACAGTGTTGTGAAGCTCCTCCAAGAAACGTCCAAGAACTCCAATCAACCCACCCCCCAGCAACGCGCGCGGGCAGAAATCCTCGCAGCGGAGGGAACAGCAAGCCAAGCCAAGCTGTTCAAGTGGTACTCTGAGACGTTTGATTCTTCCACTTGCACTTTTACCTCTACCTCTACCTCTCCATCCTCCATCCTCTCCTTTCCCTCACCCGCCTCCTCCTTCTCTTCTCTCTCCTCCTCCTCCTCTTCCTCTTCCTCTTCTTCCTATCCCTCTCCCTCCTCCTCCATTCCCCCCTCAACCCCCCCAACACCCTCATCTACCCCATGCACCCCACCCGCCCTACCACCCTCCTTCTCGCTGCGCACCATCAAACACGACCCGCAACTGATGCTCGCGCTGGCGTACTACCACGGCATCTGCATCTTCCTATCGTGCACCTTTGACTTTTATCCATGCTGGACGCGGTCTACGCCTTCTACGCCGACACCGACGTCGCTGTGCTCGCCCTCGCCATGTCCCGTGCTATCCGCTTCCGAGATGAACGCACACGTGCTCGCTATTCTGGAGATATGCAAATACGTTCTTGCCGACGGCAGACTGGCGCCCGTGCTGCTCGTGATGCCGCTGGAGGTCGCGGGCGCGAAGTCGCACGTCGAGGTGCATAGGATGCAGATCGTGCAGATGCTGCGCGAGGTGGCGAAGCGAGGGTTCATTGTTGCAGATCGGTTCGTGCTGGGGCTGCAGTCGAGATGGGAGGAGGAAGTGGAGGAGGAGGGGGGGACGAGTTAGGGTTATATGAACTGTCATTTGTTTTGGCTATGTATTTTTTTGCTCACGCATCCTTTGTGGGTAGTACCCTTATTTTCTCTCTCTCTCTCTCCATGACCACGGATATCACAATACATTATATATCAAGGAAAACAGCACTTCAGAGGGTGTCAATGATTCAAATGAGAGGACGTTATTTTGATTCGGGGGAAGGGGCTTTTTTTTGGACTAGTTCATGGAACACCTGCTCTCCCTTGAAAGAGTGTGCCGTTGTAAAGATGAAAGTAGCCCTACAGCCTAACCTAATCATTCGAGGAAAATTGCTATAACCCATCCCCTGTCCTTCCTTTCGAAGGACACCTAACCTGGCACCGCGAGTGCAACGGAATCAAAAGAAAAAGAAAACGCCAAACAGCCGCTTACGTAATGCCAACTGGTGATGCTGCTATGCAAAAGAGAGAGTAAACACAATGCAATGATGCTGATTACAGCATACTTGCATGAGAATAGTCATGATAAAAAAATACGATAGTGGTTTTATTTTTATTTCCCAGGCAAAACATGCGAATCATGTGCGAGTCGTTCTGGGCTCAAGAAGCAATTGGCCTTGAGGACCCGATTTCTTCGTAAATCCGTCGGCGCGGCTAAAGATGCGCTGGCCGCGGAGATATGTCTCGCGGACGACGCCCTTGAGCTCGCGGCCTTCATAGGGGGAGCATTTGTTGCGGAAGAGCATAGTGCTGGGCTCGACCTGAAAGGACAGTCAGCAATGTTGCCACAATTCTTACAACAAGAAATGAATCGAGGGGAAAAAAGGGAATAGGATACGAAAGGGACAAAGAAACGTACCATAAAAGAACCTTGATCGTCAAAGACGGCAATGTCGCCGTCAAAGCCGACGGCCAAGTCGCCCTTTTGGTGTTCAAGACCGACTTGCTTCGCCGTGTTGGCGCAGCACCACTTGACAACATCCTCAATGGTGATGCCGCGGTGCTGGCCCTCCGTCCACAGGATGCTCAAACCAAGCCCGACAGACGAGACACCGCCCCAGGCGTTGAAGAAATCTCCAGTGTTGGGGCCGGCTTCCGTGCCACGAGGAACGGTGGGAGGCAAGCATTTCAGGTCAGGTGTGCAAGGTGAGTGGTCCGACACAACGGTTTGGATTACCGTCTCCTTGTCGTCCTTTTGAAGCTCCTCCCAGAGACCATCTTGGTTGGACTGTGTCCGGATGGGCGGGCAGCACTTGTGTCGCGTATCACCGTCGTTGATCTTCTCAGAGGCGATGCTGAGGTAATGGAAGCACGTCTCGGCGGTGATCTTGACGCCTCTGGCGCGGGCCTGGCGGAGTAGAGGGATGGCCTCAATGGCAGAGAGGTGGACAATGTGCAAGGGAAGATCTGGTGCGACAGAGGCAAGAGCGAGAATCTCAGCAATGGCGTATGTCTCAAACGCTGGCGGGCGGGAGAGGAGGAAGGTGTTGTAGGAGGTCAGTGCGCCGTGGGGGAAAAGAGGCGGCTCGGAGTGCTGAACCGCGTCACCGACGGAGTCAGAAATGGGAGGGATCATCTCGGCGTGGAACATGAGCGTCGTTGGTTCATCGGCGAGCTCTTTCATTGCCAGCGTGATATCGTCCGAGGACACTGCGGGGAATTCATCCACCTAAAATATTAGGTAACTGTCAGAAACGAAGCACGTTCTAAACTCAGCATCTGTATATAGGTTGAGAACTTACACCGCTGTCAATCAGGAAACCCTTGAACCCTCGGACACCTTCCTTGACCAAGGCCGTCAATTCGGTGTGGTTACCAGGAATAACGCCGCCGTAGAAACCAACATCTACCCAGCATTTGCCCTGAGCCGCGTTGATCTTCTCTTTGAAGTTCGATACTGTCGTGGTAGGTGGAATTGCATTCAGTGGCATGTCAACAACGGTTGTGACGCCGCCAAACGCAGCAGCCTTGGTGCCGGTCTCGAAGCCTTCCCATTCTGTTCGTCCTGGCTCGTTGAGGTGGACATGGGCGTCAACAAGCCCAGGGAGAAGAACATGAGGAGAATGGTCTATATAGGGTGTTCCCTCAGGAAAGTCTGACGGAGGGAGCACACAGTCAAAAATTGATGTGATTTTTCCCGTTGTCAAGGAGATGACAACTGTTGCTGCAGTAAGACGGCCGGCGATGACGGCGCGCTCAGAAGCAACGACGGAGATAGGATGGTCCACGGCAGACGGCATTATTGATGCGGTATATAACTCGATATGACAGGCAATTTACGGCCGCCCCAAAACAAGGTGGTTGTTCTTTCAGCGAATGCCAAAGTCAGAAGCTCTTTTGGGGAATGGCGATGGCGGAAGAGGAGAGTAAGACAAGAGCAAGGGCAAAGGGGCTTGAGCAGATCCAACGAAGAAGAAGTATCGTGGAGAAAACCTGGGGGACCATCGTCCTGAAAAGCTGTGCATCATCCTGCCGAGAAGCCAACTGTCTCCGGAACGCCAAAAGGGCGTATTTTGGTGGTAGGTAGGGCATCACTAGAGACCCGGAGCTCGCCGTAAGAGGCCTTGTCCCACGGATGAAAGAGGGGTACTAAACATATTTGGGTGGTTAGTGGGGGATCTTTAGCATTCTCATTACTCGATAAGAAGCTTATCGAAACCGCCATTCGATGTGTGGGTTGGTGGTGGCATCTCAAATCCGAACAAGCGCGGAAAAAGAAGGAAAAGACTCGGGGAAATTTTTGGTTGGGGCTTATAGATAAGCATCCGATCGGCTACTGGTTCCCCCTTGGTTTGGCTATCCAAATCCGGTAAATGACAAAGACGAAGAGAAGCCAAAACACACCTTAAAGGTTGCTTTATAGAAGAGGACCAAGACAAACATTTCATCATACCGACAAGCAGAATGGGGACCAGACCCGTTCTGCCTGCATTTCGTTGTGCCATTGCTTCGAAGCGGGGCGGTCTTTGCACTGGCCCGAATAAGGTACAAGACTTTTGTGGGATGAGTACCTCTGAGGCGAAACTAAAGTTGTTAGGTACTTTCAAATCGAGTAAAGTTACCGCCGCCAAAGCATCGCCACGACGCCGTCAGCTCCACCGAATTGAGGCCGTTAGTGTCCCCGACCATCGGAACCCTGAGATCATAACCATGGCAATGCATGAAATCATAGGCCTCGCGCTGAACTCAATTCAGTTGATTTCGACGAGATTTTCTATTCGATTCCTATTCGATTCCTGGCAATCCATCTGGCTGTGAACAACGTAAATTGCCGAGAACCATGTCTCGGTATGGGTACCAACTTGACTTTCCCTGCGGGGTTTCATGATGCCGGTGCTCGGAGTCCTAGTGAAGGCGATGCAGCGTTTCTCCATATGATTGCCTCGGTGCCGTTGCGGCAACTGTATAAGTGAAATATCAAGTGACCCGAGGCTAACCCATATCACAAATTTCCAGCCCGTGCTCGTGTCCCCCTGTGCTCACTCGAATTGAGCTACCTTATTCGGCACAGTTCCTGTGGACGAGTGCCACATCGAATCCCAGAAGAGCCAATTTGAATGTTGAGATTGGTGCCCTGTTTTCTCATGCACTTGGATTCGATAGATATCTCATAACTCACAATGTGCATACTGTATCATGCACTCTGGCCAAAGCGTGAGCTCAGTATTCAAGCAAGCTATGCAACAAACCAAGGCGGAACGCATTCGAGTTGGCTGGCACCCTTTTTACTGACAAGGTACAAAATCGAAGCCTTGGTCTCGAAGGACGGGTTACTCGACGCCAGCGAGATGAGTCTGGATGTCGCGTCGCCACTCTGGTATAAGCCATTGGTCTGACAAATTGCTCATGTGAATCAACGACAAATTTGGCTCTCGAATTCGGCGGTCTCCTATTTGGCCCAGATCTTTCTTCTTCGAACCTTGTCTCCATCTGCAAGTTGCATTAATGATGGCGGAGCATCTGCCCGGCGAGCACCTTTTGATTTGGTCCGTTTCTTTTCGGCACTGATGACCCAAGAATCCATCACTTCCTTCTTCTCCTTATTTTTCGCCTCTTTCTTCTTGGCTTCCTTTAGCTTCCTTAGATACCCAGCATATACAACCACTTCTGCGACCCCGACAATCCCGCTACCTCCCATGCTAAGACCTAGTCTCTGTGGCGTGCTCCAATGACTGGAGATCAGCCAAATTGCAATGCCGCAGGCCACAATAGAAACAAGGATATTTATGATAAGCATCACTTGTCGATGAACTTCCTCGTACGTTATCTCGTCTTCTTCCGATTCGGTAGCGGTCACAGCAGGAGGGAAAAGAGTGCCACCTTGAGAAGTAGGGAAACGCTGGGAAAAGGTCTCGATAGGTAGAGGAGGGTTAACCATCCGCTCGTACGCTCGCGCTTCCTCTTCGCGTCGAAGGCGGGCCATCAACTCTTTATACTCTGAAGACTATTCATAACTTTGAGGTCAGTAATCTATAACTCAAAGCAAAAGGAGACGGTGCAGAACACTAAAGTGGGATGAACTTACGGGCTCTTGCTTAGGCTTGGGCGGTGGCACATAAATAGCAGATCCACGTAGTAGATCATCTAGATGATAAGCTGCTTGAGGCTTCCCGTTGTCGGAAATTTTCCGCGTGAATCCCTCCTCCTTTAATTTGCGATGGATATCAATAATTTGTCCATGCGATATGGGCTTTCCGGCCTGAGGATCATCTAGAGGAGCTTCTGTAGTCGAGAGGTCTGGGGGAGCAGGAGACAGAGCTCTGTATTCTTTAACGGCCGCCACCATGGCCGGAGTTAAAGTAAAAAGCACCATGACTGATGCTTGATCAAATATGAATCAGCTGCAGCCCGTAGCTTAATGGAGATCAGCCTCCATACAACTCTCCTGCATCCAGGGTTGCAAGCAGCTGTCGTACTTTGGCCTCTCACAGCTTGGGGTTCATGTCTATGTTCCGCTGTCAGGGTTCGCTAATGTGCCAGGGTGCTGTTGGTGCACGTTGACTTACCTCGTTCCATTCGGTCGTCGGCAAAACTATGATCCATATCCGCCCTCGCGCGCGAGTTCTCCGATGCCAGCATCATGAAGCACCCAAACGGCTTGCGTATGAATTAACTCACCACCCAATTCTCGCGACTCAGCAGTTTTGGGGCCTCATTGGTGGCTCCCTAGTCGTGAATTTTCTTATACGAATACTCTTCTCTGTTTATATCGGGAATTACCCTCCAAAGCGGTCAATTTCAGAGGATGGGTTTCCGCCCTTCCCGAGCTTCAGGGCTTTTCCGTAGCTCTTTCACAGCTCAACAACGACCACGTATATCCACATGCCCTCAGTGCACCCAGTCATTGAGTTTCCGAACTCGGGCGACTCCAATTACCAATTTCAACTTCACGCATCAGCGGAAGTCGTCAACATGGACGGCAGCAGTCTCGGCGGCGCAGAATCTGATGAGCGCGGCATCAGCGTCGTCTAAAGAGGCCGCCGCACAAGGCGTTTCAGTTGATCCATTACGCATCGTTGCAAAGGAGATGAAATTCTTGACAAAGAATATTCGACAATTACTTGGATCGGGACACCCTACCCTCGACACGGTCGCAAAGTATTACACGCATGCTGAAGGCAAACATATGCGGCCGCTGGTTGTGCTCCTCATGTCTCGAGCAACAGCCTTGACACCCACTATCTCCAGGCAATCATTTGCTACACAGACTGCCAGCGTTGACAGTCCCATCTCCCCATCTTCGATCCTCCTCGACAATAACCCTTCATTCCCAGAAACGAATCCCCTCACTACCGAACCAGCTTCGTTCACGTCTACCTCCGCCCCAGACTCAGATATCCTCCCTTCGCAACGTCGACTGGCTGAGATTACGGAGCTGATCCATACCGCATCGCTCCTCCATGATGATGTCATTGATACTTCCGAGGCTCGACGAGGTTCGCCGTCGGCGAATATTGAGTTCGGCAACAAGATGGCCGTGCTTGCAGGCGACTTCTTGCTCGGCAGAGCATCAATAGCCTTGGCTCGTTTGCGGGATCCCGAGGTAATTGAGTTGATGGCAACAGTGATAGCCAATCTGGTCGAGGGTGAATTCATGCAGCTTAAGAATACCGCGCGGGACGAAAAATATCCAAAGTGGACCGAGGAAACTATCTCATATTACCTTCAAAAGACGTACCTCAAGACGGCCAGTCTTATCAGCAAGTCCTCTAGATCGGCTGCTCTATTAGGCCAAAACACTCCGGAAGTTGTGGAGGCAGCCTATCAGTTTGGCCGCAACCTAGGCCTGGCCTTCCAGCTCGTTGATGACATGTTGGACTACACTGTTAGTGCACAGGAATTAGGCAAGCCAGCTGGCGCCGATCTCGAGCTGGGTCTCGCCACTGCGCCGCTGCTGTTTGCCTGGAAAAATGAACCTGAGCTTGGCGCGCTTGTTGGAAGGAAGTTCTCGAAGGAAGGAGACGTGTTGAGGGTGAGTCTATATGCCGCTTTTTCAAGCGCCGTGTTTTTTTTTTGTCGCTTGTCCTGACTCGTCATTGTGCTTGCATTAATCCAAAGCTAATTCGTTCTTCGCTCGTAGGCTCGTGAACTCGTTGCTCGAAGTGACGGTGTTGAGCAAACCCGCGCTTTGGCGCAGGATTACGCAGACAAAGCGGTTGCTGCCATCAGCCCCTTCCCAGAGAGCGAGGCGAAGGACGGCTTGATTGAAATATGTGTCAAGACAATGAACAGACGCAAGTGATCTCAACTCCTCAAATTTTGCATCCGCGATTGGAGTAGGAATTCCTTTGTTTGGTTCTTTTGTCGTCTTGCATGCGGGCCTTCCACGAGCTCGATGGACAACTGTCTGGCGGGCTGAATGGTTAAGAGTCTAAAAATGAAATGTTTCCCTTTATATGTATCTATAGCGTCGCCTCTTATAACATTGTACTATATAGAACAAAACCGCTCGCGCTGGGAATTTTCAATGTATCTGATAAATGGGATAGATAGATCGCAGTCGACGAATTTAGAATTGTAGTCCCCTCGTCTGTTGTGTCATGTGAAATAAATTACAGATGTGAAGATGCTGCGCTTCAAACTCTGAGACACTTGCAAAGAAGAAAGTAATGTAAACATACCTTACAAAGGGCCCAGCCCAGCGAATTGCATATGATTCATATTTGTCATAGATATTCGGATGCCCTTTAGACCATCGGGCACCGCAAAAGCTGACCCTTGACAGCTTTGGGAAACGTGTCAAGGCCATCTCCAAAATATCCTGCTCTCTATGCGCAAGGATTCAGCGTGTCTATTCCCCGCTACTTGCTCTCCCGCGTAGTCCACCGAAGCTCCATCCGCTTTCGCTTTTCGTTGAAGCAGCGGCGGGGCCCGACGCCGGCGCCGGTGAACCATGCATTTGTGGTGGTGGAAAGAATTTTCCAGACATAGGACTGCGATCATCCGCTGGTGTGAGGGCTGAGGGCTCTCCCTCAGTACGAGGATGTCCAGGATCCATATCCTCCGTCACTAATCTCACGCCCCCTACGCCACGCTTAGCCCGCTCTGCTCGCTCCGCCTGCTTTATCTCAACCTTCCGTTTCTCAAACTCGGCGACCAGGTTTCGGAAATATACTTCCGCGGCAACAGTTAATGAATAACTAATAGGCGTCCAAGAATATGCATTACGAGCGAGTGGGGAGGCGCCGGCTTGCAGAAGGGTTCGAATAACTTTTAGTTCGCCGTAAGCGGAAGCATAATGTAATGCAGTATTCCCATCATTGTCTTGTGCTGTCACGTCTGCTCGCTCGATAGCGCCGGCGCCAGTACCGGGCAAGTCGTTTGGCTCAGGATTCTCAATCCTGCCGCTAAGAAGCGTTGCAACAATGGTGTCTTGGCCATTTTTCGCAGCGGTCATCATCTAAATCATAATCAATCCGCTCGTTAACAGTCCGTGAGACGGTACGGTCTACGGGGATTTTCAATCTGGAAAATAACACGAATAGAAATGAAGGTGAACCTTCCAAGAGCATAGGAGCTGTGACATACCGCATCCACGCCACGTTTGTTCCTCCAATTTATGGACCCTGGAAACTTTTTTGCAAGCATTGCTGCAAGGTGAGGATGCGCTTCGCATGCGAGCATGAGGGGTGTATCCCAGTCCGCATTTCGAGAGATTCCTCCATTCTCGTGGCCAGCTTCAACAAGGTAGGTCTATACTCAACATTAGCCGTAACGTCACAATAGGTACCAATTATGTGGATGTGTGGCATCGCTGTAGGTGAGGCAATAGCAACTATGAACCCCTCAGAACTGACAACTCTACATTGCTAAGGTAGAAGGTTTGGCGTCTTATTACGAAGGAGTATGCTTACGGCGATCTCTAGAAAACCTAGTTTGGCTGCAAGGTGAAGGGAAGTATTTCCCTTTTCTGCAAAGTCTGGGTTTTGCAGAGCGTTTGGATTGTTCTTTGTTATTCGTTTCACAAGAAATAGGTCATTAAGAATGATGGCTCGGCGGAGCCGCACGGAAACGTCAATCCTAAAATGTCAGTGAATTCGAAAAACATTGTATCTTAATTGGAATCAGGAAACCTTACATGTTCGCTGCATCGCTTTAAATATAATGCCCATTGAATAGATCAACGGACTCAAGGAATATCTGGCCTGGTTGTCTGAACGCAACCATACCCTGGCGCCTACGGTGTATGTCACCGAGGGGACCGCATCACGGCCCCGACAGGGCCGGGGTCGCGTGCAAACAGCACAAACATTAGCCCCGTTGCTAGAACCATCAAACGTCATCGGGAACTCCAAACTTCAGGCTTGTCTACTCAGAAATCGATACTGTATCGTCGGTCGGCTTAACCAGTCACCTAGTTGCTTTCAAGAATTGTGGTCATAAGTTGTGTGTGTATGGGTGCCACAATTACACTGAACAAATCTCAATTTAAAAGCTGTTTGCATGACGTACTTTGAATAGCTCAAATAGACTGTACGCAAAGAAGTCCGCTCATATATGAGCGAAACTTCCTATGCACAACAGCGCGACTAAGAACATCTGTCGAGAACGAAAGAGCATGAAGCAATGAACTGAGACTAACAGTAGCCCGATTAATATGGCACTGCCATGGTCAAATAAATCTCTAATAGGAATACAATTCTTCATGTGTGATACCAAATCCTGTCTGCTCTGCAATTCTTTGCTTAGATCCCATCAAAATCACCACCTGCATCGTCGTCATCAATATCTCCCTCTTGGATCTCTTTAGCCAGTTCCCGTTCCCGCTCTCTGGCTTCCTGGGCGTTCTTCAACTCCAGTCTGTGCTGATTCATTGGGAAGCGCATAGCCTAAAACTCTGTTAGTCGGGCAACTTAGATTATGACTTGACCGGATATGACAAACCTTGACGCTCTCATCGTGGAGAGCTAAGCAAGCCCTAATACGTTCATGAAAAGCTTCGCCAGGCTCCCGAGTCGCGTACACGTCGCCAACATCTTTGCTCTTCATGAAACCTTTTTCATGGTCAAGGGTAGCCTCAATGACACCGTCTCGGATCGCTTTGGCAACGATATACTCAGCAGACTCTTCGCTTTCGAGGCCGAGCCTCAGGCAAATGTCTCGCAGGGAGATGCGCGAGTATGACAAGGACATCATTCGAACACCCGTCTTGATGACGTTCTGTCGGAGGCGAAGAATGAGAGTGTAATTACCGTCACGTCGGAACGTCGAGTTGTGAACCTGAACAACCTTCAAGAAGCCCTCCAGATCTCCGACGCGAACAGCTTGAACCAAGAGGAAGTAAGGTTGGAGAGCATGCTCAAGACTGGGCTGCCGGAAGATGGCACGGTCAGGAATATCACCCATCAGGAGTTCGACAATAACGAGGAGCTTCATAGATGCTTGGTAGAAACCAGCCGCGGTAGCGCTCGATGGAGACTTGCGGCTGGCGCCAACAAGATGCTCATGAGCCTCAGTATATGAAAGCTGAATCGCCCGGATCCGTCCGAGATAGTACAAATATCTTGCGACCTGGTTGCTTGAAGCCGCAGGTGGAAATTGCGTCTGCGAAACGAGAAGATCTGCTTGAGAAATATGAGACGCAGAAAGATAATTCCGAAGAAGCAGAGTGGTCACGGTCGCTTGCGTATCCTGATCTTTGCGGAGGACGGAGGTTCGCAACGCGGCAAGCAGTTGCTGGCGAATCGATATGGCCGGGGCGAGAGGCGAAGGGGGGTAAGGTTTGAGCTCCTCGTGGAATAAAGAGTAGTAAAAGTACACCCGTGCGGAAAGCGAGTCAAGAGACCTCCGGTTCAAAGTACGCAGCTTATCTACGAGATGGTTTGAGAACTTGGCGCCCAGGTCAAACTCCTTCTTGTCAAGAAGATAAACCTGTACCAGAATGGAGAGGAAGATGTCGATCTCAGGAATGATCTCCTTGGTCGACTTGGCCTGGGATTGACCCTTCTCGGCATCAACTTCCATCTCTACCACTTGCTGCTCTCCCGAGAAAGCGTCCTCCTTGCCAACGGCAGCAAGCAAAGTCTTTGCCGTTGGATGGTTTGATGTGTAGGTCTCGACAATGACCTTGGCAAGTACGTCGGGGGAGATCCGCTTTCGAATTGACGATATTGAGCGAAGAACTCTGAGTGTGAATCGAGAGTCGAATTGGGCAACCGCGCGCTCGAGGAGCGGAAAGCTGTTTTTGATGTCTGATTGTGGATATGTTAGAATTGGGTTCGGTATCGAAATGTCATTCGAAGGGTTATCTGACTTACCTAGTATGGTTTTTGCTTCGGGGTCTTCGGACTCTCCTGACTTCTCAGTGTCAAGCTCATCTGCACCTTCCATTGCCACATCGTCTCCATTATCTTTGCCCTGCTCGGACAGCTTTGAGCCCTTGGCAGGGGGCACAACCACGGTCATCTCCTCGTCACCGTCCTTGCCCTTCTGCTGCTCATTTGGCGCAGAATCTCCCATGTTCACATCCTCGTTTTGAGTAGAGCCTTTGGCACCAGCACCCACACCGTTGGGACGGGGACTGCCATTGTCCGATTGGCCGGAAGCTCCCTTCTTCATTGCAGCTGTTTTCGATCTTGTTGACGGCGATCTTGTCGGAGTGGATTTGTCCTGAGTGTTGGATGGAGAATCACCGTTGGCGGCAGGTGAAGATTCGTCTCTGTTTGAGCGTCGAGTGTTGACCATATTCGCAGAGCTTAGCTCTTACAGATAGATAGAGACTGCAACTAATAATGGATGGTGCTAAGCTTGGCTAGCAAAGCATTCAGCTCGGCTTAGATTGCAACGATCACTCAAGACGCTGAGCAGAGCTTCAAAGACTAAAGCTATGAGCGATCCTGGGAAGAGAAGGATGGAAATATCGATGGAGACAGTTGAGGGCTAAAGATTGCGATGGAAGGTTGACGTTCGACGCCGTAAGTCAGGACCGAGACCAGCGTTGCTTCTGTCCCAAAGGTGCCGGTCGGTCAGTCGGACGCACCAAAGCCGCATTTTGTCATCCAGCACACTCGTCATTCCCCATCTCACCAATCATATTTCACCGCCCCTGTTTGTTGTGCCTCTCCGCCTTTTTAAAGATTTTGGCAATTGCTTTCTCCTCCTATGCGATTAACTCTGTGCCGCTACTTTTAGCTTCTAGGCCATTAGACAACAGAAAATTTTGACTTGCAAATAGCCTTCAAAGAGCTGGTTACTAGGCTGAGCCTTGAGCGATCGAGTCGCTTCGGGCTGCGTCGCGTGGGGACCAGTATAGATAAACAAATCAATACCAGATTTTCTCAAGCCGCCAAAACCGACACATTGGTCTCAGTAAAGGATATTTGCCTCCCTTTCCTTTTTTATTACGAAAATCATGTCTGCGATACATTCTCATCTTGAGCACATATCCCTTTGTGCTTCAGCAATAGGGGAGCTCCCGTACGTTGCGCGTTCCGAGGAGCCAACCATAGGAGTATTCTAATCCGTTATTCTACCGCAGATTTCCAGAACCCAAGATCTTTACAAACGCGTTACTGCACCCTCACGATATTACTGCATTGATTCGTGATACCGAAGCTCATGAACGGGCCCTCTTCTCAGTTCCTTCGCCCTCCTCTCCGCCAAGGGCTCGAGATCCCAGTCTGGGTTCCAGAAGAACAACCGTTCTCAATAACGCAGATGAGCTGCCTGGAGGAGGACTGAATGCTACGAGAGCTCCGCGTAGAAACACAGCGGTTGCCGCTGTACTTGGGGGTGATCTTGTCGAGCAGATCCGCCGAGGAGGTGGTGGAGGAGTGGGCTCAGGTCTAGGCTACGACTATTCTGGGGGCAGAGAAAGGTCAGAAGTCAATGTTGACGTGCTTCTCAAAGGCGCGGAGAAACTATGCAGCGTGTAGTACGTTGAACCTATCACTCGCACTCGCGAACTCTGCTAACCGAATTAAAGCCCGATTCCTGGTGCCGCTGAGAAAATTATATCCCTTCGAGAGAGACATGCACAATTGCGTTCTTCGATCGCGCACTATGAGGCGCAAGTAGCAAGTCAGGCCGCACAGCTTGAGAAGCTAAATCGAGCTCATGCACTGGATGAAGACATGGAATTCTCCGATGAGCCCATCTCGGAAGCCGCATTGCCATCGGAAGACTTTATGCTCACTGAGGATGAAATGCGACAGGAGGAGCAGGAAATACGAGAATTGGAAAGGAAGCGGCATGGCTTGGAAGACAGAGTCAGCGGAATGGCCAGAGATCTTGGTGGGCTTCTGCGTTGACAAAGGGTGTGGCCTTGTCTCCTATGTCCTCGAAATCTTTTCTCCAAAGTCCGATAAAGCTCACGGAAAGGGTCTTTTTGCCAGGCGTGGAGACTATGTAATGTTTACCTTGGAAGACCTTATCTGGCTTTTCATAAAGGGTGTAAGTATAAAGCTAACACAAATATCACTTGACCACTTGGTATTTGTAAGATTCATGTGCTGATAATTTCAAGGAATTTTCACTACTTCATCACGCCAAGTATCTCTGATCCCTTGGACGTTGGTTCTCCGAAGCATTTGGCCGTTGCGTCGATATCTAAGACTGTCACTGCTCTCGGTGCTTTTATTGTTCGGTTTCGCCTTACTCATTCGGAGCTTGAGAGTCTGCAGACGAGCGAGTTACATTTGCTCTGCAATGACATGGTCCCGAAGTGGCAAGCATTTATTTTGCTCAAAGTCGAGCCCCTCAGGCGAAGGGCGCCAGATGAAAAATTATTCAAGCCTGAAAAATAGCTTTGAGAGAAAGAGAAACTCTTTTTCTTGTTCAGGAAGTATCAATCATCCAATGAGCTTGACAAGCCGTATCCTTAGGTCTAATAACTTAAGATCTAAGAAGGAGTTGATTGGTATCTGCATGGCCAAGTCGCTAGACCCCAAATGTGTTGCCTACGGTGCAAAGCATGATTGCAAAGATTCGTTCGATAGATATCAGCTCGTGGCTACTATAACCAATTCGAGATATGGGGATTTTGACTGTCTAATAACCCTTGAGCGATAAGTCGTTCAAAGGACAGAGAGAATAAGCAGGTGGTTTTATCTTACAGGGAAATATGAATCTCTTTTTTTGATGCTACTTCATTCCCAGGATTGGAGAGTATATCATCTTCTATGGCACATGACTGGAGACTTTGGCACTATATAATAAATTAATCATCAAATAAAGGCAACGTAGAATGAATTCATTGTCATCAGAAATTCCCTTCTATGCATGTGATTTATTCAAAGAAAACCTAGTCCGTAAAGCTAGAATAATCCGTCCATTGCCTTTTGTTTTCATGTCTCGGCCGGACGGTTGTTCGAATAGGATGCGGCTCTGGTTGCAGTAAACACTAAGCCTAATTGGGTATGTGGTCTCAGATCACCGTTATGTCGACCTTCCATGTTCACAAAGTAGCCAAATTGTTTCAACCGCTCTTTTCCTTTTCATTGAGAGAATTCACGTTGGAATCGATTGATTAACATTGATCATTGACGTTGATATAGCTCTCAATGACATAATCCCATTGTTTCGCTTCCCGACGCCTTTCGCTATCCTCAAATACTTCTTGCCGCATGGTCCGCCTTGAAGTCTTGTTGCTTGCTTCATCCTTGTGACACGGAAAGCTGCGACATTCCGTCCATTACCTTCTGCAATACCTCTCACCTCGACTGTGATCTTAGAAGATGGATAGCACCGGCAATTCACAGCAGCCGCAACCGCAAGCTCAACCACAGAACCCTCCACTAATCCGTGTCGAACAAGTTCGCAATTTACATCATATCACCGACCAACAGAAGGCCCAATATGCGACTGGAATAAAGAAGCTTTGGGATGTCATTCAATCCCGCCCATCGGATAGTCCAGAATATCAACAAGCTCATAATAAGCTGGCCGAGGTTTCGCAAAGCATATGGACCAGTCTAAAGCGGTTCCAACAGCGCGCTCAGCAGCAAGCGGCACAGGCGCCGGCACAGGCGCAGACGCAGACGCAGACACAAGCACAGCAGACTGGGATCAATCAAGCTCAGCAACAAGCGCCACCGCCACGACCAGCAACCCAACCCCCAGTTTCTCAGGCCCCACCGGCTCAACCAATGAATCCCTCAATGCAGTCACTCCAGCAGCTCGCTCCACAAATTCTCCAGATTGTTGCAGCGTTTCCATTCACTCTTCCTCCATCATTGTCAGAAAGCAGTCCGGAGGGAGAGAAGTGGCTGGGCGAGGCGAAGCTCCGCTACGGCCAAGCCTTGCAGAACTCCGAGACCGCTACGTCCAGTTTGCGACGCTTAACGCAGATGGTTCAACAACGACAGACCGCTGGACAGGTTTTGAGTCAGGACGATCAAGCAAAAGTCAATCAAACCCGAGCAAGGTGGCAAAAACAGTATGCCGACAGTCTAAGGTTCCTTGAATCTTTTCGGAAACAGCAGGCAGATTTCAAGAACGATCGAGCACGACAAGCAGAAGGCCCACGTGCGCCAGCACCACAAGCGCAAGATATAAAGGGTGTCCCTATTCAACCCACAGCTGCTCCACTAAATCCAATGGCTCAAGTGCCTCCCAACCAAGCTACGGCCGCCCCAAACGCTGCACTTGACGCGGCGCGCGCTCAAGCAGCGGCAGCAGTAAGAGCGTCAATGAGTCCTTCCAGCGTCTCACAGCCGCAGCCGGGACAACCCATGGCCGCACCGGCCGCACCTGCTCCCCAGAATCCCATGATGGCTGCTCAGCCCAACCCAGCGATGCCCCAGCAATCTCCAGTTCAGCATCAGCCGCCCATGGGCTTTGCTACCCCAAATGCCCCTCAGCCACCTCCAGCACAAGCTGTTGCTCAACTTCCCCACACTGCATCTCAGCACAACTCGCCTGTACCTACGGGACCAACGCCTGTACCTACTGGTCCCCCTCGTCCACTCTCACACCAAGCTGCCATGGCTCAAGCTGCTCGTTCATATTCCAGCGCTCTTCCCCAGGGTACACCGCAATCGGCCGGTATTCATGCGCCTCCTCCGCTTACCAGTCGTGATTCTATCAGCAACAACACAAAGTGGCCGATTCCCAAGACTCTAAACGTTCCGTCTCCTCAACCTGTCGCTATGGCTTCAGCGCGCCCGACTCTATCTGGTGGTCCCAGCAACAGTGCCATGGGCGTTATCGGCCAGCCCGCCCTTCCGAAGTTGCCCCACTTTGAACTCGAAGGAGAGGGTGATAGGGTGCTCAGTAAGAAGAAACTAGATGAGCTTGTTCGACAAGTGACGGGCGGAGTGGAGGGCCATGGCGGAGAAAGTCTGGCTCCCGGTGTTGAAGAGGTGAGTTGCGTTCAGAGGCCTTGAACGGCCGTTTAATCTTGTCAGAAGCTCATACAATACAATACAGGCAATCCTACAAGTCGCCGATGACTTTGTCGATCAAGTGATCACCAGCGCGTGCCGTTTAGCTAAATTACGACAGTCGTCTACTCTGGAGATTCGCGACATCCAACTAATTTTGGAGAGGAACTACAACATCCGCGTACCAGGCTATGCTTCAGATGAGATCCGAACGGTTCGCAAATTCCAGCCTGCGTCAGGATGGACGCAAAAGATGAATGCAGTCCAAGCTGCAAAGGTCATGGGGGGAAAGACCGACCTTTAGCTTCCCTGCTTGGCACACATCACGCACAATTCGCTAAAGGGGTTGATTTCTCTCACCGCTAGCAGCTCTCTTCACATTTTGTATTCCAAGAGCTCGGCCTAGAGCGTTTATTTCTCTCAATGATTTCCTTCACAGGTTGACCTTACATAAAGTGGTGCAGCAAAAGTTTGTAACCCTTTTGAAACTCTGGTCCTTCAAAACAGTTTCGGCAATACTCGTTGCTTTTCGCAATCTTTGATAACGGGTTCAAGGCCACAGATTGGCACGGACATGGGTTTATGGCGGCACGGTGGCTGTTTGGTGAATCGGAGTTGGTATAATTTGCTGGTCAATCGGTCATTTGCTCATGGCTTTTTTTACACACGAGATTGCATCTTTGAATCTATGGGCTACTATGTTTCTATCATTTCTTACTTTATTGACAATTCTAAAATCCATGAAATGAATACAGTGCAAGCAGGTTTATAATGTGCCATGTCATGTCAAGTACTCAGACGTCTTCTGTTCTTGACAGATGGGTTAACCTTGTGTATTCCAGTGGCCATTGAATTGAACATGTCAAGGATTCAAGAAGTATAAGTAAACAATGACTGCTCGTTCCCTCCGTGCAAGGTATTGTAAATAGAGAGCTGAAATTATCATTGTTTTTCATAGTGGACTCAACCCATTCATCAAATGCCTTTTTTAATTACTAGTCCGGCCATGTATTCCTACATTATTATATCTCTGGTATTCCACTGCTTCAATGGGTTATCGCAAGCTTAACATTGTTCAATTTGGCATTATCACAAGTATGATTATCCTTACCGAGGACGAAACGCCAGTGCGCAGCTCGGTACCAGGACCACAGCACTTTTCCCCGCATACGTCACCTACAGAGACAGCAGAGGCATGTGCCTCTCAAAACAATGACAATTGACCGTTTTCAACCTGACGCACCTGCACCTATTTACCTACTTTATGCATTTCTTGATTCCAACTTGCAAAATAACTCACTTGAATAAACTGAAATATACCTTCTCGCTTTTGTATCTTAATTTTTTCCTTGCCACCTTTCTGTCATTCATGACCTAAATACGAAATACTACCCCTCTTCATTTATTTGAAAAGCGCAGTCACGAAATCCTGCTGCGGCGATGCAAAGTCACTCTCTACCACCTGACGATTTTATGTAATTTCACTTTGCATCTTTAAATCTTTGATTCGCGTTGGTCAAATCGACCTGTAACGCACCTCCCGCGCTGCTTTTTTTTTTTTTTTTTTTTGCTTGAATTAGTTATTTACGAACATCATGCCGCCCGGGAGAATCAAAGAGGAACAATCCTCACCGGCAACAGAGTCTCTGACCTTTGAAGTGTCGCTCTCATCATCGTCATCCTCGGACGTGGAACCATCGTCTCCTGTTGTTTCCCATTCAGGGTTTACGCCGTTTTCTAATAATCCTTTTGAAGCCCTTGCTAGCGTTCCAACTGCTGATGCGCCTCCATTGTCGCCGTCTATCGGACTGACACAACCTTCTTCACATTCACATTCACATCCAGAACCACAACCGCTGCCACAAACACAGTCACAACCACATGCACAAGCACAAGCACCTTCGCCTTCCCGTTCCCGTTCCCATTCCCGTTCCCATCCGCAACCTAGTTCCCTTTTGTCCTGGCCCTGGCCTTTGCCTTGGCCTCGTTCCTGGTCCTGGTTCTGGTCTTTTTCTCCCCGCCAGTCCCAGTCCCAGCGCCAGCGCCAGGTCCAGGGCCAATCCCAACCTACCCGCCCCCTTTCTCTGCACGACTACATTCTCATTCCCGCATTCTACATCCTCCACTTCCTCCTCTCATTCACACTCATCCGGCTTCTACTCATTCTCTACCTTCTCCCTCTATACCTCTTACGTCTTCTATATTCAGTCGTTTCCCGCCCTCCGCAGGGCTCGTTGTTTGCTTTTCTTTTCGCGAGCATCCAATGTATCTTCTCTGCGCAAAAGCGACAAGAGTTTATTTCTCTGGCCGATGCGCAGCGCGTGCGGGATGAGAATCTTGCGAGACAGCAGGGGGATGGCACGTTTGTGTTTTCGCCAGAGCAGGTGCTCTGCGCGAGACGAGAGGCGGTGTTGAAAGATGCGGGCTGGGATTATAACAACAGCAGCAACGGCAACAGCAGCAACAGCAGCAACAGCAATAATCTGCGAGTGGTAGAGGGGTTTGTGGTGTGTGGGGCGCGAGTGGGAGTTGTGCATGAGTTGCCTGTGCCGCCGGGCAGGAAAAGGGGGACGGTGCTGCTGTTGCATGGGAATCCGAGTTGGTGTTTTATGTGGCGGGATGTAAGTCTTCTCTTTTATGTCCGTCTTTTCCTTTTTGTCGTCGAAGCGAGTCTTTTGTCTTTTCTTCTTTTTCTTACTTTTTTTCTCTTTTTCTTCTCATATTTTGTTTTGCTCCTGTTTATTTTCAAGTCCTATCATTGGAAATACATTCTGCATCCTATTCCTTCCAGTACAGTCTCAGCACCATGTTCCTGCGTCCAACCTCTCCACGTTGTTCCCTTTCATTCCCTTCCTTGCTTGCTTGCACTCCGCATGATATATGCAAGAGAGCAAGCACGGACACCACTACACCAGAAGTTGGTTTGTTTAAAGACTGGGCGGACTGCATGAAAAATAACATCAGGAAAAACACACAGGTCATCCCGGCTTTAGTCGCCCAAGGGTACGAGGTATATGCGCTCGACTTCCTTGGCCACGGGCTCAGCGACAAGCCCGTTGATCCACGACTCATCTCGTTTCAACTACATGTTCGAACGCTCCGGGAGTTTTTCACCCGCTTTGATGTCCCGCGGGACTGTATACTAGTGGGGCATGATTGGGGAGGGTAAGTTTCTTTTATATTATAGACGCTTCATTTTGAGAAAAAACGAATTAAAAGAAAAGACAAACCCAAAATAAATAGATAGAATAGGATAGAATAGAATACGAGAAAAAGAAAAAGAATAACCAAATAAAACTGACAGTATAACCAGTTGTATCGCCCTCTCGGCCGCTCCCACACTACCACTCATCCGCCCGCGGATATTCTGCCTCAACACATTCTTCGCCCCACGGCCCTCGGATATACGCCTCCACTACTACTTGCTATACATTCTATGGTTCCTCAGCACAGGGATCTTCGACGGGTTTCTCCCCGAATGGGCAATCATGCGATACATGGCGCCGTCACCAACCACAACGGCGGATGTGGTCAGGGGATACGGTGCTCCGTTTTCTCCCACGTCGTCGTTTTCTTCGTTTACGTATAGCCAAGCTGCACTTTCTTCTGGCAATGCGGGAGAGAGTGAATTTGAAATACGGACCGGGCCAGGGCCGGGGCCGGGGCCAGGAGAAAGTGAAAGTGAAAGAGACCGTCGTGGGTTTGGCTTCTTTCATCACCATCATTATCGGATATTCCGTCTTCCGGCGCCAGTAGCGGCATGGATAAACTACATGCAGACATACTTCTCCGCATTACGCACACACGCGCGGCTGCTGAGCATGTCCAAGTCCTCGGTCGGTCGGTTCGCGCACATGGTACCTGGGTTTTCGGATATATTTCTATTCAATGCCCGCTCGACACGCGCGTTTCGTTTGCTCGAAGGACTGCTTGGGCCCCAGCGTGTGTTTTTCTCGAATCTGGCGGCCCAGGCGCTTCTCGCGAGGGACGATCGTCTGGTTAGAGCGTTCTGGCGGAGAGTCGGCCAGGGAAGTACGGATGGAGGGGGAGTGCGAAGAGCGTTTGGAACCGGTGATGATGACGAAGAGAATGTCCGGGTTCGAGATAATGGTGTTCATGCCACCGGAAGCAGTAGAGACGCTGCTCTCAATACAAGATCTACGAGACGTAGAACGACGGGCGAAAGTAGTGGAGCGGCGTCGTGGAAAGCGACGGTGGTATTTGGTGCGGATGACCCGCTGTTAAGGGATTTCAAGTCTGTCTTGGAAGACACGATTGAAAAGAGCGCCCTTGTGTCTGTGTCGGGCGACGGATGGATCGCTGGGGCAGGTCATTATCCGGTAGAAGAGAAGCCGGAAGTAGTAGCGAATTTGATCTGCGAGTTTGCAGAACGTTCGAGACGGTAGATATCTAGTGGATTGCAAAAGTCGTGGGACCGGATTTACTCAGCCGGATGCGCTTTGATTATTGGCGAGACGCGAGTAATCTGTTGTTCAAATGCGCAAAGTAGCGTCGAGGACAGTACTAGCCGTACCTGGATTGCGCGGCATCCTTGATTCCAGTCGAAGCTCCTGGAGAGGCGTTGCATCTGATTCTGACCAAGATGATGTCCGACTGGAACAAACCAGTTGCAACCGCCAAGTGAACAAGCCTGTTCAAACGTAGCCCGGAAAGCTGCGTTTGGCATATCCCATGGACGAATGTTACAGCATTCTGGCCAAGGACTGCAAGTAGGTTCAGCTTTTACAATTGCTCAAAAATCCTGCCTGTGAGCTGCCGATGTAGTGTCAAGATATGACTCAAGACTCATCGTCCTCCTCGTCTTCCATTTCTTCATCATCCTCGTTCCCCTCACCTTCCTCATCATCTTCCTCGCCCTCGGGAGGCGGTTTCTCGAGAAAAGCCTCTGGATCAACAGGGTTTCTCAAATCAATTCTATTTCGGTTCGCCCATTGCCTTACGCTCTCTTTGGATATGACAATGGACCCATCGACTCTCTTTTCGCGACCAAGTAACTTCATTTCCTTCAAGGTAGCAATAATATCGTCAATCAGAATATACGTTATATCCGAAATGTCTTTGACCGAGAAAGCTGGTTCTGAGGCGGCAACCTTTCCTTTGGGTTGCGGCGAAGATGGTGATGCCGAGAGTATGAGGCGCGCTATTGTGGCGGACCAGAAGGAGAGGTAGGCCCGGCGGCCAAGATCGGAGAGCGCTGCATCAATAATATTAGTCCTGATTGAACAATAACATCCAGCGTTGAAAAGACGGTTAAAATTCATCGAAACAAAGAAATACACAAATTCGAAGATAGGAAGTTTTGGACGTACGTTTCTCTGGTCCTCCGATCCTCTTCTCTCGTCGGCTCAGCTCATAACTCACGCCCATGAGCATTTGGCCAAGTCCTCTGCGCTGCCAGGGCGGAAATATTAATATACACGCGAGATTGTTATTATCCCAACTCATTTTCTCCTTGGAGAAGAAGCCCACGACTTGTCTCTGGGCGGTGACGGGGTCGGTCTGCACAAGGAGATAGTAGAGAAAGCCCGAGACATCGTAAAAGACTGATTTATTATCGAGAAAGAGTTTGGCAAATAGGGAGAGGTTTTGCGTGAAGAGCTAGAAATAGTATCACGCATTAGCGTAGTCCATGGCTACTCTTCCAATTGTTCCTTATATATTGGGTGCCAATTGCATCTTGGTCGAAAGACATGCGGAAAGGCAGTGACACTTTGACAAAAGAGCAAAACGTAGTGCGCACCTTGTGCCTCTGACCGTCCACCATGTATAGCGAGTAATTCTCTTTGGCATAAACAAGTGTATCCGACGGCGGAGTATGTTTCATATCGCATGCTTTCTGGCTCAATTAGCTATATCAGTAAAAGAATTCTTAATCGCAAGCCGATTCATATAACTCCCTCAAGCCGTGCAGCATTTGAGATTCTCTCAAATATCTTATGGGAGCACATACCAAATGTCTCAAAAACGGAATCAACTCTCTCGAATACTTGAAGCACCACCGGCACACGTACAATCTCTCCAGATCCCGTCCGACAAGATCATCAGGGTAGAAAGACGGATACCACGTTCTGAAAAGCAAGTCGCCCAGAACGACATTGCGAATATTCGGGGCGCCTTCATTGTCCTTTGTCATCGCCGTGGTTGCGCCGTCGGTCGAATCACCGGATGCTTTTCGAGCTTTCTCATGATCTCCGCGGGCTGCGTCTCTGGGTTTTTGGGCAGAAGGTAACTCGTTCTGCATCGTGAGCGCCGCTGCCATTGTGAAGATGGGAAAAGGAGGCGACGAAAGGAGGGTAGGCGTTCAAAGTATGTATTCTTCAATCCGGCCGCGGACGTTGTAACGTTGTGTTGACGGTGACGCGAGAATCCCCAGCGGGATAGCTTCAGGTTGTTGGAAACGCAGGCTTCACAAGGAAAATGTCCTATTATATTCCGTTCGCAAGGTCTCCATACAAATATATGTTGCTCATCAACCTTATTCTGTCATGGATTTGGTCCGCGATCGCAAGCGCTCGGACATGTTTCGCAGAGGGTCCGGAATCGCGAAATGTAAGGATCGGGGAACAAAGGCGCTCAAGATCGGCGAAGCTAGGAATAGGATAGCGATTTTGTGATCTGGCCAGCTGTAGACTCGAGGGCTTTTAAATAACCTCAGTGAGTTCAACAGTTACCAGAAGGAGAGAATATTATGATAACAATTTGGGATAGCTTCAGATCTGGCTGGGATATTTCGCGTCCCGACGCGTCGGCTGGGTTTGAGATTTTGCCGGCAGAAAATATGTCCGCCGCTCTCTCGTGGAGCAGAGACAGATAAACGAGATGATGCAATATCTTGGTTAGGCGGGGTGGAGGTAGCCTCCCGAAGTTCGGTTATGAATCTGCGGAAATTCAGTGAGAGCTCCACCTGTGACATTCTCTCGTAGTTAAGGTTTCAGGTGAACAGAATAACCATAGAACACGTCAAGGTAGCTTAAAACCCCGCAATGCCCACATAGAGCTGAAAAATAAAGCCGGGATAAACCGTTTGCAACGTATTCAATAAGCTTATTATTCACAATTATGAACTCTTCCCTTATCGAAATTTCACTCTCAATCTTTCAAACACGAAACTATACGTAATGAGCGTGACGACTCATATGAAGAGTATAATACAAATGTAGACTATCGATATACCAAGAAAATCAAACGAGCAAGCAAAAAATCATGTGCTTAACGGCATTGCATTTGACCCACCGACACCTTGCCGTACCAACGCCTCCCGGCAAACCCATGACCTACCCATTATTAAAATAATACGACTGAAAAAAAAAAGAGAGGAAGGCTGCAAACAGAAGTGAATGACTAGTAATACACCACCGGTCGAATTCCACCAATCCCATGTCAATCAAATGTCGAGCATACTCCTCACTTTAGTAGGTGGGGCTCCTGCTCCCAATGTCCTCTCACTGCCACCCCAGTTCGAGCTAGCATTGCTATTTTGCCTGGGTGTAGACATCCTCGGAGTATTTTCATTCGATGGAGTGTCTCTGAACGGGTTCTCTGCCGGATCAGCTTGGTGAGTGGGCATATTTCCAAGCTCTAGTGTTCGTTCTATGTTCCGACGAGTAGGCTGTCCGCCGCCCAGCTCAGCCCCAAAAGCGCGCAAACGCTCATCAGAGGTGAGTGTGGGGCCACCATGAAGCTTGCTCCACCAGCTTGGTTTCTTAACCAGGCCAAGTTCTGCATCATGAGCACGTCCCCGCTCTCTGCGCTGGGCGATCAACAAGCGGTCCTCGTTCTCGTCAACGTAGCCCCAAATCTCAAAGATGATGATTATCAGAAGCGTGGTGGCATAGCCTAGGCCGAACATCCATCCTGGTTGAACATTGTATTTGAGCGGGCTAATGCTCCAGTCAAATGCTGATGCTATGCCGTAACCGACGCGGACTGCTAGTATGGTGATGGCGAGTAGGAGCTTTACAGGTGCCCAATGGAAAAATCCGTTGAAGCTCTGCCATATACCACGCCCACGAGGCTTGTAATAGTGGATGGAATGACGAAGAGAGTAACAAATTATAAGCCAGGCTACCGCGGCGAGGATCGAGCCGGCCTTGAAGCGTGCATCAGTGGCGGCAGGCTTGGCGTTGAGATTTTGCTGCTCCAACGATCGCTGCAGCTGAATGGAGGACCACGAGCGTGGGATCACCATAAAAAAGTTCTATCAGATCTGTTATTACCGAATCAAACAGGTACAGCAAAAATCGATCCTTACCAGCCAGGTGAAGAGATAAAACATAAGAGGCATCCAGAACTCTTTTTTCGATCTAACGTCGTCCTGGGGAAGAGAATACGGATCACTGTCATAGATTTGTCTTTCTTGCCACGAGCCCCTGATATGAAGATTAGCCAAATATACGTGTGCTAGGAATCGGATAACTGACCAGTGTCTTGTTGCCTCCCATACAGCCGCCAGAATCCCAGGCAGCATGAGATAATAGAAGAAGTTGGTCAAGATGAGGGCCAAACTCTGCAAGTAATCGCGATCAACATCCACGCTTGTCAAACCACTAATGATTCCACATGCTGCCACAAACAGCATCCAATACCATTGCCAACGTCTTCCAATAGCCCGGAACCTCTTCTCCTTTGGCAAGAACAAACGGCCGTGCTTTCGGAGGTTGATCATTGTGAACATGATGCTCACAGCAAAGAGACAGGCAAAGACTATTCCAAGGGTGCCGCGGTCCTGGATGTGATAATATGGAAGATAACAAGAGGTGCCGTTGATAAAGGTGCCATTAGAGAGCATGACCGGTTGGAACTGGTCAAAGACCAGATAGCATTTGGAGCTGTTGGAGAGCGTGCCATTGCTATAGAGGGTATAGTTGTAGTGATTCAATGCCGTCTTGTTAAAATGCACATTGTTGATCAAGACATCTGATGAATTGTCGCCGGAGGGGAATTGCAGCAATTCCCTGATATCGATATGGCCCATGTTCAGACTTGTCCTCGTAATATCTCCTTCCGTTCTTCGAAGCAACAACGTCTAAAGAGAGGTAGGCTCAAGCGCTATCTCCTCCAAGAACCAGTACCCTCCACAACTAGGGTATGCCGCAAGATAGATAACTGATCAAGAGCTGAAATTGCAATGCCTCCCGAGCAAAAAAAGAACCGACAGCAACTGCACGAAGGATGATGGAGAGCAACAGATGCGACGGAGCTGGAGCTTTCGCGCGTGTGTATGGTGTTTAGTAGGTGTACAGTTTCGATACCTCCTCAAAACGTACAAAATGCTATAAGATGAAAGTCTTGTTACGGTAACTCTTCTTATTATTGTATTTCCGTTGCTGACAGAGGCAAAGGCGGGGAATGCGGAGAGGGCGAGGGTAAGCGAGGCACAGACCTTGCACTATTCCCAATTATGCAGAGCTCAATGTTGCGGTACAAAGACAAACATGCTTCCATACGCGTTTATCAAGTGCCTAATACAGTGCGAATTTAGCTCGCTTGTGAATAAACTTCCGCTAGTAGCACTATCGTTCTAGTGATCATCCACTTTCCCTTCGTCTTTTCCACCATAGCAACAAACCTAGAGCCTTTCTGCATATTCATAGTTAGGATCCCAAGGGAAGGCGGTCATGAGAACTGCGTCTACATCTCTAACCTCTTTATCTTATCTTAAGACTTTTCACTTCTCAACTACGTCGATAGAAACGAATCACTGTATAGCTTCCTTCGGTCTTTTATATCAAACAAAATTGGTTGTATGCCCGAGCATCTAGAGCGCCTAGGTGTGGCACTGTTTGTTGGTTTGCTCCCATCTAACAGGCAGTAAAAATCCACTGTCCTCGACATAATTACCAATGCTATGAGCCTTAAAACATCGTCAAAATCTCTGCTCGAGCAGGGGAAAGCATAGAGACAGGTGCAATGCCATTGATGCAACAGCCGCTTGCTTGCTGTTGTCGTCAACCTCTACCATAATATACTAAATACAAACAGACGGCATGAGTTTGCATATCAATCATGCCATACGGTATCAAATAAGAATAGGAACAGTAAATTAGCCAGAGACAAGCAAATTTAGTTCCCACACATGAATCATATGCTACTTTAAAATCCTGTTCGCCAAACCCCAGAGCAATTTTCATCTGTAGCTTTTTCTGTAAGCTTCGACCAAAAACAAAATAGAACCAAATTCATTTCAACGACATGAAATTTGGCGGTGAATGAAAATCTTTCAGCTATCCGCTGGCCGATCGGGATGCATACCGACCCCGGAGTTCATCAACCTCCCTTTGTAATGCAGTCAGGTCTGCCAGAATGTCAATATCACCAGAGTCGCGTTTGGACTCAGCTTTGGCGGTTTTGTCAAGGGATGCCACTGACTGTCGTCGTTCACTGACTTGATCAGTATCTTGGATGAGCTCAGAAGGTGGGCTTGCGGTCATGGGAATGGAAGTGTCAAGGCTGCTCCGCGCCGAACCCCTTCTTGGAGGTGGTTGTGGCGGGAATGGCGCGGCGCTGGAGGAGGAAGATACTGATGACCCCCGAGCCCGTCGGGAGGACGAAGACTGTGTGCGGCTTGGAGGCACCGGAGGTGGGGCAGGTCCATGAGGTTTTGATCCTGATGAGGAACGTATTGGGCGTGTTCCACCCGTTGAGACAGTAGATAGGGGCGTTGCGGGGGATGATGGATAGTCGGACATCGTCCGAGCGTGGCCGCCACCAGGGCGGCGTGATGGGGGCGGAGGCGGAGCTTTTGGTCCTTGAGCCGCTAATTTGGAAGAAGAAGACGACAATGCGAGAACCTCACCAGAAGAGCTTTCTCCAGCTTCGGTGAGAATTGACCGAGAATCGCTCCTGGAAATTGGAGATTGTGATGATTTCAAGTAGCTCTGACGTCGTGAGGGAGGGGCGGGCGGTTTGCGTGACTGTGTAGCAGAAGATATAGAAGACTCAGTAGTTTGCATCTTGGTGCCTGAAGGGGACAGAGCATTATCATGCTGCGACTGAGGAGGACTAGGAGCGGGAGCAGGAGCAGGAGCAGGCGGTAATGGTTTGTTGATATCAGTTGGGGTCTTAACGAATACGGCAGACTCCGGACGACTAGGTTTGGCTGGCATAGGTTTCTCAAATGATGACCAACTTAAAGAAGGATCTGAGAAAGATACGGTCTGCGGGGTGTTACTCCGAATTGGTTTCCCATGTCGGGTCTTTGGTGGCGCAGGCTTTATCTTGTTGGATCCTGAGCTTATGCTACGAACCAGCCGCAGGCGTTCATCGTCAGAAGCAAAGATCTCATGAGAGGTGCGAGGTGAATCGGGTGTTGCTTCGGGCATAGGCTCAAATATTGATTGTCGAGAGATCGAAGACGAATCAGTATTGCTGCTGCTATCTCCAATGGCGCCTTGCTGGGCACTTCCCGGGTGAAGATGTGATGTAGCAGGGGTCCCATGCTTTGGTGCATTCGCGTTTCCTGTCATAAGGAGGCGTTTGAAACTGTCTACGTCCAATGATGGCCTTGTCTTGGCTGACTTGATTGAATCTCCAATTGTTGGTCTCGAGGACTGTGTCCCACCAATGTCTTTCTCTTGAGAGCTTGTCCCCTGCATTGTCGCTAATGTCTTTTGAAACGGGTTTTTCGGAGCGACTGCGGTTTGGTGGCTGCCTGCGGGCATGGGTGACGTACTGGTCTTCCGTGCATTGTTCCGATCCTCGTCACTCTCACTTTCTGAGTCAGACTCAAAGGGATCTGTGATACCCGCTGCAGTGGTGTTGTTTGGGGATTCATGTGTCGACGGGGGAGATGGTTCATGACCGATACCATATGGCACAGGAGTCGGTTCTCTATCGGAGGAGCTGTGCTTGTCAAGAGGCGGGGAAGGCGGCGCCGATCCGACGCGGACGTCTTTGGTGCTTGAGTTGTGATCTATTTAATTAGTATCTCGAGCGTATCATTCGCAAGTCGATATCCCCGTGAATATCTAGAATGGAGCACAATTACCTCCAGGAAGAGGTGGGAAGCGCTTCTCTACCGACAACACATCATCGGGCTCGATTTCCGCTGGCGGCACTCGACGGAAAGGGTTCGAAGTGGATAATTCGCCAGACATCATGAAAGTGGTATTAGAAACTCATTGCCCTGATGAGATGAAAAAACGAATGTAAGCACGCCCGAACTTGAGAGTGAATAGGAGAATAATAATGGGTTTCACCTTTATCCCGCAGGCCTTGGGCCGCTCGATAGCTCACTGTAGGTCGGGGTTTCGGGACGCGAGCTTACCGCTGGATCTATCTCCGTTATCTGATTTGTTGACATCATCCTTGCTAAATGGCAAACCCGGCCAGTTATAAACAGAAGCCCAAAATCTTACGGAACAAAGTCAATTTATTGGTCTTCTTCAAATTATTCTCTATGCGTAGTCATATAATTTTTTTCTAGAATCCATGCTGAATTGTCGTTCACTCCACGTCTAGTAGCGCAATAGAGTGGGTTGTATTGCTAAGTACTGCATCGACCTAAATATTTCAATTTCGGGACACAATTACTTATGTCTAAAAATTTGGCCAATTGTTGAAAATAACCCAGAGATGAACTGGCAAAAATCTTGAACTCAGTAATCGATGAATAATTTTGAAATACAACTAATCTAATCTTCACGATATACATGCCATCTTTTGTCTTTCCCGAACCAATTCTCCGCTAATCTTACACCGCTCTCGGTAGGTTGACTGAATGCAATCAAGTCCTTGGGTATCTTCATGCCATAGATAAATCGGTCTCTTGCGCAATCGAGGAGTGTGGCCGCGATGCCGTGTCTTCGATGAGAGCGTGATGTCCAGATTCGTGAAATGCCAAGAACTGCTGAAGTAGGTTTTGCACTGATGGAGATGGAGGAGCTCTTCGATGTTATTACGCGCTTAGGAGATTCTGGACCTGCAGAGTTTGGGCTCGGATCAGAATGCTGCTCCTCTAGATCGCGCGGAAGGATTGGCGGCGTAATTTCTTCTCGGCTCATATCATTTGAAGACTGTTGAATATCTGCGCGTGATATCGCGCTGGCCAAAGATGATTTTGCATTTGTGGTTGGGGAAGATGGAATGGGCGTCGGCAGTTTCGAACAAGTCTCTTGTTTCTGCGGGACAACCTCGTCTTGGCCATCGAGCACTTGGTACGCCCCGGCAATTCTCTCCGCAAGGCATAGACCAACGCATTTATCACCGCTCATATAAAGATAGATTTTGTAGCGATCGCCACCAATAATACTCTCAAGAGCTTGCTCGCTATCGGAAGATGAGAGCTCCGTTGGATCCGTACTCGTTTCTGCGCTGCACATGTCATTTGCAAATCCCATCGGTCGTCTTCCGCAAGATGATGGCGTTTCTTTTTTTGACGTGCCCCATAATGTCCTTTCATCAATGCTAACGGCAGAAAGCTCTGAGGTGACAATGTCTAGAGCCTTTCTTGCTTTTCTCTTCTCCGCAAATGAGCTTCTCTGATCGACGACTACCACGTAGTCCACAGTGCTATTTTGGCGCAAACCGGTTGATCGTTCTGCAGATGCCTTTGCTGAGAACTGTGCGCTCTCCCAGATCCTGTTAGATTCGGGCCATTTTGTAGAGCCTTTGCCGAAATCAATGCCATCCCCCAATTGGGATGCATGGTATCTTTTATGTAGCGCATCATCCTCCGCGCTGGACGGGACGTAGTCCATTCCACAAGCTTTGCACGTCCTCCTCGTTTCTATACCAACGTCTATTTGCATTTGGATAAGATTTGATTGCCTTTTTCCCTTTGATATCTTGGAAGAACGTGCATCGGTGTGGGCAACGCCAAGTAAATTTGCTTGCGTACTTTGTGCTTGGGATTTCCTTGCTCCGATATCATTACCGCTCCTTCGTCGGACAGCTGAAAACATTGGCTTCCAAATCTTTCGGATATTCATGTCAATCGGAATAATTGGCGGCGGCGATGAAGGTGGTGTCGTCAAAGTTGAGTCTTGAAGCTCTGTGGCTGCGAGGCCGTCAAAACTGGACAGGCGGCCTCCATCTTCTCCGTCGGAAGTTGGTGCGCCAACCAGATCTGATGAGATATGAGAGGAAAATTCGTCCTTCGGTGCATTTCCGTCGCAGTCTTCGTCCAGCTTTCTTGTCGCATCAAGTGGGCGATCGTCTGTTCCAGCAATCTGAATCCGTCTACTGGCTCGTGTAGATTCAGCAAGCGAGTTTTGGAATTTCACACCAACTTCTATCGCTGCATTTTGATCTTCGTGCACTTCTATACGCCGCCTTTTCGCAATCGGGGCGTCATTTTCGGGTCGAATGCAAGATCTTGTCTGTCGGGAATATGTTTTCAATCTGCTTCGCATAGATGGAGTCAGCGGCGCATCCACGAAACAAAGAACCTCAATTATGAAGAAGGAAACGTAAATACTTGCCCTTTCTGCTTCTTGGAATACGAAAAGGACATGTTAACAGTGCATAAGTGCTTGATTGTTTTTCTTTATGACTAGTGGTATGAAGATCGCGTTGACAGGATCACCAAGGCATACGCGCATAAGCGCGATCACGCTAGTCCTAACCAAGAAATATAATAACTTGGGACTTCAGCGATGGCAGACTCCTAGGGTACTCTCCGCCGAATGACCTTGCTTTGGGGCGTGAATTTAGCAATACTTTTTCTCAAAGAAGCGTCTATATTCAAAAAGTGTGACAGAAATAATAATCGGAGCCGTTTCGTTATTGTTCCGCTCATTTCCTCAAGCTATCTCGTTTCCAGGCCGATATCTGTTCTGCAATCCGAAAGATTCTTTTGAGAATTCTTTGAAAAATAAATCTTTTAGGTCTAATCTATACTAGAGGTGTTTTATCTAATCATTAAGTAAAGTATATAAAATCTATGCTCATAAATCCAAATAATTTGGGTAGAATCCGGGCATTGACCAAGTCCTTTGCTTTTGAATGCGCAGAAATTACAGATAGATCGTAGGAGACGTTGAGCTAGATGGTATAAGTGAAATGAGGGGATTCATCACCAAGCCGGTCGACTTCTTCTTCAGTCAAGTTTTCTATCTTATAATCTTCGGCACCAGCCTTCCTTCGCCGGTTCACGCGAGCAAGCCAAAACCACATGAAGGCGTAAACGATAGTGGCAAAACCGACCATGCTCAGCGTAACGGCATGTCCTCTGACATACCTCGGTGCCTCTATTGTCTTGTAAAGCTTTGCGTAAAAATCGTTAGCCAAAACAAGTCAATATGAGACTGGATCAGGGGTTACCATACAAATGGCGCCATGACGCCGGCACAATTTCCAAAAGTAAGTTGAAATCCTGTAGCAGTTGTCCGCTTGCCGTATCGAGGACAATTGCTCGGCAACCAAGCCAGAGGCAGCCCTACCACCACGTACAACCCAAGACCAACCATGAAGCACCCAAAATAATGCACGCCAGAGCTTGCATCGGCGATGAGAATACCGTAGCCGATGACGGAAATGCAACCAAAGATGACCGTATAAAGCCCTCGCATCTGTTGATGGTCGGACAATCTAGCAACAGCCAAATACGAAATTGCACCCAAAGCGTAACACGGTATAGTCAAGGCCTGTACTTCGGCCGTGGTCCAACGACCAAGGCCCTTGATGATCGTTGGTAAGAAAGTGCTGTAACCATAGAGCATCGTGTCAACGCCAAAAAGGCCGATGCAAAAGGTCCAAACTTTCCAGTCTTTTATACAGGCTCTAAAGTCTGCCCAGTGAAATTGCTCCGCTGACTTGCTCTGACCCTGCCGCATCCTACGAACCTCCATCATCTCCTTCTCCTTGTCATTAAGGAAATACGCAGTGGCTGGCTCGTCTGGGAGGAGAAACCAAGTCGCAACACCAAGAACGACGGTGGGCAGGCCCTCCAGAATAAAAATCCAGCGCCAGGCACGTTGTCCGGCAACGCCATCCATGTGGCCGATGCCGTAGGCGAGAAGGCCACCAAAGGCGCCAGCAAGTGCAGAGCTGACGAAAAGATAACCAATGCGAAGAGCCAGCTCGCGCTTGGTGTAGAATAATGTCAAATAAACAGTCAATCCTGGAAAGAGGCCACCCTCCACCAGACCGAGAGCCAGTCTACATACGATCATACCAGCATAATTTTGAGTCACGCCAGTAAGCGTTGCAATAATCCCCCAGCTGGTAGCGATGAAAGAAATCCATCTTGATGGCCTGAGCTTTTTGAGAAGAAGATTGCTGGGAACCTCAGAGAGCTATAATAGTGTAAATGTCTTAGCCGGAATTTCTTAGAGTAGCATATACGAAAAGATGCTCATACCAAGTAAGGAACGAAGAGAATTGAGGTAACAATCTGGAATCTGTCTCCAGTGAGGTTTAGATCCTCCTCAAGACCATACAACCTTTGGGCGTGTGAGTCATGCTACGGCTTTTATAAAGGAGGAGTATGGATTGCACGAACCTCGCATTCCCAATATTTACCCTTGACATAACACGTTAGCAGAATTTCTCAATCGTGGATCAGCTTAGCAGCTCACCTATCTAGAAATGATAGCAAGTACAACAACATCACTACCGGAATGATGTAGAAATCCAATTTTCTGACAAGCTTTCGCTCGGCGTTAGGGTCTGTCGACAAGCTGTGCTCTTCAATCGCATCCTCGCCAGGGCGTTGAGGACCAGGAAACGCCTTCTCAGACTCCATCATAGCAGAGAAAATAATTGATGGAGCAGTACTAATATAAAATTTCCCTGCTGAGATGTGAAGACCCCTCAATCCTATAGGAATGAAATTGAATAATATTAATCTGTCAAATACTCAACAATATCCATACAAAAGGACACTGACGTGCTTCAGAAGAAACCTCGGACCTGCAGCAATCTTATCGCAAATCCCATGTCATCTTTAGAATAATAAATATGTTGTCGAGATGACGGCTTCTAATGACCGGAACTTAATGGCGACTAAGAACGGGAGAATTTTATCGAGAGGGTCCTCAATGCATCACTAAATCCAAGTTGGTTTAGGTGACACCCGGGTGGGGGTTTATGGGGAGATTCAACCAGAACATCACCCGATGTAATGCGGGCTCATAACCAACCCAGCAGAGAATCTCCCGCCATTTCCCTCGCTTGATGAACCGCTGTTTGTCAAGACTTAACCCGAGCGAGGGAAGCGTCGACTGTCTGGGCCAATGTGACACAAAACCTTTTTAAATTCCGTTTTCGAGCGGGACTTGGGCTTCGCAAATGTGTTAGGCAGTCTTGGAGCGAGGCGGCTAAAATGAATGACGTTCTATCGATTGTCGAGGCCGAGAAAAGGACATAAGGCATTGACTCAAAATTCTAGACCCATGTCCCATGTCCACATGGATGCCACTTGACCGGACAGTTTTCGCTCTCAGTCGTTATTGTTCCCATCAAATTTCTTGGACTATTCTTGACTGTAGAAAAGCCTTGTCTCCATACCTTAGTTTGTTTATGTAGTATCTGTCATGTCGAAAGTGCAGCATATAATGTTATTACCCAGTAGAGGTACTCAGCTTTGTTGATCATCACGTGCTAGGCGGCTGCCTCATAAGATGCGGACAAGAGTGGAAACATGTTAGATTATCATTGGATCATGGGTTTTGTTATACGAGTAGGATACTAATGGGTTTGATCGTCCAAGATATAAATACCTAAGGATGCAGCGCGAGGAGCCCAAGGCTGTCATTCTGAAATACCCAACTTCACTCTCCTCCTATCAAAATATTTTCCAGTCATGGTCATCATCCGCAATGCAAAGTCAGATGTGCTCTTTGGCTTCCTGAATTGTTCTCTTTCTATTGAAGAACTCAACCAAATACATGCCGACTTTGCCTATGGCAGCCTAGCGCGTTTCAACCCAACTGTGGAGCTCTTCATTCAAGACCGCCCGGAGCTGTACGGACTACCACACCAAGCAATACGGTCGAAGCTTGATCAAGAAGGCTTTAGGGAGTCCTTTCTCGTCATTGACGCAGCAACGCCATCAACAAGATCTGTATGGTATATCGAGCATACCGGCGATCCATTCGAGGAAGACCCCGTCATCACACACGAAGGGGAGCCTTTCTTTTGGAAAATCCGACTGAAAACCGAAGACGTCCCCATTGAGCACGTCAATTATGACATAGCGAATTCTAGTATCAGCGAAAGGCTCGGAAACGAGACGGATTTTGAGAAATATGATCCGCACGCTTCACAAGCAGTTAGTTCAAATGGCTATAACTACGAAGACAGCGCATGGTTGCCGCCGGCATTCATTATCGCTGAACCGGGAGAATGGGTTGATAGTACTGCTGAGGAGCATGTCTCTAATTTCGTCACATTTGACAACGGCGCCCGTCGTCACCCAGAGCGGGTCTTCAAGTTGAAGGATGATGTCGCGGAGAAGTTCGGGCTGCGAAAAGGAAAGTGGTCTACCGAGACCGCTGAAACTGCAGAAGGCTGTGTGTCACTGCAACTCGCATTTGATAAGGATAGTCCAGTGTGGCAGAAACCCTATATTCCTCTGCAACACTAGATCGACAGGGAATAAGTTGAAGTAATCACTTAGCTATACAACCATGCAAACAATAAAATAAGCCCAGCGCACGAACGGTTCATCATGTTTCATTCGCAATAATGTGTACACAACTTTATCAAACTTCTCAACGATTCCCATTAGTCGCAGTGTTCACACAGACACTCTCAAAGATAACCCAAATATATGTATCAAAAGAATTCAATTTGCCCCTAACGCGCGGACGGTGTATGAAACCGGTATGCATCATCAGAAGAAAGACCTAGGAACATATGAGAGCAGAACAGGCCTTCCTCGCTGGCACTGAAAAAGCTGGAAGCAATATCAAAGAAACATAACCCTCGCCATTAAAGCACCTCATAAAGAATCTCGGATGTAACTGCCGGATTCTATTTCTCGTCCATTGCTCCAGACCTCACTGGTACACAGTTCCAGACACCAGTCTCAACCGGAGCAATTCTCTAATGCAGCCTTGAAGAAAGTATGCCAAGGAGACAGGTCCAGATTGGCCGTGAAGAAATCTAGATTGCGTACTTTCTCGTCCACTCCCGAGCCGTAGCCTCGTACCGGGCACGATCGGTTTTGTAGACATGAGCAATCTCAGGCACCAGAGGGTCGTCGGGGTTGGGGTCGGTGAGCATGGAACAGATCGAAAGGAGAACTTCTCGAGATTAGTGACTTCGGTCTTTGCACATCAAAGTAGGATAATCTTACCCTTGGAGATGGTCAAAGCCGGGCTCCATTGGTCCCGAAGGATGTCTAAGCAGATGCTGCCATTTGAGTTGATGTTGGGGTGGTAGATGCGAGTCTTGAACTGCAGCTTAGGAGGCTTGAAAGGGTAGTCGGTGGGGAAGTTGATCTCGAGGAAGAAAACACCGCTGGAGTAGGGGCTGTCGCTCTGTAGGGACTTGGGTCAGCATTGACTGTCTGCATTCTCTCGCAGGCTCGAAATTTCCCAAAGGAGGTAACTAAGGTAAGATGCTTGTCCGACAGATCGTCACGGTAGACTTACGGGGCCCATGATAGTCGCCTGCCAGTGGAACTGTAGAATAGCAAGTTAGCATATTTGTCATATATCCTCGAAGCGCTGGCTCAGTTGGCAGCATTCCGGCCATGATCTCCAACGCTTCGCTCTTGCGTGGGGACGGATGCATACCAAATCTTCCTGGATAGGTCCAGCAGAGCATGATGAAGGAGGGTCACTTTAGAAGTAAAGTAGAAATGTCAGCATATGATCCTCTCGTTGACTAGGCGATTGAGACGCTGGTCATAGACAACCCCGCATCGGAACCATCCCAGAGCCACATTGAACAGATCAACAGTTCGTAAGGTGAACAGCATACCGGCCAAGGTCCGTAAGTTCCTTGTTGATTCGCTTGAGAGCCATTTTTGTGTTGTGCGGGGTATAAGGTTGTGGAGATGACGAGGATTGAAAAGCGTCGAAAGTGATGTGGTGAAGATGAAGAATTGGAAGTGGGCTGTGGCGCCGACCTGAGGACGGAAAAGACCGATTAGCGGGCTAAACCAAACGAAACAACCCGGCTGGCAGAGCGGATGACACAGTCAAGCACGAGGGTAGTAGTACAAGGTACAAGAGTTCAAGTGAAGAGAGACACTACCACCGCTAAATCTACCTCTACGCGTGCAAGAATTGATATGCCTTAACCTTTCTACTATGAAGGTATAGGAGCAGAAGGTTACAGAGACATTTACAAGATGACGCTAAATGGTCAGAATAATGGAGTCATCAACCATCCATAGGCTTCTAGGGTGAGTTTAAAGTGCGCCTAGATGGAAAGACCACATCGTAACTGGTACCTTTCAGGATGCTGATTCATTCACTCCTTCACGTATTGCCTCAAAGCGAGGCCTGAAAGGGTTAGCGTCAAGCGTTGGCGGTACAAGGCCCGTTCAGCCTAACACAGCCGAAGATGGCAAAAAGCCCCTGTGACGGCATATCTTCTTAAGGTTGTCCCTTTGCTAGGTATGCACATGGCGACCCATGGTCTTGGAGAAAGAGCGAGATTGCCTGCAAAGAATTCAATTCATCTTCAGGCCACTTGTGGCACGACCAGGAGCCCTTGGTCCCCATACTTGACTTTGTCAATCAATACTGGGAGGATAGTATTCTACCTTTATATAATTGAAAACATTTTCTTGACCAACCTCGGAACCGCCAAAATTTATCATGAAGGGTTTCCATCCTACCATCCGTTGGCGGTTGCCACGTGCAAACCCCTTAGCAAAATGCTTGTACACCAGTAATTGCTCTTCCGAGAATTAAACCTGGTGCAGATACCCCTTGGTTAGCTTAGAGCTACAGGTGGGAGAAGTATTTTGCCAGTCGTTTGGGAGAAATAACATACTGTGAATATCACTCTGGCCTTCATAGGTCTGTGTCACGAAAAGATTTGCCACGTGCCTTCCGATGTGATATTCATCACTCACTGCATTACCACCGAAAATTTCCTGCAGACTGCACCGGGTTCTGTCAGCACTTAGCCAAGCGATCAAAGCCCTTGTGTTACGTACGCCCTCGAGTTGATCAAAGCGCGATCACAATTCTGCCGCTTGATCATAGATATCATCTCTGGTAAAGCCTTGCCCTCTTCCTTGAGTCGCCCGACTTGATAGGCAGCGAGAACACCGTATGCAGCATCCGTTACTGCATCAGCTAATTTCTTCTGCACAAGTTGGTATTTGGCAAGGGGATTGCCTTTGAATTGTTTCCGCTCAAGCGCATATTCTCTGGTCCGCGCAATGCAATCTTCTAGGGCTCCCATTGTACCCCAGGCGATCCCGTATCGCGCCGAATTGAGACAGTTGAACGGCCCCCTGAGTCCTTCAATGGTCGGAAACATGTTTTCCTCTGGCACGGGACATTCATCCATTTGGATCATTCCAGTTAGGGATGCACGTAAGCCAGTTTTATTCTTTATGGCAGGCGTTTCCAATGTTCCGGGAGGGCAACGATTCCGATCAACCAGAAAGCCCCGAATCTTTCCAGTAGATTGGAGCTTTGCCCAGACCATCATCACATCTGAGATCGGTGAATTTGTTATCCAGGTCTTTGAACCTGAGAGGAGAAAGACTCCTTTCTTTGACGGGTGAGGTTTAGCGATTGTCTCCATTGAGCCAGGGTCAGAGCCATGATTTGGCTCGGTCAAACCGAAACACCCGACCAACTTGCCTTTTGCAAGCTGGGGCAGGTATCTCTGTTTCTGTTCCTCAGATCCAAACTCGTAGATCCCGCCCATGATGAGGGAACTCTGCACAGACATTCCCGAGCGGTAACCTGAATCAACCCGTTCAACTTCCCTGGTGATTAGCCCGGAGGCTACTTGGCTGACTCCTGCACATTCATAGCCTTGAATAGTAGCACCCAAAAGCCCGAGTTCCCCCATCTCTTCGAGTATTCTCTTATCATAATGTTCGCTGCGATGCGCATCTTGCAAATCTTGGTCAGACTAGCCACCTACTACTTGCTATTCTACATACTCACCCAGAACTCTCGGGAGCAATTGCTCCTGGCAATATGAACGTGCCGTTTCTTGGATAGCCAATTCATCTTCGGTGAATAATTTGGAACTGCCAAGTGGATCTTCAAAATTGAATGCCGCCTGGGTATGAGCGAGCCGGCGATTTAGACCATGGGACCTTGTTGCTACTCTCGAGCAGGTACATGTCTTCCTAATAGTCCGTGAAAACATTGTTCAAATACTACCGTATAGCAAAAGAGGTGCAATTGTAGTAGGTAGCAAGAGTAAAGCCCAGAGACGTTGAAAGGGTATATAAAGCAAAGAAATCGTGAGCCGGAATATGTTCACCCGAATTGGTTATGGAGGGCTCCGAGGACTTTACCCCACAAATTTGGGCCGAGGCACTGAATATGGAGGCAGGAGGGCCGCGGCCAATGCAGCATACTGTCTCCAAAAATATCATTTCAGCGGAGAGCTATGGAAATAAAGGTATGCATTTGTGTATGAATACTTGCATTGCGTCACAAATATTCATATCCCATTTTTTTACTTCCTGTAATGAATTCAACTTGTGTTACCATCAAGCCAAGCGCTTAACCACGGCCGCGGCCAACGACCCTGAAACTATTCCTATTTGGGATTGATAACTACGCGTGAACCTCCATCCACTGCGTCACCTCGCGCACCGAACGCGCTGTGGCTCTTTTGAATTTCTTCGCCGAAGTTGAAGGCTCACCATTTATCTTCTCTGTAATCGGAAAAAGCCACAATGGGTATCAAACGTATGCTGCAATATCCATTTGGATGCTAATGCTACTTTCCCTCTCAAATCTGACATTGTTTAGACCTCTACCAGGTTATTCAAGAGAATGCGCCGGACGCAATCAAAACCGGCGAAATCAAGAATCAATTCGGCCGTAAAGTCGCTATTGTAAGCCTGCTTCCACATTCTAATCTAGAGGCCATTGTCTTACACGGGATTGTTGACAGGATGCGTACGTTCACTCCTCCGCTTAATGGGAGCTCAGGACCTAACAACTTCGTGATGACAGCTCCATGAGTATCTACAGTTTCCTCATTGCTGTTCGCTCCGAAGGCCAGCAGCTTATGAGTGATACTGGTGAGACGACTTCTCATCTAATGGGCATGTTCTATCGTACACTTCGCATGGTGGATAATGGAATTAAACCTCTTTTTGTATTTGACGGTGCTCCTCCAAAGCTGAAATCGGGCGAACTTGCGAAGCGTTTCCAACGAAAATCGGAGGCTAAAGAGCAGCACGAAGAAGCCAAGGAAATAGGGACTGCAGAAGAGGTGGAGAGGTTCTCAAGGAGAACTGTCCGGGTCACCCGAGAGCATAATGCAGAATGCAAAAGACTTCTGAGGTTAATGGGTGTCCCTTATATTGATGCGCCCACTGAAGCAGAAGCTCAGTGTGCTGTATTAGCCAGGGCTGGAAAGGTGTATGCGGCGGCTTCGGAGGATATGGACACGCTCTGTTTTGACGCACCAATATTACTCAGACATCTCACATTCAGTGAGCAACGAAAAGAACCGATCCAGGAAATCCACCTGGAGAAAGCATTGGCAGGACTGGACATGGACAGGAAACAAGTAAGTGAATGCATATACTAGCAAAGGAAGGTCAACACAACTAATGTATGTTATTTAAGTTCATCGATCTATGCATTCTGCTGGGATGTGACTATGTTGATCCAGTGCCGAAAGTTGGACCGAACACTGCTCTGAAGCTGATACGCGAGTACAAGACCCTTGAGGGCGTCGTGGAAAGTATCGAGAACGGACAAAATAAGAAGTTTACTTTGCCGGAGGATTGGCCGTACAAAGAGGCGCGTGAGCTTTTCCTTGAGCCGGACGTCCGCCAAGCCGACCATCCAGACTGCAATTTCAACTGGGACGCACCCGATACTGAGGGTTTGGTTAAGTTCTTGGTTGAAGAGAAAGGCTTCAGCGAGGATCGCGTCCGCAGTGGTGCTGCTAGATTGCAGAAAAATCTAAAGAGTGCACAGCAAACGAGACTTGAAGGATTCTTCAAACCTGTCGCTAAAACCGAGGACGAGAGGCAAGCCTTGAAGAGGAAAACTGATGCCAAAACTGAAGAGAAGAAGAAAAAACAAAAGGCCGATATGAAGGCTAAAAAGGAGGCTAAAGCTAAACCCCGAGGCACCGCTTAGTGCCCTTTTCAACTAAAAGGGTGTAAAGCTAGCGTTGCATGTTGATGGCTTTCAATGCTTCTTAGGCGGTTTTACATGGGAGTACCAGGCGCTTTTATTGTGTTATGACCGGAACAGCACATGCATTGATTGATTCTTTGCGTTCTTCGGACCTTACTTCAATATATGCAATATTTCAAACTTTCAATGATACCTGACTTAGGAGAAAATCGATAAACGTCTTTGTTATCTTTCAAATACTGTCTCTAAAGGAAGCTCGTGAGATCGTACAATTCAAACCACCGAAGCGTTACTCCGGTGCAAGTTCTCGAAGTCCAGTTATCTGCATGACCCTTGCTCTAGGTCACCAGAAGCGTTGATCAAGAGCTGATCATCTCTCAACGACTTGCATCAGCGCATCGAGGTGCGCAAAATTGGGCCAAATAATTTCTTTCCACGTAGCTCATCCATTCAGCATACACTTGTACGAGCAAACCATACCTGAAAAAAGATGGATTGACCAGAGCGGAATGACGGCAAAACGGAAAAAAGGAATGGGGGATTCTGTGCGAGACCAACCCTTTTCGTCATGGCAAAGGAGACAATGGCTCCAAACCAAAGGCATCATCTAGAGCTTGCGAAGGAAGACGGGCCTTGTGCACGTGGTGAACCAAAACAAAACAGTTGTCGCCTGACCGGCACGCGTTCTGGATTGGGTAGGATGCTGCAACAAGCTATGATCTCATTATTTGAGACACTCTTTCATCCCAATACGGCTAGACAACTTGGCAGGAAGTGAGGAGGAACTCTCCAGACAGTGCTAAGACGACAGTGTAAAGTGCCCTTGACGCGACCAAGAGCAGATGCTGGGAATGCAAAATTACTCTGCAGATTGGCAATATCAACGGCGTGATTAGCCGTGGAGGGTCATGGAGCAACTTTTCGGGCCAAGATTGATCAATGATGGCTCGAGGAATAGCTCGAAGGCCAATGGCGCTATTATTTCTTAAAGTCCCTAAGCTTCCCCGATCAGAAATTAGGGGGCAGGGTGTTCAAAAAGAGTGAAAGGGCGGACGGGGGGCAAAGCAGCGGAGAGAAAACATTGAGAAGGGTGGGGAGTGTCGAGAACCCCCAAATCCAGCGGAAGGTCTGTCTCGAGCCAAACGGTATGCGGGCGGAATGACCAGCTCGGACCAATGGGATGCTTCCATTCCCCAGAGCACCTCGTCAGATCAACTCTCGCGTAGACCGAATATAAATTGTCGCATCGCCCACCTGCGCACGCGGGGTTTTGGGCCCAAAACACCGTCTGCTCGACCACACCACGCAAGTATCAGCCTTTCGATTCTAATTCTCGACTATCTCGCCGATTCTCTCAGCTTCTCGCTTTCTCGTCCATACCAAATACTATCGCAATGCCTCCAAAGAAAGCCTCCACTGGCGCCGCGCCCAAGAAGGCTGCTGCCGCTCCTACTCACCCTTCCTATAAAGGTATTACCCTCGTAATTTGCTCGCCTGTCATAGGCGGCGCGTCCAAATATTTGATCGCATAAGGTGCTAATACGATCCAGATATGATCAAGGAGGCCATTTTGAATGTGAGTGAATCCTGACGTGGCGAGAAGAGTCGTTGTTTCTCCTGTTTTGCCGACCGTGGCGCACCCCATCGCTTCCGGTAATTGGACCATTTTACGTGCAAAGCTGACGTGTTTTCTTCGAGATATAGCTCAAGGAGCGGAATGGTAGCAGGTGAGAAACCAATTTTGATTGCTTTTATCGCGTTTTCGCGATTTTGTTACGTGCCTGCTAATTCTGGTCCTCCGCAGTCGCGTTGCGATCAAGAAATACGTCCAGGCCAACAACAACCTTGGCGCTACTTCCGAGAAGGCTTTCAACAACCAGCTGAACCGCAGCATTAGAGCCGGTGTCGAGAGCGGTGAATTCGCACAGCCTAAGGGTGAGTTGCCCTTATCTACCGTTAATTCGGCCAACATGATCGTGTCTGCTCGCGTGATGGGAGGTTTATCGTACTGTCACCCGTGGTGGATTTGCTCTTGTGGATTTCCCCATATGATCTGCTATGTCTTGCTGACTTTGATCTCTATCAGGCCCCTCTGGTCCCGTGAAGCTTCAAAAGAAAGTTGCCGCTCCCAAGCCTGCTGCTAAGCCTGCGGCTGCCAAGGTAAGAAAAGCACATCATGATCAAGGAAGCTTTTGTTCGGTCGTGCTAATCTCTTTCACAGAGCTCTACCACCAAGGCTACTACCACGAAGAAGGCTGCTGCTCCTAAGAAGACCACCACGACAAAGAAGACCACGACCCCCAAGGCGACTACCACCAAGAAGGCCACCGCTGCCAAGCCAAAGGCGAATGCCAGCAAGCCCAGAAAGACCTCCACGGTAGTGAGTCAAAGTTAAGTTCTTCTAGCGTGATATCGAGTTTAACATGGAACAAAGGCACCCGCTGTGACTGAGAAGCCCGTGGAGCTTACCAAAACCAAGTCCGGCCGTGTCGCCAAGACCACCAAGCAACCTGCGGCAGCAAAGAAGGCTGCTCCCAAGAAGACAGCGACAAAGAAAACTTCGACCCCCAAGAAGACAGAGACTGCTGCGGCCCCTGCTGCGGCAGCCTAAGTCCTGTGCTATATCATATTTGACTTCTTGTTTCTGCGTGTCTATGAAAAGCCAGTTCGCTTAATTGGCTGTGTCTTAACGGTGATGGGAGGAGTCCGGCGGGAATCTCGTGTGTTTTATTAATCTTGTTATTCTCACTACGTGCCATCCTGTGCGAGTACCTGGTTTTTCTCACTTTGTGGGTTCTATCGAAGGTCTCTTGTCTGTGTAGCGTTTCGGGTTGGGTCTCTACGGGTCACTGAGGGTTGTCTCTTTATGTTCGGTCGCGTTTAGGGCAAATGAATTCCCATTGCGGGTAGTCTTCAGCTTATTGAAGGTTTTCTTTTCTAATTCCACTTACGATTTATCGACCACGTCTCTTCTGTTGTGTTGTCATCGTGATGGATTTTGCAGAGATTCAAGGAGGTAGCTCAAAAGTGCCGTGGTCTATTTGGCTGCAGGCTTTCCCATGCTAGATCGAATTTCTTATCAAGCTTTTGAACCACAAGCTCAGCAAACTCTCAATATCGCTCAAGAAAATTAAGTGATAAGGTATGCACAGATTTACACGCATCGCTATGATGTTGTCGGGCTTGCTTGCGCAAGTCAGGGCTAACTTTCTGAATTCGAGGGTGAAAGAGAGGTGAATCTTCAAGTGCTGGGTAGGAACGCGCGTGCCGTAGCTGATGATTACCGGATTCGCACGCGTTGACCCAGGGAGCTGCAAAGGCCGAAAGGGATCGGATTACGTCAAATTGTAGTCCGCTCGCTCCCTGTGTCGAAATAAGTTTGCAGATGGGCGAGCAACGGGCCGAACGGCGAGGCCAAGGCTCTTTGTAAGTACTATAGCCAGCAGTCATTTCTGAATCGTCGTCGTAATCTGAAATCTGTGTTGAAGAACAATCTTGTACTTTCCAGGAGGATTACTGTCCTCAATGTAATGCATAAGGTAGGTAGTTATGACTATAATTCGCCTTTGACTACCATTCCGGTCGGACAATTTCCACCATCTGATTATCGGGGTCGGGTAGTAGGACTAAATACACGCTCAAGAGACCTTGGGACCGAGGGGACGTCATACGAACTGTGGTATGGACAGGTACAGTGAGTACCGGCACCAATGTATTTAAGAACATTGGGTTATCGACCTGGGCATAACTCTTCAAACTCAGCATGTCATCAGATCTCCCCAAGGTAGCCACCCAAGGCAAGAAGCTCTGACAGAATAAGCAAAAAGACAGACTTTGCAAGGCACAAGTGAGGCACTGTCAAGTAACAAGATACTGGGTCGTGCCTGCCGAATGTAGATGCACACGGGCGATATCGGCACATGTACAAGTAGCGCCGCCCCAAGCGTAACATCATTTTTCCAGGAGACGAACGTACTTGTACCCTCACAGTTGACTGGCGACGCATTTTTGACATGGTATAGATCTGCTCCATAAGTGTAAGGAAACAAGTAAATTATATGAGGTTTGATCAAATTATATCTAGTTGATACATGAAAGAATACAAGATGCTTCTCATGACCTTTTGAATGTGGGCTCTGACTCCTTTCCCCCTATTGATAACTCCCACTTTTACGAGCTATTGTTTGCTTCGGGTCTTGGCTCATCCGCTGGGCGCTGATTGGCCCAAACCCACGTCGCATCGTCTCTCTCGTCAGTCGGGCTTTGGACTCGCAAGCCTAATAATCTCCAAAGTCAAGGAGTTCAGGTCAGTTTACTCTCGACTCTCTTGATCGGGTTGTCGTTTCTCCCCCTGATCCAAGTCTTCTCAATTCTTGGTGATAGCAACACATTACTCTATTGTATCTCATTTTCGAATTTGACGCTGCGTTCAAAATCGTCAGAACCCTTCGTCAGGAGTCGCAGGACGACACTGGGGTGATTGTATTGCCTATCTGTCAGATTGGCGGCCCAAAACAAACTGCAGACTGGGTACTGCAGTCTTCTGTCTGCCGTTCATTTGCAAGCTCTACCACCCCGAGATGCCATCATTTCTCGCCGATGATACCACCCGCAGAGAGACGGCCCGCTCCTCGCCTTCACGCGATATCCCGTCCGACCCGCCAAAGGACAAACAACCAATATCACATCATCAGTCTTCTCTCGGCAATGGCACACCTGCCAATGGGATAGACGGTATCAAGCAACACAATGGCATCGACGGAGTAGGAACCAGCAGCCTGGAATCTCATCTCGACTCTCTCATGTCCGGTCGCAGAAGGGGCAGAACGCATGGTTCGATAGATCGTGCCTCCACTGACGCAAGACGCCCGTCAGCCTCGAGCGAGCAGAGATCTAGTATTGACCATAGAAACCAAGCACTTCCGCCGACTTCCTCCCGGGCGCAGGCGGATGACGACTCTTACTTTTCTCGCCTTCCCAATGGCGTCCCGATCCAACCGTCGCGGCCGAGATCGCCCGGCTCAGTCACGACAGTAAATGGAGCGGACACTGTCTCCATGGACTCGAGGATACCGGATTCTCTCCCATCGAATGCGGGTGGCTTTGCCGGATCTCCTGGAGAAAATGAGACAGCCAGTCTTCCTCTTCCCTCGGGATCCGGCAATCGATTTTCGTCCCCTGCAATCCTGCCAACATCACACTCAACTCACAATTTGACCCCGATTCCCTCATCCCAAAGCCACGTCTCTCCAAGTCGGCTGCAACACCGCCATACACTCCAAGTCCCGAAGCCCCTGGCATCTCGCAGCTCTCGAGAATACACTACTTCGCACACAAACGCGTCCGACGATGTGGTCTCTGCAACTGGCCGCTTCTCACCCTCAGTCCACGGAGGTCGAAGAGCTTCCATGTCCATTGGGCGCCGACGGACACGGTCCATTCAGTCTGACCTCCACTTGGACGAGATACCGCAAGACGAGGATGCTGCTCGGTGGGCTGAGGCGATTCGGCAAAAGAGAGCGAGTAAGCGGAAGCGAAGAGAGGAAGAAGACGATGACCGAGTTGTGGTGGGCACCAAGGTCGACCAAAATCATGTCAACTATGTTACCGCGTATAATATGTTAACGGGGATCCGATTCACCGTGTCAAGAACAAACGCAAAAATGGACCGAGAGCTCACTGAAGCCGACTTTCATGCGCGACATAAATTTTCTTTTGACATGTAAGCAGCAAAAAAACTTTGTGCAGCTCCCCCATATCTTTGGCCATGGCTAATAATCAGCGCAGCACTGGCAATGAGCTGACGCCGTCGGCAAAATACGACTTCAAGTTCAAGGATTATGCGCCGTGGGTATTTCGCCATTTGCGAGCACAATTCCGGCTGGATCCGGCGGACTATTTAATGTCCTTGACCAGTAAATACATACTCTCGGAACTAGGTTCTCCAGGCAAGAGTGGGAGCTTTTTCTACTTTTCACGGGATTACAAGTACATTATCAAGACCATTCACCCTGCAGAGCACAAACTACTGCGGAGAATACTTCGCGACTACTACGACCATGTGCGGCAAAACCCGAACACCCTTCTGTCTCAATTTTACGGACTACACCGGGTTAAGATTCCCTATGGCAAGAAGATTCATTTTGTTGTAATGAATAATCTGTTCCCGCCGCATCGAGACATTCATCAAACGTTTGACCTTAAGGGCTCCACCATCGGGCGGGACTTTAGGGAGGAAGATCTGGCGAAGAACCCCCGTGCTACGCTCAAGGATCTCAACTGGCTGCGGAGAGATTTGCACCTGGAGCTGGGCCCTTCGAAAAAGCGGGTCTTTGTAACGCAGCTCGAGCGCGACGTGAGGCTTCTGCAGCGCCTGAAAATAATGGATTATTCTCTGCTTGTTGGAATCCATGACCTTGAAAAGGGCAATGAAGAAAACCTGCGAGACAAGACACTCCAAATCTTCCAACCCGGCGGCGAACAGAATGAGGACGTCCACTCGAACATGCTGCTGCGGACACCATCGAAGCTCGAAAACGCCAGAAAGGCAAGGGAGCTCCGACAAATAATCAAGCGGGAAAAGCCAGTGCCTCTGGAACAAACATCGAGTAGAATGCCCGACGAAATGTTGGAGGACCGCAAGAGTTTCTATTTTTACAGTGACGATGGTGGGCTTCGGGCAACCCACGAAGATGGTCGGGCAGACAAAGAAATCTATTACCTGGGTGTCATTGACTGCTTAACTCATGTGAGTAGACTCAAGCTTTAAAAAGAAGTTCTATTTAGAGGAGATGACTGACAAAGCGCAACAGTACGGCTTTATCAAGAAGGTCGAACACTTGTGGAAGGGATTGTCGCATAGCAAATCGCAAATCTCCGCCATCCCGCCGGAGGAATATGGCGACCGCTTCGTCAAATTTATCACGGCAATTACCAAGACACGCGAAGAAGCAGAGCGGGAAAAGGAAGAGGGCGCAGAGGCTACCGCAACAGTAGATGGAGCAAATATCTACCGTAGCTCGACCGACCGCGTGATTGCCAGTGCCGAAAGAGTAGCAGAAAAGAGCAAACAGAAAGGCTCTTCCGAGGAAGAGGCCCCTGACCGGACACTCAGCTCGGTGCATAGCCCAGCTGCCGATCACTCCAATGGAGTTGGAGGCGCGATCCTTCCCGTTGTTGAGGAAGCCGGCGAAGCAGCCAGCACGACTGGTGGTCGTAGCGCTCGAAGTCATAGTGGTAGCACACATAGGACTAATGGTGACGAAATCTCCAACCCGACTGCAACGGCAACAGTTACAAACACCACAGACTCCAACACAAATACCAATACTACTGCCGCCACCACTGCGGCTTCGTCCAGCGCTGAACGGGACTTTGAGCCCTCTCACCACCCGCACGGTCCGAAACCCCCACCGACCCCACCCAAGGATATCCCGATCAATGAAAAGCAGCTTCCCAGGCTGCCGTCTGGATCCTCGCGCCTGTCAGACTCGCCGCAGCAAATGAGCTCACCTGACGCATTTGACCTGGACTTGAGGATCAAAAAGTCGATGCAACAGGCCAGGTAAATGGCGATTGCAAGGGGGGGTATTTACCGTCATATCATGACCGACCACGCAAAAGAAAATGACGACAATGTCAGGCAACAGCAAAGCTGTGCAAGAACAATAACGCCTTTCCAGATTTCTATTCCACCACAAAGATCGACAGATTGTCATTTCAGACTTTGGACACGCTGCATCCCGAGGCCCAACGGGATTTGACGATGGCGTGCGTCATCGCCATAATTTCTCCTTGTCTCTTTTTTTTAACTCCCGTCGAGAGGGCCACAATTGAGAAAGGCAAGCATCCTCTTGGATGTCCTGGATGATTATCCTCTCGACGTCTAATGAGTTGAGGTTTGCCTGGGAGGATACACTTTGTATCATCACCTGTCTTTCATTACTCAATTCTACACTTGGCTCAACCCTCTGCCACTACAACATTCATCCGTTCTTTCAATGTTCCCAAGCACTTTGGACATTCTTTCCTTTTTTTTTCCCTTTCGCAGCCATGGGTTTCCATTCCCATGGCTTTTGTGTTCTTCATTTTTCATAGCATAGCGTTTTTTAAGCTTTCATTTTTTTTTCTGCTTGCTTGCTTGCCAGCTTGCTTTTCTTCACAGCACTGCACTCAAGGCCCTTGCTATTCATTTTCGGCGCTAGAATTTTGGTCCTTTTTTACTTCCCTTTCCTCTCGCTCCTCCTGGCGACTCACTCGTCATCCTTTTTTTTTCCCTGCTCTGACCAGGGTTTCTCTCTGCCGTTTCATCTCATACTTTAACTGCATGCCCAGCCAAGAGAGGACCTCTTTTTTTTTTCCTTTCCCTACTTGTTTTTTCTTGCTAAGCGTGGCACACCTAATTCCACAAACATTCCTCACTCTCGACACCCGTTTAAACCGCGCAAGGCAGACGCAGACCTAATGATACCTTTCCTATTTTTTGTCCGTTTCTTTTTCTGTTTTCTCTTTTTCCTTTCGTGTCTCCATTTTCCCCCTCCCCTTTCGTCCATTTCCTCTCAGCTTGCCCATCGTCCACTGTCCACTTAGTCCGGGGTGCTATTCCTGTTTGAGTCCCCCCACCATCCCACCCAGCTTTAGACACAAATGGATCACATATCATCTTGACTCCAGGGACATGAGTTTTCAAGACCATCATCATCGTCATCGTCATCATTATTAGTATCTTCATCATCCGTATCATCTATTGTTGTCGTTGTTGTTGTTGTTGCAAAGCTGCGAAGAATCATATATACATATACCATGTCACGTCATCTTCTCTTTTCTTTTCTTTTCTTTTCTTTTCATTTTTCATTCTTCATTCTTCATTTTTTTTTTTTTTTTTTTTTTTTAAACCCTCCTTGTCGATAATTTTTATAAGTCAAAGGCCCCCCGATTGAATAGAATGGAGATTAAAAGAATTGATTTGCTGGATTCCTTGTATTTCCATTTTTCATTATCCATTTTCGATTATCGTTTATTCATTTTCCATTATCTATCTTCTATTACCTATTACCATTTTTCATTATCCATTTTCATTATCCATTTTCCATTCTTTGATATTTTTATTTCTTATTCCTTTCATAGAAGTGACTTTCTACCTTGCGTAAACACGTGCGAGTGATGGTGATGCTAAAACCCCGTAATCTTTTCATTTCTGGGTATGTATGCATGTGGATATGTCGCTACCTATGTAAGAGTTGTAAGATTTGTAAGGTCAAATAACCCATGCAATATGTAAAACGAATTATCTCTTCTTTGCTTCAATGCTTCAATGCTTCAAAGTAGTCGACACCCTCGTATTCGTACGAAAGACAGTCGTCGTATCCAGACAATAAGATAAGATAAATTAAAAAACAAAAAAAAAGAAAAAAAAGAAAGAAGAAGTAAAAAGAAATAAAATAAAAAATAAAAAATAATAATAACAATAAAAAAACAAATCCGCCACAGTACCCGTACGTCAATCACTTAACTCCTACTCCCACCCCCTCGCCCCGCCCTCGCGGCTCTCGACAGACGAGGCAGCAGACGCGCCAAACAAGCCGACCCGCAACGGCGCAGAAGATGACGAGTACGACGGACCTGCAGGCGCAAAGCTCGCTACGCTGCGCCGCGCTGCGTCGCCCAGGCCGCTGACCAGACTGCTCTTGCTGCGCGTGGGCAGAGATACGACTGATCCTGGTTTTGATCCGCCTTTGCGAGAACTGCTTGACGAGCTGGTCCTATGAGGAGCAGCGGCCGCGGGGCGGATAGTGCGTTGCGACGAGGCGGTGGATGCGGCGTCATCGTCGGCGGCAGCGTTGGTGGCGAAGGCGGGGGATTCTTCGTCTATGATGGCTGCGGATGGAGATGGAGATGGAGAGTCGCGTGCGGAGGCGGGGGCGCTGGGGCGGCGGGATGAAGATGAGGTGGATATGTGTGAGTGGGCTTTGGAGTGAGACGACGGGGCTTTGGATGGAGTATGCGATGGAGCTCTAGAGGGTGCGTGGGAATGGGAGGAAGGCGATTTTGAAGGGGCGTGGGAATGAGAAGACGGGGCTTTGGACGGAGTATGCGAATGAGACGAAGGTGCTCTAGAAGGAGCATGAGAATGAGATGACGGGACGTGAGACGGGGCTTTGGAAGGCGCGTGTGAATGGGATGAAGGGGCTTTGGAGACTTTGGAGCGTGTAGCAGCGCGAGAGATTTTCGAGCGGGGAGATTCTGAGCGCGAGCGAGAAGCAGATCGCGAACGAGACGGGGATCGTGCGGCTGAGCGGGCGATTGAGCGGCCAGAACGAACTGAATGGACAGAAGGTTCATACGCAGCATGCGAGGAGCCGCGTCGCGAGGAGCCGACGTTGCTAATGGATTCGCTGGGCGCAATGGATGGCGCGCGACCTAATACGCTGCCGACGATTGAACCACCGGATCCCCCGCCTCCTCCACGGCCGCCGTCATTGTTGTTGTCGTAGCGGGAGTTGGAGTTGGTGTTGGTGGTAAGGACAGATCCGGCAGGCGCCGAGGCGGAGTGGTGCGAGTGGGGCCGAGCAGAAGAAGAGACTTGAGAAGGGGCATAGTAGTAGGATTTACTGCCGGAGTTGCTCTTCTTCTTGGACAACGACGACAACCGAGACGAGGACGTCGTGTTGTTGGTGGGCCCGGTGATGGCGGTGTCGGCATACGCGGGTAAGTACCGCGGTGCTTCCGACGCGACGTACGTGTCGATGAGCGTGCTTTGGCGGTCAGGCCCTTGTTTCTGCTGCTCAACCGCAGATGAAGATGGAGGTGGAGGTGGAGCCTCGATGGCCCGCCGCACAGTCGATGTCGAGTGGCGGGATACGAGCGAGGGTCTTTGGCTAACTACGCTTCGCGAACCTGCTGCCGACGATGGCGGAGGTCCGTATTGGACGTCTTGGAATACGCTGGGACTGCCGCGAGAACTGGCTGGGTAGTAATATGCCTGGGCAGCCCCGCCGCCAATGTTGCTAGGAGCCAGCTGAGGCTGGAATTGAGGTTGGGGTTGAAATTGAGATTGTGCTGGTGCTGGTGCTGGTGCTGGTGCTGGTGCTGGTGCTGGTGCTGTCGGTGGCGGCTGCGGTGGTGGGGCTGACTCGAGGTATTGCGGTTGTTGTTGTTGTTGCTGCTGCACTGCTTGAGGCGGCTGGGGTTGTGACGTCTCGTTGCTTTGCGAATCGCCCTTGGTCATGGCATATGCCACGGCCGCGCCAGCTGCTGCGCCCAGCAGCGTGCCAATGATGGTCTTTGCCGTGCCATTATCGCCATTATTCGAGGTCGTGGTGGTCGTGGCGGCCGCCACGGGGACTTGCTGTTGTTGCAGTTGCTGCGGAGGCTGCTGATATGCAACTGGAGCTCTCGACGACTGCTGCGATGAAGGGACAATGACAGAATGCGGCGGCGCTTCACTCTCGACCAGTGACCGAGCTCCCCCTCTTCCACCTGCACTGACCAGAGACCGATCATCGTCGCAGATCCGCCCTGCAGAATCTCTTCGCCAGGTCAAAACTCGAGAGGTGTTTCGAATTTTCTCGGAGAGGATCATGGACTTTGCGTCGTCGTCTTGGCCATCTCGGTGGACGACCTCGACGCTGTTCCCGTCCATGTCCAGCACGGCTGCGTTGAAGTATCCTGTTTCTGCATTTCGAAGCGCCGGCTCTCCATTCGGACGTCCGCCGGCTTTGAGCGCACAGGCAAAAAAGTCCTCTACAATGCCTCTCGTCCGCGCAGTGAAAGCAATATGTGCAGCGCCTGCTTTTACCCTAGATAGCAAAATACTGGTCAGCGGGAATCCTTTCTTTCGCCCCAAACAAATATGCAGATTTCCATACCCCGGTGTTTCCTGACATATGAAGAAGTCAGCGTCTGTAATTCCAAGCCCAATTTGGTTTCCTTGTTGACCAATGAACCGGTAACCCAGAGGCTGCAATGCGGACAGGAAGAAGGAACATGACGTTGGCAGATGAGAGACGGTCAAGCCAATATGAGAGACGGGCATGGCTTCACAAGATATTAAACCCTAGGGCGCCAGAGAAACCACGGGATTTGAAATTGTTCAGAGCAATAAAGTAGTAGAAGTTTTGAAAAAGTGAATGTATTGTTCTCACAAGAGTAACGATGAAGAATAAACCAAAAGAGAAATTAAAGGTTAAATATGATGCATGCAAAGGCGATGGAAATGCAAGATGGAAGCACAGCAGATGCACGCCCAAGATTAAAAAAAAACTGGAAGTGTCTCTAAATAGCAAGGGAGCCGGCTTGGGCTGCTCACTCAAGACAGGGCCAGCAAGCCACGCACTGCATGCTGAACAGAAAAGACCCAATGATAGAAAAGATCAAGTTAAGCTAAAGAGGGCAGGGCTAAAGAGAGAGGGAACAACGCGAAGGTTGAGCAGGGCGGGCGGATCGGCACGATAGAGGACAGGGAAGAAAGGATTGGATGCCACCGATTCCATGTCTTTTGCCTCAAGATGGGTAATTTGGCTGTCAGGACGTGCCACGTTGAGGCTCCTGCAGAAACACGTCTATTCACCGACTGCCGGCGACTTCTGGTTGGATGCTTGACCGCCTAGAACGTTTGATATCGTCATCTTGATTGGCCTGCCGTCTTTCTGCGGGGAATCGACGGTTGATGCCGGGACTCCTTTTGGAGTGAGTAAGAGGGTGATCATGGCACAAGTCTCCATACCAATTCATTTATTCGTAGTAAAGGTCCATAGTGGGCCATAATGGTCCACGTCAGTAGAAAAACCTGACATTTGACAACACGCGGGCTGGGCTGATTGTTCGTTGGTTTGACTTTGATCAGCCATTAATGAACTTGGCGCTCCACCATGATCGCCCCCCATACGGGAGTACTAGGAGTATCTCCATAGGCATGTCTGCCGTATGTGATCGGGCCGCGATGTAGAAGTGATGTATCCGATTTCAATGATCCATTTGCCTCTGCTTGTACAAAGTATACACATGCTTGAATGCTGCTTACGCCTACTGTCTGATGCCTCACGAGTTCAAAGAGCAATATGTCGTCCATTTTGATAAGGTAGGTATAACCTCCGTAGTAGGATAGACCAGAGACCCCTGGATGTGTCTTCTACCCCTCGTGCCGCCAAACCGAGGGGTAACCAGCCCCCCCTCACGTGACAGCCCCTCCATCTTGATGAGCGGGCCCTGTCATACGGTAATCAGAGTGGAGATCAAATGATCAGTGCGGAAATCAGGAATTCCCTTCTGCCAGTACGGGCTCTGCTTCATCTCTGACGGTCCAAGCTGCTCACCTTTACATTGAGAACCACCGGCATACATCCGTCCCTTGGCTTTGGTCTGTCATCAATGTAAGCTCCTTTTGGCTTGGTTGTCAAAATTGCTTGATAAATTATTTTTGATTTGTACATCGGACACGCCGAAGTTTTGCCACCATTATGCTACCCTATTGAGTGATTTCCATGGCCCACCAATGACGCCGTAAACACCAGTATTAAAGCAGAGAAGAATGATATGATCGGCCTTTGCCAAAGTGGCGTCGGCGGAGCAGGCAGAAAAGGACAATCCACATAGACCTACACACACAAGAACCCACTTCTTCATCCCTTCAAGCGGGAGTTGGAACACCTTCAAAAGGCAAAGTGAGGAACAGGGTGAAAAGGTGAGAAAAAGCAAGAACGGAACGCGAAAGAGAAGAGACACAGATCAAGAAAGTAAATTAAAAAAAAAAAAAAAAAAAAGAATATGGAGCAAGGTTGAAGAGCTCCATAACAAAAAAAACAAGGTTGCTTGAGTCTGTTGAAAGCCTGTTGTTTTGGTTGTAAAAACAGAGACCATCCGCAGAACCCTCAATGCTGAAAACTGAGGGAGACGTAAAAGAAAGCCTTGATGTTAGGATCGCGGCTCTTCTACGGCCCCCTCTTGTGTCTCTCCATTAAGAGTCTCTTTCGTCGTACTTTTGGGTTCAAACGTTGTAAAGTGTCGCGTTCGGGCTCTGGGTCTTCTTCTGGGGATCCTGTGTAATTCGAGGTCTTTTTTTTTTGTGTGTATTTCTGCCGTCACCTGTTGCAATCGGTTCGTAAAATCGTCGTCGCTTCGTTAAATGCAAACCTCAAAATGACTAGATGATGTTCCAGACATCCTCTGCCGCATTACAGAATTTTCCACAAGTCACACTGGCACTCAAACTGAAGTTGCTGATACTGATGGTGTCATCGTTGAACTCATCAGCAAAGTTGTCGGCTCCCTTGGCCATGGCGCCGACAAAGACGCAGATGCTCTCATTAGAGCCCAGCGATGCAATGTAGTCTTGCACACGAACCACGGGAGCCTCAAAACTCAACGTAACCTTTCGGCAGTTGGGAGGGAGGTGGTCGGTGATGGGGTTCTTGATAACCCTGAGGAGTTTCTCCTGTGACTGAGTAGACCGAATAGAAAGACGGTGCAGAAGCTGGACCATGAGACCAGCAAACCGCTTAAAGGTGCGAGGAATCCGAACCGTCGGGCTGACCTCGATCAGGACACCTTTGGCGGTGTGGATGTAGATCTGCAGCCTTCCGGCCTTGTTGATCGGGGAGTCGAGCAGAGTGAGCAAGCACTACCTAAGCATGAGTAACGAGGGACGTAGAAGATAAAATCGAACCAGAAAAGGTGGGGGGGGGGGGGGGGGAGAAATGAGCAGACCTGATGGGTGATATCCGGTCGAGCTTCACTAATGTCTCTGTTCATCTTCCGCATCACCCCAATGTGCTCGTCGCTGTTCAACAGAGTGTACTTTTCATCTCGGCCCGCTGCTCCGCGGCCACCACCGTACACGGCCTTGTAGGTCTCCAAGCTGGCGTTGGAGAGGACGACAATAAGTCGCTTGGTATCCTTGTCATTGTAGGCAATCGGAACATGCTGTTCAGACACGAGCTGAGGCAAAGCTGGGGGAGGACAAGATTGCGTCCCTGATTGAACGATTCCAGTCATCGAGTCAGTCATTCTAGCCGGCTATACAGTGTTGAAACAGTGTCGCTCCTCTTGTCAGTCTTCCCTCGCAGGGAGAGAAAATTTCAAAGTGGTGCGAGCGGAGGAGGTATGTAGCGAACTGGGAAACCAATGGGAGGGGTGAAAGGGAAAAAAAGAGCTGCTTACTGGGTCGCTTCCGATCTCTACCCTCGGGAGATGAAGACATGATATATCTCAAAAATACAGGTAACAAAAAGAAAAATAATAACGATGATATGAAGTCTATACACAGAAGTCGATTCTTTTTGGCCTTCCTTTCCCTGGTTGGGTGTTCGCCGTGGTTAAATAAGCAAATTTGAACGGACCCTTCTTCTCGGTTCGTGGGGCCTAAGGGCGGTCTGCGCTGCTAATCGAACCGGCTAAAGTGGGGCCGATTCTCGGCGAGTTTGACGCAAACTCGAAGCTGAGTCTTCTGCGGAAACTCGAAATGAGTCGAATTGCTTGTGACTGATGCAGCTTTTTGTGATTCGGAAAGAAGTATTATGCTTGCTTGAATGGATTATCTCAATTAATGGCAGCTGGAGATGGTTCTTATTTAAACCGTTGGTGCTCATGCTTCATCTCGCCGAATTTCTCCGGTACATTTCCTTCGGGCAGATTCTACTTCTTCCGCAAGTGTGACTTGGAAACTTTTGCCCTGGTCTGCCGTACTGCTCTGCCCAGCTAGGCACGTACCCTAAGTTACCTACAGAAACACCCATAGTTACCTGTTCATCTCTTAGCTTCCACCAAGGGACCTGCGTATCGGAAGCAACTCTCCCCACCTCTCCACCAAACTAAGACATTTGAACCATCACCAAGGCTTCTTTTGTTTACTCCGAACCGCCTAATGTACAGCAAAATCATCTGTTCCTGCTTATTTTCTGCATTCTGTAAACAACTAGTACAACACTAGACACAGCGAAATGATCCCAAATACGTAATTTATTTTATTCCCCGTCAAAAAACGGAAATCAACACATGGTATCTTGAATAATCCATACAGGTAATAAAAGCGACAAAATGTGTTTAAAACTCGAGCCCCGCAACACATCTTCATGATGAATATAATAGAAGAACTCCCATCAAATGCCAAACATATTCAGGCCATTTCTATTTTTTTTTTTCCCCTTCCCTGTTAAAGCAGCCGCACAAAATGTTGGATCTGTTCCCTTCGGCAGTCCGAAATATTGGTGTTTCAGCCCTGACGCCAAGCCATTTCGCCCCATGTTTATCGCCCAAGAACACCGAGTACAGATCCAACCATGACTGCGGCCTCTCGCTCCCAATTCCCTCCTAGCGCAGCCGTACCTTTACTCAGTGTTTTGGACGGCGGCTGAGAACCCCGCAGTACGCAATTGCGGATTGCATGTTTTACCTTTTCCTTGTTGCTTCTCAGGGTACGGGCCGAGACGCCACCTCGGTTAATGATATCTTGAACCCGGGATGAGAGCGACGAAGCAAGAGATCGCCAAAAATATGAAGGCAAAGATGCAGTGTCGAGCGATTGCAGTAGCGGCTGCAGCATATTAGAAGGCGCGTTGAGTTCGCGCTCATCTCCTGCAGCGATGTGGGAGGGGTGGGGTGGTCTTATCGACTCGAGTAGAGCCTCGAGAGCAACTATGTTCTGACAACGGGCAGATACCTCAACCAATGCCCGATCAAGTGTAGGCAAGGTGGCTAACGCTCTTGCCAGAGCCGTCACAGATGTTGCTGATGCGGTCTGTAGATATGTCTGGAGGGTGGAAAGGAGAATATTCGGATCATGGGTAGCCAGCGCCAAGCCATCCGGACGTGTAGAAAGCATATAGAGGGCTAGAATTGCAGAGGTCGTTCTCGACTTTACATCTTCGCCCTGCGCATATGTCGCGGGTGAGAGTGTAGGAATGGTCGGTGCACCGCCTGGTGCATTCGACGAAGAGACTGTGGATAATGAAAAGTCTCGCACAAACTGCTGCGCTCGGGAAGTAAGACGCTGCTCGGCGGGCAGAATGACGCTGTTCTTCAGCGACGTTATCACATTCACCCTCTCCAAACCGTGCGCCTCTTCTCCAGGCCCTGAAGCGGCAAAGAGGCGTCGTATAGCTACAACCGTATTGGCAGATCGTACAAGTGCACGATGATCCTCTAGCTTGGCCTGCGCCGTCATTGATGAGGAAGATATCGGGTTTCCAAGCTCCGCCATCTGCATCTCCAGCTGCCGGCCGAGAAGCAGACATCTCGAGACCGACCGGCTAAGACAGACCGTTTCCCATAATCGTTCCGTAACCTTGCGAGCCTCGTCTGCGGTCTCCCATTTTCGAATCACCTCCTTCTCCAATCTGTTATAGGTGTCTGTCAACTTTTGAAGCGGGACTTCTATTTCTCGAGAGATGCGCTGGCTGGCTTCGTTGCGGTCTTTGGTATACGTGAGCAAGGCAATAGCTGATTTGCTTGTGAGATTATGTATATGAGTGTCGATCTCCTGCACATCGAAGAGGACTCGAGACAGTGGTGTCGAAAGGTCAAGTGGTGAGTCTGTCGGATCGTTTGTAGCTATCACCAAGCTATTCGCAAACGCCTCGGCGGAAAATGATGGATCGAGAAATGTCTCATAATCAATGTATGAAGGCTCTTCATCGGCCATCTGGGCGTCGTCACTGTATTCAATCGCAAGCTTCTCGTCGCCAGGCACCTTGATTAGCATCGACGTATTTACCACAAGCTGCTCGAGATTCAATTACCTACCGTAGGTAAGTCCGAGAGCCCGGTCCAGCTGTCTCGCTTAGCCCGACGTCGCCTCTCACCGTAAACAACGGCCGTCAACCCGTCCTGTTCTGACAGCTTAGAATAACTACGTTAGTGATAGCTACGGAGTAGTTGCAATAAATTCACAATGTTGTGCTTCTTCTGTGGTAACTGACCATGTCATATTTGTTTCATCTTCCCCAGTCTCTCACGTTCAAGAATAGAATACGTCTCATACTACAAGGGGGCATGAACATATCCCTACTAGAACATACTTCGTACAATGGGTCTTCACAAGGAGCGCGCGGCTACAGCTAATTTAGAGTCCGATTTATTTCTTGGCGGAGAGATGATTTAGTATTTTAATGGCTCTCAGGACCCAATTGCCAGAAGCAAAAAGCCTTGTACGCATCATTTTTTCAAATTAAAAAAAAAATGCGATTCTCAAATATTCTTCATCTTGTTTTCTTGGCGAGTTTGGCGCAATTTAGAACACTCCTCGCAGCACCTTCAAATCGTGACGTTCAAGCTGCTATCGGGTTACGTACTCCGGATTGTATGAAAACATTTAGGCCATGGGACAGGATAATAGATTGCCTCATTCCTCCGCGATACCCACCACTGGTAAAAATACCATTATTTGTCAAAGTGTCCTTTGTTGAAGCTTCTGGAGGCGGGGAGATTAATGTATACCTGCCGATGAATTCGCGCATTTATTCTGGTGAGGCTCTTGGAGTAGTGCGCTATAGAGGTGCATAGGTGTGCGTTATACTGACTGACTCGCTCATGCAGGCATTGGTGGCTTACCTGCACATCCAACTCGGGCCAAGATTCATGGCGTCTACCAAGTTGGATCCGAGGAACCACTTCCAATGGGCACCGATTGGCGCTATTTTAGACAGATCCTCTGCCTTGCCTATCCCAAGGCATCAAAACAGACGCGTGAGCAAAGCAAGAAAGGGCATGGCAAGGAACGCCACGACTCGCCATGGTCGGAAGCTCCGGAGCTGCCGGTCTATTTCATGGAAAAAGACGGCGAGGTTTCCTTCACGGAGCCAGGACGGCTATGGTTCCTCAATGACAGAGAAATAGATTCTTTTGAGTGCATCTAGAGCAAATCTGTGGATCTCTGGAACGGCCTGCCCCGAACCGTGTCTCTTTTTCCTTTGCATAGATTCTTTGATAATAACATCGAGTGGTGACATACCCACCGAAACTCAGCAATCCCATGGCGGTGTGGATTGGCTGCACTTATACTAGGTCATTCAAGTGCCCAAATCATGGCCACCTTTGCTGGAAAGAATCTTCCCGGACGTTTTGCTAGTGTTCTGTCCGTCCACTCGAGTCCGGAGTCGAATTAGCAATGATAGATGGAGCCCGTCGACCACGAAGCATCCTCCATCGCCGAATAATCAACTTTTTGATAGGCTGAATAAACAATGGGTGCGACTCTGAAGCAAGGTGTACTCTCGAAGAGGAGCGTCTAAACTGTTTCCGCCTCCCTTTAGGCTTCTTTGCGAGTGAACGTGCTTCTAGCGGAAATAAGCCTCCTGGGCTGTCCATTACAGCGTACCTCATCTGACATCTGCTGGGTGGGATTGAGTCTGCAAGAGAATGTCGGTCAATCATAAGATGCTTTGCGCTCGCGGGTCTCGCCGATAGAGCAGGCCCAAGGATCTGCACGCCGGTGTCAAAACTGACGCTCTTCTTCAAACCAGTTTTTGCAGAAGCCGGCAAGGAAAGCCGAGCTCTTGCAGGGTATTGACCTTTCATTGGTCCCTTGGCCTGGGCCCTTTGTGAAACGGCTGGGAAAATGCTCAAGGCCTGGCTCTCGTCGGACATGGATCGCATGGAGCGGCGGCGCCGTGCAAGTTCATCAGCAAGCTGCTCGTCAGGTGATAGTCCACCGTACAGAGCAGGCCATGCCAGTGCAAAAGAAGGATTCCTTGCTTGATAGCCGAACGCTGGATACTGTTTATAGTATGAATGTAATCGCAAACTGCTTATATGCTTAGCCTCTGAATTGTCTCTATCGCGATAGAGCGCCGACGGCAAGGTTGCAAGCGCAGGGTCATTGAATATAGTACTGCAGGAGGCCAACAGTTGGGCGGCAATCAAGGAAATCAAGGTCTGTGAGATTTGTGCGGCATCGAGTGGTTCCGGGTCGAGTAGGCGACCTTTATAGACAAGGTGAAGGAAGGCCTGCTCCTCCGGCCGACTCTCAAACGCATCTCTCTCAGAGAGCTCAAACCATGCCATGACTTCTTTTTGCAATCCATCCCAAGTTCTAATTCCTGCTTCGCATCGGATGCTGCTAGTACGATTATGTTTCCTGCTACTTGGACCGAATTCTGAATTAATTCTTGGTCTTGCCATGTATGAAGGCCGTAATGCTCTAAGCAGGTCGATCAGTTCTTCTCGAGGGTTAAAAATGACTGTTGTTCCAGATAATGTAGGTCTATATCTCGTATCGCTTTCAAGACTGCAACCAAATAAGACCATGTCAGGATGGGCATCTAGATAGCAATCAGACTCTTCCGAGAATCTTGGAGTATGAGGGTCCTAGAAATCAGAGCCACAGGTTCGTAAATAAACAGAAAGAGAGCATGAGCGGAGATACGTTACCATGAGATCTATAAGGTAGCAGCAAGAACCAAACACAATCAAGAATAATGAAAGAGCGTTGTGGATGGAGATATGTTTTAACAATATGAATGCAGGAAGAAGAAGAAGCCAGGCAAAGGCGGCAGTTGATCAAAAAGATTTGAGGCGCCGGCAATCAACCCCAAGCAGGAGTTGGTAGGAAGGTGCCATGTTCCGAGATCTTGTTTGGTTGACATTATCCGAGCTTGTATAATATGCGGAAGTCGGTCACCGAGAGAATGCAAACATGGAAGCCGCATTTCTCAAATGATAAGTGTAGTACAGCGATACTTCCAATTATGGTACATGCGGTGCCTTGGACCGATCCAAATCCATCATCTTTGAACTATAAGCAACGGGTACAATCTTCGGTCAAACCACCCGTTTTTTCCTATCACCAAACAGTTAGGGAGATCACGAACCGAAGGCAAAAACATTGCAAGCGCTCAATTATGCGTCATAGCCAAAAAAGAAAGAGAAGTATATTTTGCCTGTAAAACGTGAGCACTCTATTCCGTAGACCAATGGCACTTTGTATGCTAAATCCCCACTGCCTATATATTCCTTAAATCCTCCAAGATAGACACATAGACATCACCACTGTTTCGCAAAAGAAATCACATGTGACGAAACTCATATGATATACAATATTGACAGAGTGGCCTCCAACTGACACCACAGTAACCATCAGAATCCTCTTCCAAAGACGCCTTTCCGACACCCCTTTTTATGTACAAGATAAACAACAGAGAATAGAAAAGAAAAAGTAATTTCAAAGAAAAAAAAAAGTAGGAAAAAAAAAGGAGTTCCAAATTGTTGTCATCATCATCACGAGCCACGACCCTGGACGATGGATACAATCAATAGTCAAGGTCCGCGGACTCATCAAGGCGCGCGTAACAAGCGAACCTAAATGTCTAAATGTGCCGGCGCAAAAGCATATGAGCGACCCGGCTATTTAAACAAATGTAGTCTTCCCTGGGAAGCAGAAATGAAAACGATTTGTTACAAAAATGAAGTGAAAATGCCACACAATTCTTTTATATAGCACTCGCATTTGAAGCAACAAAGTCCAAGTCTAAGCAGAAAAAGCACGGTCTAGCACTCGTAAAGCCCTCATGTCTTCGCCGAAGCCGAGTTTTTCACTTGGAATATCATGAGGGCCGTCCAATTGCGGGGGCAAGACGAGTGGACTTCTGCTTTCTGTCCGGCTTGCAGCTCGAGCAATTGCGGCGGGGCTCTCATTGGCCTGGCTAATGAGCGTTCCGATGCTAGGTATCGTCCTACTGGTATCATCGTCTCGAGCCGTTCTCATCGGAGGTACGTCTGGCTCAGAGATCTCCGGCCTTGAGGAGGCAGGTGAGATGGCCGATGAAGATGGGGGTGTTCGAGTGCCGGAATGAATCGGCTGCGCCAGAGATGGAGTGAGCCTTGACTCAATCTTCGGAATGATCGGGCTCGAGGTATAGCCTTGTAGAGGCGGCGGCTGCGGAGGAGTCACCAGAGCTGCTGGCGCAACGCGAGGCGACGGATTCGGAACGTATAGTGGCAGAGGTGCCGGCCCAGCACTAGCTGCGGGGCTTCGATGAAGAGGAGGGGGCGGATGAGGGAGGCTCGTCTCAACGGGGCGGTCATACGGTGCAGATGCAACTGGTTGCGACGTGGGTGGTGGCATCACGGGTGCGTATTGAACGGCGGGCGGCTGGCCAACCACTGCAGAGGGCGGCGGCAATGCGCCGGGAGGATATTGTGAAATAGCATAGTGGGCCGGAGGAGTCGATATCGGGCTTGGCGGCCAGCCGTAGGCTGGAGGCGGGTAGGCCCCTTGATGTGCAGATGGAGGGCGGGCGTAAGCTGGAGGACCGACGGGAATAGCATGCGGAGTCATGGCAAAGGGAGTACCGCCCATGGGAGCGCGAGTGACTACGGGCACATTCTGCTGCTCGTGCACAGTGGACTCGGGATACATGCCCTTCTGCGGACGAATGTGCCGCAGGGCCGGGTCGTTGGTCGGCTGCATCAAGCCCTGAGCAGCAGGATGCGAGCGCGCATAGTAACTGATCAGGTGAAGATGCTCACCGGTCGAGGTCGTGATGCTGAATGATTGCTTCATCAACCCATCCGGCTTGTAACGATATCCGTCTGGCCCATCGTCGGTGCCTGCCATGTCCAAGTCTGAGTCGCTTCCTCGGGTACTGTCTGGTGTTCTGCCAGCCCTTGCTGCAGCGACAGGGGCGGGGAACCCACTTCCCCCTCTCTTGCCTTCCATTTCTCTGTATGTCAAGAAGCTTCCAGACACTCTGCTTGCACTCCATGATTTCCCGTCCGTCCATCTTCTCATGCCCGCTTCTCGTTCATCCCAGACAAACACTGAGCCGGACTTTATTGACTGACGTTCCTTTTCCGATAATCTCCGCTGAACTCGAGGCAATAAACCTAGTCGGCATGCTTCGAAGAGGATAATAGCGTCCGCAGGGGTACGCACATGGCCATGGTAGGTTTCCATGGCGTGGCAAGAATTTGGGGTGACGATTAAAGAGTCTGGCGCGGGAGAAATTTCGTCATGTGAGGGCAAGACCCAAGTCAGCCTCGAGAGAGTGGTAGACTGCACTTGCAGGCGTCCAAGTATGAAATCAGAAGGGCTAGAAGGATCAGTCTCGAGTCTGCCATTGACGATGAAAAGTCAGCGAGCTGTTTGGGAAGTAGTATTTAGACTGCGGGAAAGTCTGGTAAAAATAAAAGAAGGATGTGAAAAAATCAAGGCTAGTGGCATGCAGACAGCCTTGTGATGTATATGCGGCTCGGGTCATCGTCCTACAATGACTAAATGGCGCAGGGAAACCAGGACTTCATCCAAGAACCACCACTCGCCTTATGAAGAACCCCAGCCGTTGGATGGGAGAATGGGAGAACTTACAGGGCGCAAGCACCAATAACGATGGTTCTTCAAGCGAAATTTGAATAGTGGACTTAAATCCAAGGAGTTGGTGATGTTGGGGCGTAAGAGACGGTCAGAGCGGCAAATCGTATGTTGTGGGATGTAAGCATCAAGGTTGGCCAAAAGCAAACAGTATGAGGGAGGTACGCTCGACGTCAAGAGAGCAACCAAAGTACCCAGGTAATGTTTACTAAAAAGACGAAGAGGAGGAAAGACGTCAAGGAATGCAGAAGCGGAAATGCGGCGCTGCGCAGGGGCGAATAATGAGAGAGAGAAGAGAGAAAGTGTGAAATAGGTGGCTCGAGAAAGTAAAGTGCGGGCGTGGGAGAGAGCGAGAGAGCGAAAAGGCTATCTTCAGACTCGCTGTGCCTCTTTCCGATGGAGTAGGTTTTCTTCCGGAGTGGATGAGCTTAATTGACGGCAAGTGCGCGTCCCCAGGGGATCCATGCCAATAAGACAGCGATGATCTCCCTCCCTTGCCTGGCTGGCTCTCAGGGTTAGTCGGCTATCTAAGGTAAGTGTGGACAAGGCGGGCGATAAATTATGACACTGAATGATCAGGTAATTTAATGTGGATACTTGTCGTGTTTGAATTAGGCTTTGCCGCGCCTTCCCGACTTGCCCAGAAGAGATGATGCTGAGACGGGAGGGGAGGGGGCCAGAAGGTCTTGCGGGTCTCTGAGCAGACAGGGCATAGCAGCTCATCTTCCTTTTTCCCTTTTTTTTTTTGGTAATTCCTTGTTGCTCTTACGGCGAGGGTGAAGGAAAGCGCGGAAGAATTAGACTAATGGCGTAACTTGCAGTTCGTTATTTCTGACGCCAGGTAAAGTTGGGGGTGGATGGACAAGACTGACTAAACACTAGGTTCAGGCGTTGTTATCCAACTAAATCAATTAAGGTCATCCTCCTAGTGTCTCTCCTTAAGGCATCCTAACCACTCTAGCCCACTCTTTTTTCGCGGAGGCTCGCCGTCGGGGCCAAGAGCCAAGAAAGTCCGCTCGACCCTATCTGACGCTCCAAAGTAACCTTGTTCCCCACCAAACAAGAAAAAAGGGCCACCTGAGGGGGGCGAGACTACCCAACTAGAGGACACTTTATATCTCTTACCTACCCTCTTTGGCCCCCCCGGCCCGGAGATAGCGTGACATTATTACACGCAAAAAAGTACTCGCATATGATTACCGTACTCTATTACCAGAACACACACCCCTCCCGAAAAGACAAATAAGTTTCGATAATCTAAAAAGTGTGTGGGTGTGGGTGTCTTTTAAGCTTGATTCATTTACCTAATAGACGATCGGTCAAGGGCTTGGCCGGCAAGTGTCTTGTCATTTTGAACCCAACCGTATCGCAAGCTCTGCATTTTGCTTGGCTGTTGAAAGGGTTTCAGACGCGGGCCGTCGCAGAAATAAAGGGTAGAAAGGTAGAAGCTCCCAGAAGGGATATGCACTGCAGAGGAGGGGGAAGCCGAATCCTTTGCCGCTGAAGCCGAGATTTCCGCTGGTTTGCGCTTCCAGGAGGAAAAAAGATAACGGTCAGGACCTACGGTGGGCCTCATGTCGCGGTCATTGCAATCCCGACGTGTCCACCTTGTCCCAAGTTGCTTTTCGTGGTTTCAGGCCCCGGAGCAGATCGCCGGTATCTTGGTTCATTAGTTATTACAGGCAACTAGGGTAGACAGTGGCTGTATTCCCAAGCTGACCCATACACCGTGGTCAAAAAAAGGCTTGACGTTTTAGTCGGGTGCGCCACTCAACTCTAAAACTTATTTGCCTGACGCCGAGCATCCCTCCAATAGGTATCGCTTCCGCCGAGCTATGCGAGGCTACCCTACAGAGTACTGTTCAGCGGCAACTGCCATGCGCCCAAATACTAATCCAGTGGAGATGAGCGCAAGGAGAGCTTTCCCTCTAGATGGGGAATGGGGGGTGATCCATTTTGTTGGTCAAATAATAGCATAGCAAACCATGTTCTCCATGACCCAATAATTTATTCCCAGACGATTTAACTGGTTGAGTGAATCAAGGCCAACGCCACCGCCGTAATATACGTTTGACTGGGCGACCAAATCGTTTGGGACACGCCCGAGGTAGTTTACCTCTTCTTGAAAAACGAGATTATTCGCTTGATCCGTGCTGTAGTTTCTGCCTAAGATGATGACAGCTAACAAAAATAACATATTAAAGGTCTAACAAAGTATCCCAAAGGAGGAAACTGGCAAGTCCTTCTCCTTTTGTTTTATTCCTCCTTCTGGACTTAGCCTTGTTCCTAGTCCAGCACGCCGGGGGGACTCTGAGCTACGCCGTACTATTGGAGCATTTGAGAGTGATGTTAAAGGGTCAGCGGCTCTTTCGCGATGCGTCTCGCTCGCTCGCTCGCTCGCTCGCTCGCTGAAGCGCTGACCGACTTGAGGCTTTTACAGATTCGGTGTGCATAGCAAGCCTTGTCGTGGACAGCTCGCTAGTTACAGCTGGAGTTGGGTCTGTCCAAGCAATTTCTCCCTGACTTGGACGCCCCCCGAGATCTCCTCTGCATGGAAAATGCATTTCGCGTAGTTTTTGAGTCTAAATAGTGTGCGTTAGCAAATGCACCATCCCTTTTCACGATGAGACCATAAGGCACGCCCTTGGCCGTGATAATTAGTTACAAGTGATCAAGGCGCAAAGGACCTGTCTGAGGCCGCGTCAGCTCAATAGCATGTTCGGGGCGTCGCTCTAGAAGCGAGATGGATCCCCACTTTATGGACCTAATCGCCCACTCGATGATTCCTTATTCGATGCAACGAAGCTACTAATGTAGTAGAGCACTTTTGTGCGAGGTCGGAGCTCCGTCTCAGATGCCCTCGAATCACTGGGGTCTTGCTGTACAAAGTACAGATCGAGTAAAAATTGATTGCGGCTCAACCTGGCCGGCACAGGTATCCGGTACACAAACAGCTTTCCCAATTTGTATTCAACTCCAACACGTACCTTTCTCATTTCAGCAAGTCGTCTGTACTGGAAGATGGGGGAAATTCGATTCAGCAAGAAGATCGAACGGTCTGGGTTTAATGGTATTCTCCGGAGACAAGTCTCTCAACATGGATTGCATAGCCTAGTTTGTAGTTCATGGCTGGGTCCAGGCGCGAGATCGTTTTCTGAGAGCATTGAAGCCCCGATTGGCAACACTGACTCCTTTACGAGAGACTTGTTCCATGAACGGAAGAAATCTCATCTGGGGTCGTCCCTGACAGAGGTAAACTTTTCACTTCCCACGGACGGTCCGAAGTTGGAATGATCGGTCAGATAGAGTTAAGCGAACGCAACAACCTTAAAACCTGGGTGAAAAGGAGGGTGGAGCGAGGAAAAGGAAGGGGGGTCGGCCGACGATGCCCGAGGAGTCAAAGTAAAAATGGAGAGGGTGGGAAATTGTTGATTATTCTGCATTATAATTTTCGTCACTCTGAACTACACTAGACGACGATCAGCAGCTCCACATTCTGAGTATGTGCATGAGAGGCCAAGGAACAGTTAAGCAACGTCCCCCAGTCGTGATCATCTCTTACCTTTCCCTACCAGACAACCTCGCCGTTCGTGCCCCTTCCATGCGTCACAATTACGATGTTTTGCAAGGTCACGGAGGAGGGGGAAAAGGAAAAAAAAGAAAAAAAGGGGGGAAATGTCGCAAGGACCTAATGGAGGTTTCTGCACTCAAATCTCCTCATGACCAGGTTTTGGAACGAACTCGCATCTGCGGGATTTCAAGGTTATTGGTGAAGCATAAATCGGACACTCGGCAAATCCTTCAGGACACCCCCAAGCCCGAAAAAAGTGCGTGACAAGAGCCAAGCCCAGGTATGCATAAATCAAGCGCAACCACGACCAGGCAGAGACCACGAGGGAATGGACTCATTTTTCTTGGCGTCATCCTTCCTGTTGGATTCTTTGTTGATTCGGCTTGGAACGGAGGTAGCGCATGTCGCAGCACCTGCCAAGTTAGGAAATCTCTGATCTTTTTCCATGGCTCTTCCAACCCGCTGAAGATGTTAATTTAGTAGCGACTAGACTTGTACTGTGTATATTTGAGCAGCTAACGATAAATTACCTACCTCTAGGAAGGTAAGTAGGTAAGTAGTAGCCATTGGTCCATTGCCGATTGCTGATAGGGCGCACTTCTATGGGTCGTATTGACTTCGAACCAATATCTTAGGGGCCCTCGGTCAACCCGTACGGTAAAATGTCGGCCATCGGAAAGCGGAGTTCCCTGTCCCTGTTTACTCCGTACGGCGCGGAATTAATTGTTTGCCCAAGTCCTGTGCCGCCAAAACGCCTGGTAGTTAATCACGGCAAAGGTCATGTTATGTGGCTTGTGCTGACTGATGCTTACCCAGAGTACTGGATGAGACAATTAATTGCCCCATTCTAATCGGATGTTTACCTTTCAAGGCGCCCCCTCCGTAGCACCGAAACAGGTCTTTCGTTATTAAATTCCCGCTGAACATATACAAAGTAAGTCTACTTTGCCTCGGTATCTTGTACTCGGTATTGTGTCCTGGCCTCTGCCCTGCTTAGCTCCTTTTCTGTAACAATTGATCCTTTCATTCCACATGGATAATATTCCGTTAGCATCGGCGTTGATACCCCCGAGGTGTTGACCCCCAGCCTTCCAGAAATCTAAAGAGTGCTTAAACCATGGTTAACAATCGTATTTGTCAAAATTTTTTTTTTGCTACCAAATCAGGAAAGCTCTGTTCTCATCTATTCTTCACCTGTTCTCTTATTACACAATCTTGTCTACTCCCGGTACGTTGGGGCACTTCTTAGGTGGAATTTACCTTTGTAGATCGTAAATAATAGTTGTCAAATGCACGGGGGCTATTAGGTCATGATCGATCCAACCGCGGAAATAGGAAGCGTGCCTTTCCCATCGCCAAGCCAACTTCTCCAATGCATAAAGTAATCTAGTGGATACTGTACCAAGAATAACATGTCAGCTTTCTTCGTGGAGTGGGGATAGTCCCCGTTTCACGCTAAACGGCACGCGTAATCTTATCCCATTCTAATTTCCCCGTGCGGGACAACGCCAGAATTGGAAAGCAATCGATATAATACAACTACTCCGTAGTCAAAGCACCGCCTCTTTTATTGTTTCGATCTGCGTTGATTGATGATCTCCTCACGTTTCGAGTCGAATTTTCCGGTAGCATGCTATTTCCGTCCTAGTATCTCCCGATAGTGAATAACAAGTAATTCCGGTCAAGCTTGGATGTGCAGTTGTTGAGTGATCAATATTCTTTTGCTCTCTAATCCGACTCAGACATGAGCTCTTCTGCCTTCGATGAAAGTATTGCAGTGGCCGGTGAAGATCATAGCTACTTCTTGCCAAATGCCCGACTGCCACACTGAACGCCCCTGCAAGGTAGGTGACGACAAGACTTTCATCCCTATGCTCATTTAAGTCGGGCGTGCATATGCAAAAAAAGCTTTGTTTTGCTTTAAATCCTCATTTGTCTAATTGCCATTCTTTTTTGAACATCACCCAACCCAGCAGTGCGGATGAAACATGCCGATATGCAAGGAGTATATTGTGTACAGGACGCGTGCAGCCGCCTTATACGCCTCCTACGTACCGAGAAATGTAGGACCTACGAGATACCACGGAGCAGTACCATCAGACAGAACGTATCTGCTTCGTTTCAGAGTGGGGCCAAACACTGCGAGTAGTTTGCCCAGGCCCGAATGAATTCGACGCCTCTTTCCATTTGATTATGTGATTTCAAAGCTGGCCAGTTGAGCTACAACAGAACCGGCATTGTGAGGGATATCATACAATGTTGATTTCTGCATCCAGAGGCGGGAGCGTCTCGTCTATAAATGGTCAAACGCAGCCACAAAGTCCCTGAAATGAAATGCAGAACGCCGCTGCGACTAACACTCACATCTTCCGACCCACCTGGGAAAGGTCACAATCTCCCGAATATTCGAGACACCGGCGAGATATGCTAACAATCTATCAAATCCAAGACCAAAGCCTCCATGGGGGACGCTACCCCATTTCCGCAAGTCAACATACCAATTCAGGCTTCCAAAATCTTCAGAGTCTTGCGATTCGGCCGTTGCGTCGAGGTCTTTCGAATCGGATCGACCTTGTTGAGTGCCTTTGGCCATTCCGCGATTCTTCATGCCTGCAACAAGCTGCTGCAATCGATGTTCACGCATTGAGCCGCCCACAACCTCGCATATTTCTGGCACGAGGAGGTCAAAACATGCAACAGTAGGACCGTCTGTCACAGTTTCATCGGATGCAGACGGAAGCATATAGAAAGGTTTGATAGCTTGAGGGTAGTCGGTCACAAAGACAGGACTACCCTTGCCCACTGTTTCTGCAAGGTATTTTTCGTGCTCTGCCTGCAGCCCATTATTCCAGTCAGGTTTGAATTCGAAGTCCACCTTTTGCTCTGCCTCAGCCCGTTCCAAGATACGAATTGCCTCCGTGTATGTGATCCGAGGCCATGATTCCTTAAGGAAGCCTTGCCAGCGACGTTGGAGCACGTCCGCGGTGACCGAATCGCCATCTTCCGCACTCTCACCACTCCGCTTTGCTTGCAAAAGCTCCTTTCCGAGGCGAGACTCTTGGAGACTCTGTGCCAAGTCTCGGAGCATGTCTTCAACCACGTCTAGCACCTCACCTACTTTGTCAACAAAGGAGAGCTCCACCTCGAGCATGTAAAACTCGCTCAAATGACGGGCAGTGTCGCTCTTCTCGGCTCGAAATGTCGGGGAGAGTGTCCACACATTTCCCACTGATTGAGCTAGAGCCTCCAAATGAAGCTGCGTAGAGACGGTTAGGTATTTCGAGTCTCGGAAGAAGGGTTCCTCTCGGCGATGTTGGCCGCTTGGAGGTGGTGGTTTTTGGGACGATTGGTCGGCAACAGTGAAGACCTCGCCGGCCCCTTCACAATCAGAAGAAGTAATTATTGGCGGGTGAACTTGCACGAAGTTCCGATCTGCAAAGAAGCTGGTGAGACGACTAATGCTGTGCGATCTTAGGCGAAGTAAAAGAGAATTGAATGGGATGCGCGTCCGCAAGTGTGGCATGGTTCTAAGAAACTCTGCAGTGTGATACTTTTTCTGCAGAGGGTAGCTCTATGACGAAAGGATATGTTCAGCCTCAATCATGCAAAGTCATGGGGCAGTCGGCCAAAGAAGGACACGGAGCAACGTACTGCAGGATCGGCTTCGCCGATTGTCCTTACGTCACTTGCATGCAATTCATAGTCCTGTTGCTTCCCGGCTGGAGAGCGCTTTAGCAATCCACTAATTGTGACAGCGGCTCCGGTTGAGAGTCTGACAACATCGATACAGCTGTTAGAGAAAGCTCGGGAAGAAAAGATTGGAGCAGAGACGGTGTCCCCTACTGCTCACCCTTCAGCTTGTGCTGGCGTTAAAACGGCCTGCAGAGGCTGCACTGTTGAGCCATCGCCGACTGCAGCAAAGCAAAAGCGCTTTTGCTTGCGGACTGAACGAATGAATCCATTGATGGTAAGTGATTTGGAGGACTCAGAGTCCTGCGGTAACTGCTCGGTAGAGTGGAGGACTGAAGCTATCGAGGGTTTTGAGGACGTCAAATCATGGAGACGTCGCAGACACAGCTGTGCTGGGCGACGAAAACTCGAAGAGATCAAAGACGGAATAGTGCATTGCCGTATCATGACGGGATCCAACACAGGTAAAGATTGTAGAATCCCACTTTAAACATGACTGATGGGCTTTTCGATCGTTGCGGGAAAACAGGGTAACAACGAACTTGGGCAAATTTTGGGGGGAAATTTTAGCTCGTAACGAGCCTCGTTACCCGACATTCGGTACCGTGGAAACCCAGGGAAAGGGAAGGCCCGGGGGAAAGGCTCTGGTAAGCTAAGTATTTTACACTGTAATCCGCATGATGCTGTAGCACGGTAGGTAATATTAGAGCCGCAGGCAAACAGTTAAGGCATATTAACCAGTTCCCATTATTGCCGGAATTACAGTTAGCCAATGAAAAAGCCACTGTCTGTTCAATAGTCCTCACAAAAGAGTTTCCTTTCTTATTAATGTGTCCCCAAGTGCATATCGCCATTCATCCCGATTGGAATTTGACTGTAGTGCATAGTTAATGCTTGTACCTACATATTTTTTCTCTATGATCCGCAATATGCCGATCCGGTCAATAACTCAGTCCAGAACAGCTTCCCATCTGGCGTGTCTGCACTTGCATGGACCATCATCCTTCCTTTGGGCGTGGAATATATCTGCGGAGTACTAGGCTGGGCGCGTTGAGCAGCAGCTTGATTCGGTATCTTCCCGTCAATATGGGTTGGCTTTCAAGGCTGGCTTGGGCTCAACCAATCGCTGAGCTGAATGCCCTTGTCGAAACCCGTAACAAGCAGCAGATGCCTCTTGCCATGAGCCCAGCGGCGTTCTTCATCGCTGCCACAATGTCCCAAGAAGTGCTTCATGACGTATCACAAATAGCAAAGAAGTCTTTGAACAGCTACGGCAACACCGAAGTTCATAGGCAAGTATTTCATGGCACACCGCATTTCTTCAAATGGGTGTGAGAGAGTGCTCCTTTGGCCGCCTTCCGCGAAACCATATATAACGCCGACCCGGGCTTGAACGCCGCCACTGCAAATGGGGGAGGTAGTGCCACCATGACACAGGGCAACTCAAAAAGTGCCGCTGCCCCGAGAAAACCTGTACCTGCTTCCATCCAAGGTGGCACAAAATCGTAGAGCTTTTCGTCAAATGCAATCGCTTCTGAAACCGTTGACTCGTGCTGTTTCCTGTTCGAAACTCTTCGGGATTGGCAGCAAATAGAACGGGCAGGCGCGAACGAGTAAAAATCTCATGCTGCCCCTGTAAGTGTCAGTATTCTCGACCATTCCTTGCAGAGATCATGTTGCCGACAACTTGCATCAGCTGCATCTTATTCCTTCTATTGGGCCGTGGCTTGACTTGGGGGCCCTGCTCCCAATCGATTAATGGCGGTGACGGAGGATTAGTGACGAGATGAGTCCCTTGAACAGATCGCAGTTTTGAGCTTTGGTGCGAATCTGGTCGACAAGGGGAGTAATCAGGCTGCATATCCCAAGGAGCCTAGTGGGGCACCGACTCGCCCTTACACGATCCATGAGGTGAATCGGACGCGCGTGAGGTCCGAGCGAGGCTGATTTATTCAAGCCATGAGATCTTTCTTTTTTTATTGTCCAGATCCCGCATGTCACTTGGGATCGAACCGATGCGCCTATCATCGATGCTCATTATACGGCGTACTGCTGTCACGATCAGAGAAGACCATGATGGCTTCCCACCGGCATTGAATAGCTCGTCGTCCCGGTCGGCCGCGCCTTAGCCTCCAAGGCATCGTGTGGAACCCACCCACTTAGACTCGGTGAATCTTCCAGGGACGATCGCCAACTCGGGGCGAACCAACTTAAGGCACATTATCTGGGTCCATTCCCTCGGTGCTCGACAAGGATCGAGTCAGATACCCGAGTGACGGGCCGTCTGGGCGGCTCACCCTCGCCGGACCAGCCAAGTGACCCTCAAACACAGAGATTTGACATGGCGCGCATTCATGGTGGGGTTCCTGTTTGGTCCCTTCTGACGAAGCATGGCACCTTTCATTGGGCATTCTCTTGTGGATTACGTGCGGTTTCAATGGCAGGAAGAGGGACCTCAGTTATTTATTTCAGCTTGTTTCCCTGAGCTCACGGTGTGATTTTCCATAGCACCCTCCGTTTGCTGCTCTTTTTTGAGCCCTATCTTCTGAACCCTTGATTTATTTTGTACTGAAAGCTTTCCACTACGCAATTATCCCTTTGCAGAGAAGCAAGATGCCGCAGGCCAAAATAAGACCTTCAGATATTGCGGCGGAAGCCAAAAAGACATATATTCCATATATCGAGCGAAAACTTCCTCAGTATCCGGTTCATTCATACCTCCACGCCGATTCTTCCTCACTTTCAATAAAGCGTCCTGGCTCAGCCGATGGCAAGCTGCGAGTGGCTGTCATTGATGGAGATCCCGTGGATGTTGCAATTGATTGGCACGAATATGAAGTCAACAATTCCAGAGAACGCTCTGAAGCGCCCGCAATACCCGTAGTCAACATGGCTAACGAGAAACGGGCGGGTGGAGATTGGGAATCGGGCTTAATGGCACCAGAGGAATGCTTCTCGAGACGAAGTAATCTGGTGCATGCTTTGAATACATTCTGGCCGACGACTGGCAGCCCTTCACACTATCCAATTCCTCAAAAGGGAGGAATATATTCTCCCAATGTTGGTAAGCGTTTTCTAAAAAAAAATTATTCAAGAAGCAATGCTTTGCCGTAATGTAAACATCTGACCACTTTTACAGTTGTTTTTCGATCTGGCCCAGATCAATATCAAGTTTGGAGAGATTTCAAGGTCTTGCCTGTCATTTCAGTAGCGCCAGTTCGTCGTCCAAAGCTGGACGAGTCAGGCACCCGCTATTCCTTTGAACAGGAACGGGAACTGATGATGGAAAAGATGAGGACAGTACTTCGGATCGCAGCGGCGTGGGGACACAGTGACCTATGCCTCGGAGCATTCGGGGTGGGGCATGGATTCCGCAATCCCGTAACGGAAATTGCCTCCATGTGGAGAACCATTTTATTCTCAGAACCAGAGTTTCAGGGATTGTTCTCGAATATTGTCTTTGCTATAGAAAGCAGTCAGACCGGCAACGCAAAAGGAGGCCTTACCGATTATGAGGTCTTCAAGCAAGAATTTGATCCCTCCAACATATTTCGCACTGCATATCGGTAGGCCGACTAAAATGGCGTCAAGCATTCGGGGCGACCGGCGTTGTTTGGGAATCTCCATTTGTTTAGTTCGGATGCCCCACCTCCCTGCTCCCACGATATGCTTTGGGATGGTGGCATTGAAGTTTGCTAAAGCTTTTATTATTAATGGCGGGTCTTTTTGCAAATTCTCAATATCTAATACCCAACTTATCACTCGATGTAAAATATACGATATTGATGAGCATAGATAATCCTTCATGCACCGTTTGCACCGTTGACCATGTTTATTCTTGCTAAGGAGAATCTCCATTTGACGAAGCGCTGAAAGGCTCCCAGACGCAATTGACAAAGTTGCAGCTATTAATCCTGGCTTGTCGTGTGGTTCAAACTGCCTTTTCTTCGGTACTCGTACTGAGGCCACGCCGTAGGCCACGCGTAGCGCTCGAGCCTCTGATTCTTCAGCCCCGCAAACCTCGTGACTAAAATGTTTCTTGAGTTTACTGATGCATGTCGATCAGCCCCGCTCATATCTAACACCAGGGATTTTTTGCCTCTTGTTTCTCGTTTTAGGACAGCGATGGGCGTCCAGGGTCAGGCATATTCAAGATCGGAGAACGAATTTGGCAGTTGCTGCATTGGCGCTTCAACAAGCATAGTAAAATTTCGCGAATCCAAGAACGAACACCCTGGCCAGACAAGCAAGCAACAACTCCCAGCTGAAAAAAAAAAAATGTGGCTATCCGGCATGCGCATGATCGACACCCTGGGAAACAATTTTTAGATCGGCGCTTGGATTGGCGGGCTATAAAACATGCGCCGAATCGGCTGCCTCTCACGGCTTGGTCCGCACTGATGGAATGTCAAATCGGGCAATAAAGAGACCGTAGAAAGATCTGCTTTGGCTAGACATAACCCGAATAGTGAGCCATGGGACCAGGGGCTGACCGAGCGAGGAATGGGCCCGGCAGCGCCCCGGCTCAGGGCCCGGAAATGGGCTCCACGGGCCGTGTCGTGCAGAATCTCTGTTAGCCGCTGCAGTCGCCGAATCAAATTGTTACTGCTGTTTCTGCGCCAAACAGAGTCCGCCTTCAGAAGGCCCCGACGGCGTCTGAAAATTTCAGTGTCGTGTTTCGACTTGTCAATCTTAGCTGCTCATCACTACTAAGCATACTGTAAGCAAGGTAGTCAATTCACTGCTCCGTAATCTTGTCGCGGTGCAGGCCTCAAATTGTATATCATACCGTAATAGACTTTGGCCTTAGTACACGCCTGCCACACAATGCTTCATGATTAAGTGGGCCCGCCACGAGGGACTTGCCTTGAATTGATTATAGCAGTCTTTCTGTCATTATCTCAAACTACCAGTCTAACAATTAAAGATTAGTCGAAATTTTGACAGTGAAAAACCAGCCTTGAAGCCGCCGATCTCACAGGAACCGGCTTTTGTGACGGCAATTGCTGCTGAAGCCTTGAAGAGACACGAGATCAAATTGCAGAGTGTTCTTCAATACGGGACATTCTTCCTTTCCTATTGTATAGAAGAAGAGTACCTATACTCAGAGCAATAATGGCGGGTGCCCGTCCCTCGGCGTTCCCTGAATTCGGGACTACGAGGGCCGAGCTTGAATTGTGATCTCACACAACGATAGACTATACATGCACATGGCGCACAACCACGAGCTCTATGAGTACGTAGATAATGTCTCAAACTTCGGACGAATGCAGGCTCGACTTCTCGGATGACGAATGAAAATGCGATTGTCGGCTCCGCTTTCTTTCCTTTGTTTTTTCCAACACCATTTCGCTACGCCTAAGCTATTAAATACAACCCAACAGAAATGAGGCAGTACGAGGGCACAGTCGAGCGTGCCCTCCAATCCAGACGCTTTACATATGTACAATTGAAAGAAACCATAGCTTTCCACTTGGTAAAAGATGCGGATATCAATGAGAGTAGCTTTATTTAATTGCTTCCAGGAGGCACACCACCTGGTGGCCCTCCAACGGGCATAGGCTGCGCACCCTCAGCCTTCAATTTCTCCAGTGTCTGATCTCGGTTGTACTCCATAACTCTCCGCTTCTTGAAATATTGGACCTGAGAGGGAGAAAAAATGATGAAATTAGCACTTTGCACATTGGCTGGACCTGACTCTCATGTCGAATGGGAGACCAAACGTACCCAGCTAGTTGCGCAATTCCTTTCAAATTCTTGGTCCTCTTTGCCACATTTACTATTTGCAGTTTCACTGTTCCTGATGCTGTCGATAATATTGTTTCGATCTAGGCAAGCAAAGTATCCATCGCGAGCTTCCCAGCAGTGACGGCGCTCAGTGCGGTTAGGTGCCTCGAAAGCTCCGTCCGCCGAGGGCTTGGGAGCCGCTGGCGCAGGTGGAGCGCTTGAAAATAAACCCATAATCGGTCTGTACTCGTTTATACGAAGAATTGAGTGATGATGGAGTGAGCGCGGTTTCGGCGGCTAATATCAGATGCTGCACGAAAGAGCTATAACACCTACGACAAACAAATGAGCAGATGTCTTCTCAAGGCGCAAGCAACGCAACTTACGGCCACTTCAACAGTATTTGTGTTTCACTCTTAGCTCCTTTGCAGTGAATCTCCTCAAAATAATTCTTATTGTAAGAAATAGTCGAGGATGAGCGCTGTCAATTATCCCTCCAAAAAAAAACCGAACCTCGGCGATGGGGGAAATACCCAGCGTCAAAGTGTTTGACGCAATGCTTGTATCCCACGACTCCTTACCCGGCATGGTACTGATGAACGCATGCCGCACTTTCCCGATATGGAATTGCGCACGGGATGGGTTGCGGCCACCCCCTTCCCTCCCTCCGCGTTGTCATCAAGCGTTATCGGCAAATGACGGCTGCAAGGTCCGACCAGACCTAGGCATCATTGAAAGCAACAAAACGCCCTGTCTTCCATCAGTTCCTTCATATAACCCTTTCCACCAATTCGCAGCCTTGCCAATTTGACCACCAATTCAACACGATCAATTACCAATCCTCCTTATATACAAAGGCAACCAAATACTATTCACCGGCAAACCGTGCATGGCTATACTTCTGCTCTGTATGCACACCGCATAACCACCGGCATAGCTTGATCGAGAAACAACAAAAACTACATTACATCCCCAACGAACATGCCCAGACGACCACGTCGGCCGCCTCGGGCAGGTGCTCTCGGCGATCTGCCTCCTCTCAAAATCCTATCGCAGATCGTGATGCTCCAAGCGGCATATTATGCCAGCGCCGCCGTCATGATAATCTTCACCGCCCTGGTGGCGGGCAAGCGAGTACACCTGGACCTGATACTGAGCTGGCAGACTATTCGGGGCGATACAACTGTTGGATGGACATTGGGGCTTGTATGGATGCTTAACAGTCTCGTATCGTACGTTTACTTCCCATATTTTTCCCCTTCCACATATCTATCTCATATCTCTCTCCACGCTGCCCTTTTTCTGTTTGGACTTTCACCCATCTCATCTTCTCTTCACTTCGTCTGATTTACCTCTCCCGGGTGCTTTTACGTCTTCGGTCCTCTTGTATTTTTTCCTCCTATATACTTTCTAACACCCTCTTTTTGGACAATAGGGTCATATATGTTCTTCTCCTAATCGCACGATCGAAACTCGTTCTCGACTTCGTCCTCACACTACACTTTATCAACCTCCTCGTCACGTCATTCTACACGCACGCCGTTCCGCGAAACTGGCTATGGTGGGCCCTTCAAGTTTCCAGCGCAGGCCTAATGACTTGTCTCGGCATCTGGAGCTGCCAGTGGCGCGAGCTGCAGCCTATAAATCTCGGAAAAGGCGGAGCCGGTTCGGGATCATCAACGAATGCGAATTCAGCAACAGCTACAACAATACCGGATCCAGCGCTGGGTAGCTCCAAAAAGACGGACGAAGGTGTCGGAGTCGAATATGGTCGGGGCAAAGGCCGAGGTGGTCGAGATGGAGGCGGCAATTATGAAATGGTCGGCATGAGCGAGAGAGGAGACAATATTGTCTAATGACGACCCCTTTTTTATATTTTCTTGTTTCGTTCGTTTATTTCCCCCATTTTCCCATTTTACCCTTTTACCCTTTTTTATATTTTCTTTTTCTTTTTTTTTTCGTTTCTAAGACTCCAAGACTTTTTACTTCCACGGCATGAATTTTGCAGCTCTTACTTTTGGGCGGCGGTGGTGGTGTTTGGAGCAGGCGAGATTATATATATCCTTGCAAAGCGAGGCCTGTTCGGTCTGAAATTTGGAAGTCTGCCCCTTGCCTCCCAGGTCTTTGATTTTATTTTCTGGGCCCCCTTGTGTTGGCGCATTGGGTATGGTATCACGGTATATCAATCATTTTATAGTGGAAAAAGATCCCTTTCATAATGTCTTCATATTCGAGTCCCAGCATCGCTGAAATGAAATAGCACCTATGTAATGCAACATGAGAGCTATAGCATTATTTCAGCATGTATTATTAGATGGCATCTACACACTTCGCGATATCTTATGCCGGATTGAAAAGCTTCCCCATGAGCCTCTGACATTAAGTTACTTCTCGATTGAAAATTGGAACAGTATATAATTTCCTATCCAGAAGTAACACCCCGTCCAGAGATTCAAAAGTAAAATCTACATTTCAAGAAGGGGGGGGGGGGATAAAAGACAGCCCCACAATATGCCCAAACCAATGCTACGTGAAAAGGCGGCGCTCATCTCTCTCTAATGAGGCAATCTGAGGAAAAAAAGAAAAAATTATCAAATGTGGATGATGCAGAGGTATATAAAAGACAAAAAGAAAAAGAAGAATTAAACGCTCTTTTCGGCGGGAATGTTCTCCTGGGCGACGAGGTCCTGGTGGACGTGGCCAGCCATGACAGGATCGTAGTTGGGGGTGCCAGGGACTTCGCCAGCGAGTTCCTCCAGCGTCTTGCGCTTGGTCTCAGGGATCAAGAGGGAAGTGAAGACACCGCAGAGCATGAAGAGGGCATAGATCTGCATGACGTGGTTGAGCCATGGCGAGGCGGTCGAGCCCTTGGGCGCGCCCTTTTGGCGGAGCGGACCAATGACGACCTGGGCAACAATGGCGCCAACCTTGCCGGAAGCAGCGGAGAGACCGTGCGAAGTGGATCGGTAGCGGGTAGGGAAGCATTCACCGGGAACGATGAAAGTGGTGGCGTTGGGACCTATTAGGGTGAAAAAGAACTCATTAGTTTAAAAGTGTTTGAGAGGAAAAGGCAAGTGAGGTGACGAAGAGGGGATAGGATAGGAGAGATGCAGAGTAGTAAAGTAGTAACTTACCAAAGTTGAAGAAGAACTGAGCAATAACGTAGAGGGCAAGCAGACCGCCCTCGTGGAGCTTGTGGTAGGCAAAGCCAATGATGATGAAGAGAATGGTGAGGATGATGAAGCCGACCACTTGAATGGGCTTACGACCAATAGTGTCGACGGTAGCGACGGTAAACCAGTATCCGGGGATGGCGCCAGCGCAGACAATGATAAGGTTACCGACGGCAGTGTTGTAGAAGACCTCGTACATGTTCTTGCCGCCGGTGTAGCCGATGGCACTCAAGATGGTGGAATTGTTCAAGCTCAATCCGTAGAAAGCGACATCAAGGAAGAACCACGAGCCAGCAGTACCGAGAAGAATCTTTCCATACTTCCACTGGCTATAGTGGTGCCAGAAATCGGCCCAGCCGGCCTTGGGAGGATCGAGACGGTCAGAAGTGACACGCATCGTCTCAACCCGGGTGACCTCATCGGGGTGGCCCTGGTGCTTGCCCTCAATGTATGCCTGGGTGTCTGAGCCAGCCTTGATCACATCGCGAGCAACGTCGAAAGTGTAGCGGGGAGTCTCGGGGATGGTAAGACGGTAGTAGAGGGCAATGCAGCCGGGGACGGCACCGAAGCCGATAATGACACGCCACATCTTATCAACGGCAAGACCGCAGACTCCATCGCACTTTCCAGCACCAGAAGCGGTCATAAGGGACTCCTTGAAGCCAGAAGTGACAATCAAGGCGATCATGGCGGCAGCAAATTGACCAAGTCCCTGCATGGCGAAGACGGCGCCCATCATGGCACCACGCCATTTGGTCGTCGCGAATCTAGAAACGATAAATGTCAGTCATGGAGGGGGCCAGAAAAAGGTGGTGATATTTGACTCGGACATACTCGGATGTAATGATTGAGGAAAGAGGATAGTCTCCTCCGATACCGATACCCATAATAACACGCCAGAAAATGATCAGACCGACAATGGACATGGCAGGGGACGCCGAGGAGAGAGCCTGAGCCAGGGTAGCGAAGATGATGAGCAAGAGCTCCAAGCCGTACATCTTCTTGCGGCCAACCACATCGGCGAGCCATCCAAAGGCGACCTGTCCAATGACCGTTCCACCAGAGGTTGCAACCTTGATGGCAGTGTCTGCGGTAGTGGGAATATGACCAGGCGAAGTGTGAGCGTTGTGCCAATACACAACACCCAACATGCTGGTCACCAAGCCAATGGCGAAGATGTCATAGGCATCGGTGAAGAATCCAATACCAGCAACGGCAATGGCGCGGACATGGTACCATCCAAAAGGAGCCTTGTCAATCTCAGCCAGCGCCAGGCGACGACGTTCATTCGGGTCTTCGATGTGAACAAAGTCGTTGTGGAAATTGTGGAAAGCGGCGTTGCCGCCAGCAGTCTTATGGCCCCTCATGTCGAATTTCGTACACGACAACGCGACAGATCGCAAAACACCAAAGAGTGTAGGGTGGCAGGTGTACTGGGCAGATGCCTGGATTCTTCGAGCGGACACAAAGAAGAAAAAAAAACTTTAAGATGCAGCTCAGACAAGCGTTACTTATAAGCTGTTTCGAGTTTCTCAGGGATTCAAAAAAAAAGCACGTGTGCTCCTGCTGCCCCGGGCAAATTACACCATAGATACAGGGTGGATCTGCTTCCGCGTGGTGAGAGTGCTTCTAGAATTTGAAAAATCTGGCCAATTGGGAGCTTGACATGTTGCACGAGCAAGGGCCTCTGGGAAATGTATGCACCCCACCCGGAGATAAATTGATTTCTGGAAATTTTGCTGAGCCGCGGGAAGGTGGAGGGCGCCAGCGCCAAGGAAGTATGGCACGCCCAGACCCCTTCGAAGCGGAAGGTAGAAAAGGGTGGCTTCAGCTCTAAGGCTCGGAACCAAAGAAATTCGCGTTGGACAGGTCTGCCGGTGCCATCTTGCCTGCTCGTTATCAGCTGTCCTTCAAATGGACGTTAAGTATGAGAAAACGTGTTGCCCAGCCAAGCCCTTGGCGAAAACCCATTGTCTACTACTGATGGTTTGCCCAGGCTGCATATTCATACCAACATTTGCCTAGAGCTTCTTGGCTCTTGTTCTTCCTTTTGCTCATTGCGTCAAGAAAGACGTCATGTTAAGACAGACCCATTCAAGGGACAAGCATTGACAAAGAAAAGGCAAAGCTGGCTTGATACCGCGACTCAGCACCCCTTCTTTTGCGTACGCAATCCTGTGGGATTTGAGACTAGGTATCCTGGGAAATGTCAGCCGTTCACCTGCTGAATCGGATCACCACACTAATCTTGGAAGGTCCTTGTGCATTTTCCAGGGTGTGTTGGCTGGAGCCTGGTGTCTTCCTCTGCAGACAACTTGCAGCTCCTGTCAAAAAGCTGTGGTCGTTGTCGTCAAACGAACGACTACACGTGGGGAAGATGATTGGGTGTCGTTCAATTGCACTAACCACCTAAACATCCCGCGCTAGGGACCTCCGCGTTCGGCTGCTCCTCGGCAAGCTAATTTTGACGCCACCGGCTGGTTCCTGAGTGTAATCACTACAGCTCTCTCTGCTCCAAAATGTTGTGTGGGCACACTTTAATGGGCCGTAATTTCAGATGACATTCCCACTTGGACGCTGGCTGATTTACGACTCCGATTTCCTGACCGATATCCACTTGAGATCGTATTCTTTTCCTTGGTTGTAATTTTTTTTTCCCTTTTAGCTTCTTACATCTCCACTGAATTTGTCAATGCTAGCTCCATAATTATATGCTCTGAGCTAGACAAATTGCGTAGGATTCTTAACTCGCATCCTGCCATTTAGATACTGTATCGCATTGCATGTGGTTCGATACGCTGCTCGTTCGTTCTATGATTGGCCGTCCAATGTTCCAATGCTCCAATGTTCCAACGTTCCTCACGCGATGTCAGGTATCAGGATATCAAACAACACGAGAGCCAAGCTAGTTGCTTTTGGACAAGTTTTACCCTTCAGATGTAAATATTCTTTCTTGTTGGTCAGTGCAGAGTAGATCAAATATACTATGACGCAAGGTGAATAACCAAGGCATCATCAATATGGAAATCTTCGCCGACATGTAGCTGGGGCCTGGGCCCTAGGGCTCGTTCTGCCTCATGATCAAATGCGGCTTTGATCGAGATTCGTATGGATCCTTCCATCATCAAATTCATCGGTTCGTAGGACGTGAGTCCGTGACATAAGAGGGTGTGCACTGGAAAGCACAGGTTCTTCAATGGCTGCAGCCTGCATGTGTTTTTTCTGTCTTGCCACCCCCATTGAGATCGACACGGCTTCCAGAATCCAGACAGTTCGACCCCTAGCGTATAATTCTATTCAATATAGTTTGCATGGATAATTATCGTTCATTGGACTCGACGTAAGAATCTCGACATATACTCTGACGTGCTCGATATCAAATGATTGGAGAACCATGCATTTGAAAAAATTAGTGCCGTCTTTCAGGTGACGACTCTTCGATGATGATCGCCATCCAAAGCGTACAGTAAACTCACAGAGCTGCTTCACTCCAGGTAATCTTGACTAGATCTGTTCAATGACCTTTTCGTCAATGGCGGATCAATAGAGTTCGGGAGAAATATGACGGCATCACGGCATCGAGTTCCAATTGCGGGGAATAAAAGATAAATCACATGTCTCTATCCTTGTCGTTCAGAGATCTAGATATTCAGAAGAACATAATCCTTGGACATGGTAAGATCTACCTAAGATATGCAGGGACATATCTGCTATGGAAGGTTTGAATGCTTTAGCTTGTTTGGCCAAATAAATCTCAACCAAAGAGGTATAACGCAGAAAAGGTATCTCCAGGTGATCATACGACAAAGAGTCAAAAGGAAACCAAAAAGAAATGCTCCAACGCCGATGAATATGACCGGATATCACCGAGTCTCGTTCTGCCAATTGGGGAAATTGGTATTGAGCCAATGAGCGGCTTTCCAGAGCAAAATTCAAGTTTTCTAGTCTCTCCAGAAACGTCGCCAACTCGTCCTTGCAGCTTTGAGTACGAGATACGCGACCACCCTGTAGGCGATAACGCAGATGCCCAGAGCCATGACATTCAACCCAGCGTTTTTATCAAGCTTATACAGCTGCAGGACCTGATCGCCTGTTTGAATAGGGCATTGCCCGTTCGGAAGACGCTGGTATTCCGTACAAGCAAATTGGACATTGCGCAAGGAATACGGCGCGAGATTTCCCATCGAATATTTGATCGGGGACAGGTGATTGAATGCCTGCAGGAAACTCGGAATGTTAATGCTCATGGCGCCGCTCATGAGCTGCGCGATGCAAAGAACAATGGAGGTCAAGTTTACAGCGAAGCCGGTATGTCGAAAGAGAGTATTGAAGAGGATCCCTACGCTTTCTCCACAATTGACAATGCAGAAACAATTAAATGCCATGATGAAGAACATGGCTGGCGTCCGTGGCAGACCGGGAGTGATGGCGCCCAGGACTGCGAAGACGAGACTGCTAAAAATCTCAAATGGCACTTCAAGGACCGTATACTGCAGGAAAAAGGCTTCGACAGAGTACGCACGATCATCATGCTCCCTATAGAAGACATCTCGCTCCGCAGGGTAGATGGAGACATTCTGCAACATGCCAACAAAATAGAGCGCGGCAATTTCCTGGATTAGTCCCACTCGGGTCTGCACGCTGTAGTAGTCGTGCTTTAAGTCTGCGAAGAACAGAGCAACCACAATTCCAAAACCCACAACTTGCATGACACGAGCCAGGATAAGGGGAGGCTGGCGCCTAAAGTTGATGATGCCCCGTCGGAGAAGTGTTGGGAAGGACACCCACAAGGACTGCATCTTCCTTTCCATACTTCCCAACTCAGCAGGCATGGAAACTCTGGATTTCTGAGCTTGATTAAAGTTGACCTGCTTCTCGCTCCATCCTTGAATGAGACCGACAACTCGCTCTCGGCTTGCTTGTTCCTGAGCTGCATGCTGAAGATCAACCGTTATAAGGTCAAGCGCAAAGTCCGCCGGATTAGTAGTTTTTGAGCATTGAAAGCCCAATTTACTAAAATACGACAGCATTTCTGGCCCGTTCCCAGAATACACAGGTGCACCACCTCGAGCGAGCAAGAGGATATTGCCAAAATGACGGAACAGATCTGATCGTGGTTGGTGGACGGTCAAGATGAGAGTTCTGCCTTCCTCAGCAAGGCCGAGTAGAACGCTAATGATTGACGAAGCAGTAAAAGCGTCCAACCCAGACGTTGGCTCGTCAAGCAAGAGTATCTTAGGGTCGGTGAGGATCTGGATCCCAATTGTAACCCTCCGCTTCTCCCCACCACTGATGCCCTTCACTAGCTCGTTTCCTATAAGATTGTCGGCACAATCTTTGAGGCCCATTTTCATCAACACATCATCAGCACGGCTCACTTTCTCTTCTTTGCTCATCCACCGTGCCAAGCGAAGCTCTGCGGCGAAGTGAAGGGTCTCTCTGACCGTCAAAGAGGACAAAAGTGCGTCATCGTCTTGACACACATATGAGCATAACGAACGCACAACCCTGTCCGAAACTTCTGATCCATTGTAAAGCATCCGTCCGGCAGGACGGTATCGCGTTTCCACTGTGCTTTTTAGTCTTCGAGACATCAAATTGAGCAACGACGTCTTGCCGCTTCCAGATGGACCCATGATGACATTTAGGACTCCGGGCTGGAACTCTGTTGTGATCGGTTTCAGGATAGAAAGCCTCTTCTTCTTGGATCTAAGCAGATTACGCTTCTCAATTGCCAAGGAAAAATCCGCTAATTCAATACAGACTCTTCGGTCATTTCGATTCGATGAGTCAAACAGCTTCTCCTTTCCTACAGCTTTATCCTCATCCGTGCCGCGGGCACGTGAAATAGTCAACTCTGTTTTCCAAAACCGAAGGACGAGCCCCGACCCAATGGCAAAGGCAATAGCAAAGCCGAGTAATACGATAATCGGGCGGACTACCCAGTTGGACGGCAAGCCCAATGATTGCATAATGTAATCTCCTGTGAACTCCTTGCAGTCGGGATTCGCTGCCCCGCCGGCTACCGGACAATTATAGAAATGGCCTACAAACTCGTTCGCGCATAGGGCGCCAAATGCATAAAACTGAAAAGATTAGTTGGAGAGAGTTTGTGTTTTCCAGGAAGGTGACACTTACCACATAAGCAATCCATTTTGTCCATCGCACATAGATTGGTATGCTATTGGACTGAACAAAGTAACCGCACGCCATGGACTGTAAAGTGTAACCAAGATTTGCGATGAGAGATGCCCCGGCAAAATCTCTCGATATTGCAACACACAATGTTGCAAATGAAACGGCAATATATTGACTGAGCAAAAGGACCGAAAAGAATATGAAAAATTGACCAGCTACCGGTCGGAAGCCGGCCATAAAATAAAAAATCACAGAGAATAACAGCGGAACAGGAATATCCTCAACAAATAGCCTAGCAAATCTTCTGCTTGCGAGAAATGGAATGACGTCGACCACGCCTTCTCCCCGTTCGCGGTCGAATAGTTCAATATCAACTGTGAGTCGAAATGTCTCAAAAAGGAGAATCAGATACCCCTGCAAAGCGGCGGCGATATACAAGGCACCTTCGCGGGACCGTATCCCAGCTAAACTACCATCCAATGCAAAGAATATCCAGCCAGTAAGCACACCCATAGTCACAGCCTCGACCAAACTGCCAGCCATGCCCATTGGGTCTCGAATTGTTACTTTCATGGTCCGTGAGGTGAGAACCCGCGTTTGACGCCACATCGCAACGGTCTGCGAATCCGTCTTCTCTAGTGCAGGAGAAACTGACAATGCCGGATTGGACAATTGCTCCTTCGTGCCAAGAGCAAAGGTTTCAAAGGGCAAATTTGTGTTCAGTATTTCAGATTCCCTTTTCTTCCATGCAATTTTTAAGGCTTCTACTCTGGCTGTTGAGATCTCTTCCAACTGCCTCGTACGGTTATCAACTGCAGCAAGGTCGACGAGAAACTCAGCCGGGTTGACAAAAGCTGGGAGACAATATCTCAGTTCTTCAAAGTAGGGTAAGCAGTTTGGCGCAGGCCCAGCGTAGACAGGAGCGCCCCTGCTAAGGAGCACAATGTGGTCGAACAAGCCCCATATCTCCGACCTAGGCTGATGAACTAATAGCAACATGAGCATTTAGAGTCACTGGTTAAGCAAAGGGTTCCGCTTACTCGTCATGATGACGGTTCTTCCATTCTGCGCTAGACTTTTCAAAGTCTTTACCAGCTGAAAAGCACTAGTGGCATCAAGGCCGGTCGTTGGTTCATCGAGGAAAAGAACAGAAGGATTAGCTAGCATCTGGACGCCTATGCTGGTCCGTCTCTTTTCTCCTCCGCTGCACCCCTTATGCACATGGCTACCAATGCGGGTGTCTGCACACTCCTTCAACCCAAGCTCGAGAATGACTTCTTCAACGACGCATCGCCTGCCAGCCTCGGTAGTTGGGGGCGGAAGCCGCAGGTCTGCCGAGTACTGCAGCGTCTCTCGCACAGTGAGCGTGGGCAGCAGAACATCCTGCTGCATCACATATGCACTGCGAACGTTCTGCCATTGGTCTAAGCCATTGTAAAGCGTAGTGCCCGAAAGATGCAGTCGCGAACTATGGAGACGATGTGACATGACATTGAGCATTGACGTCTTCCCGCTCCCGCTTCCGCCGATGATTGCGGTTAGACTGCCATGGGGCATCTGTGCCGACACGTTGCACAAAATCGTCTGCGTCTGCTTCTGCGACGACGGCTGGGCCGAGGATGTGCATCTTCTCGAAACGGCGGCGAGAAACGAAGCAGGCCTGCGCGGTGAAACATCGACAGAAAGGTTAAGTCCATGAGCCCTCACGTCAACCGGAGCTACTGCACGAAAGGAAATTCTGCTCCCGGCCGCCGCTGCCGCCTCCGCCGCCGCACCTTTTTGCTGCTGTTGTGGTGCTGGTGGTTGTTGCTGTTGCTGCTGCTGCTGCTGCTGCTGCTGCTGTTGTTGCTTGAGCACAGGCAATGAATTTGAAACATTGACGGGAATGCAGGGGTCGCCGTCAAATGAGTTGGCGTAGCCATGGGAATCACGGTCCATAGGACCATTTTGAGCCAGGTGCTTTTCCATAGTCAGGAACGATGCAGCAGCCAACGGCCAAAGTTAGAATTGGAGCAGGTGCAGCAGCCACACATGGTTCCATTCTAAAATAAATTCCACGTCCAACACAAAGGACAAAGCAGGAACCGACGCTGGCAAGGGAGAATGAAAGAGGGCGAAGAAATTCCCAACCCTGTCGGATTTTCCGTCGTCCCCAAAATCACTCTGGACTCCCCCTCGCAGTATTGAGCGGCAACGCCACAACTTTCTGCTTGTCTCCAGGGCCTCGCTTAGAGACAGGGCAAGCAATTATTGACTGCGTACCTATAATAAAATATTCTTAGGATAAGGGTTTAGGGATGTGTGAGAGATGCGACAGAGCACAACACCGTTAGGTCATGTCTGTGAGTGATGACGAAGCAATCCTTCTGTTCATCCGAGTAAGCAAATAGAGTGTCCGAATTGAGACCTCTAATGCACAGACGTTACGATCCTACTCAAGCGAGCTATAATCTTGAAATCATGAAGCAATAAAATTACTATAGTAGTAAATCATATTCTTTGTCGTGACATTTGTAGCCGACGGTGTCTCCTCAGTGCCTTTAACCGACATTATTCGAGCCATAGCGACACGCTCTAAAACGAGCGGGGTAAAGGTAGTCTTTCTTAGCCCAACGAAACGACGCAGACGAAGCCAGTTGCCATGACCTTTCACTCTCAACCTCCCGTCTCGCCAGCCCAGAGCTGGTTAGTCTGGTGATGGTGCAAGTGTCATCGTTCAAAGCTCCCATAACTTTGCTTTAGCGGGAGAAAATCATGCCGCGGAGATGACATTCACGATCGGCTCGACTCGCGCCATAACGAAATCGCCTGCCCCCCAAAAGAAGATTTGACGACTGTCCTCGCGCTCAACACCTCCGTCATTACGAAGAAGGAAGATCCAAAACAATGAAAGTAATATCAAAAAGTAGCAGATTGAAAGAGAAGAGTAAAGCAGTATATTACATCTTTGCCGGTACATGAGACAATTGAGCAGCCAACTTCTTCGCAAAGACTCCGCCAATCCAAAGACGCAAAAATAAAAACGCCGGCTCGCTCATTCAAAACATAATTGTGCCGCCCACGGCCATCGAAGCAGAATAATTTAGAACATGGAAACAATATAAATTTTCACTCTCCACGCCTGTCAAGGAACCCCTTACCGCCACCCGGATATTTTTTTTTTTTTTTCCCTTCGTTTTCGTTCATAGAATATCAAAAAGCAAATCGTCAGGTGACAAGGAAATCATAGCCTTTCTCTTGGATGATGGTTTCCCAGTCCCAGGAAGACCCGTCACCCAAATCCATCTTCTGCCAGACCAATTCCATGACTTCTCGCGCAGGCTTGATGTTGCCTAGGTTAGAGTAAGCCTCAAGGCCCTGAAAAGCGGTTCGTATTTCAGGACGCTGAGCAGGGTCAAACGCAGCGCATCCAAGCAAGAAGAGTGGCATCAAAAGTACGCTCTGCGTTGAAGCATCCCGCGGAAGCTGTCGAAGGTAGTCAAGACCATGCTCCACCGCTTCGTGGATCTTCTCGCAAGGCGCCGATGGATGAACCGTGCGATAGAGATAAACCCAGGTAGACTGGCGGTAGAGCTGCGCGGCAACATAACGTGAAGTGCCTTCTGGTTGATTAGCGCTCCACGTCCGTATTTCACCGTCAATGGCCACAGCTTCATTGAAGATGCTGTAGTCGACAAGGGGTTGGATGTCTTGGTGCATGCGAGTCCGCATCCTGTCTCTCAAGGCGGTGATCTTGGACAGGTAACCGAAAAGGCCATCCAAAACGCCTAGCATGGAACCGGCCTCGGGTTGTATCATGAAAGCCGGCAGTTGGAAGTTCTCCATCAAAAGCAACGGTCGCCTATCGAGAGATGTGATAGAGTTGGAGACATCATGATAGAGAAAGAACTCCATCAGAAACTGGCCAAATTCTTTATTTTCTGTTTGCTGCGAAAGGAGTAGATGCCTAGCCGCGTCCAAATGCGGCCGATATTCGCCCTGCGTGTCGCCCCTGCAGATGGTCGTCAAACACAGGATGAGTGTTTGAGCCACCGTGGGATCGTCGATCAGCTCGTTGGTCTCACCATTTGCTTTGGCGGTTAGCTGCTTATTGGTCCTAAGGTAACGGACTGCATGTTCAAAATGATAATTCTGTCTTTCTTCCAAAGCTGGGCTTTTGTCAACCGAACCCAAGTGCGATCCAGCGAGACATAAAATTGAGTGCATCAGGCCGCGGTGGCGAATGGCCATGGGGAGTAATAGCTCTTTGAACGGGTTGGATTCATCATTGATGAGGGTAAGGACTCTGCTGACACGATGAACAAAATGGTCTAAGAAGACACGGTCGATATCTGTTTCAATTCCGTCAACCAAGACGGGGAGCGGATGCTGCCTGATCGCTTGACGTTGAACTAGAAAATATCGTCAGCATGCCCAAGTCGAAAAACTCTGAGAGCGCAAGACAAATTCCGTACTTTCCTCCGCCTTTTGCTTACCACTCTTCCACCTTTCCGGAATTTGGTAGCCTTCGCAGACAACCGAATTCTTCTGGCAATTGAGGCCTGCATAATATTCAGTATTAGTATTGATTCACAGCGAATGGTAAAATCAAGGGAATTTTTTACGGACAGATTGGTCTCGCCTCGTCGCATTTCTTCTTCCGCCTTCGGCAGGTCAAGCAGCCCGTCTTCGAACGGCCTTTGGTGATTTTCGGCACGACATCTATCGCCGGTTTTGGATGTTTTCGAGGACGACCGCGTGGCCGTTTTGCCAAAGTTCCGTCAATAGGAGCTCCGAAATCCTCGGTGTGGAAGGGCAGATCGGCTTGGAAGAGATCACTCTCGTCGGAACCCTCACGTTTCGCCAAAACGAGGTCGCTCATGATTGGAGGCGAATCCTGAAGAGAAGAATATCCGGCCGGGGTTGATGCTGAGGAATTGGTCGAACCGGCAGACCAGTCGGCCGAAGCACGAGATGAGGAACAGATGCTCAAACGAGTAACGAGTGATTCAGCATTGGTGGCCATGTCGGTGGATTTGGCAACATCGTAGGACGACACCGATGAAGCGATTTCCCATTGATGAAGCATGCAGTCAATGTTGACTAGGCAGTCAACTTCTTTGTGGAGGGGTCAACTCTTCCCCGCGGTGGGCGTTGTGCATCGCCTGCTGTACACGCCCTGGTCAAAAAAAGGGCGAAGTCCTGGCCAGCGATGGTGACGGACGAGGATTAGATTTGCGTTGTATGGCTTCCCACGAACATCAAAAAAAAAAAAATATAAAAATCGAAATTCAAGCCAAAATTCCAATCAAGAGAAGCATCTGCAAGTGGAAAAAGAAAAATATGCAAATCAGAGCCGCCACCAAGCGCGACTCCAGTCCATGGTCCACGGAAGGGGCACCGAAGGGAAGGGCTTTGAGTGACCTATGTATAATCACGAATGAAGACGATCAGGGATCGGTGCCAGGCTACCCGTATTGGTTCGGTTCCTACGGGAGGTAGAGGTTCGTCAGCAGCCGGCGAATGAGCCGAGAACTGATCCCTCCCTCAGACTAATGGGCATGGTCTTGGTCGGGTTGTCTGGCGGCGCGAAGGGAACAGGGCCAAGGTCAAGGGTCGACGGGCTCTCTCTCAAGGGCCTTTCAAAGGGTCCAGGGGGTGATTAAGAGAGGTGAGAGGCGAGTGAGAGTGAGAGCGAGAAGACAAGAAGGAGGGTTGTGGGTAAGGGTGGTGTGGTGGAGACGAACGGACACTTTCGACGGCAAGGATGATATGGAAGTAGATGGACGTAGACGGACGTACTGTAGGTCGTTGGTACGGCACGCAGAAGCTAAAACCATTATGGGCCCATTATTGTTTATATCTCGTACTTGTATTTTGCTCGATCGAGGTAGGGGGGGCTATCTACTTGCTGCGCATCAATGTTCTGCGTTCTGAAATTGACCATCAATACCCCGGTTACAACATGTTGACATAAAACAACAATTACCAGGGTGGGCAAGAGGGAAAGGTTGTGAGGAAAGGAAGGAGAGAGAGAGAGGGGAAAATGGGCACGCAAATGACATCGACCATGGGGGAGGGGGGGAAGGAGGAGGAGGAGGAGGAGGGTGGTTGTCCATGGGCCGATAATATTGGCCACGCTATGGTCATCGAATTGTCCCCCGCTGTTCGTGCGCACTGTGTCGTTTGTGACCGATGCTGTTGGACTCTCTGTCCAGGTAGAGAGAGAGCATGCGTCGCGCGTATTGCGATGCACCTCCTTCACGCCAGAGAATGGATGCACCCCACGGACAAAGGCGAGAACTATGTTATTTTAAAATTGCATCTGAAATCATCAAATCCTCCATATGTTGTTGGTCAATGGGTGCATGCTCCCAATCAACGAGACCCAGCGCCATTGCAGAGGGTTGGTGTGACCTTTCAAGGGTCCCCCCGAAAAACCTTAAACTGCATCGCCCCAGACGCGGTAGGAGAAAGAGAAGGGTAATGAAAGTTCTGCGCATTACGTCTAGGAACCGGGGGTTGCAGCATCCTGATGAACGACGGCCACGATAGGGTAGAAGGGGACATTTTACAACCGTTTGTGCCATGAGGGGAGCGTGTGTGGTGTGGGTGGGGCAACTTGCATGCCAGCCTGAGTCGTCCAGCCACACAGCATTGGACTGCGGCAGTGGGAGGAAACACAAGGTGATCTGATCTATCCCTTTCAAACTGTAACAAAAAGAAAGTCGGACAGGTGAAGGCGAGTCAGAGAGAAAAGCTGGATCAACCTCTCGGTAGTGGTTACCGGACCATGGCCAGGTAGGGTAGACATGGGCTCAAGCACACTGGTCAACAAAGCGACCAGAATAGGGCACAGGAGCAAGCCACACGCCTCCATTCGGAGAGCAAGCGAGAAACCCTCCCCCAGGATAGATGATCGACCTGCGCAATCAGCTAGTTGGGCATAGAAAAGCCACTCGCTGGGCATTTCGGGGCTGAAAGGTGACGGGGGAAGAAAATGTGACGAGCCATGAGCATGTATGGCGAGAAATGTGCGCTCGTCTATCTGTCAAGTTTCTAGTAAGAAAGCCCAAAGTCTCGAGCGGGCCGATGACGAGGAGGGTGCAGCCCATCAAGAGCGAGAAAGGGTGATTGGGGATTGCATTTGGTTCTTCCCCAGGAAGAGTTAGCCATAGCACCATCGACTATGGCCAAAAAAAAAAAAAAGGGTCGGAAGAGGCTTGGTTTGGCATGGGAGGACGCACCCCATGTCAATAATGTCAGAGACGTGCGCGAGAGTGAAATTGGCGTCTGACTACACTGGTCATCACCCGCCTTTTGTCCATTGCTGGATTTGTCATCGTTGCTGTTGTCGTACTCGTAACTGTGATCGTGGTCGTCGTAGGTTGAAACTACAGTATCCACTACTCTGTAGACTATAATACCAAGTGCAGGACTTGTCCAGCCCGGCATCTTTTTTTGAGGGGGGGGGGGGGGGGGGGGCTAACCATGGATACTTTTGGTCGTACCGCTCGAGTCTACCAAGAGTGACCAAGACGTACCCGCACCCTAAAGGCCCCCGGGCCCCTAGCTCGTAGGTCCCCTAGGCCACGCTAAATACCTAACCATAGAGCTTTGCGCCATGCTAACAGTACGTACTCGGTACCTTTTTACCTGGAGACAGAAGGACGCAGGGATCTGCCGCTCACGAAGGGTGGCGACGTCAAACAAACCGCTAGGCTCAAATCAGAGACCGCATGGGTTTTCTCCAAAGGGTCTGTTATTATTATTAACTTGCTATTACTTCAAGGGGACCATCCTCTCTCTCTTTCGCTCTGTCGCTCGCTTCATGTCTCTCCATCGTCACGCCTGTCTGATTAATTAGCGTAAGAGCTCTACCAGCACTAGGAGCCACCTAAGAATATACACTAAATCAATCCTAACTGCTGCCGCCGTCGTCGAGCTGCCCGCTCGGGCGTCCATGACGGCCGAAAAAACCCCGGAAAAGACGGCGGATAAGAAGTCGTAGATAAATCTTACAACGAGGTCTGTGCAATCCCCCAAGTGATGGGCTTTTTTTTTCCCACCAGAGACTACTAGGCACCGACGATAGAGCACCGAGCACGGTGGTCGGCGCGGAGCATCGTAGTCTTGTCTCACGCTTAGCCGCGATGTACAGATGAGGTATGCACCTCACTCATTGGCCATGAGCGAAACTAGTAGAGGACGCGCCATCAAGAAAAGCGTCACGTCAAGAAATCAATAGTTCCATAAGAACAGTCAGCGCCATGAAAGAGTCATGATCAGAGAGAGCACTGTCCTAGTTCTTCAGACCGTTTGTTTGCGGCGCTCTCAAGGTGGGTAAGCCAAAACTGTTCGGTGCTATAGTTAGTGGTCTCATTTCCTAGATGAGCGTTGATCGTGCAGCCCGGATCGTATAATGATGATCATGAGATTTTCATAAAGCCTGCTTTTGATCGTGGCAAGGGTTCTTCTTTTTCCCCATCTCCTGTCATTTGACAATGATTGTTGTGTCGCGCGATCGCACTTCCCGTTACGTATCCGCCTCATTGCCCCCCCCCTGATGCAAGATCCAGGTCGAACCACCAGGTTGGGATACCTTTTTGACGCCAGATTATGCAGCGTCGCTCGGCCCACAGGAAGAAGAGATGCCGACTCATGTGGACCTCGCCGACCAAGGCAGCCCAACCGAAGGTGGTCGAGAGTTCCGGAGACTCGCCATCTTCCCTTTTTCCAGGGTAGATATTGAGCAGAAATTCCGCGATTGGATTGGTTTCTGTCGGGCCATTCGCAATCATTCATTTGTCCTTTGCGTTCCTTCTCGCCTCATACAAAGTAAGTGGGCTGCAACTTGAGGTGGGTACGACTTATGCATTGTGCCATGTTTTTCTGCGACCTTTAGAGCTGGTGACTTTCGCACGATGCGTCTCATCCATGCATGAGGTAATTCCCGAAGGTCGGCCCAACCCAGAGTCTGCCATCCATCAGCTCAGCTAGCCTCTTTTCCCTCTGCTGCAACCCCCTTGGCACATTCTCATTACAAAAGTGTATGCCCTTGCGACTAAGTAGACATCTATCTTGAAAATAGTGAGTGTGCAGAGGTTATGTAATTTATCTGATCCACCACTGTTCTCACTTTGCTTACATTTCTTGTCATATCTCCCACTCTGCTCGATTGAGAAAGTTCTGAGCGAAATATATTAAGTATTGTTACAGGTGCACGAATCTTGTCGGCTTTTGTCCCCTAAGTTGTAGTGGAAGTTGTGTCCCTTGCTTTATTGCAACGACGGCAGCGTAAGCAGCCGACCAATACCGCTTGAAGCCGTGTGATTTTTGATATGGCGCGGGATGGCAGAATCCCGTGTTTATCGATTTTTAATTATAGGACTTCACATAGGAATACTCGCAGAAGTCGTAGTATTCAGCTGGTTTTTGATGACATATTTGAATGATAACAAAAGCGTTGACACATCTCTTCCGATTGAATTGGTAACCCATTTGTCATTTGACTAATTTATTCCCGAAGTAAGCTCGTGCAGATATGACGAAAATATTTTTAATAACAAGATATGTCACGAGTGTGAAAAATAAATGATTAAATAATATAAAAGAATAATATAAAAAAAACTTTTTTTTTTAATTTAAAAAAAGAAGACTGAAATGACTCCAAAAGAAAAGATAATAAAATAATATAGATGAATAGTACGAAAGAGAAAAAGTAAAAGAGGAACAGAACTGCCATTCACACGACAAAATTGATTGAAAATTTTTTTACTGTTCTACGAGCACTGATGGAGATTGCAAGTATTGTCTCTCAACTCTTGATAGGAACATATGCTAATGTCTGTCGCAGTCAGTAAGAAAGATCGTTTCAGTTATTCCGCCCTGTACTTCCGCATTTTGTCCGGAATGCGCCGCCCTACAAGAAGAATTAGGCGTTTCTCTTAGAAGGTAAACCTCCGGCCTTGCAGTTGACGACCCCGGTAAAAGCAACACCAAGTGGGGCAGGGATGCATGACTGCATGAGGGCACCAGGAACCTCAAAGGACTCTCCGAGGGCTCCCATATGATGCGGGGTTTGATTGGAATGAATGGCCGAAAGTGATGTGCAATATACATACCACTGAGTTTCAGGTTAGTTTGGTGTGTCCTCACAGACTCCAGCTGCCTTGTGGACATCATTCTGCGGAAGACGGAGTTGCCGAAGCGTCCCTCTACGCCCTGCAAATGATTTTGAGCGAGCCCAACCCATTTCAGCCGCAAGATTGATGCTGATGTTTACGCGATCCCAGCGACGCCAGAAAGAGCTGAATAACAAAAGGGGATGAGCCGTGCCAGGAATAATTTAGGCTGCGTTTCCTCTTTAGCTCTTTGACACGCGTTGGACTGAGCAGCAGTAAGCTGCGATCGCCGATTGGTTTGTCGTTTATTTGGTGGAGATATCGGCACCCTGTTATCTCCGTTGCTGTACCTCTGTACGAAGATACAACTGCTGTTTAAGTGTATTATTTCCTGAAACAACAAATCGCCATATAACTAAAACAGCTGAATGTCACCGAGATGGCGCGCTGCTCTAGATACGCGGCTAAGAGACTTCCTAGTGCGCTGAGTGCTGCGTAGCAAAAGTTACTCGATCAAAATAGAGCTGAATGTTGATCCCGCCGGGCATTGATTGGATGACTTGGCAAATCTAAGATGCGGGTAATGGAAGGTCCAAAAGACCCTTGGAGAGCCCGATGGGCTGCGGCGTAGAGAGATCTTCGGCCCCGCCCGTTGCGGTCCGACGAGACCAGTGTTTTTTCTCCCTTTCCACTCTTTGTCAGACGTATACTCGTACCCCTGGCTTTCGCTTTTCACTCAAGGCTTGCCCAAGGAGCTCAAGTGATATCTTACGAAGGGAGACGGCCTCTAGGCGTCAAAGACGGGATCCTCTGAAACCTTTTTTTGGTTTATATAGCACCACATATAGGAGTGCAGAACTTTCTCGAATGCTCAAGGGTCATGGAGGATTCCATGTCATCAACTGTAACCATAAGTCAATACTATATCTACCCTTTTTTTTGCTGGTTCACGTGTCCGTTCCACCCCTGTGTTGTTGAATTGTGATGATCATTGCTTCGAATTCATAATTGTAACACCACTGAGACAGTTTCAGGATGAGTTGACAGCGATGTCACAGGGTCTGCAGGACAGCCCAATCCGCGTAGGGCATTCCATCCTGTATATCTGTGTGTGCGCGTGTGTGTGTTAGGGATCAGGGGTTTTGAGGATAATTGCTCTGTCCCTAGTCACGATTAGTCAAGCACTCTAGTAACAGGATTTTCAGACGACAGGCCCGACCCCAGTGCTGCGTCATGCCACTCACGGTTCGGATATCTCTCCGTAAGACGATCAAATGTACAGGGGAATAGCAAGACCAAGCGCCGTCGGAGCTCGCCATATTGAAAAACTCTTAATGTCTTTAGAATGATACTGTACGTATGCTTCTGTCTCCGGACAAAGTTGACCCCCGAGAAGCCATTTGCCTGGATAAATGTTTCTCTCCCAAGGTCTTTGGAACATCGACTTAATTTAAAGAATCCTAAATTCCTAATATTCTTCATAGAGATGGCGTTACAGCGTCAAAAGATGCCCTCGCAGCAAGGCAACTCGTCTCCTTCAACCCAAAGCCCGTTGAATTTGTTGTATTATATGATAGTCTGAAGCAAAGACAGTACGAAGATCGGAGCTTTCATAGCTGGACTAACAACCCGGGACACTTTACTGAGCACATAGCCTAGGTAGGTAATGTAGTGAGTACAGAGATCTGGCCAGGGGCCGGTCAGGACAATATCCTTAAAAGTGTACATATTATATGCCCAATGGTCGTACCAATATATGCACTAGAAGGTGCATGACGATGATGATAATGCTGTAAATGGAAAAATAAATAAAAAATAAAAAAAATAAAACACAAGGAAGTCAAAAAAGATTTGGACCCACGGAGCTGATGCGCCACCACTAACAAGAACGAAGAAAGTTCGCGCCAAAATGCAAACGAGAAGACCTCCTTGGAATTTGAAACGGCCTGACTACAATGACTCATAAAATGCAAAAAAAAGATGAAGCGTGATAGCTGTTTTTCAAAAGGAATATGTAAAAGAGATGCGACACTAGTAGAACGCTCTCATCGCCGCAAAGGAGGTTGACAGATTATCCAACGATTCATCCTTCTTGCGGTGACCGGCAAGCTAAAAAATGAGTTACTATTAGTAAAACTTTCGCGGTTACGAAATTCGCCGTGATCTATCGAGACTCACCTCTAATTGGATTTGACGATGCACGTGAACCAGCCAGTCAACGTAACTTTGAGCCTCATTGTTCCTGTCCTCCACGAGAAGCCTTGCAAATTCATACTCTGAGCCGTCGAAGCCTTGGCGCGCTAACTGAATTGTAAGAGCTTTCGAGCCGCGAACAATAGAGAGGTATTGTAAAATGTTCCGGACTTGCGCGTTTAGGTGAGTTTCGAGAATAGGTAGTGAAGACAATTGCGGATCGAGGGACTGCAATGACGTGTAGGACTCGCCAAAAAGATCCACTAGTAAGTTGGGAGATACTTGACTATGAATCCATAGTAAGCAAACTTGGCCGTTGTCCACAATGTAAGCACCTCCCTCCTCGATGCGCGAGAAGGACGCTCGAATGGTGGGCGGCATGCGAAGATGGCCATTCTCATTGGGAAACCCGTCCTGAAAAGATATGTTAGCTTCGAAAACGAGCTGAAGAAAGAGAGACTTACTTGGTCATGGAGGTTGTGGATCGGTATGATACGTGGATACAGATACAAGGAGAGCTCTAAGACGCCCATAGACTTGATCATCCGCATATCATGCACTCGTCGATCTGAAGGTTCCTGACCGCCTGTCGTTCATGAATCCCATGTTAGCGATGCGCTGTAATGAGCTAAGGTATTATTCGCACCCTTGAAAGCCCTTGACTTGAGCAAGCTTAATATATACATGCTGAACTCCTTCAAGTTCTCGGGGAGAACCAACTGCCCTGGTGGGTGAGAGCCAGAGAAGTTCTTCCTATAACCAGCAAGTATGTCCACGGTCTTCTCGGTAATTCCGCCACGGATTTCCTTCAAGGTTCGCTCGGTCATACGGGAGGCAGCTTCCATGATAAGTCAGCGTACGCTTCACAGGATATTTTCCATAGCTATATTCGGAGAAGTAGACGAACCCTCTTTGGCGATGATGTTTACCACAGCATCCTGGTCGATGAATCTCATTACCTCGGTGCCTCCCTCACTCACACTTGCTACGACATTAGAGCACCTCACCCGCCGTTCACCTGTGGCAGTCGTATACAAGAGGGCGCTCTGGAAGTGTGCATCAAGCTTCGGATCCAGTTTACCATCATAACTGAATAGAACTGCAATCGATTTATCCTCGTCGATGACACCAAACTCAAGATCAGCGCCGAAGGAATGCTGGACAAAGTTTCCATGATAAGACGAAACCTGTAGTCCGTTGGAGCAACGAACTTTCATGAGGGCTTGATAGCCTGTCTCGCGAGTGACACTATGTTTGATTTCTTTGGAAAGCTTCAAGCAGTCTCTAGGCGCATGAAAGTTGGAGTAATAGAAAGTTTCTCCGCCAGTAAAGGAAGAAATATGACCTGCAACGCCTAGTTAGATATATTGTACCTGCAGCCCCAGATTGCTGAAAAAACGTACCGACCGTGGCCACATCAAGATAGCCTCCGCCAGCGGCAGCCAAGAACATGTCAACTCCCACTCCGCACTCAACCATTTTCGAGGCCGTCTTTCTAAAGCCGGGATGCTCGGTGGTGAAAAGCTTCTTCTCCGCATCCGTATGATGAACTTTCTGGTTATCACGCAGGAACAAGCGGCCCGGGCCCCAAGTTGGGAGCGATGAAAGTGAACAAACAATCTTGCCACCAGTTGATGACAATGCAGAAAGTGCAGCGTTCAATGTAGGCAAAAGAGCGGGTTCAGGGTTCTTGACTTGAGAGAAGAGCGCCGGAATTTGTGTCAAGAGGGAAGTAATAACGGACCTATCTTCGAATCAGTATCTGAGCTAGCCGAGAAAATCCGGCTCGAATAACGTACTTTGATTCCTGAGGGTCGACAAAAAGACCCTCGCTGAGGGGCACAAACGGATCCTCAATATCTGTCATGACCATCATTTGTGCTTGTTCCAGATTAGACTAGATAGAAAGTCAATAAGGCTACACCCAACTCTTGTCGACACATTTCCACACTTACCTTTAAGTTGTAGAAGTGGATTTCCTTGTCAAAAGTTATAATTCCAATCTTTGATCCAGCTGGTAGCTGTCCTTTACCAGATCTTCCTTCGGCCTTTTCTGCCTCAGTAGCGTCATCGGCCTCGCCGTATAGTGCTCCAAGTATACCTTCACAGAAGGCCTCTAAAAAGCCCTTATTCAACGCCTCTTGGCTCACGTCAATTAAGAACAGCCACCGCAGCCCGATAGGCTCCTTGGCCCAGTATTCCTTGGGCACCATAAATTCGACGGTGCCCATCGTGAGTTCCGGCCTCTGCGTTCTGTCTACACGCACCCCAGAAGGATCTGTGGGAGCAAAATATTCCGGGCTAACCTCGTTCGGGAATGTACACATATTGCAGACCAATGTGTTTCCACCAGATCGGAACGTCATGAACGGATTTATATAGGTCCTGCATCTTCTACATCGCGGGGGTCCGGTTTCGCCAAAGTCCAACACAGGAATCGTTTGTTCACCGGGCTGAAGTGGACCAAGTGGCTGGAGTATCAATCCAAGAGGAAGACCTGTGGAGGATAGCGCCTCTAATGTAGACGGTATATTGTTCAGAGACAATCGCGCAAGCTTCGGCGAGGCGTTTCCCTGATCGTACGATATGTACGAGACGGCCGCTGGGGGAGGAAGGTGGTGCTCCATGGTGGGATAAACGTGATCCAGGTAATACTGCGCGGGCACATCGCGAGACCTTGGAATGCTTGGTATCTGTTCTGGATCAACTCGATTTTGCTGAGATCCTGAGGTGGGGCCGGCAGCAATTGGTTGATGCGCACCAGCAAAGTTGGGGGGAGCAGCGAACTGTGGGACTGATGGATGACCAGCTATCGGAGCAAAAGAGCCAGATGGTATTCCAGGAACCTGAGGAGCCCCGGGTGCAGCCAATCCCGGACTATATGGTGTAGTTGGTATTTGCGCAGCTGGGGCGGTCGAGCTTAAGAACTGCGAAGGTGAGCCTAAGCCGTTCGCTGGCACGCCATTAAATGCTTGGGAAGAACCGGCCGGCTCAAGATTGTGATAAGCATGCCTATCCTTCTTCTTATGTGGCCGCACACTTCCATGGGCCTCGCCTCCCATGGCCAGTCCTCCCGTCTGTTGCACCATTTTGCCGTCGCTCGCAACTCCGCCGTGGGGAGCCAACGGTTGCTCCGGAAAGTATCCTTGCGCCGCCGTATGTGATGCATACTGCTGCTGACCAGTATATTGCGGTGATTGATAGTGCTGCGAAACGTTGGGTGAGGGCTGGTTATGTTCGGAAAGGCCAACGGAGTAAGGCGAGGAAGCAGCGTGGAATTGCTGGGTTGGCACTTGGCCTTGCACACCAGGGTGATTAGGATCGCCATTCGGATCGCCCTGCCCTAAGGCATGATACATCTGGAAGTCAGACATGTTATTGTTTAAGTGCGCCCTTCAATACGCTGGAAGACTCGATCTGAAATAGAAATTAAGCTCGCGCTGCGGACCAAATCAGGGGACACGAGAGCTGCGCCTGATCATAATCGTGAAAGTGACTTGAATTGGGGAATTTAAAGACTGATCGTTCTCCACCGATGCTCGCTCAAATTAATCAACACAAAATTCCCTCAGAGTGCCATCGGAGTGGTTAGAGGACGTAATGCGTATACTTCAGATCAAGTCGTCGTGTATATAGGAGGTGAGCTTGTCCGGAGGACATACGCTAAACATATCTTGACAGCTTGTTTCGGTCAAAACATCCCGGTGTTACCCGGCAACAAGTATTTTCGACCTCGGCCATAGTATGAGATCGCGTTGATGGACGCAACTGCTAATGAAATCAACAAAGATATTACGGAAAGTCTTCTTTCCTTCAAAATTCATCATATCATTGAATTCTAGAGATTGAGGCAATAACAACACATTCGATACGCCTCACTTGAGATTTCAAACCCTTTGACTCCGACAGGAAATTACAATGGATCGTTTCTGCCTCGAGCCTTGCGCTCCAAACTGACACGGAAAACGCACTGAAACCCCAATATACCAAAGAACATCATCCTGGTTTTGACGTAAAAAAATATATATATTACATCTGATCAGTTGAAGAACGAAAAAAGAATTTGTACTCTTAAGCCGCGTATCAACAAGTGCTCTTGCCGTTTGAAAAAAGTCCCAACCGGAAAATAACGCCGTGTGAATGCCATGGGTATCTAAGCGCCGCTAAGATCAAAATATCCGGTCTTCAATGTCATCAGTTGGAACTAATTGTAGCAGATCCTTTGTCCTGGGACCAGTATATTTCCTATCGCAGTATCGTCAGAAAATAACCATTCTAGACAACTTGTGCACTTACTTTCGAGCGCCAATCCACCACCAGGATAGAGCGAAAACACCGATGAAGGCTGCCACACAAACCGCATAATTCCTATGTCAATTTAGCGCTGTTCGAATTGTAGAGGCCACACTGGTTTGACAAACATATTTGCTGCCGTAACTGGTTTTGTTGGTGGGAAGAAAAGCACCACACTAATAAAGCAAACCCAACTGATAGCTACCGCATTGATTGGCAACCCCCATCTTCCAAGGGAATAAGGTCCGTCAATGAACTTAACCTGTCTCTCGTAGACTCTTCGAGCCAGAATCACAGCAATGTATGAAAGGTCCAGCGCTGGCGCTGTAATATTGAAGATGGCCACCACCGTTTGCGAAGAGCCAATGCCAATGCAGTTGAGGCAGGTGCTTAGAATAACTACCAACCATACTGCATACACGGGAGTCCTAGTTACTTGATTTACTTTACTCCAGAAGCTAGAACATGAGAAGAATTAGAATCTCGTTGCAAATATCCGATAAGTGATATCCCTACCTTGAGAAGGGCAGTGCGTCATCGCGGGCAAATGCATATGCCATCCTCGTGTCTGCCAGCATTGCAGAACAGCCGGTGAAAAACTGGATAAGTATAACGAAAAACCACATTATTGTTCCCCCAGTCTTTCCGCCGGCGTTGAGGAATATTTGAGCTGCAGGCATTCCGGTAGGTGAATTGATAATGCCATCAAAATCTTTCATGCAGAAGCAAAATGTGACCGTAAGCATCCATCCGAGAGCACCTGATACAAGTACCGCTGCATTGATTGCGACGGGACCTCTGATAGCGGCGTCATGAGTCTCTTCAGACATACTAAAGGCGATTAGTAAATTTGAGTTGGTGATATTATTGGGACGTACTGAGTAGTTCCGTCATAGTCCGTCATGGTCCACGCGACCGAAAGGAACCTATATGGCTGTAAGTTAAAAGATACAACCCAGCAAAATAAAAGCGACACGGAATTTACCCTAATAGAAATGAAAAGCCCTTGCTTGACCAGCCAGAGCCATCCGTTACTTCAGTAAATACCCATCTGGCGCTTTGCTTTTCCGGAGTCAAGACCAAAAGTGCAACACAGATTCCAACAGATGCCGTTACTGAACAATATAAGCCTTAAGTACCTAGGTGTATATGTGCGGGACCTACTGTTAATTGGAGCAAACCAAAGTATGATTCTGTGAAGACTCTTCGTTGTTAAAGAACAGATAATTCCCATAATGCAAAGCAGAAGCAGTGTTAGCAATACTGTTTGCAACGCCGTGCTGCGAGACGGAATCAGCCTTTCAACTATTTGCTGCATAATTCTGACAGAACGCTCAACTCACGGAGAATATGAATATGCGCCGTCGACAAATTGTGAGTTCATGCTGGCGCAAGCTAATATCATCTGGGCTACTGTATAGGCGACGCTTGAAACACCTGCCGTCTGACCCAGGAAATTGCACCATCCCACCACCCAAGCCCAAATCGCAACATGCTCTGGGGGCACGACATGCTTTGTTACAAAATACATGCCGCCGGCGGTCGGATAGGCTGACACAAGTTCGGCCACTGACCATCAACCGTCATCAGTACAGGTAATGCTCATAAGGCGCCTTTCAGAAGGGAATCTCACCTGAGCTTGCTATACACATGGCTATGCATGAACCAATAAACCAGCACCAGACAGCAGTAGCCGGCCCTCCAGCCATAACGGGGCTGCCAAAAGTTGCAGGAACAGAACCCAGAACGCCGAGAATGGAGATCGCATAAGAAACGGTGGACCATTTGGTAAATTCACGGCGCAATTCCTGCAATGACACGCATCAATTTCCATAGAAGGAAGTGCAGTTACAGGGAAATGCCATTTCCTGACATACCTGGCGATATCCAATGCGCGCAAGGAGTCGCTCGTCATCGTCTTGAATGGTGGCCATTGCTGGGTTTGTAGGTGTCCCAGCTTTCTCCGAAATCTGATTATCCAAATGAGTCTGCGCCGTCTCAGCATAAGATCTTTTGGACAGATTTTTATGATCCATAATTTCTCTATAGCCGGAGGGTCACATAGAGACGTCCGAGAAAAGGATTGTGTTTTGTGACGAAACAAAAAAGTACCGACAAAACGGCAGAGGGGGAATTGAACAAGTGGACGAGACGACATGTTATAGAGGAGGAGAAAATTACATATATACTTGCAGGTCATTCACTGATCAGCTTATGCATCGGCCATTGAATGGCTCGCCGGAGCAGCAATCCCCAGTCCCGCAGCTACTGCAAGACCTAAGGCCGCGGAAGCAGAGTTGTGATAGCTGCTGGATTGGCTAGCCCACCATGTGTCCTAGTCGGTTTACCATTGAGCATCTGGTGATCTTGGCTTCGCTTGCAATGCGGCAGTCGAGGGGGGAGCCCCGCGCCGTTGGAAAGAATGATATGCCTTTGGATTGTCTCCGTACAGGCGCAGTCGAGGCGGAGGAGCTAGAGGGAGTCGCCCAACCCAAAATCTCGGAACCTAAACTGAAGCGGAATGATTTGCCGTGCCACTTGGGGACGCGTCAGATCTGATTGGGTTGCTTTAATAGATTGAAACGTGGGCAGGGGCGCGGAAATGGTTTAAAAAACTAGGTCAGAACTCCAGAGAGTGTAATTGAAGCCAGCATCACCACCGACCGGGTTTGTGGGCCGAACTCAATCGCACCGGGGAAAGCTTCTTTGACGAAGGAAGAATTCGGACGCCCTGACGTCGCACAGGGAAAGAAATGGCAAACGACGATTTTGTGGCGGCAGAAGAGTGCAGCCTACAAATCCCGGTCTCATCTGACAACGCGACCAGGAAAATGATGATCGTCAACAAGTCGAGTCGAGAATTGCATATCCCGGAGAAACGTGTTTCGCTGTCAACCCTGCCACAGATCAATTGGCTCGAAAAAGAAAGTTCATCCCTTCTATGTCCGCAACTAGGATCTTTGAGTAGACACCCCTCATTGGTCGTAAGTATATTGGCAGCTGCCAGCATGGCCGTCAGAAGTACGGGTACAATGCCTGAACTGTAATTTCATTGCATCACCCCAACGATACGGCACGACCAGCTTAGGTGACCCCCTTGCTCAGGAACCTTATAACGTAAGGATCTGTTCGCGCCCGCTTCTATGGTACAAGGGTTTTCGAACATGGTGAGGGTGCATAAAGGCTCGTGTGCTTGCGTCCATCTAGGCTTGTGCAATGGGGTTCATAATCTCCTGACAGGAATTGTTATCAACGATTCTATTTCTTTTTTTTTTGGGGGGTCTCAATTCATAAACACTACTCTGTGATGTCAATCATTTTGCGGTATTATTAGGTATAAGTTTAACGAGAGCACTGTACCTGGAACGGAGTCGACACTTGAGTTGCCCCATTGGTCTCTGTTAAAGTGGGTATCCAATGTAAGTTAGGTGGTCCCGCCCAGTATCAAAAAGAGGACCTTGACGTCTCGTTATCGTATCCAGGACCCCGTAATTTGGTGGATCACTAAAACCAAAACCTTTCCCAAACCTCATTAAACTGTCCGTGGAGCCGCATGTAGACCCATGGCAACTCACTGGGGTCCAAGGCGATGGAGAAGGCGTCGAGAGCTCGCTTAAACTCCCTAACGCTCTTCCAAAAAGCTGCTACTGACCTATTCGTATCAGAGTATGATGACCGTATCACTGTGAGATTATTATTCATGGCGGTGAGCAACGTCAGCAGACCGCCCTGGAGCGTCTCTATTGCAACCTAAGAAACAAAAGTCATTTTCGTCCTATCACTTTCGACTGTCAATTGTTGAGGCTAAGCCTGCAATTTTCCTGCTTCTTGCACCAACATACTTCACAATGAAGCCGAATCAGAATGTTCGAATATTGTACCGCCTCATGGCCCATGATGAATAACGTACCCAAGAAAGTAAAGGCAACTACCTGGGCTTTTCCGATGCCCCTGAAGGAAAAGACAACTGTATGATGTGCTCGGCTAGTAATTTCCAATCTCTTCTGGCCACGTCTTTTGTCGCTAAGCATCTCCCCCAAATGAATGTTGAGCTAGCAGTCATATTGTCAAACTGCCTGTTTCAGAGAAACGATCATCCTCACATGAGGAGGCCCCCCCCCTGTCGATACACTCCATCATGGCTTGTACAATTACCTGCAATTTAGATTGGGCATCACTGTGTGCTTAGCTCCCGCCTGAATCGGCCCGCGTCCTGAATAATTGGACGATCACTCAGCCTTGTCTTTATCATATATGTGGATGGCAATTTGACCGCGGCATGATTTTCTTATCGCGATATCTTCCTTAACGAAGATCCTCAGTCATTTTGTGGATGCATGAGTCAAAGGGCAGAAGGGAAGGCGTTCCTAGCGAGATCGCGTCGGACAAGAAAATGCTGTACGACTCGAGGAATCCAAAGAAGACTCACTCCTCTCTTTGAGCCAGGAAGAAGAAAACATCAATCGGATGCCCCTGTCTGCTCGCGCCCCTCTCTATCAGCAAACAGAAAAGGACCGATCTAGAGCCAAGTTGACAGGCGAATCAGTGAATTGTTGTACTTCCAGCTGTCTTCCACAGTTATTGGCAGTTCCCCAGGAGAATCTCTTGAAATGAGATCAAATTGACGCGTCCATGGTCAGCAAATCTTCAAGCCTGTCATGGATTGAGGCTGCTGTTTAGCTGACGTTATTGTGCTTCGTAAGACCAATTGAAGATCATTGTACCCACCGGAATGCGGGGTCATTCCATATATATCAACGTGCGTCTGCATATACCTCTTTTCGGTTTCGAACGAGTTGATCGACGTTAATGCCAGCAGCTGGCTTTTTGCTATTGATACCACGACAAGGCTGATCATCCGTCTGCCGAGGCGCCACTTCTCTCCTGTACCATCAGAGGTTTCGCTCAAAACACTTTCTTCATGATTGCAAGCTTTGTCAAATTCGGTCAAACTAAGCGAAAGAAACCTTTCACGGGCTTTCTAGCCTGGATAGTTTATTTCCTAAATATCAAAAAGGAAAGCTTCTAGCTCTCTAGTTTATTCGGCATTCCTCGAATAGTAAACAGTGGAAACTTCATGCTTGATGTAGAACAAAAGAATGAAAGTAAAATGCTGAATTCAATACCAAAACAATACCATATAGAGAGGAAAACATAAAATCTAGAGTTTGCTTGAGCAACATGACGAATCTTCGTCGACCTTGAGAGTAGAGGTCGCTTGGTGATGTGCCTCTGAGAGTAGGTCGGATTTATTAAATGACTGAACAGAGGGCGGTACGTCTAGAGCCGGGTTCTTAGTGAAAAAGTTCACTGGCTTCAAGTGCACCTTTAAGATTTCGCAAGGCATGACTGGAAAGTCCTCAATCCTTGGAATATGATTGATCCCAAATTGGACGAAGACAACAATATCGGTGTCCTTGACGTTGTCCTTTCGGTCGGCCCAGGCCCGTACACCAGCACCACCGCGGGACTGATTGGTATATTTGCCTCCAGCGTATAGCTCGCCATCGCGGTATTGTGTGACGTATATAGAACGGTCCGCGAATTCTGCTCGCTTGTAGTGGAAGCTTTCTTTCAGAGCTAGCATCTTCTGGAATGGTGGAGCCATGATCTTATAAGCAACTGGCTTGCCGTTTACTGGATTTTTTACAGCTGCGTTTTGAATCTTGAAGATCTGGTTCTTATCCACGTCTACGTCGTATCCACCAGACTTCTCGACGACGGTCTCTTTCGTGTAGTATCCCACGGAAAGCGGATTGAAATCAGACGGGGCCATGGCGTGAGCTTCATCATACACCAGTCTATTATCATATCCGTCCAGGGCTGGGTCTAGGCGAAGGGAGAAAATATGCTGGTGATGAGCGGCCAAGACACCTGGGTGCACCACAGTGCCCCACGGCACCTCGACGCCGTCATCTAGGGGCTGCGTGCTGAGAATTCCAGTAGCCCGAACCTCATATGTAATTTCTCCCGCTTGGTTGAATATAAATGCCAGGATATACTCGTAATTTGCAACAGTGATGATACTAAAACACGAAGTGAGCGGAGTGCCTATCAAATTCATGGGTCGAAAAATCTACCTCTGTAGCACAAGCTCTCTGTTTCGAACAACGACTGCTCGTCCAGTTCTGTAGTTGGTGTGCTTCCAACCAATGCCGGCGTCTTGTTCATGAATGCATACGACATTGTCCATATTGATAGTCCCACCTTTATCATCAGAAAGCACTGCATTCAGATAATAAATTGAGCCGAGACAGTCACACCCTAATTTGAGATTGTTCGCCTGGAAAATTCTATGATTAGTGAAATGAAGCTCTTCTCTAAAAGACCAAACCTTACCATGATGCCAGCTCCGGCGTCGCCGAGGTCAAATGCTGCTTTTCTATTGAAGGGAGTTCGTGGATCCGCGTATGGAATGTTCATGTCGGAGAGAGACAAACGGTAGAATAGACTGCGATCATCGTAGCGTACCTAGTCCCCCGCGTCAGAATAAAAATGGCGAACGACATGTTATAGTCATGACTCACATCATACAGAACCATCCCCTCCCTCTGGTTAAAACCAACGCGAAATCTCCATTTCTGCCAATCGATGACTGAGCTGGTCTCTTGTTTAGACACTTTGAAACTTGCGCCATCCGGTTGGACGACATTTAGAGGCTTGAGATCAGTACGGAGCACCTGAGCCTCTGGAATATACTCGTTTGCAGGCTTCAACTTATAAGGCACTGTCGGTTTGACAGTGTTATCAGCCCCCGTTGGTAGATGGTCTATCCTGCTAACGCGCATTGTCACGGTATCAACGACCGGAGAAATTGCAAGGGGCAAAGCATAATGATTGGAGTCTGCCTCCGAAGAGTTAAACGGGTCTCGCATATAAAGAAAGCACTGATACATTCGATTATCGTCATCGATGCCGTTTGAACCTCCAGGCTATCAGCATATTACAACACAAGAAGTGACATGGCGTCTTACCATAAATCCAAGGATCACAAATGACCACAGTGCCCGCGGGAAGGTGAAGTTTGCGAATCTCAGCCTTGACGCCTTCATCGGCTAACGCAACTTTCTCGACCGCGATAATTTCCTCCCCGTCCGCCGAACTGTGGACATTAGGGCCCAATCGCACATTGCTCTCGACCCTTTTCAGCGAGAGATTCGCTACAGCTTCATGGAGCTTATTCTGAAGTGCGAGTATGAATCAGTCAAGAACCGGCGTTTCATTCTGAACCATCGTGCTTACTGTATTCCGAATATAGTAGCATACGAAGGCTCTTCTATGGATTGTAGGAAGTGGCTTTCCGTTATGTTCAGCGTTTAGGAAAGGTATAGCTTCTTGCTTTGCAGGCTCTGCAAGGGTAATAGCTTTGAAGTGGATATCGGTTTCGGCCGGGTACAGTTCCTTGATGAGCTTAGAACCGGTGACGATTTCGCTCGCGCTCAGAGGAGCGAGCGGGTGGATTGCGGCACTCATTTCGCACAGTCGAAAGTTTGTCGACGAGCTTCAATGTCAATCTTGTTGAAGAACGACGTTGATCAAGAATTTGAGCCTTAAAAGCTCAAGGTGCCTTGCTCATATAACAGTGTCAAATTCCACCAAGTAGATCTTCATTTTCCTGGCGACCAGCGCTATATAATTGCCTTCTTTACCCCAATATGATTTGCAGTCAGGATACTCACTATCAATTGAGCTTCCAGATAAGAAAGTGGCCCAAATTAGTTAGAGATAGGCCGAATAAAACGTAACCGACTTCTCCGCTGCGGAGAAGATTAAATAATGTGCAGTCGGTACGTTGTATCACTATCGGACCAAGTCGTCGGCACGAGATACGGGGTTTGGCTTAGCGGCAGGGGCAACTGCCCGTTGGCCTTTAGCCCGGTAAGTAGACCATCGCCATCTTGGGTAGGTGTGAAATACTGTATCTGTCCAACGGTGTGGATTTGAATACCTTATACACCGCAATGTAAAAACCCACTCAATGTCGAAATTCTTGAATAATTACGTGGTTGGCCGTGGGAGGCACGATTGATAGTCAATCAAAAACAAGGAGTTTGACTTGCTGTCGATCACGTCGAAGAGGCTAGATTCATTTACTATGCAGAACAAGCCTACGGGAAGCTTCTGTTTGCACTACATTAAAGATCCCTGTAGCATGAACCTTTCGACTTCTTCAAGATAGATAATAGTTTATAACTCCATTCTGTATTGCGACGCCTCTAATATTCGGTAAGATAGGGAAAACAATAGGGTTGTGCGAACAATATGCAAAATTGCGAATCCAAAACTCAACGCCCAGTAAAGTAGATAACTTATTGCACATAAGAAAAAGGGAAGAAAAGACCGAAAACCGTAAAACTTTACGAAAGTGACAGTTTCAAAACCCGGAAGAAAAAAAAAAGAAAACAAGAAAAAGATCAAACGCAACTGAAAGTGTCCCTTGAGCGTCATCCTTCCCAACCGATCGTATCAAGTTGTCGATATTAGGGCTGTCGGGGCCTCACTAAGCCCGGTGAACTGCAAGCCAAATTGGAGAGAGACCACCGGGACCCCTTTTCTCGTCCCAGCCAAAGTCAGCAATGGGCTTTTCGGATTTTTTATCTGCAGCGAAAAACGAGATGCCCTTCAGCCACCTTCCATCTCCTAGTTCAAGTACCTCAGTAATGCCATTCTTCGCATTGTCACCCGTCGTGGCGCCCAACTGATGGATCACGTCCTTGACAGTCATTGAAGTAGGAACTCGCATAATGGCAAAATTAAATTCCTGCCCTGGCTTTTCCCATGGATGGTGATTTCCAAGCACGACATGAATGAGAGTATGCTTCTTGGGAAACAAATAGTTGGCGCTGCCATCGATGGGTGTTTCCTCGAGATCGATTCCGGGTGGAAGGAGATTTTCAGCTACTGGTTTTGGAGGCTGCGGAATCTCTGGAAGCGCTGCAAAAGGTGGCACAGGAGAAGGATAGAGGGGCTGTGGAAAGACGCATCCTGCGGAGTAGAACGAGAAAGGAAGGGCACCATAGCCAAACGAAGGTGCTGAAGGGGTTCCCATGACGTTCATGTAGTTGTTATTTGTCGACCAACCGTACGGGGGAATTTTCGCCATAAGGGAGTTGAAATAATAAGTGGAGGCCCTGAACTGTTCCAAAGATGCAAGAAAACCCAAAAAGTGCGGCTCGCGGTAAATGGAAGACGGCTTAAGTGGCGTAAAAGTAGAGCGGTAACACGTCAGTGGAGTACCCAAATGACAGCTATGGAAATGGGAATGAAGAATGGGCAGGCAAGGCGGCTTTAATAAGGCAGACCGAGAGTGTGAATCATGATGAAGCGAAGTCTGGGCTATAAATGTATGGATATTGACCCCTGTTGAGAGTGACGTGGGACTAAAAGGAGAAAAGAGGGTCACGGGTGAAAACATTCAGGGTTGAAGACATGAATGGTGTGCCCCAAAATATACACAGCTCATGACCGCCCAGATACAAACTGCAAACGGACTGCCATTCACTGTAAATGGAACATTGTTTGGCAGTCATGAAAAGTTTGCAAAAGAAACAGGCCTGATCCATTTGATTCCAAAAAATGCTGATTGTAATTTCGAACCACGATGTTGTAATATCCAGTAATTGTGCTTTTGATGCATTAAGGTTTTCAAGCCGCGGTTTGCTATGTTCGAGACTTGGAAGCTGACTGATGATTCAGCCGCCGGAAACTACGGCAAGCCCCTCATAGATCTTCCTTTTGACGGCATAGAAGCTCCCTTCCATGTTGCTAGACCTCTGGCCCGGAGCGAATAAACCTCCACCTTCAACTTCAATCCTTCCGGTTCCAGTTTTGCGAACCGCAACGAGACCATCGATGACCAGGGTACCTTCGCCTCTGAACTCGGCAAGGTGTCCGGATGCTTGCATAATTTTCCTCAAGTCAGCCAGCCTTAGATCACCGACGTGGAGAGGTTGAGCAACAGAACGAGTGGCGGCAGCTATGCTTGCTGGAAGAACATCTAACGTTGGCGGCTCCTTGGCCATTTTCACCGAGCCATGATCTTCGCCCTCTGCAATATCGTCTGCATTATCTCGATCCAGCTTTTGTCTCTTCGTGAGACTTGTCAGAGACAGATTAGGCGACTCTTTGGCTTCTAATCGGCCAGTAACAGTCACGACGCCAAGCCCTCTTACGCTCTGCCAGTGCAAGCGCCTTACAAGTGTGTCGCTAAGTTTGACCACCCAAGCATTGGTGTCTACACTTGCATCTACAGCTTGGCCAACAATTGGTGTCAAAATATCCAGGCCAATCTCTGCTGAGGCGCCCAGTCTCGCGCTGAGCAATTTCCGACAATCATCCGCGAGGGTCGAAGTTTCATCTGTGGTGCCTCCCACGAGGATGAGTTTGCGTGGTTGAATAAGTGGAATAAGCATCTGCAGACTCCGCTTGTCATGAAGACCCATGAAATCGATAAATGTAACGTTAAAGCTAGCACCAACAGTGCGAGTTTTGAGAGCAAGTTTTGATGGGATCGTAGCGGGTTCGTCGGCTTCAGATTCAGAGGAACTTCCTTCATCTTCAAAGCCTAGCGAGGACACACCCACCGGGTGTTCCGACGCATCCAATTCCGAGCTATTCACTGCGCCAACATCTTTCCCGTCCCTCTGTCGTTTGTTTGAGTCATCCAGCTGTCGACGATTCTTCGATCCATTTGCTCCGGTAGCCTCATCCCATTTCCTTTTTTGCCCAAGTCCTTGAGCAGAATCAGCAGCAGTACCTCGAATTTCGAGCCCGTCGACTTCCTCTCGCTCTTCAGCCCTAAGATAATCCTCAGGCCGGATAAGCTCCCCAAATTCGTCACCTCGCCGTCGCTTTGCCACAAAAGGAAACATTTTTTCTCGGCCTCTTTTGTTCCTCACGTCATAGTCATGAACATCCCGCCGGCGCAAAAGCACGTTGATTCCCAGCTCCTCATTAGAAAGTCCTAGCTTATTGCGATTGGAATGGGCCATTGTTGCAGAAATGTTCAAAGCTTTGCCCTGATGCTCAGATTCAGATTCTTCCGAGCTCGAAGAGGTTGAAGATGCATCGTCGACAGCATCAGCAGCATTGTCGAGATTTGCACCTTGTTCCGACTGCAAAATATTGTGGAGCTGACGCTGGGTAGCCAAGTACTGCTGATATATTACAAGCTCTTGTCCCTCAAGCGGAACCCTGTGGGCTTCGCTAATATGAATCTCTCGTCCCTGTCCAGGGACAAGAGCGGGGATGTCTTCGCTGGAAGGAGCAACAGCAGCGCCTTTCCCTATATCCCACCAGGTATAAAGAAGTCGTCCCAAGCTTGAAGAATCAGGTTCGTCAGCGCTCGAGCTTCGATGTTTCTCCGTTAGAACGACAAGATTTGAGCTATTTGAGGCAATGTTGAGTAGGACGTCTCTTGAAAAGCCCCAATCCAGTGATGAATCACTCGCCAATATAACTTTGCCGCCTTCGATTGCTAATGCCCGATCGACCTGGGATTTTCTCTCCAACAATTTAAGATATCTGAAGTCGAACGGCCCAGCATGCCTTGTAGTGTGATGACTATCTCTCTGATTGCCACCGTGTCCAATTGACCTCTCAGGTCGGTTGTTCGCGGTTGATCGACGCTGCGGTAAAGTACTGCTATCATCGGCTTCAAATTCGCGTATAATGCTTTCATCCATCCACTCAAGCATACTTCTTGCGTACTTCATAGTAGTACCAATTTTTCTGCTTGCCAAGAAAAGTCGTGATCCTTTCAAAGAGTCATCTGATGCTGCTCTCCAAGCATGTTCAAGCAAATATGCTAATTCCAAGATGCGAGAACTAGAGTCTGTTGGAATAAGAACAGTCCCTCCCTTGCTTAGAGTAGCACGTATGGAGTTCAAAAGTAACTCATCGCGTCGCCTTCGCCCGCCTGGCAACGAGAATGACTGGGCGCCTGTGCTTCCACAAACCAATGCTGTTGGCTTTCTCAGCTGCTCAACTACATCATTTCCGCCTGCCCCAGCACCGCCAAGCCAAGCCGCGCCGGCGAGCACATTTTCTCTAGCCTGATTCCAGTCAACGGCATAAACTATGGATTCCAGTCCGTGCTGTATGTGCCAGATAGTTCCGCCAAGGGTGTGACCGGCATTGTAAGCGGTAATCGTGAGGCCGTTCAGAGGCGGCGAGAATGGTGAAGGTAGAGGCTGATGAGGTTGGGAGTATTTTAACGGATGAATATGCGAAAAGTATGTTGCAATTTCGTCCGCAGTCGGTGGGTGAAGAAGGAAGTCAGAGGCGTTCCCGGATGGATCAGAAGATTGGAGTGCATAAGAGCTCTCAGAAAGTGAAGATTTCGGGATCAGCGTTGAGGCCAACGGCGTAGACGAATAGAGATCTTGTAGAAGCGTCCTTCCTAAGGATATCACGGGCGTAGTAGCGTAGATGGGTATTCTGGTGAATAGTGGGAAATGTTTGCAGCAATGAGCGAACGCCGCCAAATGCGCAGGAGTCGCATGGGTCAAGAGGATAATTGACAGCGTCGGTACATGTCTGTAAAATTGAAAGGTCAGCAGTCGCAAAGGAGCAGCGAGCATCAATTGGTTCGTCGAGCTTCGTCAGGCTTGTTCATGCGCCACGCGTTTGGATTGTTCCAACCAAATCACGCTGTCCAGTGAAAGATCGAAAAAGACTCACTTTTCCAACGCCTTGAGCTTCTCAACATCGAAGGTCACATCCCATCCAACGTCGATCAAGATCTTGATACCTCCATCAAGCTCGAGCAAGGACTGGGAAGCCGAAGATTCAGATTGTGCGCCTAGAAGAGGAGTGAAAGTGAACATTGTCGCCACGAATCGTACACCTCATGGTAAGAGGAATAAATAGCGGTTTGACAGTATCCTATAGGAATATTGAGGGCATGGCGAAAGAACAATTGATGCAGCTGGTTGTTCGTGACGAAGGACGATAGTATTGGCAGCAATGATATTTGCACAAATGGTCGCTGTGATAAGACGTAAACTTGCATATTAGCTCCCTAGCACCAAACCCTTCGGCGTAGAAGTTAGGTAGGTAGGAAGCTTAGCTACCAACTTGCACCTATGTTTATTATCTACAACTTTCTGTCTGCAAGATACGCTCATAGTCACGCTTTGCCCCATAATACATATGGATATATATTATGCCTCCAGTGCTGAAAGAGATAAAATCAATTCGATTGACTATTCATAGACTTATTCCACGCATAACCAAAAAGGAAAAAGAAGATAATATGTCCGAACTATTGGCCCCGAATGAAGTGAAGCGCACTCCCGTGCATCTCGCAATTAATAACGTAATTCACCCGAGACCCGGCCTTATATCTGTTGCCGATGAGGGAAGGCTCTGCAGCTCTTCTTGATCAACATATTCCATGGTCGGTCCAGCCCAAGTTCGCATTCTTCTGACTCCAGAAAACGGGATATATGCTTGCTCAAGGATATCATGGACTAACTTTGCTTGGCGCAAAACCTCAGCTGCCTTTGCAGCTTCGCTTTCTGATGGCTCTTCTCTTATCGGAGCTGGCAACCTCCCATCCCATTTTAGCCGTGCACGCCTTCGCACAGGATTCGCGGCTTGACCTGTTGGTTCTTCGACCACAGTATTTTGCGGAGTTTTTTCTCTAAGTGGCTGCCGATTTCCACGAAGTTCCTGCTCAGTAACGACTCGAGCCTTTCCCCTGCTCACCTCTTGCCATAAGTTGTCCCGGAATATAAAACGTCGTCCGCCTTCTATTAAGAGCCGAGTGTGATTACTTCCCTCAAGCAAGATCCCGCTCCGAACATTCTATTTATTGAGTCAGCAATTTGCCTTCGTATACAATGAGATGAAGAATTTACTTTTTGGGTTTCGGACCATCCCGTGCGGCCTGCCATATAATCCCAGATTACCTGCATTGTACTGTCATCGCTCTCGCCTGATTGTGCCGGTGAAAACCCCGGTGAGAACCCCGGTGAGGAGTTATCCTTGTGTACAAGTGTCGACATGGTTGGGAATGATTCAATTTCTTTCAGCAGCTAAGCATTTACAGTCCAACCTTTGCACTGAATATTGCACATGTTGCAAGGACACCGACCTTGTTGACTTTCTTCTGATAAATCTCCCTTTGTGTCCTTCGCAGCTTTACCAATAAGATCTTCAATCTGGCCTTCAACCTGCTTTTCCATCGCGTGATGCGGATGCACGGATTGTAAGAGGGCAATGGACAGCGATAGGACTTTCTGGTGCAATATTATCCTGTTCTCTATAGGCTTTTGTCAATTCTCAAAATAACTTGCTTCGAAACACCAGAATTTGTCACTCCGTGTCATAATATATCTTTTCTGGAGACAAAGAAATGGAATTTTTTTTTTTTTTTTTTTTTCAATGGACCTGGGCATCAAATTTGGCAAATGAGCCAAGCATTTCTGAACTTATGACAAAGAGTCAAGAGTGCACAAGTTGATCACGTATCACCAGGTTCAGTGCTGGTCTCTTAGATTCAAACAAAAACATTTCCGTTATGATAATAACAACGGTCCACTTCTTTGTGACTCTAGGATCAAACAAAAACTAAAATATCCCTCAAAGACAAAACACAGCAAAATTAAAAATTCTTAGCCCACAGATTCCATTAAGAGTGCTTTCTCCTTTCTAATGCGGGACTCCTCACCTCATTTTCCATGGCTATTATTTTTAGCAACACGAGCATTGCAACGTTCATTTCCTGCAGTACAATGAATGGCGGTAGAACCCTGATACGGACAATTTCTAATTATTTTTGGAAGAGATCATGACTAAAAGACTTACAACTATTAAGTCTAGAAAGTGATAGTACTAAGAAGAAAAAGCCCCTGAATATTAAATTAATGATTGTTCGTGGCATTGTTGGAGCTGCAACAGACAGTCAAACGTCGGCTACAAACATCTTAACAAACTTCAAATAAAACACGCATCGAACTTACAGCATGTGCAATCCTTTACTAGCACAATCTAGGGTTGGCTGTCAGTTTGCATATCTAACAAACATTGTTCTGATAAGTATTTCACCTAACCCTAAGAATACGCATGAGTACTTTCCGCACCTACCAATACGGTAGAACTCGGAACGAGGTATCGCTTTTTTTATTGCCTTGATGCATTCACCATGCAAGTGCTCCAAACCCTGTCATGAGTCTGGCATGCCTAGTAAACCTTGGAACCTTTTGGACCTCTTTGACGCACGTAAGTAGTCAGGGGTCGCGTGTTAGTGGCGCAATTCGTATCAAGAGCGATGTTGTTGTGCCGAGGGTTAAAACAACGGGAGAATGAACCTTGTTTGACCATTTGGGTTCTTTGTCGTATCGATAAGCGATAAGGAGAGGCAATCTGACAGGCGCAAGAATGAGGACGATTTGGGAAGATCTGCCTAGTCCCTTCTTGGTGGCTATGGTGAAGCACTGGGACCTGCGGGACTTGTCGAGGGGCCGCGCCCGTGGTGGCGATCGACCCGTCCGGTCGCTTGCTCTGCGTCTCTCCGTAAGTGCAAGATGCCACCAGTCTGCACCGAGGCGGGTTGGATTGTTAAGCTAGGCTCCCCACCTGGCCATTTCGTTACGATTTCAAAACGGTGATGGCAGGTTTTCTGCGATGGTATCCGTGGCGAAAACCCGAAGAAAATTTATGGAGTACTGGTTGGGAAGACATTAGGTAGTTAATGAGCACAGACAACTAACAAAGCGCGGGTGGCTCGCAGTCCCCGTGAGTGTGGTTCCTGAACAAGAGGAAAACAAAGATCGGTAACTTGATCCGATGATGTCGTTAGCTCATGGATCTTCGCATGCGAATATCCACCGTCCGCAACTCAGCCCTTCAACATTATGTACAGAGTACTTTCGCCTTTACTGAATAAGACGTGATCGGATAAGCCCGAGGTTGGAGACGCAGGACCAACGATCTAAAGCATCAACGAGGGAGGCATCCTTCGGAAGACTCATACAAACTATCTCGCCATTTGAATATATCGGCCAGAGTGTGGAGCGGGGGTTGGATCCGGAGGGCCTAAGAGCCGTGAGCTGCATCAGGTGGCCACCTAAAGTCAAGTTGGGGCTTTAGGCGGACACGACGGCGGCCATCATCAAACGCCACGGCATCCATTCTGATTGGACTGTTTGCAGACAAGACTGCTACACATCTATCTAGGTAGGTTGGATGACTCGATATCAAATTGTAGGTTTCGTCATCCTTTCAAATGTGCACATTGTCCAGTATTGCCAGACGGCAAACTAAGAGGGATATTTCCTGTAATCAGGAGGGAATGCTCGACACCAACCGACTTTTGGTTTCCCCAAATTCTGGCTCGGAGAAGGCCAGTGGCAATGGTAATGAACCATTCGACCACGCATAATCATCGATTTGACGCTAGCGTTGCAGGAAAAGGCTGATGCAAGCTCAGGTACCACACCAAAGAGGAGCCTCTAAGCCCTGGGCTATGCTCTAAGCCGACAAACTTGTGGACATGATAAGGGGATGTTGCTTCCCGTTGGCGATTTATGACGGAGGTACCTTCTTGAATGAACACTCGACCGACCACTACGAGTACCTGCTGTAGCGATGAGACGCCCTTGCATACAATACTATTCGGCCGCAAAGCCCAAACAATAGCTAGCGCCTCTTCGTCGCACGTTGGCAAAAGTAACCTCTGGCGGGGCATGGCCAGCGAGAGAGTTACCTAGACCGCATAGAGCTTTGTTTGGCACCTGTACCTGCCTAAGGTACCTGAGATATATTTATGGTACCGTACCCCCGCACAATCAAAGCGTCTCCGATACCTGATTGAAGTGTGCCCAGTACCCGGATCACTCTGAAAAGATTCCTACAATGGCGATAGGGTGATTTCTGATTTGTTGTTTTCAAATCAGACCGGATAAACGGCCTCAAAACCTCTACAGTGCGAGTCGCGCTTTCTATCGCCAGTAGATGATCAGTTTGTTTGTATCGACCATGATTCATCGCCAGGGCCTGGTCGCATAGATTCAAGTGAAACGAACCCTCGTAAGCCCCGGCAATAATGGTACTGCTACATTGTTCTGCGGCCTCTGGAAGCGGCATATGGTGGGGGTTTGGGTGCGTAGACATGTGGAGCTTTCGCCATCATGTGAAGGTTTGCTCTTCAGTACTTTACTTTATCCGCAAGACCATGTGCCAGGAACGCGCAGAAAGTGATCAAGAGGAACTCGTCGATCTATTGGTACAAGGACGGGTTTGGAATTGCCCCTCCACTCGTGGACTCTCATCCCCACCGAGAGCGAGAAAACGAGACGTTGGATTGGTTGACGAGTTCAGGAGTCAATCCGTGCCTGTCGCCTCGTGCTGATGTGCATCGCTACAGAGCGCCCGCATCTTCCCAATTATTGCTGACCTCTCTACCTACTACTAACAAACTCTTGCATCATTGCATTCGATGACTCTTGTCTCAGCGACATGTGCCTCTTTTGTCTGGTCCGGCCCATGCTTAAGTGGACCCCACTTATCGGAGTACAGCGAGCGGGATGGCGATAAAACAAGGATAGTCGTAGCTGATACAGTTTTATTTGTTTTGGCCTGAGGTGGGATGCAGTTGGTATTTGGCTCGTTTAGTCCCAGAGAAGAATCCTCTCCCGCGTCGCGAAAACAAATTACTCTATGGCATCGCCTTGGATGAGCGTGGCGAACACCCTGGTCTCTTGGAAGGTGGCCTCAAAGGTGAGACTTCTCAAATGTACGTACAGTAGGACGTGCTTAGCAGTCAGTAGGTAGGTAGGTAGGTAGGTCAGTAAGTAGACGTGGAGGATAATAATGTGTCCCCAAGTGGCCAATTTCCGCACGCAGGCTTACGCCGAGAGTGAACACCATAAGCCATGGTCCCCTTGGGCGCCCTGGTAGACCAAGGGGGATATGCCTACAAGCAGCGCAGGGCCTCGAATGCGTCGCAGAAGTTGGAGCAAAAGGGCGACAAGGTTCTGGGCGAAGGCTGGGATCGGCTGCCTAGGCGGCGCTAAGGAAAGGTCTAGTACCCCTCGCATCGCGTCGGTTCCCCTCGTTCAACAGGCCCCTCGTCCCTCGTTCCTTTTAGTGTCTCTTTTTTGAGGCTGCTTTTCTTAACTCGTCCTGTACCATGTACCTGCCGTCGTACTTGTTATTGCCGTGCTTGGGGTGCTTGGTGCACCGACAAAATAATACGCAAACTGTAACTCTGTAGGCCGCTTCCCTCTCTAGTCCCCGGTTACGTTACGGCTTGGACTGGATGGTGGTGGTGGTGGCCCTTCCCTTTCCCTCTTGCGCACGTTTCTTTACCTCTTTCCCCCATCATCCCTCTATCTCACTCGCCCTTTCCATCTGTCCCTCATGCCGTCTGCTCCGACCCTAACTTGGTTTCCTGACTAAACACCTCCACTAAACATTACCTACCTCCCCCATACCCGATACACCTCCCTCACATACATCACACTTGCCGTCACCTTGGTCTCACCGACCGAAAGATTCACCGAACGCAGCAGCTCCCTCAAGCTTACATCGCAACGTCCTTTGCCGTTTCACTTTCGTCCATCGAAATCTGATTTCCTTCGACGACGGGCGAACGTTGCCTCGAATTTCACAACTCTATCCAGCCTGTAATAAGGTGGTCAAGAAGCTTCATTTGTCGCGACGATTCTGCGAGGTGGCGGGGCTCTGACCATCCTATCTCAACACCTCAACCGCCGCATTTCGTTTCCTCCGGTCACCCGGTTCGCTCAACCACCTTCAGCTTCGACCGACGATTTCAACTTCGTCGTCATTTATATGCTGCCTTGAAAGGACGCCCTCTCGCGGATCTTCGCTTTTACAGTTTTGCTGTTGAACCTGCGATATCGTCCCGCGCTCTCTTCCATGTCGCCTCAGCGTCCCGGCCGATCCCACTTCTCGAAACTAGTCAACCACATCGACATAATTATAATACTGCAAGGCGGAGCGTACCCTTAAACGATCTGCCCGAGCCAGTACTTGGTCCACACGACACCTTTTTTTTCCGCGCGTGTCGCTGTCAATATATTCTTCCGACGTCTCCTTTTTCTCGGGTTTCGCTCTTTGGGGCGTTTTGCTCGTTTTGCTCGTTAATTTTTTGGTTTTTTCTGCTTCGGCGGCATGGCTTTTCATCCGGTAAATACGGGCTCTGTGTCCGAAAGCCAACGTCGGCAATCTGAGGCCATAGCTCTAGCGGCGCCCAGAACAAACACAATCGGACCCAATCGGCCCCAATCTCAGGTCGGCGCACCTGAAGCATCTCCGAATTCGCTGCCAAAGGACAAATTTGGTGGCCTTGCTGGACAGCGACCTTTGCCATCCTCAACGTCCTTGACGAACCCCGCTTCTGCTCTCCCCCAGTCTGACCAGAACCGCCTGGAAGGAATGCCCAGTAGAGGAAACTCTCTTCGGTCTACTCGATCCGGGGGTTCTGGACATCCGACTGTGGACCCGGAAGATTCTGATGAAGGCCAGGACGCGTCGGAGAATGAGAGTGTTGCGGGAGATATTGCTCGGCCCGCAAAGAAGAAGAAAGGGCAAAGATTCTTTTGTACCGAATTTCCTCCCTGCAATTTGAGCTTCACTAGAAGCGAACACCTTGCTCGTCATATCAGGTAAAACTTCGCAGCTTGTTTTTTTACCCTTCTCTGTGGCGCAGATACTGACCGTTCTTTTGCCCTCTAGGAAACATACCGGAGAACGGCCGTTCCAGTGTCATTGTGCTCGTCGATTTTCTCGATTGGATAATTTACGCCAACATGCTCAAACAGTCCATGTCAATGAGGACATCCCAGGAGACTCACTTGCAGCCACTGGGACACGCTTCCAGCGCCAAATCAGGACGGATCGCGTTCGGCCGCCAGGGAGCCGTTCTCGTGCAACTACGCTTGGGAGCCACCCTGGCCCGAGCAGGGGCCATAGTAGGACCTTATCTGCCTCAAGTGTAGCGTCGACTGTGTCAACCACAAGTCAGCGGGATGATGGACGTAGGCAACCGCCTCCACTTATGATGGCTAATGATCCAACCGCTCGTGCGAGATTAACGCTCGACACCTTTCGAATTCCTCCTGAAATTTCTGGTCAACAGTTCACTGGCTATTCCGCGAATTCTCCCGGTAGCTTTAGCACACCTACCTCGGCCCATTTTTCTACGGGACCTGGAAGTCCCTTGTTTACTCCGGGGCTTCAATCGCCCATTTCAACTATTCCAAGGAACCCAGGTGTGTGGGCTCAAAGAACGCCAAACCGACGGCTGTCAGTACCTTCTGGTGTCAACTCGTATACTTCCCCGCATGGAGCGACGTATCAGCCTCCTTATCTCAGCCCGCTTGCGTCATCGACTGCCTCAATCTACACACCCGATGGAAGCAGCTTCGGAAGCCCGACAAGTTCGACATTCTCCGCCAGGCGCGAGACTGTAACTTCTGCAGATGCGGAATGGCGCCGAAGGACATGGCATCCTGAAACTTACACTGGCTCCTATAATCGACCAGCTCCCCGCGGCACAGGCTACTATCAAACGCCGGACAACCCTGAGGCAGCAATGGCGTCACAAGTCTCAGCGAGTCAAACCTCGGCTACTCGTCTACCCGGAATTGAAAGCTTTGATCGAGTTTCTTATAGACCGTTGACGCCGCCGGAAAGAGGAACGAGCCCTATGCAACTAGATACTCCAAGCCGACTTGCGTCCGTCGCAGGGCCCACAGAGCAGTCAGGTGTGGGGCCAGACGATAAACGTGGTCATGTCCAATGGGACATGTCTCTGCATCATAATTTGACCAAGCTAGACATTACTTCATCAGGACAGGAACCGCACGTTTGGGGACAGTCTTTGAGTCGTCCGCCAAACGGCTCTACTTCCAGGCCATCTACTGCGCCTCAGCCTCCCATGTATCCTGATACCCGGTTGTCTCATACTCAACCCATCCAGTATCAGTCTATCGAAGTGCAGCAGAGCAGCAACGGATCACCCGAGACGCCCAGGCGAATCAAACGGCAAGGCTGGTACAATGGCCCTCTCTCGGCTACTCAGCCGACATTCAGTGCTCAGCGGACGTCTCCTGAAGACTCTAGCAGTAGTGAAGGTGTTCCAACCCCTTCAATATCATCTGCTGGAGAATATCATCCCTCTATTGTGCATAGCAATGGGTACATTGAAGCCAATCACTCGACTGTTGGGCCTGAGGATAGCCACGCAGTACGTATAAGGTTCCTAATTTTCCCAATATTCTGTGGTTTGACTAACGCGTTGCCTGGTTTAGAGTTACACAAATAAGAATGGAAACACTGTTAGTTATCCGCTGCCATCCGAAAGAGGAACTCGGATGGACATAGTTGAAGAACCTTCAAGACGAAAGAGAGATGACGCAGATATGGGCCGACTAGAGGCTCTTGTGGCGGTCGCGACAAGCGAAACAAAGCCATAAAAGCCCCTTTATAACGGGTTCTACTGCTGACGAGGTGGACTCTTGTAAGCCTCTAATGGCACGAGGGATGTTGGCTGGGTGGGCTCAGCTGATATCCTTTTAAACGTCGATTTTCCCACAACTTACGAGACTGACGAATGTTTACGAATTTTCTTTAATGAATTTGATACGACCCGTTCACGTCATGACAACCCAACTCACTCCATTATTATCTGGAGATACCCAGGGAGGAACTATATGCCATGCTTTAGGCGTTTTTCTTTTTGAATTCAATGTTCAATGTTCCGGATATCACATCGTTTGGTTAAGCTATTCTTGATTTTGTCGCACCTCTTTTTTTAAGCCTTGAATCCGATTTCACCAATTCACTCTTTTTTTACTTAAGCAACACAGGAGTTGCATCTAATTCTCCCGTTATCGGGGCGTATGGTCTTAGGGTGACTTTTATTCCTTTACCTGGCCCTTTTGGCCATAGAGGGATGATTGTTGCCCGAGAAGAACCTGCGGGGTCTCCGCATATTGCCTTGACCTTTTTATCTCCCTTCTCTTGGACATTTTTTTTTTCTGGAATTGTTGATCAAATCACGAATTAATTAGCTTTTTTGCAAGTAACACAACTTTAGTCAGCGCTACCGCATTCACCTCGCTTCATATTTAACAGTGACAAGAATTATGACAACCAAAATTGCCTCAAACCCCTTTCAGCGCCATTAATGCTCCTTCAAAAGCAGAGGGTTTGATCGATTAGAGCGAGACATGAAGCGAGTTTGCTTTTACAACCATTCCTGATTCCATAAACCGCGAGCGCAATGCGTTGTGCATATTGGCGGCAACGATTGGACAGGCTGAAAGAGAAGACGATTACGCCACTACAAATGGCCTTCAAATGCAAAGAAGAGAATAAAAACAATTATGCCATGCGCCGGAAACGATGCAATACCAAACAGGTCAAACACAAACCAGATTTTCCGTGGTCAAAGCAGGGCACCAGTTCAAAATCTCGCAAGTTTGAGGCCGATCTTGGCGGTCCTGGCCGCGAGCAAGATCAACGACCCACATACTAACATTGAGCCAGCAAACATCTGGGCGTAAAGGTAATGGCCATTACCACGCTGAACCAGCGCCCCTCCGATGGGAGCTCCTGTTAAGCACGCAAAACTAATGACTGAGAAAACCATACCCATCCGCACACCTGTGCGTTTCAGGTCGGTTGTCAGGCTCGACAAAGTTGCAGGGAAGAGGCCCTGCATTCCTGATGCCACCATACCGTATACAACTGCAAATGCAAACAATCCTCCGCGCGAGTGAGCACCGGACCAGCCGTAGAGACATAATCCACATCCGGCGGCATATGGTATCAGCAGATTCATGCAACCAAACCAATGATCTGCGGCGAAGGCTGACAGCAAACGAGTGACGATACCAACTCCGTTCATGACCAACAGTAGAGTGATTGAGTCGGATTGATTGACACCGATGATATCTCGGCCATAGGAACCTACCTATTTTACGGAGAAAGGTATTCGTCAGCAAGGATCAAGTACTTGACTCTGGCGTCACTGAGTGAAGCAGATGTCAAAACGCAAAGTGGTGGGCACCAGTTCGAAGTTAGGTGATTCAAACTTACATAGTAATAGGCAAAATACAACCCCAAAAAGCAGAGAAACATGCCAAGGGTAAACAGCGCATAGGGCAGCTCACGAAATGCCCCCCATTCAACCCAAGCTCCGGATTTACGTGGTGGAAGCCGAGTCCTCGTAAATGCAAATGCCGTCATTTGCGTTCCCAAAACAATAAAAGCAATCACGCGTACGGTCCAGCCGAATCCAATCTTAGGAAGCAGTTGCTGCACAACCACCGGCAAGATCATCCCTCCGGTAGCAGTTCCACACGCCGAAATGCCAAGCGCGAGCGCTCGATTCTTGGAGAAATATGTTGCCAAGAGCGCTATTGTGGGGCAGAAGACGAGCCCATCACCAATACCGGTACAGATGCCTTGCGCTAGGAATAGCTGCCAGTATTTAGTGCACAGAGATGTCGTGAACATGCCGAGCAACTGGAGGGTGGTTCCAAAAACGAAGATGTGTCTATAATACCCAGCATCTGTGGCTCGCCCAGAAAATGTCCCGACGAAGAAGAGAAGGAAAATCTGGACGGATCCCACCCAGGATATATCCGATGGTTCATGGCCGAGCGTTTCGACATAGTACGTCTGAAAAACGCCAAAAGACGAGATGTAACCCCAGGTGCCAAAAACGACCAAATGGGCCATGACGGCTTGCGTCCATGCGGTGAGACCTCCGTCAGGTGGCGGCCCAGGATCTCGACAGGACGACTTTGATCTGCGGATACTAAGCCGCGTGGAAGCTCTACCTACTTCCTCGTCGGCGCGTTGGCCCTCCTCGTCACGAGCATCATCGTCATCAAGTGTGTGGGTGTCGTCCTCATTATCGGTGCAGTCATCTTCCTTTTCCTGGTTGTTCATGCTCCTTGCTTCCAACTCTGGCCGTTTTTCTTCGTCGGTATGCCTGTCTGCGTCATGGCCCATTTCCTTTGTGGGTGCACTCGAACTGTTGCAGCGGACAGTTGGAGCAGCATTCGCGCAGTGTGGGACATTGGTACACTTTGAACGGTCTAGCATATTTTTCAAATCCCTCCCCATTTATTTTTTTTTAAAAGAACAAAAAAAAAGGATTTGGTGCTCTTATATACAGCCAGGACAGAAATAACTTATTGACTGAGAAGTCTGATGGTATGGCTTGTGGTCGACAGTGTAGAGTTTGAGAGAAATTATTTGCGTCATGTCTCTTAAAAGTAATTAGTTAACTAAACAATTTGAGATCATGGCAGACTTTATAGTGTTGGCGTTGCAAGCGAACGGAAAGGAAAATGTGTCATCCTCCAGATTATAAACGTTGAGTCGTATGGAGTAGGCTCATTTCACCAAAAAAATTATGTGGATCCGTCGGAAGATCTTGAAGCCAAAAAACTCGTACCGAATCAGGTTGCTGCAAAACCGCGGGAAACTTATCCGCTTGTGCGCCCTTCCCTTGACAGACTCGATAACCAACAGGGGTGCCTGCCACCACCTCGGCATGCTTGACAGGGGACCGAACCTCGAGCGAGTCTCAAATGCGGGGGAGAATTTGCATTTATATATACAGCTCATACATTAATCTGTATTTATTTTGGATGCACTGGTATTCTCTCATTGCTTCTGTTTACAGGTTTAAGCATCCTCGAGCCATGGAACTGGAACGTGTGCTCGACCTGTAGTGGCTTGTTCAAGGTGTTCTAGAGTTTCCTTTCTTCCCGCCCTCTGTGCCTTGAATCTTGTGTTTGGCAAACCGGACTCTGACGGCAATATCATTCCAACTAATGACGGAAATCTACATGAGATGCCCTTCAATGAACGCTACAAGCTTTTTATGAAAACATAATTACCTACTACAAACCCCAGAGTGCCCTTCAACATGTATACTGAAGCCAATTTTTCATTGTGAGTCATGCCCGCGACAAGATCAACGGCAGTCGTGTGTCAAAGGTTGGTAGTGGGGTGTCCTGGGTGCAGTTGGTTGAATTTTCGCTTAGATATCGGCACAGATTAGATGTGTCCGTCCCTTTCGCTCTCTTGAAGATTTCTAGCGTCTACAAGACTACGGTGTTTCGAACAAACGTCAATACTTCAAATATGACTTTCAGGCTAACAAGGAACGAGATTCATGCCAGGAGATTTTCAGCACAGGGGTCTAAACCATATAAGCTTCTGTGGAGAGTGTTCTAGTCTGAAGCCAAGCCTTTGTCCGATTCTCAGCTCCGAGCGACTTCTTAGTACCTGGTCAAGGGTCCAACTGTCTCGCGACTCTCTCTCCCCTCGCCCCTCCACTAACTTAACGACGGGCCTTTACCTAAAAGAGTTCAATCAGATAAGTTTACAGCTCCGACGCGGACCGAAGCAACAAAATGCGTAACAATCTGCGCTGAGCACATTTACCGCAGGCGAAAGTAGCTGCCTAGTCTTGCATCATCGACAATTTCATGTGTTTGTCCGCAGCTTGAAAGTCAACCACATCTATGAGCAGCTGGATCTCTTGATCCCCTCTCTCCTCCGCGCTGCTCGAAAATAGCTATGGCGACGGGATTCAGTGTTCCTAACCAGGAACAACCACTTCTACACACACCGGTCCCGCGTCGTTCTGTAACCGGTGCGGCCTGGGTATATCCGCTCAAGGTGCGTTTTGAAGCTGTGCTGGAATAAGATGCATATATATACATATATGCCAAAATACCCAAATACATCGGTCTCTTGCTACATAATCATAGCAGCTGAGAAAAAGTAAACGACTAACCCTTCCATTCGTCACTAGGGCATATACTTTTTCCTTTCTCACCGGTACTTGCACCCGCTGCTTCGAGCGCGCCTCTTGCCGTGTTTTCTCCTCTCAATCGCCGTCCTAGCGATCCTTTTCACATTCACCTATCTGCCTCAGGTCGCCGTTCTTGCCATTTTCCACGGGCGGCACCTAGCATGGATCAACGGCGCATTCTTAGTGCTCGGCGAGGGCGCCGCCATCGTGGCGCTTCTCTTTGAAGCATTTTTAGTAGATGAAACGCTGGTCGATGTTTTTGACGCGGTTAGTCTTACACAACTTCACCTCTCTTCTGTTCAATATTGGGCCTCCCCTCACAGGCCGGCAATTGGGTTTTCATGAATAACGGACAATGTCATTTTTCTCGGGACGATCGCTGACAGTAGCCCGCCCAATGACAGGTTCTTGTCGATCATGGCCTAGAAAACCTCGTTGCGAAAAGACGGCCAGTGGACCCTTATGGAGAAAGCAATCCGGCCAGACGATTAGGGAAACCCACTCAGTCCTCGGTCTATGCTCCATTCTCCTTCCGACAGATTATCGAGTTTGTCCTGCTCCTCCCTCTCAACTTCCTTCCGGTAGTGGGCACGCCCTTGTTTCTCATTCTCACTGGGTATCGAGCGGGACCGTTGCATCACTGGCGATACTTTAAATTTCTGGAATTCAGCAAGTCGGAAAGGAAAGCGTTTGTTCGGCAAAGACAACGCGCATACACAGCGTACGTAAATTGTGGCTTATTTCATTCCATTATCCTGTCAGCGCTAATATCAATGCTTTTCGCACCACAGATTTGGTACCATTGCATTAATCCTCCAACTTATCCCGGTACTCAGCATGTTCTTCTTAATGACGACGGCAGCTGGGTCGGCGCTCTGGGTGGTCAGACTCGAGAAGCAAAGGCGTCTTGAATCAGCAGACGTTGAGCCTCCCTATGTTGATAACGTCTAAGCTCAGAATCCCTTTTCATATAGTCAGGCGCATGGTTTATATACGGACATTTTTACTTTTTGCAAGTTCATTTTGTATCCTTCTGTACTATCATTGCATCTCAGCGGTCCAAAAAAATACTTTCGCTCGCCCTCTCTTTTACTTTTCCTGCCTATCCAAACGCACAACGCACAACGCCGTAGTATCGACATTTTAGTCCGCATATAACGCCCACGAGAATTACCAAGCTGCGATACGCCGAAGAAAAAAAAAAGATACCCTTCAAAGAATTAGGCTCATCCAAAACCGAACCGTGACACCGCGGCACAAAATCATAAGCTGTAAAAGCCAATATCTGAAAACCGAGTCTGGTATTCCCGCAAACTCGCCCAATGCCGCAGCTCATTCTCTTCGGCATCCCCTACGGGTGCATTGTTGGTGGGCGGCTGGAGACGCTCAAGATTCACTAGGAGATCAAGAATCGCCTTGAGATCCTGCTCGACTTTGAGCGCCAACTTTCCCTTGCGCGTCCGCGGCGCATTCAGGAGCGTCGAAGCCACTTGTCTAATTTTATTAATCTGCACGTCCGCATGGTCAGCTGGATGCTCGGCCAATACGCCTTTGGGGAGAAGCCGTCAAAGGATGAAGGGAGAGATCAAAACCTTACCAAGCTTCCATTATTCGGCTCCATGTTGACTTGACTTATACTCCTGATGACAAGCAAGAGATCCTTGATGATGGTCTCCCGCTCGGCTGCCATTTCCTGCCTCACCAGATCGAAGTCGCCCGGCGGAGAAGAGGCAGCAGCAGCGGCAGTAGCAGCACCGACTCTCCCCGGACGATGATAGGGACTTGAGTGGGGGGCATCTTCTGGCGCAGACGTTGGTGTGGCTGATGTCGTCGATGGCGCTGTATCTGACCTTGTTGTATTTCCGCCGCCCTGCACATCGCTTACGGAAAAGTACTTTTCGACAACGTATGATCGGATGCTCAGCCAACTAATATAGATGTTTGCCTTTTGTACTTCATACTGGATATCTCTATTCTCGGACGTAGTCATTGCCGTAGCTGTTGCTGTTGCCCAAGGGTGCATATCTGCACTTGGTCGTGGGCCTAGTCCTGGTCCTGGTCTTCCTCCTCCGTTCTCGTATACCCGCCGCTCAGGCGTTCCTCCTCCTGCTCCTCCTCCAGAGGGAGAATAATATTGTCCAGCCGCCGAAAAAGAAGAAGAAAAAGTAGGCGGAGCCGGAGGCGGAGTCGGATGATGAGAAGGCGGAGCCGGATGATGATGGGGATGAGAATGAGAAGGATGAGTAGGATGAGGATGAGGATGTGTATAATGGGAAGGAGGATGATGATGAGAAGGACCGTACTTCTCAAACTCGCCAGGCCTCTTGCCCGGTCTGAGCATCAACTCCGGCGGCACGCTGTCCAAGACTCTCTTCACATTGCGCAAGCACTGGTGGAACAGCGCCTGCTGGCGGCTCCAGTCGAAGAACTCGCCGACGCCGTACGCATTCTCAAACGTGCTGAGCTGGTTGTCCGACAGGTATACTTTGACGTTGTAATTGAACCCGACGAGCTCGGAGATGGTCCCTGACCCTGACCCCGCAGGTTGTTGCTGGTTCTGGTTCTGGTGCTGGTGCTCGATGCGGTCTGGGAAAATGAACGCGTCGTCGACTTCGACGGGCAGAGGCGGGTACGGCGTTGTCGGCGTGGGAGGGTGCAGGATCTGTTCGTTGAAGAAGAGGCCGAGTTGGCGGAGCGTTCTGCAGTCGTTGGTGAGTAAAAGATGGAGGAAGGAAATGTAGAGGACACAAGATAAGAAGAAAGGGAAATGTAGAGGACGGAAAGGAGAAGAGGGAAAGGAGAGAAGAAAAGGAGAAGAAGAGAAGGAAAAGAGAAAAGGAAAACATACTTGAGTCCGACAAACATCAACCAAAACAGTCGTCGGCCGAGCTCCTGCACAATGTAATCTGCGTGATTGGCGCGGAATCCATCGTAATATGAATCATCATTATTAATATTAGTATTGTTGTTATTCTTATCATAATTGACCTCGGCGCGTGAGTCCGCCCCGGCAGCCGTGCTAGTGTGCTGCGTCGCCGTCGCCGGCGTCGTCGTTGTCGTCGGACTGCTGGTTGACGCACCGGCAGGCCGCGAAGACGATGATAGTGTTGCCATTGCAAAATCAGACAACAAGCTATCCGGCGCACTTGCGCCTGGCGTGGGAATCATAAAATTCGACGAAGTCTTCAATATCGCCGCGCATTCTTCAAAATAGACATAGCATTGTCGAATGTTAAGCATATACGCGCCGGACAAGCCCAGGAAATAGCTCACCGCGCAATCATACACGCTGAGGTCGCGGTCGAGATAGCCCGGCCCGCGCGCCTCGAGGGCGATTTTCCGACACTGGTTCACCAGGCTGGCGGAGGTGGGGTACAGCCAGCGCTCGCGCTTCGTGGTCAGTCGCTGTCGCGGTTTGCGCGGAAACGACGCAACCAGGCATGCAATCATTGATGCCAAGAGGGAGAGAAACGTCGGGTTCGTCCGGTCTTCGCGCCGTTCAAAGGCAGCGCGGAACGAAGGCTCGTGCGGGATGGGCACAAGAGGATGCATGTATATAAAGTAGTCGTCGATGAGTAGTCGCAGGGTGGATATCGAGCATATGGCTTCGGCAGAGAGGGGTTGATGGGGTGTTGATAGAGAGGCGAGTGTTTGTGCGGCGTATGTGGGAGAGGAAGGATCAGAAGAAGTATTCGTGGTGGTATTGGTAGTTGTATTTGTGGTGGTAGCAGTAGTATTATTCCCGAGCCCAATTGGTGGTGATTGTAAAGTAGCAGTAGGATCGGCATCAGGACCAGGACCAAGACCGGCGCCTCGACCAGGGCCAGTGCCAGGGCTAGGACCAGGGACAGTGACATGACTAGGAGAATGCAGCCCGTCCAAACGTCGCCGCTTGAGCGCTTCGGCGTGTCGGTTTGGAGGGCCCCGGCGCCGGCTTGGCCGGTTGAATGTACATGGTATATCGAGCGAAGCGCATGCGCGGCATGGCGGGCCGCTCTCGTCGCACTAATGGGTTGAGGTGGTGTATTAGTATGGGGGATATATATATATATGTATATATATAGAGCGAGTTTGGAGAAATCTCGTGGGGCAGAGGGAGGTTGGGCTAAAGGGAGCAGAGTCTAACATACTTTGACTTTTCGTAGGCTGCATGCATCGCAGGCTTTTCGTAGCCGGTTTACCTTGGAAGGCGTACTGCCTTCGCCGCCGGGGCTTGCATGGGAAGATGCGCCAGCGCTTCCCTCTACGGCAGCAGTGGCGGCTGCTGCTGCTGCGGCCGCCGCAGCCGCCGCAGTTCCACGATCATCATATCCACGATGCGTTTGTGCCTCTAGTATTCCGGGTATCAATGGCGGCGATCCCGGCAGTCCCGGACCAGGGAAACCAGCGTCTTGTGCGTTCCGGCCTGGCATCGGATCCCCGTGGGATCTAGCGCCACTGAGAAAGGTTTCGAAGGCCGGTAATGACAGTCCCTCTGAGGAACCCAGTCTTGATTTGATTATAGGTGATGCGCCGCGTGAATGCTGCGGGACAGAAGCCGGTATACGTCCCAATGCTGCGCCAGGGTCGTGTGGGCTTCCTGTGGCCGGTTTCCTTCCTTCTGCTCCTGCGCTTGCGCTTGGCAATTGCGTAGTCATGTGGAAGCCTCGCCCCGCAGAGGCAGGAGGATAACCAGACATTGGAAGATTGGGACGATTTTTCAGCGCACAACGCCGCGCAGCAGTCCGAGTCTGATCATCCGTTGTGCGGTGGTATGGAAATCCGGCAACAAAACGCGGTTATGTAGTCGAGAGTAGCTGCCGACGAACGAAGCGCGGATAGAATAAGGCGACAGATTCAAGTCGTGGTCAATTGAAACGCGTATCCTTCCTCAGGCTCTTTCAGGTAAAGACAAATGGTGTTCTCTTCTGCTGTTGCGGCGCCACGACGTTGTCAAGGAGTTGAGTACCGCGCAAATCAACGGCCGCGCGGTAGTCGTATAATCGCGAGTCAAGTCAATCTTGAGAACAGAATATTGGTCGTGAAGCGTGGTCGGTTAGATCAGTCCAGAATCGTCAAATCGTAAAGCAGTGTGAAGGAAAAATTGTTGTGGTGATGCTACGCCGATATGCAGCCTTGTCATGAGCTCATGAGCCGAACAGTTAAGCTTTAGAGCTAAATGTTGTGTGGGATAGAATTGGACCAGCTGTATCTTGGACTAAAAACGTCTGGTGTTGCCGTCACGTTTCAAGGTAATATTTGAAGGAGAATGTTGCCATTGAGATGTCATTTATGAAACATGACAAAGTCAATTGTATATTTATTTCAATGGTTCCATAACTTTGAGCGATAAAGTTGGTCCAGGGCATTAATCTGCAAGGGGTGATAGAGTCGGAGATATTTCGGGGGGATACTGATGCTGTCAATTGCCGGGGGGTCTTCTGTCAACGGCATCTCCGGATATACCATCGCTTGTCCGGCCAGTATAACCCTTGCGAGAGCCCTGGAACAGAGACTTCTTTCATCGAGAAACAGCGTCCGAAAGGTCCCCTGCATACGCTAAATGTAGCTGTTAAATGGTATCCAATGTAGTCCGATATTTATCCACCGCCGTTAATAACTCTTATACAAGTAATTCATATATAAATACCAATATTTTTTTTTTTCCCCTTAAAAAAATTATTAATATTAATTCGTTTTATTTAATTGAATGGGAAACCCGTTCGAATATCAAGATAATTTAAAAAGGAGTCCAGCCCATTATTTCAATTCTTGAAGGCATGCTTGCACAAATAATTTGAAAATAACCATAAAGGAACTGAAGGGACCATATGCATCTATTTCTATTTCTTTTACGAGTACATAAACTCTCCTAAATGCACTCAAATATCAATTATTAAACGTGCCATATCCATAGCCTATATCCAATACGCCGCACAATGCATTGAAACGCTTCAAATCAAGTCTAAAACTTCAACACCACGGCCGCCGAGTAAACTTTGCACTTCAAATCAACCGTACTAATTCGAGTGGCTGATTAATCAAGTGCAGACAAAATCTCTAATGATGCACAGTAGCTGTAACCGTTTCCGTAACAGTCTGTGTCACGGTGAAAATCTCTCCAGCCGGTACGAGTGGGACAATAGTGATGCCCGGGATGATCGTTGTGGGTGCCAACGTTTGCACCGGCTCAGCGTGATTTGTCAATGTCGAGGCGCTCGAAAGCAGAAACAGAGACTTGCTGATGATTCCCTCGACAGCGTCACTGCTTGTTGATTGAGAGTATCCGCTTGTTGTAGGAGAGCCGGAGAAGCCTGACGGAGCTATTATTGCAGAAGCACTCGTGGAGTCACCGATAGCTGGTGTTTCTGAAGATGTCTGCAACGCAGGTAAAGCTCCAGGACTCGTTGAAGGATATACTATGACGGTAGCGTGGGAAGTGGAGTCGAGAGATATTGTGGTTGTGGCTGCTGGGAATGCGCTTGAGGGGACCGAAGACCCAAATAACTGATCGGCATCTGTTCGACTCGTAGAAGATACTACCTGTGGCGTCTGCGTGGTTAATACAGAGCCCGCGGCGCTAGGACCGGAAATGCTTGAAGACTGAGTAGACGAGGACGAGGATGCTGTCGCGCTGATGTCAGAATGAAATGTCCATTGACGGGTCCAACTTTGAGGCTGCTTTGATGAGGTAACTTCTGAGGTGAATGTGCCTGGCTTCACCGTTGAACTCAAATGCGATGTGGCGTGCGGAATGATCGTGGATGACGCGAGCACGGACGAGTTTCCCAATTTCGTTGCTTCAGTCGAAGAGCTCAACGGAGAGCTACTAGAGAAGTCTTGAGCCCCATAACTGGAGGTTGCAGCGCTTGACGTTCCTTCTTCTGATGTCGTGGACGCAGCAGCCAAGGCACTTGAAAGACTCCCGGTGGATGTCTCTGTAGATGCCGGTGCAGTGGAGAAGCTGAGGCTTGCAGTTTGTACTGCCTCCGAAAATGAGGTAAAGGACAGCGTAGTGGCTAGTTTGGTTGCAACCGGTTTGCCATTTTGGTAGAACGTGACTGCGTCCACCGTTGAGGTCACCATTAATGGGACCAATGGGATTATACTGGTACCAGCAGCCGCAGCTAAGACCTCTTCTGAGGGGATACTTGAGATCGGAGATGTAGATGACGGGGAATCATTGTTGGAAGACAGTGCCGAAGAAGGGGATGAGCCTTCAGATGCCTGTATGCTTGGAGTAGACGCAGATGTACTGAACTGTGATATGTCGGACGGCAATTGAGTAGACGAAGTCATAAAGGTCGCTGTGGAGATTGTTGTATGATTCGGAAAAATTGCAGATCTTGCGTAGCTGAACAACAGATGAGTTGGCTATCCAGGAGAGATCCAATAGGGGCCTTACCGATGTGCATTAGGATGCCGAAGAGGGCCTGCAGCCACTGCATCCAATGCGAGCAGGATTGCAGAGCCAATAATTTGCCCCTTCATGATGGTGAAAGAAAAGGGTTCCTTCCGGGAAAAGATTCTTATAATTTTCGGCACTGATATTGAGGCCAGAGACGTCGGAAGGATAATAATAATTGGTCAAAGAGAGAGACTCAAAAATAAAATACAACAAAAATTTCTTAGACGAAAAAAGAATGGCTGGCTTCTGAGGACAGTCTCGGAAATTGAAGCTGTTATAATGCGATTTGAACTCTGTTTGATGGAGCGAAAACTTTCGAAAAAATGCTGGATTATTGCTGGCGAAAGAGACAGAGAGAGAGAGGAAAGATCAAACAAGAAGTAGAAACGTAGGAGTGAACAAAACGAAGGAAGTTCCTGTACAGAAATTGAAAAAAGTGCTCCAGGGAAGTGGATACTCTCTTATAGCACGTTCTTAACGATACAGTACCGGCGGCTGCAGATACATGTGGCATGATTGACATTGTCGCCAAATCCCCTTCTTGCTTTACAAGAAATTTCTGTATATCCCATCTTGGATATCATGATTGAACGGAGAAGACCGTGAAACCTCCAAGGCTTTTGTCGTGGCTAACGTAGGTCTGAGCGGTTACGCCTACCGACTTTTGTTTGCTCTCTCTGTGCCTTAGGGATGATATGATTGGCCGTGACATTGTGTTTTGCTAGCCGCTCAGTTGTTATAATTAGCCTTGCAAGGCATGACATCTTGAGAATTTGAAACCTGAGCTCATGCGCAAGTAGTCGAGTTAGATCAGATAATAAAGTGAAAATAAATATAGAAAAATTAACATTAATTTTGCAGGATCAAGCCCGGAGTCAGAGTTGACTTGAGTCGAGGCCCCTTCAGATGTTTATCTCGCTCCGTTACGGCGTACTATTGTTTTCAACTAAACCCAAACTAAACCGGATACGCACAGTAGTCGTCTATCCCCGCATTTCAGCCACAATACAGGTAACTCAAGCCACAGCATGGGGATGCAAATGCCTACAAGTTATACTTTTACCACTGCTTGAGCAAAAGCATGTCCAATTATTATTAAGATTACTCCGTACTCCATACAAGTAACTAATACTCGTTTTCATCCTAGGGTTTTTCCTTTTCCGTGTCAAAAGCCAAAGCCCTCCCCCACCACGTCCGTGCCTGATTAGGAAAGGGAGTCTGTCCCGAAAGGCGGGGGTTTATGCCTCTTGACTCTCACGACGTCATTCCCACACAATCCCTTCTGTCTCCGCCCAACCTTGTCTGATGCTGTGGCTTGCAGGCGCCCTGGTAGTCAATTACTTACTAGGTGAATTAGAACCTTGGGGAAAGGGAAAAGGAACGAAAGAATGGGCTTTCTCTTATTATGGCCAGACCACCTAAGGCTTTGCCCTTTCCCTGAGATAGTCATTTCTCGAGCCTTGACTTTTGACTTCTCATTTGTAACATTTTGGAATATAAACTCTTGCCAATAAAAGAGTCAAATCACGTATATTGAATATTACGCTTGTAATCATGACTACCTTACCCGTTGCCATTCCAGAGACGGACATTGTCTTGTATACCGACAGTACACCGAATGGGCAGAAAGTCAGCATCGTGCTTGAAGAGCTAGGACTCAAATACGAGACGAAACATGTTGACATTAGCAAAAACGTCCAGAAGGAGGACTGGTATCTGCGCATCAATCGTAGTGCACCCCCAGCAGTCCACCAAGGGATTAAAGCTGACTCGCAACGACAGCGAATGGAAAAGTCCCGGCAATTGTTGACAAGACACTCTTATGTGTTGGCCAGTCACAGGAAAGAAGAATCTTTGAAGGCGGCGCTATTCTACTCTATCTGACCCAGAGATATGATCCAAACCACAAGTTATCTTATCCTCAGAACTCGGAAAGATATTGGGAAATGGTACAGTGGCTCATCTGGATGCAAAGCAGCCTGGGTCCAATGCAGGTGAGATATAGAAACACTGCTGTATTTCAGGAAAAATGAATTCCACAGCATCATAATTTGGTTTGGGCTGCATGTCATTAACTGTAATGCTCAAGGGCCAATCCAATCACTTCTACCGTTATGCCCCAGAAAAGATCCCGTACGCGATTGACCGCTACCAGACCGAGACAAAACGCCTTTATTCCGTGCTCGAGTCGCGCTTGGCCTATCAGCTGGAGAATGACCGAACAGTTGGCAAGACAGAGGCTAGCCATGCTGGCCCTGTGGAACCACTGCACAGAGAATTGGCCCAGCCTGGCAGAGAAGGCCCATGGCTTGTAGGAAACAAGTGCACAATCGCGGATCTGGCTTGCTTTAGTTGGGTCAACTGGGCGGAATGGGCTGGTGTGGACGTGAAGCCCTTCAAATTGATCAGTGACTGGCTGCAAAGGATCAATCAAAGGCCGGCTGTTCAGAAAGGATTGAATGTGCCAAGGCCATTCGAGATGAAGGAGAAGATGAAGACAAAGGTAGGTGTCAGCTCGCTTGCCTCTCCTACTCCCAGTCACTCTGTTAGGGCTATCGAAGCTACTGTACATACCTGCGGCTCTACTAACGCATTGTCAGTAATAACAGGAGGGCGAAAAAGAGTATGCCGAGAAGTACAGTCTCTGGGTTAGACGGGGCCAAGAGGAGGAACAGCAGCGGCACAAGTGATGACTTGGTGGATCACCTATACTCGACATCCTGAATATTCTTAAACCCTAGAGAGAAAAAGCAGCAATTGTATCTATCTTAAAATTTCACTGTAGGTGCACGTGGATTAAATTCCAAATGCATAAAAGTCATATTTCAGTGCATTTAAAATAGGGCTTAGAATTGCGCCACGACTATGAACATCTGAAAGGCACAGAATGAAATGATGCACCCCAAACTCCATCTATACTTCCCATCAATAATGCCGCCCGGACACGTCAAAGGCTATGACATACACTCTCATAAATATCGCTCAAAATACTCTCATTGTCGTTTCCTAAAGCATGGACTCTGGCACCTTCCCTTCGACAGCCGCCACGGCTCCAATGTCACTAACATCAGCCGCGCCGTTCAAAAGGGCAAGGGTGGAAATAACATCCGATGGCTCCAGTAAGTGCCAGCTAGCTAGCGTGAGCTTCGAACTGGCACCGACGGTGACTGAGAAGACATGGTCTTGAGGTAGCTTGGTATTACGGAGTGCTCTGAACATATCTGTCGATTCTGTTAGAAACGAATTATCGATAAAAGTCAAGGATTGCACTGACCTTCGTCGGTAAAATCATCGCCCAGACAAAGGACAAATTCTGGAGGTTGTCCGGCTTCATGTCCATACTCGGCCACCAGACGTTTCGCAATCTCGCCCTTATTGACAAAGGTTGGTCGAACTTCCAGATTTGCCTTGCCAGTCATTACTTCCACATCCCACTTCTTAGCTACTGTCTCCTCAAGATGCTTCTGACATTCGCGAGCTTGGAAAGCGCCGTACTCGGGATCAGCGCGGCGATAATGCCAGGTTAACGCAATGCGCTTGCGCTCGATGAATGAACCTATTCGCGAATGCGATCAGCGTTCTATCCGATGACAGACCAGCGGAAGCTTAGATCTTTGGTTAATAACGATTGAACGTCCACTAACCTTGTGTCCTCTCAGTGTAGTGCTGGAAAATATCGATTACTTCTTTTTGCCAATCCATGTCTGTTTTCTCTGTCAAATTTTCCCAATCATCGCTACGAGGCAATCGAATGAAGCTTCCGTGCTCAGCACTGAGACCGAGTTCTGAGATATGTCCCATCCATTCGTCTAGAAAAGCTTGATCCCGTCCGCTAATGATCCATACCGCATTGCGAGGATCGGAAGCTAAAGTCTTGAGTGTTCGAAGAACACGGTCGGACGGGATTGCGGATTGCGGATCCTTCACAATAGGCGTAAGAGTTCCGTCATAGTCGAACATAAAAAGCCGCTTCTTAGCTTGGCGATATTGTGCCAGCAGCTTCGCTCGGTCGAGGGCCGGGGTCGCGATTGACTGGTCAAAAGACGAGAGATTTGTCAAAAGGCGTTGCAAAAAGTTGTCTGACCAGGCCTGAACAGTGTCCTTGGTGACGTGCTCGTATAATTTCTTGTGCTGGGCTAGCTTGGCAGGAGCAGCCATGGTAAGAGCATCGTCGATGCACTTAGCAACGCCGCCAAGATCCCATGGATTGATATGGATAGCATTTGGAAGACTGCCGGCAGTACCAGAGAACTCGGATAAGATGAGAGGCCCATGATTATCCTTTTGGCATAAAACATATTCCAAACTGGTCGTGTTCATACCGTCTCGAACACTGGTGATCAGGCCAACGTCCGCTACTCTCAGCAACGCAAAATATTCTTCCTTGGAAAGGTATTGAGGATAGTGTTGTACTGGAGAAAATCCAAGTGAACCGTAAAGTCCGTTAATCCTCGAGACCAACTCGGCAATTTTATTAGAGACTTTGCCAGACGAATCTTCCTTTTCTTCTTCAACGCTACCGGGGCTGGTAACCTGAATCAGAACAACCTTTTCTCGCCATTCCGGATATCTCTCCAAAAAGATCTCAAAGGCCATGAGTTTCTGAACGACCCCTCGAATGGTATCAAGGCGGTCTCTTCCAACTATTATCCGCTTGCCGGCATAGAGTTCGCGAATGCCCTGGATCTTATCCTCGACGATGGGGTCTTCAAAAGCGTAATGCAGTACGGCGGCAGCATCCACACCAATTGGGAATACATCGACAGCGACGTGGGCTCCGTAGGCGTCCACTCCTGCAGAGGACGAATCAAACCCAAGGATACGTGTGCAGCACGACGAGAAATGCCGTGAGTAACTGTATGATTGGAAGCCAATCATATTCGCGCCCAAGACTCCTTCAAGGATCTCCTTGCGCCGACTAAGGCACCTGAGAAATTCACTGCTGGGAAAAGGAATATGAAGGAAGAAGCCAATGTAGATGTTTGGGAGACGTTGACGAAGAATGCTTGGAAGCAGAAGCAGATGGTAGTCATGAATCCAGACAATGTCGCCAGGTTTGTAAATCTGCATGATTCGATCGGCAAACATTTGATTCAGGCGGTAATAATCCGCCCACCATTTTCGTTCCGCTCTGCCATCCGTCGGCTCATGCTGCTTGTAGTGAAAAAGTGTATAGAGCACATGTTCAGCATAACGTCTCCATTTTGACTGATCCTCGAGATGAAAATCTCCATGACTGTCTTCTTCTGATTCGTCTGCCAACCACACCGGGACCACGCGGCCCGCTGGGTGACGAGACAATTGCTTTTCGAGCCGCTCGCGGTCTGCCTTAGTTATCAAAAATCCCTTTTCCTGATTTGGACTGGGAGGCCGCATTTCGGCATCTACGGGGATCGGAGCGGAGGCTTTATTGAGAGGAACTGCCGAAGCCGCGGTTTGAGGTTTATTCGCCAGGTCGGAAGGCGATTCCGGCGGCGTGAACTCTTCAGTAGGAGGATGGATTTCGCCCGTCCAACCGATCAAAGTATGATTCCAGGGACTCGCTGGAGATGCAAGATAAGGGAACGAATCAAAAAGGGCAGAAGTACCGCGGCGGGATTTGAGGTCCTAGTACGATTAGTTCTCTCGCCTTCATGGAGATTAGGCATTGCAACGTACCCAGTCAGCGCCGGCACGAAAACCAACGGAGTGAGGAATACAGAAGGTTGCGCTGATAACATTGCCGCTCAAACTCAGACCAGGATGTGCAGCCTTTGGATCCTCATCCGCCAGAGCCGGAACGCTTCCCGGGGCATGAGCAAGGCTGATTCGTCGTAACAAATCTTCCTTTGACGTAGCGGCTGCAGCAATTTTGCTGGGCGAATCAAATGCCGCATTGGATGATGTCGATGGAAAGTATGAAGTGGGCTCCGTGCTTGAGCCTTCGGCTTTGAATTTTTGTTGCGGCGTTGGAACATAAGCCCGAGTATTCGCAAAATGAGGGGTCACAGCCGAAAGGTTTCCGCCCAAGGGCATATCTGGAGATTCTTCGCCGCCGCTGAGTGCAGCATCATGATGCGATTCTTCCGTCATATTGGTGGTTGCGGGGTGTTCAGAAAGGGAGGGTCTCGAGAAAGCCAGTCAGACACGCAGCTGTCGACCTAATTTTTCGCCCAGCCAAAGTCCTGGGTGAATTGCGGCCGCAGAGGAGGGTTTCGAGCTCGTACGGGATAGATAAATGACGCTGTGTTGATAAGATTCTAATGCATGGGCGTGCCTGTCGATCAGACTCGGTAGAGGCAGAGTCAAGGGTCCCAAAGTCTGTGAATGCTTGATCAGGACGCCGTCAAGATAGGGTTTCTTTTAGCGATGAGCATACCGTAGTAATCAATGCAAATAACGTGATGAGAGTTAGGGATAGGGTAGGAGGGCAGTCGGTCGAGGTTCGCAAAGCAAGAAAGAGGGGATTTAAATAGAGTAGGGGCAAGAGGCGGCGATGGGAGATGGGGCCAGACAGCTTTCGAGCTTGGTTGCTTGACTGCCAAGTGACAGAATATCTACTCTCTGCCTACCGCGCGGCAGTTCCTGTACTGGAAATTATATAGCTCGACCAACACCTAATCGCTTCGCTGGGCTTCCAAGGTCTATTTTATTTCTTGCCCGCCAGGGAGGGGTTGAACCGAATTGTTTAGCCAGCCCCTAATGTTTCTACCTATGCCTTACCTATCACTGACGTGCCCTTTTTTGGGATCATGCCGAATGTGGTCTCTAGCCAACTGGGCCCCACGGTCCAGACGTCGTTGCTCCGCCCCTCACTCCATTTCCACCCACAACGCCAAACCTTCCCAAGACCGCCTAGAAATCGCGCCGCTATTCCATATTCTTGCTCTTTCGGTCGTCAGCCAAGGTTGCAGTTGTCGTCGTTCGTAGTCGGCGTCGTTGCCTCAAATGGGCCATGGCCTCAGATGGCTAGAAACCTGCTCCCTTTCAAAATCGGGACCCACTTTGTGCGTAATGAATTAATTCCAGTGTTTGCTACTCCCGTATACCGATAAGCTGCCTATTTTATTTCTACCCATGAATACCTACCTACCTTATGCAATGAGATGAGATACCCCCTCATGTGGCCCATGGGGACTGGCCGCACTCCACATTCTCCACTTCAAAACGATCTTGGAAATGGGGTGCCGAATGGGAGACCACACACCCTCGCATTTCTCTTCAAGACCGTGCTGATGATTGATTGGCCTTGATTGGCCTTCTTGAGCCATGTGCTTGGTTTCTTCTCGTGTATTCTCATTCTCGGGTCAGCCTCGCTTCAACTGGCAATGGAGGCCGCATGATTGCTCCCATCGGATCAAAGTCGGAGATTCTCTCCAACGCCATGCGGCTTTTTTCTTCCCTCTTACGAAAATAATTTCCTACATCCAATAAATACGCATGCGCAAATAAATTGCCAGAACAGTCCTGATCTTTGTGAATAACCACGTGACCGGATCTATCTCGCCCATAGCTTGGTTTCTACAATGTCGATTTCATACACACCTCGGCAAGGCACGTGAATGTAGACAGCGACTTAGAACTTAATATGATATAATTAACATTGCATTATTGGAGGTGAAATTTGATACAGCGCTTTGTACAAAAGGCGGCAGCTGAATTGCTCCAAACCATGTTGATTCCCATCTATCCCTTGCTGAACCAGGTCTTGTGGCCCTATAAAGCGAAAATTGGTTAGTCTTATTATACGACTATACCCCACGGCGGCGGCATGAAACGCGATTTTTGCATACCATAACCATACGGCCCATCATGTACATCGAGCCTATTGTTGAGTGCGTTAGCAGACCGAAGTAGACAAGAGACTCATGACCCAACATACCAGCAAAGCCGCCCCAGAGAACAGCGTAGTAGGGGTACAGCATGAACTTGCTGCGGGGGGTCTGACAAATTCCAGCGTGTCAGCAAAAATTCTATCCAAGAACACTCCAATTCTCCTGTGTTCGGAACGGAGGTGGTTGACCCCGAACGCCAGTCATTTCAGGTGAAAGTGCAGAGGGCGGCGGCTGACCTTATGCCATTGTCTCAGACCATCGTGCTTCTGGAAGAGGCGCTGGTAGTGAGGAACGCGATTCTCGCGGTAGACGAACCTGTTTGAAGAATAACTCATTAGCATTGGGCTTATCCATTGACTTAAATTTCTCTTCATGACGAGTAGCCCGGTAAAGGTTTCAATCTCATGGGATCCAGCATGCTTTCCACAACCAATTGGAGCCTATAAACCACAAAAAACCCCCCTAATGATAATTTGCAATTACTCACCCGGACATTTTGAAAGAATTGGGAGTGGGCGCGGAGCAATAACGGACAATAACGCAGAATTGGTGATGAGACGAATGGAGACGGTGAAGCTTGAGGTTCGAGGGATGATTAGTCAGCTTAGCGGGTGCAAAGCTATCTCTTTGGGCTGCTATTGGTTGACAGACGGGTAACCCGCCATGCGGAGCTCTCTGAACAGCCTGGATATACTCCTCTCCACTTGGAGTCGGATTCAGCAACTTCTATTCATGTGAAGACAATTCTAATTTCTATTATAGCAATGTCATAGTCACTTCTTTGTCGATGCGGCCAGCGCTGCAAAGCCTTCGGACGTGGTTTTCTCCATGTTATATATGGAAAGCTACGCCCCCGGAGGGCGTATTTACACTTTGTCCCGCTCAATTATGTCGGTACGGCTGGCGCCAGTACATCACTGTCAAACGTGCATTTAGTACAAGAACGGCAGCTTTGCAGGAAGAATCTTCCGCTCACCTTCGTCACACGAGATTTCAGTCGCTGTCTACTAAGGAACCTTGTAATGTTCATTCCTCGACCATCCGACCAGCAATCTGCGAAGCCGAGGGTCTACGACAATTCAGTAACACCTTGGTCACCACCTGGCCATCAATTGGTAACAGATTTGACGAAAATGATACATGGGTTCAATGTGTGGAAGATTGTCGCAGAATTTATGGGCTGCAAGGCATGGCCGACATATGGCGCGCTGTGGTTGAGCACGGTCGTGACTTGCCTACAGAAGGACGAACAGCTGATAGATTGTGGACTTCTCTTCTAGAGTTAGGCTTTGCAGAGCCTTCTGTGCTCATTGAAATCTATATTCATTCCTTGAAGCTGCTTCGGACATCGGGAAAAAGATGGACCAAGCTCTACAATGCGATTGTGGGCCACTATCTAATAGAGGATCCCGGTGTCGCTTACAAATGGCATAAAAGGTTACAAACATATCATCCTACACCTGCTGATGGCCTTAGGGAACTAGTAAGGGACTCACTTAAACATCAAGCCTCACTTGGAGTTTTCAGGCGCATATATTTGGAACATGAGCATCAAAAGATTTATTCGACAATTATTCCTATTCTCTGCGACGACGAAAGATATACGGAAGCACTTAAATGGCACAAACTGTTGAAGGAAAGAGGTGATTTACCCATCAGCTCCACCGCTGCTGAACCATTACTTAAATACCTTGCGCTTTATGGGGATAAGAAATCCTTGAGAGAAGTGACACAAAGCTTGGTAAAAGCCGGCGTATCGTTTGCCGCCTCTACTCCAAAAGTGCTAAAACCAAATACTTTCCTATCCCGCGAGATGATGAACAGAGCTCTCGGCGAGATATATAATATACAGCCAAAGACTTTTAGTGATGAATTCTGTGCAAGGCTTTTTGCTACAAGAGCTTTCTCTGTCAATGCGGTCATTGGGGGGCTTCGAATACTCGGCGTGGACGAGATTGGCCCAATATCATTTCGCGAAATCGCCGTTCGATCCCCGGCGCCTCAAGCAATCAAGGAGCATATCGCAAAGTTGAATGCTGCGGGAATAGATATTGGACCATCAGTCTTCTCGCGGTGCATTGAAAAATTTGCCATACAGGGGGAAGTCGAACTTTTGAATGATTTGCTAGCGACTGATCAACATCCCGATGCTTTACAGGACAGGAAGCTTCAAGAAAGACTTCTAACTTATCATCACAAAAGACAAGATTGGCGTCAGTTTAGGATGACACTTGCTGTTCTTACAGTTTCGGGGACTGGTGATCTGTCTGCAGAAACATGGAATGTCATATTGCGGAGTCATATCGCCCTAGGCGACTTGACTGCAGCCCAACAGACCATCAGAGCAATGCGACAGAATAAGGTGCTTATTACAGCCGCATCTTCTCAGTGTCTTCTTCGGGCGAGCCTTCGTGACCGGCGAACGGGAAAGCGCCCCATCTCTCTTCCCGACCATCGGGATGACCTGAGTTTAGTTGCCACATTGTGGCTGGATCTTCTTCGATCTGGGGGTGTCGTCGCCCCCTCCGCGTGGACTGAAATCCTCCGTCGCCTTGGGATGAGTGGACGCATGGACGAGCTTGAGAAACTCGCGCTCTGGCTTATGGCTTATTATTCACCGTCTACTTCCCGGAAAAAACTCGCCCTTTTTGGACAGCAAATAACGACTGGCAACAATCCCGGCTTAGGATGGCACACACCGGAACTTCCACGGTCACATCCCAAACACCCATTGAAGCTTTTGTTTCCCAAGGCTCTTCAAGGTGCAATCATAACCTGGGGTTTCCGTACTCTCTCAGAAGGATCGATACCCCCAAATAGATTGCACAGCGGAGCTCAGGATATGAATAGGCTCGAGACCATTATGTCTCACCCTTGGTGCAAAGGATTGCTCCTTTTGCGCGCACTTAAAAACGAAGGAGCTCCTGTCCATACTGGCTTGGTTCGGAGAGTTTGCAACCAGAACTTCAGAATGTTGTATGGCTCAGGACGATCAGCAGTCGAAATTAATCGAAAGGCAGCAGCTCGAAACCCTTTCACCCTGGAGGAGATGATGAAAGCCGCTCAAAATATATGGGGCAGCAACCTATTCGTTACCGATGAGCATTTGCCCAAGGAACTTACTCGCAGCAGCAGTGACCGCCATAATTTTTTACAGCACCTCCTTGATATTTCTGACGACCAGGCAAATCACGTCAAGCATCCGTCTCCACGGTAAGGGCATGGAAGACCATGAAAAGTGTACGAAGACGTCATGATGATTTTATGATTTAATTTACGGCCACATTTATCAGGTTTCTGGATTAACAATTTTCGCGTTGCATCCACGGTGGTACCAGCATTGATATTTATTCTTACTTTATCGGTTCAAATGCTTTTGCCATGGAAATTCTTGGCCGAACCCGGCGACTGTTTCGTGCTGGTCTTGTCTATATTTCTGGCTAATAACTTGGAGTCTGGGGCGTTGTCATCTATAGAAATAGATCATTGTCGTCTCGTGGGCTTGGAATGGATTTGCTTTTAATGACAACTTTACTTCGGGGCACGATGCAAAAAGTCTTGCGAATAAATCAATGAGATCATGAGCTCAAATTGTTTCAACGGAAAAGGATAAAATTGGACTATAGTCTATTCGTTTCGAAAGAAAACACTAATATCCAATAGTTACTGGGATAATCATGCCATCGCTCGAACGCCCTATAATGCTCATAATCGTGTTCGTAATCGAATCTATTTGCCGAAGACCTTCAATCTCTCCTCCACTGGTTTGGCAGTCTTCTCGCCGGGCTGACCAGTAGGCTTGCCAAAGACAAGCTGGGCCTTCAAATCCCAGTCAAGCGGAACACCCCATTCGCCGGCCACTCTTTGGTCGATGAAAGGGTTTTGGTGCTGAAGGCTGGCACCGAGTCCTTCGGCTTCAAGGGCAGTCCAGACTAGAAAGCGTGTTAGTATCCGACCGATGCTCCATGACAACCAAGCACTTAGAATTATAGCATTTGACTTACGTGCATATTGATGCATGGCGGAACTGTGCTCGGAGAACTGGATGAATTTGTCGGCAAATGCCTTGAATTTCTCCTGGCAGGCCTGAACGGTGGGGATATCTTCATAGAAGAGGATCTTTTAATATAGACTTATTAGCATTTTTATTCCATTCATTTTCACGACTAGAGCGAAACGGTCTCTTCTTCCACGCCGACTAGAGTAGAGAATGTTTACTTACAGTGCCATATCCAGCACGCAAGGCATTGATTTTTGCTTCAATAGCAGGGAAAGCATCAGCCGCAACAGCGGCCTTCCGGACTTCCTTGGCAATGTCCCAGAGTTTCTCGTGATCCTCCTTCAAGAGGATAACCAAACGGGCAGATTGCGAGTTGTATGCGCTAGGCGCATTGAGAAGGACATCGGTGACGAGTTCTTGAATGCGGTCATCCGAAATGGTGGACTCGTTGGTGATTTGATAGTAAGTGCGGCGAGCCTTGATGGCGTCAATAAAGGACTTCTTTTCGACAGTCATGTTGGATGCAGATGAAGAGATTCGTCGATGGAAACTTGGAATTGATCGATATGTCTCAATGCGAGTGGATGGTTTGACTCGTGTTGTTGTTGTTGAACACAGAAGAGGGCAAATGGCAGTGCTTTTATATTCTACGGGTGCAGAAGAAATGCTTTCCAATTGCGGGGCGGAAGTTACGTTGCGCGATTCTAAGCATTATCAGAAATCTTTCAATGGTAGATAATACTGACAAAGCGCGCGCACCAGTAATGGAGACCAAACTAGGTAGTTAGCGCAGCACACAAATGCAGCAATGAGAAGATGCGCCGACATTATTGCGACAAAAATCCTTTATTGCCGCTTTGGGCCGCCTTCTCCTGATACTCGTTGGGCAAACGTGGGGCAATTTGTTATGGAGGGGAATAATCAGAGGCACAAATTACGTGATGCTTAAGAAGCATTATGAAGAGCGGGAGGGGCAGAAAAAGGGTCCGATTGCCCCTGGGACTTTGGATTTTTAGCGATCGGGGACAAATCTGTCAAACATCAGGAACGATATCTCTGCGTATCGTAGGTACTGTAGCTTACGCAACTGACTTAATCAACTTTGAAGGAAAGGCAAGGAGCGTTTGTAAGTCTTACCAAGCGAAAGGAACGAGGGAAACTTTCATCTGCCGGGATTAATTCCGAATGAACTTGCCGCAAAAGGGGAATCGTTCCGCGCTAATCGTCGGCATTCGAGCGCTCCTGGCGCTCCGCGCGGGAGTGAAAGACCGAATCACCGACAGGCCGACAAAGAATTGGTAATCAACCAATAACTTCAACTTTGACTACAAAGAGACAAATACGCTTCCGCTGAAGCAACACCCAAAGGGTAAGAGCACGTACTTTCTCAGATTGTATAAAGGTATAGGGACAGACAGTGGACCAGCTGTAGATGCAATTGCTATCTATAGCAGGGGAAATAAAAATAAGCTCACATTATTGACCCCAGTCCCTGACTAACGCTTATGAGGCTCAAGGGCACTTGGGCACGCCCTATGCCTAAGGCCATGTCATCCATGGTCGTTTACCATTCCAATTGACCCAATTCAAATGTGTGTACCTTATGTCTGGAAAAGTTATCTTTGCGATCCGAGAAGCTACACGCTTTGTTCTTGTTCATTTTCTAAAATTCCTTTCAAGTTCCATCAAAATACGTTTACTGCGTTATAATGCCAGCTCCTGATAGTGATTTTCAATTTGACATTGCCTCTTTTTTCATCTGTGCTTTTTTCTTTTCAAAATTTCGTTTCGTGAGGTCCTTTTACCTAGGGGGAAGAACAAAGCAATGGCTGCTGCTCGGCGTCTCTTCATGCCAGCGGAATGGACAAGACACTCCAGAACGCTAATGGCCATACCTGGCCTGGCTTCACAAACCTGGAACAAGACATTGCCCAAAGCAATCGAAGAAGTGACAAACGTTGCCAAGGCAGTATCTCTATTTGAGCCGGTCACTCTTCTCACAGGCTCTGCTCAAGTCGCCAGTACTCAGAAAAGCGTTCAAGACTGTGGGCGCTACGGTATTGATGTTGTCTCCTTGGACACGGATGGGTCCGACTCCGACCTGGACCCATGGATGCGAGATATCGCCCCGACATTCGTTTTCGGTAACCCCAGAAAGAAGCATGCTTTTACAAACAACGTCGATTCTGTTAACCCCTCTCAACTTGAATCCCGAGTCTTCGGTGTCGATTATAACTTCAATGGCTGGGGAGCGAAATACCCTACCTCCAGTAATACTTCATTGGCTCGAGTAGTTCTGGAAAGAATGAAGGTACCTCGGATCAAAGCCCCAGTCGTGGCTGAAGGCGGTGCGTTGGAAGTTGACGGTCAAGGCACCCTGCTGGCCACAGAAAGTTCTCTTGTGAATGCCAATAGAAACCCTGGAAAAGATCGCAGAACGGTCGAAGAGGGTCTGCAAGAAACCTTGGGCGTGTCAAAAGTAATATGGCTGCCAGGCGCTTCAGGAGCAGATGTTACTGACTGCCATATTGATGCGCTAGCACGTTTTGCTGAACCTGGCGTGATATTGCTGAGCAAGCCTGCATCATCACGTGCATCGGTTTGGTCAAAAGTGTACGAGGAGGCGCGTAGAGTTCTTTCGAATGCTCGAGATGCTCATGGCAGAAGCTTTCGGCTTGTGGATGTACACGAACCAGATGTGACCGGTATTGATGTTACAGATGGAGAGATGGTCGCGAGCTACGTCAACTACTATCTCGTGAACAACCAAGGGCTGATAGTTCCCAAGTTTGGGGTCTTAGACTACGATGCTCTTGCCGCTAAGACTCTGAGCGCAGCGTTCCCCACAAGACACATTGTACAGGTAGAAATTCGGGAATTAGCGTTTGCTGGAGGCGGTATTCATTGTATCACACAGCAAATTCCAGATCCTTTGACTTGAGTCTGACTCAATGGGGAAATTAAAAAAAGTAACATACTTCATCCCGAAACTCGAAAAATGAATTGATCTCAGAAGTAGAGATGAAAAAATTACGGACACACTAGGCTTCCTTATAATTTGTGTGCATTTTGCGCTCATACTTTCGTGGCGAGCCTATGCTATACCTGTCTTTACTTGGCCTTGACAGCGTATTAAGCTGTACAGAGAGTCTGTTTCCTTTATAATTTGCTGTCGAGAAAGAGAATAATCTATCCAGCAGCAGAAGACTTGATCGATCGTCTTTCAATAAAGATGCTTGTCAGAAGTACACAAGCAGCCACGGACACAGCAAGATAAAATGTCGATTTCAGAGCTTCATCATATTCCTTGGCAATCACTGACGCGTATTTGGCCAAACCCGACTTTTCCAGACTCGTGGCACCGGCATTGATAATAGCCTCCGGATTAACGTTGGGAGTCAACCTGGCGGCGCTTCGACGAAGTTGACTGAGAAAGAGACATTGTGCAACCCCCAACGACAGAGCCACTCCAAATTCTTGGGAAAACGTCATCAGAGCCAGTCCGATGGATGTATCAGCTTGGCTCAAGACGGTCTGTACAGCAATAAACGGGCCAGATATCGCTGCTCCGACCCCGAATCCAAGAAGAGCAAGGGTAGGGATCCAGAAGCTTGATCTGGTTTGCTCGTCAAAAAACACCATCATGATGGCACCAGCAAGCACCGTGACGCTGGCCGGTATCATGATTACGACGTAGTTCCCAAAATATGAGATTACAAATCCAGAAAGAATACTTGAAAGGAGAACAGCGACCACATTTGGCAAGATCATAATACCTGACTGAACAGGGCTCGCCCCTTTAACTACTTGGAACCACATGGGAAGCTGTTCAAAGGCATATATGTTAGTAGACCTAGATAGCATTCCAACCAAACAAATGAAAAAACATGGGTGACTAACGTAGTACGAGCTGACGCCATTTACAGCCTGAAGAGCCAAGCTATATAGGGCCCCAAAAAAGATTGACCGCTGCCTCACGATCCTCAGTGGGAGCATGGCATGATCCTTCCTTTTGATCTGGATTAGAATGAAAGTCAGGAAGAAGACCGGCGATAATGTTAGGAGGACAATGACACGTTCATTGCTCCATCGATATTTGTCGCCTCCCCATTGGAGCGGAAGCAGAAGACAGACAATGGCCGCCGCAAAAAGGGTCATTCCAAGGAAATCCAACTCCTTGATCTTCTGCAGCCTATTAGCGTTTGATTCGTTTGATCTGCCCCCCTCGGGCAGCCGAAGCACCAAGAGAATAACCGCCGCCGGAGCTACAGCTAGAATAACATTGATGTAGAAACACCATCGCCATGACAGTGATGAGGTTATGGCACCTCCTATCACGGGTGCAACGGCGGTCGCAAAAAACTCGCTGGCACCTATCCCGCCAACATAGATGGGGCGCTGTGCCAATGGGCGGGTGAGGGCAATAATGCTGTAAAAGCGTCAGCTGCGTACAAGTCATTCCTTTAGATGCGTTCCAGCGCAGAGCACTGACACCATGCAACCTTGGCTGATGCCTGAGAAACCAAATCCGCTGACAGCCCGGCCGGCGATGAAGGCGGCTGATGAGGGAGCCGCCCCGGACAAGAGGGCTCCAGCTTCGAAGAAAATGAGATGAACCAGGAAAGCCCATTTGACCGAGAAATGGTCAAACAGCCGTCCTTGAATGAGCTGTGACATGCACGAAGCAAGGCGGCTGTCCGAAAAGAATCAGCACTATGATACTTCTCTTTTGCTTCTTTGTCCCGGACGACTTACAAGGCCGAGCCATACCAGCCAATGTCGGCGACCGATCCGAAGTCATCTGAGATTTTAGGAATTGCAGTTGTGATAATGGTTGCATCCTACCGTGCACAGAGCGAATACGTTAATGCCATCTCGCTTCTATCATGGGGCCAATCGTCCCCTTGGGTAGCACTTTGCGACTCCTCACCAGGCCCAAGAGAAAAACACACATGATCAATGAGGCTGTGATGCAAATCAACTGAAGACCCTTGGGATATATGGGGCCATCCTCAACTGGGACAGCGCCCATCAACGGCGCACTTCCGTCCCTCACAGCCAGCTCCACATCCTGGCCCTTGATCCGACCATCGTGAATTGTTGGGGATTGGGCATCAGCCATCGTTGCAGCAAAGTCGCTTTTTGCGTCTCGCAAACCGAAAGATGAAGTGCGCAAGAGGGAGAAACTCGATCAGGGCGACATGCAAAGCAAAGGGCCACGGAGTGAGCCCCGGGATTGTTACTCCACACGTAGCTGGTACTTGCACCTTGAATTTTCCTCATCTACACAAACGGAGTCATCTTCGCTCTCGGGCATAAGGCTGCTCTTTTAGGCAGGTCTTTCACCAAAGACAGTTCATAGATTAACGAAAGACTAGGGGATCCTGACACCATCACGGCTCAGCCCCAAGCTGCCGTCGCAATTGGGCGCAAAGCCGAATCGGAATTCCGTGTTGCTTGCGCTTCGTTGACGCTACGTTCCGGCCGATGCGGGGGACGCTGAGCAGGGGGGTTTATTGGTTTACTTTGGGTGCACGTACAACCCCCGGTTCTCCACCGGCTCCTCAATTTTTCCACAGACCAAGCGGGAGCTATTCGATGCTTGATACTTTGCATATGGTGCCAGCTAACGGGCCCCACCGAACCCTCTTCTACGCAGTAGAGGGTTCAGTGGGGTAGGCGGTTACCAGCTTCCTCATCCTCGCTTTCGCGGTCTTCCACCCGACGTAGGTCATCATCCTATGATCGCCATGAATGATGCAATCAACATTTGTCGCCATGCTGAAGTCGCTCCGGTTGGCTCTGGCAATGTGAAATGATGTGATTCTTCCTATCGAAGCACAAGCACCGGCCTAGACCAAGCTGCGCGGGAGCTATTGACTCTAAAGACGTGCTGTATTAGCAGCAAGGCACTGTTCTGTACTAACAGTCTGCAGGTATTTGACCCGCCCATATATCATAATGTTGATGCCTCCACCTCACAGGGATGATATGCCCTTGCCGTGCTCTCGGCCTACTGTGGAGAGAAGCTTAAATCCGCAATGAAAGTAAGCAATCGTCGGATGGCTCATCAAAGTTTGCTCCATTCCGCCCTTTCAAGTGAATTGCTTCTGATTCTTCGAGCCAGATGGCCAACACAGAAAGAGAACCACTGGTCCGCAGCCCCCAGGGGGCAAATCCAGTCGAAAGTCATGTGGCGAGTATTTGGGTCCAGGAGACGAAAACGTTGATCATTACGTCAAGTTGGCTGGTTCTGGTCTCATACCTGCAGTATTCATTCCAATTTATCGGCTTGCTATTTGCGGCGCAATTCAAACCGTTGGAAATGGCAGCAATCGGTCTGGGGGCAAGTATTGCCAACATTACCGGTTATGCGATCTATCAAGGATTGTCAACAGCGCTGGACACCCTCTGTACGCGAGCCTTCGGATCTGGTCACCAGGAGGAGGTTGGTTGCCATTTACAACGTATGATTTTACTCCTATGGGCAGTGACCATGCCCATTGGTCTTGCTTGGTGCTATAGTTCCTCTATACTCAGCTTGCTTGTCTCCCGGGATGTCTCCGAGCTGACTTGCGGCTATCTGCGTATTGTTTTGCTCGGTGCGCCTGGACATGCTGCTTTTGAGGCTGGAAAACGCTTCGTTCACGCTCAGGGTATCTTCCGAGCCTCCTTCACGGTCCTCTTGGTTGGAGCGCTTGCAAATGCATTCTTCCATTGGGTGCTGGTCTCCAAGCTAAAGTGGGGTTTCTTCGGGGTACCTGTCGCCACTGCCATGACCGACAATCTGCTCCCGTTTGGCCTTGCGCTGTACGTTGCTTACGTTGATGGTTCGGAGTGCTGGCCGAGGCTATCGAAGGCCGTTTTAACTAACTGGGGTCCCATGCTGCAGCTGGGTCTCCCAGGGTGTGCCATGGTATTGGCAGAATTTCTTTCCTTTGAAATGTTGACCCTAGGTGCAGGAAAGATGAGCGATCTATACCTCGCGGCCCAGAGTGTGCTGAGTGGTGCGAATTCGATGGCTTTCCAGCTGCCTTTTTCAATTAGCCTCTCCACTTCTGTGCGCACTGGCTATCTCATCGGACAGAAAGATCCCAAACGTGCCAGGATTCAGGCTACCGCTGCGCTTGTTCTTTCTAGCATTGTGGGCCTCATCAACATGACGGTGTTATTAGCATTTAGATTCCAGATTACAAGGTTACTGTCCCCACACAAGGACGTACAATTGCTAGCTGCCAATAGCATGCCCTTATGTGCAGTATTACAGATTGCCTATGCACTTGCAGAATGTTGCAATGGCCTAGTAAGAGGCCTTGGCCTACAAAAGGTAGCGAGTTTGCTTGCATTGGCATGCTACTACCTGGTGAGTATTGTCTCCCAATCTCAACTTGCCATCTGCTAACGACTCTCCAGGTTGGACTGCCACTATCATTTGTCATGGGTTTTGTTGCTCGTCTGGGTCTCTCTGGCCTCTGGAGCGGTTCTCTGATAGGAACATCGTTGTAGGTCTACCTCATTTTACATCCACAAGGTAGAACCCTGTTCGCTGACTTGTTACAGGTTTGCAGCGATTTCAATCATTTTCGTACTCGTGACAAATTTTGACAGTGTAATCCGATTAGCACTTGCCTCACATCTTTAAAATGCAAAATACTCGTCTGAAATTGCCTACACAGCTCTTAGAATTAACGAAGGACGTGGGTCTATCAAGGGACTCTCTTTGAAACGCGCTTGGCATCGTTCACTTCGCATCACGACTGGCGCACCGGACACTATTCTGCAATTTTGGCTTATGTACAGATTTGAAGATCAAATTGCAATGGCTGTGACGCGTCCTCTCGTTCCCTGTGGTTCTGGCATTATGCTTTACTTCTGTACCTAGTTACCCCCTGGTCTACCCCTCTTCTAATCGGGTCATATTTGTGCATCCCTGGGAAGGTACTATTGTGCTCTCTAAGTTCGAAGTTCTTAAGGAGCTTAAGTACATCTACGGACAACATTCTATTGTCTGGTAAAAATCTTCACATTTCAGACCAAACTACCTAGCAAACTTTCTTTTGTTTCTTTTCATACATCTTATTTATTCAACATGCCTAAATTGTCAAGCGTTGAGGATTTAGCAAGTTGGGAGCCGTCTATTGTCTTTGCAGACAGAGGCAGTCATGACAATAATGGTCGATGGAATATTATTTCACAAAAAAACCGCTTTAGCATTGCATCTCTCGAAGCCATCTGCACTACATACAACGTATCGATCATAGATACTTTGCAGGGCCTTTGGGCATTGGTTATAAGTACCTTCTCCAACAATGATGAAATCTGCTCAGGCTTTATCTCAGATTCAGTGGCAACAATTTACCACTGTAAACTTGAGACGTCTGTTCCAGTTGCCAATGTTGGGAATGCAATTGACACCTGGGACCCTTCTATTTTGCATTTTCCGGAAAAAGAAGACCAGTCTAGTAACTATACTGTTACATTGGTCAATCTATTCGATACAGCGCTGGAAATTAGTCTGGTGTTCACGGGCTCTAGCAGTCTGAAGAAGGCCCCCTTGCCATTGATTGTATGTCCAAGTCCGATCCTCCGTCCAAATTACAGCAGGCAGAATTAACACAAGCTATTCAGAATCCTCTGAAGCTGTACGCAAGCATATCTCTTTCAGATAATACAATATCTACATTTTACCAGTCGGCACTTGTTTCACACTTTCAGGCCGAGAATATAGCTTTGACTTTCCAGAAAGTCATCGAGAGCTTCTTCCAGACACCTGGAATTCCCATTAAGGATCTTGATTTGATAAGTTATCATGGGAGAGCAACAATTTTGCAGTGGAACAAGGCGCTCTTACCATCAATTCATGCATGCATTCATGAAATCATTCACCAACATTCCTTGGCACATCCTCACGCCCTTGCAATCTCCTCGTGGGATGGACAATTTTCCTACCAGGAGCTGGATCGGGTTTCGACGTGCCTTGCAGCTCAACTGAAAAGCTATGGAGTCAAAGAGGAAGTTATCGTTCCTTTCTGCTTCAACAAATCGCGCTGGGCCATCGTCGCTATGCTCGCAACCCTGAAAGCTGGGGGTGCATCTGTAGCACTCAGCCCTGAGTATCCGAATGATCGGATATCACACATTGTTCACTTAACAAATGCATCTCTTGTGCTTTCGGATTCGGAAAATGCAGATCATGTCGGGGACTCAGCGGCAGAAGTCGCCGTCGTCGTGGTCGACGAAGATTTAATCTCCAGGCTTCAGGAACCAAGAGAAGCATCGGGAAGCCCCTGTACACCCAGCAATGCTGCTTTCATTCAATTCACATCGGGAACGACTGGAAATCCGAAAGGCATTGTTTTGGAACATGGTGCATTTCTGACCAGCATGGTCGCCCAGCATAGGGATATGCACATTCATAAGCATTCTCGTGTTCTTCAATTTGCAGCGTACACTTTTGATGCCAGCTTACAGGAGATCTTCGGAGCACTTACTGCCGGGGGATGCGTATGTATACCTTCAGAGCACCAACGGCTGAACAATATCGGTGAGACGATCAAGAGAATGCAGGCAAGCTGGGTCTTCATGACACCGCTATTTGCAAAAACAATTCACCCCTCGGATGTGGTCAGTGTGGAGACGATGGTGATCGGGGGCGAAGTTACACCAAAGAGTGTCATCAACGACTTCGCCCCAAAGCTCCGTCTGTTGAATGGCTATGGACCGTCAGAATGTAGCATTGCCAGCTCGGTCAATAACTTCAGTATGGCAGCTAATCCGGATGCGGAGAATATTGGAAACCCCATGCAAAGTTGTAACTTCTGGGTTGTTTCTCCTCGAAATCCCGACCGCTTAGCCCCTGTTGGAGCTATCGGTGAGCTGGTGATCCAAGGGCCAATCCTTGCAAGGGAATATCTGAAGAATGTTGATGCAACAAAAAGGTCGTTCCAGTCACCGGCTTGGCTGGACTCCTTCAGTGCAATGCATCCAAAAAGGGTTTATAATACGGGAGATTTGGTACGCTATCAATCTGACGGGTCATTGCAATTTGTCGGACGAAACGACTCGCAAGTGAAGGTGACGGGCCGCAGAGTCGATCTGAAAGAAACCGAATTTCACCTATCTTGCAACTTGCCCGATGAAATGGCGGCAGCCGTCAATTTTCTGCCGCTTCAGACCGGTGATGGAGAGAAAAAGGCGTTGGTTGCCTTTTACTGGCCAAAGAAGTTGGTCGATGGACCTGCTACAAAAATTTCCGTTGAGGTGCTACCTGTCTCGCTGGATAGGAGAGAATTAGCACAGGGTTTATCCCAACAGCTGAAACAGGCCTTACCTTCGTATATGATTCCAAACTTTTACATTCCTCTCTCCACGATTCCATTGACCTTGTCAGGGAAACTGGACCATCGACAACTAAAGTCACTATTTGTTGGGTTGTCGAATGCAGAATTAGGTGCATACTCACCCGCTACAATTGTAAAAGAAAAGCCACAGAACAAGATAGAGGAAGTCCTTCGGAGTTTTTGGGCAGAGGTGCTCGGTCTTGATCTGGAGACGATCGGTACCAACGACAACTTCTTTGAGCTTGGTGGCGAGTCAATTGCAGCCATCCGTCTTTCTACCATTGCTCATGCAAACGGATTGCATCTTACCACTTCTGATATCCTCAGTTGTCCGGAATTTAAGCTACAGGCTCAAATTCTCTACGACAGGAGCGAGAACCAGGACGAGCCTTCGGGGAATAAATCTCCTCTGTTATTCGATGACGAGGGGTACATTTCAGCTACTGTATCAAAAGGAAACTCTCACCAAACACCAAGCTGGTCTCGCCTTTGTGAGAAAATCAGTAACGAGTGGAGACTGGACCAAACCAGCATCCTCGACATATATCCATGTAGTCCTATGCAAAAAGGATTACTTGCACTGACTACCCGAGAGTCAAAAACCAAGACATTGCAGAAGATATATTCTCTATCAAAGAAAATTGATATAGCTCGTTTTCAATATGCCTGGGAGCGAATAGTTGCCCAGAATGACATCTTTCGAACTCGGATTGTCTTTACGTCAAACAATAACCAACTTTTTCAGGTTTTGTTAGATGAACATATTACCTGGAATACATCTGAAAATTTAAAAGAGTATCTTCACCAAGATATGAGCAAGCCGTTTGGCTATGGAACACCTCTTGTCCGCCTTGCACTTTTTCCTAATGGAGAAGAAGGACATTACTTTGTATGGAGTGCTCAGCATGCAGTTTATGATGGTTGGAGTGACTTGAGGGTCATTGAGCTACTTTCTACACTATATCACGGCCAAAATGTTCCGAAGAGTTTACCATTCCGGGAATTTATTGACTATGTAAACACAGCTCAGACAGTTGAAGCACATCAATTTTGGAAAAGTCAGCTTGACCGGTTTCAAGGCTCCGAGTTCCCAAAACTACCTCATCCAGATTACTGGCCATTGGCACAAGATGTTGTCCATCATAAGATTAATTTGCCAAGGATTGCAGGAGTAAATGTTACAGTTGCGACTTTACTTCGTGCTGCCTGGGCCATTGTGATCAGACAATATACTGGCTCAACAGACGTTTGCTTTGGAACAGTACAGACCGGCCGCACTGGATCGTTGCCTGGGATTGCAAATCTAGTTGGGCCAACAATTACAGTTGCACCAGTACGAATTTGCTGGGCCGATTCAACGCCAGTCATATAATTCTTAAATGATGTACAGCGTCAGAGCATTGAGATGATTCCGTTTGAGCATACAGGCATTCAGTCTATCAGGACTCTGAGCTCTGATTGTACTACCGCGTGCATGTTCCAAAGCTTATTTCTTGTCCAGCCGGAGCCGGAGCAGCCTCGACTCCTTGACGGAATGCAACTTCTCGGGAAAAATGACACAGAAATGCCTAGTTATCTTCTCTCTCTGGAGATTACTCTACAATCAGGGTATGCATCCGTGGTAGCGGTCTACGATTCTGATGTCTTGGACCATTCAGAGGTTGAGCAGATATTGTACCAGCTCGAGCACACAGTGCATCAAATCAGTGAAAACTTGAGAGATAGTGCGCTTGGAGATTTAGGACAATTGAATCCCCGGGATCTTGAGCGCCTTTGCTCATGGAATGCAACCGATCTCGAGCCAGTACAGGAATGTGTTCACTGGGCAATAGTGCGTCAAATGCATTCAAGACCAAATGCTCCTGCAATCTGCTACGATAACGGAAAGGAGTTGACCTATGGTCAGCTGGACCGACTAACCTCAGCTCTTGCAGAATATTTGCGCAGCCTCGGCGTCGGACCAGAAAGCATTGTTCCATTTTGTTTTGAGAAGTCGCTTTGGGCTATTGTTGCTGTGGTATCGATTCCACGAGCTGGAGGGGCCTGTGCAGCGCTGGAACCTACCCATCCCCCTGGCCGTTTGTCACAAATCATCGAAGGCACGAATGCCTCAATTATACTGGCTTCGTCTCTGCAGCTCGGAAAACTGGAGGCTTACGAGAAACGTGTTGTTTGCATTGATCATGCATTCATGGAGACCATCTCCACAGCGTCTGTAAATGACCCCGGACCAACATTGCCTTCGAATGCAGCATTTGTTGTCTTTACATCTGGAAGTACAGGTGTGCCGAAAGGTATCGTGCTAGAGCACTCATCAGTAGTGTCCACTTCACGAGCAAACGGTAGAGACTTGGAGCTAAATTCCTCCTCAAGGGTTCTGCAATTTGCTGCCTTTGCCTTTGATGTTTACATAGAAGACATATGTATATCGCTCATGTATGGCGCTTGTATTTGTGTCCTGGCTGAGCAAGACCGCCTCGACAATCTGCCTCAAGCAATCAAGTCGATGAAGGTCACCTGGGCTGACCTGACTCCTTCGGTTGTTAGGATGATTGAGCCGGAACAAGTTCCTGATCTCCAGACGCTTGTCCTTGGTGGGGAGCTGCTAACTGAAGAAGTGATCGATCGATGGGCGGGTAAAGTACACTTGTTCAACACTTACGGGCCTGCAGAATGTACCATATTTTCTACCGTAACGGCAGCGCTTGACAAGAAGGCTCACGGTGTCAACATTGGTCGCCCAGTCGGATGTCACATCTGGATTACTGACCAGAACAACCTTCAACAGCTGCTCCCTGTGGGCTCTGTTGGAGAGATGATAATTGAAGGACCGAATGTTGCGCGTGGCTATCTCAATGACCCAGTTAAAACTAGAGAAAGTTTCGTTGAAGACCTTGCTTGGGCAAACCGCGGTCCTCAAGGGCGACGCTTTTACAGGACGGGCGATTTGGGTCGGTTTCGAGGAGATGGAACTCTGGAAATCTTCGGCCGCAAAGACTCGCAAGTCAAATTTCATGGTCAGCGCTTTGAATTGGGGGAGATTGAACACCACGCCGCTGTCCATTCAGCAGAAGACGCCACAATTGCGGTAGAACTTGTACACTTTGAAAATCGCACGTCTGCACTCCTCGTCTCGTTTCAAGGGATTCGAAAACATGTTCGCTCTGTCCAGGACGAAGATTGGAAAACCAACGCATTGCTACCCCCTACACTCCAGACAAAGTATAATTCCTTGGACTTGCAAAAGCAACTCAGCAAGTCGCTACCATCATACATGGTTCCAACGGTCTACATTTCACTGCTCTTTATGCCTATAACCCCTTCAGGCAAGGTGGACCGGAAATCCCTCCAGAGACTTGTGAAATCTTTGTCTCCTTCACAATTCAACGACTATTCTTTGGCAAGCGTGCAGAAGGACAAGCCAGCACAAGCAAATGAAATCCTTCTACAGGGATTGTGGGCCGAGGTCATTGGTATCGAGCAAGATTCGATTGGTGTCAACGACAGCTTCTTTCGCGTTGGCGGAGATTCCATTTCAGCCATGCGGCTAGTCAAAGCTCTCCAGCCCCTTGGCTGGCAGCTATCTGTTTCTGACATATTCCGACACCCTATTCTGTTTGACATGACCACGGAACTGAAACAAGTGGCTGAGCAGGCCAGCGTTGTTGCAGCAGCTGTCCATGCACGGGAGGTCGTTGATGACGTCTATCAGCACTGGGGCATTGACCCGGATTCCATTCAAGATATATATCCGTGCACACCACTGCAGAAAGACATGATTTATCTAACTAAAGCGCATAGAGTCGCCAACACTCTTCATCAAGTCTTTCACCTATCGGCCCAAGTCGATATCCCGCGCTTTCAGGCCGCTTGGACACAAGTTGTTGCGAATCACCCAATTTTCAGGACAAGAATTGTCACTGGCAGAGACGGAGACCTCCTCCAAGTTGTGCTCAACCGACCACTGGAGTGGGAGACTGCGGAAAGTCTGGCCGACTATTCCGCCTCTTTGAAAACATTCTCGTTCGACTTCGGAAAGCCTCTGGTGCGCCTGGTGCTCATTTCAGATCCCGAAGATTCGCGGGGCCATTACTTTGTATGGAGTGCCCATCACTCGACCTATGATGGATGGAGCATTCCACGCACGCTCGGCCTAGTGTCGAGACTTTACCGCAACAAAAGCTTCTCACACCTTTATCAACCCTTCCGTCCTCTAGTCGAATACATTGAAGGATCCAAGTCTGACGAAAGCCGATCATTCTGGAAGACTGCTCTTCGTGGCAGTAGTGTCTCCAGCATTATATTCCCTGCACTTCCTCAAGAAGATTACAGGCCTTTAACAACTGATATCGCCGAGCACGAAATCTCCGTTTTATCTCGGTCCGCCAGCGATATCACTATGGCGAGTATCATTCAAGGAGCCTTGGCACTTGTAATTGGCAGTCGAACTCAAAAAAGGGACTTAACATTTGGTCTCATCAAGACTGGCCGAATAGGCATACCCGTGCCCGACATTGAAGATATTGCCGGCCCAGCTATCACGCTGGTCCCAGCCAGAATTCGATGGGAAGAAAATACTTATTGTACTCCTGGTGACCCGACATCGATGCGGGCGTTTTTGCTCGACATCCAGGCCCACCACAGCGAGTCTCTCCCTCATGATCATATCGGCTGCCACGAAATCGCTACGCTGGATAATGATTGTCATCACGCGTGTTCCTTCCAGACGCTGCTTATCATTCAGCCCCCGCGCGCTGATCACAGTATTATCGATGGCGTGACAACTATGACATCGATTGGCAGAGAACTTTTGAACTATGGACTTTCTATTGAGTGCCGGCTTGGCCATTCCCACATTTTCCTCCATGCTGATTTTGATCCGGCGGTTTTACCCAAAAGCACAGTCATCTCCATTTTACATGAGCTTGGCAATACGATTTCTTGGCTGAGTTCTGATACTAGCTACACAAAGGTCCGAAATGGAGCAATTGAATTAAATAGTGTAGGTGTTTCTTGTTAAAATGCATATGCTACTCTCAATTTTTTGAGTTGAACTTTCTTTATGATTGTATACTTGCCAATTAGAATCTTAGATTAGGTATATTTATTTTGTTTGTTACGTGTCCACTCTAGTGAAAATAATATACTAAAATCCCCTGTCATTTATGTATAAGCCCCTAGTGCATCACATGAGCAAATGAACACAATATATGATAGCTGTTAAGTGTACAATGTCTTCCGACATGTAGTATAAAATTCCATTTTTACAAGCTCTCTAAGTGACCAAAACTACATTATCTGGCATAGATTGCATAAATTAAGGTGCACGTTTTGTTGTTGGTCCGCCGAAATAGGTCCGGTAATTCCCGCTGCTCCGCCAAAACCGTTGCCTGCTGAACAGTATTATTGATATGCGAATTCATGAACTCAAAATAAAATAATTTTTTGGACTCCCTTGCCTTTTGAAGTTCTTTCTGTAAAAAGACCCTTGTCCAAATATTTGGTCTTCACGACACTAAAAAAATTCTGCATCTCATACTATTTAATTCTTTCCGACGCAAGACAAAATAAACATAAAAGAAACATGTCTGCCGAGCAACCCCCTATTTCACCTCTGAACCAAAATGCTCAAGAGGCAGTCAATAATGTACCCAGAATTGTTCTTCGAGCTCCTAGCGTCCATGCTGGATCTCACCAAGCCGCCTCGCTCCCTGCTCCACCCATGGACTGGCTCTGCGGTACATGGACCGTGACGCATTCAACTTTGCCAATGTGGAAGTCCAAGCGCAATGTCAGGATAACATATACTGCCGTGCCTGCCGCCGCGCATTCCTCCAATACCCAAGCTACGGATCGACTAGACGATCTGGTCAGTTACCAATCGCTTTCTTCGACCAAAGTGAAGACCATCCACGGCATTGACAAGGCCAGCGGAGGAGCGCCAGCAGAAGGCAACGCTGCGTCGTGGGCCTGGGATTGGCGCGGAAAGGGCCCCTTGGCAATCGCATCTAGCCATTGGGAGATACTTGGATGGAGTGGAGCAGAAACAGATGACCCAAGAAAACAGTGGGCCGTGACGTATTTTGCAAAAACGCTGTTTACGCCTGCGGGAATTGACATTTATTGCCGGTCAAGCGAAGGCGTAAGCCCAGAGACATTAGTAGAATTAAAGGACGCTCTAGATCGCATCGATGATTCAGAGATAAAACAACTGGCATCGAGCATGTTTGAAGTAACGCGAGATGGTGCAAGGGATGAGTGATTGGAGGGGGGGAAGGGGGAAGTCAGCGAGTATTTTGGGCACAAAGGGAAAGCATATTTTAGTTGTATTAATCAGTCTAGAAATAGTATTTATTGAAGTATATCCTGCTATTGGACCGCTCTATGCCGAATTGTATACCTAGGAACAAAAAAAATGAAAAGGTGAAAAGGCTACTGCTTATCCGCAGCAAGGAGCTTGTTGACTGCTTCGACTTTCTGGGAGAAAGTCTGCTTCTTATCGATTCTGTAAAAAAGACTTAGCCATTGAAACACTTTGCCACAGTCATTTGTCTGTGATAATCAGTTTGAACTGACTGTCATTCGATAACTCACCTTGTGCCGACTCTGATATCAGTCTGCACTCTCGGGATGCCGTTTTTGTGGATGAGAGCATGAGCCTGACCAATAATCTTGAAGACTTCATCCCATGGCCCCTCTTTTCAATTCTCTATTAGAACAAAGATCTCTCTCTAATCACCGGAGGATCGTGAATACTCACCAACAGTAGTTCCAGCGGAATGCAGGGTGTACTCCAGCCCACACGTTGCCAACAGCCGCTGGACTTCTGCAATCTCTTTGGACACCGAGGCAGTCGGCGTTCCAATCTAAGGTCGCAATTAAAGTCAACTCAGCGTTCGAAAGACAGATATGCAATACAATCAAAATGTTCAAGAAACGCATAGCCCTTAGACGAGAAATCAGGGTTAGGCAGATGAACGTACAGGGACCAAGCAAAAGTCAGCTACGCAGAGCTCAGGGGTCTGAAGTGACGAATAATCCCGCGACGAAGCCATCCTTGCTGTAAGAGCGTATTTTGCTGAAAATATAAAAGGCCTTGAAGAGAAGCCAATTGCGGGCCGGTTTATAGATCTCAGGCCGTGTCTGGTCAGCAGATTAACAGCTGCGCAATTGCTGCTGCAATCAAGAAATTAGTACATGATCAATCGAATACAAGAATTATTTGCAGTTTAAATCTAAAACAGACATCCGTGGCATTGGCATTGATTGAAATTTCTCACCTTTCGTGGCGATTTGATATGGGGAAAAAGAACTCGCGATGGCGAAGTGGTGTCAGGTCCCCAAGTCGATAACGATTTGATCTAGCGCCAGTCGCACGCGGGGCCGTTCCATAGTGCCGCTACAGGCGGCATTGGTCGATACGACCACTCAGCATCTGACCGGTCCCCGCAACGGATCCATGGATTTGCTATTTTACCAATCGCCGAACTTTGTTTGCATTTGCACATTTTTATATTCAAATCCTACAGGTATTTAGGAGCATATAGATCTGATCCATGTCCGTTATAGATCTACCGCCGAATGCCACCCTGCAGTATCTGGCCGAGGGCGCCGCAAACATTGTCTACAAAATTGATATTCCCCCGCCAAGCCCAAGCTTCAATACATCCTCGGAAATAAACATAAATGAAAGAAGCTCGGAGATTGGTACTCCACCACCGAGCGAAATAACACCTTTATATTACGATCCAAAGCTTGATCGTGGGCTTCTACGACTTCGAAAGGCTCTGCCGTCAACAGTGCCTGTGGAACAGTCACATGCGCGATTCCATGATGTTTTCCGGGAGCTCTTTGAAGAAAGTGACCTTGTGAACCATGATCTCGTCAGGCTCCCGAAAGGCTTAATACAAAAATGCAATTCCAGGTTACGTTTGTATGAAGAGCGCGGATTGCGTCCTCAGAAACGGAGGGGCCTGTATCTCCAGGAATATGAGCAATACGGCATGCTGGTCAGTGATATGACGCCTCGAAAAGACCGCGGAGAGGTTTTAGTCGAGTTTAAGCCAAAATGGCTGGCTCAATCGCCTTCTGCGCCTTCGACTGCTCTACGATGCCGGACTTGCGCACTTCGGGCGAAGAGAAATGCTGCGCGGCGTGCAAAGAACGAGCCAGAAGAGAGATCCTTCTGTTCGTTGGATTTGACTTCTCGAGATCAAGAGACGATTGCACGCGCTGTGTCTTATGTGATTCCCAAAGACCTGGGAAACGTTCATACAGCAGATAAGTTGCGTCAACGACTCCTAGCGTTTTTCAAGAAAAGCACGCTCCTGCAGCGGTTGAAAGAGCTGCAAGAAGACCTCGATAAACGAGGTGTCCTGCAGGAAGATCCAACATCGGAAAAGTTCTTGATTGCTATGACAATAAGAGATTGTACCCTCTTTCTCAAGGTAATCCATTGCTGCTTTGTGAATATCTATATATATTCCGAAAATACCCTAATCAGGAATTGTTTTTTTTTTAATTTAGGTTAGTGCAGATGACGAGATACCTATCGAAGCTAGGATTGGAGATTTGGACCTCAAATCTCCAGATCAAGGCAAGGCAGACTATTGGCGAAGCCTTGAACGAGCCTTGATTGAACAAGGCTGGTATGATGCTTCGGAGAATGATCCTCGCTCTGATAAGTCACCCTGTCCAGGTCTGCTACTTACTAAGCCATAAACAAAGTCTACATGTTTATTGGAGGAGACCAGAAGTTGCCTTTGCCCGACTTGAAGTTTCTTGGGCATCCATCGCAAGTGTATTATCATGAATCGCAAATGGCTCTTAATCGGAGCCGTTATATTGTGGTATAGAACATTATTCAAACGAAATGGAAAATAGCCCACAATAATCTTACAAGCACTGCCTTTCTTAAACTCCTCTTCAACGCCTCAAAGAACCATTTTTCAAGCCAGCCATTGAACCATTTTACTTCTTCTTGACCACAACAATACCTTCTGTTTGCCGTAGCGTCTCTAGGGTCTTCTCTCGTTCTGTCAACTTCTTCTTCTCCTGATCGACCATCTGCTCCACGGTCTTGATGGCTTCCTTCATCCTGTCTAACTCTTGCCGCTCCGTCTGCCGACTATACGGGTTACCTGCTGTCGGAGTATCGGGTATCTCTGCGGTTCTTGTACCCTGGCCTTGCCCAGCTTGGCCTGCACCTCCGCGCGCAGCGGACGCTTGTTTTGAGCTCTTGCTGCCTCCCTTCCCTTTCGTCCCTCCTTGCTGGGCAGAAGATGCGCCTCCATTACCCGTAAGTATATCGTAAAACTGCTCGACGGGTTCATTGAACACGACTTCCTCGTAATTTTGCGAAATGATAGGCGTGCGGCTTTCCTTCTCCTGCTCGGCATTTGGTCCGTACGGATGTAGTTTCAAAGCGTGCCAAAGAGTTTGCGGCTTTTCGTTCGATTCCGGAACAAAGTGAAGCTTTATTTGAATCTCAAATTCACCCCATCCGGTTTCGCTGACTTCGAAAGGTGGTCCTTCAACGGCTAGAAGGTAGATCAGCATGTCGTTGTCCACGGCTGGCTCGAGCCTTGAGGCCTAAATAAAAGAGAGTACTAGGCTAAAACGTACTTCGTAATGCATTCGCATATGTCTCGTGCAGTTTAAATTGCACCTTCTTTAGCCAATACGAAATATCCTCATCATCGACGCCTCGAACCCAGACCGTCCATTGGTGAGTGTGCTCCGGAGGAAGATTTGGCGGTTTCTTGTTTGGATCAATAGGTCGGGCAATGCTTCCAAAAACTATTATTTAGTGCCGCTGTCAGTTAATGCTATAGTGTTGCTAGAGCACCCATTGGAAGGGAAGAGCTGCGATGTACATACCAAATGGCCGATATACTGAGACGCCCTGTGCAATTACAGTCAGTGCGGGCGGAAAGGTGGAAGACTATACACGTTACGTACCTTGACACGTTTCGTACCAGCCGGTGCGGGCATTTTATCTCGAGCCTTTTGCCCTGGAGTATCTCTCGAGCTTGTGTGGGATGGTCAGAGAGCTCCGGCCGAAACTCTGGGTTAACTTTCGCGCAGAGGCTCCGTTGTTCCCCGGAGCATGCGATCGGAGCCAACGACCCCTCTGACCTCCCGATTTACGTGTCTTATCTGATCCAGCACAGACCAAAACCAGATTAGATCGAAATGCAGAAGGCAGCTAAGCTAGGGAGCCGAATGGAAGCTGGTTAGGTCATACATTTGTCGCTCACAAAACATACGATTGCTACGCAGATCCATTACGAGCAGATTATTGGCAACAATCGTACGCGCAACATTTCCGAGACTGTAAGCAGAGCCAATTGAATACTTATATACCGAAGATCAAGCTCACCGACACCAACCAGAATCGTCCTGGTTCTTACGCCTGAGCTCTCTTCGAAATTTCGAGTTTATTGAAGAGAACCCAAGCTTGCAACGACGCGCAATGGCCTCGGGTGCGGCTAAGAGGAAGCTTGTTGTCTGTGGTGGGAATGGATTCCTGGGTATGGTAAAAGATATTATTTAAAAAATCATTCATCGATACTGTTTACTGAGAAATTATTAAAGGAAGCAGAATCTGCAAATCTGCTGTTGCTCATGGGTGGGATGTCACGTCTATAAGGTACGAAACGGAGTTGCGACTTTGGATTTTTGTCCACTTTTAACCCAATTCAAAATAGTCGGTCCGGTGAGCCTTCCTGGTCGGCCGTTACATCTTCGCCGAATGCACCTGCGTGGTCTCGCTCCGTTACATGGGAGAAAGCCGACATCCTCAAACCGACATCGTATAAGCCGCTGCTGAAGGGTGCGGACGCTGTGGTACATACAATGGGCATTCTGCTTGAAGCGGACTATAAAGGAGTGCTGCAAGGCAAAGAGCCTATTTGGAGTGGACTACAACGGGCGTTCAGCGCATCCAAGGCGGGGAGTCAAAATCCTCTAGAGAGAAAAGAAGGAGAGGATCTGCGACCCAAGGAGAAGAATGGTCAACTGACTTATGAACTGATGAATCGCGATTCAGGTTTGTGTTTCTCAAATCCAATTTTGTCAGGAAACGTTCAAGCTAATTTTGATATTCTTAAAGCTATCACGCTCGCGCAAGAAGCATCCCATGAGAATGTTCCTACATTTCTATATATCTCGGCGGCCGCTGGCGCGCCGATACTTCCAGCACGTTACATCAAGACAAAGAGGGATGCCGAATCTGCAATCACATCTGCTTTCCCGAATATGAGGAGCATCTTTGTCAGACCCGGATTTCTCTATGACTCTTCTCGAGGCTTGACTATGCCCTTGGCCGCACTCACAGGGATGGGCGCTATTGCGAATTCGCTCGTGGGCGGGCATTTGACTTGGCTGATGGGTGCTGGTGGTGTGAAACCCTTGAAGGCGGACTTGGTAGCCGATGCTGCCGTCGAGGCTATTGGAGATAATACCGTGAGAGGTCCTGTCGAGGTACCAAAGATTGAAGAGCTCGCACATAAAGCGTGGAGGCGAACCATGCTCTAGGCCTTGAGGGCAAAATGGATACGGAAGGGAATGGCGCAAGACCCCCGCTGCTGTTGCCGTTATCGTCTTCATCAGTGATTTGCCAAATTGCCCCAACTTTAGTAGATCCAAGGCGAATTGTTGGCGTTGAGAAATATTCCATTACATAGCTGTACCCCGCTCAAAGCTATCACGAATATCTGCCGTGTACTATATTTATCTTTGTTAGCAATACTAGACTATGATCGGCAGTCGAGAAATACCAACCTTGTTGTAGAAGCGACCCAGTTTGAGGTTGAACTGCTTGTTCTTTTCATTGATGAAAGTAACATCACCATCATCGTCTCCCCGACCTCTGTCTCTTCTCTTCTTCATTTGCACCTCCTCGGCCTTCCTCATCTCGTTGACTAAGCGATCCACGGCAGCTTTGTCGGGTTTGTTTTGGGTAAAATCGGTGCTATCAGCAGTCGAGTAGAAGGTGCCGTCCTGGTCAATAGCCACAAGTTCTCCGTCTTCCGTCTCGACGACTTCCAAGCCACCGGTCTGAGCAGCCTTTCGGACGGCGTCTGTCTTCTGCTTGTCGTAACTTGAAACGTCCGGTTTCATCTCTCGCAGCTGGCGTTTGTACACCTTATTTGCTTCCTGGCGATAGTCCTGGAAAGCAACTTGCCCCCGATGCCGCTGCTTTTTCTCCATCCTTCGATCCCATTTCTCTGATTCCTCTACAGTCCAGTCCCAGGCTCGCTTGCGCTCGAAATCTTCACCAGAAGCCTCGGTATCTGCTTTCAAGAGATTATGCGACGCAATAGCTTGCTTTCGTGATAAGGAGGTGAGAAGCTTGGGATCAGTCGCAAGTCTTTGGGATTCGGCAGCGGCGTCCTTCAGGTTTCGCTCAGCGGAATTTTTCTGGTGATACGTAATTAGCTATCCGAAACAAAGCAGGGTACACGACCTCTTCTTATGCAGAATAATCCAAAGACTTACTGCGCGAGCCTTGAGAGCCTTGAACCTTTCCATCCTTTCTTTTGCCTTTGCCTGAGCATTGTTCTCCGCCGGTTGCTCGGTCGGTCTTTCCGCTGTTTCCTTATCTCTCACATTTGCCATGGAAATGTTCTCATGGCTAGGTTGAGCAGAAGCGCTTGAGTCTCCTTGATCGCCCATTTCTTCTGCAATAAAATGAGTAGATGTCGTCGGTTGGCGTGGTGCTATCCTGCAACGAAGCTTTGTTTGGGAGAGAAATCGTTGTGACGTGCGAGTTTGACGACCAACTCAACGGGACCTAGACCCCAGAAGGCGTGATTACATAATCAAGATTCAATGTTTGGGACAGTCGACGGCGATGCGCAAACTAGTAACTCACTGCGATTGCTTTTGCAATAATTGGCGGGGTCAATCAATTAATAGTAATGCTCGGAAGAAAAAGTAATGCGGAGATTTTTCTATGCTGCTGCAGAGGGACTTGGTCTGCCAATGTTTCCTCAAGAGGTCTCAAGACGGCTGCCTCTGTGCAACATGTGAAAAGGCAAAGACAACCTACTGCACCAAGGAGCAAAGCACCGCCTCCCATAGCAGTCATCAGAGCTGCGCTACTTGATTCGAATCTCCAATCCAAAACACGACGGACGACTGAGAAATATGCGGAGCCTCATATTCAAAACAAACAACGGAACCGTCACGAAAAGCTCGATTTGCACGAGACGCTACTCAACTCCGCTGCACAATGGGCACGAAAAGTGTCGAACGACCAGAAGATAAGGACGCTCGTAGGGGCTTATCGGGATTCACGGCCAAATGAAACTCATTCCAGAGACTTGTTTCGGGACCAATCTATATGGGCTTTGAAGAATGCGCGCATTTTTGAAGACATAATGGACGGGCTGGCTCTGGTCCTCCACGCCCCCATCGACTGCCATCCATTGGACGACATCTCAGAGGCTCTGCTGGCAGCGCTCGACAGATGCATAGACAATGGCAGCATCATCAACCGCTTGACGGCTCTCAATGCCTTGAGCTACCAAATTCGTCGCGAAGGTCATAAACTGCCTGCTGATATATGCGTGCAGGGTATGCAATCTGCAGCGGATAATGGATCGGTGCACGCATTACAGAGATATCTCTTAGAATTCAGCAAACAGGGTGGGACCTTATCTTCTGAAAATCTCCGCCAGATTCTGAGGCAATTGAACGTCCAGCCAGTAACTGGTCCGGAAAGCAAGTTTCTCGGCGGGCCATCTGATGCACTAGCTCTCTTGACCGGAGAATCTCAATCGGGCATAAAAGACGACTTGGAGGCCCCAGGTGTCAGTTTGCGCGGTTTCCTGGATCAGAGAAAGAGCGAGGTCTACGGTGACTATCTTGACGCTCTAGCACGTTTGAAAGCCGACGAAAAGGTCTGGCAAGAATGGCTTCGGTGGGAACGGCATGAAAAGGGAGACCGTCAAAAGGAGGGGACTCAGTCGACTGACCCTATGCCATCTCTATTTGCCAAGAGTCTACTTCAGGCAGGAGACCCTAGGCATGCCTGGATGGTGGTTGCGGAATCTGCGGCACATCCGGCTTTACCTGTTCAGAGGCCAAGCGTTTGGCTGGACCTGCTGGATTATCCCGAACACATGAACGTCTGGCCAAAAGGCATGGATGCGGTAGTTCTGGAAAAGTACGATCAACTCTTATCTGAGATAGAGCGCGTTTATGGCATAAAATGGACAGGGGGTGAGGATGGAAGCCATATTCCTGCGCCCGATGCCGATGAAGACATGCATCTCTTGCTAGCTGAAGAGTTATGATCTTCCATATACTGGCTCGAACAGAGTGTCTATGTTGTATCAATAGTTTTAAGCATGCGTAAGGCGTCATTGTTCTAAATTCTGCGAGGCTTTTTCGGTCTGAAACGCCAATAGGGATTATCAAACGAGCTGAAGATATTGGGTCGATATTTAGCCTGTATTTTAGACTTCTATTCGCAGACATTTAGAATCTATATTTAGATACCCGTTGTCTTCGAGCTTCAAAATCATCATAGTCCCCTCCTACAAGCTTCTGCAATAGTGAAACTTCACGGGCAGACGTGGTTGCGTGTTGCTCAAATGCGTCCATACTTTTCCTTAAATCTCTCAGGATCCCCTGGAAGATGATCTGGATGGCTTCGAATTTGTAACTTCGAAAGCCTAGATCGTTGAATTCATTTGCGGGATCTTGCAAACATAGCAGGAAGGGCTGTGATTCGCTGCGGCAAGAGATCCTGAGTTGGCCCCGGATGATCTATACTTGTCAGCATCATTGCTTTAAGCTTCGACTTATGATATCCTTACAGGATCGTTTGCTGCGGCCTCCTTCTCCCTTTTAGACAACGTTTGTTTTGCATCCCTCTTTTCAAAAATACCGGGAGGATCTACTGAAACGCCTTTATTTTGACAGTCTAGTTCCGACCAAAATTGCAAAAAGTGTAAAAGCTGCTTTGCAAGATATCCGTGTTCGCGAGGAAGAGGATTTAATTTTAAGCCCGCCACAACCATCATGAAGAGGCTATATGAGCCCAACCCTCCCTGATAAACTTCACTAAGGCCACGCATATTCAGCGCACTCTTAAGAAGGATCTGAAGTGGCCGGGCGGCGGGGAACTCCGCTAGATAATTCCGAACGTATTCTTGCGATGCAATCGAGTCATCAGTTGCCGTGATCTGTATGCTCAGTCCTGTTGCTCTGTGTGTGCCATTGATAATGGGTATTCGAAACCCGTGAAAAGCGAGGTCCTCATATCGCCCTGTATTCCTCATGAATGCAGCCAACCCTTGAAGCCTGCGCATTGTACGTTTGACAATCTCTGGACGCCTAGCACTGGGCCCTCTGTCGTCTCCTTTATCCTCCTCCTTTGGTAAGCCCAACTGGAAATCGAGATCGGAAAGGGGTAGCGCTAAGCCAGTCACAGAGGAGCCTGAGGGGTTGAGAACGCAGTTCGGAACAAATGTTTGCACATCAGATTGGACCATCCGCTGGAGTTCTTCCCGGGCCAATCGCTCCCGGTTAGTAAGACTCATGTACGAGTCGAAGGCCTCAATTTCAGCGTCGAGACTGCCATGATTAGTCCCTTGTCTTAACCAAAAAAAAGGCAGTCCTTCGGCTCACCGTGCAAAACCGTCATTCTCGTTGATTTTCAGATGCGCAAGCCATGGTGTGCCGTATTTCTCCAAAGAACCGTTGAATGGGGCAATACGGGTGTTGAGAACAGTCACAGGCTGGCGGGGTGCAAGTCGGTGATGCTTTTTAGCAAACCTTGAACGTGATCCTTTGCCGCTTCGCTGCGCAACCTTGACTTGGGTGTCCTCAATGATCTTCTGGGGCGTGGGAGCCGCAGATGCCTGTGACAGGGCAGGGCGTTTATTACTCGAAGGAATCTTTTTTATAATCGAAGCTCGATTTGTTGCTCGGTGTGCCGCAAGTGTCGCCTCTAAGCTATCCACGAATATATCTTGCTTTTTATGCCTTCGTCTTCGCTGTTTTTGCGAAACATTTTTGGAATTTCCTGGGCCGTCAGAGCCCTGTTCAGCAACACTGGATTCGAGAGACGAGGTCTGGCCTTCGGAGACACTGGTTGCATGCCGCTTTAGAAACCGCGGGCAGAAGTCATTATGAATGCCCAACACAGAACAGAGTGCCGATAACGGTTGAAAGGAATTGGGTGCTTGACATCTACCAATTCGGCGAATCGATTGGCAGTACATGATACTGTGGAGAGTTTTGGACGGATCTCGAAGCTCCAATTGCGCGATTGTCATCGCTCGGAGCTCCCGTTCGGGTCTGGCGTCGGCCCCTATGGACTTGCACCCCACAATCATAAGTTAACTTATCTGTCACCTCCAACTCACACGATCCTCTCTCTCTGCAAACCACGGCCGGTATCTTCTACTATCTTTGCATCAATCCCGCCAGTTTTGGTGTTAATTGGTGCTGCCATTAACTGCTAAGGTATACTGGAGGATCGATTGATCTGCAATGGCTGGAGTATTCGAGAACCTCTTCGGAGGTGCCAAACCCTCCGCCAGCAATGTGCCTGCTGGCGAGGAGGCAGGTGAGTCGAGACCACTCTCTTCAAAGCTGTCGAAAGCATTACTGACGTGGGCACCCCGCGATTACAAGACTTTGCCGACTTTGCCGGAGCTCCTGATCCACAGCCGGCATCCTTCTCTCCTGTGACGCCTTCCGCAGCGAGCGCGGCACCAGCTTTCCCAACCCAAGCTCACCCTGCGCTTCCTTACACGAAATGGTACAGGGTTTGGGAGCGAGCCTCCATCCAGGACTTCAAGCTCGAGATGTACATTCTCCCAATCATCCTGGTCATTGTGCTCGTTCATCTTTGGGGAGCAAAGGCAAACCGCCGAAGAGCTAAGCACTGGATTGCGGCGCACGCACCTTCGCTCGAGAAGGAATTTGCTTCCGTGGGATTCGGAGGTCGCAAGGCGCCGTCAATCGAAAGCGTCCAACAGGAGGGCCTCGCGAAGGCTTCCGTTTCGGACGACCTCATCATCCCCGAGGAGCTGCTCAAGGAGAGGACCCTTCAGGAATTCACCACTTATGCTACTGGCCGCCAGAACGTCGCTTTCATCGACCTGAAGCTCTCTCTGTTGAGACGATTCAACCCCTTCGCATTGATTGCTGAGCATGCCCTCGGTTTCTTCTTCGAAAGTATGCCAGCTCCAATTGAGAAGATGGAAGTTGTCTTATACGCCTTTGACGGGAAGGAGAAAGAGCTCGTCCCGGTTCCCGGAGGCAAGCGTGGACAAGAGATTCTCGACGAACGCAACGTCAAATATGGTTCTGCTTCTACCTACGATGGGTTTGTCTTTGCTATCGTGAACAAGGATCTCATGAGAAGCATTCGGGAGGAAAGATACGACATCTCCCTTACTACTACGAAGAACCATCAGAAGATTCCCCAGTGGGCCACAGTTATGAGCGAGAGCGCCGAGGTTACCGAGATGCTTCTGACGCCGGAGCTCGTTTCCGCCGTGGAGAAAGCCGGAGATGCCCTGGAGTACTTGATTGTTACTGACCAGCCCGTCGACAAGCCTTTGAAGTAAGTCTTATATCTCGCCTCGTTTTTTCTTTCTTTTTTCTTCGCCCATTGCCTTTCAAAAGCTCGAGGTAATTAACCATGTTATTCGCTCTTTTCCAGGCTCAACGAGACTATCCCCAAGAAGCGGATCCACCTCTCTCTGAAGCTCCCCTCTGGAAACGACTATTCCTCTACAATCCCGCTTTTCAACTATGTTCTCCGTCTTCCGGACCAGCTCGTCTCACAAGCTCACTTCCGCCCCGAAGTGATGCGCAGAATCCGCCAGACGCGTGAGGACGAGATCCGCAAACTGCGCCGAGTGGACGAGGAAGAAAAGGCCGAGGAGCGCAAAGTCCAAGCCGAGCGTGAGAAGAAGGCTAAGCGCGAGGCAGCCTTGAAGAACCTCAGCGCGGACGAGCAGCGCAAGTTCCTCGAAAGGGAGAGGGAAAAGGAGCTGAAGAAGAGCCAGAAAAAGATGAGCAGGAGAGTTTAAGAAGTCAAGTGACTTAAGCAGGCGGCAGCATTTGTTGTACGATTAACGGCAGGGGGAGATATGGGGATTGAATCGCGATAGATGGTAGTTCTAGCGATGGAGGAACCTCCTCTAATTTGGTTCCGATGTTTATAAAGTCTCTAGTTGATCCGTTGTTTTAAAATTGAGCTCACGTTGGAGTATCACATAAGAAAAAAAACACCCCACCGGGAAAAGATGAGAGGAAGGTGCGCGGGTAGATGTCAGAGGTTGAGGCAATTGTTACCTGAAGCTTCATAGACGGGACGAGGACCAGTGAAGATATAGCCTACTTATTTTACCTCGCGGCGAGCATATGAAGCGGCCCATGTGTACCTAATCTAGCTGGAGAACAAATATTGATGTGGAGTTCGGACACTTGAAGAGTTTCGTCCTTTTCAATCGGCCATTTGGGCGGATCAGACATCTACAATCAAATCATGTGAAGGCCAGTCATGCAACGGAAAATATGGAGTTGATATTAGAACAACAATTGCTTACTCTAGTTGCGCTCTATGCTGCAGCTAGTGCGCTAAATGAGCGACTCATGCAAGAAATTCGAATAAATAGAGAAAAAGAGAGGAATAGTCTCAAACAAATGAAGGGCTTCCCATAAATAATGTACTGACAAACTCGCTTTTGATTACCCCCAGCCATTCCATCTGCGAAAAAAAGACTGCAAAAACAGCTGAAACAAAACAACCAAATACTCAAAAGAAGTCGCTAGAACGCATCTGAAATAAAGAAAGAATTAAGGCAGCGAGAGGCGAAGACGCTGAGCCAAATGATTGCTGGAAAGTGCCAAGATAAAAGGACATAAAAGAAAGACAGAGAGAGGTATCTGACTATCGTACAATCTAATAATACAACCGCATAGACAGAGGAGACTTGTCCTGCAAAGCGGAGAGGAGAAATATGAATGATCTACCAAAGAGATTCTTGCAGAGAGAAGGAGAGGAGACATTGGAGTATGCACCTGGGAATATTTAGCTGCCGTAGGCAGGGGGTGGAGAGTCGTCTCGTTGACCATTATGCCAAGCATCAGCGGGTGCTGATTTCTCATCCCGTGCTTTTCTGGCCATTTCGGTGGCCATCTTCACCATGAATGCTTGTTCCAGGATTCCGGCGGCAGAAGATTCTGTCTCCTGCAGAGTCATGGAATGGTGAAGAGCGGAGGGTGATGAAGGCGCGAAGCGTGGCTTTTCCTTGGGGTATGAATGAAGATGCAGAGGTTCGAGCTTTGGCCGCTCGGGTGGTGTATAAGCAGGTGCCGGTTCGTGGGGTTTCTCCTGAACGAACGAATCATCCGCATAGACTCCGGTAAGTGCGGCTTTTGCCTTCTGCTCTGCCCGAGATGTCCGAAGTCGAATGGTTGAGGATTCGGCCAGGCTATTACTCTCCGACAACATCGGCAATTTGACGACGTTCGTTGGCGAGCCTGGCGGTGTAACGAGCTCTCCCTCCCGATCAGTTGAAGCAGAAGGGGTAGGAGGTCCGTTCGAACCAGTCGCTGTAGACGTAGTCGAGGCGACACTGGCGCTGTCCGTACTGCCGGTTTCGCTGTCATTTTTACTACGGCGCAGATTGACAACCCGGTGCTTCTTCTTTCTATGACCGTGGGCCCGAGAATGCCGGCTAGCACCCATACTCAATCCGGTGGTTCCAGTAAAGTGGCTTGTAGACGATTGTCTGGAGAGCGGAGAGCCAATTCCACTGCCGTCTAATGATGCAGGAGCGGTGGCAGTGCTACCTGTAGAAGAGTTGATCCTAGCGAGACTCGGAACCGTGGCGACGGCAGCATGCAGACCAAGGGTCTCTGCGTGTTCAGTGGGGCCAGCCCAAGCTCTGAATACGGCGTCACGAATAGAGGGCGTAAAGAGTGATAGAGTGCGGTGAGAGTCTGTCAGAGTCGCTAATCGCAAGAGATTCTTTTGCGAAAACAGGGGCCGAGTTTCAGTGCCAGATTCGAGGGACAAGTTTGAGATATCCGTCGGTCCCAGCGGGTTACCAGATGAATCGACTGGGTCCTGAGGCGGGCTTGCCAAAGGATCGACAGGCTTTTCGGATTGTAAGGACCCATTACGAGAAATATCCTCATCGATCCTTGGTCGAAATTCTGGGACCCATAGGCGCAAGGACAGGCGATGGATGATGGCAGGCACCTCGTCCATCAAAAGAACACGCAGTTGGCCTTCAATCTCTTTTTGGAGATAATCTCGTACAAATGGAATGGAGTCAAAAGTAGATGAGACTTTGAGGGATTCAAGGGGATCGTTACGGAAGACCAAAGTCAACCCTTTCTGTCGCGAAAAGACGAGGATAATAATCGCAGAGAGCTTGATCTCTGATAATGTGATTTGCAAGGGTATGGTGAGTCCCGAACTGATTGAATCTTGATCAGCGAAGAAGCTTGGAATAGAAGTGAGGACATAGCTTACGCTGCCGCGAGCGGCTGGGGAGAAGCAAAGGATGGTTTTGTCGACAAATAGGTATTGAGTGGATTTGCCTGCACCCTCGTTTTGAGTGTGAGAAAGGCATCTCCAGTATAGCACATTTTGAATATCCCTCGAAACCGATCCTCTGCTATATCACCAATCTCCAGGATCTCAAGGTCCGGAGGCACCGAACCAAGATTGAGCTCATTAACCAAGATATCATCCACTATGATTGCTGGCTTTGGCGATTTGTTTAGAGCAGTCGTCAAGAGCTCACGGGCGCGAGAATAGAAAAGCGAGTCCGCCGTCAAAGGCGACCAGTTGAAGTTGAAGGCCATCTTCTAAAGCATCACACTGATATGCACGAGTGATGAACCTACGCGATCCGTTGCGTCAGGTTCGAAAATGAAGCTTGCGAAGCAGAGTCTTGGAAAAGGGTCGCGTGCGAGCGAGTAAGCAGGTGACGTTATTGCCGTAGCAGCCGACCGGGCAGAGAAGGAGGTGACTGCAATTGAGAGCGCAGGTAATAGCTCAACAGCTCCAGATCATAGCTAATATCATCAATTTGGATGCAACGATCAATTCAATAGATGAATAGTCGGACTGTCAGCCGATATAGAGTTTTTGGTGTGGCCGAGGCAACCGTCGATGGGAGGAAGGCACGAGGGCAAGTTTCAATTAAAGAAAGGGAAGATTTCGGGGAACGGGAAACAACTGCTAAGAAAATGTTCGTCTTCCTATTGGAGCAAGAGTCTCTGTCCGACGCCCTTGCCTTTTGCGGAATAAAATCCTAAAACAGGAAAAAGCATCGAAGCGAGCCAATTATAATGATTGAGGGTCCTGATGGCATCTGCCGTTTGGCCCCTGCTTGCCGAGAAGCTCCTCTAGAGACCTTCACATGACTTATCCGTGGCAGAGCAAGCAATCAACATCAGGAGCAGAGATTACTTAGAATATGATTTGTTCCTTGATTGCGAAAGTACCTAGAGATGTATAAAAGTAGACATACAATTAGGGCCATACTCTTAATCAATATGAGGGATATTCGTGGTTATGGCTTGAAACACCCTAGAGCATTCGTCAGGGTTCACCCAGGATTGGGTAGCATTCATATGACAGAAAAATTGTTTTGATTGCACAACTTTAATGGGATTTCAAGATCACTCTATAAGACAGAAGCTTTGATTCTATGTATTTTCCCCATTTCAGCACCATTGCACATATGTACAGTACTGTTTGGATAACGAACAGCGCAGAGGTTGCACAAGACAATCAGATTATTCTGCCGACCCATGAACCACCAATGCAAGCGCCGCCTTGGGTATCTTGTCACTCTAGTCTCTACAAGCATCTTTACCTTTGATTTATCATAGGCCACAATTGTAACAATAGAGAATTGGAATTATGCTCTGAACCAAATGTATCTTAAAATTAAGTAACCTTTCTGCCCCGGGCGAGATCTCCACTTTCTGTCACGTGAAGCGAGGATTGCAGTGAAAATGTTGCGGTGGGCCAACTTTATATGAGGTGGAGATGCATCTTTATATGTCACTCAAATGCAAGACCACAAGGCTGCACCTATTGCTTGGCGTCTTATGGGACTCGTATATGCATACCCAGGTAAGGTAGGTAGGTCGGCAAATAAGGTCACAGTTCTAGTGTAGCATCGTTATGGGCCAAACACTTGTGGAGAACTGATGGGGATATCCATGTACATAATAATCGTGGCCTCTCATGATCAAGCCAGAGAGAAGCTTGGCGGCTGAATAAGATATCGTTGGCAGGTATGAAAAGAGACCACCCCCAGCCTTACTCTGTAGGCACCGTCGTGGCCGTTCGTCCCGCGGAAACCGTCAGAAGCAGACAAATTAGGCCAGGGGTGGGCTGCAGTAGACCACATGAGCTTTTTATTGAACCCATGGGGAGATTCCCATTATTGGTCCAGCTGTGGGTACCAATAGTAAACATACCATACTTGGTACGAGACCTTGCATGTTCTGCGAGGCTAGCTGATCTTGACCTTGCTGGCGGGATGGTGGAAAAGCAATCGCTCTTAGTGTCTTTCCTTTGGTTTCCGTCAGCCAAGAACCATTATGTCGCACTCGAAATGGTTTCATCAAGGGCGAGTAATGTAGGTAATGTAAGTATCCATACAGTGTCAGTAACGACTGAGACAATTTAATCTCGGGATCTGTTAAGATAAAATACAATGTCCAAGCAGCAGACCTTAAGCGCGATTCCGTGATCGGAGCTAATTTCCACGCAACAGAGTTTCTCACCGCCCCATAATCTGATCCTTCAGGGCGGATCAGATTAAACTGGTGACACATCAAATTCAACAGGGGGTCCTCACGGCAAAATGACGACATGCGACCGATAACATGTACAGTGACAGGAGAAAGTGGATTGACAATGCATCCTCATCATCAACCAGTGACACAGAATGGCAACTCTTTGTGTAATCCGGAGATGTTGAAATTCATCATCTACGGATATCATCCATGCTACTCGTAACCACAACACTGTTAATTCTCGGCTTATCTCGGGAAGTTTTGGCGGAAAGGAGTAACCGGACGGAAGATTGAAAATGGGCCGAATCGGCGGAGCATGCGCGACCGTGAGCAGTAATGGTACCCCTTGGTGCCGAACTCCTTAGCGCAGCTCCAATGTACAGGTACCAATTTTTTTTTTGATGATATGCAGATGATAGTGGCCAAACGAACCAAGAAGATTTAGCTTTCCCTGACGCCCACATTTCCTTCCCCCCGTTCCCAGCCGAATCTTCTTTCCACGCACCTAGAAGGAATCCACCCATCCGAAATAACACCACTTCTCTCTCAATGAGTCTCTCAACACAGATGCTTTCTCTGCCCTAATCTCTCATATATCATTCTTGCGGTCGATTTGGTATCCTTTACGTTCTGACTCAATTACATTCCGCCGTGTCGTCTCTTACTTCCCGTCTCATTGGGAGGAGGCTGCTGGGGGAAGCGTCTTTGATCAACGCTTGTCGAATCAATCTGATAAAATTGGCTCGGCCATCGTTGACCCATCTCTGTAGGTTGCATCAATCTTCCTGTCCCAATCTGCAACAATGTTATTCAATGATTTTCATATAAGCTGTGACCTTTTACTCTTGCATCGAATGTCGCATCGAGGGCATTGCTAATCGTGTAACTTCTTCACAGCCTCGTCCGGGTCTTTCAGACTTAATTCCCTCGCCACAGCTTCCACCATGTCGTTCCATACGCAAGCTTCCCGACACGTTCCCCTTCCACGCTCTGCCCATCCTGACAATCCCATTCCACAAGAGCCACGCTCATTGCCACACTACGATGTGTCCCCTTCTGTCTCAGCTCAATCTCTCTCATACTCTGAGTCTGACTCCTTTTCCGACTCGGAGTCTCCCTCTACGCCTCCTCCTGATCAGGAGGTCGAGGAAATTACTGAGAAGCTGAAAAATCAGAACACCATGTCCATTGATTTTACTCGGAACGAAAAACGTCGTGCCTCAACCGTACTACTCTCACAGAATGCCCAGGATGTGCAACGGCTTCTGGGAAATGGCAAATCTGCCACGCAATTGATCGAGAAAACTTGCTGTGGCGGCGGGTGCTGCATGATGGAAACTCTCAGTGACGACAGGACCACCTTGTCTCGCACACCTGTTGTCGTCCCCGATAACGCCGCTTTCCGGTCCTTGAACCTCAAGCTTGGGCCACTCAACCTAGAAAGCCAGCTTACGAGCCTGGCTTCCTTGCCCGCTAAAACCATATCATTCCTACCTCTTCCTGGAGCCAAGCAGGAAAACCATAGCAGATCCGAAATTCATCCTCCATCCTTTGTCACACCGCACCATCCATACTCGGTTTATCCGGCACCAGTGTATCATGCTCGCGAATTGACCAAGCCTGGGGCCGAGAAGCGGACTTATCACTTCGACATCGACGTAACAGACTATCCTGAAGAAGGAGGAGATGTATCCTTTGTGGTCGGAGGCGCTGTAGGTGTTTGCGCACCCAACGAAACCAGTCGAGTTGATGAGATATTCGATTTGCTCTCCGTTCCTCGCTTTGTAAGGGACAAGCCTGTTCTTCTCAAGACTGAAACTGGCCGCTGGCCAACTGTGTGGGGTGACGATCAACCTCGCGAGCTCGTGACCACAAGACGTGAGCTTCTCACCTGGTGCGCAGATATCCAGAGCTACCCCCCTACGAAGCCGCTCCTGCGTCTCCTCGCTGAACACGCCGAGGCGAAAAACGAAAAGAAGATTTTGGAGTACCTGGCATCTGCCCAGGGCCAGGCTGCTTTCTGCGAGTGAGTAAACCCATGCCTTTCTTTACTTTTCCGTGTTACTAACTTGGATAGCCTCCGCACGGGACCTTATGTTACTATCGCTCAACTTCTTAGTGCCTTCCCCTCCTCCAAGCCTCCGCTCGATCATTTGCTCTCTTCTCTCCAGACTCTTATGCCTCGTTTCTATTCTCTCTCCAATGATCCCCACATTTCAAGTAAGAGAGATGGCCTTGCCGGACGCCGGCTGATCGAAATCGCTGTGACTGTTCACGAGAATGACGACTGGCATGGAGTTGCCCGCACTGGAGTTGGCTCTGGATATTTTGAGCGTCTTGCCCGGCAACTCCTCAAGAGCGAAAAATCGGGCATTGCTCCTAGAGAAACTGGAATTACTGTTCCTCTTTTCCGCGGACTTATGGCCAACCCCTTGGCTCGAAAGTTTGCTACAGACGGACCAATGCTCTTGGTTGGTGCTGGCGTGGGCATTGCTCCGTTCCGCGGTTTTGTCCAGAGGCGCCTTCAGAATGCCAACTGCGCCAATAAGGTTTGGGTTTTGCAGGGTATCCGCGATTCCCTTGTTGACGAGCTTTATAACGGCGAGTGGGGCGTGCACGAAGACGAGGTCAAGAAAGTAGTACAGAGCCGACGAGGCCATGGCAGGTATGTTCAGGAAGAGGTCCGTCATCAGGCGGACTTGGTCTGGTACATCATCAATGCCCTGGACGGTCGAATCTTCGTTTGCGGCAGTAGTAAGGGCATGGGTGAAGGTGTCGAAGCGGCGTTGGTAGATGTCGCGATGGACAAAGGCAAATTGAACCGCGAAGAAGCCGTAGAATTTTGGGAGAAGAAGAAGGATGCTGGTCAATACATTGCCGTAAGTTGATCATTCTTGCACCACTTCTCTGTTGCTTCAATTAACGACAATTCAGGAAACATGGTAATGTTCGACTGTTGCCAAGCTGCCCTTTGTATAATTCATCTGAGCTATTCTTTTCTTCCGTTTGGGAGGTTTGCTGCTTGCATCAACTTAGCGAAAAGCTCTCGCAGTGAATGGACTGTTTGTCCTAAACTTTTCAGCATTACATACCTCTTAGCTTTCAAGCATCGGCAGGGTTTGCATTTTATTCGGAGTTTTGGTGGATGCTCTCGAGCACGTTTTATTTTTCTTTTTTTGGCACAATTTTTCCTGTCCACTTACATGGGACACAAGAGACTGGACGGGTGATGCCATACCACATGTCTGCAAAAGGTTGGCAATGTAGCTGCGCTTGCACCCAGGGCAACCATCGTTTGTGGAAAAAGTCTTCTTCGCAGCAAATTCATGGTCCGCGATTCACTGAGGCACCTGCTCTCGGATGCTCATGCTTCTTAATCGAGAAGCTTTTGCCTCGGCCTAATATCTGACCAGCTGCATTTAGGAATCTATTGTTAATTTTCGATAAATTCATTTTGCTATTCCCTTGACATTGTATGTTCGACTGAAATGCCAGAAATGGACCCTAGAATTCGTTCCTGCCAGGCATATGCAGTTTTCTGTAAATTGCTGCTTCATCAATTTGCTTGGCTTGTAATCGTGGTGTGGTTATCAGTCGACACATGGCTAAACGTTGAAACAATGATATTGTCCAGCAGCAGAGGAGCCTTCTCCCACACGTATTAGTCAAAGAACATTGAATCTGACAACTCTCAGTAAGTGTGCATGAAATTTAGACAGCCACTTTCTCTTTATTTATTTCAAGACAACTTGGGGCGCCGGATATACTGGCTGCCTGGAATGTGGGAACGGCCCTTCGGCTCGCTCGCTGGTCGCTCCTAAGCTCCCGAAAACCCGAGTGTCGCTCTCGAACCTCCAACTCGTGGCATAAAGGGACTAGTACATATTTAGACGACAATACGGAAGATGCCGCACGGAGAAATCCACGACTAACATGGTACCTGTGTAAAAGTTGGAGAAATAATTGTTTTGCCAGCCATACGAGACTACCGCACAGCCAGCTTCGTGCACTCTTCCCGCAACGTTCAGTGTCAATTTCGAGTCTAAACCTGGGTACAAGAGTGACCCATCATGAAGCGAAAATTGGATCAAGACAATATCCCAGCGGAAGTTCCGGCGGCTAAAACGACTGCTGATTCAGGCAATCCTGCCGCAGAGGAGGCTACTTTCGACCGTCTAGGGCTTGATTCAAGAATTCTGCAGGCTTTAGTGAAAGAGAAGTTTCCTAAGCCTACCTTGGTTCAGGCAAAGGCCATTCCGTTGGCACTTGAAGGCAAAGATATTTTGGGTAAGTCAGAACTTTGAAAACCGCTTCGGGGAGACAGTGCGAGTCTTCCAATCTCTTCTCTTGATATTGCCTGCATTGAACTATTTCGAAGTCAAAGGCGCAGATTAGTGTCTTTGTATTCTGGTTGTTAAAAATCGTTGCTAATAGATCACAGCTCGGGCCAAGACTGGCTCTGGTAAAACCGCTGCATACCTGCTCCCAATTCTGCAGTCCATTTTGAAGAAAAAATCTGTAAGTCACATTTGCCCTGTTATCCTTTTGACCTCCACTATAAGTCATTCTAATGAGCATTTTAGACGGTCTCTTCTGTCAAAGGCACATCTGCGCTCATTCTGGTACCGACTAGAGAACTCGCAGACCAAGTCTCAAAAGCTGTGACGGCGTTTTCTGCCTACTGTGCAAAGGATGTCCGGAGCGTCAACTTGACACAAAAAGTATCGGATGCAGTCCAGCAGTCTTTGCTTGCTGACTCTCCTGACATTGTTATTGCAACTCCGGCGCGGGCTTCCTTGAATCTCAACAACTCCGCGCTCTCCCTGGAACAACTGGCGCACCTTGTCATTGACGAGGCGGATCTCGTTCTGTCATACGGCTATGATGCAGATCTCAAGAACATTAGCAAATCGATACCGAAGGGTGTTCAGACATTCTTGATGAGCGCAACCTTGACCACCGAGGTAGACGATCTCAAGGGCTTATTCTGCCGAAGCCCTGTAACATTAAAGCTTGAGGAAGGCGAATCTGAAGGCGATGGTGTAAGCCAATATGTGGTAAAGTATGTGGACGTCTGAATCATTCAAAGTTACCCAAGAGGAAAATACGCTAATCAATTCTAAAGATGCGGCGAAGACGAGAAATTCTTGCTGGCGTATGTTATTTTCAAACTCAAGCTTATCAAGGGCAAATGCATTATTTTCGTCGGCGACGTGGACCGCTGCTACCGGCTAAAACTGTACCTCGAGCAATTTGGCATGAAGAGCTGCATCCTGAACTCCGAGCTGCCTGTCAATTCCCGGATACATGTCGTTGAGGAGTTTAATAAGAATGTCTACGACGTCATCATTGCCAGCGACGAGCATGAAGTTGTTGGAGAGGAAGACGACGAAGAGTCGACTTCTAAAAAGATCGGCAGTGATGAGCAAGGCAATGCCGCCGAGGGCGAAGGGCACGACAATGAGACGCAACCGGCAAAGAAGAAGCGCAAGGCCCCCAAACGAGACAAGGAATACGGTGTGTCTCGAGGAATTGATTTCAAAAACGTTGCGTGTGTCCTCAACTTCGACCTCCCCACCAGCTCCAAATCATATACCCACCGCATCGGGCGCACTGCACGCGCGGGCCAGACCGGCATGGCCCTATCCTTTGTCGTTCCTAAGGAGCTCTATCGCAAGCACAAGCCTACCAGCATTCCCAGCACCGAACACGATGAGACCGTCCTCGCGAAAATCATCAAGCACCAAGCCAAGCGAGGCAAAGAAGTCAAGCCTTACCACTTTGACATGAAACAAGTCGATGCTTTCCGGTACCGTATGAATGACGCCCTTCGCGCTGTGACTGGTCTCGCCATTCGCGAAGCCCGCACTCGCGAGCTCCGACAAGAACTTCTCAAAAGCGAGAAGCTTAGACGGCATTTCGAGGAGAACCCTGGCGACCTTTACCACCTGCGTCATGATCACGAATTGAGATCCGCCCGGATCCAGCCTCACCTTCGACATGTTCCCGAGTATCTGATCCCCAAGGAAGGCCGGAAAGCCCTTGCCGGCAGCGATGGCGACCATCTTGGATTCGTGAGCATGAGAAAAGAGACGGACAATCGGATCCGCAAGGCAAGGATGCAGAACAAGTACAGGAATAAAGGCAAGAGGGGTTCTGGCGGAGGAAGAAAGTCGGATCCCTTGAAGAGCTTCAATGCCAAGGGAAAGAAATAAGGGGGCAAACCCCACTGAGGCTTAAGACTTTGGCGGATTGTCCTATGTTCTGCACATTATACCTCCTTTTTTTTCCCTTTCTTTTTCTAGCATAGTTCTTACAAAAAAAGTTAATCGATTTTATTTCATGAGCACCACTGAATGTCCCATCTAGAACAATCTCGCGACGGATAACCAAAGACAAGGAAGGAATTTAATTGCTATCCCATTCAATGACCAATAACCTCCTTGTCAATCCACCAGCCTCTCCATCCACAATCAACTGTAATGGGAACTTTACCACTTCCTTTCCCCAGTGCTCTTCTCTGCCTGATCGCTCCGGCGACTGCAAGGATCAGACGCGCATTGGTCAGCCAATCCGACACATCCCTCTCCTCACTCAGGCCGTCGTCCCAGCTGTCTGACCCGTCCAAATCGTTGACGGGCGTTGTCTCGTCAGATGTGCCTGTCCTCCCGGTCGCCCTGGGAGAGCGATCTATCTGCGCAGTCTCAATTGGAGGTACAGTTGTTGTTGTGCTTGTTACAAGACTGTGGTGCTCGGAACCCATCATTTCCTTTTCATACGACTTGGGCAACCAGCCCTGACTCAGGTTCACGTATTCGACTCTTCGCCATGCCGCGTTCCACTCGATGCCGTGGCCGTCAACGTCCCATTTGAGAGCGCCCAGCCAGGACGTGCACCCTTCCAGATCGAGCCAGCGCAGGCAATATGTAGCGCGCGATAGGCGGCGCAGGATGCTTGCTGCTTCGAGCCAGTCGCCTTCAAAGGCCGAGTAGATTGTTGTTCCGCCGTAGGATACTGCGGGGGAGAACTTGCTGACTGCTGTTGCGGTTCTGGAGTTCGGGGTGAGTGACGGCGGGGGCCAGTATGCTAGTGATAAATGTGTAAGGGTGGCAAGATGCGAGGAAAGTGAGAGGAGACGAGACCAGGATGCTCCTGGACCGGGATGAGAAAGGGAGAGATGCGTGAGGTGGGGGAAACGAGTATTGTTGAAGCTCAGAGGTTGTGGGATGAAATTGGACTTGGCGTTTACTTGTTCTTCAGCGTCAGCCTCGTCTTCCCATGACTCCAAAACGTCAGATAATTCTGTTATTTCTGGAAACGGGGGTGGTGATGATGTGGATTCTTCCAAAATTGCTGGGGCAGCTGGTGCTGGTTGGGATGTTTCTGAGGATGAGGAAGTGCCCATCGCTGTTGTTGCTGTTGTCGCCGTTGCAGCTGAAGTACTTGAGCCAGTGGCGGGGCCAGGGGCAGGGACAGGCGGGAAAAGATACTGCCCAAGCTGCTTCATGCCTATAGAGCGACCGACTGCGCCAGTGAGATCGAGGTGTGTAGTTTCTGCGGCTGGTGTTGCATCTTCGAGTTCACCTGGATTCAGAAACAATATCCGGAGCCCATCTATGCCGACTCCATTGTCTGATCCGTAGACTCCAATGTAACTGAGCAAAGCGCTCTTCAAGCCTGCCGGTAACGTTGCGAGATAGTACTGGTCGTATACCACATGCCATTCCCAGTTTGTAGCAAGAGCTCTTAGGCACTGATGGATCAGGCTGCGTGAGTCTCTGGGTAATCGCATACCGGGCAGCCTGTCGACGTGCCGTGGCCGTGCGCGGGATATTGTACGCCGCCGATCCATTTCCTGTATTTGTGCGGGTGCATGGATGCTCTCGGTCAGCCAACTAAGTGGCGGCGGCGGGCCGGCTGGACCTCTGTCACGAAACAAGCCGTGACGGCGCGGTGGTCGTCTAGATCTTGGAGCGGGGATTTCTGGGATGTGCAAGAGCTCTCTGAGAGAAGGATGGACGGTTGGTGCTGTTGCCACCGCCGCGAGCTCCCGCTCTCGTGCTCGTTGCTCGGCGGTGCCTGCATTCTGACTGCGACGAAGGTGCCTCAAGAGATCATTTACGGACTGCTGGGGGCTGTCAGAAGCTCCCCCGGTTGTTCGTCGAGTTGGTGAAGAAGTAGAAGAGGAGGAAGTCCCTTCGAGCTTTGTAAATTGGGGCCGATGTTTCTTCGGCATAGACAGGGACTCGTTGAACTGACGCACAGCTATTAGAAAGAGCTCACAGGAATAGAACAGCGGTGACTATTACCTTTTACAATATATACGTTAAGTCTTAATGAGTCAATAAAGCAACAGTCATGAGGTTCTCTGAGCTACGTTCTGTATACAACGAGAGACTAAGCTAAGGTAGGTAATATTGTGATTGTTGATGACTCTTCAATGGTGATATTATAGTCTCGTTATCCAAACTGATACGAGCGATAGCGTTCACCGCCTTCGATAGTTCACTTTCCATTGGTCATTCCGCATGTCAGCATGACGATCCACCCTGCGGGAATGAATGCTCTGAATATTGACAATTTCCACAAAAGACCCTTTTAATATAAACTGAGATTAGGTTCAAAGTGTAATAACAAGATAGTTCTTTCTCAAAAATAAAAATAAAATGGAATAACAACAAATCAAAAAGGAGTGAATAGAAAGATCGCACGCGTGTGCAACCAAGCTAAGCCTACATCTACGCCATTCATTTGAGGAGTATGATATGATATATACAAACATCTGTACCAATAAGCCAAAAGACTTGCCCTGTCATGCAGATAGAAAAGAACCCAAACGCCAGAAATGTTATCAGAACTGCTGTTCAATGCAAAACAACCCCGCAAAAGATCTAAGCTGCCAGAAAACTCAACAAGCTACCGACCGTCAATCCAGCGACGAGGAACAAGCCCATGAATCCACCGGCAGCTTCTCTTTCTTCCACCTCCACCCACTCACCAGCAGACATCATGCATGAGCTGCCGAGGTAACCGTTGCTTAGACCGAAGAAAAGCTGCACCACAACTAGGTAAAAGAAATCGCTGGAGATCACAGCGCCTTTACCATACATGTTGCAGAGCAAATAGAGAGGGATGAAAATGACACGAGCAATAGAAAAGACAAAGAGCATACGGGGGTAGTGCAAGATTTTCAGACGAGGATGAAGCGTGAGAAGTCGCCCGATAAGGTCTCCAATATTCCATACAAGGAAGCCGAGGGGAATGAAACTTGCAGGCTGGAAGATACGAGAAGAGTGTTCTGGATCGCGCACACTGAGAATAGCCTATCAAGGGTATGAGTTAAATGATAATTGCCCCCTTCAATGGCATAGAAAGCCGGGGTGACCCCCGACAAGTCTGAATTACGTACCTGTGTGAACACCGGAAAGACCATTGTCACTGCAAAGCACATGAATACTGCGCCTGCATTCCAGTGAAGCTTCTTGAATAGACTCCAGAGACCGACAACTTTGCGCTCCGCCTGTTCTTCTCCCTCAGCTTCATGAATATCCTCAACGACTCGTTTGAGCTGTCTCTGTTTCCTGTGGCGTTCAACGAAATACATAAAGGCGACGAAGGAAATTGAGGATATGCCAGTAGCCGTAAGGAAGTAAGCAAAAGCTGACTTTGGGGATTCCTGCGCAGATCCGTCCTCTGCTGCTTCCTGGGAGACTGAGAGCACCGACACGATTTCTAACCGGCTATTAGCCTGCCGTGTGCATGAATTATCATCAAATATACTTACGCGCAACGCAAGGAAGGACTCCTGCAACAGCCTGGCCCGCCATAATCGCCTGAGTATACTCTCCACGTCCAAAGCCAGTGACATAGGCAAAGACGCCATTCTGACTCAATCCCGTGGAAAGGCTCGTTGCGCACACCATGGTCAAAAGAAAACCAAAATAGCCGCCCGCGGTCACTGAGCGAAATGAGGTTGTTGAAATCGCCAGCAGAGTGAATGTTATGGTGTTGAGCAGGAGTGCTGCTGCAATCCGCTTAGGATATGAGGCCCCCGACTGTAATTTTGTCAAAACAATCATTGATCCGAGGTTCGTTACGCAAGACACGGAAGTGATTGCAGATTGAAAGTGAGTAAGGATCCATTCAGATGATGCGAAACGGTGTTGAAAGTACGGCGCTGCGGCAAGGAACATATTCCTATTGCCCAATGTTAATGACCTCTGAAATACTTCGCTCAACTGTATGTCAAGGATAGTCTTACCAAGCCCATAGCATGGCTATACCCAGCAGAAAGAAGATGGAATATTCAATCCAGCTAAACTTCTCCTCATTCTGAGCTTCATCGCCCTGCTCCCCGCCCTCTATGGGCTCATAAGCGGGTGGCTCAGACCGAAACAGCCTGCGGAGGCGGTCCATAACGGAAGACAGAAGGATGCGAGCTTGATTCAAAATAGATGATATCTGGCCTAGAAGTAATTGTAATTGAAAGTGAATATGTGGCAAGCAAGATCAGGGCTTTCAATCTAGGTGGAGATGTCGTTGTGTTGTCATGTAAGAGACGTGAAGTGCCTGAGCGTGGTCGGGGTTGTGTGTCTCTGGGGGTTGTGACGCCTGCGTCGCCGGATGAGGCTCATTACTTAACCAGATACGAAGCTTATCTTGCGGAGATCTCCACTAAGCTAGGTAACAACAACAACCCCGGCTATCACTATTACCCGCAGTATTTACACGGGAAGCTAAACGACGCCCCGTGCTGCAGGAACTGCCTGCTGGTCAGCTGGATTCCCCTGACGCCCTCATTCTATCTCGTGATATGTCGATAACCTTGTCCAAAGTAACATGACCCGAATCTGAATCCACAGAGCAAATCTAGGCAATAACCTCTTACTTCCGAAACATTCTTCTATATGTTCTCCAATCCTGGATAATAACAGCAAATGATTTATTTTAAAATTCGAGTGAAAGCGCCTTCATCGCCTCTGCGCGCCAATCCATAAAACCAAAACAATATGCAACGTTCTAAAATATCAAATAGATCTTCCACGCAATATGCTTGTCGCTAGTTTAGAACAGAAATAAGGAAGTAGAAAATCAGTAAAGGGGTTCTCTACTGGGCGGGATGCTGCTTATACATGGGCAATAACATCCTCGGCATCTAGCCACTCCTTTTCCAGGGCGAACGCAATTAGATCTCCGGTCGACTGCAAATCGCCCATGGGGAGATTAGCTGGCTTCAGCTTTCTGTTGATGATTTGCAAATTGGCTAGGAAGGATTGAGCATGCTCATCCTCCTTCTTTCCGTGCTTCTGGCCGTTACTCTTAGCGGGTATTTGTTTTAGTAGTTCTCCGAGTACGAAGTGAAGCCAGAGAAGATTACTCCGTGGGTGAAAGTCCTTCCAGCTTTTCTCGGTCTCCCAAGCGTCATCTTGGAATACTTCAGGATCAACGTTGGGGTCGTCAAAAAACAGGTCTCCTCGCATACTAAAGATCTCATTAGAAACATAAACTCCTCTCCCAACGTTTATGTCAAATGACTTACTATCGATAGATGTCATACTGATATTCTCCTTCGCCCCAGAAAACTGAGTCGTCCGCCTCAAGATCGAGATATGCAATACGCTGGTCATTGTCGTCATTTCCTGTTTCTTCACTATCTTCCATCTCTGCACGCGAGAGAGTGTAGTCTATGAGGGTAGTTTTAAGGCCGGTGAAATTAAATTTCCGGCCGTCGGAAACCGACTCGGAATTCGATGCCTCATCAGAACCCAGCGACTTTTTCGCTGTTTGTACGCAGATATTTCCAAGGTGCAAATCTCGATGCTGTGGTAAGAGAATAAGCCATTATGAAAATTTAGGGGAACCACTACTCAATCTCACCTCGAATCCAGCCAGCTCTTCACCCTTGGCGAGCGTCATTGCTACGCCCCAGAAGACGTCCCAGAGTTGATAGACATCTGTAAGCGTGATGTTCTCCAAATCTGTCCCAGCATCCTGCATTTCAATAACGGCCCAAAGCTGGTCATCAGGATAGCTGTAGGCTTTGCCCGGGTCTGGGAACTCTGATTTCGACTTGGCCTTCTTGAACCTCTTCCATGCTTCGACGAACTGAGACGGTAGTCTTCCACACATTACTCTGACCTCTCTAAAGTTCGTAAACCCGGGAACTGTGCTCATGCGGCGAAGAAGATCTACTTCTGAAGCAACGTCCTGAATGGCGCTCATCAGATCAATTTTATATTTCCTTTTTGGGGTACCTGGCGGCGGTTTGAGTGCAATAATCTTTAGCACTGACTCATCGGACCGCGTCCATACGCTATCCGCATCTCTAAATTTCAGTCGGTAAACTTCTCCATAGGACGCTTCTGCAATCTTATCAACGTCAAAGTATCTGTCAACTTCGTCGGCCCACGCTTGAAAGTTCGTGGGTGCATTTCGTCCCTCAGGATCGTTACACAATTTCAATAAAGGCTCCGCATGCGCGATTCGTTTCGATGCGGTATGAGAATCTTTGTCCAGGGCGTTTGCTCTCCGTGTTCTGGTTTGTCGAGCCGGAGCTGGCAAAGAAGGCGGAGATGGACTGGCATGGTGATGTGTACTCTGCCGATTAGTCCTAGACTGGGTGCTGGCTTTCGGGATCTTTTCCTCCGTTTTCCCTTGCCTCTTAAGGACAGGACTCTGGATATTCCGACTTTTCTCTCTAAGAGCTTTATGGGGGGATCTTTCTTCTCGCTTCGGCGATGAAGCGGAGGTGACGTTTTCTGAGTCGTTGCGGATTTCAATGTCCGTTTTCTTCTCAATGGGTTTATCTTCAACTTCCTTTGATCTGCCATCCTTCTGATTTCTTTTGGATTTCTTGCCACGGCTTTTTGAGTTACCTTCAATAGATAACTTTCGTTCGTCCTTCTGGTCGTCCCTGGCTCCGTGTGATGATATAGAAGGCGTCCTTGACTTAGGTTTTGTCTCCTCGCAAATATTGAGTCTGCTTATGGCCGACTCGATCTCGTTAATTTCCGGCAGCAGACGCTGCTTCCCCGCCTTTGCTGGGGAAAGTGACTGAAATGTTGAAGAAAGATAGGAAGACGATTTCGATCGCTTCCCGTAGAAGCCATAGTTGCGAGACATTGGCGGATGAGGATGACGAACTTAGAAAAGGCTGCGATCTCTCAGGAGCCTTCAACCACGGTCGCAAATCTTGGATTGGCGCTGTTGGAAATTCCAGTTGTCAAGGCTATTTATAAAAATAAATACTAGACAGAACAAAGACTGCGATCTTGAAGATATGTAACTCTTGCCTTCTTTAGTAAAGACTTCCGAACAATCTTTTTTTGTCACGTAAACTCGAGCGATGCTTTGAACACTTTTGTGAGACACTTAGTATTAAGAACATAGGTGCAGAAAGCGAGGTTTGAAAGAAAACATACTTCCAAAAAGGGAAATGTACCAGGCCCTCGGCTGTTGCTGTGTCAAAGTAGCTGTACCAGGATGAAGTCATCACTAGACGATATCCCGTTATCTGATGGGTCAGGGCCAATCTGAACGACAATTTTTTATGCTTTAGAACGCAATCTAAACTTTGAAAATTCTAGCGAGAGGAGTATAATGTACAGAAATGCAAAAGGGGAAATAAGTGTGACCGAAGATATTTTACGTATATAACACCGCTTATTTCCAACGCAGAGGGCGAGGCTTTGGCGGAAGCCACTCGCCGCTTGTTCCGGCATGAAACCGCTGATAGATGTATGATTCTGGCTGTAAAGAGTTCGTTTCTTATGTAGTATGTTTATTCGCCTTTTCGAGAACGACCTCAGCCTTTGTTTCATCCTTTCGGCGTTGAGGTGCTTCCAGGTCACCTGGATCTTCCCCGTCAAAACCTTCTAATTCTTGCTCAAGTTCCTCTGCTTCGGTAGGCTTGCCTCTTGCTTCCTGAGAGATTCCTCCAGATCCAGAATCAGAGATGTCGCTTCCGCTCATTTGCCACTCCATCAGCTTAGTGAAGGCCCCATCAGGGTTGGCAGAGAGCTCCTTGAAAGTTCCTTGTTCCGCGACGCTTCCATCAGGTGAGAGAACAATGATGCGATCAGAACGTTTGATTGTAGAAAGACGGTGAGCAATGGAGATTGTGGTGTTATTCCCCCTAAGCAGAGCAGCGAGAGCAGAGTTAACAAGCGTCTCTGACTCGGCATCAAGTGCAGAGGTAGCTGGAGAATTGATAATTAGCACCAGCAGATATTGAAACAAGAGAGGACTAAATGCTTACCTTCATCAAGAATCAAAATGTCTGGATCTTTGACCAAGGCCCGGGCAATTGCAATACGCTGCTTCTGTCCGCCCGATAGCTGTGCGCCTCGGGGTCCAACATGTGTATCTAAGCCATCAGGCTGATTCCGGTCAGCTTCTGCCTTGGTTGTAGCGCTAATATATTGAACTCACAAAGTCGCTAATGAATGTACAGTTTGCTTTTTTCGCTGCAGCAACGATATCTCCGCGAGTAGCGTGAGGCTTGCCGTAGGCAATGTTTTCTGCAATTGTCCCCGAGAACAAGACAGGTTCCTGCGCTACCAATCCAATCTTTCTTCTTAGGGACTTGACATTCACTTTGGAGATGTCCTTCCCATTAATCGTGATACGTCCTTCAGAAGGTGAGTAGAAGCGGAGCAATAGATGGGCGATGGTGGATTTTCCGCCTCCGCTAGGTCCAACGACTGCGACATTAGTTCCCTGGGGGATTTCGAAATCAAGTCCCTTGAATATTGAGACAGCCGGTCGCGTAGGATAGCTGAAAGAAAGATTCTCAAACTTGATTGGACCCCGTGCTGACACAACCTTTTCGCCAACAGTAGCAGAGATAGTTGGCTTTCGGTCTTGCATCTCGAAAAGTCGGCTAGCAGCGCCAACACCCTTCATCAATTCCGAATAGAAGCTTGAAAGGCCGAACAAACTCGAACCTGCATAAGCTGTATACATAAGGAATGAGGTCAGGTCTCCGATGCTGATAGCTCCGGACTTGACCATCGAACCTCCGACGTAGAGAAGTGCTAGGACGGTCATATTACCAAGCAGACCGGTCTGTCAACATTAGTCGCATATCATTTGTAGCAGGGGTTGGACGACATACTGAGCTGAAGAAACCTGCACTGATGAGAGCCTCACGCTTTCCAAGCGCGAAGATGTTCTTGATCTGGTTATTGTATCTCCCAACTTCTTGGATTTCACCAGCAAATGCTTGACTAGTTCGGACATTTCCTAACCTCTCCTCGGCAATCTTTGTCAAAGTTCCCAAATTTCGCTGGATTTGCCGGCTAAGATTCCTGATCGCTCTGCCGTAGAAGAACGCGCCAATAGCAATGGGGGGAAACATTAGGGCGAGGATGCCCGTAAGTTTGAGACTGACATACGCCATCAGCCCAAAGCCAGCTCCTCCGCTTACCATAGCTCTCAACCCATCCGACAAGTTCTGCGTGACACTTTTACCGACAATAATGGTATCAGAGCCCAGACGAGAGATGAGATCGCCAACACGGTTAGCATCAAAGAATTCAGCATCCTGAACGAATGTCCGTCGGAAGAGTTGAGATCGAAGCCGGGCAACAATGCGTTCTCCGACGATTCTGAGAATGATGATTCGGCCATAGTTTGCAGTTGCTCCAACAGCGAGAACCTGATACAGAATTAACTTCAAGCAAGATTGACCCACGAACCATCAGAACGTACCCCTGCCAGTGCAAAGTAGAATGTTGTCAAGTTTAGGCCAAACACTGTATCCATCGTATTTGTTTTAGTTGCAATATCCAAAATCTTTCCAATGGAGTACCTATTCCTGTCAACAATCGAGCCATGCATTACACCGGTGGCATTGCTTACGGGATAGCCATTGTGATTGAAGAAGACACGAGGAGAAAGACAAAGGCAGCTACCGAGTATCGTTAATAACGTGAATTCTTACCAGGAGATCATGTAACTTACCTGCAAGCCACTTTGCCTCAGGCCTCGCGATCTTGATCAGTCTCCATACTTCTCCAAAGCCAGCTGCCTGGCCTTGAGATGCACCATCTTTATGTAACTTGGCGCTGAGATTGATTTTAGCCGCCTGAGAAGCCTTCTCGGTCCGAGCATGTTCAAAGTCATCTTCTTCTGGAACGGCAGGTTTCTCTGCAATTTGATCATTGCTCGGTCGATTTTCTCGAAGACACCTGGAGACGGAAAGCTGTCGGGCAGGCGCCGAACGTGCCAACCATGTCTCTCGAAGAGGATGCGAATAGGCGCGAAGAATTGAAGTGTTTCGGACAAGCTGCGAATGAAACTGCCGGCTCTGAAACCCAGGCAATACCTTTTGGATAGAAGTATAGCATTGCCTATATCCAATGCTTGAGACGGGGGCGAGCTTCGGAGCCGACAGCGACGTCTGGGACCTGAAGCTGAACAAGGCTCGCTCAACTAATAGCTTCGAGCCACGCATGGCTGCGAGGCCCGAGAGCTTTTGAAATGACCCCTAACTGAGTTCAAGAAATTTATCGCCGCGCGATAATACGGATTTCCTTCAATGAAGCCACTTGCGGGCAATAATCCATCGTAGCTGCGAATAGCGGAGGCTCCGAAGCCGGTACTGTAGGTAGTTGAGGCCTTTTGGGCAAACTTCTGGACCGCAAATATTACAGCATGGGGAATTACCGGAGGTACCGCTGTACAGCCTGCTACAGAGTACACTATTATCAGTCATCGTCGTACCGATACCTTCCACCATTACGTAATCTCCGGTCTCCGATGGCATGGGATTCCCGAAAGTGCATTAGGCCGCAACTGGCCAGCGGGGCCCTGTCATAGTGGGGGCGTCTGTTAGTTATGCATGGCTTTGTTCCATATTTGTGCAGCCCAATTATGATCACCAACTTTCTAGTTGTTTCCTTCTACATGACCTCAGTGATTTAGCTATCGAACAGAAGTCGTGAACATTTTCATTTTTCCATAGCTGTAACAGACAGATTGCAGCTTCCCTACCATTGATCTTTCTATCCAAACCAACTTGTATCTTTTCACATTATAAACACAACAAACAAAGAGAGGGGCAAAATGGTGCTGGATTACTCCAAATGGGTATGCAAGAAACTCCCCACGGCCTGCTGCAGTAAGAGTGTTGCAACTTACTAACCGTCTCCCAAAAGGATAACCTGGAGCTGAGCGATGACTCGGATATTGAGGTGCACCCGAACGTCGACAAACGATCCTTTATTCGTGCGAAACAGAACCAGATTCACCAGCAGCGCCTTCAGAGAAAGCACCAAATTGAGACGCTCAAATATGAACGTGTAGTCAACGATGGCCTGATCACTCGCATAGATGAGCTTCTCAAGGCTCTTCAGTCCCACGAAGAGAGCTCGCGCAACCCGGACGAGCTTGTTTTCCAAGCACTCATTGAGTCGGCAGGAGATCCATCCAAGGACCAGCCGCCGCCAAGACCCGAGGGAGTCTATGCCAGGGTGGAAGAGCAACCAACATATTCGAAAATGATGGCAGTTCTTATCGATCAAGTGAAGAAGGAAGTCGATAACCAGAAACCGGAAAATCGACTGGAGGGATACATAAAGGAGATCCAAGTACACCAGCAAAAGGTCAATGGCCTACAAAACGAGCTTCTGGACAAGCTGGCCGAGCTCGAAGAGGACGAGCACCGGAAAATCACAAGTGAAAGCATACACACCGGTTTCGACAGCACATTTATTTCGAAATCAAAGGACAACAAGAGCAGCTCTTCTTCGCAAGGCAAAAAAGCTGAGACGGTTGAAGTCTTGAACCCCGGGGCGCTTAAGAACCAGGAGCACCTGACTCGCGCTGATGGACAAACGACTTCTTCCGGGGCCGAAGCAGATGTAGAAGAGGCTGCGGACGAGACTGGCGGCGGCGAGGAGAACATTGAGCCTACGAAGCTAGGAAAAGAATTTGCCAAGATCAAAGTCGGCGACTACCGCGCCAGCCTGCAGTTCATCTCCGAGCACCCTGACGTTGTGACGGAGCGCGAGACAGATGGGCTTCTCATTGAAGGATTCAACAACCAGATGGCAGGTAACGAAGAATACGCCCGTCAGTGCATTCACCAAGGCCTGCTCCTTCAATACTGTCGAACCCTCGGCCGTGATGGCGTAGGACTATTCTTCAAACGGTAAGTGTTTGATTACTCTCTCTCTCTCTCTCTCTCTCTCTCTCTCTCTCTCTCTCTCTCTCTCTCTCTATCTCTATCTTCTACGCAATTTACTCACTTTCTCTTTTCTCTCCTCGCCTAGGATCACGACCCCCGGCCATCAAGCGCAAAAGGTTTTCCAGGACGACGTCTCTACCACCTATGGCCGGATCAAGACCCGGGCTGCTGAAATTGCCAAAGAACGCGCCAGCGGTGAAGGGGAAGGCGCTGGCGGAGTCGAGCAGATCCAATTACACGCCGTCGACCCCGGCACGAGCATCAACATCAATATTCCCCGGCCGGACAGCGAGGAAGAAGTTGAGAAGAAGGCAAGAGGCGTGTTTGATTCGTTCCCTCCGGGCCTGCAACGTGCCCTCGAGAGCGGAAGCCTCGACGAGGTCAACAAGGTGCTCGCCAAGATGAGCGTCGAAGAGGCCGAAGAAGTCGTCGGCCAACTCGGTGAGGTAAGTTTGATCCCTTTCCCTTTTGCATTCGTTTTTCGTCTCTTTTCTTTCCTTCATTTCTTTTTTTCTTTTTTTTTTCTCTTTTTTTTCTTTTTTTGGATGCAAAACTAACTCTGCGTTCAAAGAATGGAATGCTCAGCTTGGAAGAGAATATCATCGACGCCACTACCGAAGAAGGCCAGAAGGCGCTCAAGGAGATTGAAGCTCAAGAAAAGGCCAGAAAGGAAGAAGTCACAACTGCCGCGCCTGACCCCGAGTAGATGGCGCGGGAAAGAAAAGGCAATCTTACGCTCAGAAGGATAATATCTTGAGATATAATTTGATAATCTCGAGGTTTTTTTTTAAATGTAAAAAACGTTTTCAGCATTCACGAGCGGCGGAAAATAGTAATGGCATCGTAGCAGTCATTGAATTTAGGTAACAATTTTATTTCAAATAAAAATAATTAAAGAAGAAAAGGAGAAATTTCGAAGTTGTTAAAAAAGAGATATCGTCTAGTGGCGGGAAATAATAACAACTTATCCGTTTGAAAAATGATGCCATGTCCCCCCTATCGTCCCTCTCATAAATTGCAAAAGGATTATAGACCGGGGAATGAGGTTAGAAGTACAAATACCGCTCCCAGTTCTTTTTCTTCTTCCTGCGAAATCTGAAATCTGACGAGAGCCCATATGAAAGTAGGTAGTATTATATCGTTGCAACACATCGGTCCCCCTCCCCCCTCCTTCCCATTGATTTTCATGAAATTATAAAAAAAAGGGAATAGAGGATAAAACAAGAAGGGATTATCTTTTTTCAGTATCCTGAAGCACCCGGTGCCTTTTCGTCCTTTCGCAGATTCAAAAGAAGTTCGCGGAAGCGCTCTTTGCCCGTGCCCGACGCTCCGCCTCGAGTTCCCTTTCCGCTCAGATCGACCAGTTTCGCAATCCGCTCCCAGCTCGTTCCGCCGGCCGAAGTGTCTTCTCGGCTATTTAAGAATTCCTCGGCCTCTTTGCGAGTCTGGGCGAGCGTCTTTTCCTTCTTGTTGTTGTAGTTTTCGTAAAAGTCGTCGATGGCGGTCTGCGCGGCCTTGACCGTTTCTTCCTTGCGGGTCGCCGACACTTCGTCGCGGTGCTGCAGAGCTAGATCTCGACGCTCGCGCCATTGCCTGGAATTACGTGACCCGTTAGATCTCTCTCTCGTCTCTCTTTCGGTTCTCTAAAGAAACTTTGCCATATCCCGTTCCTGTTCCGTCGATTCGAAAGTCCCCGGACACCTCCCCCGGAGACTTCCCCCGGAAACGCGAATTTGGAGATGCAAAGAAAGGAGGAAAGAAGGGACAGAACTTACTTGATGACCTCTGGCTCTTCTTCGTCCTCGACTGCTGCACCGTAGCTGCCATGGCCCGGGAGATACGGCTCCGTAGGACCAGTTATAGTTCCACCGGGAGCGACTTGCTACACGAAATAAAACCATTCCAAACGGTGTCAGCCATTTAGCCATTCAGCCATTCAACCATTCAACCATGAACGGAAGTGAAACGGATAGCCAGCATGAATCTTGTTGTTGCAGGGATATAACCGTAGAACAAACAGAGACCACAACGCCGGAGGAAGGGGGATGAAGTCTCCCAACTAACCTCATTACCCGTATCAATCACAGGAAAGCTACTCTCAAACTGAGCCACGCCCGCATCCGGAAAACTACCAATATCTAGCTGCTGCTCATCTCCTCCACCGACGCCACCGCCAAGGAGATCATTATCCGCGTCACCCTCAAGACCTGTCGTGGAGGCTGCGGCAAAGCTGTTATCATTCGGAGTCGCGAACCGGTCAGCGTCATCGCCCAGCGCGGCCTTTTCGCGGTCCAGAAAATCGGCTCCGGCGGTGCTTGCAGGATCGAGGTCGAAGTTGTCGGCGGACGTGGCGCTGTCCAGCTTGGGCTCGGTCTGGCCTGCATTTATAACAAGGTAAGCTTCCAGAGTTTCATCGCGTTTCGATCATCGATTGGAAACGGGAGATAGCTTGTCTGTCTGTCTCTCTGTCTCTCTATCTCCCCAAGCTCAGGGAAATCAAAGCTCGGAGGACTTCACGAGCTCAATCCAAGGGAAGGAGGAGGAGGGAGGAGGGAAGCGCGCGAGCTTACCGGCCGAGAATTCTTCAATGGAAGGAAATCTGTCCGCCATTTTTTAACTGCAACGATTCAAAAAAGAGAAAATAAACAATGGTATGGTTATGGTGATCAAAACAACAAGGAGAGTTGGGGTTTGTTTTGTGTGTTTGGTATGATATGATTATAATGGGGCTTGTCAGATGTGAGGTACTGTACTGTATCAGGGAGCCGCCAGGCCGCCCTGGGGGAGTTGCGGTTTGTGGTTGGTCTGGTTGCCCGTAGTTTCGCCCGGCAGGCCGAGGGTTGGCTGGGTCCGAGGTCCCCTCGGGTAAAGGGTGCGAGGGGTGCCAGGTGCACCTTGGGTGCGTGCGTTCGCAAGCTGTTGTCGTGGACCGCTCGGACGATGAGATCATTTCGGCCAATCAGAACGGTATTCCGGGTGCTTGAACTTCACGAACGCATAACTAGCTGGACAAGGAAATTCACGCTTTGAGTGAACACTCAGTCGTGAAGAAGTGGCTAGTAAAGTTCATTGAGCTGTTTGAAAGATGATGGGATTCATTCAATCTCAACCTGACAAAATACAGTGCAGAATATGCAATCTGCTAACCATCCTTGCCCATTCTTATTGTAAATACAGATTATAACGCTTCAAGAATTTACCGTAATCTCTCAAGTGGACGAACAGTGAGTTCGATATTCAAAGCTATTTACCTATCTGCTATATCTACAAAAGAAAAAAAAATTGGGAGAGAAATAAAAAGAGATTGCATCCGAAGTCGCCCTATTTTGAATTGCAGGAACAGAAAAATCAAAGCCTCCGCGGATTCCCGAGAGTCTTTACCTATATTTTGGCCAAGCAATGGATATCATGCAAAATATGCAAGGTGGATCAGAAGAAATTGAAATATAATACAGTAAATGAGCTTCACTTAGATCCTGTTTCGGTCTCCAGATTCAAGTGCTGTGCGGGCTATTTTATGATATGCTCTCGAAATCACGTTTGGACTCTCGCGCCCGGTGTCGCAAGCGGACCTCTGCGCTCCCCAAAGTTGTGCAATCTCTCCCCAATCAGGTAAACGTCGTCCTTGATACGCTGCCTCCAGCCCTTGACCAGATGTCCAAGTGCATAGCCGCAGACGACCCAGAGACAGAGGAAGAGAACAGCAGGATAACTGTACCGATAGACCTGACTTTGGATGGCCTGATCGGCGTCGTGGAAGAGCATGCGATTTGCAAGGTAACCAAGCGGGAGCGGCAAAAAGAGAGCGGCATTCATGACCACCACGGCTGGAAGAATAAAGCAGCGGGTGGCGATACTGGCGTCAGGATCGAGCCAACCACGACGCACAATGGCCCGCAGCGCGGCAGCCGGACGAGACTGGGAATACCATAGAATGAGACGACCGCTGATTTTGACATAGAGGACCCCGAGCGTCCAGTCCTGCATAAAATGGATTACATGCACCTCGTCGCTTGCCAAATAGGTGTGCAGCGGGACAATGATGTAGAACTCCATGAGCAGGGCGAAAAGGCTGGGAAGTACCAAGCCAAATGCGGTGTACGTATATGCGATGCGTGCAAGGCGCATAATGTATGCCTGGAGCCTGGGGGAAATTGCCTGAGCAGACTCAGACTGAAGGGAAATAGAACGCTTGATCGCATCGATGGTTGACTTATAGTGCAGTACACCGTACATTATGCCACCTACGACGTAAATTCCAAGCGAGAATGCGTAGATGTCGTTCATACGTCGATGGCCGGGAACCATCAGCCCAAATATCATGCGACCGACGACAAGGGGTATGACGGTAACTCCGACCCCAGTGACAGCAGCGAACGACCAGAGCAACAAAAGGAAGGCGGCAATTCGAATTCGAAACCACGGAGGAATGTAGACCTGGGTGAAAAGACCAGTGTTCTTCCCATGCAAACCGTCATCGGGATCTGGTAATCCGTCGACTCGCTCATTGTTTTCATTGACCTCAAGGAATACCGGGTTGCCCTTTGGTATTCTGACTTGGTCTGATGCTGGTGCACGAACATATCGGCCGTCACGGATAAGGCCGGTCGGCTGGCGTTGACTTTCCGGGGCTCTCTCATCTTCTCCAGAAGCCTTGTCCCTCTCGTCGCCAGGCGTGGGTTCTGCATCGTTCCGCCTAGAGAATATGTCGGCCCACCAACTCAGGCCACGCCGACCTTCCTCGTCTCTCCGTCGCTCATTGAAGAAGAATTGGGTCAGGCGCAAGAGTCTTGCGCATTTTCGAAACCACCAACTATAAAGCCGATTCAGCCCGTCGGAAGGTCTGAAAAAGCCGACGGCCAAGGGCATTAAGAAATTATAGAAAAGTAAATCAACCGGGAACTCGAGTACCGGCTCGCTTGAAGACCAGTATATGGGAAGAATGCCGTCAAATGCAGCATACAAAGACCAAACGATTCCACCAAGGCAAACAATCACCAGAGCGCCGTAGACTAATGCACTGAATGCAATCTTGCGTAACTGCGTTGAAACATTTCGTTCGAGCACATCTCGAACAGGATGGAACGTCGGATCGTCTGGATCACGAATAAAGTCTGGTAGTGTATTAGTAAGATCGTCAAAGTGGGATAATTGAAGCAGACATGCAGACTTACAAAGGACTCCGCTTCGCATAATCTTTCGGCACATGGAAACGAATAATGCAAAGTGAAACATGTAGCAGGTACCGAGAAACCAATGAACAAATCCAGAAGTCCATGGGGAATTCATCGCAAATTCTAAACGAGAGGCCAACGTAGCAGTTTCGAACAAGGGAAGAAGTGCAATGTCAAGGAGCATGCCGCAATATAGCGGGAAAAGAATCATCTCGATGCTGATAATCAAGATTACCTTCATGATGCCTCCGGCCTGGGCCAGGATCTCGCAAAGCACCTGCTCAAACTTCCGGCCTTGCTCTGAGGTGGAGAATGGTTTGCCTCTCCGTAGATACAAGGCACCCACGACGAAGAAGAACATGTAACCAGCAAAGATTGCAATGACCCTATCCTTGGCATTCCAGTACGCTAGTTCGGGGTCAAAAGGCTTTTCTGGGTTACCAACTTCGAGAGTGACCTTGAATACGTTAGAAGTGAAGAGTGTCGGAATAGAGGATAGTAGACGCGCAGCCTCTTCAACGTAGAACCGAAGGTTTGTCTCCAAACCAGCAGCCACGGAGCTGTCGGGGGCTTTGGAAGAGATCAACTGTGCGGGGGCCAGCAAGCCTTGGAGAATGGACAAGAGGAGTTGATAAGAGAGGTAGAATGCCCCAGTAACGTTGGCTTTTAGTGACAACAACGCTTCGTGAGATAGGACAGAGAATGCAGGAAAATCGTTTTCGGAGAACCCAACACTGGCATCTGCAGCCATTTTTGCCATCCGTTCGAGGCCGCCTTCGGCAATTGATCTTGAGACAGTCGCGACCTTTGTATTTTGTGTCAAACGAGAAATAAAAGGGAAAACGAGTGTCAGTGGCAGCAAAGCGAAGCGGGAAGCTGCAGTGGTCCAGTAGACAAAACTGCCGCCAATGAAAAGGAACAGGTCGGCCACTAGGTCTGCTGAGAAGAGAATCAACTGCAATGGGAGTTTGAAGAGCACAGAAATGGGATTTCCTAGCAGGAAGAGCACAATTTTGCCCCAGATATACGGCAACCACACGCCGCCTCCAACCGTCGCAGAGATGAAGACGGCGCTGAAAAGTGCGTTCTGGAAGAGAACAACTAGAGGTCCCTGAATACCAATGAGCTCCAATAATCCGTCAAAGTCATCAGCCTCCTCCACAGCTTGAATGTCATTGGGATCCAGATTGGCATCTGCGTCTGCGTTTTCCTCCTCGCCCACGGGGCCTTGAGCCCGATCCACTGGTACGAACGGAGCTTCATTTTCGATATTCTCTACAACGTGCTCATCATCGCCACGAGGGGCTTCCTGGCGAGCATTTTCGATTGGAACTCCACCCCAGAGACCATCTATTAGCCTCTCAACAAGTCCATCACGGCGATTAAGAGCATTCTCTTCAGGCCCACCAGGAGGCGTTTCTCGATTCCCATTTCCTGCGGCAGGCTCGCCGGGCGCCGCAATCTGCGCATTCACATCATGTGTAACGTGGCCGGTGGTATTTTCTTGCGCGGAAGAGCTGAATTGAACGTTCGCTTGATGATCATCTTGAGAAGCATGGCGATCATGTCCATTCTCGCTTGCTGCTCTATCAGAAGACAAGTCATCCATGCCTGTTGTTTCCAGAGTGTTCCTGGCAGGTATGGCCTGGGACTGCTCTTCCTGATTGTCGACGAATGCCTCGGATTGCTGAACAGATGCCGCCAAAGGTGAGATATGGTCATCCGCGTCTGAGGTATCGGTGAGCCGGGACTTGCCCTTTTCTTGACGAACACCACCAAAGGCATTTAGAATATCTTCATTAAGCTCCTGTTGCTCCTCCTCGCCAAAATAAGCAGCGTCTGATACCTCATTTGGAGCCTCAGCTGATTCGTTTTCTAGAAGAGAACCAAATGTGTCATTGTTGTCATGGTTATCCGGGGCCTCGTCCTGGGTCTCATCCGCGGTCGCTTCGTTTTCGGCCTGCCGACGGTGCTTACCATTGGCGAAATCATCCAAAAATTCCCAAAGTTTATCTTTGAATGATTCATCCAGAGGGGTATCCGAGTCTCGCAGTTGCCGCATCGTCTCACTTACCCAACCTAACGAAGCGTCGTCGGTGTCTTCGAGGATTCTCAACAACTCCTCTGGATCGCCTTCGGCACGTCGCCAGACATCCAAGAAGACCCTCAGCCCGGAGCGCTCCATCTCGGGTGTGTTGGCGAAGCGGTTGCGTTCCTCGATAGTTCGCTGTATCTCGGTTGCTCTGGAAAGCGCGTTTCGAGTAGGCATGCCTGGCCGTTGCCTTGACAGTGGGCCTCCGTTAGAAGCACTGTCCGTGCGATATAAATGGAGAGATTCTCCTAATGACTGCTCAAGTCTCGCTTGCCAGTCAGTATCAGACTCCAGGTTGGCATGTCGAGATTGTGGTTGGCGTGCTGGGAGCACTTCGTCCGAATCTAGACCGTCGCGTCGCTGAGGTCCATCTATTGAAGGGTTTGAGGATGCCTCTTCTACAACATCTTGTAATGGAGCATTTTCCGGCAAATCGCCAGCGGCGAGGTCATCATTCTGACGGAGACGCTCGAGAATTTGTTGTGCCTGCTGCAGCGCAGCCTGATGCCGGCGTATGTCACCCTCTATGCCAGCCCCTGCCTCATCGTCCCCTTCCGCATCACCCGGAGGAACAACCACATCAACATTAAGAGGCACATCGAGATTCAAGGCAGGCTGTTGCTGAACAACCCATTCCCGGATCAGGAAGATCAAAATGAAGGTTGCCACCACAAAGACCGTTATAATCTGACCTTCGAGGATTCTGATGGCTAGCCGGTTAAGAGCGGGAAATCGCGTCAAGTTCTGCAAAAATTGTACCTCGGAAAGGAGCGACTGCTTCTGTAGGGGTGTTTCTAAGCCCGCACTGACGTTCAATGACGATGAGTTCAGTCCTGCGAACGGCGACTGCTTCGAACCGTCAAACGTAAAATCCAGAAAGAATCTCCTGACAAGTGAGAAGAAGGTTGTTTCCTTTGCACTCATATTAAGAGAGACCGAGATCGGATCCAGGATAGAAGGGAGCGCGTTCGCTGCGCTCAGGGTGGAAGATGGGAACGGTGTACTATATCCATCCTGTGTCAAGGAGGTCTGGCCCCTGGCAGCGAGAGCCTCGGCAAGGTGTTGCCTTGAGATTTCCACAGCTTGCTTTGCCGTTATAGGGTTGCTAGTCTGAGGTTGCCAAAGCGTCCATCCACCGTCCCCAAGCCAGAACAAGCCCCTCCATACCGTACGCATTGTCCATGGCAACCAAAAGAGCCAGACAAACCCGACGAGGAAATATCGAGACCAGATCAGAAGCGTTCTGAAGCAGTCGAATATTGCTTGCTTAATAAACACAGTCGTGGGCAGACCCTGAGGCATCTGAGGATGGTAGACTACAACACTATTAGCTAATTCTTATCTATCAAGGACTCCGTCATGTACAAGTCGACTTACGTTTGGTAAACCTAAAAGGTGTTTTGCAAAGCTCGCAGTACTTTTTCTGTGAATGTGAAAGCCATTCCATTAAGCACTCTTGATGCACGTATTTGATGCTCCCGCTGCATCGGCAAGGGTAGAAAAGAGGTTCGTCCTCTGTCCCTTCACCTCTACATATCCGGCACGTGTCTGGATCATCAATGCTCCGTCGATGCCCACGAGTGTTTGTTTCGAATGCCGGGTCGTTCATTATATCGGGCGTCTCCGCCCCGGCATCCCGCCGAGCAAAGTCCATGTCGGATGAAAGAATCGAAAAGCAAAGGCGAGTCCTCCTTTTTTTTGCTGATAGTAGAACCCAAGGCTTTCCACGGAAGTTCTTTTTCTGCTGATAGTAAAAACCAAAACTTTTAAAATCCACCGCTTGGATCTTAAATTCGACGAAAAGTGCGCTCGCTCGCTGTTTTGTTTCTCGACAGACCAGAAAACTATCTGGATCCGATCCCTGATATAAAAGTTTCTTTCTTCAGGGCGACATCCGTAGTCCGTAGGAATTACTCGATCCGCTTTTCAACCTCCTCCTTTCCCGCAAATGGCTGTGTTGGCTGTGTTGGCTGTGTAGAAAGCGATACCGCCAGAACGTCGGTCCCCTCGGTCCGTCAACGCCGTCCTTTTGTCGAACTTGGCTAGAGTTCAGGTTGTCAGAAAGCGCGGCGTAGGAGGTCAGATTGTCAGAAAGTACGGCGTAGGAGGTCAGAAAGTGCGGCGTAGGAGGTCAGATAAGTAACTAAGGCGTACGAATAAGGCGTTCCGCTATTCGGAGCTAATGGCGGTAGCTAATGGCGATAGCTAATGGCGATGCGATAAAAGAGAAAAGAGAAAAGGAAAGGAAAGGGGAAAGAATGATAGAGTAATAATAATAATATTCGTCATTGAATCATGAGTTACCTTACCATCACGCAACGTGTGTGTGAAGGGTTATGCAGACATGTCTTCAAGGGAGAAGTAGGTAGTTCTGTTGAGCCAACTTTAAATAATGACCCCGGTTCCGGTTCGAAAGTGTTGCGGCAACTGCTGAAAGTTCAGAGCATGTCAGGATGTCCAGTTAAAAGTAACCTCACACACCTAAGCTTTTGAGGGGCGATCAAAACGGTCAGATAATCAATCATCAATCAACGCCCGAGCTAGTTGGGCAGGTATGTCATGGTAAGTTCCGGGAAGGGCATGGGGTGGGCGGGTCACGTGCAGTTCCTCATCATATAGGGCTTTGGAGAGATCTCGAATTCCAGTTTTACCTTGAACATTCAAAATTCAAAGATCAATCTTTCTTCAAATTTCAATTTATTACATTCTGCTATCTAAAAAGGTATCGAGACCTGTAAACTTGGGCATTGTACATATCATGTCATCCATATCATTGCATTCGTTCCACCAAATCCATAACATATCAACAACTGCCAAAAATGTGCATTCTTTGTGGGCAAACGACCAGCTCGCCCTGTTGAACGGACGAGTAAAATTCTGAGATTCCGTCGTCCGTGTCAGGTAGCAAATGTCAACAATTACCAATCAATAACTCCAGATCGCTATTCCACCATGTGTTCATCCTTGTGATGTTGACAAGGCAAAGAAACATTGACAAGTAAATCTTAAAACCAAGCCCACTTCATAGAAACCTCTATGATCTCTCAGTGAAGGTCTCTCCTTCACTATCGCTCAGACTATCTCTTCGACGTCCACCGCCGCGACGGTAACCCCTATCTCTTTTGGCTCGGCCGCCACCGCGTCGACTTCGATCATCAGACGCGCTGGCGCTGGCATCGGTTCTCGCTCCCTTGCTCAAGCCGGGAATATGATGCGAGTAGATTTTGGTGCCCTGGTCCATTTCCGTAGAAACAGTCTGGTCATCACCGTATGATCCGCTAATCTCACTATAGGCGTCGTTCGAGTACACAGGCTGGTACTTACGCGGACTAGACTGTCTGCTGCGGCTGGGACGAGACGAGGGCTCGCGATGGTAGTGGTGACGATTAGAGGAGGGTTCTCGAGAATGGTGACGGTGATGTCTGGATTCACTCTCCCGCCGAGGCCGAGGAGCATATGAGTACTGCCTCTCATACTCGTAATCATACGGATGACGATGGGGCTGGCTGCTGCGCGATCGGTATTCGTCGCTATAATAACTGTTTGTGCCTTCACCAGTATAACTAGTCGTGGTGTCATCGCCCGCAACAAAGGAGAAGTTTCTCTTAGGCTTGTGGCCACTGACAGCTCGCTCCTTCTTGCTCATCTTCCGTTCCTCCTTGTCGTTCTTGCCTTTTCGATTGAAGAATGAAAATGCTCCTGCGCCAGCGGCCGCCTTCTTTTCGTTGAACTCCTCTGTGCCAGCCGTCGGGGCGGAAACACTCAAGTCATCAGAGCGCTCGGTGTTGGTGGGGTCGTACCAACTTCCGTCTGCTTTTCTATTGAGACCACCAACTCTCGCCGGTTTCTCATGGCGATATTCTCGGACGTCGGGGTCGCGGTTATTATGCCGAGCATAGTCGTAGTATTCATCGTCGTCAAAGTCGCCATTGATGCTGTCGCCTCCGAGGTCGGTGGATTTTGTTGCATTGCTTAGAGTCTTTCCGTCGGGACCCTTCCTACGCAACACGGTCGACTTATATTCATCCCAATCACCCTTTCGGAACACGAAACCGCCATTCCTAGCCCAGAAGAAAAACCAGATGCCCCCGCACACGAGCACAGCACCGATAATCGCAAATAGGGCGAAATACCCTTTGTTGTTGACACTGTATGGGTCCATCGTACCGATACCGGGATTGTATTTATCTCCATTGGAATCCTGTCGCCGCGATAAATCATACAAAGCTCGAGGAGAGATGGGACCTGTCGGGGCATCGCTGCTACTGAAAGATAAAGCAGACCGAGCAATCAAACGAGTGACAAAAGAGCTCGGGCTATCAGATCGAGATAAAGGAGCCATGTTGGCGAAAAGTGTTTCTGATGGAGGAGTGAGAGGTAGCTTTAGAATGTAATGGAGTTGAAGAGCTGAGGGTACTGGAAGCTCGACAATTGACCCTTAAATTTTGAGGAGCACGCTGAGATTGAGATGAGCAGGATAACGAAAGCTTCAGCTGAGACACAAAAGAAGCCCGTGGGAAGCTGCCAAATTTGAGGCAAAAGCCCAGCTCTGTCCCATCCGCTCAAGTCCCAAAGAGCTTCAAGATATTTGGAAAAAGGGTCCGACGCAAAACGGTGCAATTTTGGGGGTTGTTAGAATTTGTTCCCAAGTCAATTTAACCAAGTGAGACTGAGGTAGGGAGAAGGAGAATGCAGACAGTGCTGCCACTCCCACAAAAGGCGTGGCCGGCAAGGAAAGTGAGGTGGCTGGTAGGGTGATGACACCTTGTTTTGGCGATGATCTCGGCTGCTGTTGGCCAGGCGATAGCTAGCCCAACTGAGTCTAAGCCGCTAAAGATCGACGCCCAAGATAAGATCCGACACTAACCAGTCAGTAATCCACGGTTCCCTTCAAGACCTTCTCCGCAAGGTTCCGCAGTTCAGACCAAACTTTTTAACTACATATATACATATGCCAATTGTATGTTGGACTGGGGCAGACGATACAAGGACTATAAGAACAAGAAAACAATGTACAGAGCCTCGATAATTATATGCATTTCCGTAGAGCGCAACCAAATTCTATGGAAAGTAAGTCTCTCGAAGCCGTCAATTTGACTTTTGGCCCAGCATCAATGTACGATAGTTTTATTTCACTTCGCCTCATAAAATTTGTCTGAATAAATCCGTTCTCTATGCCCTAGGTATTCCATTCTGCCTTTAAAAATCCACCAACAAATTTAACCAGACCATCAATCGGCATAAGAACAAGGCATGATGTGATCAAAATGAGAAGGAAAGAAAAAACCAGTAAAAGGAAAAGGCTGGTACAGTAATGTGGTATCTAATCGTGAGCGTGCAAAGTATTGCGACGAAAAAGGGAATAAAAAACCATGAGGGGGGTGTGTAAAGTGCATTGGAGAAAAGGCACTTCCGGCCGAAAACATCGCGCCTATAACCACCCGAAAAGAACACAAGATACCACGATTCTGTCCTGAGCATTAATAAGGGAGAAAGAAGAAAAAGTAAATGAAAAATCAGGAAAACGCTCAAGATGTGAATGTCGTAACTCATGCAGTCATCTCTCGTCAGTAAGAAAATTAAAAAAAAAAAAAAAAAAAAAAAAACAGAGATTGTTGGCCCAACGCAAACTTTTAATGCTGAAAAGGCCGCCCCAAATTTAAAAGGAAAAATGTGAACTCAGAGAAAACGGGGAAACAATTTGAAGCTATTTATCATTGGATCAAAAGCAGATTTCGGACATTTGCAAGGAAAAATTAATATGTCGTACAATGGATGCCGTGCCGGCAAAACGCAATTGGCAGTTGTAACTTTGGGGGATCCATGATCGGGATCCGTCCAAGGGAGTCGTTTGGACGAATCATTGAATCGGTATTGGTCTCAGCTGCGTCCAGATCGGCCTGATCTTAGGCTTTCGCGATCTGCTCGTGAGTCTCGATCCCTCGTACTAGGCCCCTCCTCGAGCGCTCTTGGCACAGTCCGCGCATATTCGAGCTGAGTTGAGCCAGAGCCATCGAGGTACCTTGGACGGGGCCGACCAATGCTGAGTTCCGCAGGAGCACCATCTTCACCCGGAATTAGACTTATCGTCCGTCCATCAAAGTCTCCACTCAGCTCGACAGTCCCTGCATTGATTCGCATTGTGATGCTTCCGGCGTCTGACTGGGCAACGGCCGAGCCCGATCTGGTTCGCAGATCACTGCCATCACGGCTGCTGCTTGCCCGGCTTCGAGATCCAGATTGGCTGCGGCGGCTTTGGCGAGTGGCTCCAAGTGCGTCGGCCGTAAGAGGTGTGGACTTGGTGACGGCCTCTTGATATGCCTCAGCCTCCTTTTGTTTAGTCTCGAGATCCTTTGCCTTTTCAGCTCCATAGTAAGTTGCGCGTCGGCGGCCGGGCCCTTCCACAGAGATCCGAGCGGTACCGTGGGCATTCATATATGACGCAGCTTTTCGCCCCTCATTGGACAGAAGGCTTGGCCGGCGCGGACGGGACGAATGCTCAGACGAGTCTCTTCGAAGACGATCCGCATGCCCCGGATCATTACGTTCGGTCGCCTCTGATCGAAGAATCTCACGCGCAGAAGAGGTTGTTGCCGAATGTCGTATGCTGGGACGACGATTGGGAATCGTCGATGGAGGGGGCATCCGATAGTAGTCGTCATCTCGCTTCCGATGCTCAGACGTCGCAACTACCACCCGTCTCGCCTCCTGAGAACTGGACGTCCGACTCATGGCTGGCGCGCCAAAGGACGGCTGATCATATTCGACAACAGGTGTCCCGTAGACCGAGGTTGGCCGCGTTGCATAACGGTCAGATTGCCACTGGCGCCGACCCTGGTCATATGGATTCGCAGACGGTGTGAAATTTGTTTGAATTGGGGAAGGAGGAACGGCTGCGCCTTGAATAGCAGGTTGAGGAGCGACCATGTATGGATTCATTTGTGGGTGGTACGATCCGGGGGGTGGGTAGCCCGGGTTCATATAGCTCACCATGGGCGAGTTATACTGAAAGTATGTGGTATCCGGTACACCTGGTGCATGGTAGCTTGCTGGGCGTCCATATGAGTTGGATGATGCAGCGCGCTGCCTCGGGTTTGCGCTGTGAATGATAGGCCCCTCGTTGAATGCGGGGTGTTGGGCCGGGTGGGATTGCGAAGTGTCCGTTGGATAATGAATTGTAGGGCGAGTACTAAACGGTGCATACTCTACATCCCACCGTCTCTCCAAAGGAGTTGACGTGGCTCGCTCGCTCTTCATGCATTCGTCACAGGAACATTCTTCTGCCGTGCGGGGCTCGCTTCGTGAGGAGGTGCGTTGTGCTTGTTTGTCAGAGGTTCGATGGCTACCAGACACGAGCGCCTGCACGAGTGCTGGGCGTTGCTTCTTCACGGGACTGTTCGAGGTCGATGACTGGTTTACTTTTTGTTTCGTAAAGTCCGCGCTGCCAACTGTCGCAGCTGTATGGCTAGAATAGCCAGAGTCACTGGCGGGGGTTGGTGATTCTTTGGGCTTCGTGGGCTTGAGATTGTCTCTCATTCGAGCACCAACATTAGCGACTGTGCGAGTGCCTGGCAACGTCTCCTCATCATCGGAGTTATAGTCTTCCACGAAGGCGGCCTTGGACTTTACCGCCTCAGGCATGGCGGAGCTGAGGCAACGAGCTGTAAGAATTTGGAAGTGTTTGGAGGAGAAAAAGTTGAGGTAGAACGACGCCAAAAGTTGGGCGACGACAACTTCAAACAATGGAGACGACGGTCGGGAGCGGGAATGAGTTTAAGGCCCCGGTAAGGAAACGCGAGACCCTTGAGTTTGTTAGTGAAGGGGGTGGGACCAAGACCGATAGGCGAATCTGATAGCGATAAATTTTCTGACCCCGCGCGTGCCTTTGGCAGACTTTTTGGTGCGCAATTTTGAGTTTTGCGTTGTCGTTTTGTGCGACAAAGGGTGGCAGGCAGGTTACGCGACAGCGATGACGGTGAAAAGATGCTGGCCGATAGTGAATGTCGAAGACGCAGCATAGAAGCAAACGACGAGGAAGGATTTCCAGCCACAACACCGACCGCGGCGGAATGACAATTGGCTTTATGATGTACCGAGCCAGCGGTCCATGGGCAGAGGTCAGGCAGCAGACAGGAGATTGAGAACCCCTCTGACGCGAGGAGAGCGGGAAAATTCTCTCGCAGGGCAGCAAAGGAGCATAATCTGGTCTTATTTCTCTGTTGTTCTCTTGTGCGGGTTGCAGGTCCTGGGGGGAGTATTTTAAGTGGGGACAGAGAAGAGGTGCATGGATTGTCCGTTACTTAAGTAGTCTCTGCCTTCCCGTGGGTTGGTTTTCCCTTGGGCCCCCCCTTCGCCAGCCCAATGTTTGGTAATAGGGTGTGGTGGTGGTGGGTGGTAGGGTAAAGCGAGAATGAGCGTGAAGAGGAGGGGCAATCCCAAAGTATATGAGGTGTCGACAAGAGGCATACGATTGATACATGCCTACCGTGCAAACCGCCCCTCGGGATAACAGCATAAGGTAGGGGTGCCATCAGCATCTACGCCTTAGCCACATTTATTAGCCAGCCATGGGCTGAGAAGACTGTGTCGAGGAAATCGTTGCTCCGGCGAGCAATGGAGCGCGAATGACCACCAAGGAAACGCTATGACTGGTTCATCCTTCCAAGATCAAAGAAAATAGTCCAAGGCTACCAAGCTTTTACGTGACCCATCCCCGCTTTAATTGAGGGAATGAACTGTTTGTAAACATTCGAACCGTGGCCAGCAAGGCTTCCAATAAGCAAACCTCATTGGCGATGCACGAGGCTGCGGATAACCAAAAGCTTTCGGGCCACCGCCTCACAGGCACGTTGCGATAATACTCTGCTATGATTTACGGAACAAGTTCAGATGAAGTGACTTTGCATAAAACACCGTCGAAAATTGGCGTGATCACTGTTACGCTGCTGTATAGACTCTAAGTAGATCAAAAATCGTCTTGAGTTTCGATTCGACGACCTTTTGGATTCATGGACATTGGTAATCGATGGTATAAAAGAACGCAGGGTGAAGGGAGCCCTTATCGGGTTTGGGGAAATAGATTGGCGGAATTGCGTTATTGTATGATGGGTCGTTTACCTACCTATCTACCTACCTTACCTTTTATATATCTTGCGTTCCTGTTTGCGCCGAGGCCTCCTTCTCTTCTGACTCACATCCTCCGTAAGTTGGACTCAAGTCACAAGGAAGCAGCCAGATAATTGATGAAAAGGGAAAATAAAAACATTTTTCCTTAATTTATTTTTTTTTATTTGAATAAAAATTTAAGTAGAATAATATCCATGTGAGAAAGACGGGATTTGCAATCATTTCGCTTTCGAAAAATCTATACTTGACCACTGGTAGGGAAATTTGCAATGTGGCATAAGGCTTGAGTGCTCTGAATCTTTAATGAATCGAGTCCCGAGTTTGAAGAGAAACGCCGATCTTGCGCTGCACAAAAGAGAAATGGAACAATGGTTTGATGCACGGTTGGCGAAGTGGCTCCTTTGTCTAAGCATTCATCAGACAGGAAAGGAATGACGATGCGAAGACCGGCTTGCATCCTGTACAGCAAGGCGAAAAACGAGCAAAGAGTTGTTCCAGGATGACTGCAGATTCTCCAGAGGAATGCATAGAAATGGAGCTTGATTCTGTGGGACAGATTTTTGTCGTTATCTCACCAAAACTGCACACCGAACATTTCCAGTGAGACATTTGGAGTGGTTGGTGGTAAGGCGGTGATGAATTGTCGCCAAGAAAAGTATGGGATGCCTGGCGAATAACGGTGAACCTGGGGGCAAAGGAAAGAGACTATCGGAGTAGGACAGCCAGCTGCAGCATGTAAAGGAGGGACCGGAGCAGCTGGAGAGTTTGGCAGGAGGATTCTTTTGAGAGCGAATTAGCCCACTCATCGCCTTCTCACTCACATAAGACAATGGCTATTGTGGATGAACAATCATCGGTCCCGATTTATTCGCTCCACAGTTCTCTCCGCATCCTCCCTTGTGTGTATGTGGGTGTGTGTGGTGACGCAAGGAAGCCACTGGGCCATTAAACTTTGGTTTAGGTGGTGATAGCGTGTGGCTGTTATAGCCTTAAAGTGGGGCGACAGTCCGCCTAACAATTACGGGCCCGACGGGGGAGCCCTGGCAGGCTGATTAATTAGGTATGTATTTGTCCGCCCGGCCCTAGTTATGTATCGGTCAATCACGAGAATCATGGAGAAACTTTCAAACCTAACATTATAAGTTCAGTCAATGTATAAACTTGACCATGATCTGTTTTCATAAAGTATCGTATTGGTGGTACTAGATAGAGATCTGCAGAAAAGGCGGAAGAGCAGAGGGAGCCGAAAAACCTGCTGCAATCATAATTGATCGATACGAAGAGAAAAGCAATGCAAGTCCACGCTGCATGGTAAGAGATCAAGCAAAGACACCATTGTTTGGAACCGCGGTACAATACTGCAAAGAGTGTAGGGTGCGGGACGGCCGGGAGAAAATGGCTGACGACGGACAGCAACAATTGACGCTGGCACTGGTGCAGCCTCTGCTCACTCGCTTGGACAGTGCGGTCCCTTCCAGCTAGAGCAAACAGACCATGTCATGTCATGCATAGCGTCCACTTTCTTCTGCCAGACAAGTCCCCCTGTTTTGACCTGTAACGGACGCAGGCAAAGAATAGGCAACAGCGCCTCAATCTCGAGGCAATGCATAACAGATCATTTTATGAGTCTTCAAATTAGTTATGAAGCATCGAACATGGGGAGCCACTGACATCCACCCCCCTCGATGATACCGAAGACTGGAACATGAGAATCTTCCTTCCGCTGCCTCCCAGCTCACTTGTATTTTTGCATCAGCGGAAAGTTCTTCTATTTGCCTTAAATGTTAATAGAGTTGGATTCTTCTGCTTTCCTCCAAAGAGCAACACAGATTCTTGAAAGTAGAAGTTTCTTGAACCTGGGACGCTGTATAGAAATGGGCCAGTCTTTTTTGACATCGTCACAATCTAGCTCCATATAATCGAGCGTGTGGCCTGGACAGTGGAGGCGATATCGGCAACCATCAGTCGTCACCGGCCCTCGGATATCGATCTTGGGTGTGGTCGCGGGCCCAGATGTGGGGCGAACAGCGCGAGTCTGGATGAGATCTCAAAAGCAAGAAGATGGACCAAAGGTCTGTGGCACACAAATCCCAATAAGGAGACCACGTACTGTGTAGGGTCCAGCGTGGCAACGTTTTCTCCGTCCAAGTATACATGCCCAATCAGCGTGAGCGGTAATCCTCAGCAGGGTATTTGACACCGGCGCCAGTCGGCCGAGGTCAAAGGCACGGCAAAAAGTAGCATTGACCTTGCATTGTGCCGTGCAACCCGAGTGATGTTGAATGGAATCCACTGTACTGTAGAGATTCTTTCCAGCCCGCCTACGTTGCTGCAGTGACCAGGTATCTTGTATCGGAAACACGAAGAGGCCATGGAGATTATCAAAGCCACCAATGGCTGAGAAGTGAAAGTTTTGGGGCTTTCCGGGCACGGAATGACTTCTTGCGTGCTATAGATCTCACCCGTTGTCCATTGGTCGCCTGGTTCTCTGAGATAATGATATGTCAAGGCAACAAGTCTTATGCCACTATACCATCTTGACATAACGCTATAGCAGGAGTCACTCGTTCAAGGAGAGCCATGATGCATGCATCATTGGACAATGCTCTCCTTTTCCCGCGAGATGACATGGACAGTCATGTGTTTCCGGGGAACTCCGGCCGGAACGTTGGAATGTGTATGAACTGCAGATTGTCAGAAGAAAAGCGAGCCGCCATTTCCACACATTTGCAAAGTGGTTTACAGCTTTCAAGGCATGGTGATGAGAGAGTCAATATTAAATAGATACTGGCACTAACGTGCAACAGAAGAAGCAATTCTAGCGTACAGTACAAGATGAGTTGTAAGCCTAGAAAAAGAGAAAATGGTGAAATGGAAAAAAAGAGAGGAATATTTGAAAAATACGGAAAACCACCACGCTGTGATAGACAAAAGAAATTTGGAAAGTCACTTGTCCGCCATTAAAATCCCGACAAGTGAAATTGAAAAAGAGAAATAAAAGAGAAAGATTTCGAACCAAATTGCAAGAGTTTCGTCATTTGCTCGTCGCCCTTTATCATGCACGAGGGAATACAGCCCTTCATTCAGCTCTTTGTCCCCACATATGTCCCTTTTTAAACATTGCCACATCATCATTACAATTCGTCACGAAGTCTTTGCGTGGCTTCTGCGGCGGCACTACTCACTTGGCTAGCTATGGATTCCACATTCTCTTGAATGGAATCAGCAGCCTCGCCCGCCCCTTCGCCAACGTTCCCAACGAACTCCGTGAGCCGAACTCTGGCACTCTCTACTGCTACACTGAGTCTGCTCTGCGCGCTCTCAAGGGCTCCCTGTTCTGGCCCATAGACAGCCGAGGTAATCTTCGCTTGCGCAGCCGAATAAGCACTGCTCATGAGAGATGAGGCAGATGATAGATTGTCGGCAGCAGCCGCGGTTGCAGAAGAATAGGTGTCATCGACGGCGTGAGTCAAAGACTCCACTGTGCCTGTTGGCGTTCCGTAGATTGCGACAGAGATGGCACTTTGCGCAGACACAGCGGCATCGGATATTTGACTCTGCGCCGCCTCAACATATCCAGGCTGTGTGCCATAGATGGCATCGCTGGCTTTCGACTGCACCGAGCTGTATGCACTAGCTGCCGCGGAAGTCGCCCTCTCGTAGTTGCCTGTGCTGCTTCCGTAGATTTGAATGCTGGCAGCTTCTACAGCTGCATTGACTTGCTCATTGGCTGATGCAAGAATTGCTTCCAGAGCTGGTGGCGGCGTAAACAAAGGCGCAACGAGCGAGGAAGCAGAAGAATAAGCATTTGCCGCGTACTCGGATGCAGAAGAGGCTAGTTCCGGGTAGCCAGTAGAGTAGGCAGAGTTGAGTCGATTCATAACACTTTCTGTAAAGTCGGGCTCTCTTCCTACAATAAGATCGGAAACTAGAGCAGATACCACGTCATACTGGGACACAGCAATGCCAGTAGCTTGAGCAGCATAATCTGCTGCCTGAGAGCGCACTGATTCGGCGAATGGCGTGGGAGAGCCATAAATTTGTTCACTTGCTTTGGAGATAATAGCTTCCCAGTTCTGAGACGCTTGGGATGCCACTGACTCGGCCCATGGGGTAGGGCTTCCAAATAACTGTGAACTGGCGGCCGATGCGGCAAGATGAGCTTGGTTTGAGATATCCGCAGCAAGCGATTCCGCAGCTCCGGTAGGCTTTCCGTAGATCGCTGTACTGGCGGCATGCGAGGCCGAGGAGAGCGAAGCTGATGCAGCCGAAACGGCTGAGTCGTATTGTGACGAAGCAGCATTCAAGATACTCTGAGCTGGCGTATCGCTGGTCCGCCCAGCCATTGATGAAGCGGAGGAAACGGCTTGATCTAGATGCTTCGATGCATATGCGACGGCGTTATTATATTGGTCGCGAGCAGCGGAGAGCAAACTCTCATAGCCTGGAAGAGCCGTAGAGTAAACTGCATCGCTTGCAGCGTTATAGATACTTTGGTGATAGGGCAAAGGTGTCCCATACAGAGCGCTGGACGCGGCATTGACAAATTCAGAGTATTGATCGTGAGCCATGCCGATACCCTCGTAATATCGGCGACGCGCTTCGCTTGCGATCAGCTGAGGGGTAGGAGTAGGCTGCGCACCGAATGCAGCCTTTGCACTGGAGTATTGTGCCGAAGCGCTGCTGAGGCCTTCTGCGAGCCTAGAAGAGGCGAGAGAAGAAACCGATTCAAATGCATTGGGGGGAGCACCGAAGAGTGCATTAGATGCTGCAGCAGTAGCCGATGAATATCTCGAGCTAGCTTCCTCCACCACGTCTGAATATTTCTTATCGGCCACAGACAGCAGCGATTCATGTGCAGGCTGAGAAGAGCCGGTAATTCCAGCTTTGGCATGTTCATATTGCGACGACGCCGCATCTAATGCCTCTGATAACTTGGCCGATGCCGCCGACACCACGGCTTCTTGAGGGCTTACGGTTGTTCCATAAATGCCGCTAGAGGCTGCGCCCAAGCCGGCCTGTAGTCTACTGCTAGCTTTCGTGACAGCCCCCGAATAGGCAGCTTCTATAGAAGAGAACATCTGGTCATGGACAGGTTGTGGTTTTCCAGAGATTTGAGCGGATGCAATAGACTTGGCGCGAGAATAGTGATCTTGCGCAGCATTGATGGCGTCAGCATACCGAGAGCTTGCTTCAGCCACAAGCGACTGAGCAAGCGGAGTGGGCGTTCCATAAATCGCAGACGACGCACTAGATAAAATGTCAGTAACTGCAAAATGCTGTAAATATTACGAGAACTTCTTTAAGAACGTACGCTGAAACAGCCGCATTATATCGATCAGCCACCGCACTGGTCGCGCTCTCCAAAGGTCCCTGCGAAGTACCATAGAGAGCAATCGACGCTGCTTCAAGGGCCCTGGAGTATTGTTCGCTGGCGAGAGACGTGACACTTTCGACAGCCCCTTGGGTGCTTGATGGTTTGAGCAAAGCTTCACTGACTGCCTTTGTCACGTCAGAATATCTGGCTCCAGCTTGGCTGACAATGCTTTCCAGCTTTTCTGAATAGCTGGCCGCATCAGAATCATCTACGACAATGTCGTCATATACGATCTCACGAGCTTCGACAAACTGAGCCATGGCGCCGCCGAATACTTTTCTAGAGGGTTTCGACTCCAGTGGAGTTGCGGCAGAGCTTGCCTTTTCTGTGAGACTTTCGTACGAGTTCTCGACGGTAGAGGTTGCCGCAGAAAGCGATTCAGTGAGAGATGATTCTGCTAGCGTAAAGTCGTCAGATATCTCTGAGACAATTGATGAGGCCGGAGATGACGCGGCGTCGACCACTGTCTTCATGATTGACTCGACAACTTCCAGAGGAGTTTCAGTAAGTTCTTCGGAAGAAGAGACACCGAGAGCCTCGGGAACCTTCGAAGAAGCCACTGAAGCAATACTATCCGTAAGCGGCTGGCTTGAACCGAAGAACGCATCCGATGCATCTTCAGACACCTCTTGTGCAGCGCCACTGATCGAGCTTACAACGTTGGAGTGGGACGAAGCTTCCTCTGACTCTTCAGAGGATTGAAGTGGTGAATGGGAAAGAATACCCTCGCCGGCATCTTTTATTTTTTCGAGAATCTCTTGCCCCGCTTGCACCGCAGCTGCCGGAATATCACGCTTTGTCTCAAAGTCATCGCTGAGATCCCGAGCTCGGATTTTGAATTTGCTGACCTCCTTGAGTCTGGCGAGCTCCTGCGCTGCTTCTTCGGCAGTGGCCATACCCCTCTCTTCAGCGTCAGCTGCGGCGTCCTTGGCACGAAGGAAATCTTCATGTTGCAATGCAACGGTTTTGACATTGGCACGCCATTCTTCAAATGTCTTCTTGAGAGCGTGATAGTTGGACCAGTCCTCGTAGGTCACGCCCTCCATCCAAGCCCATCTCAGGCCAATTTCCTGAAGACCAAGATCCCTGATGTTATCAATGACTTCCAAGGTCGAATTTGAGGCTGCCGTGATAAGAGATTCCGTCTCCTCATCATAGGTGCGTTTCCACGAGCGAAGTGCTTGGGCTTTTCCCTTGATACTCAATCCCGCAGCCCGAGTAGCAGCCAAAAGTTCGTCGTCTGCTTTTTTGTATTCATCCTCCTCTGGAGTTTCGGGAAGAGACTTGATAATCGAGCTGACCTTCTTCTTGAGACCTTGAAGTTCCGATTTAGAGACTTCTTCAAGCTGAATGATCAAAGATTCGCCCACCCCTTGGACCTGGCTGTTGACCTGGCGGTCCGCGATGTGGCCGATGCGTCGATTAAGGTCTTCAGTACCTTTATCGGCCGCCTTGGCAAACTTTTCACGCCAGTTTCTAAGATCGGCTGCAACCTTGTCGCGGACCAAAGCTTCTTCGGAGTCATCAGGAGTGGACGAGGGTGCAAGAGTCGATGAGGTCACGGTACTGCTGCTGGCGCTGGTGCCGTTTGTACTGGCAGGTTGAGTAGAAAGAGAGGCAGAGGTGACTGATTCATTCACTTCCGTTGCGGAGCTGGAGGCAAGGGAAGATGCCGACGATATGGATGGGATCGAGGTCGCCGCCGGGGGGGTTTGGGTACTATCGTCAGACCATCAGCACTCATTGAAGTCTGTCATGAATAATCTAGCTGGGGTAAAAGCAAAATGGAAAATGGGAGATAAAACAAGGAATACGGCTCAGCATGTAGATACTCTGCTATGATTCGAATGACGAGGTAGCCGTACTACAGCTTCATGTGCACAATAGCAGTCGCAAAAGAGCCTTCCACATGCTACACAGATGTCTCAAGTAAAAAGAAACGGGTCAAATTGATCTAAACACGAGCAAATGAAGGCAACACTCCATCTATCGCCTGAGATACAAAGCAAGTAGTGTCTCTCACCTATCAACTTCCTGGACCGCCTCTTTCAAGGCTTTTGCGTCCTTGTATCTACCAAGTCGTTCGCCGATTCGAAGCAACTGAGGCTCAACACTTTCGCCATAGAGAATCTTCAGCTTGGGCCAAAGGTTCTTGTTCAAAAACTCCGCGAGAGATGCCAGTCCCGAGCGAGTATAGGGAACAGCGGTATTGACTGTGAAGTCGTAGCTCAATTCATATCCTTGCTTGAGATGCGGTTGAACGGCATTATATGACGGGAGAACGTGCGTCTGGTAGATTTGGAGGACCTTGCCGCGAGAAGCCAGGTAATACGGGGAGGCGGCATTGTACGCCTTGTCGACATGCGGACCAAGGGAAGCGTCATATTGCTTCTTCGCCTCAGCTCTAGCAGCGTCTACCTTTGGAGAGATAGTTCTTTCCCATTCCTGGAGCCCATAGTCTTGCAATTTCTTTACATGCGGAGCACCGTGCGTGGCGTAAGTGTTTTTGCTGAAACCCACGACTGGTGAGACCACGTCCTTTTCAATGCGGTCAAAGTAAGGACGAACTCCAGCAACATAGGGCGCCGCGTAGGTATCGTAGTATGGTGTCACGTAAGGCGTGAGACTAGCACGTGTGCTCAAGAAAGGCTTGCAAATCTTGGGAGATTCGGCGGTGAGGTCATCAAGTGACGAAGGGCACCGGAAAAGGGCCGTGAGTATGGCATACCATACAATAAGTCTAAGCTTGTTGTTAGCTTAGACGGATCTCTTCTCTGCGCGTCTGCTCCTCCCTCGACATGAGAGAGCTCAGAGAGTTTAGTGGTTTCAATAATCCGTACTCACCGAAGTGCAACACTCGACACCGTTCCCGAGAAACTCTTCTTCCCAGCAGAGCTAGAATACGTCGGGGCAGTCGTGAAGGCTCCATTTGACGCCCGTTGCTTCGCTTGGGCAGGACGTCCGTTTGTACTTGCGCCCATGGTGGAGGGGCCTCGATGGAGGGAACCGCGATTGGCGGTGAAAGCACCAAATGAAAACCAAAGAAGATTGATACGGTAGGAGAGACTTCAAGGCTCGACAAAGCAAAAAATCAAATGAGGTTAATAGGATAGTTTCGGGAGCCAAGGAAGCGCCCCTTGAGGAGACAGGAAAGATGTAATGGGATTGAATTCAAAAAAATTAAGAAATGGAAGTTAACTTTAGTGACGAGGAAGAGCACGAGAGTAGATTACTTGTTGATGGGAAACTAGCTCCGCGATTGGCTGAACCCAGTTTGTTCCCTACTCGTAGTTATGAAACCAGCTTTAACGACAAGCGAAAGGCAGCAAGCTCTTTGGCTCGAGCTTTCCATTGTTCCCTCTCTTTTCGCGACTCACGTCATGGCTGACCAAGGAACGTGCAACACTCAAAACAGGCTAAACACAAAAAAGTACCCCCAAGCCTCAACCGAGGTTTCCAATTGTTGGCATCAACCTACCGGTGGAGCGGTGTGCGGCTGCGCTGCGGATGCGAAGCGAACCGTTCAATTAAAGAGCATGTTGTGGGATCGATCCATCTCGATCGACATAAATACATGGAACCAAGAGCAACGATAAGAGCAATAATTAATTCCTTTCATTCATGTAGGCATTATATATTAGCAGATATCATAATAGGGCACCCATAAAGAATATGATACCACCTAACCCTGCAGAACAAGGACGGATGCTTTGCATCGTTCTTAGCGCGATAACTGATAAATAACAAACCCTTTGACGTCATGATCTCCAATTGCATGGGCAAGCAACGGCGCCAGTTCCTGGTTCGCTCCTCAGCATAACTACCTAGCTCAGGCAAAACGACTTACTACGCTCCGTACGTAGAGGAATAAGAATTTATTGGACCATTATTTGCCAATGTGAACGTTAGTATGGGAAATTGGCGGACTAGGCCCGGCTACTATATCACAACGTACGATCACATGCTTAACAAAAAGAATTAATACGTCAATGCACCAAAGTGGATATTTTTTTAACGATATGAAGTATGCTTCGAAGTTTTCTAAGTGAGATCATCTAATAAAGAAAAAAAAATTCGAACTACATAAAAGTTCAGATATCATCGCTGGCGTATTTTTGATTCTAACTTTTCCTTTAAAAATTCGGCATATATTGGGGGGTGAATTACATGCTGTTATCGAAACTCATCAGCTTTGGTTTCGACGGGGAAATATTAGAGGGACACTGTTTGACTTACCGCTCAACAGGGTCCAAACCCAACAGCCGCATTCCGTTATTGAGAACCTGTCTGGCAGTCTCGTAAAGAGCCATACGGGCCACCTTGACTTCAGGCTCACTGCCGACAACCTTGAGTACATCGTATGATGAGCTCAGCATGTGAGTCATCTTGAACAGATAGGTGAGCACAGTGACAGGCTCAAGAGTCTTGAGCGTATTCTGGAACACGTCGGGCCACTGTGCGAGCGAGCGAATAAGATCAATGGCGTGGGACTCCTTGAGGAGGGAGAAGTCAGCGGTAGCCAACGCCTCGCGAGGAACGTCGGCCTTGCGGGTGATACTGCAAAGACGGGCGTGCGCATATTGGAGGTATGGGCCTGTATCGCCCTCGAAGGATGTCATCCGCTCCAGCGAGAATTCGTAGTTGTTAATTCTGGAATGATTGAATACGTTAGTCACGATATTGGTAACAGAGGAGACAACAATAGCCAATTGGCATCACAAAAGGCGTACCTCTTCGCGCTCATATCCTGGACCATGACAGAGGAAATGGCAAGAATATCAGCAGTAGCCTCAGGGTTCTCAACCTGCTGGTACTTGGTCTCGTTCGTCTTCATGACCTCGTGCATTTTCTCGCCAACATCGCGGAGAATGTCATCCAAGAACTTCACTGTTCCCTTTCTAGTACTCATGCCCAACACCATACCAAAGTTGATATGCTGGCACTTGTCAGAAATGTGCTTGTTTCCCATGAGCTCTTCAATCTTGAAGAGTTGAGCCAAATGCAGGTCTTGCTGCGATGCAACGACATAGATCATCTTGTCAAAGTTGTATGTCTCGTGACGTTCCACGGCAGCACCAATATCTCTCGTCAAGTACAAGCTCGTACCGTCCTTCTTCCGCACGAGGGCCTTGCCCAGCTTCTTCGAATGAGGAGTGAGATCGACAATAACCGCTCCATCCGAAACCTTCGATACGCCCCTTTCCTCCAGGAGCTTCGCCGCTTTGTTCATGCTCTCTTCTTTTATCTGAGACTCGCCGGAGTACACATCGTAGTGAATGTTCAGACGGCTATAGGTCTTCTTGTAACGGTCAATGCTGAGATCGCGGAACTTCTGCCACACAGCGAGTGCATCCTTGTCACCTCCCTCCATGCGCTTGAAGTATTTCCGTGCCTGCTCGTCAATGCTCTCATCAAGAAGGCGCTCCAGCTCCTTCTCTTTCTGGGAAACGTCCTCGCCCTTTGCCTTTCCGTCCTCGATCTCCTTCTTCAGGGGGTCCGTCTTCTCTTTCTCGGCGCGGGAGACATCGTTGATCTTAACGTAGACATCGAAAAGGTGGCCGATGGGGTTCTGGAGGAGCTTCTGCTCGTCACCGAAGCGCTCATAGCCCACTGCAAGCACACCATATTGCTTTCCCCAATCACCAAGATAGTTCATTCGGACAACATCCCATCCGGCGCCTTGGTAAAGGTTGGAGAGGAATCCTCCAATGATGGTACTTCGAAGATGGCCAGCGTGGAAGGGCTTTGCAATGTTGGGCGAGGAAAACTCTACGACAATCTTCTTGCGACCTTTTGAAGCGTCGGCTGCATCGCGCAAACCGTTGAAGGGATTCAAACCATACGATTCTTGGTTCTTGAGAATAGACGGCAGAACAATCTTGGTTAAAGAGGCGGGTTTGAAAAAGAATTGAAGGAAAGTGCCATTCACAAGCGGCTTCTCAACGAGCGGAGACTCGGGAAACTATAATCACAGCTATTAGCAAAACCAGCTGGAAGCACAGAAGAAAGAACAGTATTGATCGGGTGACACAGTTTCTAAGATGAGCAGAGGGAAAACCATCTTATAGACTAGATGCAAGAGTCGCTCTCATATACGTTCGAAAATTCCAAGGGAGACATACCTTATCACCCAGTTCAGCCGCAAGCTCATTGGGCTTCTTTCCCTTGACTCTGAGAGCCGGCACAGGCAGAATCAGGTCACCTTTGTCCAAAGTTTGGGTCCATTGTAGTGCGGGATAGATAATCTTGGCGTCGACTCCTGAAATAGGCGCAAGAATCTCGGTCAAGTGAGCACGGTAGATGTCAATAGGATTGATGTTTGGGTGCGCATTCGGAAATTGGGGCACATCGGAAATCCCCACAGATTTGAGCGTTGCGGCGAGCTCGTCCATTGACTGGGTATGCGTGTGCTCCAAGGAAGCCATGGTTGAATATTGCCGGGAAATTCTTCTGATGTAATATCGGTTTGCCAGTGAACAGGAAGTTATTGTCGCTGCTTGTGTCTGCAGCCGAAAGGAGGGCAATAATTTCGAGTATCCAGAAGGTACCAGAGACCGGTTTGTTTGTCCCAGTGAAGCGTGTAAAAGAGGACCAGTAATGCGCTGAATGAGCGACCGACAATGTCCGCGCATAAACTTCGTTAGAAAATACTGGACGCACAACGAGGGGCAGTTTCTTTTGTAAAGGGCCGGTGGGGTGTGGAGAGTTTGTCCGTTTTGACGAGTCATCAAAATCCGTCCGCCTCGCGCGTACCTTTTTTTGCCCAAAATTTGAGTCAAAAATTCTCCGGCAACCCAGTAGAACCCAATATGCGGAATCCCTGCGCTAAACCAGAATGAACGACTCGGACCTGAGTTTACGAATCAAGGACAAAACAGACATCGTCAACTCGTCCGTTTTCACACAACGTTTGAAGCTCCGAAGCTATTATGTATCTCTATTGCTAATCTAGGAAGTACAAGCTTCTTGATGAAGAGAGAAACAGAAGCCTTGAAAACAAAATAGAAGAAAACATAAAGCAAAGAAAAAAGAAAAAGCAAAGGCAAAGTACCCTGGTGGCTATGTCAAACGCCCACCGCGATCGACATTCGAAAACCATATCGAAGCGATTGTGTAATAAAACATTGGTACTGTAATGTCATGCATCTAAAGAAACTCCTTCAAGCCTTGGCTCAATACTGGACCTTATGCTGGGGCGCCGATGTCCATCCGTAGAGCTTTGTTGGAGACGTGAAGCGTTCCAAGCGTCAATCAAGTTTGCAAATGGGTTGCGGCCTCTAGAAACAACACGACGCCCATCACTTGCCTCGGGTGGGGCTTGCGCCGCGAGAGCCGAAATATTGACAGGTGGTTGGGGTATCTCATGGTTAGGGATTTCCGGCAACCCAGGATGGGTATCCAGTTGCTCTGCGGAATGGCCTGTTCCGAGTCTGCGTCGCAAGGAGAGAGAACGATGCCCAGCAGGAGCGTTCCTTGCTATGTGGTGCTCCATGACCGAGTGTAGTAGAGCTTCTGTAGTCCCTTTTGCGCGCTCCTTCGTGTGAATGATTGCGTCCTTTGTTTCTCTGGCGCGTGCTTTGGTATGAGCAAATTTCCTTTTGGCAAGTGTTCTAACCCTCCTTTTCGCTATACGCTTCACCGTGGACGGTCGTCTAATTCGTTCCCAATCGTAATGGTGTTCTAATATTGGAGGCTCGGCTTCAATTGCGATTTTCCCCCATCTTCCTACAAGGGGAGCCTGCTTTTGGGCAGTAGGTGTAGGAAATCCTTGTGGTGGACGGCGCAAAACCCATGCTGCAGTGTCAATATCTCCCTCTCTTGGTTCCTCTGTTTCGCTACCAAATTGAGGTCGTGTAGTTAGTTGCTCGTCACCGGTCATCATCCTCCGAAACTTGTTGACAGATACACGCCACGAGTCAATATTTGGCATGAGAATTCTCCTTCTCACGGGGACCTTAAAATTGACCGAAGACAAGCTCTCGTAGGAGTTGGTCAACTGAAGTTTCCTTCTCTCGGTCACTCTGGATACCGCATTCACGTTAGTTCCTGCGAATGCTGAGTGACGTTTCTTCTGAAAACCTTCTGCTGGATTATCTTCTGGTCCCCGAAATCCTGCAGAGAGCTCATACGCAAGCCATTTCAGCCTGCGATCCACTTGCGCGAGAAAGTCTCTCTCCGTTGAACAGAGACCGAGTTTGATCTGCTCTTCACTCGATAGGAGAGGTGTATATGATGAAGGATGTCGAGGGAAAATTCTTGGGAGAGAGGTGAACAACGTCCGATCCGGTCTCCGGGTTGCTCGCAAAATAGATGAGGAAGTCGCATCGGGCAATGGCGTTATATGTGTAAAGGAGCACTTGCTAGGACGATGCATAGAGTGCATTATGCTTTTCGCAGCCCCTGAGGCCTGTCGACGATCGCTTCTTGATTTGTCTCCGGTACCTGGCATTCTCAAAGCTTCATTCTCATCAAGAACTTCACTAGCCCCTACTGCTTGCAATCTATCCCGCTTCCACCATTGTTTATGAAGCTTGGCCTCCCCACCTTCTTGGTGGGTTGGTGAGGTTGGCTCTGCATCCTCAACGATCCGCCATCCCATCGCAGGGCTTGACCTTCTCGCTGCGATTCCGGTCAAATCATCGTCTCCAGAAGTAAAAGGATTAACTAGCATTGGCGAGGCCCAAATCTCTAGCCTTCGAGTCAGGTTATCTGCAAATTCCTGCTCATATCCAGGGCCTCGTGGACCATCGATATATTCTGGCGTGCGTGCTTCAGGCCCTCCAGGCCTTGATGCTGAGATACGGCTGAGAATCCGAAGATCCAACGGCGTCAACGTGTCTTCGGAATTCTTTGGTGGTGGCGGTGCACCTGGTGGCCTAGGCTCTTGGGACTGGTACTGGACTTCATGACCAGTCCGGCTTCGCTCTTCCGGAGCACTTCCGATTGTCAATTTCGAGGCACTGAGAAGTGGGGCAGAGTTCGACCTGCCAGAGCGAGGTTGGCTGTTCAAGTCAACCTGCTGACGATTCTTTTGTGAGGGAGATGGCCGCTCCGGATTGGTATTTCGTCGAAATTGTCTGCTCATCCGCTGGAGCTTTGCAGCTGTAAGGGTAAGACTTTCTTGTGGGGAAGACATTCGTTCTCTCGTCTTAGGCGGGCTCAATCGAAGCTCTGCATTGCTGTTGGCGAGCTTAATAGCTGGTATACTAACCTTTCTTCTCCGTGCAGCATTTATCTCATAGTCGTTTCTTGCACCGCGCAGCCAAACTCCAGAGCTTCTGGCCTGGGTATTCGAGGCAGGTAAGCCAGAAAGTATTGCCGGTCCGCTAACTGGCTTATGCCGTGCCATAGCCATGTGTGCCTTTTCCGGATCTTCTTCCAAGTATTGATACCATCCAATCCACCAAAGAAGTCTCCGAGTCCAATGCTCCTTATGTCGGGGTCCTTCAGGAATAACGTGTGGGAGCTCAGCATCCCAAAATATTTTATGAAGATCGGCCAAGCTCATTTTTGGATAAATCCAATTGAGCAATCGTCGTCTTGGTCTGACCCTGACATCTGAGGCGTCGATTTTAGCTTTCTCAACCCACCCGTGCCAAGTTCGGATGTACTGTTTTCGGCGGTAGGGAACACCTCCAAGCACACCAACTCCACTTGCGATTCGTAAACGCCAAAAGCCCCAATTTCGTACACAAACGAACACAGCGAATACCAGCAAGGGACTGATGATGACTAAAACTGAGATCAGTCCGAATCGGCTGTAGAACTGACTCAAGTTCTTCCGATCATGGAGACTTATATGTGCCGCAGAGCTCGAAACCGGCAGCGCTTCCCGCACCGAGAAATGGTTCAGGCGCATTTTCGGGTGACTTGTCGGTGCCGGGGGACGAATGCCGTGAAAATTAGATGATCCTAGGGAGTTCGATGGCCCGAGAATGAAGTTGCGCATCCTTCAGTCTTTCTGCTCCTTTATGGCATACCCAGATTCCAAAGATAATCAATGCTGCCATAGCCAGGGAGATCCCCGATATAAGCAAAATCTCCCCGCCCTTCATGGATATGGTGTTGGAACTCTAGACCCTGGTGAAGTATCTTTGATAAGCAACGTGCAAGTAGCAACTCTGATAGACCCTATGTGATGGAAGGGTGTAGAGCTATAATTTTGCCAAAGAGTAGCTGGTTTTAGGACCAAATGAATTGATTCGAGAGTTGCAGAAGCAAACAACAAGCAAGGTACCTAAGATAGAGCAATAACTCTCCATTAAACGCGACTATAAACATTCTTGAAGGCCAAGGAAGGCAACCGCGCCAGTGCATGCCTCCTTCCTTGGATGGAAGCTGGACAAAGCACAACAAACAAGTCCGCGTAAGCGGAGAATATTCCCAACGTGAGTGAATGATACAAAACACTGAAAAACAACGAGGAAACTCATACTTCCATTAGAAATAGAATTTCTTTAAACTATAAAGCTACCCGAGCAAAAACATTTATATTTTGAGGAAAGAGCGCCGGACTTTTCTCGCAGAGACAAGAAGGAGAGACTTCGGGATAGAATGCATTGCCATATCCATCTCGACCATCTGGTAAAAGACCGAAATGTGACTTGTGAATGTAGCAAATCTCTGAAATCTCGCCGGATAGCTTGGGAAAATGGCCCAGCCAAGTAAAGCCAATAAGAATCAACGAAGAAAATCACTGGGTAAAGCGCTACGAAGCAAAGTGACTCAAGCAAAAGAGAAAAATGCATGTTAGCTAAGGTACGGCCCCATAATTCAACGAGACACGTTTTCACCGTGGTCTGAGTGGCATCCTCGTAAGAGTAGGGATGTGAGGCGCTTATGCAGATATTGCATGAACCACTGCTAAACTATGGGTAATCCTCGGGGGTTAAATGGGATCGTCGATGTAGAGAATCATTAGTGTGATCTAAGGTCGAGGCAACAAGACCTGCCTTGTTGCCTCGCGCCACAAGCGCCGCCTCGGCCCGCCCGGCGGTCCGTGTACTGTGGGGTTGTACATCCCCTCCAACTCCAAACGAGCTCGAAGAAGGTGTGACCGATCATTATGCAGGCAATCTTACTCCAAACCGTCCTCTAGCACATGCACGAGATTAATTTGATCTCCGTTCCAGTATCGCTTGTTGGAATCTCCGCTCTCTAGATCGCAATCAATGGATCGTCCGGTTCGTGAGGTCTCGGTTGATAAGGCCAAATTTGGATGCTCAATGTTTCTCTCTCACAACCAACCAATTATTTTTTGTTTTTGCGACCAACCTCAATCCCTGTAATATAGCAAAGAACAACGGCAATGTCGATCTCGCTGCCGCCTCTGATGAATTGCGGCATTATTGGCCAAATAGAAATGGTCTTGGATTAAGAAAGTTTTTCTAATCCCTGTAGAGCTTTAATGAAGTATGGTGTGAGGATAAATGTTACAATTGGGGGAAAGAATGCAATTTATCAGGTAGCCCCTGGTTCTAGGAAGGCACATCGAATGATTTAGCTGAGGCAAACGGTTTAACCGTGCCTAGCAATTTGCGCCGCTCTGATTGAACCACGTCATATACAGGTTCGACCCGCAAAGGCATTGCCTCCAGCGAGTTGATTGGACACTAGACAAGCTGATCAGGCTTCCACGACCGCCTCGCGCAACTCCGTTGGCCAGCAGAGATAGTCAGACCATGCCGCATGGTCACCGGAGAGCCAAGATGGAATTCCTCATATATATCCAATGCTCATGATCAATTGCCTAAACCATTCTTGGAGCGAGGCCAATCACTGGGATGACTTGTTTTTGACAAGGATCTAAATGCTGGATAGATCGACACATGACTGTGCTGCTAGGCTTGAGTGGGGCACTGTAACGTTGTCATGAAAGGTCGTTGGTTATGGAGCTAAATAAGTACACTAGAAGATGTAGAATGAGAAAGCGGAGGAGGAGCAATATTCGCCGAGGATAGAGTATCCGCAAGACCGGCCCCCAAGCCTGATAGATCACCCATGCTAGGTTCTTGCAGGCGTGTTGTGAGCGTCGAAACGCTGTCTCTCCATCGCTGGGGCCGGACCGGAATTTTTGGTTGGTCCATGACTGGTATTACCTCAAAATCATGCGGCCAAGTCGAAGTCTTCACGTTTTCTTCCCAGCGTCTCATAACGTTCCGAGACCACTGTGTTTCCTCTGAGGAGTCATCATCCTCGATATTCGCAGCATGACGAGCTCGTTGAGGAGATGTATGGGCTAGAGTATCAAGAACCCACGTGTTGATGTCCTCTAATTTTCTGAGCGGGCTTCTTGAATCTGATTGAGTGTCGATCACTGGGGCCGAAGTATTATTTTCGATAGCAACGAAAGTCTCTTTTGACGGATCATACTCAAATGTCTTGCTCCCAGAATCTTTGTCCAATCCGCTGCCTCTGCGTGTATTTTCACTATCGAATCTAGGGCCCAATAAGACATATTGGTCTATGCCAATCTGCCTCAACCGATTAACTTCCATGGCAATATGCGCAGCTTCAGGGTTGTCAATAAGAGGAAGCGGGTGTCCTTGTTCGATGGCAGTTTGCCACAGTCGAGAAAGTTCCATTTCCACCTTTTGCAGTTCATCGAGACTTTGTGAATAGAGTTTTGGGAAATTTTTAAGAAAGTCAACGTCAGCCTCATATAACGGGATCTCTCGGGAAAGGCGAAACCGTTGTTTCTCCAAACAGTCTTCACGCTCACCCACAAGTTCGAGAATTTCCTCCCTGGCCATCTCCGCTCGCCCAAGTTCTGCCATGTATTCCTCAGCCAGAGGGTGAGAATTTAAAAAGGGCTGCAATGCTCTTTCCTCTTCGTCGGTCCATGACGCCATCGACGACGACTCTACATATGTTCCTCCTTGGTGATCCTCGGGCTTCCCATATCGGTCATAATATTTGAGCTCTGCTTCCTCAAGTTCATATTCAGCTATGATGAGCTTCTCTTCTTCTTGATTATAATCGTCTTGCAAATCGCCTAAGGTGTTCCTCGCAGCTTCAACTTCGTCATAAAGATTTGAAAGAGCCTTCGCGTCATGATGACCACGCTGCTTGCAAAGACGTCGCATTGCGGTCATAAACCTTGCCTCGGCAATTCCAGCAATGTTGCGATGAGTCTGAAGGCCGGCCCTGCTTTCCCTGACTTTTGATCTTAAGTTGGCGGTTTCTTTCCGTATTTCGCGAATCTTCTCGCGCGCTTTGGAACAAAAATCGTGGGCCTTCTTGACGTCAATGTCATGGGTATTGTGCTCTTGAGCTGTAGTGAAGGACTGACTGCTCTCGGAGCAAATTGAATTCCTCTCGATGTAGTTTAAAGCTTGATTCGGTCGCTCGGAAGCTGTCATGACAATATTTTGTTTGCCGGAGTACATATTTGTATTTTGGTATAGTCATCATCGATAGCAAAGTGAAGCCTCATTGAACTAGGAAGGATCGCCAACCTTTTCAGCTTCTTCAGTGGATAGAAGTTTCGAGGGCCGCCCAAGCAAAGAAATGTCGGTGAATGCTAATAGCAGTCCGAGAATTGGAGCAACGCCCCTTCATTACTTTTTGGAGCGACAAATTCAAGCTCCGATAGCATGCTGAGGTTGGGCTTTGCTAAAATTGGCCAGCTGGCAAAACAGTTGAAGACGGGGTTTGAAGCAAGGAAGATTTGGGCGCCTACCCCAGTCAGCTCAGTTTGCTCCCGCTGGCAAAAATAATACCCTTTGATCCGTCATGCATATGCTCTCGTCTCTCTGCCTGAAAAGAGCCCCCCACGTCAGGTATCACATGCCCGATTCTGCTGATTTATGGCTAATGCATAAACATGGGTATTGCAGAATCAAGCCGCGTCTTCCAGCCTAAGAGGAATGCCACATTCCCTGAACCAATCGCCAATGCATTTTAGCGACGAGGGGCCGTTGGAGCTGTTTACCGCCTGTGGCCTATGGAGATAGATTTCAATAGCCCCAAGCTGAGGTCCTCGGGGCCCCAGTATGAGCGTGCTACAAGGAATATCTGGTGGTATAAGTTAATCATGCTTCCCTGGGGTTCGCGTTGGCAAATGATCCAAAAGATGCCATGGCAGACCAAAAGCTTTTGAACAGGTCAATGGAGAAAACTGGGCAATCTTCTGCTGTCCCAAATCATCCTGTCGGAGGTGAGAGATTGAGGGAAATTCCCTCTTGGTGCTCCTAACCAAATTGGACGGAACCATTTTCCCTTTAGTGGGTTATTGAGGGGATTCTCCGCTAACATCTCCCGCATTTCCATCTATAACACGGGTCTCCCGCCAGTTACAAGCAACTATAAGCTAACTGTACTAGCGGTAACGCCGGCGATTCCCGCCGGGCAACAGGGAGGCGCTTTCCCATATGTTCACAATCCGTACCAAGTCAATAGCAGCGGGTCCGTACAGGCTTTCTAAAATACTTCACTATTTTCACTGTATCCAAATTATTTGTTCAGTTTTAATCTTTGTATTGCTACTTTATACAACAACCCCCACCCTCCCCCACGACTTTTTGCTCCGCTGCAGGCGCACCACAGGCACTGGTGTATTGCCTCAAATCGCCAAAGCAGCGAAACGATTCCGAAATCACAATTGTGTAGAAGAGTTATTGTTGACGGGGAAATCTTCCGATAGGTATACGCCTCGATCCTCGCAAGTACAGTCCTCCTTTACACAATCTGCGTATGCGCCAGGATACCCGAGTCAAAGCACTCCGGGAGCGTGGCAGCAGTATGGACAGAGCAACTCGAACGAGCGAAACACATACGGTATGTACTATAGCCCTTTTCGGGGTGGAGATTGGTTCGGTGTTGACCTTCCCGAATAAATCTGGCAAACGGTGCTTACTTCTTCCCTCCAGGGCCACGCAATGTCCCACATGATTCGCAAAGAGGAATTGGTCGTGGAGGAAGTCATTCAAGTCCGTTCCCAGTGATTTAGTTCAAGCTGCATTTTTTTTTCTAAAGCATCCTGAAGATGTCACCTCCATGCCATGGTCTCAGCCTGAGGGAGGCAGGTTCGGAAGCTCAGCCTATGGTTATGATAACCAGGGAACCATGCCGTCTTCCTCGAGGCCACAACAAGTTATCCCTGCCATAGGTATTTCGCGCTGTCGACGGAGCACATCCGATTTGATTACGAACAACATAGGAAAGTCTCGCCCTCCGTCCATTATCATTATCAAACCGGGTCTGGCACTCCCAACCATTCAACACCTTTCCTGAGCAGGCCTAATAATTTAGAACGAAATACGTCAAACCATGAAGCTTGTGAGTATAGCTTTTCATTCCGCAGTACCGACTTTCAAGCAAAGAAAACGCAACATGCTTGGCATGAAAATATATATATAAAGATTATATCATTGAGAAGAGAATACAAGAGAAGAACATGCTCCTGAGAACATTCGATGAAACGTTTATAGTTTTGTGCCAAACAAGACACTGACGAATCACTCTTGCAGCCGAGATACCTCGAAACGTCATTAGGCAGTTGGACTCAGGTGCGTTGAGCCGATACTAATATTGCATTCTAATCCGAAATCCTGACATGAGCGTAATTCAAGATTACAAACTACAGCCCAGATCTTTTTTCAGGGTAGGTCGTGTGTTCATAACACCTTGGAGTGAAACAGCAGGCGAGAATACGCCAGACGACGCGTCGTATTTTACGTATGGGAGTCTCGGACAAGGAGTAATCCAAAAGGTTCGACGTTTCATAATTGTTCAACAAAACCCTGAAGCAACACATTGCGTCTGTGTGTAAGCATTCCGCTGTTCTAGCTCCAGTGACTGTGCTAAGCATTTCAAATAGTCCCATATGCACTTATGGCAAACGGGGAGCCACGAAACCCGGGCTCAATCAATCAGCTCATGCCATTGTATATGAGGGCGCTAAACCCCCTAAAAAAGAGGCGGGGGAAGAAAATATGACAAAAGACCCTATAAGGATTCGCGCCTCCCCCGGCGTAACTCTTCATCGACGTTCGCGAGTGAATTTTGGAAAGCCTCAATCGGTTGAGCTGAATTGCCTAGTGATGAACTTGGGACAGGTCCATGAAGAGTCTCAATCTATTTTCCAAACCTACTATGAGAATTCCCGCTAGTGTCCCGGCTTATGCCCGTTAGATCATACAATGGTATGAATTTCGGGCATGTTCTGTCGATCTATAACAGTCTGTCCAGATTCTCATTGGACAAAATATTACTTCTCTTCAGCCGACAATCCACCTTTCGTTTACGACATATTTTCTTTTTGGCTTTATTTGAATGAAAAGGGAAGGAAGAGCAGCGGCTCAAAGCAAAATGGCCTGGGTATCTTCTCAATGTATTGTTATAGCGAATTATTCTTCAACACTCCTCTCAACCAATCACGGTCTTATACAATATAAATTGATGGTGCTCCTTGCCAATAGCGGTGACAATGACGCAGAATGTGCGGGAAGAAAAATGTGACGCCAAGAATATCGGTGTCTGAGAATTATATATTAAAGTGATGACAGTTTGATAACGAGAGATGTATATGGCAAGAAGATGATTCTCAAGGCGGACGATATGGTCATTTCGGCAAATACAACATCTATACATGGTTCGCTTTCGGCCGCTTGAAGGGGTGGGCCTCGGTGTTCCTGCAGCAATAGGTGAGTCTATATCCAATCTATCCGAGGAAAAGCCATTCTGAAATGCAATGCTCCAGTATTTGAAAACAGGACTGCAGGGAACTTACAGTACATAGTCATCCAGACTGATGAGGTTCGGTTCACTGAAAATCAGGTAAAAATATTTGAGAGTTTCAGCAAACCAGAAACTCTCCATACGATCCATCTTTGGCGAATCTGCTCTCGTCACATCGTGGATGCCAGCATTAGCAAAGTGCGTCTTTGTGGCATCCTCAATGGCGGTGAACATGCGCCATGCGATTTCTTGAAGCGACTTGTCGCCAGTGATTCGATAGAGAATGAAAACCGATTCGATCGCCTCGGGCCTGAAAATGTGCAAGAACCTTATCAGCCCAAAAAGTCTGCTTTCAAGAGCCGGCAACAATGATAGCATACCTTAATTTATAAGTCCTGTCCTCAATCTTAGTAAAGCCCGGAGAAAGCCTCTCAGCAACTGTGAGACGATTTACTCCTTCTCGCGTGATATCCCCACTATATTTCTGCGATTTCAGCACCTCATTGTGCCATTTCTCTATATCCCATTCACATGGATCATCTGCTTCGCAGTGTACCATATGAAAGACTTCGGGCATAAGGCCAGATGGCTGACTGTGATAGGCCCAGGTACAGCCTTCGACAAGCTTCCGAGCCGTGGGTAAGTCTTGAGGTCTGTCAAATAATTGCGCTCCTACTGCAACCATGCCGCCTGCAAAACAAGACAGATGCTGGCCTCGAGGGTCAATGTTGAGAGTTCCCTTCTTGTTGTACCAGACATCGCCTGAGAAGAGAATATCTGCTCCTGTCGGAGTCATTGGTTTAAAGAATAGGTATTTTTTCATGGCATCTACGGCGTTTTCATAGAGCTTCCGGTACTGATTCGTCACTCCGCCGAGAAGCATATGTTCCTATATGGCGAATATCTGGTCAATCGATACTCAATTGGGAGCCAGTTGGAGATAACAATATGCCACACCTTTGGAAAATACTCATAAAGTGAGTCCACCATACCACCGATGGTATAAATGCCAGGTAAATTAAAGGTGAGATTCTCCGCATTTACAATGACAGGCCACAGTCCCGGAAGCTGTGTCTTGTCCTGGCTCTTCTCAAGCTCATTTGAAATCCTTTGAACTGCATCAAAGTATTTTGGATCTCCAGTCAATTGCGATAAGCGAGTAAATTCCAGCGTCAGAGAACCAATTTCAGCTATTAGCATCGCACTGGGGGCGACTTGCTTCGTCCCCCAGGCATAGCTTTGTCAAGGGGTTGTTTATCAGCAAATGATACATTGAAGCGTCATACAGCAATTCCCGACCTACCTCTGCCAGTCCCATCGCGATATAGGCATGCGGTTTGGTGTGTCGAAAGCTCGATACAAGAAATCTCCGAGCTCCTTGGCCTTGTCCAGGAGCACCGGATATTGACCATCACTCACGTCGTACGCTCCCAACATGCCACCGATATACCTGATAGTGGTCTCAAACACATTCAAAGTAGGCTGAGTTGTGGTCGTGAAATTGATCCCTGAGACTACGTGTACCGCTTCCTCGAATTCCTCGTGGCGGTCCATGATCCAAAGGGTATCCAGTGCGTCCACAAGTGTCGCAGCCCATCCGCCGAATGGGTTTCGGTATTCTCCTGTTATAGGTCCGACTTCATCACTCTTCCAAGCATATTTCTTGTACCCATGCCATCCCCGATCAAACGTATTGCGTACTACCCTTCGGCGGTCGAGATTCTTGCCATTTTGCTTCGACTCGGAGTCACCGCCGAAGTTGTATTGGATTTGAGGGAGTTGACTGGGTGCCTCAGATGGTAGCTTCAGAAATTCGGAAACGGGATAGTCTTCACCATGGGCGATGGTAACGCGGATTGAGCTTGTCGCTCCACCTTCGTTCATTAATCGGCGCGCGGTATTGTCGGCATTGCGAAAGACGAAGAAGATAACCAGCGAAATCAGCGCTGCTGGTGCCAGCCAAAGCCGGCGCACATAAAACATGATATAACAATTCCTAAACAATCCAAAGATCCAGGAGCTTCAAGACTCCGGTAACTTGTTCAGCCAATCGTCTCTGCTTCCCACAGAGAGATGGTTCGGGGTAAGAGAGGGGTATTCGAAAGGTGCAGTCTATGTACGCATGCCTCTTGAATGAAACTGCCAGATGATCTCGGCAGCGACTTGATGGAAATCTGGCTCGATTTGAGATGTCAAAAAGAGGGTCCGCACACCACTTGCCAGGACATTTCGTAATAATTGGCTTTTGAGAGCACCGATCGCTCCTACAATAACATGATTACGTTCGCCCGAAGACCCCTTGGGCGCACCAAGCCAACCTAGTGACAACCTAAAATTGCAACTCCGGGGATGTTCCGCGCTTAACCTTATCCCTACCTTGGTCGACTGGACCCGGACCTTTTAACTACAACTCATTTATTTTATTTGTTTCCTTTCGAGCTGACGAATTGAGAACAATATCATATTTCCAGATAGACTGTTCTGACATAAGATAGATGTTCAAATAAACGATATGAAAATCTCATTCATTCGCTGAACCTCTTCTACCTCCTATTCCTGACATCACTGCAGCTCGAAATCTTGATCCGGAAAGCTTTCAAGCAGGTTAGACCCCTGGGTTTCCAGCCTTGCTTGGCAAACCAGCAAGGGCTTCAGCACAGCCGATTCTTTTCTTTACAGAGCACGAACTAGAGAGCTTGCCATACGAAACATTTTCACACCATGTCGATCACTGGGTAGGTCCTCCCTGCCTTCCTTTCACCCAAAGGAATTGTGCTCTAGCCTTTTGAAGAAGGGACCAAAACTTTTTTCCCCCAGCCTTTTTTTCGGCCACTGGTTCCCTTCGCCGTTCTTGGAGGCACATCTCGTGCACATTTTCATGCTAACCATTGTCTCGGCCCATGCAGTCTCTTTTTCATCCCGTCTTCTCCGCAGGCCGCTACGTATCAGCAGGTGGTGGACCGATTAACGAGGAGTTACGACGACGTTGAATTAGTAGGGAGATGGGCCCTCGAGCATCGCCTGATGCGAGAGACTGCCCCCTCGCTACCCGCTGTTAACGGCAAAGCCCCTCCATTTCGATATCTCCACTTCCTCAACCTATCGCATCAACCCGGTCGGAGTTTTGTTGGCGTTTCGGGGCCCAGCGCACGAAAACAGCAACCGCAGCAACAAGCGGTTGGACCGGATGCTATGGGCGGCGTCGTCCCTCAAGAACCCGCTGTGATACTTGTTCCCGCGCCAGCAACCATCTTGACTCTTCCGCAAGGCCAGAGTGGCGACTTGATCCAGCTCGTCGCGTCAAAGCTGGGTCCGCTCTGGACGAATCGACACACACTACACGTACAACCTGGTGTAGCCTATGCAACTTCCGATTTCGTGGTGCGAGTGGGTGAAGTAAAACAAGGTGTCACCGGTCCGCCTCGAGGTGTCCTTGTCGAAATCACTTATCAGGCGGACGACACGTCAGGGTCTTCAGAGCAAAAGGTCGACCCTAGCGAATGGGCAGCAGGCCAGGCCATTATCAAAGCGTTCTGGCAGAATCTTAATATACAAGGATCGCGCGACTATGCCGCTACAACCCCCGGTGTGGGCGCCGGGCTTGGTTGGGATCTTGAAAGACAGTACTTTGAGCTGTTGAAATTGCGGGGATAAATCTCAACGTCAAGGCATTGCAAGAGGTAATGGTTGCTGAATAGCTAGAGGACAAGAAGACTGCGAACCCGGTCAATCGATCTTCTGCTGCAAAAAGGAAAAATGAGCACAACGACCGCAGACTGTGTCTTTCCTATCTGTTGATATTGTCAATCTCCATTACGGATGCAAAGACCATGTTCCGCCCTTTTACTCTACCAAGCGTCTCAGTTTGGCGTTATATCCCTGGACACTTTTTAATTTTACGATCAACAGTCGTTCCTAAAGCACTACAAGTCGCGGAAATCCCTCTTGCCACGTCCTAAACCGATTCCAGGCCGCGTTTGGATCGCTCTCGCAGATGGCAAAATGTATGTTTTCAAAGCAAGGGAAGCTGAGATACCTGATACCAGTATATGCAGATGGATCAGATTTTAGGGGCAAAGAACCACACTGGGCATCAATATCCGCATGCAGCCGGGTAAAATTGCTTGGAATTACATTGATGGCGTTTACAAGTGATTTAACAGAACGTTCGGAATCTTATCATCCGGAAAGGTCCGAGGGAGCGTGGCTGACTGTGAAGGGTTCTCGGCTGAGACAATTGATAATTTGGCTCGGTATATACATTTCCTTGGGAGAACATGGTCACATTCGAAATACAATTGTTTGTCGCGCGAGCGACTCGTAAAATGACTTTGACTGGCATCCTGTATTTTTGGAAGATTCTTCGCGGGAATTAGGGCACGATTGGGAAACATATTCCACAAAAAATCTCACGCGACCTCTTTTTCAAGTGCTGCTGCAATAAAGAAACGTGAGGACCAAATCACTCAGACGAGCCCCTGAAGCAAGTCGTACCAGATAAGGGAAAATAAAATGATCCATCGTCTCGCATTCTCTATCAGAAAACATGGCCAAGCTCCGGAAAGGAGATGAGAGGACAGACAGCGTTGCCATTGCTAACATTGATGGGAACCCAAACGAACTCAGTCATTTATTTCTGCATCATAAGCTGAACAAACTCGTTGTCTAAAAAAAGGAGATTCGTTAGCGGGCGAAGACGAAAGTGACTAGGTTTCCCCTAGGGCCATGTTGCTTACAATCAATCTTTCCATCACCATCCTGGTCGGCCTCCCGAATCATCTCATCGACCTCATCGTCGGTGAGCTTCTCGCCAATAGAAGTCATGACATGGCGAAGCTCCGCGGCAGAGATGTAGCCGTTGTTGTCACGGTCGAAAACTTTGAAGGCCTCCCGGATCTCTTCCTCGGAGTCGGTATCCTTCATCTTACGGGCCATCATGGTCAGGAATTCTATCATTGATTAGTTTATGTTCGGAAATGCGTAGCTAGATAGAGATTGTTGCACTAACCAGCGAAGTCGATTGTGCCGTTGTTGTCGGCATCCACCTCGTTGATCATATCCTGCAGTTCTGACTCGCTAGGGTTTTGACCGAGCGATCGCATGACAGTTCCCAGCTCCTTGGTGGTGATCTGGCCTGTAACGATCTTGTTAGCTCAACGGAACTTGACCATTTATCAATAAGCACCATGACGTGCCGATCGAAGGGCCGAGTGAACGAAGAATAACTCGAGGGAAATGTGCACGGGATGTGGGTTCGGAATAGAGAGAAAGCGAGAAGTGAATTTAGAGAATTTGCGTTACTGACCATCGCCATCCTTGTCCTAAACAGTTGAAAAATTAGCACAACGTTCTCTCTTCCGATGCCCCGCCACGAGCGGCGAAGCACCAAACAAAGGAGGGGATTGACTTACAAAGAGGGAGAATGCCTCCTTGAATTCAGCAACTTGCTCATCGCTCAGAGAGTCAGCCTGGCAGGTATGGTTGTTAGCTTCACAAGCTCTGGGCGTGGGTGCAGCATCAAAAAACACGGGGGATCAGATCCAAGCGCGGGGTCCCCTCTGGAGTCGCGTCAGGAAGACTGCTGGGAGGTGTGGGGACTAACCATTGTGGGAAGTTTTTAGGGAACGTTAATGAAATGACAAAAAGAAAACGTAAGGGTATCGAGATAGTCTGGACCTTGGTGCCAGGAGGATAAGAAATGGGGAGACTTCGATAATTTAAAGGGAGATTGGAAGCGGTGGAAGTGGGAAGATGATGAGGGAGAGATAGGGTTGCGAGGATGGAACAAGCAGACACAAGTTTGGCCGACCGCCTATTTTGGAGCCAGGGAGTCCAAGGGTCGGGACAGTTCCAGTCAGAACAGTAAGTTAGCCTCATGTGGGTGGTGACAGCACCCTTTTGCTGGGGTAAAGCCAAGTGCAGGCAACAGCCAATCCACGTACTGGTACTTTGCTTTCCTAGCAATGCATCAGGAGACTAAAGTATCTTGTTGGTACTACCCACCCAAAGGGAACCACTGCGTCAACGACGCTTTTTTAGTGAGACCACGCACCAGACGAGCGTTCCGTCAGTCGTAAGGTAGCTAAGCTTGTCCCTTCTTTAGCCAAGAGCGCCCAGCTATGATTACATTAAGTAGACATGAGCTGAACGACATATGCCATCGAATAGCCGCCCCATGTTAGGAATATTACTGCTGCACTGCACTGCATAGCATCTGCACCAAGCGCAGTCTGATCACCTCTTCCATTGGCAGCCATTTAATGCCAGAGCACCTTATTGAAATCGCACCTTGTCGAGAATTGTATTCGGTCTGGACCGTGGAGTATACCTACCGTCCCTTCCCCCCTCCTCATTGAGAGCTTTGCCTAACCCTGGGGGACCCCACGCTTTCCCCTTTTGGGAAAGTTGGACATCGACATCAACACCTTGCGACATTGATAATGTCATGTACGGCACATGCTTCATGCCGATCATTTGGACGTTGCAGCTTGCCTATAATTCTCCAATTCTCTCAATGCTGTGAATCACGACTATAGCCGTTCAAAGCTCACGACCGTGGTTCGTTTATTACTCTGCAGGGCCTATTAACCCAACCATTTCTGTCCGTTGTAAGGGCGGCCAGCTCCCGCCATGTGGCGCGATCGAACCAACCTGTATGCCCACGGCAAGCTTAAATGATGCTCTGCGTGACAATATTGACTAACAATTAACCCATATAGATATATCTCCTATCGGCAATCATACGCCCATCATCCTTCTAAAAAGCCTCGCTTTGCAGGACCTTCGACAAATGGGTTCACCGAGAATGCGTCCAATGAAGAAAGACGCGGGCTCATGTCCGCTGATGCGCTCGAAGATGACGGAGATGCCGTGATAGAGATGGATTTGCTCCCGCCTCGATGGGTGGATATTCAGGACGAAGTGACAGACTTACTCGCGGAAATTGCCAAAAAGTCATCAAAATTAGACAAGCTGCACCAGAAGCATGTCCTCCCAGGCTTCGACGACGAGGACGTGAAGAAGCGAGAAGAGGCCGAGATTGAAGACTTGACGCAACAAATCACAAGAGGATTTTATGCTTGTCAAAGGTCCATTAAGAAGATTGAAAGCATGTCGACCGAGGCTGGTCAACAAGGAGAAATAAGCAAGGGCGAAGCGACCATGGCCAAAAATATTCAAATCTCGCTGGCAGCGAGGGTTCAGGAAGCAAGTGGAGTATTTCGCAAGAAGCAGAGTAATTATCTCAAAAGTACGTTTTGCTCTTGTAGGCTTTGAACAGATCATTTTGGCTGACAATATCGTCTTTTAGAGCTTCGTAATCTGGAAGGCATGGCCTCTCCATTTGACCGTTCCTCGACGCCAAGCCAGAATCCTTATACTGAAGCGTCACTGATGGAAACCGATGCGGACAAGTCTTTCTCCCAATCTACGCTCCAACAGACCGCCCAGCAGCGCCTCCATAGCAACGACGCAGCCATCGCTCATCGGGAACGTGAAATTACAGATATCGCCAAGGGCATCATTGAGCTTGCCGATATCTTCAAAGATCTTCAATCAATGGTTATCGATCAAGGCACTATGCTTGATCGTATTGATTATAATGTTGAGCAATTGGCGGTCAATGTGAAAGCCGCCGATAAAGAGCTCACTGTGGTACGTGGACGTTGTTTGTGAATTTCATTTTAAATCTTTCATGATCACGCTGATGGCATTTAGGCGACTGGATATCAAAGGCGCAGTATCAAACGAAAAGTCATGCTGCTGTTGGTCATAATCATAATCGGTCTTTTTATTCTTTTAATGGTGAAGCCAAAAAGACATGGCTCCACAGCTCCGCCAGTACCACCTGCATCCCCGCCCGAGGCACCACCGGCCGCTGACGCCGGTGCTGTAGGGCCTCGTTCATATGCTAGAGGCCGGCCAAAAATCATCAGCAGTTCATCCACGATCAATGAGCCGGCTTTCCCGAAGCGAGACTGGAGGCATCGGCGGTCGCGCAGAAAAGCCTTCATCGTTTCAGCGGCCATTCCTGGCTGACAAGTCCCTCAGCATCATCTTCTCGTCGATCGTATGTTACCATGGCAATGATATCTAATTAGCATATTTGGGCAGTTTGGCGTACGAGGTAAATAACCTTTCCATGTGCTATTGATCCTGTTTGATTAGCATTTATTTGCATGCAAGAGCACTTGCGGAACAGTCATCTGAATAATACAATTACTTCGCATACCTTCGATACAGTGCTCCATCGTGTGATCGTGTTCGTGAAAGATGCCGTCGGCACTGCATACTGATATTGGCCTATTGCCTGGAACCGGCTCTTGTATATGGTCAAAGAAGATATAGAAATCTTCTTGACGACACTCGCATCCGTGTTTGGATTCGAGGGATTGATTGCGTTGCTCGGAATCAGCGACAGTGCAACATTGCTCTGCTTCTACCAGAGGGATATCGCTTCACGCTTTGGTTCATCACGATGATGTCGTCGACGTCTTTTCTCCTATTTTTGGTGGAAAGCGTTGTCTCGGCGCTGGGGATCTAACCACTCTGTTCCATCAGGTTCCGTAACATCGTAATAGAAGCTTTCCGTCCTCCTAGTTTCTGCTCCACCTCGTCACCCTTATAACTCATCCATCTATTCGGTCATCCAATTTATATTTCCCTCTCAGCCCCACTCAGAAGCAACGATCATCTTTATCTCTTGATCAGGCCACTCCGTCTTCGAATCTCGCGAATCAAATTTGAATTGCTCTTAACTGAAAGAGAAAAAGTACGTTGCAGTTCCTGAAAGTGGTCCTTATCTTCATCCTGCTTCTCTCCTCCCCCTCGTATCCGTCTGGCCCAGGCATGGTTGGTCTGTTAGTCGGCATTTACTTTTTGCATCCTGATAAACCCTTACCAAGCAGCCCTCCGGCCCCTGGCTTCAATCTTATGACCCTTTCAGGCTGCACTTAGCTCTTACACTTCTTCGAGTGTCTGCTAAACGTGATGATTTCTAGTGTCGTCTCTCGCCCAAAACCAGGACGATATTGCCAAGGACAATGGCGAGATGAAGTCCCCCATTGCCGAAGCACACCCGCTCGTTGCTGCCTTGAAGGAAGCTTGGTTCAATGCAACCGGCTCCGCGGAGATTGACCTTCCTATCCTGGAGTCCTTCTTGAAAGCCTTGACGGAGAAAGAGATCGAGAAGGGAAACAATTCCGGTCTTCAAACCCTCTCTCTCGGACAAGGTGCTCAATCAAACGAGATCAACTTGTTTCTCAATGACTTCAATGATGAAATTGTCGCGGCTGGCATCCCGATCTCAGGCTCTGAAGATTGTACCTCCACTCTCTCCACCGAAAACAACACCAATGGCGAGGCCACCCGCGATGAGCTCTTCAACATTGTCAAAACCCTTCGTCCGCTCGTCAAAGAGTACATGACCATGAAGGAAAGCGTGAATAAGTGGAAAAGTGACTATGATGCCGTTGTCGAGCAGAATCGCGCTCTTCATGATGAGGTTCTCCACCTTAGAGAAACCGATGTGGCTATTCGCAGAGATGCGCGGGTCGAGAAACTGACTCTTCACTGCAAGAAATACCGCTACCGGTCCGCATATTATGAGACCAGATTCTACCAGAAGAAGACCAGTGTTGCCCCCCTGAAGCGCAGAGTCGCCATGTTGATGGAAGAAAAGAATAAATTGGAAGATCAGGTGACTAAACTCCAGGAAGAGGTTGAGGACCAGAAAGACAGGAATATAGTCCTTGTTACCGATTACGATAACCTCATGGCCACTGTTGGTTTGAGAAGAATGGCTGGGTTCGCTGATGGGTGGCGTAATTTTACCTTGGCCACGGCGGGACTCTTGGAGACCGACTCGGAGGAGGATGCGTATGAGGACTTGTCCCGCCCTGTCTTGCAAGATGTTCCCGATGACCTCAGTGATGACGCCTCAGAAGACCTCTTTGGCGATGACGAGTTGGGCTTCACCATGAATGAGGATCATCTCTTTTGAGATATAGCTCCTCGCGCTTGAGATGAAGCAGATAGGGTGTTGTTCAGATTGAGCTTGCAAGTTTGCAGGTTTGTGGGTTTAGAGGTTGAGCTGGTTCTCACACATGGAACGATTTCCCACCTTCTGAAAACGTGGCAGGCTCATTCTGATACATCCTTTTTTTTTCTGCAATCCGTCTCCCTCTTCGTCGTCGAGCTTCGGGTGGGGAGGGGTTTCCTTTATTTCAAATCTTTCACTTGTCGTTTCTCATTTCCTTCAAAGGGTCTTGTTGTCCAAGATAGTGTATCCTAACCTTTGAAGACTATGTGAATCATATTTTCACTTCTACTTTCGTCATTCTACTCATTCTACTGTCACTTCTAGTGAGAAGCTAGGTCCGCCTGATGTGTCCACCATTTGCCAGCGAAGGTCTACTTGCTTGATCTGCGCCGAATAGCGAGTCATAGACACCAGACGCGGTCCTTACTGAGGTATCTGATCTTGTGAATTGCCGGTGCATGTTATTACGACGGTAATAAATTTTTGCTACAGCTTGAGGGACTCGAGACGTATATCAAGATACTATGGAACCAGCTAGTAAGTAAAGTTGATCTCATAAAAGTAAGTATCAGAACTCGCGTCTTGATATAACAAGAAATTTTAATAAATGAAAGACAAGGCTGGCAAAACCAATTGACGTTTCTGATCTGCTTCGATCAGGATATTTATACCTTCTTTAGCGTACAAACTTTCAAGAAAACCCAAGTACAAAGGGGCATCTGCCCTTTAGAAAAAAAGACCCCGGCTTCATCGACTTCGAATACCGCAAAGCAAAACAAAGAAGAAGAAAAAATCGAAATTGTTGGAGCCTGGGCTTATCGGCCTGCGCTTTCTCTTCTCAGCATCTCTGCCACATCGGCGTCAAGACCATCCATGGCGTCGCCTCCACCAAAAGCTGCAAAGTCATCATTTTCCTCGACTCTGCGTCTCTTGTTCGATCCCGAATCTGTGCCGTTCGGGGGGTTGCCGGAATGGCGGCGAGCAAAAGGTCCAGCCAAGCTGGAAAGCAGATCCGAACCCGGTGGATTGGCCGTCGCGATTGCAGGGATCAAGGGTGGCGGGAAAGCCGGAGGGGGTTCGGTATGGTCTGGCTGCGTCTCGTGGATAATATCCGCACCAGTCGTCGTAGTTGCAGCTTGCTCAATCTCTGGCGGCGGGGTGCCGGTCGGTGTCAACGCTTCGACGGGAGGTGGCGTTAATTCCTCTACCATTGGCCGCTCGGGCTCGACAGCTTCAGTGGCTCCACCTTCTTCAATGCCATGGATTGCAGGCGAAGACTCCGCCGAAAGACCGCGCATAATACCATCCTCCACTTCGCGCTTCTTTGCTTCAATAATAGCCTTGCGGCTGCTGACCTGGAGTTCTTCGGACTCGTCGGCATTGAGCGCAGCTCTGTTGGTATCAAGGATCTTTTCGAGGCCGTCAATGAGGACGCGACGTGCCTTGATGCTTTCGGTGACCGCCCCCTCGGCATTCGCAAGCGCTTTGAGTAGAGCACTCAATCGCGCGGCATGCACTGGAGGAGTGGGTGCCGGTGTGGCCGGGTCCATGAGCTTATCATATTCTGAATTGGCTGAGGAAAGGGCAGATTTTGCCGGCATGGAAGCTTTCGAGAGCGACAACTGGAGAGGAACAAGTGGCTGGAGTTCCATTGGAGCGGACGGGCCAGAAGAGGTTGAAAACAGCGACCCACCCAGGGCAGGTTTCTTTCCTGACGATCGATTTTTGTCGAGCTCTGGAAGATAATAAAGGTCGGTCAGCATTTTTTCCGGCATGGAAACACTAAAGGATTGGATATTGTTCTCACCGTCGATGCGGGCCTCAATTGCGTCCTGAATCGGCAGCTCAAAAATCTGCCGTTGCCTCCACACTTCGATTACTCGGCGAAGCTTCTGCTGGACTTCATTGGTAGAGCCTTTGTATGCGGTTGCTGCTGCGTCTGCGATAATCTGGCTTGAGTTAGTAAAGTGAACGGCGAGAAGCAAATTACCCAGGACTTTGCTTTACCGGCGAGAATGCAATGAGAAAGTCTTCCTTTCGCCGCGCCTTGGATTGCTGAACGACCTCTGTAGCAAAACGATTAGCATACATGCCCTTAACTGTTGGACTTCACCAAGTGTAACCAACCATTGGCAAGATAAATGAGGTTGAGTCGTTTGTTTGCGCCGGAATCCTTCAGTCGTTGCAGCCAAAGCTGCGCAGTCTTCTCAGCGTGTCTCCTATAGCACACCAAGTCTCGCATTAGTCGTTGCTCCATAAATCTCCCCTGACCACAGCAGATGACGGTGATCATACCTGTGAAACAGCACCCATTGCGCGACAGTAACAATGCTCTCCTGCGTCTCGTTGAGAGCAGAGAGTTTTGCCTTTACAGATTCGTCGGTATACGCCATACTGATGGTCACTTCAATAAGTGGCAAGGTTATTTGCCACGGATAGTATGTGATACAGAGTGCCTGGATTGATTGATTGAAGATGAGAGCTTGCGAGCGTCGAATTTCGTGGGTTCGTGCTGGTGCGCCCTGATCCACTGATTGGCCAGTTTCAGTGTCACAAACACGCGAGCCTTTGGATATCCCCAGGATTGAGCTGCACTAGGAATAGAGCAAGCCTGGGCACAACCAGGCAACACAGCATTACAACGTATAATCGAAACGCATGTTCCCAGGAAATAGTGTGGAGCTCCGCAGAAGTATAGGATGTAATATCAAATGCAGTTTAAAGAGAGCTACAGAGAGATTCATGGCCCTGCGAGCCCGGGCCATTCATCATCACCTATTCCATGAGCTTTACCATTTGCAAACGAGCTACGGAGAGGTTTCTAAGTCGCTTGAATTCTCTATCCAAGCATACTATAGTTAACTGGAACATCATCAATGCTTCATTACTGAATTTAAGAAGGCAAAATATCCAGTGACTATGAAATCAAGCTCTCTATCTCTTACGGATCTTTATACTCTCTGAATGTGTTGGCTACGGCGCACGACAATCGCCTTTGGCGCATATAGGTTTCCTTCTCTCCGAATGAGGAAGGTACAGCTGAGTAATATTTGACTCAGCTAGCCTGGTCGCACCTTCCAGGATAGAGAGTTTGTTTATTTTGGACAGGGGTCTATGACATGGGATAGCAACCACATAATGGCGACAGCTTTGACCTGATATATCACAACTACGCGACGGAAGTTGTCACGCAAAACCCCTCCCGACACCTGCAAAACACCGCGATCTTCACCAAATTTTTTTCAGAGACCTGATTTCTCATATTCGTCTTTGGAGATAGTCCATATTGGAGGCTCGCTTTGGACTTTCTCGAAGGTATCGGCTCGCCTGGAGCTTGCTCGGAGCAGGAAGCCTCTGCATCGCCATCAAACGCGCAATGGAGTCAAACGAGAATTCGGTATGTCCTTTATTTGAAGAGGAATTCTATGTTTGAAAAAGGAATATTATGCTTCTTTGGATTAGACACACAAGGACTGACAATGCGAAATCATAGAGTACTTACACCTCACACCTCCGGCCTCCGAGCAAGATTCCCTCCACAGACAAGGGTCTCTTCGAGATCTCCAACAATGCTCGGACAGCAATACCTCCACCGGGAACAATGTCTCTCAAACATCGCCCGGCCTCAGCTTGTCTGTACCACTCTTCTCCTGCCGCACCTTTTGCCTGCCTATTGACAATAGACAGTACCTGAGCCGACTCCCAAGCGCAAAACATTGGCCCAAAGGGCCGGCGAAACAAAGTCGGGCCTCCCGGCTCCTCCAAGTTCACGCCCTGTTGGATCTGCAGTTCGAGCAGCCACGCTGGCTGGCGCCCGCAATATGTCCATGACCTCGTCCCGTGTGCCAGCCGCTGCATCTCGCGGAGCATCTGCAAGCTCATTTTCTAAAAGCATGGGCCCAGGCAGTCGGCCCGCATCTGTGGCGGGTAGCTCACGGCCTCAGACATCAATGAGACACGCGCGGGGCGTGCCATCAACCTCAGTACCGACCGCACGTCCAGCTACGTCATTAGAAAGTCGCTCCTCGGAGGACGAAGCAGCGGTCTCAGGGAAGCGGAAGGGTATGCTCCCCATGTTTATTCCAGCCAGTCAATTTCCCCCTCCATCACAAGCCCCTCAGTACATGCAGAGCGGTGAGATCCACGTTCATTCCAAATCGACTGGGTTGAGCTCAAATAGCGCGGAAGCACCAGCCATGGATATGGAAAGGTCGTTGAGGAGTCATATATTGTGCAGCAACATGGGATCACTGGCCCTAGACCACAAATTGACCTTGTCAAATACTCCTCTTCTGCCGAGTACACCATTGAAAGTTTCCCAAGCGCTTCAATCCCGCCCCTGTTCCCCTCTGACCTTTTCCCCTTCAAAGACAAGCAAACGCCGCACTTCACCAAAGAAGTTCGTACCCTTTTTGACTCGAGATTCTAACCTCAAAGCAGCTTGGGACACCAATGGCCGCCTCGAAGACATGGAACAATTGTACCATCAGCTCAAAGACCAGATGACAGGATCGTCCAAGGAAAGGAACGTCTTGGAAGAGACCGTGTCAATCTATAAGACTAGAGGTACATATAAGTAGTCTTATGAATATGTTGAAGAAGGGGCGTTGACAGAATTCTACAGTCACCGAATTGGAAGCTATCAAAACCCAGCTATCGACCCATAATATGTCATTACAGACTGATTTAGAGACTACAAAAATCAAGCTATCATCCACCACAAATACTCTCGACGAAGAGCGTAGGAGCAATGGAGCAAAATTAGACGATTTGCAACGTCAACACCGAAACGACATGGAGGACGCGCGACGACACGCCCAATTCGAAACAGAAAGACTAATCAGAGCCCACCAAGAGGAAATCGTCCAGTTGGAACGACGACTACAAAGCAACTTTGAAGATGAACGTCGAAAGCATTTGCGTGAGCTCGAAGAGGCCATTTTTAAGGGCGGGCAGGACAAACGCCAAACCGAGGAACAATTGGAAGCAAAGGATAATGAACTTCAAGGGCTAGAGACGGAACTCAAGCAAACTACCCGCGATTTGGAGAGGGAAAAGTTATTGACGGAGAAACTCCGAAATAATCTCGCAGAAACATCTGCCAGCTCTCTCGGGCTTGAATCATCAATGCGGTCTTTACGTGCGAAAATTGAATTTCTCGAATCCGACAGCAAGGCCCAGTCACAATGCTATGCTGATCTTGAGCAGAGGCTCCAAGATGCGCTCGCGGCAGCCACAGAAGCCAAAGAAAAGCTGCGCAAGGAGGAGACTCTAAGACGAAAGCTGCATAACCAGGTGCAGGAGCTGAAGGGAAATATTCGTGTCTTTTGCAGAGTGCGACCGCCAATCTCATCTGAGCCTGAAAACACCGTTGCACGATTAAACTTCCCTGACGGCGATGGAGAATCGCGCGAACTGGAAGTAAATGGTCCTGAAGAGAAGAACAGCCTGGGAAACGTCACCGTAAAGAAGAATGCATTTGCATTTGATCGCGTTTTTGCGCCTGGCTGCCAAAACGCCGACGTGTTTGAGGAAATCAGTCAACTGGTGCAGAGCGCCCTTGACGGATATAATGTTTGCATTTTCTGTTATGGCCAGACGGGATCAGGAAAGACCCATACCATGTCCTCTGATGACGGTATGATTCCTCGTGCTGTCCATCAGATTTACGACACGGCCAAGTCGCTGGAAGAGAAGGGATGGAGGTACACAATGGAAGGTTCTTTTGTGGAGGTTTACAACGAGACCATCAACGACCTTCTCGGAAAACCAGAGGAATTTGACAAGAAGAAGCACGAGATCAGACATGATCTCCAGAGGTGCAAGACTATCATCACTGATGTCAATACCGTCACCATGGACTCCCCGAACAAGGTGGAGTCCATACTGCAACGCGCGACAGCCAACCGATCCGTTGCCGCCACCAAAGCCAACAACCGCTCCTCGCGATCGCACTCCGTCTTCATTCTGAAGCTCATTGGAGAAAACTCGGTTACAGGGGAGAAGTCGGAGGGCACGCTCAATCTTGTCGACCTTGCCGGCAGTGAGCGTCTCAGTCATTCTGGCGCCACGGGCGAGCGCCTTCGAGAAACCCAGAATATCAACCGAAGCTTGAGCTGTCTGGGAGATGTCATTGGTGCATTGGGACAGGGCAAAGAGGGCGGCCATGTTCCGTATCGAAACAGCAAGGTATGCCAATTGTGCTCTCTTAGGAAGAACGAAAAAGGACAACCGAATGCTGATTGACCCCATTTTAGTTGACCTACCTTCTCCAATTCTCACTTGGAGGGAACTCAAAGACATTGATGTTTGTCATGATCAGCCCGCTTCAAGCACACTTGAGCGAGACCTTGACGAGCTTGAAATTTGCCACAAAGGTGCGTTGCCAGTTGCCCTTCCCTCCTTCCTTTCTTTGTGGCTTTGCACTCCACAATGCACAACCTTTCAGTATTCCCTTTTGCTTTCCCGCATTTTTTTTTTTTTAATCTCTGGCTAATTCCCTTTGACAGGTGCACAATACCCACATCGGCACGGCAAAACGGCAAGCCAAAGTCAAAGATTAATGCCCCATTACGATAAGATCCCTGCTCTCTCCGTCTCTCTCTTTCTTTTACAAACGGCGTTTTGAAATGCGCAATTCCCTCAAAGTAACTTCTTTTTGCCAAAGTTATCAAGTCGGTCCTTTTCAAATTTTCAGGTCGCCTTTTCATCTTGGGTTGAACCACAGGATCGCGGCGGTGTGAACAGTTTAGAATTAACTGTAATTCGTTATTTGAAATACAGAAGTCAATCTATTTCTCCTTTTAATTCTATTTCTTCATTCCACATTACTATCCCAATTCGATCGTCGCAATATATGTTTCTCCGCAACGTGTGCTCCCTTGAACCTCACAACGCGTAGACATGTAGTTCTTCAATTGGCATGCAGCATATTCACCTCGTCCCGGGATAAATTGCCCCGTCACAAATCTTATGCATTTAGTCGGACCAAGAACAAAGGGTACTTCGTTAAAAGAAAGAGAGAACGAATGGAGGTAGAGCTAAAAAAAAATAAGGGAAGAGGAAAAAAAAAAACATGCAACAGCAGGGATTCGCTGGTCGTCACCGACCCAACTACTAGTCTGCCGATCTGAGGCTTATGTATGGCAGAGCGGACGGGATGCCCAGTTCTCCTCAGTCTATGGTCGCATGTACTAGACTCTTTACATAATTGGGTTATATACTGGGCATACATATGATGAACAGAGATAGCACAATACTTCGTACAGAGGTCCGTTGTCTGGGGCTTTTGGACGCCAATCTATTGATATTTTCTCCTTCCCCCTTTTTTCTCGTAAACCCTCCAAGGGACTATACCGGCGGGCATCTAGAACATCGAGCACGTTAAGATAAAGGAAGCAGTGGCACTGGAGGCTTTGGGCGCAAGCAATGTCATCAATTAGGCCAGGGAAAAAAATTACTTTTGATTGATAAAATTCTGACTAGAGGCTAACATGATACAAGTAGATGCCTTTGATAGAAATTGTCCTCCGGATGATTACAAAGAAAAGCCCTTCCCGAACTGGTGGACGTAAAAGAGAGAAGGGGGGAAGAAGGGATAGCGGTTAAAAGGATAGGGTGGGAAAGGCAAGAGGCAGATTTTATATACAAGTACACACGAGTGACTCCAAAAAAGGGAAACAAAAAAATAATTGACACGAGGAAAACGTAGGCTGTGACGACCGCAAGAAGTACGTGCGAGACCAACAAGTCAAGGACGTCTAACATGGAACACTAATTAGTGCGCGGCCCAGACGCACGCACACACAGGGAGTGGCTATCTTTGGGCGATATGGGTTCAGATTTGAAATGGCGCTAGTGCACGTTTTAGGCCGATGCACTGAGAGCGGCTGGGAGAAAGAGGATGTATTCTTCGTGACGGAAACATGAAGGCCATGTGGTGAAGGTTTATGCGTAAGATGTACTGGAGAGCTTAGTTCGGGCCGTCGGTAATACATCCGTGGCTGGCGTCCTGAACGGCGCTGTATTGAGAAAGAGAAAGGTGTTAGTTTTTTCACTTGGAGAAGGCATACAATGGTTTATTTGCGACTGGGTGGGAAATTGAAGGATAGAAGATAACATACCGAGCATATTTGTACAAAGTGCCCTTGCTGTACTTGAGCGGGGGAGCAGTCCAGTCGGCGCGACGAGCCTCGAAATCCTTCTCGGAAACGGAAACATCAAGACGGCGGGTCTCAGCGTCAATGACAATCTCATCACCATCACGAACGAGAGCAATAGGGCCGCCCTCCTGTGCCTCAGGCACAATGTGACCAATCAAGAAACCGTGAGAGCCACCGCTGAAACGGCCGTCAGTAATCAGAGCGACGTCATTACCAAGACCGGCACCCATTATGGCGGAAGAGGGCTTCAGCATCTCTGTGGTTGAAAGATAAAAAAGTCAGTCCTGTAGCGGTGAAGCAAAATACTTTCATAACCTGAGATTCGCAAAAGGTCAAGAGCCCGAGACAACAAAAAAAACATACCAGGCATTCCAGGGCCACCCTTGGGGCCCTCGTAACGGATGACAACAACAGTCTTCTCGCCCTTCTTGATCTCGCCACGCTCGAGGGCGGCGATGAAGTCGTCCTCGGCGTCATAGACTTTAGCCTTGCCAACGAAGCGGGTACCCTCCTTGCCAGTAATCTTGCCAACGGAACCACCAGGGGCGAGACTGCCACGAAGAATCTGGATGTGACCGGTCTTTTTGATGGGATTGCTGAAAGGGCGAATGACGGTCTGGTCTGAGGGGAAATCACGAGCGTTTTCAACGTTCTCCTTAAGGGTCTTGCCAGTAACGGTAATGCCGCTGCCGTCAATGAGACCCTCCTTGAGGAGGAACTTGAGCAGAGCGGGAGTGCCACCGATAGGGTGGAGATCCGCCATGACGTGTTTACCCGAGGGCTTGAGGTCAGCAAGGAACGGCGTGCGGTCACTGACAGCTTGGAAATCGTCAATCGTCAGCTTAATGCCGACAGAGTCGGCGATAGCAATCAGGTGCAGGACTGCATTAGTCGAACCACCGGTGATGTTGACAACGACCATGGCGTTCTCGAATGCTTGCCGGGTGAGAATGTCGCGGGGACGGATGTCCTGGGCAAGGAGGTTCTTGATGGCGCCACCAGCTGCCAGGCACTCAAGCATCTTGCCCTTGGACTCGGCGGTGTTGGAAGAGGAGCCAGGAAGAGTCAATCCCATAGTCTCAATGGCGGAAGCCAGAGTGTTGGCAGTGTACATGCCACCGCAAGCACCGCTTCCAGGGCAGGCATGACGAATAATATCGAAACGCTCCTCCTCGTTGATCTCGCCAGTAATGAACTGACCATAGGCCTGGAATGCCGAGACAATATCAATCTCTGCATTACCCATTGTCGAGGCACAACCGGGCTTGATAGAGCCACCGTAGACCATGATACTGGGTCGATTGACACGGCCCATGGCCATGACCACACCAGGCATATTCTTATCACAACCGGGGATTGAAATGTTGGCGTCGTACCACTGTCCGCCCATAACGGTCTCAATTGAGTCGGCAATAAGGTCACGGCTCTGCAGGGAGTAGCGCATGCCCTTGGTTCCCATCGAGATGGCATCGCTAACGCCAATGGTGTTGAATTGGAGACCAACGAGACCGGCACGCTCGACACCTTCCTTGACTTTGTTGTTGAGGTCCATGAGATGCATGTTGCAAGGGTTGCCCGAGTACCACACAGACGATATGCCCACCTGAGCTTTGTTCATATCCTCGGGCTGCAAGCCCACGGCGTAAAGCATAGCCTGGGATGCGCCCTGTGACTTTGGCTGTGTGACATGAGCGCTGACTTTGTTGAGCTTCGGCTCATCGTTGGAACGGCGAATGGCGGAGGATGAGAGCAGACGCCTGTTGTCCATGCCTGTTAGCCTACCATTGCTCATATTTTGCACGGATTACTCTCTGAAGACTCACGCAGGTGCTGCGGCCTTGGAAAAGCTCCGCGCCGCTGGGGCTGCACGAGCTCTCAATTGTGGGAGAAGCATCTCCGGTCCGATGGTGACTCTTTAGATAGAGCGACCACTGTAGTAAAAACGAGAGCGGAGATGTCTCGGAGGTCAATGTCACCTCAAAAGCCTTTGTCGAATATCAGACAGAGCTCTGGGTGTACACCGGCTTCGAATTATAGGTGGGTAATCCAGGAAATGATCTGCTCTTGGCACCAAGTATGATTCACTCAGCATTGATTTTTGGATTTTGGGGATTATTGTGTGTTTTCGACGAATCAGCGTAGCCGCGTTCGGTCGGCGAAGCGGTGATTGGCCAACGGATTGTTGCTTCGGCCTTTCCGGTCGCCGACGTCGGATAGATCCAGATTAGTCAGTCTCGACGGAATAACTTCCATCGTGAATCACTCCTAGTTTAATGCATGCATAAATTCATGTAAGATGTTGCTGCGGTCTAGTATAATAGTTATGAATCTGCTATAAGTATACTGACCCGAAAAGAAATGTAAAAAAATTTCTGATTGAGTTCTAATTATATTTCCATAATAACGATGAAAAGACTAACAAGCGAAGATGTGTATATATGACATTAGATGTATCCGGTCGTCTCTCGACCTCTTCGATCCCGTATGGTAAATTCCCAAAGCGTCGAGATCATGGTATCAATCTCGACAAGATAGCAATAGAACGCCTTTTCCCCTGTACCGTGCAAGCAGACGTGCATTTGAGTCAAAATGGCCAGAGCACCTGTTACCGCGTAGAAGTTTCATTATGGTCGTCAACATCGTCATCTCGTACCTGCAACCCGTCTTTGACTTGTACACCGGCTCGGACCCATTCCATTTCTGCTATAGTATCAAGACTCAGCCGCGTCCTTGCTCGTCTTAACAAGCCCTCAACAGCAAGACGTGCTCCACTAAGATCAGAGCCTTTGGTGCTATCCCACTCTCCGTCGTGGTCCGCATATCGATACCACTGCCACTCAACACGGGCGACACGGTGGGCCGTGCGACTTCGAGAGTGCTGCCCCGGTCGAGCATCAAATGGCAGACGACCCTCCATAAGAGTGTAAAGGAGCACACCAAGCGCCCACGCATCAGATGCACGGCCATCATATGGTTGTCCCATCATCAGCTCAGGTGAGGCGTAATCTTCGCTTCCGCAACGCGTCTGCAGTAAAGGCGATTCAGGGGGCATGGGTATGCGCCTTGATAAACCCAGGTCAGTCAAAGTGACGACGGGCGCAGGAAATGTTTGCCAGTCCTTGCTCGGTTGCAACAAAGCAAGATCAATGTTCAAGAGCACGTCTATTTTTAGTTAGCAAGATTGCACCAATGTTTGAGAGCCTCAGGTTCAGGGGGTATGAAGGGGCAACAACGCACTTTCAAGTTTGATATCCCGGTGAACAATCCATTGAGAGTGCAGATATCGTACAGCTGCAACTAGCTCGGCAAAGATCCGGCGGATAAGAGGCGGGACAAGCAACTCTATTTTTTGAGCTGCAAGATCAAATAGATCACCTCCGGGACAGTAATTTAGAACTAATATAGCCCTTTCTGCAGTTACTCTGTATGCCAGAAGGTGAATCAACGAGGGATGATGAATTGATTTCAGTATCTCCAGCTCGCGCTGGAGTGACGTCTCGATCCTCGCCTCGTCAGCTCCACCAGCAGGGCCGTGACCTATAATTTTAACAGCCACCAGTTTTCGTGAGCCTATAATTGATATTTCCGAGGCTTTGTCGTCTTCACGGGAAAGGTTTTGGGTTGATCGGGCCTGGTCCATACGTATGGCAAGTATGACTTTGCTAAAAGTTCCTTGCCCTAAAGACTTCAGAGCTCGCCACTTCCTCTTATGACCGCCACGTACGGTTACCGCCTCGAAACGTTCTGCATCAACAGGCTCTTCCAATGATAGGCTTTCTGTTCCTGATCGGGTTTCTGAAGATGTGACTTCTCCATCGCTGCTACCGGCCCCGCTCTGACTACTGGCGGGGGGGGTTGGAGGTGCTTGAGCGACTCCCAGTCCACGCTGCGTTGCAAGATGTTCTTCACGTTGTAATGGCTTTTCTGTAGGAGATGCAATTTCAGGTGCAGAAGGACCAGCGCCTGGAGCCGCCATTGTGATGTTTCGAGGGCGAGGAGCTAGAGTAATATCCGGGACGTATTCGCTGATGCTTCGGTTTTTTCCATGTGTAGCAGAATCGGGCATCCCCGCCGCAACAGTGGCACTTCTAGCCTCTGCTACTGCTGGCTTTAACCCGGAATAATGCTTCCTCTTCTGTTGCGTCTTGGGTGGAGACGACAAGGGGCCGGGCGGTGCATTTTCCTGAGGTATAGAGGAAACAGAGCTCCCGGTTCCAGTCCTTGATATCATTCTCTTCCATGGCCCGGGAGATTCTCCGACTATCGGCGAAGGAAGAGGTGTCATTTCGGTCATTGCATTCAACAATGGAGAAGAGACTACTGAAGCTGGAGAAACCGGTTCGACGAATCCTCCCTGTGCAGCGAGAGCTAGAAGGCTCGGCGTGCGCGAAGGAAACTTTGTCGGGCTCAAATAGCCTTTGTTTTCAATCCTCAAATTATCAGAAATTGCCGTATTCTTTGTTGAACCTGCAATCGGCGCATGGAAATCGGTCTGAACTCGAAGGCCGGCGGTCGGAGGGCTATCAGAACGATAAGACGTAACGGAACCCCTGCTATATAAGTGCGCGGAGGTATCGAGCGGAGAGATTTTCTCCGCAGGCTCTCCATATCCTTGTGAAGGCTTCACTGTCTCTATCGCCGAGGGTTGGTGTGATGTCGCCGATGCCTCTGATTCACGGGCATTTGTGTGCAGCGCATCTTGCTGACCGGCCGCTTCAGCGCTTTTGAGCGCAGCGGGTGTAGGAGGAATGTTCTCAAAACGATCCATTGCTCGCAGGCATCACAATGCCCCGAGGACCGAGCGCATAGGTCCTTTGGACTTGACGTGTTGAATGGACTGCAAGCAGTTCAATGACTGTAGAACTCGAAGTGTGCCTGGGTTTCCCACATTGAGCAGGAAGCTTGGGCGATATGACGGATTAGTTCTGGCGTCTAGGAGTACTTACCCGGCAACGCCAATCATCAACCCCAATTGGTTAAGTCTAAACAATCAACGTGTCTAATTTGACTGCTCATTTGCTGTACCCCGCGCTAAAGCCGGAATAGGCATTCTGCAGCCCGTAATTAGCCACACTACTCTTAAAGAGGCTAAGGCAGACTGAAAGCAACGGCATCTTCCCGCGCCCTTCAGATGTCTGCCATCAAAGTCCAAAACTGTAAACTTCAACAGGGCAGCAAATATCAATAAATTCATTATGTTATCTGCGGTCTACTGAAATCTGCAGAACTTCCTAGTGCTCATCCAAGGTAGTCAATTTTGCTTCCTGGGTCTATTTATTGCTTTATTTTTATTTTTTTCACATTGGAGATTTATTTCTTCGTTTGTGATATAAATCTTGCAGATATCGATTTATAAGAGACAGTCGATAATTTACAGTATAGTCCATCTGAAAACCATCAACCTCCACCCTCCTTTCTGGGGCTTATTCATCTTTGGCACAAGGCAGAGCATGTATTATAATACCTCTTTGACTTAAAAATTAGGTAGACGTCATGTGCGCTTATTATGACTACTTCATGGTCTAAGATCTCAAAGCCTGTTGACTATAGCGTAAGGCGGGGGTCACATGGACGGGTTACATGGACGCTTGGAAAATATACGAGTCGTGTGATCATTGATTGTCTTGCGGTGGAGTCAAAAAGTATCTGAACTTCGTACACATGCAGGGACATACCATACTGGGAAGACTTGCCTTTTTAAATTACGAGCACAATCGTCGCGCGTTGATCCTAGATATGATGTAATGATAATCTTTTTTGCCTTCACTTTCCCATCTACTCGATCCTATGAAACTGCGCCATGACTTTTCCACCTTAGGTCGAATAAACCTTCTTTCTCAAGAGACGTGAATCCGTTGAACGCCTGCCCGAGGACTCGAGACAGTCCTGGGTCAAAGCTTTGACGCAGAAAGGTAAATGAAAAGTCTTGAATCATGGTAGAATGAGGTCTTATAATTCTCTGTACGCTTGAAATGACTCCCATGCCAAATGCCCCACACATTGGGACTCTAATATATTCCAGAAAGGTATAATAGAAAAATCAAGAAAGCAAAAAAAAAACAAGATGACTTTGGAATAAAGCCCGGCGAAGAAACCAAGCAAACCGCTTCTTCCCATTCATCGCAACAAATCAATTGGCCAATCCTTGTTTCTCTGCGGCGGCATCACTCTCAACTGGCGGGGTACCGTGCATCCCCACGACTTCCTCGGCCCGTGTATGCGTCAAGGGCCCGCTGAAGTGTTTACGTCCGGTAGTGATCCAGGTGATGAGGCTAATAACGCCAATGACACCAATGGCAGCTGACGTGTAGTTCATGTTATCCTTAGTGACAGGATTTTCAGTGGGGAAGTTGAATGTAATCGAGCAAAAGATGAGGAACAAGAAGGCGACAATGTTCAGAGGAAGTCCCCAACGTCCAAGTTGCCAAGAACCTCCAATATTCTGGTGGGTTCCAGTCAAGTGATTCAAGATTCGGACGAGAATCGGCATCGCGTAGGAGAGATCTATAATGAATCGATTATTAGCTGTGTCCGTGGAAAAGAGCCTGTCGCAAATAAAACATACAGAATCCTTCCGTTGAGATGGAGATGACGGTTTCGAAACCAGTCACGGTGCCAAAGTAGATAGCATCAAGAGCGACCTGGACAAGGGCCGCCAGGAGGAGGGCAAAAATTGGAACCTTCTTCTTGGAGTCGACCCTGGAGAAGAAACTGGAGAAAGGAAGTCCATTGTCGCGCGCAAATGCGTAGAGGGCACGAGAGCCTTCGGCGAGCAAAGAGTTGGACGCCACCAGCGCAATGACGCTGATCATTGAGGTTAAGAAGCATGTTCCAACCTTGGACCCAGTAGAGTCGTAGAAGATTTGAATCAAAGGTACACCAGTGGAGGTTTCTCCAGTCGATGCCAGATCCTTGATACAAAAACAAATGGCGATGAGGAATACGAAACCAGTAAAGCATCCAATCACCACAGAAAGGATAATGGCTCTCGGGGCCTGTTTGCGACCGTCACGCATCTCTTCGATCATATGCGATGGTGCATCGTAGCAGCACATGCCGAAAGCGCTCTGCAAGATACCGATCAGGGCAGCAAAAGCAGTCCCAAAGCCAGTAAAATTCTGCATGTCCTTGAATACAAAAGAAGGAGACTGCTTATTGTCGTTGCAGGCGAGCACAACGACAATCACGATAACGAAGGACGTAATGTTCCAGAACAAAATGCCTGTTGATAATTTATCGAGGATCTGGCGACCCCAGATATTGGTGACTATGCAAATTGCGACGATGCAATAAGCCACGAGCACAGTGTGCCATCTTTCAATGGTGTAACCGGGGTTGGCCAGGTTCGCTTGTCCAAGGATGAAGTTGGCCGCCACAAAGTTGTTGGTTGCACCCATGGCGAGAACGCCTTAAAGACATGAGTTAGCCTTGGATGATTTCCATTGAGCCAATTCTGGGAATAGCAAGACATACCTGTCACCATGAACCAACCAGTGATCCATGACAGACCGCGGGCAACCTTTGGGGGTGCAAGGACCGCGACCCATGAGTACTGCCCACCGGCAAGAGGATAGGCGGAGCACATCTCAGCCATGGAATAGGCAACGGCCAATGTGAAAAGACAGATTCCGATCCAACTCCAGATCATGACGGGAGGTCCTCCAGATTCGGCGCCGATAATAAGCGTCCCTCCGAGAGCAGTCCAGCTACAAGGTCCAATGTTAGTGCTCTAGTAATCTCCAAATTGCTTTGGTCCCGGCCTGAGGGGTATTTCGCACCTGGTGACGATACTAAAGCTGAAGCCAACCATGCCCAGCAAGCCGAAGGATCGTTTCAACTCTAAACAAGGTCGCAATGTATTAGCCACCTCAATTCGAAAAAATCCAAGCAATTGCAAGCCAAAATTTACCTTGCTGGTAACCGAGTTGTGCAACTGCATCATCTTCCAGCGTGGTCCTGTCAAAGACCTGGGTGTTCTCTGCGTTCTCAGTCATTTTTTGGCCGTGAATTGTTTGCCTGAGACACCAGTATTCTGCTGTTCAAAGCCAGATATCAGTCGTGAGAATCTTTCAAAAGTCGGTGGCACGCAAGGCCATTTTATTCTCCACACACCCCCGTCGACGAGCATGACGGCGGTTTGAATGAACATATGTAAGTCAATTAGTTACAGCGACAAGGGATGCTGAGGTAGGTCCCTTATCAGGGATAACCTTCCCTCAGTACGTAAAGCGAACAGGCAGTCAGGGACGACTTTCCTGGAAATTTCGCTTTCTGGAAACGCTAGTTCGCGTCGGTCGGGCGGGGGGTCACCTTCCGCCGCCGGCCACCATACTGAATGTGTCCTATATGATTTGGTCTCCGCGCTTTCATTCGCCATTGACAAAAGTCTCATCGGAGCTTTTTTACCAAGTTCGGTGGGGCCCGGGACGTGCCAGAAGCTGGCGTTCCCTTCCCCCCCTTCCCCAGTTGATAGGTGGGTTATAACCTCCCACAGATGCTCAACGTGAGGAATCTCTTCGCGTCTCCTAGTACCAGATATTATACTTTTCTTATCTTTAAGCTTCTTATCCCACGTGAGTGCGATCTGGCCAAGATTCTCCTTGTAAAACGGTCCTTGCTATCTATTCCCCTGCATCTGCGCTGAAGATGGCCGGAAAGGAAGCAATTCAACTTTTGAAAGTGTCACGCAGTTCCAGATTATACTTGGAGGACAATCATAATCATCTGATTGCGACATAAAAATTGCTAATGGTGAGCAGATTGGTAGCTCTTGTTCCCCCAGGGTATTCCCTGGATACATACGAAGCTACTATTCGGCTATGACTGTGGTTAATGATGGCTGCAAATATATCGGAGGAATTGTGCTTGTTTTATCCACTTTTCTGTGCCGCCGAGAATTTGCAGAGAGACTGACTCCAGTCATGCCAGACGTGCACTTCTTCTAATTAATTCCTCTTGTCTCTCTGTTGTGTCGCTAAGATTGTCCGCTGCGTTCTTAGCATGCTTAGCCAAGTTTCATGATATGTATGAAATATCCCTAGGTCACACTTATCGGTTATTTTGCAGGCATTATCTAAGTCGCGATTTTGCGTGCTGCCAGACAGCCGTTGGAAAGTTTGGCACTTTTAGGTGCCACGGCTTGTCCCGATGGTTGTCAAAGTGCATGATAAACAACTATCCCCGTGATATTTTCAAGCGGGTGAAGAGACTTCTTCAAATTTTATAGAAAAGTACGGACTTTGATTTCAAAAAATTTTTTGGCTCTTAAAACTGCGCCAGAGTCCACATCTTCAGCATATGTAAAAAGACATAGTCTAATCATTTGCGGTGAACATACTCCGTAAACCATAGTGGTTGTTAGCACTCGCTGGCCAGCCAAGCACTGCCTTGGCAACACCCGCTTACCCAAAAGGGAAGAGTCACAACCTCGACCGCGATCAGTGTGTTATGGTCGCCCTTCTACTCCCGTGACGACAATAATGATAACATCGACAACATCGACAACATCGACCACAACGACCACAACGACATCGATCACGGCGAGATGAAGGCGACCACCCGTGATTTAAGGTAAGGTTTTCAAGAGCAGCATATCGCGAGCGCATCGATGTATGGAGAAGTGCAGCATCAATAGAGGGTCAAATTCAATTACCAGTGTACCCAACCCTTCAGTCAATTTGACCTTCAACACTTCGGCATCGGCGTCCCTCTTAATTTCCAAGTTAGAAATCTATCTACTATCAATATTAGCGATCACAATTCTCCGAAATTGAACGCGATATATCCATTTTCCTTTTTATAAACAGCGACGATGACACTGGACAAAGAACCTCCTTCGTCGCCCGCACCAGCCTTTTCTTCTACCGACCAAGCTTTGTCGTACTATAAGTCGCAGTACGAACAACTAGAGGCAGAACTTTCTGAATTCCAAACATCCAGCCGGGAGTTGGAAGCTGAGCTTGAAAAGGATATAGAGGCGTCAGAGAAGAGGGAGCGACAGCTTCGCGAGAAGGTTGAAAGCCTTGGTTACGAAGCGGAGGAATGGAAAGTGAGTCTTCACCAAGACTCTTGAGTAATGCGCTTGTGTCTGACTTATATCTGTTCCAAGGCCAAATACAAACAATCCAAGTCAGAAGGAAATGCGGCGCAAAATGCACTGCAAAAAGAAATAACATCACTCAGAGATACCAATCGAACCATACAGTTACGGCTTAGAGATATTGAGGTTGCAAACGATGATTTCGAACGCCAGGCAAGGAATACGACATCCTCACTTGAAGATCTTGAGTCGAAGTACAACATGGCCATAGAAAGAGGGGTCTTGCTGGAAGAGGAAGTTAAGACCGGAGAGCAAGAGCGAGAGAGTCTGAGAATCGAGACGCAAAGACTTCGGGATGAGCTCTCTGATCTCAGAATTGAGGCCGAGATCACCCAAGAGAAGCTACGACACTCTGAGGCTGCTATAGAGCGACAGAGGCTCCAAAAGATACCCATTCTACCGGTTGCGCCACGCTCGCCAACTTCGGAAGCGTCGCCGAGGTCTAGCGCCTCACTCTCAATTGCTACGCCACCAGCAGGGGAGTCGTCATCTTCGACGGTATCAGGGACCCCTTCTCCACCCTCACCCGTTTCCGAAGCATCTGTGAACGTTGGGACACAATCTGGGAAGATTGACAAAAACGAGGGCTCGATCGGAGAACATGCCAAACCACGCTCGATGCATCCAGTTCCGGCGAAGGGACGCTCCTCAATTGGGCGCTTAGGGCCAACCTCAGGCTCTACCTATACGCCTTCTACAGCACGGCAATTAAGGTCAGCTCGGATGCATGATCTTGAGCCAGTAGGCCTGCCGCACTCTAGCTCACTCCATCAAATTCGAGGTCTTATCGGAAAAATGCAGAAGCTTGAACAGAGGGTACACTCTGTTCGATCCAAACTTCCGGCGCCCGCAAATACCCCTCCACGTGGATCCCCTCGCAGCAATTCCGCATTGGGACATAACTACGTACCATCCACTGTGACTGTACGAAGTAACAAGAAGCGCCTTGGCGGAAGCAACGCCAGCACTATCTCACCCCTGAGGGATTTCACTGAACCGAGCCCGCTCTCCACTCGGCGAGTGAGCCGGTTCTCTGCTACTGCAGGGTCTGCTGCAGCATCGGAGCCGGGGTCGATCAGTAGCCGGCCCAGCAGCCGGGCGAGCCTCTCCGCTCGCGGCTCCGTGAGCCAGCTCGGCCGCCCACCCAGCCGAACAAGCTTGACAGGCGCGAGGACACCTCTCGGCTACTACTCGCACGGGGCGATGAATGACGGCCGACGACCTCGATCTTCTGTCAGTGGCAGCTATGCAGGTTTCCATGGGCACGGGCATTCGATGAGCGTTAGCAGTATCGATGAAAGAGATGATCTGTCTACACCTACGCCTCGACGGTTGGTCGGAGTCAAGCCTGAGCCGGGATCAGGCATCCCCACGCCATCCGGGCTCCCTCGAAGACAGAGCGGAGGAGGGCCAGGGTATGGGGCAAGTGGTATTCCCATGACACCGGGGGCGCGGCGTGCAAGCTCTAGCTTAGGTCATCGGACCACCGATGTTCATTCGCAACATGGAACGAGGCTGAGCGGAGTGGGCGAGACCTATTAGAGGGCTCTCAGCTGCGCCTGAGCGGCCGGTGCTAGATATCACCGACCAGCTCTCCCAAAGCATAGATTATGCGAGGGGTCCCTATGTTATCTTCATCTTCTGAAACCTTTCATCTTCTAATGTTGTGGAAAATGTATAATACTATTCAGCCGCGTCTCATGGGATATGCTTCATACGATTTCCTCCCTTTACCACAGCATCATAATCTAGGACTCCTCACAATTTATGACTAAGCTACAATCTTTTATTGATGGCATATCTTGCGGAGCCTAACGTATGTATCAGATTTTGCATTTGTATACGATGGAAATGATGCATCCTTCCGCGGTGATGGCAGAGCCATGTTATGCTACACAGAACAGAGACAGGACGTCTCCTAAATCGCTTGACAAATTTGTTTCAGCTGACTACCGGACACCGGTAAGGTTGCCCGAGCTGTGTACTCCGTATTGCGAAGCTACTGCGAAATGACGTGCAGGCCGTACTACCTAAGGTCGCGTACCAGAGCGTTTTTGCAGCGTTGCCCAGCACCTCCGTACAGAGCTCACCTTAGGTGACTTATGATGAAATACTTCGAAAGAAGCGGTTGGACAACACGCAACATCCGTATTTCTCTGTTGGAGCACCAGCATCTTGAAATTGAATTCGGCGTTTCGCGTGTCGACCTAAAATTGGTGCAAATGGTACACAACAATGGAAAGGGAAGCGCGGGCCACACGCCCTTCCATCGCCCTTGGGTCCTTGCTGAATGGTAACAATGCTACGATGAAGGGAGGAGGAATGTTCCTTCCACGCGACAATGCTGCACTTCTGCAACAAAGGGAGAGAAGGAAGCGATCGCTGTTCCGCGGTCCTGAGCCCCATTTTATGTCGACCTCCGATAGAGCTTTGCTAGCCTCATTACTTCTTTAAGACGCAAAGTAGGAAATCAAGAGTCTCGGATGGAGGGGGAATGCTGTCGTGGGGACGTTCTCAAGGGTCCTTTTGGTCCTCCCAAGGACACGAGGTCCTGCAGATGTCCCACGATATCCACTCCCCAACCCTTAAGATGGCTTGGAAAGTACCCACGACCGCAGGACCGACAAACGTCGGCTTAGTAAGCAGCAGGGGCCGACAGAGGCTAAGGCCATTGGTTGGTGGTTTTTCTGGTTGAATTTTGACCTTGTGCGGTACAAAGGTACCTCCGTACTGCCGAAGAGTAACTCTACTAGCAATTCAATTTTTTTTGCTGGTGGAGCGGCCTTGTCGAGTCGCCCAGGTACGTACTCATGGTACTGATTTCCGTTCTCCGACGCTTTTCCCTGCCGAGCTTGTCGGGAGGTTTAAAGCGGCGCAGGGGGTCCAGGACCCCCAACGCATTCAATGCAAGACCTAAAGTCCGTCGATCTGGTATTAGCGAAATGCCGCCAGGGTCTGACTGCTTCAGTGGCAGTTCGCTATTACTCTAGGAAGGCGCGGGTGTCCGTCATCCGCCCCTACCGTGGTTCAAGCCCCGAGAGACTCAGGCACTCCGCATTTTTTCGCTACTTTTGCGCCCAACAACTTTTGCTTTGAGCGCGCGAACGTCAGCCATTGGGGTCCAACCCGCTCCCCAACTACAGCCTCACAGGCTCATTTCTGAATGAGCGATCGACGCTTTTTGCTCCATCGCCGCGAACCATTTGTTGCTTGCCGTCCCCAATCCTTCTTCTGACTCCGCTGCACGGCCAAAAGGAAGTGACACAATGCAGATAAACTGACCCTCGATTTGTCTCACGGGGATCCAAAGGGAGGAGGGGCGGCCGCCAACATGTCGATCCCCGAAGGGATTGTGCTTGGGGCTGAACCGATTCCCGAGAAGGATTCATTACGGAGGTCCAAGAGTGCAGAAAGGGCAGCGGCAGCGTAACGGGCTACCCACGGACAGCGAACGCCGGGCATTCCGGAAAGTGATCACAAGCAGGTCTCATCCTTTTTGTGACGGCTACAGCCTGCGCTATACTATAGCTCGATTAACCTACGGCTGTTTCTATTGCTACAGTGATACCTCTGTGAAAGTTGCGAGCGTGGATGCATTCGTGTTGATCCTCGTAAACCCCATCGTCAAATAGACTAGTCGTGATGTCGATTTTACCTTGTGCTCACGCTTGAGATATGTGATAATACCTTTTACTCTTTTTTTACGTTCTTGTAGATTTGTTTCAGCTGTGTAAAAACAAAAAATAAGGCTGATATAAGAATGGTAGATAAGCTGACAATAGAGCCTCGCTGGATTTTCAATATTACGCCCTGGTGTCCCTTCTCTCTCCCTGCTTTCAGTTCTATCCCACTATCTACTGCAGCTACGATGTGCTTGGACTCTTTTTGGTATTATCGCAGTCTATGATAATCCAGTTCCCATCATTTCCCGGGATAGCGTGGAAGTGATCTGGCCTCTTTCATCATCATCATCATCAACGTCAGTATACTATCTGGTCGTTTGTGGCGTTTGCGTTCCCATCAAATCGGGATTTGCGTGTCGGTCCCCTGTCCCCGACCGGACTTCCACGAGTAACATTTCTCGGGCGCCCCAAGCCTGGTTGGGTTTAGGCGGGTAGCTTCTATTCAACGCCAGCCAATTCGCTTCGCTCAACAGCTTGAGGGTGGAGAGCTTGGCCGCCCTGGCTTCACCACTCACCGTTCACCGAGAGGAAACCGATACTAATTGAGCTTCGTCCGACCTTTACCGTGTGCTTGCTCCTTGGCCCTTCAAGAATCTCTTTCACACCCTCATTTCCTCCCACATCCCTCCTCCCTCCTCACAATCCAAAATCCCTTCGAATGACCTTCAGATCCTCGCGGGTCTCCTCTTGACCATTCCTCCCTCATCCTCTTTTTCTGCCAACATCTGGACAGCTTCGCTACGGCTGTCATTGCCCGAAATTTTGCGAGGGCTCCGCTATCCGCAGCATCACCATCATCACCATCTAAATCGGTGATTTTTCTTTTTCTTTACCCTTCAGCCTCGGCCACGATTAATTAGCATTCGGCGTTTCGTTTGCGGCTTCTCTATTTCCTCTTAACCTTTTATTACCCTAATTTTTGTGCTCGTCTACGAGCAAATACTCCCCTCTCAACATGACTGAATCCGACGTTGTGCTCAACGGTGCCACCACAAACGGTGTCAAGGCTCGGGTGCAGAATGGAACTCCCAACTCATATGCCGCCAAGCACAACCTTCCCTCACATTTCATCGGCGGTAACCACCTGCAAGCAGCACCAGCCTCCTCCGTGAAAGATTTTGTCGCGGCTCACGGTGGACACACTGTGATTAGTTCGGTATGTGCTCTGAATGCGCGGAGCAAGATACCCGAGAATTCGAGACGCGTGCAGTTTTAGCTAATGAGCCTTGTGTGCAGATTCTCATTGCCAACAATGGTATTGCCGCTGTGAAAGAGATTAGATCGGTCCGGAAATGGGCCTATGAAACCTTTGGTGATGAGCGGGCCATCCAGTTCACGGCTATGGCCACGCCTGAAGATTTGCAAGCTAACGCGGATTACATTCGTATGGCTGATCACTACGTTGAAGTAAGCCATTTTCACTTTCCCAAAATCGTGACAGGGACGCCTCAAGTTCTAGTCATAGAGTAATGCTGACCCTAAATCACAGGTACCTGGCGGTACCAACAACAACAACTACGCAAACGTGGAGTTGATTGTTGACATCGCCGAGCGCATGGGCGTTCACGCTGTCTGGGCTGGATGGTAAGCTCCATCCACATATCTTCTCCACCATGGTTGTCTTCTAACACTTTTGAACTAGGGGTCACGCATCGGAGAACCCAACTTTGCCCGAATCCTTGGCAGCTTCCCCGAGAAAGATTATTTTCATCGGCCCTCCAGGTTCAGCTATGCGATCCCTCGGTGATAAGATTTCATCTACGATTGTCGCTCAACATGCCAACGTTCCCTGCATCCCTTGGTCTGGTGAGGGTGTGGATGAAGTCGTGGTTGACGAGCATGGTATCGTCACAGTTCAGGATGAGGTCTACGACAAGGGTTGCACGCATTCTCCTGAAGAGGGTCTGGAAAAGGCCCGCACGATTGGCTTCCCTGTTATGGTCAAGGCCTCTGAAGGTGGTGGTGGAAAGGGTATCCGAAAGGTCGAGAAGGAAGCAGACTTTATCCCGCTCTACAAGGCGGCCGCAAGTGAAGTTCCTGGCTCGCCCATCTTCATCATGAAGTTGGCTGGCAATGCCCGTCACTTGGAAGTCCAGCTTCTCGCTGATCAGTACGGCAACAACATTTCCCTCTTTGGCCGAGACTGTTCCGTGCAGCGACGACACCAGAAGATTATCGAAGAGGCCCCGGTTACCATCGCGAAGCCGGAAACTTTCAACGCCATGGAAAAGGCCGCCGTCCGGCTAGGAAAGTTGGTCGGTTACGTCTCCGCCGGAACGGTGGAATACCTCTACTCCCACGCCGACGACAAATTCTATTTCCTTGAGCTTAACCCTCGATTGCAGGTTGAGCACCCGACCACCGAAATGGTGACCGGCGTCAACCTTCCTGCCGCACAGCTCCAGATTGCCATGGGTATCCCTCTCCATCGCATCCGTGACATTCGATTGCTGTATGGTGCCGACCCCAACACTACAACCGAGATCGATTTCGACTTCTCGAATGAGGAGTCTCTGAAGACTCAGAGACGGCCCAAGCCCAAGGGCCATACTACGGCTTGCCGTATCACCTCTGAGGACCCTGGTGAAGGTTTCAAACCGTCCAGCGGTACCATGCACGAGTTGAACTTCCGAAGCAGTTCGAACGTCTGGGGTTACTTCTCGGTCGGAACCGCTGGTGGAATTCACAGCTTCTCTGACAGTCAGTTTGGACATATTTTTGCTTACGGCGAAAGTCGAGCAGCTTCCCGGAAGCACATGGTTGTCGCTCTGAAGGAATTGAGCATTCGCGGCGACTTCCGAACCACAGTCGAGTATCTCATCAAGCTCCTTGAGACGCCGGCGTTCGAGGAGAACAAGATCACCACTGGCTGGCTCGATGACCTCATCTCGAACAGACTGACTGCTGAGCGGCCCGATCCTAATCTCGCGGTTATCTGCGGTGCTGTTACCAAGGCGCATTCCGCCAGCGAGGCGTGCTTCAATGAGTATCGGCAGAGCCTCGAGAAGGGACAAGTCCCCTCCAAGGAACTGCTGAAGACTGTGTTTCCGGTCGAGTTCATTTATGAAGGGCACCGTTATAAGTTCATGGCCACTAGATCCAGCACGGATAGTTACAACCTGTTCATCAATGGATCCAAGTGCTCCACGGGTGTGCGGTCCCTTGCCGATGGTGGTCTGCTCGTGCTGCTCAACGGACGAAGCCACAACGTCTACTGGAAGGAAGAGGTTGGTGCCACCCGCGTGAGCGTTGACGGGAAAACTTGCCTTCTTGAGCAAGAGAACGACCCCACCCAGCTTCGAACACCCAGTCCGGGAAAGCTTGTCAAGTTCACAATCGAGAATGGTGAGCACGTCAAGGCTGGCCAGGCATTTGCTGAGGTCGAAGTCATGAAGATGTACATGCCGCTCATTGCTGCGGAGGATGGTGTGGTTGAGCTCATTAAGCAGCCTGGCGCTACTCTTCAGGCCGGTGACATTCTTGGAATTCTCACTCTCGATGACCCTACTAGAGTTAAGCACGCACAACCCTTCCTTGGTCATCTGCCCGACGTCGGACCTCCGCAGGTGGTTGGCAACAAGCCTCCTCAGCGGTTTGGTCTCCTCTTCGGCATTCTGCAAAACATTCTCTCTGGATACGACAACCAGGTCATCATGGCATCTACTCTGCAAGAGATAGTTGAGGTCCTTCGCAACCCAGATTTGCCATATGGCCAGTGGAACGCTCAGATATCTGCATTGCACTCCCGTATGCCGCAGAAATTGGATGCCACCCTCACTCAGATTGTCGACCGTGCCCGAACCCGGCAGTCGGAGTTCCCCTCGAGGGCCTTGCTGAAGGCTATCAACCGCTTTCTTGAAGAAAATGTCAGCCCAGGCGATGCCGATATTCTCAAGAGCGCCATAACCCCACTTCTTGATGTCATTGAGAGCTACAAGGAAGGCCTCAAGGTCCACGAGTATGAGACTTTTGTTGGATTGCTTGAGTCGTACTGTGACATGGAGCGACTGTTCTCTTCTCGCAACGCTCGTGACGAGGAGGTTGTCCTGAAGCTCCGTGAAGAGAACAAGGACAATATCGCCAAGGTCGTCCAGATTGTTCAATCCCACAGCAGAATTGGCGCGAAGAACAACCTCATCATCGCCATTCTTGACATTTATAGACCTAACAAGCCTGGCAACCATAACGTTTCCAAGTACTTCCGCCCCGTTCTGCGCAAGCTTACCGAGTTGGAGTCGCGTGCTACTGCCAAGGTGGCCTTGAAAGCGAGAGAAGTCCTCATTCAATGCGCTCTGCCTTCTCTTGAAGAAAGAACCACCCAGATGGAGCACATCCTCCGTTCTTCCGTTGTGGAGTCCAGATACGGCGAGACCGGCTGGGAGCATAGAGAGCCCAACCTCGATATTCTGCGGGAGGTCGTCGACTCCAAGTACACCGTCTTCGATGTTTTGCCTTTGTTCTTTGGTCACCCAGACCCGTGGGTTTCGCTCGCTGCTTTGGAAGTTTACATTCGTCGGGCTTACCGTGCCTACGACCTGAAGCTTCTTGATTACCACAATGAAGCTGAGCCTCCTTATATTGTCTCCTGGGACTTCTTGCTCCGCAAGGTTGGCCAGTCTGAGTATGGCATGCCAATCCAGTCCAACTATCCTTCGACTCCTTCGACCCCGACTCCGGATAGTCCGACTTCATTCAAGAGAATCAGCTCTATCAGCGACATGTCTTACCTAACTGGCAATAAGGATGACCAGCCTGTTCGCAAAGGTGTCATCGTCCCCGTTCCTTACATTGATGAGGCCGATGATTACCTTCAGAAGGCTCTTGAGATGTTCCCCATTGCCGGAACCAAGCAGCGGAATTTTTCAAACGGACTCTTGCCCGACCTCTCCGGCAAGCGCAGACCTGCTGCCCCCAAGCCCGAGAGCGATGACGAGCTTACTGGTGTCTTGAACGTTGCCGTTCGTGATGCTGAGACTTTTGATGATAATGAGATCTTGGCGAGAGTGACCCCTATTGTGAACGAATACAAGGAGGAGCTTCTTGCCAGGAGAGTCCGCAGAGTTACTTTCATCTGCGGCCACAAGGATGCATCCTACCCCGGCTACTTTACCTTCCGTGGCCCCGCCTACGAAGAAGACAAGAGTATTCGCCACATCGAGCCTGCACTGGCATTCCAGCTCGAATTAGGACGACTTTCCAAGTTTAACATTAAACCCGTCTTTACCGAGAACAGAAACATCCACGTGTACGAGGCCGTTGGCAAGGGTGTCGAGACCGACAAGCGCTACTTCACTCGTGCTGTCGTTCGAACTGGCCGGTTGCAGGATGACATTCCCACTGCGGAGTACCTCATCTCTGAGGCTGACCGGTTGATGACCGACATTTTGGACGCGCTGGAGATTATTGGTAATAACAACTCTGATCTGAACCATATTTTCATCAACTTCTCTCCAGTATTTGCCCTCGAGCCCAAAGAGGTTGAGGAGGCCCTTGCCGGCTTCCTTGAGAGATTCGGTCGTCGCGCTTGGAGACTGCGTGTTACAGGTGCCGAGATCCGCATTGTCTGCACGGAGCCCACTACCGGCATGCCATACCCCTTGCGTGTGCACATCACCAACAGCTCGGGCTTCATCATTGAAGTCGAGAGTTATGCCGAGAGGAAATCTGACAAGAGCGGCGAATGGATTTTCCAGAGCATTGGTGGAACTACCAAGATTGGTGCCATGCACCTTCGCCCTGTCTCGACGCCCTACCCTACAAAGGGTGCTTTGCAACCCAAGCGGTACAAGGCTCATTTGATGGGAACTCAGTACGTGTACGATTTCCCAGAGCTCTTCCGATTGGCGTACCAGCAGAGTTGGCAGAAGGCTGTCGCAAAACACCCCTTCCTTGACGACAAGCAGCCGCCCACTGGCGAGTGCATTGATTACAGCGAACTTGTGCTCGATGATAATGACAACCTCGCTGAGGTCAAACGCGAGCCTGGTACCAACACTCATGGTATGGTTGCTTGGCTAGTGACTGCTAAGACCCCTGAGTACCCGCGTGGTCGTCGCTTCATCATCATTGCCAACGACATCACTTTCAAGATTGGCTCCTTTGGTCCTACGGAAGATAGGTTCTTCCACAAGTGTACCGAACTCGCAAGGAAGCTAGGCATCCCGAGAATTTACCTCTCCGCCAACTCCGGTGCCCGCATTGGTATGGCAGAAGAGCTCATCCCGCACTTCTCCGTCGCCTGGAACGACCCCAACAAGCCCGAAGCTGGTTTCAAGTACCTCTATCTCACTCCTGAGGTGAAGAAGCGCTTCGAGGACGGCAAGCGACGAGATGTCATTACTGAGCCCATTACCGAGGATGGTGAGGAAAGACACAAGATTGTCACCGTCATTGGTGCTGAAGACGGGCTTGGTGTGGAGTGTCTCCGAGGTTCCGGTCTCATTGCCGGCGCCACTTCCAAGGCCTACGAAGACATCTTCACGATTACCTTGGTGACATGTCGCTCAGTCGGTATTGGTGCATACTTGGTGCGCCTTGGCCAGCGTGCAATCCAGATCGAAGGCCAGCCCATCATTCTCACTGGTGCGCCTGCCATCAATAAGTTGCTTGGACGTGAAGTGTACACTTCCAACCTTCAGCTTGGAGGCACTCAGATCATGTACAAGAATGGCGTTTCTCACATGACTGCCAACGACGACTTCGAGGGTGTCTCGCAGATCGTCTCTTGGATGTCGTTCGTTCCTGACAAGAAGGGCAATCCCGTCCCCATTTCGCCTTCTGCCGACCCTTGGGACCGTGAAATCACCTATTATCCTCCCCAGAAGCAGCCCTACGATGTGAGATGGCTCATTGCTGGCAAGGACGATGAAGAGGGTTTCCTCTCTGGTCTCTTTGACAAGGATTCTTTCACTGAGACTCTTGGTGGTTGGGCAAGGACTGTTGTCGTTGGTCGTGCTCGTCTTGGTGGTATCCCCATAGGTGTCATTGGTGTCGAGACCAGATCTGTCGAGAACGTAACCCCTGCCGACCCGGCCAATCCTGACTCTATGGAGCAGATCACCAACGAGGCTGGTGGTGTGTGGTACCCCAACTCGGCTTTCAAGACCGCTCAAGCCATTCGGGACTTCAACAATGGTGAGCAGCTGCCGCTCATGATCTTGGCCAACTGGAGAGGTTTCTCTGGTGGACAGCGTGACATGTACAACGAAGTGCTCAAATATGGATCATACATCGTTGATGCTCTTGTCAAGTATGAGCAGCCTATCTTTGTCTACATTCCGCCTTTCGGTGAGCTCCGTGGTGGCTCTTGGGTACGTACTCCTTACAATCTCGACCTCAAACCGAGTATATCGAATGCTAACAGAAAAAATAGGTCGTCGTGGATCCCACCATCAACAATGACTTTATGGAGATGTATGCTGATGAGGACGCTCGCGCTGGTGTGCTTGAGCCTGAGGGTATTGTGAACATCAAGTACCGTCGTGACAAGCAGCTCGACACCATGGCCCGCCTTGACCCCACCTACGCTCAACTCAAGAAGTCTCTGACCGACCCGAACATTACGCACGACCAGCAGTCCGAAATCAAGGTTAAGATGACTGAGCGCGAGCAACATCTTTTGCCCATCTACACGCAAATCTCGCTGCAGTTCGCTGACCTTCACGACCGTGCCGGCCGTATGCAAGCCAAGGGAACCATTCGCCTGCCGCTCCGCTGGTCTGAGGCTCGTCGCTTCTTCTACTGGCGTCTCCGGAGAAGATTGAATGAGGAGCAGATCCTCAAGAAACTGGCCAGCTCGTCTATCCGCGGCCCGACCAGCCGTGAGCACAACCTCAACACTCTGCGTGCCTGGTCCGCTATCGAGGACTTTGCGCACAACGACCGCGAGGTTGCGCAGTGGTACGAGGAGAACCGCAAGGAGGTTAATGCCAAGATTGACCTTCTCAAGACGGAGGGTGTCGCATACGACGTGGCCGCTCTCTTGCGCAGCAACAAGGAAGGCGGCCTCAAGGGTGTTGCTCAAGTCCTCTCCATGCTGCCCATCGAGGAGAAGGAGAAGGTCTTGCAGTACCTTACCTCCCAGTAAAGGGAGCGTGTGCTATTGATACCAAATTTATTGACATTTTCTTTTCTCTTGGCGAGTATATGATGACTGAGGACACAATGATGGAGATGGACACTTAGGACGATCAAAGAGGGGGTCGTTCAAGTTTGACCGTGGCACACAACCGTTGGGAAAAGATCTTTGAGGGAGGATCGATTTCTATCTTGTTGCGCCTTTATGGATAACTTTTGTCATCTCTATCTACCATATCTTCTTTCCATTCTACCTTTGTACAGAACCTCGCATCATGCACTTTTTCACTTCTCATTTTCTTTTTCTTTTTTATCTTTGCGACTAGATCTTCGAATCTTTGTTTTCATGTGGCCATCTGCTTTTGAATGCTTTGATCGTCTTCCAAACCATCTTTCTTTTTTTTCTTTTAACGAAGACTTTTTAGATATTCTAATTACTACTAAATTACTTCAAACTCACCTCCCCAGTGTGGATGATGACTCTATGTATCTGATGCGTGAAGCGAGATTAATATTATGCCTTGCGAATCTAGGCTTGACTTTAAAATGATTCCTTGTCGTGTCGTCCCTTGATTAACCACGTCATGGCCTTGTCATTTCCATCGAAGTGCATAGAGCATCATTTTTTGGAGAAAAGCACCTGCTGAATTGTACATGGGAGAAGTTCACTCAGGACGTCCGAAAATACAGGGCAGTCTATAAATACCATTATGTGAGACTTGGTAGTCCGGAGCATATCAAAGAATGAAAAGAAAAGAGAAATAAACAAAAATAAGAGTCCCTTTCTGCAATATGCAATCAAACGCCCGCAGGAGAGGAGGGGGAAGATGGGTTGCCCGTCGCGTGGTGTGGCTGCTGCTGCTGCTGCTGCGAACAACCCCCCCAAAGCAACGCCGCGACGTCGGGGCGGCCCGTACGCTTTGTACCCAACTGCAACAAAAGAGCAACGAGCAAACTAGCATCTCACATCTCGTAGGCAGCTTGTTCAAGGAGTAATATTATTATTGACGGGCAGGCGGGCCGCGTGATTAACCTGCTAACTACCTGCTAACTACCTGCTACCTGCGGCCCCGCGTGATTGTTTGAAAGGGTCTATAGGGTCTATAGGGTCTAAAGGGACCAAAAGAGACTAAGGGAACAAGAAGAGAAGGGGAAGGGAAAAAAAAGGTTAGGTTACGGGGTAAGCCGGTAATGGCATGCATGCATGTATGTCTCAGATTTCCATCGGAGACCCCGAAGAAAGACGCGAGGAATAACTGACAAACCAACAAACCAACCCACATTTGAAATGTCAAAAGTCAGAGGAGCGTCTGCTATGCATGCGAATGCGAGGGGAACCTTGGGCCGTTTAAGAGTGATAAATATGGAGGGAAAAGTGAAAGAGAATAAGAATAAGAAGCGGAGAGAAATCATCACTTCGCCTTGCGATGACAGTATTATGACAACGGTACGAACGACGGTACGGGTCTGACACTTATACGATGGGCACCAGAAGGGTTGCGCAGGCATAGCTATGTCGAGGCGCCTGTGTGTGTATGTGCGTTGTTACCTGACTGGAATTTATTTGCTGTTGCCGCCGCGGCTGATGTGTAAAAAAAACTGGTTATGATATTTTCCTCCTAGAATCGCGAATTAGTTGGCTATGCCAGAATCAAGTTATTGAGAAGGAAATAAATCCAATGGATTATGCATTCTGCAAAAGAACAGATAGACGAGATCAAACGCCCCATCGGAGACGCCGAGATTAGGGTATGGTAAAATAAAATCGAGCATCCGCAAAGGGAATCAAGGGGCGAGACAAGACAACCCAGATTGTCCGAGTGCAAAGTTTTATCAGGAGGACGAAGCAGGGGAAGGTGATTAAAAGAAGAGTACGGCGAAGAAGCAGGAGGGACGATCAAAGGTAGTGAAATTTGGCGCGGAAAGGGTAATGACCTCAATACTTTGATACCTTTGAGACATGAATGATCTCTATAGTTGTAGTAGACGAGAGAAAACATGAGGAAGTGGAAGTGTCAACCAAATGGATCATACATGCCGTCGTGCGTTTTGCACCCAATTAAGTCCAGGTCTGAAAAGCAGATTGCAGCTCCAATGTCGCAGACAGTATTGTCCGCTATATTTTTTTCCTCTCTCAAAACCGGGACATCCTACCCTCCAAAATATCGCCGTATAATCTAGCTTCACTCGTGGGGACTTCCGCTTATGGTCATTTCGAGAGCAAGCAAAGGAATTGGTATCGAACTCGGGCCTAGAAGGAAGAATATACACTGGATTCGGAGTGTCAGCCATCAAGGATACACAATAACAATAAAAGAAGTCCAAAACCGAAAAACCAAACTGTAGCGCTTTGGGCAACAGTTCGCATCTCTCCACCCGCCAGCCAAACACATGTGCAGTGCAGACGCAGGGGCAGCTTGAAGCATAGCGTAGCGTTGTGCAATGCAGTGTTTCGTAGACACAATGGCCCACAAGCAGAATCAAGACACAAGAAACGCCTCTGATGAGTATCATTTCCGGGTAAAGGAAAGGAAAGAACCAGATTCGCACAATGGGTCCTGCAGTGTTGAAACCCGGAAGGGAAAATCCTGCTGTTGGCGTCTAGGTGCACCTTGATGTGTCACAAAGTGACGACGGGATATCGTCACTTGTTAGACAGCACAGACGACCTCATTTGGAAGTCAAAGGGAAGTCTAAGGGACTGAGTAGAATACGAAATGAGATATGCTCTGACTGAACCACATTTCAAGACGGCAGCTGTCAAGACACGGGCCGTCATGGAGAGTTGAGGAATGGATGAGAATAAGGGTATCTGAACTGCCCCGCTTTTCCGCTTCTGCTTCCAAGCATTGCTTTAGCACACAACAGATGTCGGGTTTAGCTGTTCGATGCAGAGTGTCTCATGAGAGATTTGCTCTCCTCAGCCTCTCGAACGCTGCTCTTTGTTGAACAGAAATTCTGAATATCGAGGCAGGGTCTAAGATGGGAACAGGAACGCTTTACCATGGTAATTCCTAGTCTCTGCACTGTGTAAAACGGAATCTCTGACAGCTCCCGCTTGATCTGCTCGTAACAATTCATTTGGGCAATTCCATTTGTCCGAAGCGGTCAAATAACCTCGGATAGAATCGGAAGGGAAATTTGGATCGGAATTAAAATTCCTCGCCGAGTTATGTAGCGAAAATGCACGGGAGATGCACAGAGCCATATTGTTGCTGTTACACCTCCAGCCGTCATCGGCTGATAGTCTTTTGTTGGGCCTTGGCCTGCACATGCTAAGGATTCTCCTGCATGGAAGGGACCAATCTGAATAAGATCAGTAGAATGTAGAGCTGTGTAAAGGCTCTCCGCACCGCCAACGCCCACGATTATGTGGACAACGAGCATACCTATGTCCAGGTGACAATTTCTTGGTTCGGCACACTCAAGGGGATCATGGACGGTGACAATTCTGCGGGTTGTTCCTGCGGCATGACAGTACCATATATTACCAACAAACCAGCCTCGGCCTATTGATGTAACGGTGAAAATGTCATGTCTTGTCTCTCGGGAAAATCCAGAGAGCGAAGAGTTTATGTCCAGCGAGCATAGGCAAGTAGCCAGGGCGGAATCTTTTGGAAAACCATTGCTTGCCCGTGCGAGCTCTTTCTTCTGACGCGTTACACCAATGAAACCAATCTACTAGCAAAGGGGACCGACGTAGCAAAGGAAAAAAAAAACGCCATGTTGATTGTTTCTCCTGGAGAGAGAAAGGTTGTTAGTGTGCAACGGGCAAGTGGAAGCATCTCCGTAAACGGAGGGACATTCATGAGTAATGGAAATTAGGACAGTTGCTGAAGAAGTGAGAGATCTCGGTAAGCAGGATTAAGAAAGTCGTCTGCGAACAGTCCGATAGTGACCATCGTCCATGATGACCAATCCGCGTGATCGAATCGTTCGGCATCAACAAGGACAGGCCTGAGAGAATGGTAAAACCGTACGTTTTGGAAATTCTAGACAACACAGCGGCCGAGAGCGGACGGGGCTGGATGTTGCCACAGGTTGAGTCGTACTGTCTTTTTGGAAAGATGGCAATGGGAAGCCTCAATAGCTTAGCTAGGTTTGCAACCCAATTGCCTGTGCCGCTGAACTGATTGCATCGGGAACTAATTGGAGATCGGGGCCGGTGGAGCTCCGAGCATCTGCCGACACTTAGTTTCGTCCACTGTTCTGCAAGGTTCTTTGCTTTGCTTTGCTTTCCTTTTCATTTTGTTGGATTTTCCTGCCTCGCGAATACTTCGGAGCTTGAACTAAAGGCTGCACTTATCAGAGACGTGTTTACTTTCCCGTGCGACGGAGATTACGCATCCTAACAGTGCGGTGGCTTGCCAGGCGTCTACTAAACCGGGGGATGTCATCCAGAGGAGTGTTGGTTGCCTTGTGTTAGGTTTTCTCTACGCAGACCGGCCGGCCCACGCCTTCTCCAACCAGATCCTCTAAACCCGGGAGGCTCATGCCTTAGTCCGCCTTGTTTCTAGAGATCCAAGACCTCGAGAGGCACACTCCCCGTAAACTGAAGAATCCTGTCAACGTGGTCTAACCACGTGACATATTTTAGAACTTTTGGACAAGGTCGACCGGGTTTTTGAGGATGAAACCAGAGCGTTTGGTAGCATTGATAGGACGGGCAAATCCAAAGCTGAAGAATCCAGGGTTCTCCTACTGTATCGTGATCCCTTTCAGGACGATCCTACGGAGGATCCTTCATGCGACAAGCGGCCCTTGCAGAGTGTCTGCTGTGACCCGATAAATTAGGATCGTGACATGCGCCTTCGTGCATCCTGGTGACGCTCACTCCCCGTTTTTCAAGTAGCCTCTGTCGCAAGGTACCACAATCTGCCCCACGAAATAGTCATCGGACTGCCTGAAGAATCTGAACAGTGGGCCTCTGCAGACACAGGAAAGAGAGAACAGGGATAGCCATCCTCTTGTTGTTGTGGTGTTACGAGTCCTCCGGACAAGCGTTGGGCCGTCTCGGGTTCGGATAGGTCGCTTTTCCAGACCGAGCCTTGTTCTACAACACCAAGCAAGAAAATCCATTCTGGGCAATATTGCCGTCATTGCCGTCAAGTCTGCTTTAAGCTCAGGCCTAATCATGATGACAATCCACTGCTGATATTAAAAAAAAAATTGAAGCCATTGAATGAAAAACGATCAAGAGGTGGTATTGCGGAGTGGAGAGAGTCCACACGCGTGTATAGTAATCGTCCCAAGAATAGCCCGCGGTTATTGACAGCGTACTATGATCGGATCGAGCAGAATCGGTCCGCACGATCCACTTCAGGTGGAGAAGCGCAAAGCACCCCGGGAGTTCTATGGCGCGTTCACGATTGACAGCTTTTCATTTGCGTCGCTCGTGGCCCCAAAGTCCGACAGAATTTTCGCCGCTACGAGACCATTAATCGCTAGGCGGGGGCGTCCTGCTAGCGTTATTCATGTAAAGAGGTCGAATCATTATTTAGCTCCCCAAAGCAGTTTTATCTGTACCAGTGTCACGTCCCGGGCCGAATGGCTCTGCTCGTCATAAGGGTGAGACATGCAGCGGTTGTGTCAAAACTGTCAAGAGCTGGCTGGGATGAGGAATCAAAGAGGCGACGGCCCCTGCCGAGCCGAAGAGGAAAGATAGAGCTCTGAAAATGCACCAGGATTTGCTGAATCACAATTCTCTTCTTGGCTCCATCTTTTATTGGATGAATCTCAAGTGGTTAGACGTCTACAGCGGGATCCCAGAATAGAAAAAAAGAAAGCAGAAAATAAGAGAATTCTCTGGATAAGTCCGATAAGTTGCGGTAAAGTTCTATTGACCAGGGGCGGGCGCTGAACAGCAGATACGAGAAACTGGAAGAGATTGGTTATGGACATGGCATTTCATTGCGTAATTGGGATATGGACGTGTCGTGAGCGGCTACCCGTTCTGCAGTCACTGCCGATCGCCTCGGGTCACAAGAAATAGCGGGCCGGCAGTTATGGACGAGCCTGTGTCACTGATGGCGATATAGGAACCCATGGTCCGTCCGCCAGAATGCCTCTTCAAGCTCAACGAACAATGAGGAGGAAACGTAACAATTGTTTGCTTTTCTTTTCATATTTTTGGAATAGAAAATATTTATATTTATAATAAGACAAGTAAAAGGACGTGGAAGCTTACCGTTATTAACCAAGATTGTCTCGTGATAACCCCCGCTTGTTTTTTGTTCATTTAACTTTTGCTTTGATTTACTTGGCATTAGATTTTTGTTGCTCTTGAGTAAGATAGTAATGAGAGAAGAGAAGATTAAAAGCCCAATCGACTTCTAAACTTGCTTTACGCATTCGAAGATCTGTTCGTGTTAGCCTGGTCACGTAATTAGTAGATTGAGACGAGACGAGACGAGACAAGAATCGAAGTCTCTCTGTTCCAGAGTAGTTCTTTCTTACTTTCAGTGAGAATTCGATATGGGCTGGCGAATTTCTTCTTCCTAATAGGTGAAAAGGCCGTGGATAGCAGGGCTAGTGTCAATGTTCCACCACTACCGCGCAAGACCTTCAACCCCATGAAGCCGGCTGCGGTCACCACCGGCCACGAACTATGAATCTCATTTAACACATAGGCAGGATTAGGGAACAATCGAAAACTCGGTCTGCTGCAGATACCGAGTACACAGGTGGTCTAGGGAAGACCGAGTTCCTCTTTCCCTAACCCATCATACATTGACAAATGCAAGCTGTACCCCAAAAAGGTCACCATGAGAGAAAGTGGATGGGAGAGGTTGTCGTACAGATCTAGAACCGGAAACAAAGCGGACTGACAGTGAGAAGAAGAGCAGCAGTTTCAATCCGGTTGTATGTGCAGGACTGTCTTCATCTTCTGTAACTTCTCGGGCAGACCTGCTTTCGCGTCCTTAAGCCCGGCTAGCCTTTCTATTTCCGGCAGAAAGGACGATGGAATTGATAGACTCGCAAAAGGGTTTGCAATTCAACAAAAATCAAATGGCACAAGGGAAGACGTCTCTCTCTTCAAAGTTGCGTTAGTGGAGCTGCAGCTTTCTTCCGTTGCATGGCATTCCCCTGTCCTTGATGTTAGAGAGAAATTGAAAAGGCACAACTTTCAATCGTCTGACTGTACCCAAAACGAGCGTAGCAGTACGGAGTACTCGGAGCGACACAGGGCTGTGTGTGGCGAGCTGGCAGCTGCCGAAAGTACCGTAGACCGGTGGGGCGAGTACTTTTGGACCGTGCAGCTAAGGAGTCGATGGCGCGAAACCTTGTCCCACTGCGGGTTCGGCTGCTTTCGACCCTACAGCCCGCCGATCCCGCAACCAGGCAGCTCCCAAAGCGTTCAACGCACCTGCCGTACCTACTACTGTACCTACCTAGACTGAGAGAAATCCCTTTTGTTTAAGCTACGTAGAAGCCGTAGCCCGTACCTTACTTTGGTTAACACCCGCTTTTTATTCTGCTCGTGAGTCGACAAGAGCCCAGAAAGGGGCATGCAAGCAGGGGGACCTGCGGCAGCTGCCTGTCAATTGCCAGTGGAACATGGAGCTCAAGCAAAGTCGTCACACGCACACACACAGACACGTCTTCGAGTGTGTCTGTCTTCTCAGGATCCATCGATGAATTCCTCACCCGCGTGGCAGATATTGCCATGGCTTAAAGATAGCAAAACCAGGGTACAAAATCAATTGAAAGTATGATGTTCGAGGAGATGACCACCCTACAGAATGCTCTTTCACATTCCTCTTGTTGTGGTGGTTCTGATACCATGAAATCTCTCTGGCTCCATCGACCTCACATTCAGTTGCGATTACAGCCGTTAGAATACTGTAGAAAAAGCCGCGTGTAGGGCGTACTTGGCACTTCCATGGTCGTAGGTATCTGCCACCATTTGAAATGCGTTCAATGCCAATGGCATCGTCCTTGCCGAGTGTACGCAGAGAGGAAGAATGCCTGATGCTGATTTCGTACCCTGCAATTTCTCGAAAAGTCTTAGGCCATGTAGGGGAGCGCTGATTTGGAAATCGGTCTAAAGTTAGCAGTAATAGGAAATCGGTATAGAGGGGCGAGGGTTGTAATGCAGAAACATCCAGAGGTACCATCTAACGCTTAACTACCCAGGTACCTAAGGTAGGTAAGGTTGAAAGAGAACGAGCGGCACAAGGGAAGGCAATCGGGGTAAGTTGGATAGAGGAAAGACCAATTTCACTGCGAAGGATGCCAAGGTGGGTGCGACATAAGGTAGGTAGGTAGTTACTGTAAATTGATTTCTTCATGGGCTGGCTGTGATTGGAAACAATTCGGACTCAGCAAGCTCGATTACGAGCACTGGCTGCCACCACTACTTCCAACCACGGTGATGACTTTTCCATGCGGAAACTTTCTTCCCCCAAGTCGCCGCACTCGATGACCCAAGACTATTAGTCGTTTCTTCTCTATCCCACGCCGACACGCTTACTTGCACTCCACTACTACACTAACGAAAAACTGCCTGCTTCTAACTAAATCCTTCACTATTCCTCTCTCTCGCCCTACCACGCAACTGTGTTATGGTACCCTTTTTCCCTCCTTCGATCCCCTTTCCTCTCTTTCCCACCCCCCCTCGCCCCACAGCCACAGGCAACGCCCTAATTCGATCCTCTCAATCGACCTAACTAATGCTGCGTCCGTCATCCGATCCCCGATGACGCTTCCATGGTCCTGGACCTCCCCAACTGTCCAAGGGAAGTCTAGATAAGTCTCTCATCCTAGACGGCTCTATCCCTCTCTCCGAATAGCTGAGGATTCCCTTCTCGGCATCGGGCATCTCTTAACACCCCTCCCGCCAGAGCGCAAACACCCCCCCGTCCTTGCCTTTTCGAGGGTCTTGCTTTAGACCCCTCCGACATGAAGCTTTAGGCTCTTTTCTGACTTGGACTCATGCGTCTTTTGAACCCCCCCCCCTCCCCTTTTGCGTGGCCGCACTGGTGGAGCGCCGTGTCTGAGATGGTGTTGGCGGCGCCAGCCGGCTGATTGGCAGCCTCAGCCTAACGGCCACGAACGTACCTTAAGGTCGATCATCTTCTGGCAGGCCCCGGACCTTAAAACTTGTCTCGATCGCCCACCTCGTGAAGAGAAGAAGACTTGAACCTTTGAAGTTTACGTCTTTCTTACCATCCACCGCCTTCGACATCTCTCTCCTCCCACCAGCGAGCACGCCGCGCGCAATAGACCCTCTCCGTAGGGTTGCTTCCTCACCTCTCCGCGCAGTCTATGCCCGCTCCGGAGCCTGCTGCCACTTGCCCCGGCGTCCTTGACGCCTTCATTGGGCCTGGCTTGTCACCAGTCTGTGGTTTGTCAGATTTGTTGTGAAGAATCTTCGATTCCATTTGACCCAATTGGTAAGTAAGCGGGCCGTTGCATGTGCTTTTCCCCTTGGTGCTGCATCCTCGACTTGGCCGGTGTCCCCAAGGCGTCCTCTCGACTGGGTAGATGCGGTTCCCTGCTTGAACCCGTTCCCATTTTGTTGGTCGCGAAGCTACCCATCTTCCCTGAATGCGTTCAATACATTGCTTCACCGTCCTTTGTCACTTCTCTTCATCGAAACTACTACCCTTTTGGCCCGTTTAAATTCACACTCTGGCGGTGGAGAAATTCAGTCTGGGCCCGCCGCATGGTGCACGCACTTGCTGCTCTCGCTCCATCCTCGCCCACTTCAAAACTGCAAAGACCCCAACGGGCTTCGCTCCTTCTCTTGTCGGTGCTCACTGACCCGTTTATCGTCGAGACGAGGAGACGAAGTAGCCGTTTGAGGGTGGTTTTATGATTGGTGCCTCCCTCTCAGAGCAAGCCTAAATCTCTCCTTCACCTTAACGCAGCTGGGAAGTGCTGGAAGCCGAGACGAGGCGTTGACGGACGCCCAGACCAATCCTTCATCTGCCTGGGCAGCTCCCAACCTTATCCTAGTGTTCGATTACTCTTCTCTTCGAGTGCCCCATTCTTCAATATCGTTGCAAGAGCCATCGCTTGCGTCTCTCGTGTCTAACCTGCCGGCTGTGTTTACAAGATTTGGATGCCAGTGCTAATAGACGTCGAAGCATCCAGACTTCTTTATCAGTCCCTGCTCTGCCAAGCTCTTTTTCTGAGTATAAGGAACGAGCAATTCCAATTCAGAGAATGCAGCACACGCCCCCGGAAGACGAGGAACTAGAAAAAATGGCCATCTCTGGGACTATGAAGCCGCATATTCCCAAGGACCATGTCCTACCCCCAATCGGAGAGGTATGTTCGATCAATCATATCCAATGTTTTGCTAGAATTTGGCATTGACCATTTTCCTGGTACCCAGGTCGTGCCACAAATCCATGACAAGCTTCCCCCATTATCCAGCAGCATTGGTCAAGCTTTTAGCCAGCGACTACCCTTGTCTCCGACTGGACCGAGTCAGCATTCGACGCCTTCTTCGTTGAACACATCTCCGACCACACTCAGTTTTCCACATCACTCGGCCAGCTCGAGCTCCAGTTATGATGTCGCTTCCCATGGGCCCCGGCCTGCCGATGTGCGCTTTGAACTCAAGCTCCCGCATCTGTCGAGCTCATCCAAGCGGCCTCACGAGTTTCATAGCTCTGAACGATCTGCGAGACGAATAAGCCTAGCATCTGCTGGGTCGTCTGCATCACTGGGAGATGGGAGCAAACCAAGTCCAATCCATTCAGCATCTGATGATTGCTCGACCTCACCCGGAATGACGTACCATGAGGACGGGCATCTACACCGTGGCCCGTTGCCCTCTTTATTCAGCAATAGCTCTGCATCGTCCTCGGATTATTTCTCGAGGTCTCGACCATCAACCTACGATTCCCGATACGACCAGTGCCGAACGTATCCGCCAGCCGGCCGTAATTTCGAGCCTCTGTCTCCTGTGTCTCAAATCTCGCCCTACTATCAACAAGATTATTCTTCTCAACGGCGCCTCTCGTATTCGAGTCATGGATCAATGGGGCTTGATCGACCGTCGTTTCATGGTCAGCATGTCAATTATGAATCGCTGGGCATGCACGGCGAAAATCGTGGGCGTAGAAGGCGGGGCAACCTTCCCAAGCAGGTGACGGATCTTCTTCGATCGTGGTTTCATGAACATCTTTCCCACCCCTACCCAAGCGAGGAAGAAAAGCAAGAACTCATGCAGAGGACAGGCCTAACGATGAGCCAGGTTGGAAGACCCTTGATTTAAGTTTCGTCTTTTATAGTTTATAATGCTAATCTCCTCAAACAGGTGAGCAACTGGTTTATCAATGCTCGGCGCCGCCAATTACCAGGCCTCAAAGACGCTGCACGGGCGGAAAACGAGGGAAGAAGCTATTGAGAATGACATTTTTGCACCTCTAACTTCAAACCCGCCACCGACGCCGGTCTTGTTTTCCCTCTTCGAAGACCATTTGTCGCGCGCATATGCGCGGCGTGCACAATTTTCGATCCTAGATCACCAGAGGGCAACCTCACAATGACCTTTGACTAGATTTTCCAAAAAATCGATTTGCGAATACCTGTTTCTAGAAGATTTTTGATAGCTTCGGGTTTTTAAATTCAAACCTATGTTTGATGGCCTGGTGCAGGGAGGATTTGGCGCGAAAGCAAAGCGTGTTGCGTCTTGCTTGTTTTGAGAATGTTTGAGCTGTGGCCAAATGTATTGCGTTCTCCATTTTCTTTTCAAAGCTTTTTGCTTCTTCTATTTACTTTAATAGTCTTATTCACAGAGCACGTTGAGCCAATGCTCAATGGAGTTCTGATATTACGGCTTACGCGGATTGGAAAATATGACAGTTGGGCAGCTGTCAGTGGCGTTGCGCAGGTTTGACAGTGGTTTCCTTGCAATATTTTTTTGACGGAATTGGTTCTTCTCACCAAAGCAAAAAGGGAACCGGAGACATAGCTTACGAAATCTTTTTGAAAACAAAGCGGTATAGGCGTATCAGGTAACATCAACAAGGCTTATGAAAAAGTGTCTATTTACTCCAATTTTGTCCACATTGCGACAATCGAGCCTGGACAATGTGGTCAGTTCCAGTTATGCTTTGAAAAGCGGCAGTCGAAATAGAGACATTTTGTGTTTTTCCATTAATGAATTCGCTCAAGGACAAGAATCGCAGCCAATAGTGATGAGGTCGTTTTGGTAATTGCAAGGCACACTCAAGCATAATCGGATGCTCTATTCCGGAAGAACTATGTTTTCAGCACCTTTCACATGCAGCCAATGGCTAGACCTTGCAATTCCGACCGGGAGGCGTTCATCTAGGGCTTGGTAAGCTGAGCGCTGATGCGGGGGTTTATTCTCTCTCCCTTTCTCTTTCCTTGGTTGCTTTCACGTCCCGCTGGCACTTCGTCGTCACCATTTTCACCATGCTCCCCTGGCATCCGACCTGTCAGCGCTGACTTGACCCGTCTCCACCCGGAGCTCCCACCCTCAGGGTTTGGCGATAGCAACTCAACAGGCCATTGAGAATTGACGCCGGACTAAACATCGGGGCGTCGGTCCTACCCAGGTTCGGGTGTCTCGTAGGCGCGATTCTTGGCCCCCTCGACATCGTACCCTGAGTTGCTCAACCAAGACTAGGTCGAAAGGATGGCGGGGGAGGCCCCACGTCACTTGGCGGACAATCTTGCTCACCTCTCGTGCGTAAGGCCTCTTCTGCGACCACGGGACACAACGTGGAAGACGTAAGTGAAACAGTAGCTAAAACTTTTGGCAAAGTAAATGCATCAATGTGCGAATCAGGAACGATGAAACAAGCCAACAATGCGGTGTTTGATTTTCCCTTTTGATTTCCTTTCTCCCTTGGGTGGAATGGCAGTGATCCGCTTGCTCCGATTGCTTACCGGTTCTCTCCCATCTAAACGCATTTACCAGGGCCAGATGCGTGCAGTTTGCGCGGCCTCAGTGAGTCTACGGAGAGACCGTGGTGCAAGTGGTTGCCGTGTCGTCCGTTCTGGGGTAAGCGCGGTGGGGCTCTCTCACCCGGGGTGGTTGTGTGCTGAAGGCGGCAACTCTTGACCTTTTTTGACTTTTGACCAACCTCAACACTGGACAAGGGTGAAATGCACAAAAGTAAGAAAGAAATGGATACATTGGCTGCTGCGGACGGGGCCCGTTGACATGACATCTCGTCTCCCGTATGTGACTGAGGTTTTCTTTTGTTCCCGCTCAGTACTACTTTCAGTTGCTTTGGCTTATATGACTAAGGTTTTGCTCGTTGCTGACCTTGGCAGGGTGGGCTTGTCATTCAACGGTTTAGTAACCAGTCATTTCTGAACACCCTTTGAATCACATCACCTTTAGCATGACACTATGACTATTGACTAATCTTACAAAGCTCCTTGCAAGGGCGACGGCTTCGTCTTTCTTTTTTTGTCGAATCAATCGTCTATGTATATTGGCATCTTTTACGAGTATCATAAGGCCCCCATGAAATGCCCTTGTTCCAGTGCTTCGGACCCACGGAACGGGGAATTCTCGGATTCCGGCTATGACCACGGAGGTCGCAGCGACAAGCCAATAGAACCCCAAGTCGATAAGGCAGATCGACGTCCAAGCTCAACGGAGTATCGGTCTTATCCGACACCAGCTTCAAGGATACTGACAAGGGTGGAGAGGGGCGGAACAATGTTCGCCCAATGACAGGGAGTGAGGCGCTTTCCTTTAACGGAGCTTCCACTGCAGCTTGACGGACGAACTCTGGTTGGGGTCCAGTTACGTGAAATTTTCTCCATTGTTATGATTTATAATTATTATTATTAAAAGTGACCTATTATCTACACTACAGAAGATGCGATCAATGTTGATGTTTTGCCTTTATAGCTCACGCCGGAACGAGATGGCGCCGTTGAGGAAACGGGCGGTCAGATGATGCAGGCAGACAGCATCTTTGATGCGCCAGAGCAATCAAAAAACGAAACCTAGCAGGAACCGAGCTTCTGGGCGTTGGAGATTTTGGGCATTGGCGCAGCTAAATGGTCCATTTATTCACCAGCGATCGATCACAAAGCCTCCTGGGACCCAGGACCTCCTGGTCAAGAACCTAGTCATCGCCAAGCCGCGAAAATCAAAACGAAAAACTCAACACGACCGGGGGGTTGCGCAGGGGCGCAGCTGTCATTCGGAACTTTATCCTTGAGGGGCTGCCCCTCGCCAATCCTGGCCATCACCGGATCCAGCTGACAGTGCGAACGAAGCTTTGGGCGTGAACTCTACCTTGGTCTTTGGCCCTGTGAGAGGGACTGCGGAGAGGACTCCTGAATCTAAATGGATAAGACGATGGGAGAAAATCGGTAAGTATCAAATGCGGCTTTTCAAGTTTTTGATTTTTTTTTTTATTTTTTTTTTTTTTTGCCACGGAATTAAATGTGGCTTTGTGAGTTGTTTCGGAAAAAGTTGATACGAACCGCCCTTGCGAAGTTTTGGGAGGGCCGATATCGTCAACAAGGTATATCCGACGGCGGCCCGCAGACAAATGAAGACGTGCTGATTTTTTCCTGATCCTTGAATATTTGACAGCTGAAAGGCGGGTCTCGACTGCAGACTTTACCGTCATACCCCTGTCCGCTCTCCTGTCATTAGCGCACTACTCTCGGCTGGTTCGGATTCAAGTTGTATCCGAGCACGGTTTCAACTGGCGGCGCGCGCAAGCCTCGGGTAATCAATCAACTTTAACCAGGGGGTCCCCAAACACTTTTCTCTTCCTTGCTCTTCTTTTCTGCCATTAATTAATCCCTGCAGACTCCCACGAGGCCAACCGGCCCCCTAGCAGCTTTAGGTCCCCTGTCAACGAGGCTTGGCTTCTCCGTCTCAGGAAAGGAGTTTGCATTACGAAAGTATACGTACTTGTAACTCTTACAAAAGTACCGTGTACTCTGCTCGTTCGAATTGACCCAGCCACTTTGACATTTCCTTGCCGCACGAAATGCCGAAAAAACAGTGGAGCAAAGTCGTCGGTGAAATGAAACTCTGGAATTTACCTGGAGCTTGTTCAAGACATGATTGAACAATAATCAACGGGCTCATATCTCGGCCTCAGACCTTGGATTAGGACCTTGCCGGCTATCTGCCACAAAGATCATTTGACTGGATTGCTCACCTAAATCGCTCGCCTACTTTGGCCTCGGACAGCCCTCGGCGTTGTCGGCCAGTTGCTCGGCGCCTCTTAATAACGGGCTGCCTGTCAATTTGTTTTGCAAAATGTGATTCTCTCCCTTTCTACCTGAGCATTTGTTTGGCCTGTTCTGGCCGGCTGTGCCGCGCCCTACGACACGGAAATTGTCACAGACAAGGATTATTCCTCGCTTCGTTTTACTGGATCTCTTCTTCCTGGTAATTTTTTCTTGTTCTTTCTTCTTTGCCCGTGATGGATATTATTTTTGGAACATCTTCCATGATTTTCCATGTCGGCGATCCACAGCACGGTCGTTCTTGTCGTCCAAGTCAATTACCAACACTGATGCTGCGTTGCAGTGACCATACTACGATGAACTAGTACTTTGTACTGTACGACCAAAGCTGTCAACTCAGGTACATTTGGACGAGCTCCTCGAGACCAGCCAGCTTACTCTTTACGAGCTGTCTCCAGGGCTGCCCAGTCATGTATGCAGGCATGCCAGCACGTCATTGTGCAGTAAGCATGATGGGAAATTGAAAAAAATGCCGTGAGAAAAGGCAATCGTGTCATTTATTTTCGCCCAAATTGTCAGCGAGCGGGACGAATCATTGCCTTTGTTGCAAGGATCAAGAAAATTCTCGTTTTCGCCCATGCCTTGTCCTGCATGGGTATTACTCTGCTTCTGACACTCTTCCGAAGCCCGGCCCAATTGATGGCCCGTCCGACCTCGCCCGAGATCTGACTGTCCGGTTGTCCGGCTCATCGCCTGTCTGCCCCTTCTGACATTTGGTCCATACTTTGCGACTGTGCTTTCTTAAATTCTGTACTAAATTGCGCTGCTGTCATGAATCATGCCTGCTTACACGTCGTGCTGATACCGTAGGCTCGTAGCATTTCTGGATTAGAGTACAAAGTATATAGATGTATACAGTCGTATTGATAGTGTCATGGACTCATGCAAGATACCTTGTCTATTGCATCCAATGTATGTCGTAGTCCGTATAACGTATTTCCCAAGCGACCCGATCGCCCAAGCGGACCGATCGCCTTGTAATTCTATAGAACAATCGACTCAAATATTTCAACAACCATAAGTTATATTGGCTAGATATTAGGAATGTGAATACCATAGACCATTTATAGGTAGGATATTCACTTAGACGTGCCATACTTCAATGGTTTCCATTATACTACATGGTACAATGGAAATTTGGTAGGAAGAAAGTTGAAGTACTTTTTATTCATTCAAGGACAGCTTATCAATTATAATTTCTCTCTGATGAGTATCTTCTGATATTAAACCCCTGCATATGAAATTATAAGCCAAAATACCCATTCGTTGTGGAGATATAATATTGTAAAATTATCATATTTTGTATGGAGTTTGTACCGATCAGGTCGCTTGGCCGATCGGGTCGCTTGGGAAATACGTTAATGGTATGAGTAGCTTACAGGCTGCAGCGGTACACCGTACGACTGCCCAAATTGTCCAGACTGTCCATGACTGTCAACCTTATCCAATCAAGTCGTATGGCCGTATCAACCAATATTACATTGTTACTCTGTGCCTGCATGACAACGCAGGAGTTAAGTTATTAACACTTTGATGAATATACAACCAAAGGACCAAGGTATTCAAAGGCATTGCTGAATAAGGTAATTAATGAATGTGCAACTGGCAGTAGACTGTGCACTGTGCACTGTGCAACAATGTAAATTTTAGTGTACTGTGTGTTTGTTGGTCTTTTGCTTAGAGGTGTTTATTGGTCTTTTGCCTAGAGGTGTTTATTGCATCTTTTTGCCTCCAAGGACCAACACCAAACTCCAGGACCGGGCGGGTGTAGCGTATGGTGTCTACATCCAGTCATAGAATCCCTACGGTCCTACTGTCCTACGGTGCTACATGCTACCCTGGGGTCTAGTAACCTAGTTACCTGGGTTTCCTTCAAACTTTCAAACTTCAAAGTTGTGGTCTTACAGATTACTAAATGACCAAAAAGACCAACGGTGTGCAGTGTACCGTGTCCAGCGGGCCGCAGTGTAATTTGCAAATTGGTCTATCTGAATTTCTGAAAATGATTCAATGGGCGCGTCACAGACTTACATAGAAAGTTGACAGTTGAAACACAGTGGGACTGTGGGACTGTGGGACTGTGGGACTGTGGGACTGTGGGACTGTGGGCGATTGACTGTAGTTTTTAGATTTTTTAGATTTTTTTTTTCCCCCATATTTATTTCCATATTTATTTTTTATTTTCGTTTATCTTTTTTGTTTTGTTTTCTTTAATTCTCCTTCCTGTTCTGTTCTTTTCTTTTCTTTTCTCTTGTATTTTATATTTACTTTTATTTCCCTTATTCTTATTCTTATTCTTATTCTTATTATTATTATTTTTTTACTTGTAGACTCGACAACTCATAGTCTTCTATTATATATGTTACGAGAAGTATCTACCATGGAAGTAAATACTGAAGGAAGTCTGAAGCAAAACTAAAGTAACTAAGGTATATAAAAATTTAAAAGTTTGAAGTTCAGAGTTCAAACGTGAATAGAAAGTAAGCTGTGCTACAAGCTACAAGCTACAAGCTACAGACTAGACAGGCTGAGTAGATTGGACAGGTTAACTTGCTAAGCAATAGATAGGATTATAGAAACCAACTACCTTTACGTGTATAAGGGCTTGCTGCTTAATGATCTTGATTCTTGAAAGAGCAGTCGAGAGTCGAGAGTATACATCAATTTAAATTAAGCCTTTTAAGGGCTTAACCACTGAACTAGAGTATTTATTATTTAGTGTACTTGCCTTGAATCCTTGATACTATGCAGTATACTACTACAAAATCTACAGGCTACATGTATTGAATGGCTGCTAGTACTACAAATAGAGAAGAGAAAAACCAAAAATAAAAATAAAAATAAAAACTAAAATAAACACGAAAGGGGGGATATACCAAGTCTAGATGCATTAAAATTTCCGGACGTTGGTTTACTTTGAGTATATATACGAACAAATTGACAATTGACAATTAAACATTCATTGCAGGCAAACAGCAAGTTTGCTTTCTGATGTCTTCTAAAGCTCAGCCGGAATTGTGACGGGTTTGAATCATTGATGCTACAGATGCTGGTGCGGATGCTGCGACGATGCTAGCGCTGTACCGCAAACCGCAGGTTGCTAATATGCGCTGGATACACTTCAACAAAAAGAAGAGAAGAATATAAGGAAGGAAATGGAAGCAAGGAGAAAAATTGGTAGTCTGATGACAAGTGGAATAAATTGTCTGGAGAAACGTGTAAAGAAACATGATATACATTTCGCCCTTCGCTTCATAGGCTCATACATGACGTACGGCGTACCGATCAATAAAAATAAAATAAGATAAAATAAAAGAAATGGAATTGCAGAAAAAGTGGAATAGTAGAAGAAGCTGGAATAAAGTAAAACAAATCAAGACCCGAGTCCGCTGAGGCGTTCGAGGCGTGATCTCGTTGCTTCGACCAATGCGGTTCTGGATGAATGTGTTAGTGGTGGCATCTCGACATTGCATTTCGATACAAGATAATAAAAAAGGAAAAAGAAAAGTGAATGAAGGGGGGAAATAAAACTCACTCTCGTTCTAATAAATTCATGACCTGGGCCATCTTGGCTTTACGCACGTCCGAAGGCACGCGGTAATTGATATTTTCAGGTTGCGATTGGCTGTTGTCTTGTGCGGGTGCAGGTTCGCCCAACTCTTTCGCCTCGCTCACGAGGTCGTCTGCGAGATTCTTGACCTAGACGAAAAGGAAGACATTAAATCAGTATCCATCCGCGCGTAGATATAGGAATTGCATCACCGCGCAAGACCACTGTACTCACCTCTTCGTAGCGCTTCCACAAGGCACCAGCTCTCGATCGCGGCGAGCGCTCGGCCGGACGACTACCATTTGCCTCGGAGGGCCCGAGTACAGACGACTTCAGTCTCTGGATCTCTCGCCCCCACGCCTGCTCTTTGTCACTCAGTTCGCGGCCGCCCAGCTTGGCAACCTTTCTCCGTAGGGCTTCATGGCGGGCAAGCAGCTCGTCCTGGCGGGCTCTTGCGGCAGCAAGTCTCTTCTCGACCTTTGCGTCTGCGGTGAGTGATTGCTCTTCTTCCTCTCCTTCATTATTGTCGTACGCATCTGCATCTTCGCCAGTGACTTCTTCGATACGGTTGGCGACCTCGTTGGCGCGACGAATTTGGTCCCTGAAATCCTCTCGTAGACGTTCACACCGGCGGAACAAGTCCGCAGCGGCGAGTCCTAGTTGGTATGTCTCGCGGCTGAGCACACGGTGGGCTTGCGTCATAAGATCAAGAGTTGCGGTTGAGAGACGGATTTCTTCCTTCAAGGCGCGTCGGTGCCGGTCATGCACGTGCTCGTCGAGGAATTTTGGCATGGCAGATTGTAGCCACAGGTACTCGGGTGGCTGGTACGCTGGCCGAGGTTGGCTTTGGATGATTGGTTTGGAACTAGGTTCAAAATTCTCGATCGCGCCATCGTCATCATGAAGCAAGGTTTCCAGGTCAGGAACGTCAAATGTCAAGGCTTGAGGTCGCTCGCCGGCAAGCGTGAGGAGGAAGTAACCAAGATCCGAATCCTGAAGGACAATGCATTTAAAAAGGTCGGGTGACTGTTTGCCGCTGACCGGATCTTGTTCGCGGGAGAAATGCATCACGTTCTCGCTGAGAGTCTTGAAACTTTCAGCCAGCCGCTCAAGACGAAAAGTTGCACCTGTTTCTGTGCTGTTGGCGAGTTCGGCTTCCAGTGCTTCCACCCATGTAGTGAGAGACATATAACTAATGCCATTACCGTGCGTGATAAAGAATGAATATCGGGACCGCGTATCGGCTGTGAAAAGTGGCCATGTAGATTCCCGGATATCACTAGGCTTCATAACATTGAGAGAGTCAAAGTGCAGGAGGCTCGGTAGAGAGTCCATTTGCTCTAGATAGCCAAGGCTCTTCTATTGGGCGTGTGTTAACAGTTGAATGCAATGATGCTTGAGGGTTCGATCAGACTTACTCCATGAGGCAACCAACTTGCTTCCACTCCGTTCAAGTCAAGAAGGATGCGGACTCGTCCTGTATTCGCCAATGTACAGACTATGCCGGCAGAAAGACCTCCGTCGGCAAAATCTCCTAGCTGGGATTCCCATTCTTCTCCAATCATGAGCTCGTCAACGTCTACCTTTGCGCCTGCGACGCAAATGTCCGTCAGCAGCTCGTCCACTTCCTCTGGGCCCTCATCTTCCGGCATAGCCTCAATCTGAAAAGGGCCTTGCAGTCTCGGAACAGGGCCGGGATGGGAGGGTCGGCTGTAGACCGTCAAGGGCGGGACAAACTCTGACCTGCCAGGAACAAGAAGAGGCTCCTGGTTGTCAATATCTGAGAACCAACGGAATTGGTACTCGCAATCGACACGATCTAATTCCGAAACTTCTTGTTCGCTTTGCTGTGAAGCAGCTTTGGTCATGACCGAGGTTGACAGCGACGGGATCAGAGTCGAAGTGCTCTGCCATTTGCTTGGTAACAAGGGACAAAGCGCGTATACATCACCCTCTCGCATTGCGACCCACAAAGTCATTGAAGCCCACCCATGCTCCTCATCCAGTCCGGTCCCGCCGAAACACGCAGAAGCAACCTCCATTTCAAACGAGTCGGGAGAAAATCCTTTATTAGATCCGAGCGTCGATGGCGCCGTATCAGCTTCGGCCGTAGTTGCATTTGCCAATTTCTTCAGATCCACCGCCAGCGTCGGGCTATCGAACGACCACCTGTTGTCGCGGTTGAGTTCCCAAACCCGAACGACCGCCTCTGCAGTAACAGTCACCAACGTACTGCCAGCAACACCAAGAGGGTGCCATAATGCCGATACAACGGGCGATTGGGACAGAACATGGGCAGTGGGGCCGAGCGTGTGAGTCTTCAAGCGGATAGGTCCGGAGTCAGGTTGGCCCAGATGTGAAGAGTCCGGAAGAATCGCAATGTGAACGGTATGAGAGGTAAGAATGGCAAGGTAGTCGCCCTGAGGTGAAGGGACGAGCTGTCTAATCTTTTCGGTGACGGGGACTTTCAGTACCTATAACACTTAGTATTCAAAATAAACTACTTCAAGAAATGTCCAAAGGAACGAACCCGGTATGAGCCGATGTCCGACGCGTCAGAGGCTTCTTCGTCTGGACTTGAAATATCTCTGCTCCCTCCCAATTTTCTGAATTCTTTTCTCTCTTCCTGTTCTTTCCAGTTGACCTTGAGCAGGGACAAACCCGCCCATCGGATCTGATTGTCCACCACAACAAAGACTTCCGTTCCCCTATGCGCCAGATTGCGCGCGGGACCAAGGTAACCATCCTTTGAGGGAGCATCTTTGCTCGGACTTGACTGACTCGGCGTCTTTGATGGCAGGATATCGCGCTTGGGAGAGCCTGCGAAGACGTCGAACCCGGGGGACGGTCTCAATAGCCATGACGGCGTGTAGCTGAGGATTCTAGGCATAATGTGCGACGGCCAGGAAGCTCAGCTCGTAAAATGAATTGGGTCTCTCCCCGCAACACTGGCTTTCAGATTGAAACCTCCCTGAAAATTAGCGTTAACAGAAAGCCAGAGGCGAAGGAAGAGGTTCGGACGTGGCTGGTGGAAAAGAAAGCGATGTTTGGGGGAATTTCTTGGGGAAGCTTCTCACTCTCTTTGCTTTCGGTCGTTGGTCCGTGCCGCCTTAACTTTACAGTCTCGCTTGCGCCAACGGGACAAACAATTACCGATGACCATCGACAACAAGAACTGGTGGTCAAAAGCTCAAGTCAATAAAAAAGAAAACAATCGTCGTCAACTCTGCAATCAGCTCTCCCTGACATATCTGTCACTTGAACGCTATGAATCCCCTCACTCGCACCACAGTTGAGCGGCTCGATAAGCCCAGCTCTTACTTCAACGGCCGGGTGAGCACTGCCCTGTCTTTCCAATTGCAACCACCATTGGCGCATTCCTCTAACAGCGTCCGTTCATATAGAACCGAAGAAGAAAGTTCGAGCGTGAGGGAGTTGAAGACCGCGAGAAAAGTCCAGAGGAGCAAGATGATCCTCTGAAAGATGCGACAACCCTCTACGTGGGCAACCTGTATGTGCTATTGAACGAATAATGTAAAGATTGCACGGGTTCTAATGAACGCAGCTCTTTCTACACGACCGAGGAGCAAATTCATGAGCTTTTCTCAAAGTAGGTCTTTTGACGGAGATGCCCTTCCTAAGGATGATCATCTTACACTGAATTAGATGCGGCGAGATCAAGCGCTTGGTTATGGGCTTGGACAGATTCACAAAAACTCCCTGCGGGTTTTGCTTCGTCGAATACTATACGCATGAGGATGCGCTAGATTGCATGAAATATGTTGGAGGTACAAAGCTCGATGAGCGGATTATCCGAACCGACCTGGACCCTGGCTTTCAGGAGGGTAGACAATATGGGTGAGATGCGCCGTCTGATACCTTTTTTGGGGGGATATATCTACTGACATGTGCAAAGACGAGGAAAATCTGGCGGTCAGGTCCGTGACGAATATCGAGACGAATATGATCCTGGGCGAGGAGGCTTTGGACGCTCTTACCAGGAGCGTCTTCGGGACGAGGAGGAGGAGCAGTATGGAAAGGACCGTTGATCCTGGAAAGGGCAAGACATAATGCTCCCATGATGGCGTTTTGGGTGGGATGGACCATTTCATGCCCCATGAATAGCGGGCTTCTTAACATATGTATTGGTGTCTTGTATCTTATATACCACATAAAAAAGTTCTATAACCACGTCTATCTGCCGACATGATGCCTCTAAATGGTATCGACAAACCCGCCCCAAAACTCCACAACGATGCAATGAAAGCTATCTTACAGTATCGGTTGGCAAGTGCTTGCGGATCAGATCGCACCTACAGCAGCCCGGACCTGGTCCAGCCACCAGACGTGTATCCTCGAGTCACCTGTGAGCTCAGGATGGAAACTAGTGCCGAAAACATTTGCCTGACGAACGGCGATGATGTCGCCGACTTTGTCCTCTGTGTGAGCCGTTGCCACCTTGTTAGGAAGCGCGGCACTGCGGCCGGGCAAAGTCGCCATAACTTCCACGGGAGCGCCAATAGCCTTCTTTGCTTCTTCGCTGTCAGGCTTCCGCGACGGTGCGACTACTGTCTCGTCCTTGGCTTCCTCCTCGACTTGGACGCCCTCGTAGGCAGGAAGAATCATCTCAACGACCGGCGCGCGGATGAAGACGCTCTTGAACGGCACACGGTTCGTATCGAAATCTTCGCGCTCTTCGGAGCGGAGAAAAGGAAGGTCAAGGTTGGCTTCGAAACTTTCGACTTGTCGGCCAAAGTGGTTCCGGTTCACTCGAACGTCTAAACCTCCAATGAGCTCTTGGCCGCCTTTCTTGGTTCGATTTGCCGACTCGGCCAGAAGGATCAGCCCGGCACAAGTACCCCATACGGGTTTTCGGTGGACTCTGGACACCGGCTGTCAGTATATCAATCAGGAGAAATTCAAAGTCGAATGTGCTTACTTGACAAACTCTCTCAATGGCTCCAAAAGATTGGATCGCGCAGCAACAAGAGACATGGTCGTACTCTCTCCACCAGGGATGATCAGGCCGTCACACAGCGCCAATTGTTCGGGCGTGCGCACTTCGATAAAAGTCCATTTGACATCTGGTAGCGCACTCAGGCGCTTCACGGTCGCTGCCTGTCGCAAAAGTTGTAAATGCTCGCTGAACGCACCCTGGAGGGCGAGCACACCGACGGTGATGGCGAATTGGTCTTGAGTCATTATCTTTATGCGGTTTCCCCAATGCCTTGACCGATTGTCGGTTTCGATAAAAAGGTCCTTCAAATAGAGGATGCAGCCGGAAATTTCCAACAATTAGATTTGTCAAAAGAGGATATGGCGGGGTGGCAAAGGGTGTGTACGAGTAAAGTTTTGGGATAACGAGATAAAGTTAGTTTAGTGACTCAGAAAAGGGAACATGGCCGGCCCGGGGAGCGGAGGGTGACAGATTTGCCCGAACTTGTCCGCGGGAAATCAGATAAGTCACTGATAACCATGCTCGTCCTCGGTCTAACCTAATCAAGCAGCAACGACCTGTCAGAGCTCAGTGACGGCATCACCGTAGCTGGTCCCAAATCTGATTCGGTAGTTGCATTAATCTTGACATGAGATAAATTTTTGGACATATGAAGCTAGACTTTTCATGTATCGTATTAATTACATATTGAATATCAAACCCTACAACTTACAGCAGAACGTGATAGAAGAAGTATTGAGTCTAGAGTATAACAATCCTACCTTTAAATCATATATTTACAGCCAGAGGACCGGATTTTTCTAAATCACATTTATAGCTTACCCAAAAGCTATTGACCTTCTTCGCCATGAATGATAAAATACAAATCTGTACCGCGATATTAGTAGTAATACAATGTGAAGAGCATCTTACTTTGTGCTCCGATCAGTCATATTGGGCGGCTTAATGCGACAGGTCGGCCGCGTTCTCGGCCTTCTGTCTCTCCTTCTCTGCCGCCGCTTTTCTCCATCCCGGAGAAAATTTCCATTGTACGACAACACCTAACAAAGCGACTGCTTGAACAATGACACAGACAGTAAATGCCAACCCAACTCCAATGCCATTTACCATAGGCATCACGAAACTTGTGCCACCAGCGGCGAAGAGACATCTGGCGAGATTCAAACTTGCACTGGCGCCCGCGCTCCTATCGGAGAAGATATCGACGAGGTAAGTCATGATAACCGACTGTGTGGAGACAGCAGTCCAGCCCGTGATGAAAGTAGACACAATGGGGACGGCGATATGAACATGATCGGGATATTGAATGGTCCAGCCAAAGAGGATGATGGAAAGACACTGAATGAGAGAAAAAATAGGGACGAGTCGAAGGCGTGCTCTTTCAATCGGAAAGTCGTCTTCCGAGTTGCCCGTGGAATTGCCTTGATTGTCGCTCATCTCGGCGTCGGCTTGCCTTGTTCGAGCCTCATATTTGGCCTTGACGCGTTGGTAGTCAATGTTGAGAATTTTGCCCGTGACCAGTGTGCCTATCATGGACCCGACGCCGTTGGCAATGAAAGTCAGGCCGATTTGAATTTCACTCAGCCCATAGCGAGTTTCGAAAAGTGAAGACATGGCGGTGATGCTCATTTGCCAGACCGCGTAGTAGACGGCGAGAAAGACGATGATGGGAGCTGCGAACTTGCTGGTGAGGATACGGAATGGTCCGAGAAGGTCAATGCGTTTTCTCGCTGCAAGCTGTGGGGAAGGTGCATTAGGGTGCCACTTGACCTTTGTAACTTTTTGGTAAATGGTTAGAGGGTAGCTGGTGATTGGATTTGATGGCGTTCGGCTTCCGTTTGCAACAAGTGACCTTAGTGTTTCGGGGAGGACCAGGATCAATACAAGCAGAAAGGCGGCACTGTAGATCGTCAAGAACCAGAAGATCGACCTCCATCCCAGAGATCCTGCTAGAGCACCTCCAATAATTGGGCCAACAGCAACTGGCACGAGCAATCCGGCCTGAAAGATCCCCATGAAGCCTCCGCGCTCAGCGCGAGTGGTGATGTCTCCGATGACACCGGACCCAATTGCGATGGTGCTTGCGCTGCCAGTACTTTGAAGGCATCTTAGCACTATTAGAGTCGCATAATTCTTCGTCTCTGCTAGGCCAATGCATGCGCCAACAAATACGAGAAAAGTACAGCAATACGCAACTCGGCGTCCTTCAGCATCGGATACAGGCCCCCAGAGACTGGGAGCTAGACCCTGGAAAATAAGGTATGACGTTACTGTGAGATTGACAAGCTCCACTGAAACATTTAGGTTCTTGGCAATAGTTGGAAGAGCGGGAAAATATATGTTTGATGCGAACCCGGAGACTAGTTCCATTATGAGCTTGTCAAGAGCAGCATGACCACTGGGGAATTTTTACTCACAAGTTGCAGCAGTCGAAACGATGACAATAATAAGAGCCTTCTGTCGCTTATCGAAGATGCTGTATGGTTCTTCTGCAGCCGGTGATATTGCCGTTGGTGATGGTGGTGATGATGACAATGTGCTTGGAACAGCGACCGGAGTTTCCTCGGGCTTTTGACCGGCGCTCATGTTTATCTCGGTAGGTGATGATGAGCAATACGGAGTCCGGCCTCCGGATGACTATGGAGAAGCCTACGAAGCATTTTATATTTAATGTGTTCGTGGGAAATTTCGAAGGTATGTAGAATGTCTCCGGAGTTGAGGCCTGAGATCCGGAGATTCCAGCCACTAGTTAGTGGCTCGCTCGACGTGGCAGTGCAGCCCGGGAGTTCCGGGGCGCCGGAGTTGAGCTTACATCCCCACAATATGTCATATGTTAGTAGTTTTTACCAAATTTAATTTGTATTTTAAAGCTGGACGAAGATGTTATATTCAATAACTAACATCTTCCTGTCCTTTCTGTGGATCCTGCCAATATCAATGGTAGTAGCACAACAATCTCCCGAAGGTGCCTTGACCTTTGGCAAGAACTATGCTATCCTCAACTTGGACTGGATGGCAGTCCTGATCGATGCAGTCAAGAACACTACCGAGGGACAATCATTTATCTCGAACTGTTCTCGCTGGAATGATGCGGTTCACGAGAAGGATCCACGACCCCTCACCATCTTTACGAGTCTGTCCTTCCACCACGGACAGCCCGAGCTTGCAAAAGGCGCTCCGTTCACCAAGCTCCTCCAAGGCTTCGGTTCCTTGACCACTGGCTCCCCTGGAGTGCAGATAGCTTCCAATTTTACCGTCGATGAGAAAGATATTGTCCTGCAGAAGACAAGATTTTACGCCGGTGCAGGTAATGCTCTGGAGCAAATCTTAAAGGCACAGAACATCGACACTGTTATTCTAGTATGCCACTAGTGTCTCTCAGGCGAGCTAAGCTAACAAGAACTATCACAGTCCGGTTTGAGCATATCCGGCGTCATATTGAGTACAATTTATCGATTGTACGATTTAGATTATAATATTTATGTCATCTCGGACAACGTGTTGCAGTCGCCGATGACTCCAGAGCTTTCGAAATTCACGCTTGAGGCTCTTTTGCCAATCATGAAGTTGAAAACAATCTCCATAGAGGAGGCCTTGCAGGCTCTGAAACGATCTTAGATAGTCCGTCAGTCAAAGCGGTCCTTTTAAAGAGAATTTTTTTGGAAGACGCTGACAAAATGACAAAAGAAATGTTTCTATCTCCAGGAGTTCCCTGAGATTGGTTGAACTGTTATACTCGAGATAGATGAAATTAAGACTTCTTGATGCACATTAATAGTTATAACAAGTAGATCAACCACCATGAGTACAGCAAGTGACCGCGTAGAGCATTGTTCCAAATTCATCCACGTTTTCTAGCCACAGGTCCACCCTGCTGCGTCTTTTGAGGACGCCAGCTTCATCCAGGTCTGCAGGAATCGGCCAAAGTTCGTCAATTCGAAGGCCTTCTTCCAACCAGTCCGCTAGGTGGATATTATACGCCATTTCCCATTCGCGTCGCGTCTCTGCCCTCCATAAAGTCTTGTTAGCTGAAGCAGGCAACCCTTCTAGTTCCGTGCCAAGAAAGGTCGGAAGACCGTCTTGAGCTGAGAGCACGCTGTCAAATAGGTACATTACGTAGAGCGTCCGGCGTTTTGCTTCAGCGACGATCCACGTTTCCCATCTCGGACGGGTTCGCTGTTGCTCCGCTGTACAAACGAGTCCCCGACGGCTACTTGAGCATGCAAGATCTTGGAGGTTTATCATCGCTTGCCGGAGGAATGGATTTGAACCTTGGCTAAGATTGAAGAACAAGACCATGGAGTAAATCAGATATGCTTGAAATGCTCCGAGCAGAGTCATATCATCATACGTCCCATGCTGCTCGTAGAGACTGGTCATTTCTCTTTGCAGTACGTTTGCGGCGACGTCTTCGCTACCTGGCAATGGCTTCTCGCAGATATGAACCAAACTCAGGCAATTTGAAAGTGGGAGCTTTGATGATTTTTCCATCATCTGCAAAGAATGCACAAATGGCGGAACACCGCGACCGTGTACGGTGAGAGCTGCATACGACTTCAGCATCCGATAGATGAAAGTCGCGGTAGCAGGGGTGTATGCTTTGACCTTCTGTCCGGGAACGGGCACGTAAGTATGCAGCCAGCGGTTGCTGATATCGTCGACATTGATGGGGCAAAGGAGCTCCAGGCGCGAGAAATCAAGAGTCTCCAGGTTCTGGGACTCGCGGTCTGTGGTATTCGGTTCTAAATCCTTTACCACGTGATTTGCAGTGAAAATCGTCGAAGCATAGTTGGGCGAACTATTGCCAGGCATAGACTGTGTCGATCCAACAATTGATCTCCGCATGTCTGTTTCGGCAGACAAGTCCCCCTCTGGACTTGGAAGCCCAGGACTCAGAAGCAGACCTTCGGATGGGGAGAGAAGGTTGGATATAGAAACGGGACTAGTCAATCCTGCTACGCTGTTGTCACCCATATCACGGTCAGAGCCTCCAGATGGTACAGCCCGGAGAAAAGAGCAAGGCAGGCCTCGGTTGGCACATCGGGCACAGCGTCCTGCTCTGCGATCACATTTTGCCTTGGCATTCGAACAGTGCTGGCAAGCCTTTTGCCGGGATGTGGCGTACCTCCCCGCCTTCATGACGATGTTAGAGAGCCTGCATTGATGGTCCGGTGGCGAGAAAGTCCTGCATCTTGATCCAGCGGGAGCCGAATGTTGAATGTCGATGGTGTTCTGCAAGGCGCCTTTGATATTCTCAAAGGCAACTCAAGAGCAATTTCATGCTGAGTCAGCTCCTCTTGTCTCTAGGTTAGCCTGTGCTGCTATTTACCGGTGCCGATGCCATTGCTTTCCCCAGACAATGTACGTAAAAAATGTCAAGGCATGTGGCAAGATATGAGAAACAAGAACAGATCTCGGTCCAGTGCATTTCGACGTATCGGATGGCAATAGTGATTTTCGTATTCATTCATACGCTTACAAGCTGCTTCTGCCTCGTTTAACTGCATTGTAGTGCTTGCCCGAAGGAAAAGGGAGAAGCTCATGTTGACTCAGCGTGATCTGGCTTGGAGACAGAGGAAATCAGTAATATCTCGGGGGGTATATATTCCTACATGATACAGAGTAAGAGCCCTGCTTTTTCAATACCTACCTACCTAGGTATGGAAACATTAGTTATCAGATGTGGACGTCTGTGATGGGTAAATAATATTCCGAGGCAACCAAGCCACAGTTATTTACGGTCTTAAGCCAAGTAAATTAGGCGAGAGACTGCGCCACTTAGAGGAAATATCCTTTGCCCCCACTTTTGAGTCCCCTGCGCCTCAATGATAAACCTGGGGTAACTTCACCCTTAGAGAGAAACTCTCTGGAACAATCAATCCCATCCGTTAATCTTTGTGAAGATCCGATTGCACGGATCGAATGCTCTAAATATAATACCGGTCTTCCGTGAATGCTAGTTTTGCAGCTGCCTGTTGATGAAGGTCAGCGAAACAATCGTCACCTGAGACATTTCGTTGGTGCGGCAGAAGAAAGCCACAGGGCCAAGCTTTAGGCAGCAGCTAAAAGCTTCCCTAGGTCGACAAGCCATCTCCTTACATACGGCTCTCCGCCTGCATAACTTTAATCTATTCTTCAGAGATCCCTTTCCTGCTTCATTTTGTTTCTTTCGTTTTTCTCCTTTGACTTTTTTCACAAAGTACAATTTGCTCGCCTTTCATGCACCATGTCGATGCAAGAGAGCGGGATGCATCGAACGGCCCCTGGGCGGTTAACCAAAATATATTCGGACACGAAAAAGTCATATGACTTCACGACATCACCATCAGTAACCATGGACGGAGATCCTCAGCTTAGAAGTCTCCATCGGAGTTTACGGACCCAGAAAGACCGGCTGATGAACTGGGGGTTGGACTGGAGCGATAAGAATGCTCAGCAGGGTGATATCGATCAGCCGCTTGAACGTGCTGGTTTAACCAGTCTTGTGGAGAGCTTGATGACATCCATCAAGGAGATTCTCGATGAGGCAGAGAACATGTCTCGTAAGAACAATGGCCTTCCAGGCTATCGAGGCTGGGAGAAGAGCTCTCACCAGGGCCTTCATCACAGTCTTTGGACGGCGGCAGACAAAACGCGGCTGCATGATTTAGTCAAGGATCTAACTACTTCCATTGACACCTTGTATGATCTTTCAGGGTCCTTGAGAGGAGTCATGTCGCCTGTCGAAAAAGGAACTCAGCACAAGGAGAGCCTTCGGCGAGAGTATTTGCTTACCAATGATTATCCGTCTCCGGCGCTCTCAGGAATAGCTTCAGAACTTGGAGAGAAAGCAAAGTATCCAGAATTCTCTCCCGTTCAAGAAAGAGTGTTGGCCAAGATTGATCCTTCTGCCCTCATCTTTTCTGATCACTCTCCCTGGGCATCCTCACGTCCGCCTCCATACGAAGCCATCATGACACAATCCAACGAGCGAACGTTAGCTTACCTCCGAGATCCGAGCAGTATCTCTGAAAGGTGGATGGTGGAGACGTATGGAGTCCCGGTCGTACCGGTAATGATAGAGTATGCTGTGTTTGACCCAATCTACAGTCAAACTGGCATCGCTCCGCCACTGGATCGCTTGCATTCACTGGCGAGCGTACTTCATCACTGCGTCCAGCCCGGAAATTACCATACCAACGGCGTTTTAAGACTTGTGGGCTACTTTGAAGCTTCTAGCTCCTGCTACGGGTTGATTTATGAGCTGCCGAGATACGTTTCTCTTCTGCAAAACGCGTTTGAATTATCCTTGGCCGCAATCATGCCCATTAGTCTTTTGAGCATGCTCCAGGCCAATATCACCTCCTCAAGCTCCCAGTTTCCAGACTTGGAGGTTCGTCTTCGACTAGCATATGGCTTGACGTCGACTCTCTTTGAATTACACTCCCGAGGGTTCCTTCATCGTGGCATGAATAGTAACAATATCCTCTTGTTCCCCCAAGACAAATCGGCAAGCGGCACTTTCGTAAGATATCCGCCAATCGCCGAAAATAAAAACGCAGATCTTCGCAAGCCATACCTTTCCTCCTTTGATATATTCTCTGAAGATGGCGTTGATGCAAGCCAAGAATACAGGTCCCTGGACATTTATCGCCACCCCCTGGAACCTCGCCATGATAGCACGCGAAAGCAGAGATACTTCCCATCTTTTGACATTTACAGCCTCGGTCTTATCTTGCTCGAAATTGGCCTCTGGATGCCGCTCAGCAGCTTCTGGAAACACAAATATACCCCGGGCATGTTCAAGTCAAGGATTGAAACAATTTATGTCAAGAAGCTCGCGGCAAAGTGCGGAAGCTGCTACATGCGAGCTGTACAGCAATGTCTGGCGATAGGAGGTAGTGAACAAGTCAAACCCAAAGCTTATTCCGTCATCTTGGAAAGGTTGCAACGCTGCTGCATGATTGACGAGCATGACCCCCCACCTCAAATCTCGCCAATGCTGGAAACTCAGCTATCTCGAAACTCACCCGCCATCTCTTCGAGCTTTTCCCCATTATCGCTCTTCTCAATGCCCGTGGCTGGCTTCCCTGAGTTGGCGCTTCCTGCTTCGCGGAGCAGCCCGAGTCTTGGTCAGAAACAAAAAGAAAAGGAGTCCCAGTTTACCGTTCCCAGAAAATCCCTCAGTGCTGATAGCAGGATTTTCGACTCCAAACCCGCCCAATCCCCGATAACTGCATCACCGAAGCTTCAGCTAGAGCCTTTGGAAAGCCCGCCCAAAAAGCGCAAGATTAAAGTATATCCTGCCAGGGTGACGCCAGAGCTGCTATCTGATTGGCATGAAAATCTATTGCCTCGATTGGAGCGAATCTTGGAAAAGACTGTGAAAGACCCTTGTGAGACAGTGAGCATGGACCTCGTTAGTGCTGGCGAGTCCAAGGAGACTGCCAAACCCACCATTGTGGTGACTTGCTCTAGCGTGGTAAAGGTTAAGGCTGTTCTAAGTCGCCGTTTGAAATACGACAAGAGCAAGTACGAACTTCGCGTCCGGAAAGGAAAAGTGCGTCGATCAAAGGCTCCAGGCGGCCGCCGCAATGGCCCTCAGAAGTCACTGGTGAGCGATCCCGAGGAGCGAGATGCTTCCCCGGCAAATCCATTTCACCAGACACGCCCGCTTTGTGGAGCATCTATTGGAGCCTTCACGTTCAATGGAAATGGTTCGGGCGCAGGCTCCCATTCCGGTGCAGGCTCATATGGTGGCGTGGTCCTAATAGATGGCGAACCATTCGGGATGACAGTGCATCATCTGCTCGACGAGCCGAGTGATTTCGATGATAGTGATGCGGAGAGTAAAACTCGTTTGGATTCTGCTTCATCGGGCAAGGCTCGGCCGTCGATGGCAAGTAGAGGGGCCGAGGACCGTCGCTGGCAACCAATACAGACCGCTCCAGAACAGGGAATTGAAGATGACGAGGAGTACGCATACGAGATGACAGACGACGAGGGGTACAACGACTCTGCAGATGAAAGTCACTCGGAGCATACTGGGGAAGAATTCGACGACGTGGAAGAGTACAGTGAGGATGAGAGCGACGAGGAGTCTGACGATTCTTTTGGTGATACTGCAGGCATCAAGCCGGGAGACGGTGAGGGCTTGATCATCACGCAGCCCGCTTACCAGGATGTGGATGAAGGATTTTTCTTATCGTCGTCAGATAAAGACGGAAAGCACTTGAATGAGCATTCGCTTGGATATGTGCATGCGTCATCTGGATCAAGAAGACTCAAGCAAGGTGGCATCCATCACGAGATTGACTGGGCACTGCTCAAACTCCATGAAGAGCGTCTGCAGCCTTTTAATCTCGTCCAAGGCGGGAAGCGTTATGCTCGGAAAGGTGGCTGCCAGTCGAGGCCTACTTTACGGGACCCCGTCTGCCGCAATAATTACCACCCAGAGGAGGATCTGTACCCTGTGGAGGTTGCGGGGATGAATGATCTGGGCGGCAAGGAAGTGCACTGTTTTGGGCGTACGAGCGGCTTGCAACAAGGGGTTATCAATCCGGCCATGAGTGCGCTCAAGTTGAATGGTCGACTCACATTTTCCCACAGCTTCCACGTCTGGGGTAACTTTGGAAGTACGTTTCCTACACAAATGTCTTTGGCTGTCTCAATCTCACTCCTTCTGTTTCCATCCCATCCCCTCTGTCTCCGTATTCCTGTGGCGTTCCCACTGCTTTAAAGCACATTTGTCTTTGCTGCCACGCTTCAACCTTATTTGTAATATCGCTAACCTGAACAACGTACAGTGGGCGGCGACTCTGGAGCCTGGGTCATCGATAATGAACGTGGCAGCGTCTGTGGCCACGTCCTTGCATGGTCATCCAATTTCTTCACGACATACATTTGCCCCATGCAACTTCTCGTTCAAGATATTGCTCGCACCGTCAACGCTACCACCATTAGCCTTCCTCTCGGAGAACACATTGCACCCGCGACAGAGTCCTGCATAATGGCAGGTTTTGCTGGTCCCCGAGCACATCCTCAGCATCGATCGGTGCCGCTTGACATGTTCGCCCCAGCCGGTATCTATGCGCCCGAGGTGCCCTGGGACTTGAACGAGACCGAGGACGAGGGTGAAGGTGCCTACGAAGGCCGTGGTCGTTCTGAAGTCGGGTACTATGACGATGCCAATAAAGAGAATACCCGCACCGGCGACTACGGTGGTGACTACGCGTCTCAACTGACCGACGACGTAATGGACATGTTCAAAGCGCGCCTTCGTCGAAAAATCACCATCTCGGACTCTCTTGAAGGATTACGGATCCGATCGAGTCCAAGCCCTGAACCCGAGCCGGATATGCCTTCTCGCTCATCTACTGGCGCAGCATCATTGATGAAACCCCCTACTCGCCTTCCTCCTTTTCCTCCTTCTCCAACTGGCGCCACGGGAGCACGCTCACGCGCTCCCTCCGCTCCCTCCGCTCCTGGCTGCTCTCGCAAGGCGCCACTCCCGACAACTACGGCGCCTGCTGCTGTGCATCCTCGTCCGCATGCTCATGCGCAACGGCTGTCAAGCCAGCTGGCTCAGGGTTAGCAACAGTGAGCATTGCTCGTTATTTTATAGTTATCAGAATCTTGGTCATTTTTGTATCTTTGTCATTTTTTCTTCCATAGTCATTTTTCCCACATAGTCATAACTTCTATCTTAGTCATTACTTCTTTTCTTCGGCGTTCAGCATCTCAGCGTGTTCAATTTTCATGCCTACAATCACTTGCCGTATTTTTTTTTATTTTTTATTTTTTTTTTTCTCCTTCGCACACTCTCTCCTCTTCTCTTCTCTCTTCCTCTTCCCTCTTCCATACTCTTCCATGTTCTTCCCTTTTCTTATCCTTTCTTATCCTTTTTTTGTCCTTTCTAGAGTTCCTCATAATCTTCTCACTTTTCCTCTCACGGGATACAAATTTCAGTCGTGAACCATGGACTTGATACACACGAGGATAGTATATCCATATCATATCCATTTCTTCAATATCATTCACATATTTAGAAACAGTACCCATTGAGTCAATCACATAATAATAACGATGAGGTGTCTGGCAGAAGAAAAATTGCTATAATATAGAGTGCTATGATGATAATGATGACAATGATGATGATGGTGACAATATGATGGTGGTGAAGTAGATGTAGATGGAGATGGAGATGTACCTAGGATCTAGATGTAAAGGTAGACGATGATATAGATGATGTAGATGATGGATGGTGAATGCAAAAGGGCGGATAATCAATCTACTCGTTCCGATGCAGCAACTAGGTATGATATCAAAAAATCTGGGGTTCTTTATCCTTTTTCTTTTCTCGGTCGTATTTCATGCGTTGGTCCGTATCAACATCCCCCCCTTCCCCTCCGCCATTCTCCTTCCCCTTTCCCCTTTCCCTTTCCCCACTTTCTTCATCGGCGTAATACGAGGAAAGGGAGGCGCGACATGTGGGGTACTGTTTCCGTGCCCTGCCCTGCCCTCCCTTGTGCCCTAACAGGACAACTGCCCAACAGGACAACTGCACAGGTTCCCGCTTTAAGTAACCCAGTATGATTCACCGACACTGGATATAAAAGTGGTTCACTGATACTGGACATGAAAGTAAATGGTGGTGGTGATGGCTGTGAGGGGAAAAAAAGGAAAAGAAAAAGGGGAGGGAGATGGGGAGGATGAGGAGAAAAAAAAAAGGCTTATAAAGCGCCGTTTCCATTCGCTTTGATGGAATGGCCGTGACCATGACCGTGGCCATTGGCAGCGACGCGGTCAATGCCTGATGCTTTTGAAGCAACAGCGGGAGAGACAGAGATGGGGGCAGAAGCGCCAGTGGCCATCTTGCTAGCGTCGAGATCGTGTCGGGCAGCGTCGGCGGCAAAGGGGGATGCCGAAGTGGCAGTCTGGTTCAGCTGGATGAGTTCCTTGAGCATGATTTCGCGAGTGCGCGTGGTCAGGTCGTCGACGTCTTCGGATGTGAGGTTCGTAGTGGGGATAGGGTCGAGGACTGTTACATGAGTCAGTTGGGTTCGCTGTTTTACGGGATTATAGAACGAGATAATAGAACAAGATAATAGGACGAGATCATAGAAGAGAGTTTGATATGGTTTGGGATAGAAATGCCACGGGACGTGATAGTTCGTGTCAAGACAACGGGCCATAAGAGAAAAGAGGGATGGGGGGGGAGGGGAAACGGGGGAATGGAGAAATGGAGACGTAGAAAGGGGAGGAAGCGTTAAGATATGGGTACGCACCCTTGACAGGAATCTGGCCCGAGGTAAATTTCCGCTCCTTGACATTCAGCACGTTGGAGTAGTTTGCGACGACAATGGGGACAATGGGCACCTGCGCCTTGACAGCGAGATGGAAGGCGCCCTTTTTAAACGGCAACAAGTCCGGCTTGGTCGAGTAGGAGCGAGTGCCTTCGGGGAAAATGAAGACGCTTTGCTGGGAGGATATTAGCTCTGGTTCATTTTGATATCGGAATGGTAAATAAACACATGTAGAAGAGCAAGTGCCAATTGGAGAACAAAGGAATAGGAAAACGAACCTTTTCTCTTCGAATTTCTGCAGCCGCACTTTCAAATGCCGCCAGGGCAGTTTGTCGGTTCGCGCGGTCGATGAATACGGTTCCACTGAGTGCCACTGCCAATGGGTTAGCATTGAAAGTAAAAGACGGGAAAAGAGGGGAGGGGCAGGACGTACTGAACCATCCGAGAAAGGGAATGGCCTTGAGACTCTTCTTGGCCGTAACGCTGCAGTATGGAGGGAAGATTTCGCCGAGCATGAGCACGTCGAGTTCACTTCGTCTTGTCAGCCTTGTAATGCGCTTGTACTTTCTGCGTTTCCCCCCATCCTCATTGAAAACCAATCAACGAATAATGCCTTGTCCAAGTGTAATTTCTTTCATCCAGGGTAGTCCGAATATTTCCTCGACGGGGGAAAACCGCGTAACAAAGTTGTAAACTCACGTCTGATGGTTTCCAATAAAGACAGCCGGACGAGTCTGGAGGTTCTCCTTTCGATCCACTACAAACTCCACACCAGTGGTATATCTCATGACCCATTTAAACGAGCGCGCAGTCGCCCATTGGCTCACACGACCGTATCCGACCAGCCGGAGGACTATGGAAGCCACGACGCCGTACGTCGCGCAGCCGATCAGCGAGAGATATGAGGCGAGGAGGCGCGCGTAGAAGCCGCATTTTGGCAACGGTCCGAGGGACAGCACAAAGAGCATCAGGGTGATCGCGACGTAAATGGCCAGGAAATATTCCACGTATTCGATAAAGGACATGTTGTAGGAATGTTCGGTGAGGTGAGCTGTTCAGACCCCACTCCGCTTCTTATCAATGATTCTGCGTAAAATGCCGGGAGGACGGGCCCAGGCTCGTGGTGTCGCAGTCTCGCCGGGCGTCAAACCCAACAGTCGCTTGCAAATCAAAGTTCCCTGGGTATCCTGGCTCGTAATGCTTCCGGGGGAATTTACGCTCTGCGTGGTGAAACCGGTTGGATCCCGTTGAATACTTTGTGGTTCTCTCGTCCCTAATACTTTTCAACCCCGGAGTGAAGCGGGTTCGAGAAAAAGGTTCGACGTCGTGGCTCCGAGGTAGTAAGGATAATGGTGAATGCGGAGAAGGCGTCTGACCTGTTCCCAGACTGTGTGGAGGGGAAGGAGAAGAGTGATGATGGTGGTGGTCTTGTGGTTAGGGAATAATGTCTCGGATTTGCTTGAGTTTAGGTTGAATTAGTTGTGGTAGAGTCGAGTTAGTCTCCTCGGTGGGCGGTGAGTGACCGACAGGCACCGTTTGACGTGGGGCAGTCACGCTAGTCCTCTTTGGTTCTGGGGTTGTATTACTTGGTCTCCCTCTTCCCCATCTCTTTCATTGGCTCTTACTGTGTTGGTCCACTAAGTTATGCATCTTCTACCCTTACTCTAGTGGTAAATATTTTGATCCATAAGGTACATATGTTGAATAAATATTGTATAAAAACACATTTACTAGAAGCAGTTAGGGCATATAGATATACTAGCTGTATCTAGACTATCCTACCAACCATGGTATATTAACTACCTAATTCCACCCTATACCAGTACAACACCTTACCTCGACTACTAAACCCTGAAAGCATTAAGTTATTAACTGCAGTACAGTATCCTAGGACATACACTCATAACCTGAAGATATAATTAACTTTCTTATACTTTATAGTTCAAGGCATCAATTATATCCACGCGACACTATGACATACTTACCCCTGTCGTCATGTCTTCTGACTACGACTACGGAGGACTAATATACATTCCCACCATGACCATTCCCTCCTAAAGTAACCCTGCAGATGATAAGTTAAATGACATGTGAATCCAAGACCCCCATCCACCAAAACCCCCCCGGTCACAAACCCACAACCCCATCCTTATCAGAACTACCCCTGGTCTTCGCCAAGGAGCTCCGATAGTCCCCGTATCCCAGACCGCAGGGAATAATCCAAGAAAAAGAAAAAAACATCTTGTTGAGATGTTCGTTGCTCACCAGTCAACTAGCCCCCAACTTGCAGCTTGACCTTGCAGGCTTTACCCTGCACCTGCTGCAGTAACATTTTCATTCGCTACGTTATTGCTTCACGAGCATGCTAAAATTATCTTTTGGTTACTGAACACGATAATACAAAACATCGAATAATTGAAGCGTAATATTTTCGTTTCTAATTAATCATGCTAATACACCTACTCCTCACACTCATACGCAATTAAATACCGAGGCGGAAATAAAACAGACAGACAGACCCATGTTACATGTCACGCTCCCCACACACCCCTTATCCCTTGGACGCCATACAAGACTGTGACCTATCCCGCCATATCTCGACACCGTGCAAAAACTATTCAATGCTAAAATGGTGGAGGGTGAAAAAAGTTTGGCAAACACGAGAAAGAAGATAATATAGAGTGCAAGGCTGGAGGGCAAAGAAGAATACTACGCAGGAAAATAAAAGAAGGACCAGCCTACGCAAAGAATGTGGTAGTCCATATGAATGATGCGAAGAAGGATGCAAGACGAAAGGGGAGTATAGAGTCAAAAGAAGAAATCAGAGATAGCCTCCCATATGTGCTACTCAAGTAATAATGCAAGAAACTGCCATGATGCTAATGCTACCCTCGTACGCCACGTTTCATCGCCCTAGGGACCATTTCGTCTCACTTCGTCTCATGACATGTCGTCTTCGTCCTCCTCTTCTTCATCCTCTTCGTCTTCGAGCGACTCCATTGCGTCTTTGATATATTGTGCGGCCTGTTTTGCCCGTGTTAGTTGGTTGTCAATGAGAAATTCTTTCCACGTATAACCGCTGCGATTTATTCCATATATAACAGTATCGATACATACCTTTGGATCAAGATTGAGGGCAGTGGTAAAATGCTTAATCGCATTGGCCTTTTGATGGAGCATCTTATACAGTCGTCCCAAGAGGAAGTGCACATTCGCCTCGTCGGGGGCAAGGTCTTTGAGCAGCCGAAGTTCGGCAAGCGCCATATGGTTCTCTTGCAGCGTCATCAAGACGCGGGCCTTCTTGAATCGCGACAGTGCTGATCGTGGAGCAAGGTCGCATGCGCGAGAGTATTGGATTAGCGCCGCTTTTGGATTCTTCATCTTCTCAAGAACCTATCAGAAGACATGATTAGCCATTCGTCCATTGTAGGGATCGTGAGAAAAAAAAAATAGAAAGCTTTCTTACCACACCGATACAGCAGATTAGTACGGCATTTGTCGGATTGATCTCTGCCGCTGTGCGGAAATGCTTCTCCGCAACTTCGTACTTGCCCATCTTCTCGTAGACTTTTCCAAGACCATACCAGGCATTGTAATGCCGGCTATCGGCCGAAATTCCCTGGCGGTAACTTGTTAGAGCCTTGTCGTACTCTTCATTCGCGACATGCTCATGCCCTTGTAATGTGAATGCGTAGGCGAACTTGGGGTCTAGTTGCGTTGCACGTTTGAAGCATTTGAGCGCCTGGTCGTGTTCGCGCTGGAGCGAAAACGAGTTTCCTAAAGCGCACCATGCTTGTGGAGATAATCGATCCATGTCGAGCAGTTCGTGTGAGAGGAATGCCAATTCGACGTCGTTTTTCAGATGCCAAAGAATTGTAGAATATACCTCCATATCCTCCATCCTCGAGGGCGAAATGAGTTTTATCCGCTTAAAGTACTTTTCCGCCTCCACGTAATTGGCTTGCTCGTAGTAAGCTCTTCCCATTTGCGCAAGTACCCAAGGCGTTTCTCGCTGAGCCTGCGGCAATGTGCAGAATATTTGAAGCGCTTCTTGGCACTGGTAGCGTGTTAGAGCAAAATACGCCGCTCCCAACTTGGAAAAGACATCCAACAGCCATTGGAGCGCTTCTTGTTCCTTGGCGGCTTCGATGCTTGCGTGCCTCGCTGATGACGATGAGCTTGCGATTCGAGCCTCCTTCCCATCAAGATCAATGCCCTCAATAGGCTTGCGGTTACCACTCACGGCTCGGCCCAAACTGGATGCAGTGGCTGACCGGCCCTTGGCGCCGGTGGCCTTGGCCCTTCGCAGGTCTCTACTCTCTCGAAGCCCAATGCCTGCATTACTGGCTGTCGTGGCCTTGGTACTTGTCGGTCTAATCTGATTGAAGAGTCGCACACTCCGGCGTTGAGGAGCGGCAGTAGGGTCAGCGAGATGAGAAGAAAGGTTCGCCTGGCCCGTCACAGTGCGCTTCCGTTCTCCAGCCGCGCTGGCCGTGCTAGACGACCTCGTCGTAACCTGGTGATCACTATCATCCGCATCTCCCGCGAGGCGAGTACGCGACTTTGTCGTCTTGCGTAGTCTTGGGGGTATGTCCGCGCCCAAGTCGTAACCCAGACCTTGCAGCGTCCGTGTTCGGCGCAAAGGCGCGTGCGGGGGCTCCATCGGTGGAGCAGCAGCCATATAGGCTGCATCGACAGCGCTTGAATTGTTTGGGGGTGTCTCCAGTCCCTCGAAGCTGATTCCACCTCCACCGCCTACTGATGGAGCCATTCCGACGTGTACTGGCGCCTCACCATTCATCTTTCTGAAGAGATTCGAGGCAAGGCTAGATGAGCCAAACCCGACTTTCTCGTCTCCACTAATACCGTTTGTTGGTGCGCTAAAAGGATCATACGCCATTGGGGCAGAGTTGCCATTATTTTGTTGCGATTGCAGCGGTCCGACATTTGAAGGTGGCGGTGATTCTTCTAAAGTCCCCAGTGACCGTGGCTCGTCATGTGAGGAAGCTGAGAGGATCGCGAGCATCTCGGGTGTCATTTTGAAAATATTCGGAGTACGTATGTTCGCTCCTAGAAAAGTGTGTATCGAGTCAGACGCGATCAACAAAAAAAAAATCTTCGTTGTAGCAGCAATGCTTACCCGTATCACAGAGACCCAGAAAAGCATCCCACATGAAGGGATTTAACTTCAGCGCCTCGACATAGTATTCGACAGCCTTCTCTACATTATGATGCGCATGCCATAATTTACCAAGCAGGCAATACACTGCTGCTGCATCTGGGAGGGGTCGTCGAGTGGTCTCCGAGTGTTTGTCTATTGGCAAAGTCCACAGTCAGTTGCAACTTTTCTCAGTTCGTAATCTGCAGTGATCCACCCACTCCAATGATTTCTACCGCTCCAAAGACCTCTGCTCCGCTCCAGTGCAGCGATTCCTTCTGCATAACGTTCCAGACCCAAACATGCTTGAGCAAAAATGTAGGAGCATCCCAAATGAGTACCCCGCGCTCCCGGGCTCCTGCTGTAGTCAAACGCCGCTTTTAACTGACCGAGTCCCAGGTAGCATAACGCCACCAGATATGCGGCTTCTGAAGATCGAGGCTCATAGGCATGTAAGCGGCCGGCTAGGAAAAGGGCGTTTCTAAAGAGGTTGTTGTCCAGATTATAGTATATGAGATGTCGCAGTTGGTTCACGACGAATGGGTTTGTGGGCGGCATGATGAGATGCGGATATTAAATAATTATCACTGAATGAAAGACCGACGAAGTGTAATGTGTCCTGACAGTCGTCTTCGGCGGTTGAGAAAGAGGAGAGATGGGGTCGTGAATTGTTGTGGCGAGGCCCGATTCATTGAAGGTTTGTTGCAACTCAAGAAATACAGTATTTGTCGCACAGAGTTGTTGGATTATACCGGGCTTGTAAAAGTTTGTTCTTCAGTCTGTCGTGAAGAAAAAGTGAGGGTATCATGCGCCGCCGAAAGAGGACTGGTATGAGAGGCAGCACCTGGGTATGCGCATTTACGCCGGTTTAGGTCACGATGTCTGGCTAGTCAGCATCCGACCTGGGCCAAGGCGACATACGTTCGGTCGCAGAAATGAAATTGGACCGAGAATTATTGAGGTGGCTGTCACCGATCGAGACGTCCACGATATTGTCAGAGGATTTGATCGCAGGGTATGGACATATTCTGGGTTATTGTGGCCCTTTTGGTAAGAATCCTCGCGTTCCTCCGCTGTTGTGATGGAGGTTTGTGGTCGCGGGCTCTGGTTGGCTGGCGAGAAGCGATTGCCAGCGGTTGCCAGATGCAACAGAAGAGAAAGAGAGAGAACGGAAAAGTATCTCTCCTCTTGCGGCCACAACGAACTCTCTAAATTCTTCCGGAATGGGAACGGAATTTTACAGTATAAGCTGAATCTGAAGGGTTTGCATGATCAAAAATAAATAATAATTGTAGTCTGACTGAGCTTCTTTCTTCCTTGGCCATTTAGAAATCAAGTAAACAACCTGGTTCACTCGTCATGGTAGCTCCAAAGGGCCTCGGCCCGCCTTTTGGTGCCAAATTTGGCTGTGACTTGCGGTGTCTCTTTTTAGCGACATGTCTCCCGTTGATATCGTACTTCAAGGTATATGAATACAGCGGTTGACCACTTTTGCTGCCATTAATTCGCCACTCCGTTTCGTCATGGCTCAGGTAAGAATTCTATTCTGCTTCATCGTGCTCGGACATGCAGGAGCATAAATCGACTGACTCCAATTTATCGCTGCTATAGAAAGCGGCGAAGCAGCTCGCTGCCCGCAATGCGCAGTTGCTCAAACGCACCCATTTAATCGCCTTGAGCCTGCACGGTTTCTTCCTCCTTCTCAGACTTGTCCTCTTCCGCTCTCAGAGTACCAGAAGCACTCTGACTCCCTATTTGCTCCTCTCGGCACCTGCATTGCTCGTTGAGTTTTGGTTCGAGCGCATCGGTCGACCGAAATACGTCACCCGCCCGGGCAGCTCGACTGCAGAGCTGAAGAATAGTGGAGAGGATCTTGAAGCCAAGGGTCTCACCGAATACCTCTGGGACGTCCTCTACTGGACTTGGGGCTGTATCGCTGTGGCCGCCGTGTTCGGAAACCGCGCTTGGTGGCTTTGGGTGCGTTACATTCAACTGCCTAGCATTCCTCCTGATAATTCTGCAGATGACAAGGCTAACTGGACTTCATTCACAGATTGTTATTCCTCTCTATTCAGTTTGGTTGGCGTACACGACTTTTGGTGGCATGAAACAGGGCCTCGGTGGACTCGGCGGCGCCGATACCGGCGCACAAGCAACGAGCAACAGACAAAAGAAGATGGAGAAGCGCGGTGGCCAAAGGGTCCAATACCGCTAATAGATTTATTTTGAATTATTTTAGAATCCTATAGATTTCTTTTGGATTGTCTTTTTTGGCTCATCTCACAATTCTGTAGCATCTATTAAATAATGGGGCACCTGTATCATAGCCAGCCCCGCATCTCTATGTGCAGACTTTGCCAACAATGTTGACCAGATTTCATACTATTGTTTCCATCATACAGCAAGTCCGGGCCGAAAGACATCTTTGGAGACGTCACCGGGGGTAATTTCCAGTGCAGAAAAAGGTGATTCCGGGACTAATCATCTTTCTCATAATGCTGACATTGGCTCGCAATAACTCTGTGCAAATTGAGCACAGCTTCACGGTCAATATCCTTAGAAGCAGAAGACTTGGTCTTCGAGCTTGCTGACGGGCTTGGGCTTGACGTAGCCCTGAGAATCCAGAGCCTTCTTCATGGCGCTGACCATGGGCGGGGGTCCGCAGACAAGGATCTTAATGTCGCTCGCAGGAGCAGGCATATATTTCTACAGTCAAAATGAGCTAAGCGGATCATCAACCTTGATAGGCACACATCCATACCTTGATCGTTTCGGCAGTGACAAATCCAACGCCACCCTCCCACTTCTCGGGGGGGTTGTTGAGCACATAGTGAACTCTGAAACCGGGGTCTTCCTTGGCGAGCGCATCCAAATCCTCCTTCAGAAGAATATCCTCGTAAGTGACATTGGCGAATATGAGGTCAATCTCAGTAGTGTCGGTGCCGCCATTGCGAGGACGGTTGCGGATGATGGCGCGAATGATCTGGAGCATGGGCGTGATACCAGTTCCACCGGCAATCATACCAAAGTGCCTGACCATATTCGGAGTATAGACCATGGCGCCCTTGGGGCCCTTGAACTTCATCGTCTGGCCAATCTTGAGCGAATTGAGGTGCTTCGAGATGTTTCCGGTGGGGTAGCTCTTGACGAGGAGGTCAACGTGGCCGGGATTCTCATCGCCAGAAACGGGCGTGTAGGAGCGAACAACCTCCTTTGGCTGGCCGGGAATAGTGGCGGCGAGGGAAACATGCTGGCCAATGGGAAGCCCAAGGATATCCGTAGGGCTGGGGAGGGCAAAACGGTAGCTGGAATATGTCAGCGGAGGTTATCTCGGGAAAAAGCGACCAAGGAGAGGAGTAGAAACAGACATTGCGACGTTGTGTGAAAGGACCGTCTTCTCCTTTAGCTCGAAATGCTGATACTCGTTTGGCTTAAGCACCTTGCGGACCTCTATTGAACAAGAATAGCATCAGTAAGGTGTCCAAATTCATGCAAGGCAGCTCATAGCCTGTGCTTTCAAAAGATGCTTACGATTATTGTAAACCTTCCATCCTCCAAGGAGAGCGGCCACGCCCAGCGCATAGACAACCCACTCCTTCTTCACAATGGCGACACCGACGACAAGGAGCGCCGACGGGATGTAGACGCCATGAATGTACTGTGGGGAAAGGAACGACGCAGGCTTGACCTGATGAGCAGTAGCCATGGCGGAGAACAGCGAATTGACCTCAGATGAGGATGGAGAAAAAAGACGACGACGCTGAACAGAGAGAGAAATATGGAGTGAACAGTGTGTCAGACAAACATCCACTCGCTTCCCACCATCCGATTCGGCTCCGTTGGGAGGGTCTAGTTAGTCCAGCTATAACTCGTTCAGCTTCCCCCACAAGAAAGAAAAATGTCATATCATGCTGCTCACTATCATCCGTCCATGGACGCGTCAGCTAGTCTTTGGCAGTGATCGAGGCTTAATATATAAATAAATGAGAAAATATGATGCATTTACAAGATTTTTTTCTTGTTCTTGAAGATTCTCTAATTAAATACATAATCTTCGTCTCTTCAAGTTAACTACCTGGAAATACTGCTAATACCTGTGTGGTATCGGATCGTTAAGCTTATTATTCCGACGCCGGGTCTGTTGTCCCTATCCGGTAATCGACCAGGGACGGAAACCCCACTGGCAGTCATAACATTTCTACTTGGAGTACCTGAATCCCAAAAACAATATCCTCCACAATTCAATATCAGATTCCCTCGCCGACACCATGACCGGTCCAGCGCCTTTTCAGCTCAATGACACGGACCGTGAAATCTTATCTATGACTGATGAGCAATATCAGTTCCATACCTGGGAGGATCTGAAAAAGATTATAGGTAAGAAAGTTGCCTATTCATTGTACCATGTATCGTTATCCTTTCCATACCGCGGGGTTCTAATCCATATTGGCGAAAAAAAGCGAACAATGATCTTGCCGTTCTCAAACGCAAGCCTTCGGATTTGGTTCGATACATTGCATGGAGTAGCGGGGTCAAGGAACAATATGGGACAATTACAAAATACATTTGCGAAGAGCGGCTGCATTGGCCGCCACTGATCTCTGCGGATGGTGGAGTGGCGTTTACCTACAACAACCCCACCCCGTTCGCCGACCCGGCTGACTACAAGATCCTCCGGAACGACTGGCCGTACGGAGTCACGCCCGATATCACCCATATGGTGGTATGGCTGAAGACGCCAATCCCAATTGACTCGCAGACGGGAGACTTGACGCCTGAATCGCGAATGCTCATCGACGCATTTGTGGACAAGACGTTCACTTCGCGCTTGGGACCAGAGCGAGTGCAATGGTTCAAGAACTGGGCGCAGTTACAAAGCGTTCGTGGACTGGAACATGTCCATGTGCTCTTGAAAGATGCTCCACCGGAGCTCATCAAAGAGCTTACGGGAGAGTGACAAACACATTTGATAGGATTTTTTTGATTCTTTGCTTTGTTCGTGGACTGGAACATGTCCATGTGCTCTTGAAAGATGCTCCACCGGAGCTCATCAAAGAGCTTACGGGAGAGTGACAAACACATTTGATAGGATTTTTTTGATTCTTTGCTTTAGAAGGTTTATTATTAGAAGAGCGTACCTCCGTACCGCCGCCGCAGCATTTCGTTTCGCGTTCAAAGCATCAAGATCTTATCATATAGATAATCATTATCCTTCTAGTTATAGAGACCAATAATGCACGACTGGACATATCTCCAACATGGGCCCCCTTGTCCACCGTAGTCCCTTACCCCGCAAAACATGCCGATGATCTCCAGGGTCGCATGGGCCGAGGTGAAAGACAGACCATGACGGAAGAGGACCAACACCCTGAGACACGAGACTCCAAAGGGAGGAGAACACAACCCCAACTAAAACAACACCTTCTACAATGTGAAAATTTTCTCTCTTCTGAGCATCAATCGCTCATAATTGCTCCAAAAAAAAATAATATGAATATAATCTTCGCGCTCTAGCTCAACTTCCCGTCGCAAGGATGGCTTACATATACAACAGTCAACTAGTACGTCTCAAATCACATGGTCCTTCACTTCTTTCCCCAACCCTAACACTCATTTGCCCTCATAGTCTCAGCACATTGACACTCAAATTAGGATGCCTTTTCACTGTACCACATAATCCAAGAGGCTCCCGAGCCGTCCACATCCGCCGCCGGTCCCGCCGCGGCGCTCCCTGCGCTAGGCCATGCCATCGCAGGCTCTGTCGGCAGCGGCCTCTCCAATGTCGCAATATACCCCATATCCCTAATCACCACGCGGCTGCAAGTACAGCGGCAATTCCGAAAAGACCGCTCCACTGCCGATCCGGACGAGTACAAAGATGTAGTCGATGCCGCGCAGAAAATCTTCGCGCAAGAAGGCGGGATATCCGCCTTCTACCAAGGCGTGCTCCAGGACACAAGCAAAACCGTGGTGGACGCATTCCTTTTCTTCCTCGCCTACACTTTTCTGCGACAACAGCGCAAGACGGCACGCGCGGGCGTTGTCGCGCCCGGGGTCGGACAACTCCAATCCAAGACATTGCCTGTGCTCGACGAACTAGGTATCGGCGTATTAGCAGGCGCATTCTCGAAACTCGTCACCACGCCGATATCCAATATCGTTACACGCAAGCAGACCGCAGCAATGATAGCCGCGCGGTCCTCGACCGCTACGGCCTCGCAGTCCCTCAGCGTCAAGGATATCGCGCTGCAGATCCGCGAGGAAAAGGGCATTTCGGGCTTCTGGTCCGGATATTCCGCCAGCCTCATCCTCACGCTGAATCCCAGCATCACTTTTTTCCTGTACGAGACGTTTAAGCGCACTCTGCTGCCTCGGTCCCAGCGCGACAAGCCCAGCGCAAGAGCAACGTTTCTTCTCGCGGCAATTAGCAAGGCCATGGCCTCGTGCGTCACGTATCCGTTTTCACTCGCCAAGGCGCGAGCACAATTGTCGTCTGGTAATGCCGATGATGAAGAATCAGAATTAGAAACCCGTACCGCCCCGACTAGTACCGCTGAGACTGGTACTGGTACTGCAACTAATATTGGCACTGGTGCAGGTGCTGATCCCCTTGCCGCTGCATCCCTGCCGCCATCCTCTGCGTCATCGTCAAAACAGCCCAGCGATGCGAGTACACGTAAACGTAGATTGAATCTCAAGAATTTCAAGTTCCGAGTAACAGTCCTATCTCTCATTCTGCGCATCATTCGCACCGAAGGTCCCACGGCGCTCTACGAAGGTCTCGCAGGCGAATTACTCCGCGGCTTTTTCTCGCATGGCATCACCATGCTAGTGAAAGAATCCGTACACAAGTTCATTGTGCAGTTATATTTTGCCATTCTGCGCGTCTTGGATACGCAGCATCCCACGCTGTCCTTGTCGGGTTGGAGGACTTCTTTGTCCCCTTCTGGTTCGCGTTATCCTTCTTCGGCGTCGTCGGCGGCGGCGGAGGCAGCGACCGCAGCAAAGTCCTCGGCACAAGCACTTGCCTATTCGGCCACGCAGCAGACTCGCGCCGGTGTCAGCGCGCTCTGGGATAAGAGTCAGCAGGCGGCGCGCGAGGCAATGGATAGTGCGAATGACGCGGTAGAGTTTGTGACGGATTATATTGGCGATAATGGCGATGATGATGGTGGTAGTACTAGCGGTGGTAATGGTTCTGCTGGTGGTGGAGGGGGAGGAAATGGTCGAGGTTGAGAGTAACACAAATATGAATTGGATGAAACGTATATGCGAGTATTCAATTTTTGTGGGGATATGTAAAGCAAATGTGGGTAAAATTGCTGGCGGATCAGGAAAATAATGTGAATGTAACTTTCGATCTAGGTTGACCTTCAAAACTGTTGAAATTAGTACAAAGGGCCAAGTAATTTGACTCACGATATTCACGAGCATGCATTCCATACGCAAACACATAAGGCATAGCAATGACCAGTGATCTCAAAAGCAAGCAGATGATTTGTATTTCATCTACGTAGGCAATATATGTAACCGTTTGGTATAACAACTTTGATGAGAAAAAAAGAGAAGAAGGAAAAGAAAAGAAAAAGGCTTCCTGTCCCACAGAGTTATTTCCAGACCGCTAGCCCTCCCAAGTCCGCAGAATAAAACGCCACATTAGGTAGGTATTTGTACCGATTGTTGAGAAAATGAACAAAGCAGAATCAAAAGGACGATATAATGTCCCGACGCAAAAATAATTCAGCTCGAAAGACAACGTCGAGAGATATATGCAACGTGCGAGTTGGAATAAGAAGATAATCCATAGCGCCGTGCACTTCCTCTATCGATTCCATCAGACGCGTAAAATGCAAAGTTTGGCAGGAACGAAAAGCCAAGCAAGACACGCGAACTGGATTGGAAGAGGTCCAAGATTGGCGCAAATATCTAGCAAGGCGCGTATCGAGTTGAAATTGAAATCGGCAACGTGGCAGATCGCGAAATCGAGAATAAGACGCGTTTAACCACCGAAACCGTACAGAGTACGGCCCTGGCGCTTGAGAGCGTAGACAACGTCGAGGGAGGTGACGGTCTTACGCTTGGCGTGCTCAGTGTAGGTGACGGCATCGCGAATAACGCTCTCAAGGAAGCTCTTCAAGACACCACGGGTCTCTTCGTAAATCACTGTAGGGAAGAGCAATGTTAGTTTTCACATTGAAGAAACGAGGTGCCGAAGGTGGGATAGGAGGGGCAACATACTGGCTGAGATACGCTTGACACCGCCACGACGAGCGAGACGACGGATAGCAGGCTTGGTGATACCCTGGATGTTGTCACGCAAGATCTTCCGGTGACGCTTGGCACCACCCTTTCCGAGGCCCTTGCCGCCCTTGCCACCTATGAGATAACGTTAGCATTGAATAACCCTGATATCGAAACCAAATGAACGACGGTATTAATCTCAGATCAATCTAAGGTAATAATGGATAGGATGAAGCTATATCAATGTTGAATATGTTGATGAGGGCAGGAGTGCTCGGCAGACGCGTTGTGTTGCAACACCATCACGACTATCGCGAAGCGCGATGAAGCGCGACACAACGACGAAGGGGCAAAAATCGTGTAAGAATGGGAATAGTAGGATAATTACTTACGTCCAGTCATTGTGAGAAGTGGATGAATTTAAAAGAAGAAGTTTTTATGAAAGATGAAGCGTTGCAGAGCGACGCGTTGATGATGGATGATGGAAGTTGGGAAAGGTGGTGATGTCGTAGTGGGAAATGGGGTGAAAGGAGGAGAAAGAAGAGAAGGGGAAAGGTGGGTTCTTAGAATAAATACCTCAGCAGCAAGACGAGTGATCCAGAGTGTCTTTGGAAGGCAGCGAGACGGAGCTAAACTCTTCTCGGTTGTGGAGGGGGGCAAAAGAAATCGAAAATCCGATAGAGGCGGAAGCGAAAAAAGGAGCGTTACGAAGTGCTCAATTCCAGCACTTTGAAAAGGCAGTATTTGGGGGGGTCACTTTGTGCTGGAGAAAGATTCCATCACTTCACACGCACACCGATATGTACGGGAGGTACGTACCGCAATAAGCGGGACAGAGAGGTCGTTGTCTCTTTCCATCGGCTGCCGGCTGCCAGCTGCCCCTCCACAAAAGCTTTCGCCCGTTTCAGTTTAAGGTAAAGCTCATCGTCCAAGCGAAAGAAACCCGGAGCCTATCAGTTTTAGCGAGAAAAGATGCGATGGATCAACTGAATCCGGGCATGGTAAGGAATTTAAGCTGCCCCAAGTGGCCTGTCGCCTGGGTCGACGCGTTCCTGAGTCGCGACTATCAACCTCATCACATCCTGACAATTTTCTAAGCTTGTAGAGAACGTAAAATGACATCAATTGGTACCGTAACCACGTATAGAACCAGTATACGGACATATGAGGCACTCCTTTCCCTTTCCCTTTCTCCCATATCACTTCGCAGACTGAAGTACATCCATTCCGTAGCTCCGGATCGTTAAATTGACGATTCGCCCCGTTTGTTGCCTGCTGACCAAGCAAGTCTTTCCAACTCTCCCCGCTGGTGGGGTGAAGCAAAAATTACGCCGAAAAAAAAAAACGATCCACCACAAAACGGTTGGCAAAAAAGAATTCCGTGACGGGGAGTCGAACCCCGGGCTGGTCGGGACACGAGTACATACAGGCTAAGCCTGAGGTTGCGCTTGAGAGCGACCGATGTTACCGCTACACCATCACGGAGACTTGATGAAAGACTTTGGTTTGTAGATCCATACACATAGAGCCAGCCAACTACTAATCTTTGTCTACTCATATTTTGGCACTTAAAGCACAGGTTCGTGCCATTTGAAACTAAGCAGAATTGGTTACAATCTTGTGCGGACAGCTAGGACACTTCGAAGAAAACTTACCTGCTCATCGGTATGGCATATCAGTGTGTCATGTTTCGAACCCTTGGCACCAATGGACGCCACCACGGCATCCTCAGGCTTGGAATTCTTCTGCTCGTCCAGTTTGAAGCCTAGGCACTGGCACTTTTCAACTACTTTGGCACGCAGCTTATCTCCTTTCTCGCCGATGCCACCAGCAAATACTAGCGCATCGACCTTGCCCTCCAACTTCACATAATAACTTCCAACAAAGCCCACAATGCGGTCGACAAGGATATCAAAAGCCAGTTGGCATTGCGGATCATCTGAGGCTGAAATTTTGCCAAAGTCAGTGGTCCCGGTGAGCGCCTTCCAGCCGGACTTAAGATTCAAGATTTCTTCAGCCTGCACCCAGTCAGCATGAAATCAGTCGGCTTTTTGTCGTACGCACTTACAGTGCTGAGATGCATTTCCTTGGTGCTGCTTTGGCTTAATTTTCCGGCATCGCTGGTGTAATGAAAAACTAAGCTGCAGTATGTGTGAGCATGTCAATCTTCTGCAACATTCCCGGTGCCACGAACCTTGGATCAATGCTTCCACTTCTTGTAGCACCCGGCAATCCGGCTAGCGGGGTCAAACCCATCCTGATTTCTATCAGTCCAATCCTCTAACTTTCTGAGAGCGCGGGTGCTCACGTATTATCAACCGATTTGCCCTTTAGAACCGCGCATGCCGACGCACCACTGCCCAGATGAAGTGCAATAATATTGACATTGTCCTGCGGCTTCTTTAGAAATTCCGCTACTGCCCTTGTGATGAAAGCGTAACTGATTCCGTGAAAGCCGTATTTCCGCAACTGGTTCCTCTTTGCAATTTCTTGGTCGATGGGATACGTTCGGACACATTCGGGCATCGTATTGTGGAAGGAAGAGTCGAAATACGCAATATTTTTCGATCCTGGTAGCTCTTTTACGCAGGCTCGGATGATTGCTAACGCGCGAACATTGTGCCTATAGTCGTAAGTTATTGTACACTTTTGAGAAGGGCGTGCTGCACATACAATGGCGCTAAGTCGGAAAGATCTTCGAGATAATGGTATGTGTCGTGGTTGATGACTTGAGCTGTCGGATAACTGCCTCCATGCACGACACGGTGACAGGTAAAAGCAATATCGTTGCGGTTCTGGAGATCTGCGAGCCCTTTGTCTTGGGTCAAATGATCTAGAATGTACTTGAAGGCGTCATCCTGAGAAGTTATTCCGTCCAGCTCTTTATCCTTGATCTTCTCGCTGCCTCTCTCATATGTCAACTTCACAGGTGGAGCGGTCAAACCTGCCACTTGCACTTCAGCGAGCTGTGTGGGTGGCCGACCCTCCCCAACTGCCTTATAGACTGATACTTTGACGGAGGAGGATCCGGCGTTGATCGACAAGATAATTTTAGCCATGATTGATCTTTTCTTATTGCTATTGTTGTGGCTGTTTTGCTTCGATTCAAGTCTGATCTAATTGAATGGCGAGCTTCGAGGTCTTAGATGTAACCCAATGTTGAATAGAGTAGAATGCAACGTGTATATACAATACCTTGGTGGCCGATAGCTTCCCCCTGGACTTGTTACTGCAGTGCCATACTCAATTATCATACACACATTAAATCTTAGATGGTTCTTGAGTCTGACGTATCGGTCCTGGTTAATGTTTCGCAGGCAGACCGTGAGCCGAGGTATCTTGAGCTCTTGTTTCAGACCAAAAGAAGGAGGGTCGGGGCAATGAGCTCAACCGTGCAGGAATGTGGGTTACATCGATGTCTACGAATATTACAAGTAGCGGGAATGGGAATGGGAAAGGCTCTGTTTTCGTTTTGGATATCTGCTTTGGGCCTTTGGAGACAACCACACAGGCATGCGGAGAAGTCCATTCATAGCTCCGGAGCTAAGATAACACCCTCACAATGACGTCTGTTTGGTGCGATAACAATGGATCGGAGCTGGAGCGAAGAACATCCGATACACCCTCGCCGGAATCACCGGAGCGCATTGAACAGGGATTCATCACCAATCACGCCGGGATCATGACGGGATTCCTGATGAACCTCGGAATGATATCAGCTTTATCAGTCCACAATTGGCAGGTTGGGAAATGTAGGCCATCAAGGACGGTTCTGTGTGCTGTTCAACGTAATCATTACGGAACGATTCTTCTGCTAATGGCTGCATTCAGCAAAATGGACCTTGCATTAGAGCTATCTACCGTAACTCCGCTTCCGCTGAGCGTCTGTCTGGTGTCAGGCTCTTGAAAGTTTATTACCAAATGTTTCATTCCTAGGGACTGTCACTCCGTTTACACTTTATGTGCAAGATTGAGAACACATATCGGAACAATTCCGAGGCCCATTTGTTCACGTGTAGATTCGTCTTTGTAACCTTGTAGGTAAATTCCAAACGAGCAACCTTTTCACCGGATAGAGTGGCCGGCAACCCCTCCTCTGCGGTAGGGCCCCATAAGCCTTGATTTCTACCTTAGAGAGGCTAAATCAAATTTACACGTAATAATAGAGCTGTAGATAAATCTGACCGGATACGCAAAGAGAACCTCATCTAAATACTGCAACGAGGTTCACCTTTCTGTTTCATTGAAGACCTCTTTTCAATCTATCTCATCTAGTTCCAACCATGCCAGGAGAAGTCATCGATCAACCTAATCCTCCACCTTTGCCTTCCAATTTGCCGGACGAGTTGCTGTCTTTGTCTGTAAAGCTTGACAAGTCAATCATCGCAGCATCCACCAAAGATGGACTTGAGACGTTCTGGAGGGCCGCCAACTACATCGCGGCCGCAATGATTTTCCTCAAGGACAATGTCCTTCTCGAACGAGACTTGAAGTTTGAAGACATCAAGCCTCGACTCTTGGGTACGGGCTTCCTCTCAACTTTCCAGTGACAGGATGCTGAATTGACTGGTGCAGGTCATTGGGGAACTTGTCCTGGATTAAACCTGGTCTACGCTCACCTCAATCTTCTTGTTACCAAACATGATCTGGACGTACTCTATGTCGTTGGACCTGGCCATGGTGCTCCTGCTATACTTGCTTCACTCTGGCTGGAGGGCTCCTTGGAACGATTTTATCCTCAATATACCCGAAACAAAGAGGGTCTGCATAATCTCATTACCAGATTCAGTACTCCGAAAGGCTTTCCTAGGCACGTCACAACGCGAATTCGACAGAGAAGGATTCTTGCTAATTTGAAACAGCCATATTAATGCTGAGACTCCAGGCTCAATTCATGAAGGCGGAGAACTCGGTTATGCTTTGGCTGTCTCATTCGGCGCTGTCATGGACAAGCCAGATCTCATTGTGGCTTGTGTTGTAGGGGACGGAGAGGCTGAAACAGGGCCTACAGCGACGTGAGTAGCGAGAAAACTCTCGCGGTGAGCTACTATTAACCATAGCATAGCGCTTGGCACGGCTATAAGTATATCGATCCGAAGGAGTCCGGTGCCGTCATCCCAATCGTTCACGTCAATGGCTTCAAAATTAGTGAGCGAACCTTGTATGGTTGCATGGACGATAAGGAACTCGTAGCTCTTTTCTCCGGCTATGGCTATCAGTGTCGGTTTGTCGAGTCTCTCGAGGACATCCATTCTGATATGAGCGGATCCCTCGAATGGGCTGTGGCAGAGATCAAGAAGATTCAGAGCGCTGCTCGTTCTGGGAAGCCAATCACCAAACCCAGGTGGCCGGTCTTGATTCTCAGAACTCCCAAGGTGCGGCTCCGTTACGCCTCGTGCCATTGAATGACTTCTCGTTCTAACTGTTTTGTGAAAGGGCTGGAGCGGGCCGAAGAAAGTTCATGGAGAATACATTGAGGGTTCTTTCCATGCTCATCAGGTGCCGTTGCCAGCAGCAATGAGCGACAAGGAAGAGCTAAAAGACCTGCAAGTATGGTTGGAATCTTACAAACCAAAGGAACTCTTCACCAAGGATGGCAATGCTGTAGACTCTATCCTCAGCATCATTCCGACCAATCAGGATAAGAAGCTCGGACAACGGAAGGAGGCTTTTGACGCTTATACTCCTATCAAGGTGCCGGACTGGCAGAAATTTGGGGTGAAAAAGGGCAGCCAGGAAAGCAGCATGAAGTGTATCGGAGTGCTTCTCGATCAGATTCTCGTAGATAATCCACATACGACACGGATCTTTTCGCCTGATGAACTCGTTAGTAATAAGCTTGATACCGTATTTACACATACAGGCAGGAATTTCCAGTGGGATCAGTATTCGTCGGCTCAAGGCGGTCGTGTTATTGAGATCCTTTCAGAGCACACATGCCAGGGCTTCCTGCAGGGCTACACCTTGACTGGCCGAGTCGGACTATTTCCTTCTTACGAAAGCTTTTTGGGAATCATCCATACCATGATGGTTCAGTACAGTAAATTCGTCAAAATGGTGAGCGAATCGTTTCTTTCTTCACGCCGATTTACTAATGTCATTAGGCCCGAGAAACAACGTGGAGGAAGGCCGTCGGGAGTATTAATTATATTGAGACCAGTACCTGGACGCGGCAAGAACACAACGGGTTTTCACACCAGTATGCTTTCCGTACTTTTCCGAATTGCTTTTGTGAATTAGCAGTTGACATCCATCAGAAACCCATCCTTCATTGGTGCGGTGCTCAATCTCAAGCCAGATGCTGCAAGAGTCTATCTTCCGCCCGACGCGAACTGCTTCTTGTCCACCTTAGCTCACTGCTTCAGATCACAGGAGTATGTGAACTTGATGGTCGGCTCAAAGCAACCTCAACCTGTCTTTCTCTCCCCAGAGGAAGCAGATGCTCATTGTCGAGCCGGAGGCTCTGTCTGGAAATTTGCGAGTACCGAAGACGGAGTCGACCCAGATGTTGTCCTCGTCGGTATTGGGGCAGAGTTAACTTTTGAGGTCATTGCAGCAGCGGCGTATCTTCGAAGGCTGGTTCCGTACCTTCGTGTCCGGGTTGTTAACGTCACGGATTTGATGATCCTTGGATTGGAAGGCTCTCATCCCCACTCATTGGACCATGAAGAGTTTGATGCGCTTTTCACACCTGACCGACCCATCCATTTCAACTATCATGGCTATTCGAATGAACTGAAGGGCTTGCTATTCGGTAGACCGAAATTGGACCGGATCAAGATTGAAGGCTACCGTGAGGAAGGCACCACAACTACCCCGTTTGACATGCTTCTCCGAAACCATGTTAGCAGATATCACGTTGCCGAATCGGCCGTCCGAGGAGCTGCCTTCAAAAATGAGAAGGTCGGTGTCGAGCTCTCCAAGCTGTCAGCGCACATTGGGCATGATATCAAGAAAGCACAAGAGTATATCCTGGAGCATGGAAAAGGTACGTGTTGTTCGACCTTTTTTACTTGCGATCAAGGCTGACGGATGCGAATCAGATCCTGAAGGCACCTATGATACGCCAAAATTTTAATAAGAAGAGGGGTGCAAAGAATCACTCTTAATTTGATCGGCTCGAGGCTGAAAGACGTACGATATATTTTCGACGAGCGCGACAATCGTGCGGCATGGAAAATTCCGAGGCTGAAATTCAGAAACACTAATTTTCTTCCCACTGTCGATGACTTATGACGTCAAGTGAGCGATGTCTGGGAATATTTATCAATTTAATTAAATATATATTGATGATGGTTATTTTTGCGGCCTCCCAGTTCCGTATAGGGTGTTGGAAATGTCAAAACTGGAATCGTGGATTTTTCGTTGAAAGTATTCTTGAATCGTGTTGAAATTTAATACATGGTTTAAGACCAAGTTATATGACAGCGCTACAACTACGGGCTATAGCAGCTTATTCACAAAAATTGGCACCTATAAGCTAGGTATATTTTCATTCTTCCAAGGACACCTAAAATACAGAAGGAGCCCTATATACCGCAACATGATTATAATTCAAGTATATATCGCAATTGCGAGCATGTTCCTGCTCATTGTTTACCCATTACAATACTCAGAAATGCTGCAGTTCGGTTTACTTTCGGTGAGAGTCGCCCGACCAATTGCTTAGTAAGTATGCCTTATTGATGTCCTCCGATTACGGGGAAGACCAAAGAGAGAAGTATCCGATAACGGGGGCTAAAGTACTAAGCGAGGAAAGTCTTGGCAAAGATACCAAATGATTACCCGGCATACTAAACGAGTATATAAACCTGCCTCCCCCCGTCCTAGAATGCTTTTTTTTCTTTTTTCTTTAGCTCTCTTTGCCTTTTGGCTTAGATCAAGTGTAGTATCTGTTCTTTTCAGTTTAATCTCTGAAACGAGTCCATAGGACTCAATTCGTGATTATACTTATTTTTGTAACCCGCCGATGGGCCTCTGTGCTTGCGCATGCCCTTCGGCACAGTGTCACCGGTATTACACTGCCTCCGGTAGACGCGAAGTCTTTTTCATCTGACATTTTGGCTTGACCAAGGGTCTGAGGAAGAGGGCGACATGGCATCATCGTAGCAAACTGGATAGAATCGATGAATTAGAACGTTGTGGAGTGATATCTCTAGGATAATTTATGCAAATTTTTCTTAGGCTGAGGAGCGGTGGTGACATGTTTTGCGCCCAAGTCGGATTTTATTGCGGAGGCGTCTAGAAGACGGCCTCTTCATAAGAAGATCTTGCAGTGGTCGCTCATGTGTGATTGCGAGGAGAGGAGAGTGACTTGGTCAAACAGTTCCAGACCGATGCAGCTGTCCCCGAATGGTGGAGATACACATGGAAGTTTTGGGTGAACAACGCCCTTGTTGCAACCACCTTCCCTTCTCCAACATTCAAATGAGATTAGCCCTTTGCTGTAACTAAGTAGAATTAATTGCCAAGTAATTTTTTAACTCCATACATTGCGCTCTCCTTCCATAGACTGCAAGCTGCTGAAGGCGGTCAAGCGATTTGAGTGCGCGTTTCAGCTGTGGCGCGCCATAAGAAGAGGAAATACGAACCCGTCAAGTCATTCCCCGCCTGAAGTGCCCTGCTTGACTACTGCAACATTGCATCTATCATGACAGAGTCGCAAAAGACAGGTCTCCTCGACCTCGAGAAGGAGTTGACGTGCTCGGTGAGCATTGAAATTGTTCTGTTTTGCTTTTACCACGATAAGGCTGGCGGGTATCTGTTCGGTTGCAATCCTGACAACATTCACCCCGCCTTATCGACCATTTCATAAATAAAACTACTGCGAAATCCATGCCATCACATCGACGTTTGAAAATAACTGAAAAAAGAACCAGAACCTGAACAGAGGCTAATCTCTACAGATATGCACAGAAGTTCTCTACCAGCCATTGACACTCCTTGATTGCCTTCACACCTTTTGCGGTTCTTGTTTGAAAGAATGGTTCAGCTGGCAGTCCATACACGACTCGAATCGTATACCTTATACGTGTCCATCATGTCGCGCTTCCGTGCGTGGAACACGGCCAAATGCCACAGTTACAACCCTTTTGGATATGTTTCTCCAGGCGCATCCGGGGAGGGGTAAGACGACAGAAGAAAAGCAGGATATTGCCAAAAATTACAAGCCCGGAGAAAATGTCCTCCCTAAGCTATCTGCGCCGCAAAGAGATAGCAGTGAAGATGAAGACGAGGAAGAAGACCGGAGACTTGTTGAGGAGGTTCGAGAGCTGAGCCTCCGGGACATTGGAATAAGCACATCAAGTACTCCGGAGAGGAGAAGGCACCGAGAAAGAAGGCATAGAGAAGGTGATCATGCGGAAAGGACACAACGCAGTCGAAATCAACGGCAACATCGAGAGCAGTCACCAAGGCGTCGGAATGATCAGCTTTTGTCACCGCAGCGACAAGATCACTCGAGATCTTCCGATGCTTCCCGGTCCCGTTCACATTCTCGCCGCGTGGAACATCAGTCAAGTCTACGGTCACTACTCAGTAATTCGGACATTGACTCGTCCGAGATTCGAGAAGAGATCATGCGTCAAATATTAGAGGAGGGACTTCTAGATGGCATCGACCTGAACAATCTGGACGTATCGCAAGAGGACGCCATTAGTGAGCAGATTGCTGAGGCATATCGGAGAAGGCACCGTGGACGACAGAGCACAAGGGCCGAACAGAGCCGAGAATCTCCAAGGACAGAACCTCGTGTACAGACGCCGCGTGAGGAAGAGCCGAGAAGGAGGCAGCGCAGGAGGTCGCAAAGCGCTGCTGCTCAGCCGACCCGTGCTTCGGAAACGCCTCCTTCCCAAGCATACCTACAGGCCATTCCCCCAGGTGAATCTGAATATCGACAAAGGGCCTCGAGTGATACTCGACGCCGGCAGACATCCCCTTTGCCAACATCCAGCAGAGCTAGGTCCGACACTCGAGCACGCGTGGGACGCTCATCCACCGATCTCTCGAACAACCCGCGCTCTTCTACCTCCACTCATCTTTCAGCAAGTCAAGCCAATGCCTCTCAATCCACTCCAGCGTCCCGGCCATCTTCATCTGCATCTGCATCGATGAGCAGTCGGCCAGCGCTTTTCAACGAGCCGCGAATATTCTGCGACAAATGCGGGCAAGCGCACATCGAGTATGAACTACATTACCATTGTTCCTTGTGTAAAGACGACGACTTTGATATTTGCCTCCGTTGCTATCGCCTTGGCAAGGGTTGTCATCATTATTTTGGATTTGGACGGGCTGCCTGGGATAAATTTGAGAGACTGGCCCCTCCAGGGGGATACCCTCCTCACACAGCACTGCCCCATGTCCTTGCCGGAAGACGGTATGCTCATCCTAAGCGTGACCTTGTCAAGTCGCCAGCTGGCGAAGACCTCTGGCGGACTTCCGAAGACCCCTCGAAACGGCTCGTGCGAGGTGTGTTCTGCTCTATATGCTCCGCCCACGCGAACGATGTTTACTGGAAATGCGACGATTGTAACGATGGCGAATGGGGCTACTGCAATGATTGCATCAAACGAAACCGCTGTTGCACGCATCCGCTCCGACCACTCAAATACCGTCTCACTCTCATAGATGGCAAAGACGTACCTCCAAACACTGGCCCCTTCAACTTCCAAAAGCCACTCACAACAGTCGGCTCTTTGTATTACCCTGCATCACCAAACCAAGCTGGCGCTAAAAACATCGTCACCCTCCACCCACCTAGCACTTTTGCTATTCCTTTTGACCCAAATCGGTTTGAACAGCTCACAAATAGCACCAAGTGCGATATCTGTCACTACCCTATTCCACCGTCCAACACCCGCTTCACATGTCCGCAATGCAACGAGGGCGACTACGACATTTGCACAAACTGCTACCTCGGCCTTGTTTCCACTGGCCGAATCAGTCCCGAAAACGGACACCAGGGATGGCGCCGCTGCCTCCATGGTCATCGCATGCTAGTGGTCGGATTTGAAGACCGCGATGGTGGCCCCAGACGCGTCATCGTGCACGACATCGTCGGTGGTCTTGCCCTACGGGACGAAGAAATCGATGCAGCAATGGCAAGCGTCGGTTTTACTGGAAACCCCTCCGCTGGAATGACAGGACCAATCGAATCAGCAGCACCCACCTCGTCTCCTCGTCCAGGAACATCCGGTACTCCTACAACAGCAACAACTTCCACAACCGCAAGTTGGGTTTGGCAAGACCAACCGGGCGGCGCCAGATCCTCGCGTACTGTCACGAAATCGTTCCCCTTTGCCTTGAGCCAGGGCGGCACCGGCAGAGCCAGCGGCGGTGGGCTCGTTAGTAGTGCCGGTGGTAATGGGGCGGCGGCGCTTGCTCCGGATAATGGCGCCTCGTTTGTTCCACCCACTCGATACCCTCCTGACGGCGGCGTCGGGCTCCGCGTTCGTGCTCTCTGGGGTTATTTCCCCGCCGACGGCGTCACGGATGAGCTCATGTTCCCCAAGAATGGGGAGATTCGCGAAGTAGAAGACATTAACGGAGATTGGTACTGGGGCAGATATGCTGGTGCCAAAGGCCTCTTCCCAGGCGGCTATGTGAAGATTTTGGAGATTGTGACTTAAGTCGCCATGCTCTTTGGTGGCAGACCAATAGGATATATGTAGGAGTGGGGTTCACGGCTTTTGTTGATGGTATGTCTGATGGTATGTCTGTTGTGATTTTAGGGTTTAAGGAGCTATATGAGAGTAAAAATGAGGAGGATCATGAAGGGTATACGTAGATCCTGTCGCGTCCTGGAGAGATTTTTGTCCTTTTTATTTCATTTCATTTCATTTCATTTTTTTCTTATGAGACACAGATGGCACGGCATGAAATGCATGAATCGCATGATTATGATGAGATTTAAATTGGCATAGCGGAATCCTATCTTTGATTCTATTTTGGATATATTCTGATTCCGTGATCGCGTCATGTAGCGTTTTCTTATTATACGCGCTCTATGTTCGGTCCGTATACTGTCTCTATACTACTCCCTATAACATGCCAATGCCAAAGCCCATTCCCTTTTACGCGCTGCGTCCATCATGATATTATATATCTATATAGTCGATATTTTCAGAAAACCTTATCCACAAATGCTGATCTCTCTCTCTCTCTCTCTCTCTCTCTCTCTCTCTCTCTCACACACATACATATGAATTTAGTTGCTCTTCTTCACTGGGCCGTTTGATTTGGCGCTCGCAGATGAGGTAAATGCGCCTTGGATGTTGCGGTATGCTTCGTACAGAACCCACAACGGGATCCACACCCACAGGGTGTTGAAGAAGAAGAGGTAGACCCATCTGTAAGTTGCGATAAAGAGGGGAAGGAAGTATGTTAGTTGATTGCTCTGCGTGTAGCTTTGATGCTAGAAAAAAGGGAGCAAAATGGGGAAAAGGAAGGGGGGAGGGAGGAGGAGGAGGAGGAGGAGGAGGAGGAGGAGGAGGAGGAGGAGGGAGAGGGATGGAAGCGTACTTGTACATGAAGTTACTCGTGTTGAGGCTCAAGCTGCCGCTGAGCCATTCCGGAGCGAATGTCATGAAGCCTAGATATCGAATTGGTCAGAAAGTTTATCTTGTTTCTTGGAATGAACGCGTAAGAAAGAAAGAAAGAAAGAAAGAAAGAAAGAAAGAAAGAAAGAAAGAAAGAAAGAAAGAAAGAAATTTCGGGATCAAAAGCAAAAGAGATAAACAAATAAAAGAATAAAAGAAATAGAAAAGATTTAAATGGGAAAGATATAACATACCACCATACAGCTCCGCCGTCGCAAGCACCGTCGCCCAGAACCACACCCGATCATCTCCTCTGCGAACCATATCGCAGATCCACGCGGCCAACGGCCCGCCGCCAAACACTGTCAATATCTCCAGCGACACGACGCACAAGTCGGCCTCGCCCCAGCGCGCGTCCGCTTTGGCATATTCCTGCCATAGTTGCGCAGTCGCAGACGTGCCGTAATTGGCGCCGTATCGTCGCAAGGGCTGCGACAGGAAATTCGTGGTCGACGGACCCGCCGTGCTAGACCACACGAAGAAGCAGTTGTATAGGAAGGATCCTTCGAATAGGAAGTGGATCAAGGCGTCAAACATGTGCCATATGAAGAGGACGCGTTGTGTCGTTGTCGTGGTTGCGGCGGGCTGGACCCGGCGGGAGAGAGCGTAGGCGGCGCCGAGGAGAAAGACGGTGGAGAGGAGGGAGAGGATAGTGGTTTGGTCGATGACGAGAGGAGTCTCGGCGGGGCTTGCGGAGGAGAAGGAGGAGGAGGACATTGTGGCTCGTGGCAGAGGCGAGGGGGGAGGGTGTGAGGACGCCTCCGGGTGTGGTTTCGAGGGGAAAAGGGACGAGGGAGAAATGTGGTTGAGAGTTTTGTGGATCACGGAGTATGGTACGGAGTAATGAAGTGAAAGAGTTCGGGTAAGGAGTCGCGTAAGCTAAGATTTAAGGTTGCCGGGGGCTAGCTGCTTGTGGGTAAAACTGGACCCTGAAGCGCTAAATGATGTAGTTAAGGGTCAGAGCAGAAGATTCTGATTTGAATGGTTAGGTACACATGTATTATAGGGGAAAGTTTCAAAGGTTTAATATTACTTGAAAACCCAAAGATACACATAAATCTGATGAAGTAAAATTTAACAGTAGTGGATTTCATTGAAAAATCATCAGGAGAGCATATCCAGCATAGCTCTGATCACGACGTATCATTCGATGCTAACATCTGGGTATGAGCCTGCACGGGACTGTCTCTGAACAAATAATCTTCTTAAAAGTTCTAATCTCCTGTTCCAACAGAGGGGTGTATGTATGCTACCAACTGAAACGACCTTTCCGAACGAATATATCTAAAGATTGTGAGTCGAGGATCCTGGACACACTTTGCGAGAGAACTAACCTGCTGTTCTCTTCAGAGCATCAATATCAGATTCAGTCGAATAAGTGTCCATTTCTGGTCGCTGAACTCCAGTCCGTCGGTGAGGAGGAATTTGTTGACCAATATATCCGGCTCGGCCAAAGTCGATGACTGTAATTGCATTCTCTTTATTGAACATGAGATTGCTTGGCGAGATATCATAGTGCACCACGCCAGCTTGATGTATGTCATTGACTGCTTTTTTGACCTCCGGGATATATTCTGCTGCAGTATTGATATCCATACTAGAAAGCCTCTCCATTCTGAAGCCAAATATTCCTCGTTCATCGACCAAGGGTTCCGGATGAACACGAACTGCAGGGGCATCTTTTTGCAAGAGATGACAGAGGACTGAGAATTCGTCCTGAAGTAGCTGCCTTTGTCGATCATTGATTGCGACTTTGCATATGGGGAATTCATCTGCGCAAGCATCCAAAACTCTGATGTGGGCATCCGCTCCTTATGTTAGAACCCTCGATCTCTTCCATAATTCATCAATCTTGGTGCTATGCTGCACTGCAGTGATGGATGCGCCGTCTACATGTGGAAAGTCCGTCAAGTCTGGTGGACATCTCCAGTCGCCCTCCCAGCATAAAAGGTATTCTTCGCCTTCAAAATCGATGTTGATGGATGTATTTTTATTGGTCACATATGTTATTGTGATTGGTTGTGCGGGCATCTTTACGATGAGTAGTCTTCAATTCTCTTGAGTGTATCATTATCGGAAATGTGAGAATGCCTAATGAGATATTCATGGCCTTGAGAAATAGATAGGATTTTTCGATACAGAAATGCTTAGGTGGCCTTTCAACATAATGATGCCTGCTCAAATCGAGTGAATAGCCGTAGCGAGAAACAGTTAGATATTTGACTGGGAACTTCACTATTGATGAGTTAACTCATTGGGTATATTTAACCGAGAGAGACGCCAAAGTGCCATATGGTGCCTGAATCCATGCTCAATACAGTTGAAAAACAATTCTTGTTCATCGTTGTCTATAGCTTTACATGACTGCCTTCAGCCTTAGACGTGGAAGAAGATGGCTTTTTTGCGAAGCAGAGCTTTAATCATCTAAAAGGTAGACGACCATAGCATTGCTTCGATGAGAGATCTGGCCCTTGTCAAAATTCGACTAATCATGTGCAGAGACGACTCGTCGATAAAGGCGATTGAATGGAGTCATTGCATTGAACAGGGTCTATTTGAATTTATCAGCTACCCCCAAGGCCCCATGCCAGAAAAATTGTAAGCACTAATATCTGTTAGGCGGATGCCAAGACTAATACCTTTCGTATCGATTCAAGTTGGAGAGCCCATATGCCGATTGCTCATACCCACGCTTTAGACGCCGGTATGCTTGGTGACAAACGAAAGAGAAAATCCTCAATTTGGAGTCGTCAACCCAAAGAGTCGTGCCTGCCAAGGAAAGCTTGAAGTTTGCTCAGCCACTTTAAATGATTGCTAGAAGGTCGTTGCAGAAGCCACGTCTCAGTATCATTAATAAGCAACAAACAAACGAGGCGCAGTTTTCACGATGGATCTGAAATACGGCTGGAGGTTGCATCTAGGTTCCCAAGTAGGGAATAACGGGAAAGAGAGCTGAACCAATATTTTTCACTCTGGCAGCGAGCAACTGCTAGTCCAACTGTCAGTCATGACCTCTTACACTTCCCCATGGGGTGCGACGTGGTGCTTGTAATTGGCCATATTGACGTAAAGTTACAGGGCTAAGCGATTTTGCAGGCTTCCCCTTGCCTGTCTTCCCCGCGTTTGTCGACCTCTATCAACAAAAGCATGGGAACAGGCAAGAGCCGGAGATTCTCACTGTCAGTGTATCATTGGAATTCAGTTTACTATTTGACCGTATAAGCAAATGCCTCCATCGGGACAGCTTCGTTACTAATATACCGCGTGAGGTCAGTCATTTGTTACCATTACTTGGGGGCGGTAACCCCTAAGACAGGGGAACAGAAATCACACTTGGACGGTTCAGCGATGGCGCAAACCTGTGTGGCATTCGTCTGTCATGATTGGAGCAACACTGCAGGCAACTTTGCTAGGCAAACACTTTTGGTACAACCAAAGGACGAACATGTGCTCTGACTTTTGCTAAGCAAAAATGACAAGCTGTTTTTGGGGAGAAAGGGTGGGGGATCCGCTTGCCTGCGCACTGCGTCGGTCCTTGAACCGGCAATGCCTATCCTCAGAAAGATGAGGCTGAGGAACGAGTCCCGTCTCTTATTATTCTCTCTTTCTTGCCCATTTGGCCGGTCTCATCACAAGTCCAAGCGTTCTTAGCTGGGACCAATCGTTTCTCGGATACCTTTGGCCGGAAAACAGCCTGCATTTATCTTTTGCCACTTCAAAAGCTCTGACGAGGTCACAATCTGATCGCCGCTTTATTTCGCACAATCTCTTACGGAATTACCTAAGCACTGGAAGTTATCGGGCAAACTTTTGTTGCCTGGCTTTTCGACCCTGTCTATAAAGTCGACTTGAGGATTAAAATGAGGAGCAGCTGGATGCTTCTCAGCAATATTCAAAGGCCACTTTGAGCTCTACGCCTATCCCTAAGCACTTTGCCGGCCTCTTTCAGAGACGGCGAGCTTGAAGTCGTACGGCTATAAATTGCTGCCAGCTGTGATTGCAATTCGAATAGAGCCTTGCTCAGATGGCGTGGTCTGGAGTGGGAATTGGCGATATCCTTTCAGTCACAAAGCTGGCATGGGACCTATATCATAACTGCTTCCTTGTTGCTCGCGAAGCCCCAGATGAGTTTCGGCAGTTGGTGAATGAGCTTGGCTCATTGCAGAGCGTATTACGCACCTTGCGCGACGATGTTAATTCCGACAAGCAGTTCCTGGATCGAATGGGGGAGCAAAAGAGGCAGACACTCCAACGCTGTTTAGCCGGCTTATTTGACACGCTTCGAAAACTTGAAAAGCTCGTCATCAAGTATCGGGAGCTGGGAACTAGAGACGGATTACAATTTTGGAGGAAGATAAAATGGGTCACGGAGCAAAAGGATATCTCAACCCTGAGAGCAAAAATCATGCTGCACAGCTGCAATTTGAGCCTCTGTATGACTGCAATTGGGAAGTAAGTTGCCCTTGCACCGAACCAATCTCCCCGCAAGTCATCTCTTTACTAAAAATCCGCAGCTCCTCCTTAGCTCGGATAGAAAGGATATCTATCGCCGCACTGAATCGCCAGCCGTCCGGACAGGAAAATGAAAATACTGCGGACGAATCTATGGAGGCCATTACACCTTCAACTACGGTTGATCAGCCCGAGGTGCCTGTTGGCTCAGCGGCAAATGCACAAGATCTCTCTCGTCGACTGGCAGACTTTAAAATGATGGAGCGCGGCCCAGCTGACTCGGCGTCTTCCTTGAGCGGAGATGACGGCCCTTATTCATTCCCAATAACAGCAAAAAAACGCTCGCCTCTGAGCAATAAAACTAGAATGGGGAGTGGATCGAACGTGGTAGATCTCAAGGGGGTTCCGCCTAGTCCTCGACAGTCTGTCGACAGTAGGGAAGGACAAAAAACTATCATACCAGATAATCTGTCTATGGAAATGGCGGTAGATGTTCAGAGCGAACTTGGGAAAAATGCTCTAGAGGAAGTTGTCGAAGAGGCAATGAAGGAATTGTCAAAGGTTCGGTATCGCGAACAGAAATCTAGACCTTTACGGATTGTACCTCAGAGCTCGGTTCATAAACCAGACGAAATGCTGAAAAAGGAGTTTGAGAACCTCACTAGCGATGAACTCAAAATACGAAGACTGAACGCTCGTGACTGGTTGAGAGTAGCGACTTGGTGGTTATTGAAGGTGCCTATGCATATAAATTCTTACTGCTGAATTTAGGTTGCTAATGCCCCTGTGCGGAATGAAAGGCCAAGAGTGGACTGGAAAGATGCGAGCAAATTCTGACGACAAATAATCGACCGAGTTCCAGTCCTTCGCACGACTCTGCACCTTCGTCCAGTCAAGCTTACGTTGATCTCTTGAAAGCATCATGGATACTGTACGACATAGTGCTAACGAATGAAGATTTTACCTCATCATTACAGACTGATGAGAATAGAAAACTCTTTCTATATCTTTCTGACGTATGGACCTACCTTTTGCTCAATCTTTGCAATTCTGAGGACGTACTAAGACAACTTCCAGGCAATTAATGAGAATTGGTCTCTTTTTCGCTTTACCGAAGTCCCAGATAAGACAATGATATATCGTCAAGATTTGAGCATCTGGGAGCGGCTTCAACCTGGGGAAGAACTGGCGGGGTTCGATTCAGTTCTTCCCGTACTCGAGAATGACAAATGGATTACAGTGGAACAAGATGACGCTGGAAATGAAGATGAAAGGGTCTTATTCCGAACTTTTGTCAATGCTGAGATTGGCGCAAAAGCATTGCGTATGAAATCTAAGGGAGCCCCATATCTCCTACTAGTATCGACAAAGGAAGGGCACAGCGAACCAATTGTTACTCTGTGCAACCAAAGTGGATCTCTCAATCTTTCTAGAGACTGTATATTCTTCCGTAACCAGAAACGTATCATCTGAAGATCTTCCTGACATGAGAACCGTCGCAGTAACACCCAAAGATCTTGTCGACGCTCCGAACAAAATTGGAATGCAGCCAGTGGCTGTTCCTTTGAACTTTGACCAAAGCCGAGTGTCTTTATCATTTACAACCAGCGCCGGTAGGGCTGACCTTCAAACAAAATGACATGTGATCACTGACAGGAAAAGACCTTGACCGCTTTATGTACATTCCGAGGGAGTACTTTAGAGCAGTCAAAAGAAGGGAACCGCGAGAGTTAATTGATGCAACGGAAACACTGATTTTCAGAAGGTAATTGTAAACTTCAGCGTCAAGAAACCTGTCACACTAACCATGTATAGTGCACTGGAAATGTACGAGACACTTAAAGCATCAACGATGAAGCCTTGGAACCCTCGACGAGTGTGGAATTCATGTGATCTGCGCGTGTTGGAGACAAGTGGAAGGGAGGGATGGCGGACAACCCGACGGCTGGTCATAAGCTCCTCAGCAGCAGAGCGTGATCCTTGGTGTGTCGAAATATGTAAGAGCCTTGGTATTGCATAGCGTATAATGTCAGAGGTTAATTTTAGACAGTTCTGCCCATGAGTCGAGTCCAGGTTCAGAGGCAAAGCGGCTCCAGACAAGTGGTAGCAAGATGGTCTGATTGTGCTCAAGAGGTGATCCGATCTGATGGAAAATATCACAACATCTATTCGTACGTCTACGATGATATGGCACCAAACATTGGCATAGACATTCATTTCTCATCAGAAATGGATGCGGAAGCCTTCGAGAGGGTGGTCTTATCACTCAACCGTTCCCCTACAAAAGAATCAATACTCGGCGAAGAGAAGCGCGCCGTTCATGAGATCTACGACTTGGAACCGAAACCGATGCACTACAAGGCATTGATGATCACTTATAATAACCTAACATGGAAGTATTCGGAACTCTACTACATGTACGCCGACACAGACTATCGCTACGACCATTCCAAGTTGAATTTGCATCTCGACAAAGTTTATCGTGTCAACTACGTCTCTACTCACATCGAGAAGCTCTACCAGCCACCAAAAGATCAAAGACCCTCTTTTTCTCACTGCGAAAGAAAAATTACACACATTAAAATTCAGTTTAACGACGAAGCCGATGCGATGACTTTTATGGGCGCACTGACATACAGACATGAATTGCTCTTTTCTCGGCGGGTCCGGTGGATTAAGGCAAAACCCCGTTCGCGCTTTGGATCGTCCAAGTCCAACAAGGGTGCCGCAGAAGTACAGATTTGGCGAAAAGCAAATCAACTGTGCGTGGCCAGTCGGTGGGGAGATCATGTTACGGACAAGTGGATGACTATGATCGTTCCTCGAAATGCGCGATCCTTTAGAGATCATCGTGACTCGGACCAAGCTGTCCTGCAACAAGTGGAATTCCGTCGGGGCAGTCAAATAGACATGAGCAATCTCGTGGCGCGAGATCCCAAAGACCCGGCACAATTGAACAAGACTTCGCCCGTGACAATTGTTTTTGAGACTGTGAGAGGTGCGTTGTGGATTTGTTGCTTCGCATGTATAATATTTTCGTGACTGAATATTTTGCCTTTTTGCTGACGCAATTTGATGTTGCAGATTGTGACGAATTTGTTGCTATACTGGAAGGAAGCCCTTTGCCTCCGAGAGGAAATCCTACTCACATGGAAGGACTTTTAGGTAACGGAATTGCTTGGACCACGAACTTTTAGAACCATTCACTCGACCCGTCCTACATGTTAGCGTTTAATCGCCGAGAAGCTTCAAGAGGTCTTTCTTGTCCTTTTCTTTTCGAGTATGTCATCACAGGTCGAACAAAACTTTACTGACGGGCGTAATTGGACCTTTCTAAATCAACTTCACAACTCTCTTACCAATGTTGTGTTATTAACGGAGGACACGAGCTATGATTATTATGACATGATGGGCATTTGCATTAACCAATTGGCTTCTGATACTCAACTTTATGAATATATTTGGTATAGTTACGCAGTCACGACTAATTTTTTGTCGAGCTATCGCGATTTTATTTTGTTGTATACCACTTTCGGAAATTATTCGTGTATGTTTATTACTTGGGCTTCAAAGCTTCCTTTTTTTTTTCTTTTTCGACATTCAATATTGGGTTTCTCTGTCAACATCTTTCAAGCCCATCCCGTCCACTTGATATTCTTGACTTTCCCGAGTTTTATTGCTCGTCCTATTTACTACTTCTACTTTTTGCTCTTCTTTGCCTCTTCCGATGGCACGACCAGATAACTATATGAGCTGGTCAATAAATTGCTAAACCAATACAGCCGATTCATCTAATGTCTTCTTACTCTTTCGGGTTGTCTTCTATTGACTGCTTCGTCAGACCATCGAGGTGTCCTGTCAAAAGACCTTCCACGATGTCTCTTGCCCTATTGACTGTCACAAATTCTGCAATTGAGCACATATAAATCAAGTCGAATTTACATACTCTGTCTTTGTGCTTTTTTCCTCTTCATACTGTTAACATTTCCTGAAAACGTCATCATCGCCTCATTGCGAACTTCTCTCAGCACGGCTTGAAGTTCAAGTTCGAGACCGCATGCTTCCCAAGCACTCTCACCGTCGGCTCATCTATCAACCATCATACCATTCCACACCCGCCACTACATTGTCATTTGACTCGTCCTAGCTGCTCCCCTGTCACTTCAACCAACATCTTTATATTCAACACCCAACACTCCGCACCCCAGGTAGGTCCACCACTTGTTCATCTTATCTTTCTCTCAAACCTTTCACCATCTTACTCCCTTAATTTCTCCCACATCATCAACACTACATCTAACCCTTCATTTTTCTTTCATCTACAATTCAGATCGACACACCCACACTACACCCTCTTTCGCCCAGTTCCACCCCTATATCCCTTCCACATCTCCGTCCGCACCTCACATACATTTACCATACACCCAATTTGCCTCTCTTAAATAATCTATGCAGCCCATATAATCCAAGTAAGGTAAGTACCCGTACCTATCCTACCTTTGCCTCTCCGCTACCCCTATTCCGCTATCTCTGTCCCACTATGTTTATCCTGATCCCTATCCCTATCCCAGTATCCCAGTACCCCAAACTTTCACATTTTCTACACTTCTACACTTCTACATTCCCGCACTTCTACACCTTTACACTTCTGTACTCTTACACTCCAATCCAACTCCAAATCTAAGCCATAGAATCCTCAGAGAATACTGCATTTATATTCTTCCCCCCTCCCCCACTTTTTTTTTTTCTTTTTTATTTTATTTTGATTTATTGTTTTTTCTTTCTTTCTTTTTCTCTTTTTTTAACAGATTTATGCCCATTTCAAAAGGTTATGCCCCTATTAACACACTTACCCGCCCTACTCCACATCCACATCCACGTCCCATGACCCTTGACTTTCGGTGCGTTTACATGTTAGATTCTGATCCAACGTTACAAAGTCTGCCGCTCTGCGAGTCTGCGTTATGGTCTTTACGGGGCAGCAAGGTTTATTATCTGGATATTTATATTCTGCATTCTACATTCTGCATTCTACATATATAGACGTTTATCTCTTTATGTTTGTGGGTTTTGTATTTACATTTCTACCTTGCAGACTTATAGTCTCGCGCTCTTGCTATCTTGTGTTGTTATGCTGTTATGTTGTTATACTCTTACATACCTTACTCATGCTCTTATTACCCCGAGCTCTTACATCCTGATTCCTGACATTTTACAACCTCATTTTTATAGCCTCACAGCGCAGTGCTCTTACATCCTCATTCTTACAACCTTGCTCCTGACCACTGTCACACTGTCACACCATCAGACTGTCAAACTGTCAGACTGACACGCTGACACGCTGACCCTGACATACTGACTCAATAAGCATAGTTACCTATTTCAACATATGGCTCAAGGTTCATCTCTGCTATTTTCACACACAGGCTGGATGTACTTGTATTCATTCAAGTTTTAAGTTCTAATGGTTAAACTCGTATCAGGCATTGGTGAATCACACTTCAACATCACAAATAAACATCGCACATCGATCACTTGGTGAGAATACAGCTGAGGTTACATGAATCCACGAGTCGAACAGTTGACGAGATTGACGCGACTGAAGTAATTGGAGCAATCACCGCGCGGTCCCATACTGACTTTTACATTGGGATCTATTCTTATATGTTTCTTATATTTCAGGTAAGGTATTTTCACTGTGAATCTGGCTTTGCATTTATTATATGAGAGTTTGGGGTTCAAAGGTTCTGACATCGTGAAATGCGCAGACTGAGCCACTGGGACTCGTGTCTTGAAACGCAAATACTGGACGCGATTACTAGGCGGCATGGTAGAGACTCGCTCCCTTTTCTACAACACGACTAACAGACTAAATCTGATAGTCATAGCTTGACAACAAACATCAAATCCCAGACGTCAAAGAACAAACCTCAGATAACCATAATCAAATAATAAACGTCTAAAAACTGCCGATCCCACAAATGGACGCAGAATCTGGAACATCTGAGATGCTTTCAGTATCCGATATTGACGCTGGGCCCGGTCCTGGACACGAAAGCGGAAAAATATCTGGCGTCGACGGGGGAGAAGACAACGGAAGTGTAGCTGTAGCTGCACTTGAGCCACAAGCAGATACAGAATCGGATTTCGCTTCAATTGAAGCTCTTCTCGGACTTGACTGCGTCTCAGAAGCAGAAGCGGAAGCAGCAACACTACCAGGATCAGGCGCAAACAAATACCCTTACATACATGACGAAAACTTCACTTTTCCATCAGATTCATTTACCGCGTCATCGTCTTCTGCTTCTGCATTTCCAACAGATTCAACCCTGTCTGCGGAAGAAGCGTTTTTTGCGTATTCGGAACTTGCAGTTCCCGAGTCGATGAATACTCCAAACACTGAGCGTTTACCGCATTTGGCATATTTGGAGAATCCGACAAACTCTGCAGGTGTAGCAGGTCCAGCAAATCCAGCAAATCCAGCAGGTCAAGCGCATTCGACGTATCGAGTAAAGTCAGGAGAATTGACAGACTCGGTAGCACCGACGGGCTCAGCAGGCTCGGTACATCCGGCAGTGTCAGCGCGCATGGATGGCTTACCGCCTCATGCCCAAACTGCAGTACAATCTGGAGGACAATCAGGGCTTCAAGGCGGAAAAATTGCAGGAAATATCTTTCCTAACGCACATAACATGGCCAATGCGAATAATACCGATGGGAGCCTGGTCATGAACGCAACCAGCGGACCGAACGGGATGGATGGAGCGGGCGAAATGTCCAGCATGGCAGAACGACGAATAATGGCACAAATGATGAATTTCATTAGGCAGGCATTTATCAAAAATAATCGGCTAAATGCTGGTGGTGCCGTACCTGCGCGGTGTAATATGCAGGGCAAAGCTCAAATGCATCATCAAATGCCGGATTGGGCGTCAATGCCAGATCAGACGGCTTGTCAAGCTGGTCAACATGTCAGACCAGCAGGGCCATCACAACACCAACCTCAACGAGAACAAGCACAGGGGCAACAACAGCAGCAACAGCAACGACAGCAAGCACAAGGAAAAGCACAAGGAGCAAAACCCGATTCTGAAGGGCTACCTATCTCTGCTGCTAATCCCTTGACTTCCCAGAACGGAATCGCAGTTGCGACAAATGGCGCGAATCAGAGGGAAGTAAATGCAAACGCAGAAGTAGAAGCATCAAATGCAGAAGTGGGAAATATACCTAAATCGAGTAATAAACTTGACACTGCTACCGCCGCCGTCATGCCAGCAGGCTCCGAGTCGAATCCACACGCATATGTTGCGCCAGTGGCGAACATGCGACGAGATACTGTCCACACCAATAATGACAAGGAGGGTATCAACAAGAGCACTGGCAATTTGCCAAATCCGGTTGCGCAGGTGCAGTCAAACAATTCGAACAATTGGATGATGGCGACCAAGGAGGTAAGTCTAGCTAGAGCATTGAACCTTCTGATAGTGATATCTTTGAGCACGGCCGTCAGCATAATTGTCTGAAAAAAAAAAAAAAAAAAAAAAAGTCCTTGAAAATGATGGAAAAGACTCATTTCATAGGAACAGACATGACTAGATGTGGCAGAAATGGGGAGATGAAAGGGAAAGAAGAAGAGAACAAAGCGTGAGGCTAATACATCAACTAGATGCAAATGGACATTGACGAAGACGGTGACGAAGACTACAACACGTACCTCGAGTATAAAGAAAAAGGATACGGAGGAGTTCTGCATCCTGGATGGAAATTTGGCGCTGATGACGCATCTAAAAAGCGCAACGAGAGGAAAAAGCCACAGCCGAAGCAGAATAAGAAGAAGCAAGCAAGCCAACCTCAAAGCAAAGAAATTCCCGTGGAAGGAAATACTGCGAAAAAGCCAGAGGTGAATGAAGAAACATTCGAGCAATTCAAAAAGGGACTGGAAGAAAAGTGCCAGGCTGGGGAGAAGAGAAAAGCCATAGGAGAGCCATGTGGTGATGATAACGGCAATGACGGGGGAAAGAGGCAGAGTGATCAACCAGTACAGAAGGAGAACCCACAGCCGCAGCCGCAGCCGCAAAAACCTCCTGCGCGTAAAAGAGCTCGTACGACCGGATCCGGAAAACGCGGCATAACACAAGACGACGCAGAGGATCAGAGTCTTTTCGTAAGTGAAGGTGAAGATAGTCCTTGTGCGCTTGCTCAGCCTCATTCACCTGCCCGTCAGACAAAGGCAGCTCCGGCGAACGACACCAAGGAAACCAAGGAAGCCGAGGAAGCCGAGGAAGCAAAAGAAACAAGAGAAGCAAAAAAAGTGGTTGAAGTTCGAGATTTAAAGCAACAACCTGCTGCTCAAGCGACAAAGGTATGAAAACCAAAATCCTTTGGATCGGGTAGCTCAAAGTTGAAAAGCGAATGCTAAGAATCGTGGACAGGAAGCTTCAAAAATTGCGTCAGAGCCTGAGAAAGAACCTGATAGTGCTGGTAAAAAAGCGCCTCCTCAGGCCACGGCTGTGCCACCTCCCAATACTGGTAAAAAGGCACCGGCCAGGAAACCACGAGCGAGGAAAAATCCAGATGGCAGTCCAGAGCCAACAAAAAGAGTAAGAACGGCAAAACCTAAGCCGCTGAACAAGGCACAGCAAGCGGAGAGAATCTCGGCGCTGGAAGCTGAAACAGTTGCTCTCAGGGAACAATTGGCCCAACAGTCACGCGAGGCAATGCGGACTTCGAATACTCAAGCAACCAAGCAGCCAATTAGCATGAATGAGCTCGCAACAGGGAGGATGCAAGAAAAAGAGAAGTCAGAGCGAGGACCCAATTCACAGACGCACGAAACGCAAAGCGCTCATGTTAAACAGGCAACTTCTACTACGGGAGAGCCAGCTGCTGTCCAACCAGAGCAGTCTCAACCATGTTCCAAAAGCATCCAACATGCAGAACCAAACAATAATACCGTCGCAAAATCAATACCTCTTCAACCAAATCACCTTGTCTCTCCTTCAAAAAGCATACAACCGGTTGCAAGTAGCAATGATGAGCGCGCCGTAGAGTCAGCAGTCGAAGCTCAAGGCCAATGTCAGTTTTCCGGAGCCAAAAGTCCTTCAGCAGAAGAGACTACGAAGGTGCTGTCGACAAAAGAGCCGGTTGGCCTAAAGAATGTCGATCAAGCAGTGGCTGCTCCCAGAAAGTTGGCCGCCAGTGTCCCAGAACCCGGAAACCAACCCGAAGACACTCAGACATCAACTTCTTCACGGACTCTATCGCTTTCCACGCTTCAAGCGCAAAGCGAGGACGCCATAGTCCCGGCGGAGCGTCCGACTACCGGAAGAAAGACTATACCTGACGACCGTTTGAGAAAGTACCTTGCGGACTTGGAAACCCAAGAGAGCGAGACACTCAAGGATGATAGCAAAGATGCAAATTCCACTAGCATGGGAGCCCAGCGCGATGACTCTAAAGACCGCGAAAATGTCTGGTATGAGTATCACTTGATCAGAAGGACACAACTCAGGGATACCGGTGAGGATTGTGACCTCGATGATATATTCGACAACCAGCGTATCGATGATGCCACCATCGAATCTTCGCAAAAATTGATTTGCGGTACGTATCGTTCCGTTTCCGAAGCAAACGAACATGCGCAAAAGGAATTTTTCACTGAACGCGGAGACGAGCACCTTTCTCACTATAACAACTACTGGTTCAGAGCATGCGAATATGGCGGGTACACATATGTCGGTTCTTCACCTGTTGGCAGAGTCGAGGTGTCCGTTGAAAGGGTCCTGAGAGTAGAAGAGGAAGGCCATCGGGTGATAGGAAAAGGCCGATTGATTCCCCGAGAGATTTATCTCGTCATGGAGAAACGAGACTTGAAGAGGAACAAACGGGTTGTGGAAGAATCGGAACCTATTGTGACAACAAAGATCCTCGGCACCTATACCATCCTGGATATGGCAAACCGGGACGCAAACAGGCACGTTATCAACATTCGTGGACGAGCAGCCCGTGGTCTAGATGAAGACCCATTGAGTCGGTTTAAAGATGAGCGGCGAGCGCGTGATCATGTCGCGCAGTTGGAGAAATTGAATCACACATTTCATGCTGAGCTGAGCTTGCCTGGCGACAAAGGTAATGTGACTGTTTGGGTGGAGAAACAATCTGTGCAAGGGCCTCTGAATTAGTCGTGCGCCACTCCATCCTTGAGCGAAGTTGTTTATCGACACCTATGTCACTTAGAAAACGTTGTGGTTTGGTTCTGGTATTGGTTTCCTTTTCGAATCGAGGTAGTAGAAATTTTTCGGCCTCACGCACTCCTAAAGTGGAAATTTTGAACTGTTGCAATCGGAGCTGAAAATGGATATTCTTTCATACAGAAAGGAAACATTTCGTTGCGTGCTAAGCCCATCCCATGTGCCGTGATGATCCTGACCCATATTCTAATAATACACTGACTCGCCGGGGTTGGGATGTCTATCATCCCTTTCAGACGCTTGTCGGGTTGTTGGAATATATATACATGCGGGCGTCATATATGTAAACTTTGCAATCACTCCCCCTTCGTCTTCAGCTGCAATCCGTGCCACTGCTTGATATCATCGCCGAGGATCTGATTCACCAGGCGGTGTTGCTTAATCATAGTCAAGCCTTTGAACTTCTTCGAGACAATATCGATTCCGTACATGGAGCCGCATCCACCAGATATATCTTGCACCTGAGTACCAATTTGTAATCAGCACCAAATTCCCCTCCACCGAAACCATGTATTCCTGATCCCACAAAAAACAGCTTACCTCTAACCGCGAAGGCTCCAGTTCTGCCTTCAATTTATCAAAAATCTGTCGTTCCCCCTCTGTCAAATACTCCGGAGGCTCAACTGCTGATCTTGTGCGGGAGGTTGCATGTAGCGAGCGAGCTCCATGTGCTATTCTGGATGAAGGTTGTCGGCCGGCAAGACGTAGTGTTTGGCATTGGCTCGATCGAGCAGCGAATTGAGAAGCTAGACGAAGCTGGCGTACGCATCTCACGGGCGTCATTCGTGCGGTGAATGCCGAGGCCGTAGAAGCAGCTACGATTCTAGGAATTGTTGATGACGCCATTGAAAAGAAAGATTGGGCTTTTCACAGGGGAATTAAAAGGCGCGTCGGTATGCTTGGTAGCAATGCTGGCTCAAACAGTCGCTCTACGCGCTGGAAGAAAGAGATGAGCCAGCGAGTTTGAGGGGCAAAATGAGGGTTTATAGTTGCGCGATAAATGTTGTCATGATCCAGCGTAACAGTTTCGCTGGTTGACTTGATTCTTGATGGAAGATTATCTAATCATTTATACCTTATCTTATGAATCTAATCAGATGAATAATTCCCGGACCGCGTTTCAAAGGTCATCCATTAACAAGCAATCTGATTGGATGATTTCTTATAGTTGGTGCTCAGACGTGGCGCGCAACACAGTGAGCTCCGCTGGCAGGTGTACTATTCTTCGGGCTGACCTCTTAAAGACTTCATTTCTTCAAGTTCTACAGTTTGTAAAGTCCAAATCACATTTGATACCACAGAAAAAGCCATCTAAAACGCAGTCATATTTCTCTCATCAAACACGTTCTATATACGTCATCAATATTGAACAAAATGGACAGCGTTCCTCGATCGTCAATTTCGCATTCCAGTAAATTTGCAACCTCTCATGAAGATGCCATCCCGGAGAGTGGAACCCACTTTTTCAATGGACTTCCTCTCTCAGTTTCAATCTCCACTTTCCATTGAAGCTATTAACAATCCAAACCCATTCGCTGCGGCTTTGGAAAAGGTCCCGCTTTCGAACCAATTTCGGTGATGCGACAAATGAACAAGTCACACACCCGAGTCAATGGACAAACACAACGTTGAAAATAAAACTTAAAAAGTAAAACAAGAGAAGTGCGAGCGGGACTATGTGTGTCCTATAGAACGCTCGAAAATGAGGTTGCAACCGCCGTCGGAGGGCAGAAGGAAAAAATTTCAACTTTTCCAAAGCCATGAAAATGGAGCAAAGAAATAAAAACAGTAGGCTAGAAACAAAACAAAGCTAGTCCCATTCCCAATATTCGCTCGGCTGGCCGAAGACGATGGTTCCTGGAGAAGACAAATTTAAAAGAAACAAGCTAATTATAACACCGTCTATGAAGTAAGGAGAGAAGGACCCATGTTGAGAGAAGAAGAGAGAAAGGGAAAGATGCAATTCGTGCAAACTGGAAAAAAATAAGCAGACCCGCGAACAATGCTAATGTAAAAAAGACACAATAGACACGAAGGAAAATGAAGCTTCAAACCCCAATTATCGTATTACAAGTCGTGAAAGGAGCCCATCTTTCCATGCTCAATGAGCAGGATATTCATTTCAATCGTCATGTCAGCTAACCATAATCCTAGACCTAGGACTGAGTAGTGAAAACGAGTGGAAGATCTCTGAACAAATCTGCAACCAAACGAGCGCTAGGGTGCAGATAGAGATCCAGAAAAGGAGTGGAGTCTACTCCAGGAACCAAATTGGCCATGGACCAAGCGATTTAGGATCATTTTCCCCGTGTCGTTGAGTCCGCATCTTCCTCCCTAGCTCAAAATCGCTGTAGGAGTATGGCCCTCGGAGAAAATACCACCGTGCAGAGACTGATGGTACGGATAGCCAAAGGAGACAGGTGACGGAGTTCGTGTACCGTACGCGGAACCAGTCATGGGCGCAGGAGAAGTGGATCGGTTGCGAGGACTTTCGGTCCTGGCATGGTCACGTTTGATGTCTTCCCGAAAGGCAGAGGGATTATTATTTTGAGCAGAAGCCGGGGTTGAGGCACCAGATTGACGAGGGTTCTCCGCGATGGAAAGCGATAGGGGCCGCTCATCATTAGCGCCATCCGTTTGTCCCAGGGTCCCACTTGGCATCTGAGGTGACGTCTTGGCGGACCCAAACTGATTCGAAATATTAGTACGAGCGCTAGGTTTGTTGTGCAGTTCCAGAACGTACAAAGCAATACTTGTCCAGCAATTCATGGTAGGATGATGACTGGATCGAAGGTTTCTCCGACGTGAGCGCCGTTGGCTTCGGAGCCGAATCCTGGAAAGACCTGGAAGCCGGCACTGTCGACGCGGACGAAGTAGCCGTTGTCTGACCGGCTTGAGAACCCTTTCCAGACACAGAAACGGCCGATGAGGACTTCGAGGGTGTAGGTGTCTCCTTGGCAAAGTCCCGTTTTTGAATGCCACTCCGTTCGCCCAGTGCTGTGTTTGCAGCCTGGATAGCGGCGGAGAGCGACGCGCCAAAATCATACCTGTTGCCAAACGCTTGTCCCGCTGGACTGACTTTACGTGCAGGAGATTCCCGATTAAGAACGTCTGCACCCTTGGAAGCTTTGAACCGAAGTGCAGGGCCTGGCGAATCGCCCATGATTTTGGCAGGTGCCTCACGGAAATTATCAAAATCGTGTCGGTAGCCGAATCCATCCGCAAAATCGTCAAAGGAACTAGCAGAGGCACGCGACTTCTCCGAAGCTGGAGGGGAGGACAGGTGGCTGCGAGGCAGTGAGCGACGCGGCGCGGATTGAACCCCCTTTTTGCTGTCCTGAGGTTTTGCCTTTTGGATAAACTCGACCTGATAGTTGATCGAGCCATTATTATCCCAAAAGTCTTGACCGTTAACACTGTACCGAACGCAAAAGAAGAGCGTCTTATTTTCCAGATTCGCTTGATCGGCCAGCTTGATATTGAAGTTAAAACGATCATAACCGTCGTGGACTTGCTTACGGCGAACGTCGTTGTTATACTCGGCAAGTACTTCGGAGGTCGTCTTCCAATAATCAAAAGTGAACCGAGCGACGACTGACTTGTGGAATGCAAGGTTGGCCACGGCCACCGAGCCGACAAGGGTCTTGTTATCGGTAGATAAAAAGACCCTCTCGACACGAACAGGCAAGGCTCGTCGCTCCGGACTATCGGATGGGAAATTGGAAAGTCGAATCTCCCATTCAAACTGAGGTGTCCGACTTCGGTAGAAGTTGTCTTGGGAGAAAGGAAACTCCATCTCAGAATCGAAAGTCTCAACAGGGGATGAGCCTGCACTGACAGCAACCGGGCGGTCCACCTTCAGAAAGTGACGCACGTGTTCGAGATGGGAGTCAAAATGTACAGCCTTTGAATATGTTGGAGTGCCAGGCATGCTGGACGGACGCCGCCGGGAAGCCGGTCGCAGAGCAGGCTTAACAAGCTCTCCAGATTTCTTGCGCACCATCGGAGGCTTTACTCTCTCAGCCTCGACTGAGTCCTCAGTGTCACTACTGTCCTCCACACTCTGATTCGGTGACTCCACCTGAACACCGCCGAGGTTGAGAATAATGGCGGATTCGGTATTGGATCTCGAATGAGCAATCTTTCGAGCTTCCTTGGACAATGGTCTCGCACCGGGGCGAAAAACCAGAACATCCTTGGCCTGTCCGTTTGCAGCCTCGACAGTCTGAATAGCTCCATCAACTTGCGGCTCTGCCCTTCCTGGAGAACTTTCACGGCGCTGCTCAATAGTACGGATTGCTTCCTGGAGCTCCTCGAGGTTCTCGAGTTTCCTTCCCCGAGGCTGGCCGGTTATGCCCTCATCGTCGCTAGGGCTTTCCGAAGATTCGAGGGAAGAGGAGGGAGGAGAGACCGGATGACCTGACCAAATTAGCGGTGGACCCTTGGAAGAGCTGGGTTCAGGAACAATACCGTTGGTGAAAGGCTGCTCGGCTGGGCCATTGGGTAGAGAAATGGCCTTGTCGGCCGGAGAAGACTCTTCTGGCGATGGCGGTGCCACGGCGTGCGAATGCAGTTGGCTTGCCGAAGGTGATCGACGGTGTCGGGAAAGGTAAGAGGTCGACGAAGTCGAATGCGGTAGAGTAGGTCTACCGGACCGATTTGGAGAATGTTGGAGATGATGAGAATGGTGATGGTGCTCGGACCCAGAGAACCGTTTCTGGTGGGAATGTGATCGGCTGAGCGAAGGGCTGGAAGGTTTGGATGACGCAGGCGAGTGCTGCGCAGGCGGTGTGTAGGGCATCCGATCGACTTGTGAAGGCTCTGCAATAGAGCTCGAACAGATCAGATCGAATAGCGATGTGGAAGCTGAATATCGAAGATAGTTTCAGGATCTGGCAATCATGAGGAAATTGAGGTACTGGCACAATGCATCACTAATTCGTCCGACGATCAATATGGTTAGCTGCTTATCCGTTTGTTTTGGATTATTGGGAGAGGAGTCGAGGTACTGAGTAAAGGAATGAGGGCAGGCGGGCAAGGTTGATCGAATGAGGGCTCATATGTGATCAATCGCGACTTACAGGATAAGCGTATTGCTGCAGAGTATTATGCCTCCACACCAAAGGTGCAGCCTTTCAAGGATAAGAATGTGGATCTGGATACTCAAGCTGTGCTTCGCGATAATCGATTTCGCGAAGACGACGAAGCAAACAGAACGAGATCCGTGGTCGAGAAATGCCCAGGGTGAAGATGCTCGAATAAGTGATGAGATAAGAGAGGAAGGCAGGACAAAGTCAATGGCGACTTCTCTACCAGGACCTTCACAATGCCGAGAGAACCGAGTGAATGAGGTCGACTCGTCTCTTTTCTTTGATCACTCAAGGCTGGGAATCTTGAGTGAATTCACGTCTGCGATTTGCTGACGGTAGACAAAAACACAATGCAAACGCAACCAAATCCCCAAAAAAGCAAAACCCAACGCAGGCGATGTCGACGAAGAAAAGAAAGAAGAGGAAGAAATTTCAAGAAGACGAAATGGACGGGGGGCGGGTGGCTCAAAAGTATATGTCGAGAGCCCGGGGAGAAGTCGACACGAGATTGGGGCGAGACCACCCTTGGAGGCTACGAAACCGGACTGCCTCGAGCGATAGTCGCAGCAACGGTGGTAGTATCGGTCGTAGCCTCAAGCCCGAGGTCGGGGATTGGGGCAACGTTTGATGGTGGTGGGAAGGGATCTGGGAAGAAATGATTGATAGGGAAAGGGTTGAGTAAGAGGGCAAGATAAAGTGAGCAATTAAGGGCAAAGAAAAAGGTAGGGAATAGGGAAGATAATGAATAAAATTACGGGAGTGCAAAGCAAGTAGGGGAAATGATGAGCGCGCGAAAGATATCGGAGGGTGTGAGGCGTGAGGTGACGGGAATAGAATTGACTACTGATAGGGTGTCAGAGCACTACGTTTTGGGAGAGAGGAGGCCCGCCGGAGATCAGTGGGGACCATCAGAAAGGCCAAGGGGATGCGGGAGTAGCGGTGTTTTTAGTGCCAATCGCCAGGCGTAACGCAATCGCAGCGTGGGTGTTTCCAAAACGGCGTCACCGCTGAGAAAGAAAGAAGAGTAATAACACCATAATACACGGTACGTAGTAATCTTGAACCAACGGACGTGGGAATCGGGATTAGGGGACTTGGCGAGGAGAGCGAGTGGTGGGTGTGCGTGTGTGTGTAGATTAACGGATGGGACGAAGACCAGGGCTCGCCGGGTGAGTTTAGAGCCGGCGCCAGCGCTAGAGAGTAAGAGGTCAGAGTTCAAGCAGTGTAAACAGGGTTCTGGGGGTGGGGGGAATTAGGACGAGAAAGAGAATGAGGTTCGAGACACGGCAACACTGTACTGTACAGAGGTAGCTTGAGAAATCAAGGCGGGACCGGCGGAAATAGGAAGCGACGACCGATGATGAGCTCGACTACCACGACAACAACGACGACATATGATGAAACCGAATATGATGATATCTGCCCTGTTGCTTCTACCTTTGCACAATCTCCTGCTTCATACCTATCCTTTACCTGGCTGGACTTTAAGATGTTCCCCCTCTCCTTCCTTTCTGACTTTCCCTTCACTCTGTTGCTATGGGTATTCTTGCTCACCCTGGTTCGATTCGTTTTGCCTGAACCGGCCAAGGCGGTGGGCACAACATGGGAGCAGTTGCATGGATGGAATTGGCCATGCACGCCATGGCTTTGTGCGCTAGACCAAACCCGGCTCTAGCGCCCCCATGGTAGCGTGCAATCATCCCCTTGCACCCCGGCCGGTCGGCACGCTTTAGGTCGTCTTTTCCCCAACCCAATCCTTCTCGACCAACGTCCCTCGCCGCACTTTTTCTCCCTCCAGCATTCATTCGCTTTACGAGAGGGTTGAGCAAAGCTGCGAACAAGACCAGGGTTGCATGTCCCCCCGAAGCTCTTTCGTACCGGTACCTTTTCCCCCGGGTGGCGATCCTGGCCGGTACCGGTACCTCCTTGGCAGCTCAAAGGGGAAGGACAAGTGAGATTTTATCATGTAAGAGGTATCATTTTCTTGCAACCACCATCTGTTTTCGTATCATTGTTGAGCTGCGCGCGTTGCACTCATTCAGGATTCTTGAACGTTCTGGCCGTTTTGTTTGTGCCTCAGCGACCCTTGAGCCCTGAGCCATTTCCATCTATCCATTTTTTCTTTTTCTTCTTTCCCGCCTTCCTTTTCCTTTGATAAGCCCTCCTTTACCCCAAATCTGGGGTGGGCTCCACCGCATGGCCTTGATTGCAAGCGGTAGCGATCGCTTGGTGTACTGTGCTGTGGAGAGACCCATCAGCAGTGGAGATGAAATCAATTGGGCAGTTTATTGGATGGGGCCGACCTGGAGAAGCGAAATGGGTCCTCCTCTTTCTCTTCTTACTCCTTTGCTGTCGCGCGCTCTTTTTCTGCCTTGGCCATAAGCGAATGCGCTAAGATAACAAGCCGATGAAAAACTTCATTACATCATGATGGACGTGCGGGCTGGCACGATCGAGGATGCAGATGATTAGCTAATCAACTCATTACCAGCTTAAACACCTCCTTGCATGTACGAATGCAGTACTTGGCTCGTAGGGAGCCTCGTGCCATGTGAACCGCCACATTCCAGGTACCAGTTCCGTAGCTACCTGTTTTATTCTGGCGGGACGGAGAACCGAGCTGTCAAATGGAATCGGTTATGACCCCTTTTCGACTGGTCGGTGTTGGGAATCAATAGAGTTTTCTGGCCATATTTTCTCTTCAAAGCTACAGAAGCCTGGCAGTATAACGAAAGGTTCTCCACCTATGGGAGATCAAACGGTTGTCGCTCCGGTCATTAGTCATGTGTCTGCCAACGCCATTATTGGTTGAATGGTCGGGGAACACAAAAGCCACGACGCCAAAAGAAGGTCCTTGGAAATACGTGCACGAGGGGAGAAAATTTACCTGGATTTTTGGTCCAAAGTGTGGAGAAAGACTCGTCAGCGCCTGCGTTTCGGGTTGCGCCGGTCAGCGTGCAAAGCAAGGTCTTATTTGGCGTCTAATGCTCCCCGCCCGAAATTTTAACCCTGGGGGTTTTTAGGTTGGGTGAACGGTGTACCTTCGTACTCGAGTCGTTTAAGTCGCGCGTTCAACGACGCGGCTCAAGGCACAATTAATTCCCTTGGTGGGTCGCCTGAGAAAAGTTGACGGCGCATCTCTCCCCACGGGACGACCAACATGCGCAACAAAGGCGGAATGTCTTTTGTCGCCGGGCATTCAGTCCGACAATGACATGATTGGCCTCTGCCAGGTTTTATGCGATCCCCCAGATATGCTGTTCCCCACATCCTCATTCCCACATCTCCACATAACTTACTTTTATCAATCGGCCTGTACCGAGAGCGTGTCGACGGCGCGTCATAACTTTTTTACGGGGGATTTGAGATCACTTGACCTACGGGCAATCAACTCACCCCACTGATTCCCTATCCGGGTTAACCGGCATCTTGAAACGCTTACCCGCCGATGGTTAAACCTTGGGTTAAAGCTTTAGCAGTCAAGAAACCATGATCCAGTTACACTTGACTCTGGTCCCACGAGGAACAAGGAACTTTACCTCTTCCCCATTCAGCCCCATCAGCAGACCGTCTTTCAATCTTCGATCTTGTCTCGGTACAACCAATGCGAGTAATCAACATTAATCTCCAGCAATTGCTTGAAAAAGCCCCAATGTTTCTACAGGGCTGGCGAATAACTTTCCTAGGCCACGCGGCATTATTTCGATGATATCTTGCTGAATCTGGACAAGCGAATGAGCCTTTTGCGATACAAAAATCGACCCACTTCTTGCCTGCTTCACAGCCGTAAGTCGGCAGAGCATGGATTCCCGCCTTTTCGCGATCCACTTACACTTAGTCGTTAGCGAGAAATGGTTGAGGTTACAGCTGACTCTTTTACCATCCTTACATGAGGATATCGTCATTGAGGATTCCAAGGTCTGGTCAGGCGGCCACACAATGACCATTTGAAGCATTGACCACCAGATTCCGAACGAGCCTTTGTTTTGGTAGGAATGTTGTGAGAAGCCATTGTCAACCCACTTTTACTGCCGTTTGGTGCAGCGGGTTGCTCATCTCGTTTAGCTACCAAGACACCTGAACGGTGGGAAATTACAGTTTACTTTAGTTAAACCAGAGTTGTTGGGTAAGACGTTTTAGCCATCTGTCCGACTGGGATTTAGAACCATTTCCATGCAATAATACCATTTCACCTGTACCAGTACAATGGTTGCAGCTCTCGCTCGCTTATCCGTGCCGACACGGGTACTTGCAAAGCTAGGTGACTTCGGGCAAGCCTTGCGGTAATCTAAGTGGATTTTGTTTACGCAGTTCCAAAGGCAAGGCAGGCAAGGACAGCTGCTTATTGGTTTCTGGGCTTTCCTACCCCAATTGATCAAATTACCTCCCGATGAAGCCCCAATCCTAGCGAAGATCCCCAAAGAGCAAAAGGCAATAAATTACCGGCAGAACAACCTTTTTCTCCTCTTCACCGCCAACGCTAGCCTCTTCCAAAGACGGGTCCAGAACAATTTACTCTTTGATTTTCGCAATTTTGGGCGATAATTATTCCGACCATCAAAGACAACATCAACACTAAAAGCATCTTACGGGGAATCGACGTGAGCCAGGTATAGAGAAACTGGATTCAAGAAGAATTGAATCGATAGTTGATACTTTTATTGATTCAAAACTGGAAGCGGAGCTCTATTCGAATCAAGAGTTCCAAGTCCGGTGGAACTCCGCTTGCCGAAACTTACCCGTACCATATTACTGTAGGGCTTTTCCGTGCCGGATACGAGCAATGTCCAACTATTTGTTCCCTTCAAGGTGTCTTCTGATTTACTCAGAAGTAACGTTTCCAGGCCAGCCTTTCGCTGAAACTATCTTCTAGCCATCGATTACCCGTCGGAGATGGTTTCCGAAATTGTTGTCTACCTTTGAATCCCTTGCTTTACCTAATTCAAACCGCGTTGCTTCCCATCTCCATCAGTACGGGTCTCGCTGTATATTGGACACCAGAATTTCGTTTTATCGCAATTATGCTTTAGAGGTCTGGGATTCATATGGTGTCATTTTCTCCTTTTTTTTCTTTTGTTTACATTCCTTGTCTGCATTATACAACGAGGTGAAACCGCACCCAACATTATGTTGCTGCACGGACGCGGCTTCAAGCGGCGGTAAGGTCCACCGTACATGCAGCTATCTCATGTTCCTCAAATCCTTGTGCTCGGCATTGTTTCAGCACGCAATTGGCATTCTCAACCAGATTCGAGCACGCACTGACACAAATACCTTGATACGCTTCGAAGTGGGGAGTCCGGGAGGAACCATCTGGGCCCCGCAATCTTGCCGGTTCATATCCGAGCGGTGGGTGGTTTTCTGATGCCAAATTGCTGGTGAGATATTTCGGACGATTTTACCACCTCATAGAATGAAGCCGACAATTGGCCCGCCATCAGACAAGAATCACGTCAAAGAATAGGATCAGTTGTGGACTGATTTCTGCCATCATCTGTGGCACCCACGTTTCTCAAACGCAGTGGACGAGACCAACAACTGCGATTGGGCCAAGGATAATTCTGGGGTAGGGAGCAGTTGAAATGGAAATCGACCAGTCCCGCTTGTTACTACTGAGTCTGGAGAAACAATTGCTTATCGCGCATCCACTTTGCTGACCTATCTTCTCCACATCTTAGCCATATCTGCCTATGACGCGCGGTGTGGGGAATAACCATCTAGAAAGTCTTGTCTTATGGGCTGGATTTACAGTCCTCTTGCTGAAGATGGTTGGGTTTCATGGTTGCTCTGCTGGCTTCGCACAAACACCTCGCTCGTCTTTCCCGAAAATTTGGTAGATGTGGGGTATCATCACCGCTTGGGGCTCTGGACAGCATCAAGACAACGTTGGGCAAGGTGTGCGCATGGATCGTCTCGAAATGGACCAAGCCAGCTTCAGCGGACCGAGCTCCACCGCACATCACGAACTGTGCTCGAGCGATTGCAGCCCCAGGACGCGCTGTCGACCCCGCAATATAAAACTTATAATTATCATAACAAAGGATAGTACAGTATATATGTTCTCACAACACTTTCCTTTTTGATGTGGTTGATATAGCTACGTCGACACACCCTCATAATCAGCAAGGTTCAAGGGGACAAACAAAACAATTGTAGATCCTCGTGTTGCTCTGGACCCTGATGATGGTGGTGATAGTGCTCAAGTGTCTGAGCGATTCTTGTGGCTGTCCTCAACAAGCCGATCTTGACTCTTTTACTGCACACACTCGAACCACCACACCCACTCAGACGGCAAAAAAAGAGGGGTGCAACAGAAAACGAGCGTGCGTTTGTGCTTGCGTTTGTGCGTAGGCTTGTGCCTGTACCTGTACCTGTATCAGTACCTGTACATGGACTTGGATATCTCGGCCGACCCATCCTCGACCTGGGCGGCTAGAAAGAAAAAGAAAAGAAGGGTGTGGCGTGGACCTGACAGGTGTTGATAAAGGGATGACCCTTGAAAGCCTTGTAGTCGCGTCCCCGTCGTTGTTGTCGTCGCCGATATCGTTTCCCCCAACGCGCCAACGCGGACGTAAGAAAACGGAGATGGTGGTTGCCTCTAGCGAGCGAATACTCCGTGTGTGTGGGTGTGGAGATGTCCCCTTTTGGACCCTTTTATCTTCCCTTCATCCGCCATCCCCATCTCCACGCCATATCCTGTCGAAGAATCGCTTCACTTTTCGTACGATACCTCGTCTGGTTAAAGGGGCGATGGAGGGATGAAAATGATGGGGCCCCAGCCGACAACTCCAACGGAGCCCTTGATAGTGCAAGTGCAAGACGGTAGACCCTCGGACCCACCTCCACAACCTGGTTTCCCTTTTCATTATTGGATCCACACCAATTCGAGACCCCTCTATAACTACAGAATTGGAATAGGGATATTGGTTTATGAGAGATGCCTCCACGTTTTGTGCTCAGTGCGTTATTTGACTATTATCGATAGTTTGAGAGCTTTGACAAACTTTATTAGATCTCAAGCCATGTCCAAAGTATAGAGAATGAATGCTCTAGAACTGAAACCTATCAATATTATATCATCCATGATTTATTATACCCCATTCATACGATTCGCAAATTAAATTCTCCATTTAGCACAGCAAATAACACCAGTCCGATCGACAACTTAATCATTGTCCGCCCCTCGGCCTCATGTTCAGTGTGGCTGAAGAAGTCCATCAACAGAAAAAAAAAACATGCATGTCCAAGCGACCGACACACCTACATCCCACCCCTGTGGCGCCCTGGCCTCCTCGTGCTGCCAACGAGCGATGAACCCTGGGACCCCTCCTTCTTTTTCTTCTTGGCAATCAAATAATAGCTGTGACGGCCTGTTCTGCTGAAACTTGCGAATCGCGAATCGAAAAAATCTAAACCCCCCAGAGACGCCCCGAGGCGTTGGGGCGTATGTTGTAACGCCTCTTTTACATTTGTGGCTTTCTGTCGATCTTAGAAGGGCACCGGGACCGGGACCGGGACTGGGACCGGGATCGCAAGTCACATTTTCCTTGGACTTATATGCTTGTATGTACTTGTACGTTGTGTCTCAGAATGTTTTCATTATTAATCTTTTTTTCCCTTTGTATCATTATTAATCTCACAGGTACAATGTATCAACTAACTATTGTATATTACCTCAGGTCGGTAGACCCAGACACTAAATGTACCGTAATTTATACGGTGGATAAGGTACAAAGTAGTGATGCACGGATGTCAGAGTGGCGCCATATCTTACGTTTTTAACAACTGCGTTTATCCCAGCTGTACTAATGTTACAGTGTACTCGTAAACTCGCGACTATCTGTATGGTGTGTACAGTACATACCTATGATAGATAGGTAGGTAATCTGATTGAGGATAGTTAGGTAGGTGAGTCGAGACGAGAAACAGATGAGAAACGGACGGACTGAACTGATCATGTATAAAGTAAGGTAGATTGTCCCCGCATCGTGTCGAGTTCCTTGTCTTTGTTTACCATAGTACGAGGGCGCTTGGCGAATCGGTGGGATGTCCAGCCACTACAGTGGTATAACCCTGTACGAGTATAGATACTGTACGAGCATAAGAGGACTGTCGGACGTGTTCGTTTCCGATAAATCTCCCGATCGACCGACCGAGACTCTTCCGAATTCGCAAATTCACTTTGCCCTTGTCCTTGCCCTTGTCCTTGCCCTTGTCCTTTGTCACTTGTTCACAGCCCCAGGCGGAACTCGTCCGCTCGCGGACTTGGCGTCGGATGGTAATGCGCACCGAGGCGCGAGATACTGTATACGGCGGACTAGACGGTTCATCTATAGGTCTGTGTGCGATAGTTACATGTAAGTTAGTTATTTAGGTTGTTTCCGCGGCAGAGTCGTGGACGCTACGATAAGCCGCCCGGAACGGACGGAGTATCAATTATATTGAAGAGCTCTAGAATCTACAAAGTGCTGTATTATTGTCTGTGCTGCTTGAGTTAGTTCAGTGTCCAGTCCAGTCCGGTATCCAGTCCGGTATCCAGTCCAGTATCCAAGATTCCAAGAGTACAAAATTCCAAAATTCCAGAGCCTTTGAGTGTGTTACATGGTTACTATTGCAGGACTCGTATTTTTGTCATCAGTCATCATATGGAGCTAAGGTAGGTAGAGAGGTGTATATCACGAATACAGAGTATCGTATCAAACATGGTGGAGAATGCCATCAAGGTAAACATACTAACGTAGGTAGTTGGCTAATATCGGATATCGGATATCGGCATTCGGTGCGTACAATAGACCGATAGAAGTAGATCTAGTCTGATGTAATGCCTCAAGAGCAGAATATCTAACGTATAAGTCTCGAGTCTAAATTCTCAAGTTTACAATCTCATTTGATGATCGATTGATGGATGGATGGATGGATAGCGAAGATAGTGAATTGTTATGATACGGTAAGTGAAGTTCCGATTTCCGAATGCCGAGCTTTTAGCTGCCGATGAAACGCGTACAAGCATATGATAACACGGTACACTAGAGTCTAGCAAAAGAAGAAGAATAAGCAGAAGGGAAAGAGTGAGGAGTGAGGATCGTAGATCGCGATGATATGACAACATATAAGGTAGGTAAGATACCTTAGGTAGTTTCATACAAAGTACAAAGTACCCTGATGGGGATTAATTCTGGCATCTGGTAGGTCAAAACGATCGGCAACTTGGACCCTTATTTCTAGTGCGGGTGTGCGAGTGTGCAGATGGTGCAAGGGTGCATATCGCTCATTGCTCATTGCGCAGTTAGTCAGGCAGTGCTCGGCAAGTTTCGAGAAGGTCGAGAAGAAAGGCATCGTACTTCTACGCATTTGGGCATGCAGGGCAAGGGCAGGAGGGCATGGGACAGGAGAGGAGATTGCTGATCTGCATTTATTGCATACGAGGGGAGAGTTGAGTTTACTTGCATGTGAAACGTGTGATGAGAAAATCTGCAGTAGGTACAAAGTACAGGAACGTCTGTCAAATGTTTATTTTTTGGGAAGGGATCTGCTTATTTGCTCATCCCTCAGTTACATTTAAAAGAGCATGGTGCTATCCTTCCTACTAGGTGCTCGTATATGTTGAACGTTTAAGGGGTGGTATGATGTTAGAATGCATACAGAGTACAAAGTACTCGTGGGTGACTGGGTCTATGCTCAAATGATATTGTGGAGGGATGTTGCTTGATTAATAATGGTGGCCTGGTAGGTTCTGTAAGTAATAAAAAATAACATGATAACATAATAGGCTCATCGTAAGTAACAAAAAGAAATAACATAATAGACTCGTTGTAAGTAATAAAAGAAAAATATAATATAATGGGCTCGTTGTAAGTAATGACATAATGACATAATAACAGAAAAAGAGGGGAGGAGTGGCAAAGGATAGGCATATCGGGCATCAATATGACTTGACAATAATATTGTTTTTATACAGTCATTTCTTGCTTGGTCTGTAGTACTATCATGTCTAATGTCCGATGATTTCATTGCATACACTTCTTTGACCTCCCAACAATTCCATTTCTATCAAGATGTTATGGATTTAGATTGTGGCACTGAACGCCACGGAATAAAATTGCACCGCTATCCGCTTGGAGGTGGTCTGGCGGACAGAACCTTGGTACAGTAGTCTACTGACATTTGACGCTGACAGGTGGAGATTACGGTAGATAAACGCAAATTAAACACAGGAAATATACTAAACAATTTTATAAAGAATATATCGTTTGCTGAACAATTCATGTAATACTGTACGTGAGCAAATACAGTGCCTGAGTGTAGAAGGATTATGTGACTGCTGTCAAGCGGAGTCGAATGACGTCGTTGTCATATACCGTTGTACTTTTTTTAACTGATACCCACACTCACCAACATTCTGTCTCTCCCGTGACAAATACGACTCTGCCCAACTCCACTCATCAGACAGCAAAAGCATTCAGCAACTAAGCTACTCCGCCGCTTCTTAAATAAGAATAAGAATAGGAATAAAACTATCAAAACAAAATATAAAGACATTCTACTGACCTAACTTTGCACCACGAGCTGAAGATATGGCATCTAAGCTCAGCACTACAAACCCCGCCATCCGAACAAAGGCAGATCCCCGATGATCCTACACCTTACACGATATTTATAAACGACAGACAACCAGCACAGAACCTTTCAAGGCTCAGACCGGAATGCGCTCGTTTTTATTCGTCGCTAAGCCAACTAACAGCAGCAGCTTAACCTAAGCACAGTAAGATAATGTACGTACTGTACGGTATATGTCGCTGAATACGAGAAAAAAGCGACGTCGTCGACCTCGTGACGCGGACTAATACGAAGACCTCAGCATTTCAGCATTTCAGCTCTCAGCCTCACATCTGAGTAACTGCTAACATATCCGCTCGTACATTGTTCTTTTTTTTTTTTTTTTAACTAACGCATTTATTTTGTATATATTTCTGCATATGTTACCGTTTTTTTCTCGCTCTCTTTCTTTCATTCGTTCAGTTTATCCCTCTTTGCACTGACGACTGACGACTGACTTGACTATTCCGTACACTTATTTACAAAACACTACTATCTCAGTGTGATATATCCCTTCAAGCGTCCAACATCGAAACATCTGATCTGAGCGGTCAATCGGTCAATCAGCCAAGCAAGCATAACATTAGCCCAAAATGAAACTCCTACTCTCAACCATTACGCTTCTCCTCACCACACTCACTACATCAACACTTGCCTCTCCTGCCCCTGTCGCTGCCGCAAATACAGGCCTCATCCAACGCGGCCAGGACGGCCAGGACGGCCAGGCCGACCAGCACCACAAATTCCTCATCACCAACTTCTACGACAGCGGCTCGCCCCACAGCATCGAAGCACGCGTCACCTTCGACGTGACCGACCTGTCCCCGCCCAAGCACGACCTGCCCGTGACCAACATCTCCAACGTCGCCTGTTTCGCCAGCCTGGCCATCCAGCCGACCATTGCCTACGCGGCCTTTGGCACCCCGTGCCAGGCCCCCGGGCTGTCGTTTGGCCTGCAGTGGGTCGTCGGCGCGGGCTACTATCTCAGCGTCGTGCACTCGTATGACAATAACAAGACGGTCGACGCGGGCACCGTCTGGCTCGGCAGCGATGTGGAAACGTATCAGGATCCCTTCAACCCGAATGGCAATTATCAGTATTTGAATCACAGCACGACGTTTGAGTTTAAATATAACCGTGTCAAGGCGTAATTGATTACTTTGATCACTGATTGCTGTGGTAGGGAGTTCGATTGAAAGGGCTGAAAAGGTGTTGAATTGCATTTTGCTGGGTATTGGGTCTAGGGTGTCGTTTCGTTCATTTCATTTCATTTCGTTCCGTTTCGTTTCGAATCTGAGTTTTACTGCTGAGTGCAACTGGATCATGTTCTCGCGGGATGTTGATGTCGAAAATTGGCTGCGTTGACTGTCAAGCTGGAGCGATGGTACTTGACCAATTGCATTGACTGTATTGGCTGTATTGCGTTACCTTCTACTGCATTGCATTGCACTTCTCATGTTTTGCATATCCTATCTCACTTCCTATACTACATCTACATATCACATCCTTGCAAAAGGACTGCCAATATCAAAGTAGTACAATACATTATCATAGCGACGCACACGCAAAATCTACAGTGTAACTCAATGAAGCATACTACTACCTTACCAACGTTTACCCGTTAGATCTTTGATAGCAAACTAATGAGATGTCTATGAGATGTGGATGTGGTAATGCTAGATATAGATATACCTGTAGATATAAATATACGACAGAAAGATAGAGCCGACAAACAGACAATACAACAGTACAACAGTACAACAAATACACAATTCCCAGACACACGCCCCTGACCTAACGCCGTATATCCTATCCTGTCCTATCCTTTGCGTCAAACTAGGATGGATAGTAATGCCGATGCCGATGCCGATGCCGATGCCGTACAATGTAAACATTTCTTCCTTCTTGTCACAGGGAGCAAACACTCCCTTCCTCCCCGTCCATCGCCTTTTTTCTCACAGGAGAAACCTCCCCTTTCCCGCTTTCCTTCCCACCCGGAGCATATAGCCCGTCTCACCCGCCCCGCCCTCACCCCCCCCTTTCCAGCCACCACCGGGACAGCTCCGCTCCCCCCTCCGGGAAGGCGGGAGAACCCCCCCGCCTGCGGCGGGAAAAAGCTACTGCTTCTGTCCCCGAATAAACGTCAGGGCCTCATCTCTACTAACGGCATCGATATCGCTGGTTTTGCGCTGCGAGTAGGCAACCCCGTAGCACTTATCCGCGACCATGACCATTTCCTCGCGGAAGGTGGTGCAGATGAACTGGCCGTTCTCGGACGTCTCGGAGATGGACTTGAGCATGGCTGCGACGGCGGTGCGGTACTGGGCGTCGAGGTTGGCGTCGATTTCGTCAAAGAGGTAAAAGGGCGCGGGGTCGCATTGTTGGATGGCGAAGACGAGGGCCAGGGCGCAGAGACCTGGAGTAAGAGTAAAGTTAGCATGGTTTGAACGGGTTGGGAGCTGGGGAAGGAAAGAGAGAAGAGACAGGATGGAAGGCAGATCAGACGACGAGGAGAGAGTAGTGATGAGAGTCCGAGGCAAAATGACAACGGAAGGAAAGATGAAACAACATGGTAATGATAAAGGGAATGATAAAGACTCCAAGGCAAAAGGACAAAGTAACGATAGAAAAAAAAGGGCATACTCTTCTGACCACCACTCAGCTGCTGAATACGTTGCTGGTCATCATGTTTGCTATTAAAACTAACAGCGATACCGACACCGGTATAATTCTCTACGCTCTGATGCTGGTGTCGTCGTTCATCATCTTCGTCTTCAGACTCCTCCTCGTCATCGGCAGGGCCGTCAAGAGGCTGGTCTGCCTTGCGCTGAATGATGAGCCGTCCGCGGCCGGCGGGGACGAGTTTCTCAAAAATGTTGGCAAACTCGCGGGAGACTTGCTTGAAGGTGCGCTCGATAGCCTCGTCTTTGCGCTGGTCCAGCACTTCAATGAGTTCTTCAATCGAGGCCTGCGACGAGTCGAGCTCAGACCGACGATTGGTCAGCATGTCCCGCTGCTTGGTGAAGTTGTTGTACTGCTCAAACGCCTTTTTGTTGACGTGGCTGTATTTCTTGAGCGCTTCGTTGACTTTGTGGAGGCGTTTGACGACCTAGATGCGGATAAGAATATACATTTGAGAGAAAGGGATGCTTCATAAAATACGAGTCCAATGGAAAAGGCTTTAGAGAACGGGGAGAAGGATGAGAGAATTGAAATGCGGAAACAGGAGGGGAAGGGAAATAAGCTTACGGCATTGGAATTGGTCTTTTCAAACCGCTCAAAAGCCTCTTCGGGGAGGACGCCTAGGTCTCGAATGTTGCGACTACACTCGGTAGCCTTTTCAGTCAAGAGCGCCTTCTTCGCCATGCTCTTCTCCATGCGTTTCTGGTACCGCTCAATCGTGCGCGCCGTGTCTTCCTGCTCGCGCTGCTTCTCGGCCTTGTGCTGCTCGAGATCGTGCAGCTGCGTGGTCGCCTGCTCAATGGCGTCTTCGGCCTCGCCGAGCTTGCTCTCGATTGCGCCGACCGCTTTGTCAATGCGTTTGAGTTCGCGCCGGCGCTCGTTGAGATTGTGCGAGCCGCCGTTGACGGCGGACTCGATTTCATGCGACTTGAGCTGGTCGAGTCGCGGAATCAGATTCTCGCGCAACTCGACTTCAATGACAGACTTGCGGGCCTCGAGGTCGCTGCGTGTCGAGCTCAGCTCGGACACTTGTTTGCGGAGGTCCTGCACCTGAGAGCTCAGGCGCTCGAGTTGTTGCTCTTCGTTTGCAGTCAGGTTCTTTTTGAATTCCGAGTTCAGTTCGGCTTCGTAGGACGTTTGCTGGTCGCTGAGCGCCTTGAGTCGGGCCTCCACGCTGGTCAGTGACCGTTTCTTGGTTTCCAGACTGTCGCGCTTATTCTCAAGCTCGACGTTCCGGCTGCGTAGTTCTTGCTGGAGTGGGCCAAAGCTATTCTCCAGCTGCTGTCTTCGCTGCTCAATCTTTTGCACCTCGCCCATGACTTTGGTGACTTCCTGATCAAGCCGCTCGAGGCTGCGCTTCAGCTCAGAGTTCCGCTGACGCTGTACTTCATGCTCGTCACGCCATTTCGCGACGTTTCGAACGGCCTCGAGACGAGACTGCCGCGGATCATGATAACCTCCGGTCAGCGCACCCTTTTTGTCTGATCGGTCACCCTCAGGGGTAATGGCGCTAACGCCGTGGCTTCGGGCATATTGAGAGGCCACAGCAAGGTTGGGGCAAATGATAGTCTTGCCAAAGACTTGTTGGAATGCCTTTTCGTATAGTGGATCAAAGTCAATCTTCTCGATCAATGGCACCGCGTCATTTGCCTTGGGCATGTTGACCCCCCTTGGTCGCAGACGATTGAGTGGCATAAAAGTAACACGACCAGCGCGTTCTCGCTGGAGCTGCTCAAGGACTCGAGTAGCTGTATCGTCATTGTCAACAACGTAGTGGAATAGGCTGTTGCCAGCAGTGACCTCCACTGCTGTGCGATACTTTTCATTGACTTCTAGCAGCTCTGCCAGGGTGCCGTAGACTCCTTCAAGATTGTGTTGACGCTTAATTCGGCGGACTGCCGCAATGCCACGGCTGGTGTTTTGGTCCATGGTATGAGACAGTACTCGATCAGCCTTGTCGAGCTCTTGCTGAACGTTGCTCATAATCGAGCCCAGCTTTGCTTCTTCACGCCACAATTCTCTATATTTAGGGGTTAGCCGTAGCTCTTGCCATCTTGAATGAGGGGGAGGTCGAAAAATAGTCAAAATTTTACCTTCGCTGGTCTTGCAACCGATCCCGTTCATCTTTGGCTGCCTGCAGCTCTTCAGAAACTGTCTGCATGCTATCGCCTCTATTGTCGAATCGTTCCCGCAGGTCCTTGAGCTCGGTTTCCATGCTCGAAATATCCTGTTGCAAGGCGGACGCTTCTTCTGTTGACTGCATTCGGACGGCTCTACAGGTCGCTAATGCAGTGTATATTCCGTCAACCTCCCTTCGCAGCCAGTCATCCCGCTCCCGCTTGCTTCGAAACTGCGCATTGCGCCCTTGCTTCGCATATAACCGTTGGCGGGTAGCTTCTGCGTCTTCGAGCTGACCCCTAATGGCGTCTTCTTCACCCTTTTGGCGGGTATACTCTGGTGTGATCTGCGACAGCTCACTCTGTCTCTGACTGATGGCATTCTGTACATCCTTCAAATCACGCTCATAGCGCGCCCTCGCCTGCTGCGCAGAAGATTGGCCTTCACTTAATTCCCCTATTTCAAGCTCAATCTGAGCCTTTGTCCTGGCCGTCTCTCTTCGCTGGTCCTCAAGCTGCCCCTTGTCCAGTCGGAGAAACTCAATCTTTTGCTTGAGCGCATTCAGTTCCGCTTCAATATCTGACATTTCCTTTTCTCCGGCGATGAATCGCTCTCTGCTGTCATCCACCTCATCTACACCTGTTTGTCGCAATTCGTCGATGCTGTCTAGCGCATTCGCAATCTCGACCTGTTCTCGATGGTAGATGGTGTATTCCAAGCATCTCCGCTCCCTGTCCTTTTCCTGGTAGCTTCTCAGCTCCTCCTTCTCCTCTTCAAGCTCGCCTAGCCGTTCTTTGATGTAGTCGAGCAGTTCATCAATCTTTGCGCGCTTGTTGTTCGTCTCAGTCATAATCTTCAACGACTCGGCTCGTCGCGCTTCGTAGACTTGTGTTCCCGCGACTTCCTTGAGCAGGCTCAATCGCTCACTGTCTTTCATGTTCGTGAGAGTCGTGACACGGCCCTGCGGAACGATATAGTATGGGTTGGACCGTGAGAAACCAGCAGATTCGAGTAGATTCATGACATCTGCCTTGGTTGCGCTTTTCCGATCCAAGGAATATTCGTCCTTTTTCAGACCAATCGTTCGCCGCAAGATGAGCTCCGGTCGCCCCGTGGGAAATCGATCATCGCTGTTATCGAAAATGATCTCGACATAGGCGGACATGACCGCAGATCCAGATCCTTCCTACAGTCGCATTAGCAGCTATTTTCTTGTAGTCCATTTTCACAGGCCTGAGTCGGAATAGTTATAATATTCGCCAGCCCGGGGGGGGGGGGGGGGCACATACGTGAAGGAGCGCTTGCCGCTCTTCGCGGCCCATCTGAGTATATGCATCACTGAGGACGAATCGAATGGCGGCGAAGAAATTACTCTTGCCCGAACCGTTACGGCCGACAATGACATTGTGTTTGGCAGAAAAGGGCTCGATGACCGTCTGCTCCTTGTAGCTGCACAGCGCGTTTAGTAGCGGAATATCAATTCATTTGTTGAGGTAGCAAACCTTTTGAAGCCCTGAATGATTATCTGCTTGATATGCATGGCTGCCGTGCCGCCGGTGCGAGGGCGAAGCTTGGGAAAAAGTGTAGCACAGCTCCGAGCGCCCTCACAGCGCGATCAAAATCCAATTATCAAAATCCTTTATATTACTCCAGATTCAACAGAACCCATTCGCCCTATCAGGTTGGAGACTGGAAATAATAAGCACCGCCGATTTGGCGCGTCAAATAAACTTATCGGGGGGAACGTTAAGCAGCAGCGACGCGTCGTTTGGGGTCAAGAGATCCTAAGAGTTCCTGTTTAGGGCTGGTCGCGACGTGCTGACGGCATGTTCCGCCGATAAGCTTTTTGCGGAGATTCATTTTTGAAACAGAGTGGGATGAGTCGCTGAAAATAATCATCCTTTCGGAAAAATACCAAATTTCGAATTGGCTACCCAACATGGGCGAACCAGCAGAGGAGCCCCAATATCCCAGCCTCGTGAATGGCGTGGAACCGACACATACCTATATACCAAATAAGGGTTACCTTTCAACAAACCCAGACAATGAGGAAGCAGGCGGAATCGGGCTCCAGGACGATGGAAGCTCGCATCTATTAGACAATGGCGAAGACGAAGAGGATGAAGATTATGATGATATCTTTGACGAGGAGGATATGGATGCTGGAGAATTCGTCTCATCAAACCCGGCGGATTTCACAAAATCTTACAACCGCCAACGAAAAATTAACGAAACCGCCAATGACCCAGATGTTCCGAAATCTCAACTCCCCAAGACGAACCCGCAACGACCTACCGCCAACCTGTCTGCATCTGTAGATGATCAAATATCTTCCCTTTCACGACATGCAGCAAAAATTAAGCTGAATGACCGTCAGGCTGGTCTGTCAAGCAAGGACGGCCGGGTCGGCGACAAGAGCGACCGCGCTACGTCTGAGCAGGTGCTTGACCCGCGCACTCGGATGATCTTGCTGCAGATGATCAATCGCAACATTGTCTCCGAGATCAATGGCTGTTTGTCTACTGGAAAGGAGGCCAACGTCTATCACGCGGTGTACGAGCCCGAAGACACCGACGAGGCTGCGGATGAGCCACCCGCTCCCCAGCACCGAGCGATCAAGGTTTACAAGACAAGAATATTGGTATTCAAGGACCGGGACAAGTATGTGACAGGAGAGTTTCGTTTCAGATCCGGTTATAACAAGAGCAATAATCGGGCCATGGTCAAGGTGTGGGCTGAGAAGGAAATGCGGAACCTGAAGCGTATTTACGCTGCTGGCATTCCCTGCCCCGAACCAATTCACCTTCGTCTTCATGTTCTAGTCATGGGTTTCCTCGGTGACAAGAAGGGTTGGCCTGCTCCTCGTCTCCGAGATGTCGTGTTTGATGGTCCGGACGCAGAAGACCGCTGGCAAGCCCTCTACCTGCAGCTGTTAGGCTATATGCGGATCATGTACCAGAGTTGTCACCTCGTGCACGCAGATTTGAGTGAGTACAACTTGTTGTACCACAAGAACAAGCTTTGGATGATCGATGTCAGCCAAAGTGTGGAGCACGACCACCCGCGAAGTCTGGAATTTCTTCGAATGGATATCAAAAATGTCAGCGACTTCTTCAAGCGCAAGGGCGTTGATACTCTTCCCGAAAAGACCATTTTCGGTTTCGTCACTGCCATCGAGGGCTCTCTCGAAGTGGCTGGCATGGAGGCAACTTTGGAGACATTGTACGCCGACCGTGGGGAGGCCGATGAGGCCGAAGAGGAGGTTGAGAATGAGGTTTTCCGACAACAATATATTCCGCAGACCTTGGAGCAAGTGTACGACATTGAACGTGATGCCGAAAAGGTCGGCAAGGGTGGAGCAAATGATCTCGTCTATCGTGACTTGCTCGCTGACAAAATCGCCCAAGACCACGGCGAAGAAGAAGAACGTGATGATGATGAAGTCTCTAGCCAGATTTCATCCGAGGGCGTTGACGACGAAGGAGAGAAATCATTTGAAGACCAGCAGCGGCCAAGGGGCAAGCGCTTCGAAGACAAGGAAACGAAGAAGGTATGTGCGATTTCATTAATATATTTCCCAGTAACTCTGTGTTAACTGTAGTCTAGGAACATAAGAAACAAGTGAAGGAGGAGAAGCGAGAGCAACGCAAAAATAAGATGCCGAAGCATCTTAAAAAGAAGCTGATCAACGGCTCAACCAGACACAAGAAATGAAGGAGATATTAGAAATGATCTTACGGTGTCTTAAAATACCCACATAGAAATATATATTCCTTCCAAGAGCATGTACAGGTATGCAAAAGATATCCAAGAAGATTCTTACCTATCGGAATGAAGAAAACCAAAATGTCCTCATATAAGCTAAGGATGGTTTCCCTTGCGCGAAGCCTCCTAGCTGAAATAAAGAGAAAATGAAAGGGGATCATGACGGGTTGGAAAGCCCAGTGTTGATCAAAGAGAGCCCTGACACGAGCTGCCTATGATACTGATTTCTTTCGTAAGATGTCTTGACGCAACTTGCTGACCGTGTGCTGATTAGAGTCGTGTTTGAGCCTTACGTAAGGCCAGCTCTACAACTTTTCGGGGGAGATCGGGAGGGTCTTCCATGTCCTCGTCCACTGATACCATTTCATAACGGCGGGGTGGGTTGACAAGGCCCGGCCAGATGTCTGCAGGCAAGTAATCGCCTTGGTCCTGGCGGAAGGCGTCTCGTTCTGCCATATCCTCTGCGCCACATCAGCTTAGTGCACCCTCGATCAATGACCTTGTATATATACCGTTGTATAGACGATCAAGTTTGGTTGTCGCCTCCTGTATAACTTTCTCCATTCGCAATTGTACATTCTTCCTTCGGGCTGCCTCAATAATCAACCCATCGTATGCTCCAAGGAACCCCTCGTAGAATTCTTTAAGACCGTCCAGTTCTTCCATGCGCTCCTCAAAAGATAGCTTTTGCTCATCCCAGATCGTAACATACTCACGGCTTTGTACTACGTACTTGGGCAGACGGGTGCCCACCTCTTCCATGTCTTTGAATATTGAAACCATAGTGGCATAGTCATTAGACAGACTGTTCACATGACCAGTAGCCAGTTCGTATTGTGATTCCATCTCAGCAAGGCGCTCCCTAATTTCGAGTACCACGTCGTCAACCTCTGCCGCATCTTTTTGGAGAACGTCAAACATTTCTTGACGTTCTTCATCGGTGATGGGCTCCGGTGGAGCATCGTTCAATTCCCGGTCTACATCAACGCCTGCCGGAAGGTCACCTGTTATGCTTTGCGCTGCAGCCCCACCTCCTTCGGTGTGTTTAATTGCCGTCACACAGAGATCGAAGTGGCGAACGAGGGACTCAAGTAGATCAGCGACCTCCTGCGCATGAGCTTCTAGCGAGTGTAAGAGAGAAGGAAGGGGCGAATGGAGCCCATCGCGGGATGTAGAGTTGGACAGCTTCGTAGCAAGAGCATTCGTAAGGGAGCCAATATCGTCGTCAAACGCCTGGTTGGATTCTGCGAGCGCCGTTTGGGAATCCTGAGCGAGGTCAGCAGACTAAGTGGATAGACTTGTAGATGTAGGCCATACATTCGTCTGGTCGATAAGATCTCGAAGGGCAGACATGAGACCATCCACACCCTCTTCGTCGACAAAATCATGAAGACACTTCTGCTCTTCGTCCTTTGGTCGAAATGCCCCCTCGACCGCGGTTGATCGAAGCTGGTCTAATGTCTGCCGGAGATTGGCATCTGCAACGTCAAGGTCTCGTAGGACGGCCTAGATTGACCGTTAGTCAGGCGTCCATGGCAAGACTTGCTGAATCTTCGTAATGGGCCTACTTTGAACTCCATTTGACCTTCACGAGCGACCTCTTCGACCGTTGCTCTTACCCGAGCCAGAACGGCAATCTGATCATCTATACCCCTCCGGAGAAAGCCAGTGCGTGCACCCAGCACTACACCTTCTTCCAGTGATGCCCGCGCTGAATTGACAATCTCGTTTGCCCGCCAGACGTGACTGATTGACGATAGTGATCGTTTCGAAGCAAGTAAATGAGAGACTAATGTCTCCAAGAGCGTCTCCGATTTCTGCTCATGCATTACACTCCCTCCTGGAGAGCTCGTATGTGGTTCTGCTGAGTCCATAGCTGCAAAGGGTGATCTTCTGTTCAGTTCTCAGGAGCTGATTCGGCGATAACTTTAAGCGTAAGTGTAGCTAATTCACGGAAACAGTGGATCGACGAAAATTATTATCGATAACATTACGGCATCATGGTGCTCAGTTCAAATCTATATGGGCTGCAGTATAATCACTGATAGCAAGGGTCTCAGCAACGATTTTCGGCGGCATGTAAAATGCGTTCTTCAGTTGAGAAGAGCAACTTGGTAGAGCTTGATGTCTTTAGCACATGAGCTCTCGCCGTTATCAGACAAGCAGGCGTCAATCGGCGTTATCGGGCTTATGTAGCGAGACTATAATCTACTTTCAATATGGCATTATGTATTAAGCAACTAGGGTCCTTAAAGGTCTATAGACTTCTCGGAATAACGGTAAATTGGCCCCGGACTTTGCTGCAGTACCGAGGCAGAAGGGCAGGTGGAGGTTACTCTGTGTACTCACTGACCGTCGACGAGCCACTTATCGATGATATCAACGAGGTCATTCTTGACAAGACAATGTTGATCGAGCTAGAGAAGAAACATGTACAATTTGAGAAATTTCAATTTATACCTGGCATTTCTTGGTGCTCGTTTCTTCCTTTTCACCCCTTTTCCCCCTTTCGACGGAATTGAGGGGGAAAAAAAAAAAAAAAAAAAAAATTCAAAACTAGTTCATAGAATTGCGATACCAGAGCTCATGATGATACAAAGCTGCGTCAGCATCACACAGACAAGTAAATTTTGAGCACCCGTGTTTCGAGTATATTGTTGATTATCCCTATTCAAAAATATTCCGGGCGTTTGGAATCCGGGGTCCCAGGGTTGTCCCTGAACTAAAAATTTGGAATCATTGGATGTTTAATCGATGGGTTGTTTTCCGGGAATGGCATTGAGTAAGCAACGGTAATGAATTGAACAGATCAGCAGCTAATTCATAAGCAAGGAGAGCGCGAGGAGCGGTCTCTCTGCTTCAGACCCTGGTTGTGCACAGCCCAAGAAGAGCCCTGTGAGACCGAGTAGAGCAGCGGTGGAAGAAGAGGTGCTATAATACATATTGCGTGCTTAGCACGCATGATTATCCCATCAGCACTCTGGCACTATCCTGACCAGAAATAGTTAAGCGTACTATCTACAAAAAGCTAAACTCGCTTATATTACCATATTTGGTTTAGATTTGCCTCCACCCCGGTGTCCCATTTGCCTCCAAACACTGCAGTTCCTCGTCGCCTCATCAGTTTGGCAGATACGGCAGGCAAAAAGTCCTGAGAATTGTCGTGATTGCACGAGCACAATAGCAAAATTTATGCGCAGTACCACTAGAACGGAAGGATTATCAATTAAAACTTACCGTTCTAATTTTTGGGACTGAAAATACTGAGCCATTCTTGGGCAAATTTGTATCAGTTGTGGCCGACTCGCAATTATTGCGGTTCAGCCCCACTCCAACCAACCTGCGCATACTCTGACATGATCCGCTATCAGCAATAATAATCAGAGTATCGCAACCGCTGCGCATTCGCACGTCACCGCTGAGACCGAAGCGCTAGGAGAAACTATCATAATGGATCCTCCCCACAGTCCGCCCCAGGAGACGGATCCATCTCGACCATCACTGAGTCAATCGCTTTCTCTGGATTCGCCTTTACCTTTACAAACGATTGCGCAACGCGAACCAAACGCTTCAGCGGAGCCAAAAACAAGCGATAAGCCAGGGATGCACGCCCATCCTGAAGAGCAGTCTGCGATCCGGTCCTTATCGACTACCCGCAGAGCTGGCGACCAAACCGTTGCTCCTTTCCTGGCCAAACATATTCCTGAACAATACGCACCTCTGGGCTTGCTTGGCACGGAAGAGAAGCACAAAGAGACAAACACAAACACCAAATACTGCTATCGACATCGTCCAGACATCAAGTGTCGAAGGCAAGCCGACGAGCCCTCAATGGAGCAGCTACAGCGTGTAAGTCAAGCAAACCTCTCTTCAAACCGACCACTCTTTCACACTGGTGCTGATATGATGTAACTTTTAGGAGCTCGAGACGCTGTCGATGGCCGATCAGCAGGGCATCGCCCATGTCTGGTCGCTCTTTTCCGCTGCACCTTCAAAACTACGAAATCTCATGCTTCGCGGCATCCTCTCACAATGCTGCTTCCCCCAACTCTCCTTCATCTCCGCTTCCATTCGCGATCTCATTCGCATTGACTTCATCTCCGCCCTTCCTCCAGAGATTTCTTTCAAGATTCTCTGTTACCTAGACACCACCTCACTATGTAAAGCTGCCCAGGTCAGCCGAAGATGGCGGATCTTGGCCGATGACGATGTCGTATGGCACAAGATGTGCGAACAGCACATTGACCGCAAGTGTACAAAATGCGGCTGGGGTCTTCCACTCTTGGAGCGCAAGAGATTACGGGCATCGAAGCGGCAGATTCAACTACGAGCGTCTGGACGAGGCCTCAACCAGTGGTCCCCTGATATCACACCTCTAGCTGAAACCGCTCCCACGATCGTCGTAGAGAATGGACCGGGCGCGACAACAGGAGCCCTCAATGCCAATGGCAAACGAAGCAGCCCATCGGATGAGCCTGACCCACTATTGAGCAATAAGAAGGCTTGCGTAGAAACAACAAAAGCAGATACGAACGATTCCTATTTCCGCCCTCGTTTCCGACCATGGAAGGAGGTCTACAAGGACCGGTTCAAGGTTGGTACAAACTGGAAATATGGTCGCTGCTCCACCAAGATCTTCCAGGGTCATACGAACGGTGTCATGTGCCTACAGTTTGACGACAGCATCCTCGCGACCGGCTCCTATGACAGTACAATAAAGATCTGGGACATTGAGACTGGAAAGGAACTTCGCACGCTCCGTGGTCATGAGTCTGGTGTTCGCTGCTTGCAGTTCGACGACACAAAGCTCATTAGCGGGAGCATCGATCGCAGCCTGAAGATCTGGAACTGGCGCACCGGCGAATGTCTTTCGACCATTACGGGGCACAGCGACGCCATCATCACTCTGCACTTTGATTCCAAGTTGCTAGCCTCCGGCTCGGCGGACAGGACTATCAAGATTTGGAATTTTGAAGACAAATCGACGTTTTTGCTTCGCGGTCATACTGACTGGGTCAACTCTGTCAAGGTCGATTCGGCGAGCCGTACAGTCTTCTCTGCCTCTGATGACTGCACTATTCGCCTGTGGGACCTTGACACGAAGCGCTGCATCAAGGTCTTTGAAGGCCACGTCGGACCTGTCCAACAAGTGTTGCCATTGCCTCGCGAATTCGAGTTTGAAGATGAGGATGTTGAATGTGACGATCACGATGATTCTGCCAGCAACCATAGCGGCTGTGATACTGCGAATGAGTCAGGCAAGCGCAGCCGTTCGCGCTCGCCCCCTCTCTGCTTTGAAGACAGCTCCGTCTTCCATGACGGCAGACCAACTCCGCCTCGCTACATGCTGACAGGTGCCCTGGATAACAACATTCGTCTTTGGGATGTCAGTTCGGGACGGTGCTTGCGAACCTTCTTCGGCCATGTCGAGGGCATCTGGGCTCTTGCTGCTGATACCCTCCGTGTCGTCTCTGGAGCACAAGACCGCACAGTCAAAATTTGGGACGCCCGGACTGGTAAATGCGAGCGCACTTTTGCGGGCCATGCCGGACCTGTCACCTGCATAGGACTTAGCGATTCGAGAATGTGCACTGGCGGCGAGGATTCAGAGGTCCGTCTCTATAGTTTTCGTCCAGATAATGCACCTCTTGTCAGCGTCGGTGAACCAATTACGGCGGCATGCACCGATGGCATAGCTGAGCTAGACGGACCCCGACTGCGAGTGTTGGCATAACGCTTTAACGGCTTCCTTCGACCCACGACTTTCATTTGATTCCCCATCTCATTTTCTGATTATCTGCACCCGTTCTTTCCGAGATGTAGACGATGTTCTTCATCGCCCATCCCCTTCGCATGGTGCATAATTGCTTTTTCCCCGCCAGAATCATCTTCGAATCTTTTAGCAGATCCGCACAGTACGTTGTCGTCTGTGACCGGTTTGTGAAAAATTCTTGTTGTTTCAGCATCTCGAGCGTGTAGCGTCTTCTCTGATTCAAGAATTCCCTTTGTTTGCGTGACGTGCTTTATTTTTTCGCTGCATTTTCAACTCGTCTTTGAAAGCGTGCGTTCTTTTCATTCGAGGAAATAATTTTTCTTTTGTAATAATTTTCTGGGCATCTACGTTGGAAGGAGTACACCAAAGGACTTATAGCACGGTTGGTGGGCTCAAGGTTTGATTTTTGCTGGCTTGGAGGGTGTGGTTAGCCAGGATGTATAGGCGAGGGAATGGCGCAATTTGCACTTTTATCCACATGGGCCACATCCATCCCTGTTTCTTCTCCTTGCTATTCGTACACTTTGCATTTTCCGCCCCATGGCCATCATAAAACATTTCATCTTCTGATCACCTTATGCCCGCATCTAGGCGTTTAGATCTATATCTATTATCAATTGAAATACCGTTAGTGGTGTAGACCCTGAGCCGACTTGTTTAGCGTTCGCTGTGTTGTACCCAGTAATTTGACTTGAATCCTTCCCAGCATCTCTTGGGGAAATGACGAGACCATTGTAACAAAGATGGGCTTGAGAAGTTTGACGATTGCGAAGCTCTCAATGGCGTAATAGATAGAGTGGTCACCATTTTGTAGAAGAGCGGTTGTATCGTGGTTGAATAAAACGAAATGCAGTGCCCAACTACATGACCATACCTGAATTGCTTCATCTCCTCCATCTATTGAAAATGTAAACCCGCCGAGGATAATCCTTTGTTGCCATAAAGTTCGATACATTATACGAGAGGGCATTGTTTCAGATGGGCACCCTATTTGTTCCGAATGCTTGATGGAAATTGATGCCAGCAGCATTGGTGCCAGCAGCCCATTATTCTTGTCTATGGGACCCTGGTCCTCTCAATCACAGAACGTTTCACCTCTAGGACACAGATTCCCTGTACTATACAGGGTTTCCTTTTCGAGATTCGTATTCTGCTACTCAAGCTACGAAGACTTGTCTCTGAATGAGACGGCTTGGCTTTGCTCTTCTCCAAGTCCATCAACGCACCAGCTGCACAGAAGAGCGTTCTAATCGGCAACATGAAAATGCTACATAGCGGTTGTATTGTCCTGAATGACCTTTCTTGTGAGATCTGATTATCTACTGTCAATGAGAAAGAGATGCACCTTGTGCTGACTATGCAATTGAATCATGTAGGTTCTCTTCGAACAGCATTTCCCTCCTGACAAAACACTGACCGCTGTCAAACCCGAGCCATTTGATTTATGAAATTTTCAAGCTTTCGAATACGTTTCTACTAAATAATCGGGCGCTCCTAAGGGTGGTCACGGCCTTTGATATCGGGAGATCAGAAAAAGACGACGATTAAACAACATTGGCAATACAGCGCCAAGCATCTAAACCTTAAATTATATGTAGCGGTCGCGTCGCAGATTCGCAACTCCAAGAGAGGGAAACAATGATTAACTAGTCACGTTCTTTTCTGTTACGAAATTTGAAGAGAACGAGCAGAAACAAATCTTCCCAAAAATACTTCGATGGAGTGACCTAAAAAAGAAAAGTAACGAACCCCACGACGCGAGTTATCAATATAGAATCAACTTCATCAAAAGAGAATCGAGCTGCACGGGATTCGATCGGGAGATCGACGTTCTAATGAACACGGATAATTCGGGCTAACAAAGACACGAGTACGATACACAAACCATTGGCAAGCATCTCAAGCGATTTTGGTCAAGTTTGAGGGGCGATGTTACCGTGGATTTTATCACCTTACCTTTAGAAGGTCGAAGCTACATCATCGCCTAGCACTTCTAGCAGGGAACGATAAGAGGAAAGGCCAAGTCGGGGGTTTCATTCGTTCCCCATATTATCCCCAGACGTCAGGACGGAACACCCTTGGCTAGGTGCTTTTTCGGCTCTAGGCTGACCTCACTAATATCTTGTCGAGCTACAATTACTTGCGCAAATAATTGACCCAAACTGGGGAAAGACGACTTTAGAACCAATGGTATATTCGACCGCGGGCAAGCAGACCAAAGCTCGATTGAGCAAACCGGCATCCGCAATGCGCATGAAAAATTGGGCACGAGCACGTTTCCGAGATATTTTCCCTCGGACCCGACACAGCAGGTTGCTGCAATGTACTGTGCATACAAATTTAATCAATGAACGAAGAGCAATAGAACATTACATGTACGGCGCTATTTTGGTTGCAGCTAAAGATCAAACGTTACGCCCCCGCTCCTGTCCGTGAGATTTTCTCCTTTGCTAGCTTTCGAAAAAGATTCTTTCTCGTCCGCTGGTTGGACACAAGGTACTTGGCGTTCCTTGCCCTTGCTTTGAGTCATCAAGGTAGTGGCACGTCGCGACTTTCTTCTATCGAAAACCGATGATTTGGCTCTGCAGTGTAACAGCCACACCCTTGGCTTCGTCCTTTCGCCGATCACGTTCCGCCCTTTTAGGCGCACGTTCACCGCTTATGTGTGCCAGAGTTACCTTTGACACCCACATTTCGTGCCATCTTTTGGCGGAGCAGGGTTTCTGGGCCGTCCCTTGTCCTCGTCAGCCGTGTTTCTTGGCGGGCTTCGTAGGGCGAAAGTATGAAATGGTCGAAAGCATATGCATAAAAACAGATAAGAGGAAGATGCTGCCTTCCATCTGAGCTGAAAGTTGGATTGAATTGCTCTTTTCCGTACAATCGTTCTTTTACACTGAACGAGTCTATTGATCAAAAAAGATTTGCGATCGAGTCGAGATCGAGTGCAGCATTGTGTGTCAGCCATTGAGCTGCCAAGCTACGCTTGTCCCCATTGATTGGACCATACCTTTGCCTCCGAGCTGAAATTGAGCTATCCAGATTTGATCTGCCCTCAGAGCTTGTGCTTGGATTTGTTGCTGTCCTCAAGGGGCACCACTCTCTACAGGCTACATTTACGGAAGCTTCGGGTTTCAGTTTGATCTTTCACGATCAGTTGTCAGCAAATTCAACGCGGACATTGTAAGCCACATACGCGACGCCGATAGGCAGTTTTACCAACTTGACCAACTACACTGAGACCATACGCAAAGCACTGGCAATTCAGGGCCATGGCTGCTACATCACAAACCTCTCACCCACATCCTGATGAGATCTCCCACATGAGACGGCAATCCTACACCGCACCTGTGGGCTCACCAGCACTCTCACCGTCCTCTACAAACTCAGGCGGTTCTTCTGGCACAGACGGTGGACGGGAAGGCTACTTCCACGCGCCTGTCCCTCAGCGACCACATATGGTTCAGCGTCTAAGGAGCTTCACGCAGCTACATCGATCAAGATCCCAGGAACGACAGGATTCGCGAGATTCGAGAGAATCGCACGAATCGCACGAGCATGCACATGACGATGAGCATCACCGTCGGAGATCATCGCGTCGGTCCCGCTCACGAAGTCGATCCCCAGTGACAGAGTCTTCGCTACGAGCTCGCGATAGGAGGTATCCTGAGGAAGAAGGATATGCCCATGATGAGCATGCCCATGTACTGCCGCATATCTCTGCCGCAAACTTTAATGTTCGCTCGCATAATAGGAAGCGTCCAAAGATGGCCGAGCGCCCAAGGAGCCAAGGCACCTATACGGATTGCGGGAGACATGCGAACGATTGGCTCTTTGGAGGCTTCAGCGTGACTGGCACGGTCAGACATTGGTTGAAGGACGAGGGGAAGCATTGATTTGGAACCTCGATGCTGGCCTGATTAATCTTTATGCTTGTCGTTTGATCGGAGTTGACTTTTCGGTGGTTTTTCTTTATCAGAGTACGGTCTTTGACCATTCTGTCCTGACTGCGCTCCATGGTCCTCAAGGCGCGCGTCGACGTTATCAGGACCCGGATTATGGGATTTGGGTTTCATTTGTATCTTTGAAGAAACGTGCAGGACACAACTCGAGGACAGTATTGGGCGATTTGTTTTGGCGTTTCTGGATTCTGCAACGAAGTGGTGTTTAGCACCTAGACGACGTTATGAAACTGATGAATTTTCTTGGTTCTTTGTTGCAGACAGGGCCGTGGATCTATCGACAGGTTGATACCATTCTTCTATTACCATTTTCCTATTCGTCCTGTGTAATTCCTTTTCAATGAGTTCATCATTTTTTCTTTTTCTTTTTCTTTTTCTTTTTTTTTTTTTCAATCTTTTAATTCTTTTAATTCTATTGTCTCTTCGACATTAATCGTCTCGAATAATGTCTTCCAGGGCTCAATAATATTTTTTTTTGGAAGTTTTGAACGCGACAAGATTCTAGAAAATCATATTCGCCATGCAATCATGAAGTTACTTTTGCAAACGTATAGTTAAGGCTTATATATAAATCAACCTTGAGAAAACCTCACCCTTGCTCTCTCAGCTGGTAGCTACTCCGTATGTGTATCACCTGGCGCCTGTCATAGATTCCAGATTTACATCATTTGATAACAATTCACATGGTTGGTGGGGCCTGGGGGGCAAAGTGTTTGGGGCTGAGGCTGAGGCCGCCAGAGCTACTTGATTGCCTCGTCATTTGCCAAGTCCCTCGGTCCCCCCAGTCGGATCTAACCTGCACCGCCCCTTTTAACTAAATGATTGGCTCAAACGCCTCTTCTTCCAGAATTACAGTAAGTTACTTGTTTCTTCAGCTTATTCGCTGTTTAGCATTGCTTTTGTGTACGAAATATCATTCTCTTACTGGCTCTGTTTATCTTATTTTATTTTATTTTATTTGTCTTTTTGTCTGTTTTATTTTTATTTTTTTTTTCCTTGTCTTTTTTTATGTTGAATTTTTATTTTTTATTAAGAGCCGCTTGATCATTGATGCCGCGTTGCGCTCTTCTCTCTACTTTGCTTAACCGTCTGCAAGACCGCAACTAACAGAATTCTTTTCTACTGACTGAGCTCCTTTTGATCCCTTGACGATAGAATCTGCTTAATCAGAAGCAGAGCGTGCGACAGACCCGCTCCACTTTATTGTCTGAACCCGCCTACAGAGTCACTTTCTAGAGTGGATCCTAAGTTCCTAACTTTACTGTGTGGCGCGGCCAGGTTGCCAACTACCCTACGCACCGTACGCGCCTTGGGATCAGCGACTAAATCAGCCCCCGTTGCCCCCAGCCACGAGGGCCGAGGGGCCAAGACCGAGCCACGGGCAGGGGTCCCACGCGGGGTCCTTTCTCTTCTTTTGTTATATAGAGTTCCGCATGCCCTGTTGCTTTCGAGTGCTGCTGCATTTTATCACTTTTGCGATAAATGTCAGATTGGGTCTGATTATTTTATATTCTCATTTTTGACAACTGGAACGGCCCGTGTTTTCCCGAAGCTTGTGACCGTTTACAAAGTTACATCATAGGCACTGGAACGATAGAACGATAGAACGATAACTGCGACGGGGATTACGATTACGGTTACGGTTAGAGTTACGATCATATTCCGATAAAGAGATTCAATTATTACGATTACAGAGAACAAGACAGCGGATTTATACGGTTGCAAATAAACCAAAAGACCAACCGAGGAAAGAGTCACGTGTTTTCTTGGAGTATTAAATAAAGTCCAAGTGGACGAGAAAAGAAAGGAAGAGTGAAAGAGAAAAAGAGAACCAGAGAACCAGAATCCAGCAAAAACTTGTCAAAAGAGCAGAAAGCAAGAGCAAGAGAAAGGAATAGCTTTCAAGCAAATATAGCACGCACAAAGAGCTGGTTGGAATCATGAGTTTCAACGGATATCCGCCTTATCCCAGTAAGTTTGTTTATATCTTATACTGTCACCATTTCTTTCCTGCGCATTGTATAGTTACCGTTGTTTTAGTATGAGCTTGTCCTTTACCTTTGGTTTTGCTCTTCAATGCTTTCTGTTTCTAAGATTGATAAAATGCATTTTCTGGTGGCTCATTTCCTGCGGACAACCTTCAATCTTGCAAATATGAAAGCAAGTACTGACCTTTCAGCATCCCCTTATCCACCTGGCCAAGCGCCACATCCTCCCCCAGGACAAGCACCTGGTCCGTATGGACAACCTCAGCAATATCCTCAGCAATACCCTCCGCAACAAGGCTATGGTGCGCCGCCAGTACCACCGGTAGGATCCAGTCCGTATCCGCCACACCTGCAACAACCATACGGATACGGCCCTCCAGTACGTTCTCAATCCCCTTTTCTCCCCATTCTATGCACCAACTTCTTCTAACCAGCCCGTGCCGCAGCCTCCTCAGCCCATCCAAGGCTACAGTCAAAATTACGGCGGCCCTATCCCCAGCGGCTACCCGTCTCCCGGCTACGCCATCGACATGCCCGTCGCGGGCGACGCGCCCATGGAAGCCGAAGCCCTCCGCAGCGCCATGAAAGGCTTCGGCACCAACGAAGGCACGCTCATCAAGGTCCTTGCGCCGGCCGACCCGCTCCTCATGACCCGAATCCGAGAAACCTACAAACGGTATTTCAACCGGGACCTGCAGCAAGACATTATCAAAGAAACGAGCGGGCGCTTTGAAGACGTCCTCGTCGCACTTGTTCGCGGCCCGCTGCAAAACGACGTGCACAACATCCGCAGCGCGCTCAAGGGCGCCGGCACCAACGAGACCGTCCTCGACGACGCCCTCCTCGGCCGCTCTAATGCCGACATGCACGCCATCCAGCGCGAGTATCAACGCACATTTAACCGCAATTTACTCGACGACGTCAGAGGCGACTTGTCGTTCAAGACGGAGGTCTTGTACGAAATGGTCCTCTCCGCACAACGCGATGAGGAATCCCCGCATATCAATCCCCAGCTTGTCGACCAGGACGCGAATCAGTTGCACCAAGCGATTAAAGGCAAATTAGACAAGACTGGGAATGGGAATAAGCAGCAGAGTGTGTGTCATATCATGACCAAGCGCAGTGATGGCCATTTGAGAGCCGTAGCGCACCATTATGAGCGAACTTATCACAAGAGCTTGGAGGAGGCTATCAAGAAGGTTTGTCCCCTTCCTCTTTGGCTCTGTTTATCCATTTTTCTTGCTCGCTTTATTTTCTTCCCTCTTAGTTTTCCTTTTTTTTTTTTTTTTTTTCTCCTCTTTTCCCCCCTCTCCGTTTTTCTTTCTTCATTATGACTATCCAAGGCATCAAATCGTCCGTCCGTTCACCACAGCTCTCACAGGAATTCACCGGCCACATGGAACACGCACTACTCCATATCCTCCGCGGCGCCACCGACCGCGCCATGCGCGACGCCGTGCTGCTCGAGGACTGCATGCGCGGCCTGGGTACCCGCGACGACCTGCTCGTCCAGCGCGTCGTGCGTGTCCACTGGGACCGCGACCACATGCGCCAAGTCCGCGGGGCGTACAAGCATCGGTATAATAAAGAATTGGCCACGCGTATTGCTAAAGAGACGAGTGGTGATTATGAGCGCGCGTTGGTTGCGTGTGTTTCTGTTTAATTTTTTTCTTATTCTTTATTCTTTATTCTTTTATTTTTTTCTCTTTATTTTTTATTGTTTATTGTTTGTTTTTTATTATTTTATTATTATTTTTTTTTCTCTTATGTACTATCCTTTACAATCCGTAGTTTATATCCTTTGTATTTATTTACTTTCTTTTCGTATTATTTCCTTCCTAAATTCCCTTTTGTATTTGCTATTTGTATCTTACGATCTGTATCTTATATCCTTTCAATCTACTATTTGTATCTAGTATCCGTATTTACTATCCGGAGTTTATTTCATTTTATCAACTTCCTTTCGAATTTCTATCACTATCCTATATCCTATTCAATATACTTGCCGTTTGTTTATTTAGTTTTCTTCGTGTTTTATTTCCGTCTGTACTTCGTATTGAATCACCTTCCCTAGGTATAGGTAGGTACTTTATATCCTTTCGTACGGCCGTACCTGGATTTGAACACGTTCAGTACCCTACGTGGTACCTTCCGTCTATTCATTGTTCATTTCGTTTTGTTGGTTTTATTAATCTGATTTAGTTTTTATTCTATTTATTTTATTTTTTATCTGGTTTTTTTTGGTCTTGTTTCATTAGTTTTTATTTGTTTTGTTTTCTTTCATCTTGTGTTTGCATTAAACATTCTCATTCTCATTCTCATTTGCATTTCCATACGTTTTGTTTTCCTATTCCTTTCTTTTCATCTGCACATTCTCATTTCCATTTCCTTCCTTTTGTGTTATTATTTGCATTCCTTTTCTTTCTCATCTGGTTGCATTTATTTCTCATTTGGTTACGTTTATTTCTTTTTATGTGAAGCTTATCTTCTCGAGTGAAATGTTTCTATGCTTTCCCTTTCTTTTTGCCTTTCCTTTCCTTTGCCTTTTTCATTGTTGACGTTGTCGATGACATTGAGATTTAGATTGAGTTGTTGACACTGACGTTGATGCTGTCCTTGGATTGACGTTGACGTGGGTTTGAGTCCATCGGATTGGATAGGGTATTTTCTCACGACAGTGGACAAGACTAGGCAGTTCTTTTTGAGCTTTGGAAATGGCGTCGGCGTATTCTGGCTTATCTTTATTACATTCACTTCATTTCATTCCATTTTCATTATTTATGCTCACTTTTCTTTTCTTTATTTCACAGACTGACAGATTACCTCCCGGATTAAGAGAACGAGAATGATAATGAAATGGATAATGAAGACGAGAATAAAGCTTGAGTGAGAACCAGGCTTATCTCGAGAAACGACAGGTGGACAAATGGAAAATGGACAAAGGACAAAAGGACGACCACACTTGACAAGTGGGCAAATGGCAAACCACAAATGGATGACCACCCTGTAGAATGACAAGCACGCTTGACGAAACCCTGCAGAATGACCACAGACCAGAACGACCACAGCCAAGATAAAAAAGGTCAGTAATCCAACCACTCAGTCTCATCGGCCGCCCACTTCTCATTGCGAGCAAGACGGTCCGCGGTGTCGTAATCGTAGCGGTACGCCATTCCTTTTTCTGCGGCAGGGAAGTGCTCCGCGATGATGTCGTTGATTTCGTCAAAGCGGGCTTCTTCATCAACTTTTTCATCAGCTTCTTCGTCAGTGGCCTTGCCATCCTTTCCCGCCTCCTGCTTCTTCACATCCTCATGGCCATTCTCATCGTCGTCGTCGCCGTAGTCATAGTTGGTCATGGGTGTGTCGCCCTCTGCATCAGTCGCTCTCTCTACACTTTCGTGTCGTTCAGCTCTTTCAGCTCTTTCAAATCCGTCGTGGATCGTTTCGCCGTCATGAATAGAGTGGGCAGAATGGACGGAATGGACGGAATGAGTAGCATCGGCAGTACGGACAGTAGCGGTACGAACACCCCCCTGCTCATCGTCACTGCTGGACATTGGACTACCGTCAATGTTGCTCAAAGACTCGGAAAACTCTCCACGATCATGTTCGAGTTCAAGTTCGTAAAACACTTCTTTTTCGCCATCGGCATTCGCGGACACGACAGTCTTGGTGTACGTCCGAGTAGCAGCTCCAGCTGCGTCTCCGTCACTGGCGGTATGATGCTTCGAGAGACTAGACACGGTGCCAGCGTCGTTCAACTTATTAGGACCGTCACCTGGCCGAGCAACGGTAGGAGTCTTGTCAGAAACATCAGAGACACCAGAAACATCAGTCATGTCGAGATCAGCAACGTCCCGCGTTTGCCGAAGCCGAACAATATTCGACAGGACAGAAAACGGCTCGGGACGGTCTCGGCGCTCAAAGAGACTGACGGGGAATGGCACATCGGGGTAGTATGCCTCATAAGCGGCTTTGAGGAGGTTCTTGACAAATACTTCGTCCCGGGGGTCAATGCTGTCCGAGTCTTTGAGACGATGACCAACACTACTGTCGGACCTGTTGCGCCCAGTAGAAGTTGTTTCTGCGGGGTAGATGGTAGAAAAGGGCTCAAGACTATCAGCACTCTCCGCAACCACGAGGGCTGAATTTTGGAGCTCTGGTCTACGGCCAGATTCAGGATGTTGAAGCGATGCGTCATTAGAGTATCCAGGAGACCTGGTAGCGGGACTGCGCCCATGGAACCAGGAACTAACAAGCCTTGCTTTTTCAGCGGTCGACTCTTCCCAGTCAATAACGGAAGAAATGCGGCTCGAATGTACGGATGGCCTGGAAGACCCAGCTGCGGAAATTTGTGAAAGACCACTCGGCGGGGAAATCGACATGGAGAGACTCAGTTTGCGCGAACTCGGTGGAGATGATGACCGCAAGGAGACAGAAGGCGCGTTGAACACCTGGGTGCTATTGACTTCTTCACGCTGTTGGCGATGATGGGAAGCACTACCGCGAAGAGACTGCGCATTGTTCTTGTCCTCGGAGTTTGTCTGCGAAGCAATACCGCTGTCCAGAGTCGGCCCACGATTGGGCTTATTGGCAATAACAGTCGCAGGCGAGTGCAAAGAACTACTGCCGAACGAGGGGGACGAGATAGAATCATATCTTCTAGAAAGAGTCGATTTCGAAACGCTATGCTCAGAAGCCAGGGTAGGACGCAGCCTGACGGTCTCGCTGCTCGGAGCATTCGAGGTAACGGATTCTTTGGGCTGGCGTTTCTTATATCTCTGAGAGCCCGAGATGTCATTATTCGTTGATGATATCGTCGAAGTTTCAATGCTTGGCTTGGGCACTTGTTCCGGTGCTATGCAGCTCAAATCGAAAAAGGTCATCTCCGAGGGAGCAGGGGTATGATCACGGACACGGAGATGGTTGTTTGCATGTACATAGATGTCACCCATATCGATATCGTTGAAAGGCTCAGAAGCCGATCCAGTCACATAGGCTGTAGACCCACGAGCGACAAACGGAGATGTCTCCCATGGCATGGTCACAGCTCTGTCCCAGTCCGGCGCCAGGCTATTACTTCTCCTATTCAGGCCCTTGTTTCCAGCACCGCCGACGCGATGGGGAGACAAGGACGTATTCCCTTTGTCTTCGGTAATCTGCGCATTTTCAGATGCTGTCAAATGTTGCGCAATGCTCTTGACGATATGACGAGGACGGCCGCGATCAATATCACCGTACAAATGCTGGAATGTCTTTGTTGCTCTGATGCGAGCTTCAAAAGCAGCAACGGAGGATTCCTGGGTCCAATTAGCAAAAGTCAATGCCTCGGTTTCACACAGCATAAATAGAAGGCAAATATGGAGAAGATGATGGGAAAACTCACATGCCAAATCACTGCTGGATACCCCCCACGCAGCATGGCCCGCTTTAACGAGCTCCAGTTGTAATCATCCGAAAGACGATATTCAGAGAATAGAGGATTAAACTTCTGGTGCAAGTGATCCAGTGAAAAACTGTAAAATCTTTTGGGCGACTGTTCCAAAAGGCAAGCACACCAAGCTTTGTCCATCGCCGCTATTTCACCATCATCGAAACCTGCAGTCAACGACTGAGCCGGACCGGAACCGCGGCCATGAGAAATCCCAGTGGGTACCGTCCAGTTGTTATAGGTCGAATAAGCGTTGAGCACATCAACCATCATACCGAAAGTCGTGATTAGGGGTACAGAGATGGGAATGGTCTCTCGCATGTCGCCCGGATACAAACGGTCATTTATCAGATAGATCATCAATGCCTTTGGACAGGCCGTTCCTGGAGCCTGGCTAATCAGCCTGTCTGTAAAAGTCCCCTTGATATATCGTGCCTGCTCGTTTTTGCATTTGAGTAAGTATAATTCCTCAAGTTTTACTCCAAGAGGCGCAGATGACAAGGCCTCGAGGTCAGCATCCGACATGCCTTCTGCAACAAGCTGTATATTCAGCTCAGCCATTGTGTCTTTGCGCCTGAATGCGGACTTATTGTCGGACAAGAAGTGATAAAGTTCCCTCTCGCGGTTCCATTCTGACAATGATCGTTGCAAGTTGGCGTATAGATTGTCTTCTTTCACGAGTTTTAGGGGCAGTCGATCGACTCTTCTTCCGTCGGATTCTTGCAAATCAAAGGCATCTAGGTATGTCAGCCCGGAAATTGCTTTGGATTCCCAAGCTTTCTTGAAGCCAATTTTCCCTGCAAGAAGAGCATGTTCCATGGCCCAGTTTATGAGCTCAGCGGTGGTAGGATTGGGCGTAAGATCGTCCATCATGGTCGACGTCATCTTGAAAGATCAAAGCTAAACTGCACCTGGCATGTTGCAATGCGGATCAAAACGGCCCAAAGGAGCTGAGAGCACTGGCGCTAGAATCAACTTGAGGAGCTACAGTACTTGAGCACTGATGAAATGCTCTGGAATTGAGGAAATAAGCACACGCTTGAAAGCTGATAAGTTGATTCGGAGGCGTAAAACAAGTAGCACTCCCGGCAGGTAATGCAGCAAATGCAGTTGTAGGTAGAGATAGGGAGTAAGCGATGTAATAACAAAGGAATGCGCTGATGAATTGAGTATATTGTCGAGCAGAAAGGCATGTTGTGCAATTTTCTCGGCGCACTATTCAGTGATTAAACCGTATGCTCTGTTGACTGGACGATCAGATGAGGTCGTAGACGGTAAGCTGCTGAACGGGTTATATCAGGGATCGGCAGGGGCAACTAGCCATCTGTCGTGCCTTCCACGGAAGGGGATGAACAAACAATTCATGCACCAAAGGAAACATAGCATGCACAACATCAGCACCAATGAAAGCATATCATAATGCCCATGACAGCTCATTGACAGATTAGAACATGAAGATGAGACTCAGGGGAGAAAAAAAAACTGATGCAAAAGAAATTTTTGGTTCGCTCGAGGAAACTCCGTGAGACCTTCCCCATGATGACCGTATCCAGAAGTCTATACATACAATTGTCCACGCGAATGGACCCGATATTCCGAGAGGAGATGTGTCGCTCATTGTGCCTCAGAGAGCAAACGAAGAAGATTAGAAATATAGTCACACATTTGATGAAAGGAAAACGCTTTAAGAACCGAGGCAAACCCGAGATATGCGCAGCTGTACAATGCATAAACCACCTCGCAAACCCAAGATACCGACTACGTACAGCCCATCCGCATTTCACAACAATGTCCGAACGATGCCGTCGTCCCAGGGGTATCGACTCGCGTCGGCCGCAAATAAACAGATGGCGAAAGAGAAAGGATGAAATTTAGAACAACGCCTTGCGGGTAACCTGGACACGAAAATATCAGCAACTCCGAATATAGGAAAGAGGGGAAGGCATATGAGGGAAATTTCTTACCGCCCACGCGCCAGCCGCACTGGCCACGAGACCTCCAGAGATCATCATCGGCTTGACTCCTTTGGTACTCTTGAAAACCATTCCACTAAGAGCGCCCGCCACAACGCTGTTTGCGGAATCATGTTTGCCTCGATAGTAACCTATCGTTGAGTTGACGCCATTGTAGACCATGGCAATGACACCAGCAGAGTTTCCGAGGAAGGGACCACGACGAGTCACGGCGTTGAGCACCGAATTAAGCCGAAGCTTGGGAGGCGCAGTTGTGGGCATCTTCCTCAAACCTTCCGCAAGACCCCAAGCACCTCCCATCGTCAGTGCAGCGAGATAAGTCGTTCCAGTGCCGTAACATAGGTCGTCCGACCAACCCCTGGACGGCAAGGCGGACTGGCCGCCGGGGAGATCGGAGAGTGCGGAGTCTTCAAGAGTAAGATAGTCGAGGGAGTCATGGTTGAGTCCAGCCAAAGGGTGTAGTTGTGACGGGTCAGGTAAGCTCGGTCCGGTCAAAAAAGATGAGACATCTTGAGCCGTAGCAGGGTCAAATTGAGGCGTTTGAAATTGATCTTGCTGGGAGGCCGTCGAGGACGAAGACGAGGACTTCCGTCCAGTCAGAGAGTCCCAAATTGACATTGTGTGCGGTTAAATCCTTTGACGGATCAGGGTTCGATGAAGCCGCTCTTTGAGGACTCCACAAAGGGATCGAGACGAAGTGGCGGCAGTACTGATAATGGTGAAAAGTGGTGATTGATTGATGATGATGATACTTTCGGCCATGAAGGTTTGATTGTCGGCCTCTTTCGCTACGAAAAAAATTGCTTACGTAATATCACAAATTTCACCAGTTTGGCCCAGCTATGCCATGCGGATCAAACGCGGACAGGAAAAAAATTATTTAGGGCAATCAAAAAAGTTCATGGAGGAGCATTTGAAAGTGCACCGTTCTGGAATTGGAGTTTGAGAATTGGCTTTTTACTCTGGACAAAATTTGCCAATGGCTGACTCGCTGCCCAAGCCTGTCATGGGTGAAGGAAATCCGAGCCAGCCAAAATGGCTGTCCGTGGGCCGGTCAATTCCTGTCTCAGAGGATGACTTGAGATTGATCAGCAAAGAAATTGGACCAAATATTGAAAATGCATTGGAGAGTGATTCTGAGATGACAAAAAAGTGCGTATAGAATGAATTGCCAAACGAAACGGAAAAAAATGATTTATTCGACCCAGACATGGTTTATCACATGAGAAGCAAATATCGAGCTAACATATCTCATTAGACAACTGGACGGTCTGCTTAATGATACCTTGGAAACTGCGGGACTACTCAACATTACTCCAAACCACCGGACCGCAGCCTGCAATGTGCTCTGTGGCTTTCTTGACAAAGGGAAAGTATCACGTGTTCACGAATTTCGTCTTATTTGTTTTGATCTTCGCCGATGGGAGAAGCTCTTCAGCATTTATTTGGAAAGATCCAATAATGCAAAGATCAAATCAATGAGGCAGGTCTTGACGACATTAACCTCACTCATTGTGGACTCCCAAAACCCCTTTTCTGAGTCTTCAATTGTTCGGGAAGATGCAATAACCAGGCTCGTCCGTATTATGATTGGGCAAGAGTTATTCCCAAGGTGGAAAGCTGCGCTGCAAGCCCTGGAATTTTTCATTTCAAAGGAGGTGGTGTCAATTAAGGAACTTCTGGACATTGTTTCTGCACGATTTGACGACGCGTCAATATACAATTCAGAAAGGCTGGCAACAAATCAAAGCAAGCATGTTGAAAGCGCGCCGCACCTTATAGAATCCAAGCCAAATTTCAATTTGATTGAAATTTTCATCTTACATGCACTCACATGGATTCCACACTTGGATGTTGCGCCTGCTGCTGGGCATCTGGTGTCGACGTTCTTCAAAAAGCTCAGAGCTCAGAAAGATTCCAATTATTACCGTTCTGATTCACATTTGCCGCTATGGGCCTTTCCACTTCAGGAGAGTATCAGAAAGTATCCTGAATCTTTGGAGACGTTCAAACATCATGTATTTCCTGGGCTGTTTTCCATATCTGGTTCTGACTATGTGAGTTTCTTGAAATATTTGCACCTTGACGACTTCTTGTCCGGCGCGTCTGTGGAAGAAGAAGACGTCGGTGCATCTACGCTATTCTCAGCATTAGAAGTTGGAAAGGAGATGGGTCTGGTCTCCGAACCTGGTAGGTCTTATGATTTTGTTGTTATAGTTGTAAAGCCGCAACATACTAACTTAATTTAGGTGATGATATCCGAAGCAAACCTGATGCTCTCGTCGTCCCCGGCCATGTTTTGGGACAATTATTAGACCACGCTTCGCCAACGATCAGAATAGCCGCTCTATCATTATTGGTCATGTCTTTAGCAACAACTAAGCCATTCACAAACGAAACTCTTGCCGTTTTACGTCGAAATCTTATGAATCTTCATGGCGACACTGATGCACGTTTTCGAAATGAAGTTCTAAGTACAATAAAACGGCTTTTCGACAGAGCTAGAGGGGGTGCCGCAAACTTGAAGCGAGAGATTGACCGCCTGTCAAAGCAGCAAGCCAAAAAATGGGAAGAAGGCCGGGAGACCAGTGTAGCTCGAGCAAAGGCGCTTTTTGAGAGTCATATCGAATTTATGTGCTGGTATATTAATTGCTTAAAGTTTGAGCTTCGATCTACAGCGTCATACCAGCGCCATTCCACGGCATTGAAGGCACTCCTGCTCGTGGTTCGGTCCGGTCTAGACAGCACTATTTCCAAACAAAATTTGGCAAAGCTTGCACAAGGTGATATCAAGTGGGTCTTCAATGTTGAAATATTCGACCCTCTCTTGATCCGAGCTTTGCTGGATCTTTTAGTCGATCCTTTCGAAGACGTACGCGATGCGGCCGCAAAATTGCTTAAATTAACACCACTACTTTCTTTGGATCGACCAGCATCTTCATCTACACCAGAAAGTCTCAACTTCGATCTCTGGACACACTTACAACGCAATGAGAACATTTTCCAGAGAACCGGTAGAGCCGATCATGCAGATGGCATTGCTCGAACCAACGAAGTCATTTTTGAAGTGAGTCGTCTTAGTTCACCCCAAGGCAGCACCGCTAGCAAGTTCAGTCCCGAGGTTGAGCAAGTGGAGAGGATTCTCGCAAAGCTTGAGGAGAGTATTGCAGTTGCAAAAACAAATGTTCTGAATGCGGTGTCAGAAAGCCCAGTTCATGGACAATTAGCTAGCTTACGGTTCGTACCCGCCAATGTTTAATTTTCAACTAGGTGTATTGATAATTCCACTACAGATACATACTCGACCGTTCGGATTTCTATTCCTCTTTAAACTCACGAAGTGCGGATGAGCTTCAGTATTGGAAGAAGCTTCACCGCCGGATGATTGATGCCTGCAATGCCATCTGGCACTTTGTTAAAGGGGTCCTTTGCAATGATTCACCGGAAGGCCATGTTCCGGAAGATGCAGAATTTGATAGCGATATGGGAACCAAAGATCTTCTCAGTTACTCTTGGCGAGCTCTGAAGGAGTCCAGGTACGGTGCTTTAGCCCATGAGAATGTTGAGTTGGCTAATCTCGTTGTCCAGTTCTCTCTTACGCATTATCATCTCAAAGGCTACGCATGTGCCTGGCGCTGCAGTCTCTATGCTTGAGAATAAGGGCTTTGAAGAGATTGGAGGATTAAGCTTTATCCAACTTGCCGATCTTCGGCATCGTGGAGCTTTTTCGACAGTCTCACTAACCTTTTCAGCTTGCTGCATCCGCTCAAGCAAGTCAAAGGAGCCCGAAGTCCGTCAGCTGCTCACGATCTGGTATAAGGTGAGTTTGAGGGCTCTTAATCTTATAATTTCCCTACACGGTCTCATCATCTTCTGACTGTATAAGAATGCTCTCTTCTGCATCCGTGACAAGGCGTCAACAACTACTCGTCGTTCTGCCGGTATTCCCTCTCTGATTACAGGCATTCTATCTGCGGATCTGGGTGGAGAACTTTTCCGACAAGTCGTCAAAGACCTGCAAGCAATTGGTGGAGCCGCTGTTTCCACGGATGGCGAAATGCAAGAAGGAGACCTTCCGCAAGTGCATGCTCTCAACTGTCTCAAAGACATATTTAAGAGTGCCAAACTCGGACCCTCCTCCGAGCCATACGTCCCGGAAACCATGGATCTTGCCGCTGCTAGTCTGGGTTCATCCATGTAAGAAATTATTACGGTCCACTCAATTAAATAGGTCTTAATTTTAACTCGACATCAGATGGCCAATCCGCAATTGCGGCATGATGCTGTTTCGAGCCATCATTGATCGTCTCTTTGGAACCAGCGAGGGCTGGGACCAAATAGACAGCGAGCAGACTTCCAGATTGTCCAAACTATCATACCACAGCTATCCGAATTTGCCTAGGATTCTCATCAAACTTCTTGAACAGAGATCAGCTGCACAAGCGTCCGAGAACAGTGGAGCTTCCGTGGAGGGTGTCTTCCCAGCTTTGGAAATTATCCGCCGGGCTGGTGCACCTAAAAACGAGGCAAACTTGATCCGTGAACTTATTTGGAACCACATGGGCAGCAAACTATGGCATGTACGTGAAATGGCCGCTCAGACGTACTGCTCGTTGATCGAAGCAGGTCAGCATCTCGAGACGATCGAGGGGCTTCTTGAGAAGCCGTTTGAGGATCAGAATGCTGTACATGGTAGATTGACGTGCGTGAGAAACATTGTTGAGCGGCAAATCTTACAATTCGAGAAGGGTGTTCAAGGTCTGTACCTGTTTAATCTCAGATCTTCCAACTTTCCTTGCGGACCAGCGCACTGACTTAAACTATAGTGGATGTCCGAGGGCTCAGCTTGTTGTTGGGTGATTTCTACCAGGCTGCCGTCCTAGACAATATCTGCCCATACTCAAAGTCTCCTTACATGGACGCAGTCAATTTGGTGGCAGCGGCTTTGGCGCGCTCTGGAAATCATCCGCGGCTCCTAGGTAAAGCACCTATTTCTTCACGGAAATCCGTTCTTCCACTAACAATAACCACGCATAGAAAATCTCTTTCGAGACTTTCCTACCAGACCGACTTTCCAAGACACGCTTGATGCTCTCCTACGAGTTCGAGTCGGGGGCGGGCTTCGAAGTCGACACGGTGCTATTGCAGGACCTTTACTCCGCCGAGCAGCGGCATGGAGTTTGACAATTATTTACTATTCACGGGGCCAGTTCAGCAACTTGAAGAACTTACTATCGACTTTGTCCCAAGAAGACCCCGATACCACCTGCGCAACGTTGACCCAGTTGCGGGCTCGCCTCCCACACACCGAATTCGCCAGAGAGCTATGCTTCATCTACAGCGACATTGTGGCATCCACGAGCTCTCCATCTGTCAAAGCACTGGCTCTGGGCCACTGTGCTGATCTTCTTTTGCACCAATCGTCGTCAGCATTTTCTCCCTCCTCCTCGGCAAACCCGAAAGCCCTGAACGAAATGACGAGTAACTCGCAAAGCATTACCCAGGCCCTTTCAGGACTTGTCCAGTGGACGCCTCCCATCCAAGCTGCAAGTCCCTCTCTGATCGATGCAGAACTGCGACTTCGCGGTATTCTGCTTGCGCTTCAGAACAAAGACAAAGATGTCTGGGCCGGGGATACCAATACGAAGGTCTCAGTTTTGCATGCAATGCTTCGTCTGTTTGCCAATGAACGCAACGTGAGTCTTATTTAATGCCTTTTCTCCATCAAATTCGGCTGCCGCTCAGTGCATGTGAACAATTCTAACCTCCATTGATCCAGGATTTCTCTACCCGTTATGCGGGAGTCTCCTCCATTGAAGGCTTCAAGCCTGGATTTCGTAACTTTGACCAATCTCCTCGGACCTCGCCCCTTCTCTTAGCACTCTACATTGCACTCTACGATACACTTAATGACGATGATGAAGAAATCCGCGAAAAGGGCGCCGAGGTTGTAGCATGGATCCTGAATTCGTCGTCATCGACTTCTGCCAAACCAAAGAGTACTCAGTTGCAACCGCAAGCGCAGTCTCTCATTATCCCGCCTGCCGCATCTTCTCTGCTCATGGACTTCCTTTCAACACCTTTATCATCGTATGCAATCTCGCCTCTTCTTCTGGCAGAGGGCATGAGTCGCGTCGCTGGACAGAGATACTTCACTGCGCGAAGCCAACTTTCTCATTCAAGTCCCAATATAATGGATCCTAAGCTCAACCTTGTCAGAGCAGAGAGCTCTCTTGCTGATGCCTTGAAAGAAGATGACTCGCTCTTCGTTGAGGAAAAGCAGAATTTGTATATTGACGAAGTGCGTGAAGCTGAGGCTTGGGCAGAGCTGTTGATGAGACTTGATCCTACATCCTCTTCTGCTTCGAACTCCTCACCAGAAAATTTTGCATATTTCGCTAAATGGATTGTTGACGGGCTCTCCGCACTCACAGAAACCTCCAAGCAACGTGGAATGGACGGTCCCCTAGGATGGACAGCTAAGCCAGACGTATTCACTGTTGGAATGCGTGTGATTTGTGGTGCAAAGGTTATCCTATCATGGTCTGCACCCATCCAGGTGGCGAAGGCAACAGAGATGAATGCTTTGGTGGGTGAAGTGAGAGATGCAGTACAGCTTCTCGTGGAAACTGGCCGCAAGGCAGCTCTGCATGGGATGTGGATGGAGAGACTGGAAGCATTGCTTTAAGGTGAAATGGCGAGCCATTCAATCTGCATGGCCATTGTGACGGAGATGGCTTTCACTCCTGCTCATCACAAAGGCCTGAGATTGGAACGGGGCAAGTGACATACATATGCACCCTGGAGCTTTGGCTACGTGAAGGAAGTCATGGATTGCTTTTCTGTACAAAGGATTCATTTGATATACCAGAATTATTGTAAATGGGCGTGAAGTAGTGTACATATCTACATACAAAAATGAAATTCATCATTTAGTCAAGAGAAAGTGCCTTGGTCCTTGTAAGACGTGAATCTTCTGCACATCCTGTAACACATGATTCATCCCCAAAGTCCGTCACTGTCAGGATGCATTCACCGTCCCTTCAGCAACGTCACTGGAACCTTGTTAGCGAAGAAAATTTTTCCCACACGGTGCTGAAGATCTCGAATATAAATACTCAGCTCATCCGCACCTCTTCTCCCGCTTCCTTCTGTCGTTCCCACTACCTTCATATAACCACACAGCAACATAACACATATAACAAGATACTACGTTTTATAACTCTATTTGAAATAGCTTTCCACTTTATGTCTTACGACTTTATATTCCCAACAAATGAAAAATGATCAAATCAACTCTCCATGCCTGAAAGGACGAGACTGGCACAAGGGTTGCTTTGGTGCGGCTTTGGCGGAAGACATATTTTGGCTTGCCGCTTGCCTGTCCCTCGTCTAAAGACCTCTTTGGTGGTTGGAGACTCTGGTGACCACTCAAAAGGTATGTACGCTATGTATTATGCTTTGTTTTTTTAAAGAAAAAAAAAAGCAGATTATATATAGACTCTGTATTCCACTCAATATTCTCTGCTTGCTGTCTCGACACGGGGCAGTTATGCTTTAAATTTGGTCATGGAAGTGTAAAGGGCTAACCAAAAGATTCGTATAGTGTTCACAGTCGCCAGCCGTGAGCAGCCAAATGGCCCGGTGCCCCTTTTCAAGTTTAGAAATTTGGAATTTTAAGCTTTTGCCAGCACAGAGGCACTCCAACGCTTTGCCATCGAAGTGTAAGAAATAAAAAAGCTCTTTGTGCCTGTAGAATGCATTGGAAGACGAACTAACAAGCTGACAGAAGGATTTAAGTTTAATTTGCTCCGATTACCAAAGTTATGATCCTTTCTGAACGGCGAGCGTAACTCATGAAACTTGATTTTGTCAAAGCACTTGAGCTGTGACAGCTGCGTCTGACTGTTCTGTGCTAGTGATCATTAAAGTCATCATAACAATGTGTAAGTATTGTTGCCTTCTTTCCCTTCGCCATTCCAGATACATTTTATTTCACATCGAAGACTCAATGTCTTGAGGGATCAAAGCTAACGTGGATTTTCTGCAGGTTGGATTATATAGAGTCATTCTGGCTCACAGCTGATACAATTTAATCTTCTGGTTTCCAGCGGCTATTTCTTCTTCAATATGTCTGCTCTCTGTCCAATGTGAGTGTGTAGCAGTTGAACAAATTGTACAAGTTGGTTTTCTGTTTGGAATGGAAGCACATCCGATCCTTGAAATTGTCAAGAAATCAACTTCTAATTATACAATGATCTTTTTTTCTTCAAAAACACAAGTCAAGCTGACAGTTTTCTTTATCCAGAAAATGAACTCTATTCGATTGGATCATTGCTAGTAGCAAAATGGGTCGGAGCTAACGTCCGACTCTGCGCAGATGGAGAAACACGACTGCTCGAACCGGCGTGCTCGGCATTGGTGGAAATAGGGTCCGACTCTATTCCACGGTCCACCAAACTGAGCCCACTCCATTCGGTGTACAGCTTGTCACTGATACAGCAGACCATTTTTCCGGTGCCATTGCCCCTATTTTAGGGGGGTCTCTGGCACACAAACTTAAGAGATACGGAGCTGCGGCTCCTCGACCTCGTCAGGTCCCAGGCTCGCGGCTGAAGCAGCAAGGGAGAAAAGAATCTCTACCGGGGTGTCAGACTCTTGCCGTCAGAATTGTGAGCCGTTATTGACTCGATGACGGCCCCTTCCAGCTAATTCACATCGGCACCCAGGATGTGCGTCGAAAAAGGTTTTTCCGTCTCAGGCTTTTGAGAAGAAATCCACCACTGTGCTAGTTCTGAAAAACATATCAACACTTCTCCAGCAGAACGTACGAGTGGCTCTTTTGTTGCCTTTTTCTTCAGTCTCGTTGACGAAGAGAAGTCTTCGCGAGCATCCACCCCTCTACAGAGTGCCTCCCAGACTTCTTCCGAAAAGCGCTTCGGAGTTGTTTTCAGAATACTGAATTTCAACTGGGGAGTATTTGGAGATGATTCAGAGCCCCTTATTACGGACATATTGAACCGGTTCCAGGTCTCTGGGTTTTTTAAGCCGGACTTGGAAAAGCCTTTTGAAGGCTTGGCTCTTTGCGCCGTTTTCACCCGACTATAGCAAGTTTGCTGCTTGCAGCTCCCTCTAGCAAAGAAGGGAGAGGGACTTGGGCTTCTGCCCCGAAAACTTTCTACCGTTGGCTAAGAAGGAAGGGAGCTTCGGATTCTCCAACTTATGCAAAATTAGTTCCAGAAATTTCCCGAGCCCGACTGTCGTGTTGCGGAGTGGAAATTGCTGATTGACATGCATTAAAAATCATTTCTGACTCAAAGTGGAGCCTTCCTACGTCTATTAAAGACGTTTCATTAAACGCCACAGGGGGTTAAAGGTGGCTGCAGAGTCTACTCTTTGACCTTGAGCGAGCATATTTACGGCTGAAGCAACAGAAAAAGACCAAGACTGGAATGCCTTAGCTTGGGTCTTCCACAACAAAATTATTGATTATCGTGATCAAAGATGGAAAATTATCACCAGGCCCATCCCATTTGCAGCTTTGCTGGTTGCGGCTGGTCTTTTATACTTTCCTTGTAAGCTGATATCAAAAGATACAGATTGCAGCGGAAAGAGCCGCCGATACATGCAAGTTTTTCACAATACGGAAATTCCTGGCCGAATTGAAAGCTGACCCATTTGTCCGGCAGAGTTCAAAAATTGGCTTCTACTGCTGTTTGTGATTAATTTTTCTGGGGTCTCAATCAACGTCCTCGCTGGAAACAAACCGGAAGGTTTACTATCGACCATTTCGATTCGTGGTCTTGCTGACCTCAATACCATGAGTAAGCTGCAAGGAACTCGCCATGTTCCAGATCCTCATTTATAAAAGATTAAATTGGGATCTGAATTTTCAGAGCTACCAACATGGATGGGCACCATCAAATACATGTAACGAATATCAACCAAAGGCGAAGATACTGTGGTTCAAAAGATTCTACAGGCTGCACCTGACCAAGACTCATTTACCTCTTGAAGGCATTGAAGGAAAAGATTTTACAAGTAGAAGATCAGAACTTGCAAGTTGGGATTTTGGAATCCGAAAATTCGAAGACCTTCCAACAAAAGCAATGCGTTATACGAATCAATACACGAGTTCAAGGGCGAACCTTCTTTCCATCTAGGTTCTGAATCACAAACTCATTTTTTGGCACAAAAGATGCGTTGCCACTATAAAACTCTCGCGAAGACGCGGCGGTCTGGCTTGATATAAAACAAATGCTTCGACAGATTTTGTCTTTTGGCGTCGGGAAAATTAGAACTGGCAACGAACCGCAACAGCGACGGCATAAATCATATCAAGCAGTCCTCTGCTATGATGGCGCCTACTCTACTTCTGCAGACTAGCATTTCGAGAAGCGTGGATTTCCAAGCGTCCAATGTTATCGCCACTCTGACCCATCTTCAGAGGATACAACAGTCGAATTTATTTGCTTCAAGGAAAGCCTAAGTCTTGAAGAATCGTGGCCGCTCCGTGCACTTTCTGACGCCAGTCTTGCGCTTCGTCATTGATGGGAAAATGGGATTGATGCTGCCACCAATATCGGCCACGGGCTACGGCACTGCTCGATGGCAAATTGAACAAATCACCGAACATTGTCAATTATTCCATGTGGAAATTTTTGAAGACCTTAAAAAAGAATCTTTTTAGAGTGCAACGGATAAGCCGCTTTTTCTCGGACAACTTGTGTTCTTTCATACTATGGCATCCTTCAATAGTTGATCCGCTTATACCGTTTGTTTTTTACTTTGTACTTGCCGAGTTTAGGAGGATATTTTTAGGAGGATAATCGCGGTACTGGTCAGTGATACCAGTTTCAGCTTGGATTGTATATGCATAGGTCCTTTTCTTTCCTTCTCAAAGTCATATCCTGTAACTAGACTGCAGTCAAGGCTTCCCTATCAACAAACAGCGTGATTGTGGATATACGAATAGCCATATAGAGTGAAGCCTAGTGCGGTGGTTGGAAACATCCGCTTTTGGCTTAGCGGGAAAGCGAGCTTCCGCAGTAGTTACAGCTTCGTCATGGCTGTTGATGCGCAGATGAATATTATAACTCACTGAGCAGAGTCCGATGTATTTACAATAGCGGAACCATTAAGCTGCTTGGGGGATTCCACTATGAGCATGGGCCAATTCTTTATTTTTTTTTTTTCATTTAAATTCGAATTACCTCAAGCTGATGTTGCCGTCAGTCTCTCTCATCTACTTCTTTCTTGGTCTTCCCCCGCCCCCAGGGCAGGTTATCGTGATTAGTCATCCTTCCCCGGGCGATGTGACTTCATTATCAGAAGAGACGATAGAGAGAATGATGGTTCATTTTTAACAGATGTAGATATAATAAGTAAGATATTGATTGGAGACATAAATCGATCCAAAAGCTGAAGATTTAAAATGTGTATCTAAATGAATGTGTTACTGTAGTAGATGTGGGTAGGGCAGAGAGCTTGAGCTGATAATCTGAACTACCGCGTGTCGATCCCCAAGTCTCAGGCCAAATCGCTCGGTCCGCTCCGTCACCGTCACCGTCACCGTTCGTACCGTCACCGCCCCCGAACCCGTTTCTTGTCAACTTCACCCCTCCTGCTTCACAACGTTCCTACAGCTCCCGCACCTCTTGCCTCCTCCTCAAATCAAGCTGGGTGCTGCACCACAATCATGTGGAATGACGAAGATAACAATCCCTACGGCGCATTCGACCGTCGGGACTCAGCCACTGACACTGCGAGCTCTCCAACGTCGCGTAAGTTCAATCTCATGCTTGCTTCAAAACTTGAAGATATGTCGCAAACATTGCGAGCTCTGTCATGCTGACCTGTGACTAACTTGTATCTTGTCGTAGCCGGCTTCAATCGCCCTACCAGTCCGACTTCTACAGGCTCCTCGAATAATAATGAGCCTCCCGAGTTTATCTCTCGCCCACAAGAGGTGAGCGACGATGATGAGAGCGCGGGCTCTGATCAGAACCGAAATCAGCCCCGAAAAAGCTACAATAGCCGAATTGAGCAAATTCTCTATGAAAATCCCGACATGCCGATCTTAATCGTCGACGCTGGCAAGAACCATGAAAGCGGGGGAAGCTATATTGTCTATACCATTAGAACCGGGGTTGGTTTAGGATTGGGTTTCCCTTCGACCAGCTTCAGTCAAGCCTAACGATTTTATAGGATCTTGAAGTTCGTCGCCGTTATTCCGAATTTGCTTCTCTAAGATCAACTCTTGTAAACCTACATCCTACCCTTGTCATCCCACCCATCCCGGAGAAGCATACCATGGCCGACTACGCTGCAAAGCCCACCAAGGCCAAGGAGGACATGGGCATCATTGATCTGCGAAAGAGGATGTTGGGTGTCTTTCTCAATCGCTGTAGGAAGATGCCAGAGGTCCGTGACGATGGCGTTTGGTGGAGGTTCCTAGACCCTAATGCTAGCTGGGTACGTTTTCTGCACAAAACAAGCCGTAAGCAAAGCTGACTTGAGCGTGCTTTTTTCAGAGCGAGGTGCTCCATTCCCACCCGGTCTCTTCAATCCCCAAGAACATTCTCAAAGCTCCCCCTCTGGATCCAGCCAATGCGACTCCCGGTCACAGCTATCTCCCTGTCCCTTCAACTTCCGCCAAATTAAAGTCTGTCGGGACGACATCGACCACCGGTACTCCGGCATCTCCTCCTGATTATGCCGCTACCTCTTCCACCGCATCCCATACGATACCCGGACCTCAAGTGTTTGGACGCTTCCCACCTCAGAATCAGACTCTCTCCGAGCAAGATTTAGATCCCTACTTTATTAGCTTTGAGGCTTCCACCCGCGAGCTTGAACTTCTCCTTCAAGGCAGCATTGAAAAAGTGAACCGACGTACCCTAAGTCATCTATCTTCGTTGGCGACAGACGAGGCGGAATTAGGTGCTCGTTACAACGGCTTCTCGCTTTCGGAGCAATCTCCTTCGTTGGCCGCCGCCATCGAGCGCATCGGCCAAGCCGTCGACTCGTCATACATTGCGACCGAGGAACTATCAGCTTCTTTGGGAGCGAGCTTCGCTGAACCAATGCGCGAGTCTGCTCAATTTGCCAGTGTCGTCCGCAGTGTCTTACGATACCGCGTTCTCAAGCGCGTGCAGCAAGAGATGACCAGTGATGAGTTGGCCAAGAAGAAGACCCTATTAGACTCTTTGGAACGGAGCGAACTCGAGGCTCGCCGCATAGAACAATATCTCAGCAGCACAGGTATCCCTCCTAATCCTCCTAAAAGATCCGCTTCTTCCGCTTCGGCACGAGAATATCAGGCCAGCCGTCGGCGAGAGGGCGGCGACGACACGGCTTCAATCGACTCCGACTTCCCTCCAACGCATGGAGATGTTCAAACCTCGCCTCCGCCTGGCCCATCTCAGAGCCCAGCTGCGCCAACCATTAAACACCGCAAGAGCATTAGTGGGAATTTTGTCACCAACAAAATTTTCGGCCGTATTAGCCACGCTGTCCACGGCATCGTCGACGTCGACCCCGAACGCACTCGACGAGACCAAATCGGCAAGACACGGGAAAGCCTTATCCAGGTAGGTCGTTGCCCCCCTTTTTTTCTCTCGATCTACCCCTCTTCGGGGCAATGCGCGATATAACGTTATACTGACTATGCATCAAAAGCTTGAACAAGCGTTGGAAGTTTCGGAGAAGGACGTCAAAGACGCTAGCGCTGGAGTCCTTCGAGACCTTCAACGATTTCAACAGGAAAAGGAGGACGACTTGAAGCGTTACATGGTGCGTTCTTCCCGCTTTGTGGCTTGCATTGGTGCTACTATATACTAACCCCGCGATTTTTTTTGCGGTCAGATTGCTTACGCGAAGTGTCATATCGACTGGGCCAAGAAGAATCTAGAGACCTGGCAAGAAGCCAAAGGCGAGGTGAATAAGATTGACACACGATGATGGTCTGACTGAATGGGACAGCGGCAATTTTGCTCGCCGTTGTCTCCCTTCGTAACCGTGTGTGTCTTCTTATTTTGGTTCCTTTCTCTTGCTATGCTATAATACTTGATCGGATCTCCCTAGTGTTCTTGCCGATTGACTGGCGTCTTACAGGTTAGGCGGGCGTTGGAAGCGCTCTCATTAGGTTTCCATGTGTGACTTTTTGCATGGTTCAGTAATTGAATGACGCGCACTGCGCCCAAGAATTGAGGGTATAGATGGCTTGCGGTAGGATGGGGCAGGTTGGGCGTCGATGTCTTTACCGACATGATCACGCCGCTGCCAAGCAGGAAACTCGCAGCGAACCGAAACGGGGCTGATGCACCCGTTCGTCTCGTGTTGACGGGTAGGAGTCATTGGAGGAGATTGGGTGGTGCCTGAATGAGCGACGCCACGCGATGGGGCAGTTTTGGGATGATGGTGGCTAAACCAATAGCGGGAATGTAGCAACAACATTATCCTCTTACTTCTCGCCTCGCAAGGGTTTCAAGACATTTAATATTTGTCGAATTTGATTGATAGAATTTATAGTCTGGGGGTTCAATAAGATTTCTCTCTTCGTAACAAGGACATCCTGAGATTATACTGAACAATGTATTAATGCGCTCAAATTCCTGTTACTGCCTGAAACTGCCTATATCTCCGATATATTGACCTTGCACCGGCTGTTCCATCTGTCAATCTCAAGCATTCGCGACTTTAAAAGCGCATAATAATAAGACAAAGTCCGATGTTTCTTTCTATCCGCCGGTACCTTTCGGTGACATTATTTTCTGGTCGTCATCAGCGGCTTAGCCAAACCCAATCTGACGTCTGTGCGTGGGGGCCAAAGCCGGGGAAAAGGTTCAAAAGAAGAAAGAGGCTTACTCCGTATATTGAAGGCTCGAAAGGCTCAATCTGCCTGGTACCCCGCATTGCAGCGACGCCATCGTCATTATCATCACCATCGTCGGATAAGAAAATTTACTCGAACCAGAATGGCGCTCATTGTCAAGGGCAGTCTCTAGACTTTGTGGCGCGGTGGGCAGAGCGGGGAACCTTGAGCCACGCAAAGAAGACGATGCAAAATGATGGACAGACTCAGATGTCTGACAGGACAATGTCAAGAGAGCACTTCAATCACTATTCTTTGTCGGTCTTACATGGTAAGCCGTCTCGAAACATGGCAGGATTCCCTGTTCCGGCTTTGATTTCGGCCTCGGGCCCGGGCCGCCCCTCAGGCCCCACGTGGTTTCATAGGTTGTCCTTTTTTGGTATTTTGAGTTTCTTATTAAGAATCACACTTGAAGCAAAATAGCCGTGTGGTCGCCTTGTTCACGTTGTTCTCAAAATTATAAAAGGGCGTGGTGATGGGGGCCCCTGTGCCCAAAGATTAGCAGCAGCAGCAAATTTTGTGCTTTGAAGATGCATTTCTCCTTTACTGGTCTCGCTGTTGCGGCGATCACTGCATTGGTCTCTGTTCGCGCTGTGGACGCCACTTCTGCGGCCGATTGGCGCAGTCGTAGCATCTATCAGATCTTCACAGACCGTTTTGCCAGAACTGATGGCTCTACCACATCGCCATGTGCTAATCCAACCTTGAACTTTTGTGGAGGCACTTGGCAGGGTATCATTAATCATCTTGACTACATTCAGGCACGCATACTCACTGCGGAATATCCCAACATGAGAGGACTGAAACGCTGACATTCTGTTAGGGAATGCATTTTGATGCCATATGGATTTCTCCTGTTGTCAAGAATATGGCAGACCCGAGTCGGGCCTATCATGGATATTCCGCGCTGGATATTTATTCCCTGAACAGTAATTTTGGATCAGCAAATGACTTGAAGGCATTGGCGCAAGCTCTGCATTCTAGAAGCATGGTGCGTCTATTATTATTTTTTTTTGTCTCAAAGTTTCACGACATCTACGTGACCATGGCTTACTTGAGGCCAGCTCCTCATGGTCGATGTTGTTACCAACCATTTTGGTGCACCTGGACCCGCCGAAAGCGTTGATTATACCCAATTCAATCCCTTCAATAGCCCTTCTTACTTTCATCCAATATGCTTCATAAACGACTATTCGAATCAGACACAAGTCGAAGTTGTAAGTCCATCTATACTTAACTGGGGGGTAGTATATACTAATGGTTCACGAATAGTGCGATATTGGTACTGATGCTTATCCGTTGCCTGATGTCAATACAACTCAGGCGGGTGTGCGAACCGCATGGCAGAATTGGATTCAATACATGGTTTCTACTTATTCTAGTTAGTGTCCATTTCATTTCACCATGCCTCTAATGCTCGTCCATACTAATATCTGCGCTACAGTCGACGGTATCCGCATCGATTCGGTGAAGAATGTCGAAAAGGATTTCTGGCAACCATTTAATAAAGCAGCTGGAGTCTATGCAGTTGGCGAAGTCTCTGATGGCAACGTAGATTACGTCTGTCCTTATACAAGCGTCCTGGACGGTGTCCTGGACTATCCTTCGTAAGTCTTCTCTTGAAGCAGATATTGCGAAGGCTTTTTGATACTCTGGCTGACAGTCTCAGGTACTGGCAAGCAACAAACTTTTTTTCTAATCCGTCCGCGACATCCGCGAACTTTGTGGGTGAATTCAACTATATGAAGCAAGAGTGCAAAGATATGACAACGCTTGGACCGTTTTCCGAGAACCATGATCAAGCACGGTTTGCCTCTCATACCAGCGATCTCGTGGTATGTTGCCACTCACTAGTTTGGCCCCCTCAGGAGATTCTGTTTCTCACATCCCTTATCTAGCTAGCAAAGAACATCATGGCCTGGACTCTACTTGCGGACGGAGTTCCCATCCGTAAGCATCTTTCTTACGAAATCCCTAGGCTTTTTTATCCTAACTCAGCACAGTCTATCAAGGACAAGAACAGCATCTCAACGGTTCCGCTGACCCCTATGACCGCGAAGCAATCTGGCTGACGGGCTACAACACCAGCGCCCCCCTCTACAAGTTTGCGACGCAGATGAACGCCATTCGAAAGCTGGCAATTGCAAAGTCCTCTGACTACGTGACTACCCCAAGCACCATTGTCTACAGTGACGACCACAATGTGGCCTTCCGCAAGGGTGATTCAAGCTACATGATTCTCAATGTGCTTAATAATCTTGGATCATCCGCCCAGACATACACAGTCAACTTGCCCAACGTCGGATTTCCTGCCGGGCTGACAGTTGTGGACGTGCTCAGCTGCCGTCAAGTCGTGGTTGGGAGTGACGGGTCGTTGAATGCTTACTTTACGGGTGGTCTGCCAATGGTAAGCCTTTTGACATGCTTCCCTTTCTGGCTGCATGGAAGCTGATGGACTAATAGGTTTACTATCCGCAATACTTGCTTTCTGGCTCCGGCTGGTGTGGTTATTAATCATTAATCAGGATAAGCATCACAAGGGAAGAACTGATGTGCGACTTTCTCATCCCCCCATGGCTGTTTTCCGCATTACCAAACTGAGAATCTACACTCGCAGCCGCTCTGTTATAGAAAATAGGGATTAGATACTTCCATTACTAAGTTCAAAATTCCTTTCTGATTATAGATTATATAGTTTATAGGCAAGCATTCTGTAAATGGCTTTTTTTCTCGTGCGCGATAAAGTCGTCACCACATCGTTTAACAAACAATGCATCCATAACTGTGACTGTGAGTTTCTAAAGAGTGAGATCCAACAACGTCTTCCAGAATTGAATCCGTGAATTAAAATGAGTACAAGCGAACTACGATATAGCTTCTTTGAGCCACCAGCCATGAGCTTTATTGTTACTGCCAAGCGCGGTATTGCTGGAATATATAAACCATGTAGCTGTTAGAAGGGGACCAAGTAATATTTCCCAAAATGTTGAACGATCCAAAAAAAGTTGCTTGGCTGGGACAACCTAAATAAGTGGTTACTCCTCTTTCCATTGTCCTCCTATCTGAGAGCTTTCGTCAGGTTGCGAGCCACTCCAAAAAATGATTGGGGTGATTATTATGCAGCAGGCAGCAGGTGACTGTACTGTTGACGTGTAGCTCTTTGCTATACACCAATTTCGGTATAGCGAGGGAATACTTTGCTTTAACCAGCTGAGCGATTTCTGAGAGCTCCAGTCGATGCTGAAGTCTTGTCGTTGTCCTCTTTTTCCCCGTTGAAAAGAAATTTTCAATCAAGTATTCGGATTCACTGTGTCTATGAAGGCGGGGCCCATGAAGGGTGCCTGAGGTCCTGAGGTTATCAAAGTTATTTGAAGATTTAAGCGAGACAGGACGCACGGATCAAAAGATGCGATGAGATCTTCTTCTGGCGATGAACGCATCGAGAGCTCGACTTTGTCTGGCCTTGGTTATTCTTCAACTGTATTCTCTTCTTCACGTCTACCAAAGACGAATTTTTGTATGTCTTGGCAAATTACATATGAATTACTTCTCTCCTTCCGAAAGCCTTTTCAGCTAACAAATAACTGCTACGGCTGTTAGCTGACAGCGGTTTTGATACCCTCGGCCCCTACGCAGGGCCAGATCCAGTCTCTGTTCCTCAGAGCTGCCACGGCCGTGGTCAGCTCACCTTCACCACGTCTTCCCCCAAGAGACGAAAGCTTAGCCACGACAGCATCGCAGATGATCGCAGAGACGTAGGCCATACCCAATCGGAACGAGCACACAACTCCGACAACGTCTGTGAAGAAGAACTTCCACCGCCGAATTCAGCGCATTTTTGTACACAATCTTTACACTGCGGGCACAATCACTCAATTTCTTCACCATCGCCCCCAGGATCCACCCGTGCTCACCATAGTTCCGGGCCAATCGAGCAAACTTCTCCGGCAAGTGGAGGTACTTCCTCTTTCTCAAGTGCCTCGCTGAGCACCCCGCTTGAACCTGCTTCGAACGCAAGTCGGTCTGAAAGAGAGATTTCCGGTGCTGAATATCTCGTCACACGTTCTTTTGACAATCAAGAGCAGACACCATCCACGCCTTCATTAGGTGCATCTGCTTATCCGCAGCACGCTATGGATAAAGAGCAGAATCTCCCGGACCGCTCCTACTCGCCCCCAATGAAAAGGCCCGCCTCAGAGCTGGAGGACAAGGTTGGCCAGGAACCGAAAAGTGATATAGACATGGACAGAGAGCTCGCCCCTGAGCATGCGTCTAATCAGATGCGGGATGTTTCGCCTAACACTGGTTCTCAAGAAAGCCAAGAAGGCTCTTCTCGCAAACGTGCTACATCAGTTGACATGCTCGCAGATGAGCCTAATAGTCGGGGCTTATCCATGCTTGAGGAGCAAGTCAGTAAGGTGAGGGAACTTATGGGTCAAGAGGTCGTGGAGGGCCAGAAGGGCTATATTGTATCAACAAAGTGGCTACGGCGAGTGCTTTCCAGGACGGCTGAGGGTCAGCATCAAGAAATGTATAGCAAAGATGACCGGGAGGGTGATATCGGACCAGTTAACAGCACCGATATAATTTCACCCGGTAAGCTAGTGTTCAAGCCTGAGCATCCCACCGTAGTTTGACTAACTCGTTTCAGACCCCAAATTGAGGGACCTCAAAGACGAAGCCGGCGAGCCTTTTGTTACCCTTCGATCTGGCCTTCAGCTAGGAGAGGACTACGAAGTTGTTCCGCAGGAAGCATGGGATATGATGGTGCACACCCACGGAAGCGATCCATCTTCCCCTCTCATAGTGCGCTACGTCCACAATTCTAGTCCGCCCGGGGCTACGGAAAATCTTCAATACGAAGTCAGTCCGCCCATCTTTACGATTCTTAAACTCCAGGGACCGGGGGTCACCACACAATTGCTCAGAGAGAAGAATGCCAGCTCCATTAGAATCCAGGCCAGCCGTTATGAGCCTTTCAACGTTTTCCTCAAGCGCGTCAAAACACAAGCAAACATACCTTTGCAGTCTAAAGTGCGAGTTTGGCGGATTTTTGGCGATGTGTCTGAGACTCCCCGGTCTGGTCTCCGAACGCCTGCCGATTCTCGAAGCGCTTCCCCCGCACCTGCGCTCCCCGATGGTCAGCGGCTTCTTTTGGATCTAAACGAGTTTCTGGCCCTGCGGGATGGCTCGCAAAAGGAGCTTCTCGAGGACCTCAAAGACCAAACTGCCAGTGAGAAATATAATGGGCGCGTGAGCCTCGATCTTGTTGGGCTCGGCAAAGATGAGACAATTGTCTTGGAAGAACAAGTCAATGGTGCTGGAGGCGGTGGTTGGATTTCAGAGGCTGCTGGTCGCTACGCCAGTCGGAATGGTGTGTCGCTCGATGCGGCACGTAGCGGCGTCAATACCCTTCAGCCGCGCAAGGCGGCCGTTGGCTCTGACAGTCGGCGACCCAGTCCTGCACCATCTGTTCACAGCATGACCACTCGTAAGCGGACTCGCAAGGATGGCCGGACGCGTGGAGCAACTGGTCTGAACAATCTCGGAAACACTTGCTACATGAACTCGGCACTGCAATGCGTCAGAAGCGTTGAAGAGTTGACGCAATATTTCCTTAGTAAGTCCTATGTATTTCTGAATTCATACATGAAGGCGAAGATTATTGACCCAATTCCTATAGTGGATAAATATAAGCGGGAGCTGAATCCCTCCAACCCACTCTCTCACAATGGTGAAGTTGCCAAGGCTTACGCCAATCTTTTGACGAACCTTTTTGCCGATGTCGGTACTACATCGTTCTCACCCAGAACCTTTAAGAATGTCCTTGGCCGTTATAACCCATCTTTCTCGGGCTATGGACAGCAAGACTCGCAAGAGTTTTTAGGATTCCTCCTCGACGGCCTGCAGGAAGACTTGAATCGCATCCAGAAAAAGCCCTATATCGAAAAGCCCGATTCTACCGATGAAATGACGTGGAACCATGAGGCGCTCAAGGAACTAGCTGACAAGTGTTGGGACATCTACAAAGCTCGTAACGATTCGGTTGTGGCTGACCTTTTTGCCGGCACGTACAAGTCGACCCTCCTCTGTCCAGCCTGCCACAAAGTCAGCATCACATTTGATCCATTCAACAATCTGACGCTTCAGCTGCCTATTGAAAGTGTGTGGAGCAAGGAAATTTACTTTTTCCCAAGAGACGGCCGGCCAATCCGTGTCGACGTCGACATGGACAAAAACGGCAGCATCAGGATGCTCAAGGAATTCGTTGCCAAGAAGATGAATGTGGATTGGCAGAGATTGATTGTTGCCGAAATTTTCAAAATGAAGTTTTACAGAATGTTCGATGACTTTAGTGCGATTTCCGAGTCAAACATTCAAAGGACGGACGAGATTGGCGTTTTCGAAGTTGATGACGTGCCTACCAACTACCCTGCGCCAAAAAAGAAGCAGCGGAAGCAGAGATCCTTTGGCTACAGCTACGGTAGCTACGGTGGTGGCTGGGATGAAGAAGACGAGATTCCTCATTTTTCTTCCCCTGTTGCCGACAAAATGCTTGTTCCGGTGTTCTTCCGCCGCCCGGCCAAGAGCACCGATTTCCGGTCCCAATCACCCAATCTGTTCGGCGTGCCATCTTACATTGTTCTAAGTCGAGAAGAGGCCATGGACTATGACAGCATCCTGCGCAAAGTTCTCCGAAGAGTGGCGACAATGACCACTATGGATATATGCAAAGATGACGCTCTCGTACAGCAGAAAGCCGTCTCGCAACACGACGAGGAAGGCGATACGGTCTTGACCACAAAAGAAGATGCTAGCGTCAAGTCTGCTCCGGTGAAGGGCGAACAGGGCCTTGCAAAGGTGGGCATGATTGGTTATTTTGCTCTATTCAAAGTATCAAAGCTGACGCGATCCCAAAGAACAATAAGGATTTTGTACCTGGACATCTGCGCAACCTTTTTGAGATGAGACTCCTGAAGAGCAACACTGAGATGGTCCCCACTGGCTTAAATTCGTTTGAGCACGGAAACTTGGATTTTCCGTTGATTGCCTCTCGGATGCGCTGCAAACAGGATGCCGTCCCTGTCAGTGCAGACACGACTCCAAGCAGCTCCTCTGAAAGTGAAGAGACCACGGACGGCAGCTACGAGCACGTAGAACATCCTCAACCCTCAAACCAAGAAGGCGCTGATGACAGCGACTCGGAAGAGTTCCAGTCTGTTGAGAGAATGTTTGAAGAGCCAAGCCGCCACAACAACGGTATGAATCATGGCAGTAATGTCGTAAAAACGAAATATGCTTGCGGAATAAAGGCTGACAGTAAATCAGACAAGCAGGCGCCGTCCAATACTGAGGGTGCGGATGAGGAAGAGGAAGGGCCTCTGGTTAGGCCTGGTGAAGCCCTTATTTTAGATTTTTTCGACAACGTGTATGATGCTCTCTTCTCCGAGGACAAACGCGATACCCTGCGTGGAAATGCTACGTGGGAAGATATCCCCATCTATCATGACACTGACCTCATCCATCGTCGAGCTATGCGGGCAAACCGAAGAAAGGCCGGTGTCAGCCTCTACGACTGCCTCGACGAGTTTGGCAAGGAAGAGATCTTGTCGGAGAATGACGCCTGGTACTGCCCTCGGTGTAAAGAACACCGTCGCGCTAGCAAAAAGTTTGAGCTTTGGAAAGCTCCAGATATCCTAATCATGCACTTGAAGCGCTTCAGCGCAAACCGAAGCTTCCGTGACAAGCTTGACGTGCTGGTCGATTTCCCCATCGAAGGCTTGGACCTTGGAGATAGGGTAGCATTTAAAGAAGAGGGAAAGAGCACAGTATACGATTTGTTCGCCGTCGACAACCATTACGGTGGGCTAGGAGGTGGCCATTACACTGCCTTTGCGCAAAACTTTTACGATAAATGCTGGTACGAATACAATGGTGAGTTCTCAGAAATATCATAAAACCCCACAATTATAAACAAAGGATATGCGAATGACCATTAATACTCGACTACTTAGATTCCCATGTTTCTAAGAGACACAATCCCGAATCTGTTGTTACACCAGCGGCCTACCTTTTATTCTATCGCCGCAGATCAGATAAGGCGCTCGGCGGACCCTTTTTTGAGCAGATCCTAGAGGAGGCCTACCAGGAACCGGAATCACCAAGCTCCTCACGACCAGAGTCTCCAGCACCGCAGGGTGCGGGGGACGGCCGGCAGCTCGACGACTCCTCCCGCAGTGGGTTGTCGAGCGCTTTAGCCGGAGCTGGAGCGGCTCATCAGAATCAGAACAGCAACGGCATGAACGAGAATCAACAGACATCAGCGATTCAGCTTCGTTCTGGAAATGGCGAAACTTCTTTGGCTCACCAGAAGCAGAATAACGAGAATCAACCGCCCTCTTATTCTCACCAACTGCCAGCGGGCGAACAGACTCTCGAAGCAATGGACATGGATGACGAAGGACTCGGAGGCTCATCTTATGGCACCGCACCAGACGGCAGCAGTGGCTACAACAGCTACGGTGGTCCTCATTACATGAGCAATCAACCTGCATGGTCATTTGAGAGTATTGGCCACGAGCCCACGGCCGCGCCGCCGGCCTCTGACGACGGTGGGGAAGAAGACTTATTCGACGGCGGAAGCGATCGAGCAGCAAATGGGTCTTCGGATGGTTTCAGCGACGCCGGAAACCGCATGCAGGACTTTGCAGACGACGAGGGCGTACTTGGCGGGTTCGACAGCACCCCGCAACGCCGCAGCCTGACGAGCACACCTGTGGATGATCTCCCAACGCCGTTTTCAAACAGGGCAGTGACCACGACAAAAGAAGTCCATGTCAGTGCTGCTCCCGTCACGCCTGAGCGCGATGACAATGAAGACTTACCCGTTGCCGAAGTCCATGTCGAAGAAGGCGAGGGCGTATCACAATAAAGTGGAGTAGTCATTTCCTTCTTGTTAATCTCATTTAGACTTTTCTCATTTTACCTCTTTTTATGGTTTTTTCTTCTTTCCCTTTTTCACTTAGCATGGTGGTTCAAAAAAATCAGTATAGGTGAATTGGATACCGAACGATGCCTGATTTTATGTTTTCTATCAACCATCATCGTCGTCCCTTGACCGTTGTGGTTGATTCTGGTGTGGTGTGGCAGATTGGTGGTTTGTTGGAGTTTTCTTTTCCTTTCCCCAAAAGGATACACTTAGTGCCCTCTGAACAAGTGCAGAGCGTTTTGTTTGTTTGTTTGGATTGGCGAGGCGAGCCGAGGCGGATGTATTGCGAATTGCGAATTGTGAACAACGAATCGAGAAGGTTGAAAGGCGGGTTTTCCCCTTTTCCCCGCAATGGGAAGAAGACCATGAACATGTTTGAACATGTAAGCGAGTTGCAGAATACCACTTCCCCTGCTATTACTACTCTTACTACTACGACTACCACTATCACTACTTTCTAGTGTTTTTTTGAAGACTTTGTCTGCCCCATGACAGTTTTCTGTTTTAGATGCTAGGCTGGTGTACTTATCTACCTTGACGCATCAAAGAAAGGATTGTGGGACTAGGCAGTAGCAGTAGCAGTAGCAGTAGCAGTAGCAGGAGTAGTAGCAGTAGCAGAGCGAAGATATCACAACAAAATAAAAACAAAACAAGCTTAACAAAACGATACATTTTTTTTCTGATTGATCGATTAATCATTCGTCATTGGAAATGTATGCTACTAGTCTCTTTTCCGTCTGAGACTTTGTGTGTGTGTAAATCTCTCTTGGAATGCGACCAGGACCAGTAGTCGCTGCCGCATCAGATAAAAAGAATTTTATGTAGATAGTAAGTACATGAGACTATGGAGAGAAGAGGGGGGAAAAAAGGAAGAAAATAAATGAAGCATGACCATTTTCCGGGTGAACGACATCGTTGATTGAAACAGGTTTGAAACATATACTCGAGGGGAAGGAAAACCGTGAAATGTATAGGTTATAATAACAGCGAAGAATAAGATGATGATGATGGTGATGATAATGATGAAAAGGACGAAATGGATGAAGAGGAAGATGAAGAGGGAGATGAAGAGGGGAAAGGTAAAGGAGAAAAGAGGAGAAGAAGAAACTACATGAAGCGGATCTCGTCGTCAAAGAGACTCGTCCGGACTTGCACGAGGGCGGCAAGTTCGAGAATGAATTCTTGAAGGATGACGACGTTGGTGAGGAAGTGGTTGAGCGTGATTTCGACGAGTGGTGTAGATGTCTGTGGTAGTGACGATAGTGACGGCTCAGTATCAATATCAGCCTGCGCCTCCGTCTCGACTTTACTAGGAGAAGAAGAAGGAGAGAACTCCGAAGAAGAAGAAGCTGGCTGATGGCCAGGGACTTTGATCGTGCGCTTGAGCAAAGACTGGTCAAATGCTGTAGAAGAGGACGAAAACGAATGGCTGCTACGAGGAGACATTGAGGATGAAGACACGGGTCCAAGACCAGGGTCTCTTTTAATGTCTTGACCCTGTCCCTGTCCCTGACTGGGGGGATGTGGCCGGCCCCGGTCCCGATCGCGATCCCGTGGGTGGTGACTATGATGCTGGGCAGATGAAGGCGAGAGTAAAGTATCTCGCAAAGGCGATGGAGAAAAGTCCCTTGGGCGTCGCGGCGCCGAAAGTGAAGGGGAGCCCATGAGGCTGCTTTGATGAGCAGCGACAGGAGCAGCCGGTACTTGTCGACCACTTGCTGGAGAAGGCGAAGGGAGAACCGAGGAGCCGACGATGCGAGGGCGCCCACGTGGAGAGTTTGATCTCGAAAGGGAGAGGGCTTCGTCTGAGCGCATGCGCTGAGAGATTGTTTCTATTGTGGGGACGCGCTTTGTTCCTACTGGGGTGAATCCACGAGAAGAGGCTGTTGTGGTTGTTGGAGTGGGTGATTCTGGGCGGAATGAGGTAGATGGACTTGGAGACGACGGCGAAGTGGGTTTTGGTCGAGGGGGCGAAGGAATAGATGATAAGGCTTCGGTCAGTTCATCGCTAACTTGGAAGGCGCGTTTGCGTTCGGAGAGATGAATGTCAAAATGGGATATTTCCTGACGATGGATTTTGAGTTGTTCGACCAGGGACTGAAGGATAGCTAAAACGGGAGGACTATGGTCCGCTGCCCATGTAGGTTGACGACTAGCAAGGTGCATGGCGCCTAGCTGATCCTCGACAGTGGAATCTGGAGAAAGATCTCCAGCATCAGGAGCAGTCTCGTCCTCGGGCGAGTCCGGGAAGATGTAATGTAAAGGGTCAACAAGGAGCCAGCCATCCATTCGCAAATGGCTGCATGATGCAAGGTTGACAATTACCTCAGTCAAACTTAGGTTAGTCTCAACGTCGTTGGCATAAAAGGTAGTGAAAAGTTGTAAAATTTGCTTGAGTAAAGGATCTTCAAGCCGAAGCGCGTGTGGCCGCGAATCTTTCGGGATCGATGCCAATATAGATTCCTGTCGAGCGTTGAGATCCCCGTTGTCTTTAAGGGCAAGTCGCGGCGCTGAGCATGGGTGGGATTCGAGAATATTGAGATTGTCTTTTAAGTGATTCTGGTAGGAAATGTCGAGGTTATCATCGTAACCAATGTCCTCAACCATCTGGAAAAAGATGCTCATCTCCTTTTCGTGGCCGCCGAGAGTGCGAAGAGGAGAGCCAGACGGAACTACAGATGTCTGCACCAGGGTAGACACGGCATATTGATGATGCTTTCGTAATATGACAGATACGAGATTAAGGGTAGTGGCGACGGTTTGGCTATTCTTTGATTGTATGCTTTCGAGGATAAGATCTACAAGGTTGAACAGAGACGGCGTTGTCTTATCTTCAAGATGGGCAAGGTGAGTTAAAGCATCAATGGATGCTTGGCGAGCCGCGAGCGTTGGTCTCCCTGGTGGTGTACTTGTAGGTAGATTCTCCGGAAGAGCAAGGAGATAACGTAATATTAGTTGGACAAGGTCCGGATTGTCCAATGAGTCAAGAATGCGCCTGAGGTAGGTGAGAACGGCGACAGAGCCACCGTCGATATCAGAAGATTCAAGGAGAGAGGGGTATCTTTTTTATTTTCATTTCCAGTTAGTAGGTATCCACCGAGTTCAAGTCGTCATAAGGCTTACAATAATTGCTGCAAGAAAAGAACTTGGAAATGATCTAAAAGCGTTTGGTTAATCTCGGCTGAGCTGCAATGCTCGAGCACGTCTTGCCAGAATACTAGATATGATAGAAATGTATCCATGTGCATTTGAAAGCTGGCAGACATTGAGAATTCTGCTCCCAATATCGTGCTAGGTTTTGAAAAATCCGACAGTGCAAGTATAGCTGGTGGTTCTTCCTTTGAATACGAAAGGATGAGTTTACTGCCAGCAGATCAGTAGCGTCTCCAAGAATTATCTCAATCATTATATACGCACCGGCTCAATTGGCTATAGAGCGCACCTAGTCCACTTGCCATTAACGTGGCAAGATCGCTTTCTACGATCCAATGCTCTAGCTCCTCAGAGCGTGATGCCGCCTCAATAATGTACAACAAGCCAGTACGAGCAAAATCGCCGACTCGCCCATCATGATGCACATAATCCATGAGGAGATAAAATAATGGGAACCCATCTGTGTGTTGTTTCGAAGGTCGTATGGTTGCCTCGTTTCGGGTTGTGCTGCGTTCGCCATTCAACCCGGCCGCAAACCACACGGGGAGTATATCCGGCTGAGAACGAATTTTGGCGGAAATACCGAAGAGCATCTCAACTAGCTCACTTTCAACATCTGCATTCAGCACCACCGTTGTCGGACCGCCCACCCGGCCGACAAATTCCATGACACTTTGTGCAAATTCTCCGCTGCTAATGAAGTCTTCATCTTCACTCTCGACAAGTGCCGTAAACATGAGGAGAGCTTCGCGAGAAATATTAACGTCAGACGCGCTCGCCACTACCCGTGGAACAGTAGCATATATTCGTGAAGCGGAGGCGTAGGAATGGCACAGATGTGGTGCAGCAGCCCGTGCCTCTTCCTGTAGGAGATTGGTCATGCGTTGCAGATTGATTTGAATATTGTCCAGAACGGTTGGATCGGCCGACACAGAGGCTGGAAGGAGTCGCCATAATTGCTAGAATAACTCAGTATCAACCCATTTTAAATAAAAGTCGAAGTCTTTTCATTAGAACGCACCAAGAGCTGCGCATAAGCTTTCTTGAATCTTGCCAGTCGGTGCTGAGAGCTATCGTTTGCCGAAGCTCTCTTCTGCTGGGCCTTGCCGCCGCCAATCAATCTGGCCCACTGTGTATCCGAAATATTAGTTTAGATGTCCTCGGCGGCTCATAATATCTGCATTATCCAACATGAAACATACAAAGTCCATGACGTTGGCGGTAGGCAAGGTCAATCGACGTCACCTAGAGCCGTGGTTGTTGACATTACATTGGGCCTGGACCCTGGAAATCGTCGTCACTGAGGCGCGACGCGAATGTCGCGTGACAAATATTGTTGTACATATTGTACAATAGGTTAACTCACAAGCAGTAATCAGTGGCGTGGTCTAGTGGTATGATTTCCCCTTCACAAAGTTCTTGATGGGCTTTTGGAGATACGGGGAAGGTCCAGGGTTCGATCCCCTGCGCTACTATGCTTTTTGATTTTTGTCACCATATATGCATTGCTGGATCCAGCTTGCTTGTTGTTGAAAATTTATTGTTATAATTCGGAAGCTTTCGTTTTTTATTATATTCTCTCATTACAACGGCATCGAAGTCCACAATCAAACAATGAAGTCTGGCAAGTGAATAAGAATGGAGATACTCCTACGCTAATTGGCGGGTTTTGGTCCGAATTGGCTGTCAAAGCCTCGTGAGATGTCGCTGACTAAGAGACTCAAAGTACTTTGTATCCAATTAACGACTTGGAGCTTGGCGGTTTAGCATGTGAAGGTGCACCTCGCACCTCGCACGAGGCGAGGAAGCCCCCGGTCGACCTGAACGACAGGCATTCTGCTTTCAACCACGTCAAAGATTCTTCAGCTGCCTCGAGCAGGTACATTTACTCGCTCAGCACAAGAAGTTTTGGTATTTTCCATTATTAAACTATCTCAGCTCTCATTTATTTAGCTGATCAGCTGCGTCAACCGGGTAGTAGAATTCCTGCTTCAGCGCGGATGACGAGCACCATATGATGATGATGACTTGATCTCGGGCAACTAAACTTACCTAACGCCAACTAAACTCGCCAATCGCCTTAAAATTTCCAACTAAAATTCCCATCGTCAATCCCTGAACGCCGTCATCTTTGGGTACAAATACGGAGTAATCAAGCTGTACGGTTTCGGGCAGTGACCGCTTCTAGCGCAGGGTCAGGATATTTGTTGCCCAACCGGCCACTGTATCCTGGTATTTACCTTCCACCAGCGCTCGCATCACCCAAATCCCTACCTACGATCTAAGCGGAGATAATCCCCAGGGAGCGACACGAGAGATTCCCAAACTGGGGCCTTCGCTTGAGAGGTTCGAAAGATATTCTTCAATCGAGCGAATTATCGTCCCGACAAGCTGGGCAAGCTTCAGAAACATTGTGCTTGTGCTGGGATTCGCGTTAAACCCTCACCATATCTCTTCGGCTTCGTCATAGAACAGAACGGGTCAAGGCAAGCCTGGCGACATTGTGGAGCTCTTCCGCCGAGCTTATTTTCTTCTTGGTTCCCTCGGGAACGGACACGTATCTGGATAATACCCCTCTATCACGAACTCAATCGCAATAACAAGAGGATTACCCGCCATGGAGAAGTTCTCTCAATTTCGGGACAGAGGTATGTTTCGTGGCCAGCAGTCTCCAAGCTTTGTATCGCAGAAAAAAATTGTAGAAAATGAGATTTAAAGAACGAGCTCAGCGCTAACTATTGTTGCTCATTTCAGGCTCCGGAATCGCGCCCTTCTTCCCTGTTTCAACGCAACCCGCCGGGATTAAACTCCCCTTTCACATTTTTCTCTTCGTGATCCGACTTCCGCTATTGATTACTGCGATCTTGACTTATTTCTTAATATTGCGCTGGCTGCCGATTGGAAGCGCGGGCAAAAAGGCATCATTATGGTCGATCCTAGCGATTCCGGGGATATGGTGGATTGATTTACAAATTGACGGTGTACGAAAGGGGTAAGTTATTCTTGTCTATGGATCGGGTTTGGACAGAGCAAATGCCGCATGCCAGACATTGGTACTGACCGATCAACGTACTAGGTCTCTAGCCAAGCAAGCAGCCCGACTTCCGGGACCATCATCTATCATTGCATCATCAAGCACGTCTCCCATTGACGCACTATATCTTGCAGCGATTTTCGACCCGCTCTTCACAGCATCATATCCGTCCACGCGCCTCGTTCATCGAATTTCGCTGTTCCAAGCTATTGTCCGTGCCTTTGCGAAGCCACGCGTCCATCCACCACCAGGCGCGCAGCTGGTCGATCTGGAGACGCTCCTACGAGAGCACCCCAAGCGAGTCATTGCCGTGTTTCCTGAATGCACAACAACCAACGGACGCGGGATCCTTCCATTTAGTCCGTCACTGCTGACCGCGCCGCGCAATGCCAAAATCTTTCCGCTCAGCCTCCGATACACGCCGGCAGACATCACCACACCTGTACCAGGATCCTACTTCGGATTTTTGTGGAACCTTTTGAGCAAGCCCACACATTGTATCCGCGTCCGCATCGCCGAAAGCGTTTACAATACTTCTCAGGATCCTCTACCCCCAGCAAAGAACTCGTATGCTACAAACTATCTTGATACTCTGCAGGCGGAGGATCGGGCAAGCAGCAGCGACACCCTTACGGGCTCCGATTCAGGCGCAGAACTTACGAGCGAGGAGAGAAATCTATTGGACAAGGTCGGAGAAGCTCTGGCCAGACTAGGCCGTGTCAAGCGTGTTGCGCTTGGCGTCAGGGAGAAGAATGACTTTGTCAAAGCTTGGTCAAAGCTTCGTCGATGATTGTTGATTGTGGCGGGTTGGCGGGGGAGAAAGAGTGGGGCAGAAAGCTGCGCCTTCGGTATGAGGAGGGAGGAGAAAACTAGGTGCGGAAGAAAGTCATATAAAGAGGTCAAACGGGAAAAAGCGGTTTCTTACATACTCTGTATGCCGAGCGGTTTGCTGGATTAGCCCCCTGGCTTGAAATTTAATCTTTTTTTTTTCTTTTTTCCTTTCTTTCGATATTACTTTTGCTCTCCACACTCTCGGGATTGCACTTTCACAAAACCTAGACTAACCTGGTCTGGCCTGGCCTGGCCTGGCCTGCCTGCAAATGTTTGTTGCTTTTTTATTGCACTTATTTCTTTCGTTCTTCGATATCCCCCTGTCTTGTCGTATTGCGTGTATGTAACTTTCTATACTGTATTACTGTCGCTATCTAATGGGCCTTTCTATACTATAGGCCTTTAAATGGTTTAAAAAACAAGTTAATAACCCAATGCAGAAATGACTGCACTTGTCGCCATAGTATCTATCCGCTTTGCGTATTCAGTCATCATATGCATCATTGGATCGCCAAAAACGACGCCTCGCAGCTGCTGCGTGGATATTACATACGCCGCATATGCATGTATGCTGTTCTCTTGAGAGTCATTTAGTGATCCACCTTTGTCGTCTCGTAATAATACAGGCATTCCTGCGTTGCATAGGAGCGGCGGAGGGAGCTGCCAGGTGAGCGTGCGGACGCGTGTCTGGCTCATCCGGGCGTTGGGAGGTTGACGATGAGGATGAGTAGAACCCGAGGATATACGCAGGTCTAAAGAGGAAGGAAGCTTAGGTAGGCGATTCAGTCGAAGTGTATTGGCGACAGGTTGGACAATGTCTGCGACACATGTCCCTCCCAGCGCTGCCGGTATGGGCGTGAGATATAAATCGACCAAGGACCGAACATATGCTTTGTCGGCGCGCACGACGGGATCGCCTTCGTTGATGAACGAGAGGAAGAGAGATTCGTTGAGCCAGGGAATGTGTGGTGGTTGACGATGAGACTTGCCGGAATTGATGGAAGATGTGGCAGGTACGGAATTGTTGAGAACTGTGGGTTGATCAGGTTTGGTAATTGGTTTTTGAGAGACGGGAGGCGCGCCAAAGGTAATGCAGTGGATGCATTGGAAGCCTGATCGTTTGTTGTGAGTACGAGTTATCGATTAGATGGTAGAGGGTAGGGAGGGGGGAAAGAAAAGAGAGTAGTGATGCGGCTAACTGGCAAGGAGCTCAAAAGGAGGCTTACAGTTTTTAACAAAGTCCAGCTCAGAGTTTACGTTCTGGGCCAACATGTGCGCGTACAGGAGAGAGGCTACCGCGCCTCCGGCAGAATGGCCCGTGATGAGTAGCGAGCATTGGCTTCGACTTGGATCTTCTTCGAGAAGAGCCCGAAGGCGTGCTGCTACCGGGGATACCATTTTGCGTGCGACGGCGAGAAAACCTTGGTGGCAGAGGTTAGTAGCGTCGTCCTGTTCATGGAGCAATTAGTGTTATGTATCGCAGGATAGTTTTGCTTGGGAAACAACTTACTAAGAATCGTACAGGTGATGCCGGGGCTGTCTGTAGATTGACAGCCCAGTCTAAGAATGTCTGACTGCCACGGATCGCAAAGACAATGGTTTGAACGTCGTCGACGGGGACAGACTTGATTACCATTGCCTTGGTTCCTTTTCGCAAACTTGCCTCAACATGGGTCAGACGTTCGGCCCCAACGGGCTTTTGATAGACTCGCTCCGAAAATTGAGATGCGAGACACAAAAGAGGCCAAGCATCTGGATGTCTGGGGCTCAATGTAAGTAAGCTGGAAACACACGTTCAATATCGCAGGGAGTATTAATTACTGACAATTTGAGAGGTGGTAGCTCTGCAGGAAGCTTGGAGTTTCTGTATAAAGAGACCTTGGCAAAGTAGTTTGTGCCTGAGCTGTGTGGTATTTCAAAACTGCCAGGGTCTTCTGCTTGCGGAGGTGGAGACTCTGATCTTATTTGATCGTTTATTTCTATTTTGCATTAGATTTATTGTGTCTCTCGTTCGTTGAGAATGGATTAAAGCGAGTGGGGAGAAGCATCTGCTAACCTAAATCGTGTTCATTTCCATTGAACTGTTCCTCATCTATGGATGTGATGACGATATTGAGTTTGGAGAGAACCTTGTTTGTCATAGCATGACCAAGGTCATTTGCTCTCACAGTCATTCGCTGCCACGTCCGACTACCGAGATTTTCATGATGTTTTGTAACCTGCTTGAGTGCTTGAGCTATTGAGGCCAAGTCTTCCCATGAGCCTGATGAGGAACGAACGGGCGGCGAATTTGGAATTGAATTATCATTATAGGCAGCTGGAGATGAGGCTTGATCCAGGCTAGTAGTGCAGGGTGTCTCCATTGCAGGCGGGTTTGGTGGTTGAGAACAATTTGTCCTCTCCTCTACTTTGGCCTTGGACGAGCCTCTTTTCCAGGGCATGTTTGACACCTTCAGTTGATAAGAACAAGAGATGGGGACGAGCTGAGAGTCTTGTGGCGGATGTCAGATGGAATGAATTACATTGAAATCATCTCAGGTCGATCAATTGCATGCTCTGCCAGTCAATTTCTGGAAACACATATGGCGCAGAAAGAGTAGATAGCATGAGTCTAGCATTGGGTATAGACGACGTTGGACATTGACAATGGATCTTGTTGGTAGATCTCACAACACTAAAGTGACGGCGGTGTTTGTGCCTCACTGTCATCTTGTAATAGCGTGCTGCAGGTGTAGCTATCGCTCTAGTCAGCTCCTATATAATATCATGGCAAACCCACACAGCCTACTAACACACAAAGCCTTATTGGCTGACATGGATGTATAGCGCGGGGAGGTTTGCGTATTCTGGGCAAAGCGAATGATCGCCCAAATTACGCATGGTTCAGCGATTGATCATGTCCCCGGTAAGTATGGAGTAAAATCGACAAAAATGAGAGAGTGTATGTCATATAGTAAAGGGGTATACTACAGGCCAGAAGGAACAATAATAACTGTTGAACATGGGGTGATACTGCATTTCCTGGTGATTTTAGATTTTATATACGTGTCAATATCACAGAGTACGGGGCAGATACCTCGATGGTTGGCGGAGATCAAGGCGGTGAAGCTCCCGGAGACAATCGGTACAGCGCAGGTACCGATAGCTTATTGCATCCCACATCCCCCGATATCCTCCCGCTTCTGGCCAGTTTGAATATCCCACACCGCATTCGACATCCGCCAATATTTTCTTATTTTGACCAGAGAAAAAAAGCACCTAGCTGCTTACTTTATCCTTGGATTTGAAAGCGCAATATCCTCGCAGTCAAAGAAGATTGGTCTCATCTCATGCCGATGCGGACCACCTAACCCTTTTCCATGTCTTGGGACCTCTTACGGAGACTGATCGATTCCGATTATTTCAACAATGATCCTTTCTTGCCAGTAGCCTACCTCTCGTACGTCTAGGCATAACTTATCCCTCGTCTCCTGAGTCCGTCTGCTGATGATTCCGCTGCAGCCGATATGCTGATCACATCGGAATCCATCATGTCCTTTGCTCTAAACTCCGCCAGTTCACCCATGAGGAGATTGAGTTCTTTCTTCCGCAGCTATGCCATCTAATCATTAGCGTCGACAATGAATCTATGGCCCTCGAGGATTTCATAATTGAGCTCTGCCAGGAATCTGTAAATGGCGCTCTGCTGGTGAGATCGAATCTCGCATCCAGGCTATACCATACGGAAGGTGGGCTAATCGCGGCGCGCAATTACAGACATTTTGGCTCTTTCAGACCTATCTTCACGAGCTAGCGGACAATCCTCATTCCAATGAGTTCAAGACATGTCGGCGAGTGTACAATCAGGTTCAGAATATCATCTTTGGCGGAGATGATGTCCGCCGGGAGAAAATACATGACAACGTTTATCCCATGGCGGTATTAGCCAGCTTCGTATTAGCTAGTGTCGCAGCGCCGTTCTTACCTGGTTTTGCCGGTCCGCTGGCTATTGCCCAGGCCCGCAAACCTCGACCACTAGGAGACACCCAGTTTGAGGCAAAATCTCCGCAAGGACTGCGGAGGAGTCAGACTGTATCAACAACCCCTTCAACGCGGCCAGCAAGGCCGAGGCATGCGGGTACACCAACAAGACCTCCAGCACCCACTTCAGCCTTTGATCTTCACGATCTCCATGATCTTGGGGATCGCCCAAGGCCCGCCCGCTCCGCATCGCGTCCCTCGTCGAAACCTGCCAGACTCTCGTCGTTACAATTGTCCTCTAATGACTTTACTCGGCTCAATTCCTCCTCTATGCCCGATATAAGAACTCCATCAGGCATGCGAAAACCGTCTGATCCAAGAGTGCCTAATCCCACTCTCCGTCCAGCCGACCTCCCCCTTCGAGGACCATCGCCCAGGCCCAAAACTCCACCGGCGCCACGTGAACTCACCCGGACCCAGCGTGTTCGGGTTCTGAAATCTAATTATTTCAGAAGCGAAACCCTGTTTTTGTCTGCTCTTGAAGATATCTCCAATCGCCTCGTTGTCGTACCTAAGCCTGCTCGTCTCAGTGCCCTACGTGCCGAATTAGCTCTTGTATCGCAGGACCTTCCAGCTGAAGTAGATATTCCCGTCATCTGCCCAGCGACCCTTCCGGATGGTTCAGCAGCGAAGAGTAAGCACCATAGGATTGTGCGACTCAACCCGGCTGAAGCGACTGTGCTGAATAGCGCGGAAAGGGTTCCTTTCCTGCTCATGGTTGAAGTGCTTAGAGAAGATTTTGACTTTGACCCCGATTCAGAGAGTAATAAGGAGCTGCTCGTAAAGCTTGGTTCCGAGGAAGCTGCGGGGCGAAGGCGCATATTTGATCTTACAGTCAAGGCTCGAGACAAAGAATCAAATCCAGAGATCGAAATCGAGATTGATAGCGTCTTTGAACCGACCACCGGTGACCTGGGCAGCTCTCCGCTCATAGAAGATCTTGATGGCGTAGGTGTCTCGCCTCAACGCTTATCATCCGCATTTGCCGGTCAGGGAAATGCCTTGGCATCCCCAAACCTGCTCAGTAATCGGTCACAGCTCTCTTCACCTCTGCCCTCTGGATCTAATTCGCCCAGAATAAACGCTTACGACAGATCCACTTTAAGTGGCAGAAACCGAAAATCGACCATTGCAGGAGGTCGTGCGTCTGCTTTTGACCAGCCTGATATTCCCGCGCTGGCTACTCACATGAGAACTGCTGCTCAAATGCTGGCGCAGCTTGATTCCAGTGGGGCAAAGCGGCCCAAGGACGAAGTGGAGGGAATTAAGGCAAAAATCATTGCAAGTATGCAGAATCTTGAGGAGCAGAACTTCTATGCCGATGGGTCTGGCAGCGCTCCGACTTTCGACATGTTTCTCGCGAACGAGTCAATCGAAGACCCTCTTGGCCTCGGAGAAAATGAGGCACCAGAAACACGACCCACGAGTGGTGCTGGTGCAGCGCGGATGGAGAATGACCAGAAGACTGGTGGCCTTGCTCGGAAAGGCGATCGCGATGATCCCAGCGCGGCCACGTTTGGTGAAGAATGGAAGGCCAAAAAGGAGCGAATAAGAAAGTCTTCGCCCTATGGTCTACTGAAAAATTGGGATCTCTTGAGTGTAATTGTGAAGACTGGGTCAGATCTACGGCAAGAGGCGTTTGCATGCCAGCTTATTGCCGTGTGCTCGAATATCTGGAGAGACACGGCCATTCCGGTATGGGTAAAGCGAATGAGGATATTGGTAGCCGGTGAAGTGCGTAGCCTGTATACACTGTGAAGAGGGAAGTAAAGCTAATGCATAAATCAGTCCTCTGGACTGATAGAGACAATCACCAACGGCGTTTCCCTTCACTCGCTGAAGCGCAGTCTTACATTTGCCACTATTGCAGCTGGTACCAACCCTCGAAGACGCATCGCTACTCTCAAAGATCACTTTGTAAAGGTCAGTATCTTTCTGCCTCCAATCTCTTTTTTTTATTAATACTGATTGATCAGGCTTTCGGTGAACCCGAGACGGAGACCTACAAAGCAGCTGCAGATTCTTTTATGCGCTCTCTTGCAGCTTACAGTATCATATCATACGTTCTTCAGCTTAAAGATCGCCATAATGGAAACATCTTAATAGGTATGTGACTTCATCGCCCTTTCTTTGGAGTTTGTGTAGCTGACGGTAAGAGCAGACAACCAGGGTCGTAAGTGCTAAAAGATGTTCCCGCAGTTGTAGGGCTTGCCTAACTATTATAAAGATATCATCCATATAGACTTCGGATTCATGCTTTCGAACTCGCCCGGCTCTGTGGGCTTCGAAGCCGCACCATTCAAGCTGACACAGGACTATGTCGACGTGCTTGGCGGGGTTGGTTCGCCAGAATTTGAGGGATACAAAGCTCTGTGTAAACAAGCTTTCCAAGGTTTGTCTATAGTTTACAAGAATTGTGTGTACCCGTCTCTGACGTGATGTGAAGCTCTTCGCAAATCGGCAGATAAGATAATTATGCTTGTTGATATGATGGGAAAGCAGTCCAAAATGCCTTGCTTCTCATCCGGCGTTGCTCAGACTGTCATGTCTCTGCGCCAGCGCTTCCAACTTCATATGAGTCAGGAAGAGGCCGAACTCTTTGTCGAGACTGATTTGATAGGAAAGGCTTTGGGCAGCTATTATACCAGACTGTAAGCGGCTGAAAATGATCGTAATTCGGAGAATTTTTTTCTAATACGTCGCAGTTACGATACATTCCAGTACAGAACCCAAGGCATTTACTGATCAAGAATTGCGGCAAAAGTATATAACTTGCATTTCGCGGAGTCTGAAATGTCATTTTCGTTTTGATGAGGAGTTGGATCAGCGACACCTCTTGCTTTTATACCCATATATCTAGTTTGTCGTTTGCCGAAAGTGGCGTCATCAAATATACATACATATATATTGTGAGTTGAACAGTATTTAGTGCCCTTGCTTTGATATGACTGGCTTTCAAGCCTTGGGAAACTCTTGAAGTCTTTCTTTTGCATGCTGCTGCCAGTGATGTAATTTTGCCTTGTTTTCCGCGTGTCTGAGTTGCGAGGTGGTTGGAAGTGGAATTGCGGATTCATTTTCCTGAGTGCGAGCGTCGAAATTTCCTTTGAGAACTGGATTTTCAAGACAATCTATCGTGGCATTATTGGCAGTCAAATGAGTCCTGTTGTTTGCTCTTTTTGGGTGACCTGGCAGATCTGGGATCAGATGCGTTGCGTCCCGGATCTTGATAGTAATGAGGGACTCCCTTGCGGTCTTCGACTGGCTCGAAGTCAGAGACGGGTACATATGGATTTTGCTCCACCAAATTCAGGAAAGTATTCCTCGTGCTACACGCAACTCTTTCCGGTAGAAACGCTGCAAAATCTACCTCTATGTTCTTACTCTGCCCGGGCAAGTACAGGTCAAATTCATTCACTTTCAACTCTCGCCTGACCATCGCCATGGCAATGCATCAATGACAAAACCCAAAACAACATTTCAACCAAATGCAATCATGAACGGCAGATTTTGTCCGCCGTGTTTACCTCGGCAGAGTTCATCTCTTCAGTTACTCACACTCTTTTTTCCACTTACGTTTCATCATGAACAGTTCGCTCCAACTGCAGACAATGTTGAGCACAACTGCATTTGACCTGCCCTCTACCAAATCTCTTCAGATCTAGTACTGCTGGACGACCGTCATTCCTTCGATCGCCGTCTTTGAATCTTCCTGTTCTAATTTCTTTTCTGTCTGTGGGTTGCTTCTTTTTGTCTTTTCGTGATCCAGTCTGCTACTTCAGTAATTAACACACTCACCGACAGATCCTGATAAGATGCCTCGCCAACAGAGAGACCCTAACAAGATGCCTCGCCATAACTGGCGACGATATGAGCTCATTGCTCTTGCCGGTCTCATAACTAAGAATGAGCACCTTGCTGGCGACCTCCATGTAGCCACAAAGCTCAATGAGGCTCTTAACCAATTTGACTATGGTGGTGATATTGACAAAAGCGAGGTCTCTTTCATGGTCAAGAGGATTCTCAGGGAATGCCCTGCTTTCATGCGCATGCTCCATCGTTCCCGCGTGACTAAGCTCACAAAGACACTCAAGGCAACATTCTTTCGATCGCTGGCAGCTGCAGATTCGAGACGGAAGAAGCTCATTGCTGCTAGACATACATCCGAAATTGAACAGTCAAATGCCCAAAATGGTCGCAACGGGAATATCGATATCAATGATGTTGGCAACGGGCGTGTGCTTCCAAGTATTGAAGCAGAGGATGGAGTTAGCAATGGTCAATCTTCTGCAGCGGCCACGCAGGCTTGGGGAGGTGGAGATGAAGAAGGAGACGCTGCCTGTCAGGATGAAGACGACTTCTATGACCCAGACCCAGAATCCTTGTTCGTTCCGGAGGGTCCAAACTGGCTTGAGCGGTTGGGTGCAGGTCAGACGTATGAGCAATCTCATGCTTCGGATTCGGCTTTTCCAGCTGAAAGGCCCGCTCTCAGCACTGGGTGGGGTGGGCAGGATATTGAAGAGGACGACACCGATTCCTTGTATGTAATGGAGCGGGGTTCTGGTTGGAAGCCTGTTGTCCATGGCGGCCACGACTGCGGCAGTGGAAATGATGAGATGGAATGGAAGGGAGCCAGCAGTCCTAGCCAAACTCGTATGCGTCTCAACTCTCTCGGGGAGGAGGAGTATAAGACTCTTTCTCCTGCTGCTCGACCTGAACACCAAGAAGTAGCCACTCCCAGCACCGCGGCTAAGCCTCGTCTCAGTGGACGGTTTCTCGTCTCACTGGATCCGAGTTCTCCTCTTCGGGCTCAGGAAATGACTGACGAGTCCTCTGGTCATGATCAAATCCGAGATATTCAGAGCGTGACTAACTGGGTACTTTCGCAAGGCGCCTATCTTGAAGATGTACAAGAGGAGCATGCCCAGGTTGAACAAGACAATGTGCCGCTTCAGACTGGTGGTCATTCCGAAGACGATGAAGATGAAGACGTCAACTGGCGCGTCGAAAGTAGAAACTCTACTGAGAGTGACACTGAGATGGCTGAAGGTGACCAATCGATGAATGATGGCCGTGTTTCACGCCAGGGCCACCGTCATCATCCCTACCGCGCTCATCTCCGTCGTCGCCACGCTGGCTACTCCTTCAACAGTCATTCAAACGGAGGCGCTCCCCATGGAAGCGGCGTTGGTAACCACGGCGGACTTCATATCACCTCTAACAGCTCCGGGCCGGCTCCATTCGATCCCTTCCATCCCGGTGCCTCCGGGTCATACGACAGGCCCACCATGATGGGAGAGTCGAGCAGCCATCACAGCATCGTCTCTGGAGGCCTATCTTCTGATGCTTCTGGCAATACTTTCCGCTTTGGCGCAGATTCTGGCAATGCCAATAATTCTCCGCGCTCCCGTTCCCGCTCCCGCTCCCGCTCTCGTGGTCGTCAACCACGTGGCAATCGCTTTGTCCCAGGGAGCGAAATGCATACGATTGTTGAAGAAGGGAGCTCGCCTTATGATGACCGCCGTATCAGGCGTGAACAGTCTAGCCGTCGAGCTGAACATCATCATCACCATTATCATCGAGACCGTGACCAGGCCTCTGATCCTCAGAATGACTCTCGTGAGCATGAGCAAATGTATGACGAGCACGATAACCAAGGTAACGAAGATATTCCGTGGGGCGGGACAGATGAGTGACGAGCATTTGTCGACATTCAATCTATCCCATTCATTTATTTGTTTATCTGTCTTTTCACACTTCACTGTCACTTCGGATAGTGAAGTGTCAGTTCAGATAAGGAATGTGGAGTTCTGCATATATTCATCGGCAAAGATGCACGACGTATGACAATACAATTGTTGTTGCGGGCGCCAGCATTACACGACCATTTAACGATTACCGTATTTCATGGGGCAAAACCATTTGATTGAACTCTTGCTTTACAAGCAATATGTTTATTACTTCAATTACGGATGTTTTTCTCATTTACAGTGGGAGAACTTATGCTAAATTTTCTCGGATCATTTTCATTCCAAGGAGTGTCTCTGTCAGAGAATCATGGGGCGTGTATTTTCGCTCCAGGGTTCATACTTTTGTGTCTTTCTGTCACATAGCAAGGATATTTCATGTTACTCATTCATGCTGTATTTAGCAGCGTAGCAAGAAAGCAGGGGATCTTGTCATGTACTTAGCATTACACGTGAAATCAAAGCTAGCTCTTTGCTCTTTCTTTACTTTGCCTTTATTCTCTCTTCACTCTTATTTCACTCTTTCTCATTGTCTGCAACTTCTGCCTGAGACTTTCGCTGTGTATGACCCAGCATCCCAGACACCTTGGTGATCATATCTACTGCTGTGCTGTAATGTACTTCTGTACTGCCACTGTTCTGGCCCTTTGATCATGACCCACCAAGCGCACGTTGGTAAGTTAGTTGATGCTGTACTTTGTACGGTGCTGCAGAAGCTCTGCTCACGAAGTCCTGCAGCCTTGCTAGTTGAACCCTGACCCATACAGTGGTGCACTGCGTAAGTTCATGTGGTTTGTCCTCGTTCTGCCACATTACCAGCCACAATGACTTTTCTCAGCTTCTTCAACTTTTATCATCTCTCTTCATCTTTCTTTATATTCTTATAATTTATTCTTTTTCTTTTGAATCTGTCCTCTTTTTAACGAGGTTATATCATACCTCTTCACATTTTTTTGTGATTTTTTTTTTTTTTTTCGTGGTTAATATTTTATTTTTCGTGATTAAATATCCTTTCATAATAAAATTCACAACAACCGTATAAAAAGTTCCAACCTCATGTATAGTTCTTGGGTTCTTTGGTCCTTTGGTACCACGTAACATCTCTTTAGGAGTGAAATAATACAGGCTAAATACTAGACATTGCCTCCACTTCCAACTCCAACTCTAAATTCTGCGTAAATCTGGAAATGCATATTGTAGGTTGTTAGCTGCATCGACGCTCAAATGCTCGGTAACAGAGTATACCCCAGGACGCGGACCAGGCACGAGGGCGCAGCGACAGGAAACTAGGTACATTAGAATATATACCACAAATTCACTGTTCAGTTCAACAACAAGCAGACAAGGCTCAGCGGTTCAAAAATCGCTTAAGTTGAATCCAATCCTCTATGGCGCAATTGGCTAGCGCGTCCGGCTGTTAACCGGGAGGTTGGTGGTTCGAGCCCACCTGGAGGAGGAAATGTCTGATTTTTTTTTGAGTTTTTTTTTCCAACCCTCTCCCCACTTGCCATACAGGGGCAGCACCTTGGGCGGATTGTACCAGGACGTCGTGATTTTTGCTGGCTCGTGTCACCGGACGTCCCAGACGTTCCAGGTCCACGATTGGAATATTCTCAGGTGATAACTGAAGCCTCTTATCTACAAAAAAAAAGAATGTACGACTGGATAGGACTATGGCTGGATCAAGGTACGGAGGGGGAATCATTTATATGATTTATATGGTTGACGGGTTTGATAGATTTGAATTGGTATTTGGATAAAAAAGCTAGGTAAAAGGATATATATTTTGTGATAAACACTACTCTGTTTTTATGCCTGATGTTGCAGAAAGGTATTACACTTATGGTACCTGGACATGTTAGAGTATGAGAAGTTGTCAAAACGATAAGCAGGGTAGAAATGAAACGAAGAGGAATATCAAAAGCTGTAACGATATAACAATATCAAAATTTTGAACTTTCAACTATGGGACTCATCAACAATGAATTAGAGATGCAAATGTGCACTGATGGTATTTGGTTATTTGAATTACATCGTACAACTCGCCGCGACATACGGTAAACCGACAAAACTCGTCCATCTTACAAATTTGTCCAAGCAGGGCGACCCTCTGGACACACAGGCCGCTTAAGACCTCGACTGCTCAAGTTCGAGCTCCAATTGACGAATACGCTCGTCCTTGTCGCGGCTGCTACGGGCCTCGCCGACACGGGTCTTGAGCGTGTCGACTTCGGCGGTGAGTTGAGCAATCTTGTCATTCTGGACAGCGAGTGTGCGGGTTTGCTGTGAGAGCAGTTGCTTAATTTCGTGTAGCGAGTCCTGGATAGGGCCCATGTCGGTGGTAAGGCTGGAGGTGATGACGTTCTTGGACGTTTGCTGTTGAGGTTGGGGTGATGGTGAAGAGATTGGCGTGGGCTTCTGTTTTCACCGAAAAGGGTCAGCAATGGTTGAAAGGGAGGACATGAAGATGGCCATTCTTGAATGGTCTGGGAAGGAATGGGACGAAAGAATCATGGATAAAAAATGGGAGGGGATGGGGAAGGCGGGGATGGATCAATAATTAGAACTACCTTTTCTTCTGGCTTCGCGCTGGATGTAGCAGCCAGTTGCTTAATCTCTTTGGCGGCCGGGGTTTCTCGTTCCTGTTTCGCAGCCAACCCATGCGGAGGCAAGGAGAGCTGAGGGCCGTGCGTCTTCTCTTCCATGCGCGACGCAACTGCGGCAGCGGAGAAGCGTTCCGTTGGCTTTGGAATTTCTTCAAAACTGGAATTGTCATCGTCGTCTTCGCTAGAAGATTCCTCTGCCTTGTCGGCGAACTTGGCCGCCGCATCAGCCATGGCGCTCTTGGTATCATTCACGGATGGCGGAGGCTTGACGGTCGTCGCCTGGTTTACGGGAGCTGCCTCCTTGGCTGGCTCAGGTGCGGGTGCGGCAGCAGTTGCCTTTGCCGTTGGCGCAGGCGACGGTGTGGCAGATTTCTGTGACAGCGCAGCATTTTCTTTGGGGGGCTGCTTGGGAGGCTGGAAGTCGGCTGGCACCTCGGACGGCTCCTGATTGTTATAGATGTCTTCAAGGCTAATCTTGGGTGGTGAAGCCTCCTTGCCATCGAACCATTCCTTGGCAGACATGGCCGGTTTGAGACCAACGGCGGGCGGGAAAATATCGGCTTGGAACACTTCTGCGCGGCGCGGAACAATAAACGAAACAGGTTCAATGTACGTGTCGTTGACCGTTTTGTAGGCGCGCATGACTTCGTTCTCATGGACCTAAGCCGCAACGAAATTGCCGTTAGCCCCAGGCTTGTAATTTGGGAATGCGCAAATGAGACCACACAACTTACGTTGACACCACGCTTCGGCAGGAATGCAATGCCACGCTGCGGATCGGTGGATTTGTATTCAGCGAGGAACTCGAATTTATCGTTTTCATATTCAAAGTAACGAATGTTTCCATCACTGCTTCTCAGTTAGAGAAATTCATGGAGTTTCCATGGACAAACATGGGGATGCACGTACCCTTTTCCAGCCAAGTAGAGACACTGGGTGCCGTCGTCCCAGAAAGGCATGCAGACACCGGAAATCGAGTCAAGCTTCTTGAACCCTCCGAGAGGCTCCTTGCCCCCACGGATGTCCCAGAGACCCAGTTGCCGATCGCTCATCTTGGAGAAACCAGTGGTAGCCACACGGTCATGCTCGCCCATCCATACCACACGGCTGTTCTTCGCGCCAGGGTGTCCAGCCATTTCCTGTACCGCACGCTCCTGGCGGGGATCCCATATGCGCACCTTCTTGTCCCGACAGGTTGTAACGAGCATTGAGCCGTTGCCGCTCCATGAGAGAGACTGGATGATGTCACCATGCTTCAACGTCAGGTTGGGCTTTTCAGCTTCAATGTCCCAAATCTTAATGGTATAGTCCCCAGAAGCAGTCGCAAGAACGTTCGCCGCAGCAGGGTTGAATAGGGTGTGGCCAATCTTTCTGTGAGAAACAGTTAATTGCTTGCTCAACCTTCGCTTCCAAACGCGATCCTCACCTTGTGTGTCCAGAGAGCTTGGCGATTGGAGCCACATCCTGAGGCTCCTCGGCATCGGTGTATAAGGTAAAGTCCTCTGGCACTTTCCAGAGGAATGCCTTGGCAGTCGTAAGTATTCAAACCCCTCATGTGTTTTGTTCGAGCGCGGTCTCCCAACGTACCTTGGCATCGTCGGATCCCGATACAACGAGCGAATCGTCAAAAGGATGCCTGTCCACTTATTAGATTCGTTCTCCTGTGACTGAGAGTGTCGCGCGACACTTACCAATCTGTATCTAGCACCGCAGCGGTGTGGCCTCGAAAGAGGGGAATCAGCTCCGGCAGCCGACCACGCTCCTCCAACGGCAGCACAGCAAAAGCACCACCTCCGCCCGACTCCCAATTGACCGACAGATATTTCGGATTGGCCTCGAATGCGATGAGCAGGGGCGTCTCCCATGGGTCGAGCAGGCGAATCTACTCACCTTGACGAGATTGGTGTCCCACGCATTGTGGGAGATACGTAAATTATCGTAACATTGTTCCTGCCATAGTTTAGAATCTCTGCGTAGATTCACTTTTGGAAATTTCTATCTTGTCGTCTCACCTTTTTCGTGGGGCGTCCAAAGACGTGCCCTGTGTGGGAGGGGACACGTTAGAGAGCTCCAGGGGCTTTAAGTGTAGCTGAAGGTTATGAGGCAGGACTACTCACGATATTTGGAGGCACGCACGAATCGACCGGACATTGGGGCTATTAAAAAGAAAGGGCAAATGGGAAAGAAATCGAAGATGGAATAGTTCAATTCTCAATCACAAGAGCTGTTGGTGAGGTTGAGCTTATGGTCTGTAGCTCACAATCCTGTTAGTCGTTGTATCATTTGTTGTATCTCGCAAGGTGTCGGCGTATCGGCAAATCGTAACGAATGGGGCGACAGAATGGGGTCTCAGCCTCAAAGGGGGTTTAGTTAGGGGACCAAGTCGAGGCTGCCCAGGTGCTTGCTCCCGCCGAAGCTCCACCATCCAGCCAAGAAAATCAAGTAAATTACATTGAAACCTCCAGTTATTCCTCTTTCCAACGACGGCCCCACGACGGGCCCAAACTTCGCTCCAGATGTCCCCCAACTTAGCCACAGTGGATCATACCCGTGGACGAGGACCAGCCCTCGATTCGTAGGCAAGACGAGTGCCACAGTATGAACTGTAATTCCATTTCAAAACCCGCCATCAACTTGTATTCGTTGGATCCATCCAATCAATATTTCACGATTTCTCTTTTGTCTCTCCTTAACACGTGCAGCGCCACGGGTCCAAGGCTATCCTTGCATGAAATTCTTCTCCGCTGTCACATTTGAGCGGTCATGATATCAATATGCTGCCATCACATGAAATGATACATGTACTGTACAGCCACAGCCCGCAGTGCAACACTCGAGACTTGGGTACTCGTATCACCCTGGATTGGGCTGGTGCATGAGGAATAATATGGATGCAATGGCGCCTGCAGGGATGCTCATTCGGAGTTCCCGCCGGATCTGCACACGTTCTCCATGCCGCAACCATGGCGCTGTGCACATGATAATATCAAGCATCCTCGAGTATATCAAACTCAAGCAAGCGGCATCGAGCGTCCCCCCTCTTAAATTTCCATTTCCAGTGACAGAGCAAAGGAAAAAAAATAGGCTGAATATTCTGACATAATTCTATGTAACAGAAACGTCCACCCCTGAGTCGAGTCTTCTGTTCATTCGATTCTGCTCAGCTTAGACCGGTCGCGAACAGAATGAAGAGACCTTTTCGGGAGAATTCTGGCCGCATTAGGATGGTGGACGGAGATGTGGTCGGCGGAATACCTAGTGCACGGGCCAGGAACGAGGACGGCCAGCATGAGCCGGTGGTGAGTAGTAGTCACACTTTCTGCCTTCTCTTTCCGCTGAGAGAAGGGAAAGAAAAGGAAAAGTCTCTCAAGAGGCGGGAAACCATCCTTGGCTTCCCAGTTAACGGCCAGCCCCAAAGGCTCTCTTTCTCTCTGCCGGACAATTAGTGCCGCAAGCCAGGGTGGTAATAGAATAGAGTGGGACAGTGGTCCCGCAGCCCTCCGGCGTAACTGTAATGAAGAGTCAGATCGAAAGTAGAAGAGTCGAATCTGTTAGTCGTAAAATCACAAATGAAGGCGTAATAGTCTGTAGTGCAGAGTCTATCAATCAATGACATGCGATGCGCAAGACGGCAAGGGAAACCTTCATCGAAATCATTTCTCATCGGCACTCTCCACCTCACCTAGACCATTTTCTTTTTCATCAAAATTCCTGAATTGCTTATTGTTCCCCATTTGCTCCTTCCCTTCTTCCTCTTTCCCGATTGTCTTCAATCGCTTGGATTTTCTCTCTTTTGCATTGGAGCACACCCAATGCGATAACGATACGTGTCGCACCTCAAATCATCGCCCCTTCGCTTTCTCACACTCAGTGGTGATCAATTGTTGTTCGATTGGTTTCTCGGCGGACTGCAGCAGTTCGGGTGATCTCATCAGTGTGAAGTCAGTGCATCTCGATCGGAAAAGACCGACGCAGGTTTCCCCCCAAAGGCTGCAAACAGCAGAGAAAATTCGTGCAACGACAACGACTACGCAAATCAAGACTGGGACCTATCATTGAATCCCAAGCTCGGTCTTTTGACAGCGACCAAGCTGCCATCTGAGACAATTTGGTTAGCAAAAAAGCCGTTCCATTGACTCTTCTTGGGGAGGGGCCAAATGCAATTGGTTTAATGCAGGTACTGACAATCCTCCGACAGGTCCCGTTTGATCGGCATCGTGACCACTTTGACAGCACATTGTCTCGGTATATCGTGAGGAGCCGCCTACCAAACCCCGTATTTGGACTTTGTCTGTCTCCTCGACAACATCGTGAACCCCGCCGTGGGGCCGCACATGATCGCTCTTGCCGATCACCAGGTGCACCTGCAGCTGCCTAGCAACTAGAAAGTAATCGCTTGCGGGTGATCGGCCAGCATAACGTGCACATAATCCCAGAACCATTGGACTGCATATACATGATTTTCTTATTGTCGCACGCCGCATTGGATACGAATCGAGACTGGCGGTAACCCTGATTCCAAAACCGGGATCAGAATCGCTTGACCCCAGTGTCCAACATGTCGTCAGCGACTTTGTCGACTGAGACAATGGCTCAAGGCGGCAACGCTGCTTTGACAGATGACCCAAAGGTTGCACGTCAGACTTCGTTGGAAGACCAGGCCAACGAGCAGATTGACCAGGATACGCGGCATATGATCGACGCCTTAGACCGAAAGAGAAGGCGCCTCGACGAGGAGATTGCTCGATTTAAAGCGGCCAAGGACGAAGAGTACCGGCAGTATGAAATCCAATTACGCCGCCTTTTTGGAAAGGACCCAGACCATCAACAAGATTTGCGAAGACATAGTGATGATGCAGGTAGCCGGCAGAGCCCAGAAGAGCCAGCTTCGGAAGAAATAGAATTGGCTCCGGAGCCGACGACTGATGCCGGGGCGAGGCCACATGTTGGAAACCTAGATGGCACGGATAGCTTTGAGGAAGAGTTACTGGGATCAGAGGACGCAAATGGCGGAGGTAGTAGTCACGTCGAACATATTAGGTCCCCCCACGAAAGAGAACGTGAGTTTCGGGGAGTCTTCACGCCCAGCTATCTACCCTTGCTCGAAACCAAAAAGGACAATCACGTTTCCACAGGCAACAGTGGGGCAACTTCAAGCTCACAATCCATCACAACAGAAGACAAGCAAAAAGAGGAAGTCGAACAGACCGCGACGATCTCAAAGGAGCCTGACAGTACAGGTACACAGCAACCTGAAAGTCCACCTTCGCCGCTTTCTGCATCCGAAAAGGCCGTGTCCTCTCCACGGCCGATTTTGTTTCGCAGAAGCAGTCTCAAAGACCCTTCGAAGAAGAATACCAGTCCCAAACGTGTTTTCTTCATTCTTGAAGACCGTCTAGTGGCTCCATCAGCAAGTCTCGAGGAGTCTTCCCCTTTTACTCCTCCGTCTTATGAGTCAATCTCGTACGAAGACTCACCTTCCGATTACGAAGCCTCTCTACTGGCTTCTGAGTCTCCTTCCTCACCAATGGATATGGATCCTCATGTGGAAAACTTCTCGGCGGAAGCTGCTCATCAATATATGCCCTCTAATCCCGAGGCCAGCGCCGACCATCGTGCTGGTATGGGAGCTCAATTTGCAAGCAAATCTCCCAATTCCAGTCCCAATGTAAAACCTTCTGCTGGGCATACGTCTCCAATAAAAACCGGAGAAACTGGCACAGATCTTGGCATAAGCGGTCTCTCTTTGGATCAAACGCCCTCCCACCAGGACGACGATCACGACGATCTTTTTGAGCTTGATGAGGAAATTGACCCGGCTCTTTCTTACGCTCCCAGCTCCCGCAACAAAAATTCGAAGCCCCAGGACGTCTTTTCACATATTGAAAACCGGCGGATTCATGAACCGACATCTTCCTCATACAGTTTTTCAGGGTTCGGAGGTTATAATATGCCAGGGGCCAGTGCTCCAACGGGAGTTAATCCTCTGAACATCAACCCCAACAGCAGGCAAACTCCCATGGGTTCTCGCAAGTCAAGCTTGCCTATCAGCTACGATTATCTCCTCGGCATGACCGGTAGTCAGGGGCACTCGGCACCAGCTTATCCTGTTGGCGGCTTCGCCCAAGGCAACTTCCGTCACAGATCGGCCAAGCCGTACAGTGGTCACGGGGCATTGGGAGATCAGAATACCAGCCACTCGCGCTATAGCATGGGTGGCCGCCTAGCTACGTTCAAAGAAGAAGAAGAAAATAAGTACAATGAGTCTCATCTGAATTCGTATGGCACCCCGAACTCGACCTCTGGGAGTCTGCGCATTCCGTCTCCAAAGCCTTTCAAGATCCCTCCTGAGGAAGCTAGTTCTCCGCCGAAATTTACCGACGACCAGACTCCTCGAGGATTCAACGCGAGATTCACATCAAAGGATCATGCAGCTTGGGCGCCTGGTAACAACGATATCTTGGCAAATCGAAAGCAAAGTGACTATCAACGCGGACCATTGAGCTCCGGTTTGTGCTTGTACCCCATCACCACTCCCCTGTTCTGCGCTAACCACTCTTTCAAAGGTCAAATGTCCCATCAGGGCGGGAGCAGCTTCTCCAGCAGCCAGTTCCGAAATCCGCCAGTGGGTAGTTTCCAGGAGCGCTTCAACCGGGAAGAACAAGACCGCCAGCGCGCACTTGCCGAACGACGTACCCATGAAGACCACGAAGATCATCTCTTTGATGATATGGACGACGTTGGCGGAGTTGAAGAAATAGAAGATATGGAGGGTCTATGAAGAGGCTATGAAATCAGAACTTAGTCCCCCACCGCTTTCGATAGAATTTGCACCTTTAGCCGGGCCGGTTGATCTGGAAATAACCTATCGATTCAACCCATTCATCTGCCGTGTTTCGCCAACATCGCCATCTCATCAAGGTTGCCGGTATAACTGTTCATCGGTATGCATCCATGTTCGCTTTATTCGGCGTACTCTCCTCTAGAACCACAATTTTTCTGCTTTACGTCCGACCGACTTTTATCGTCGTCATTGTCGATACGTTTTATTCCAACTGTACCTTTTTAATCCGCATTTCGATCGGTCTCCGAATCATCATTTTGTCGGGAGCCATTGTTCATATCTTTCCCTCATCCTCTTCTTCCTTCTTAATTATCATTTCTCCCCTCCGTTTTCCTCTTCTTTCTTCAACATCTTCATCTCCGACCCTCTTCTTCTTACGACGATCACGCAGCTGCGGCAGAGCAATAGCAAGCGATGAGCTATAGTACCTCTTTCTTTTTCCTTTTGTTGTTTTGCTCATTATACTCTTTCTGTTCTGCTTGTCACTCTCCGGAAAGACAAAAGCGAAAATTATTCCTTTACGTAATCTTCATTCTCATTTCTTTTCTTTTTTTCTCTCCCTTTTTGGGATCCTCTGTTGTTTCAGACTCCAGATATCAAACTTCTTTCTTCTTTTGTGTAAAAAAAAAAACAAAGCGTTGGAAAGGGCCCTAACTTGATTGGGGTGGTCTTTGGAAGGAGCAGTATATATTGAATTTGGTTGCTTATCTTGATTTACTTGACTGCGTAGACTTACTAATTGGTTGATCTCAATTTGGCGGAAAAAAATTCATTGGTTGACTGAGTGAATCATTTGTTGATTGATTGCATGGCCAAGATTTATTTTAAATGGATGATTGCATTTGGTCCTTTTTCAATATCCAAAGGTGTTTGTAGCTTCAGCAGATGCTCCAATATTTTTTTTTTTTTTTTTTAAAAAAAAGAGGATGCTGAATTAAAACGTACACAGAGATAAAGTGATAAATTTGAGCTTTGGAATTGAAACTAGACCCTACGCCTTGGCTGGAAGATATAAAGCCCTGTTTCTGGTATACGATAATATAGACTATGTGTTTGCGTAAAGAGGCGTAATCAGAAAATAAATGAACACCTGTACGCGCGCGCCGTTTCAAAAAAAGAAAATGAAAAAGGCAAGAAAAAGAGACCTGGCTGTTGCTCCGTACCAGCAATCCTCTTCCGATCCGCTTCAGGGTATGCGAGTTCGTCAAATTTCTGCAGGGAAACGGGAGACGTGACGAAAGATGACAAAAGAAAGAAAGAAAGAAAGAAAGAGGGAGGAAAAGATATAAGGGAAGAAAAAAATGGCAAAAGAGATCCAAATGAAATGAGACGAGATGAAAAAGGGAGGGAAGGAAGAAGAGCAAGGAGTTTCAGAAATCATCGCTGTCTCTTCTCTTTTTCCTTCCGCCACCGCCGCCGCCTCCAGCAGCGCCGCTTGTGCTTCCACCGCCTCGTCTTCGTCGGCCGGGCTCTGCAGCAGCAGCAGCTCCACCACCGCCAGATGCCCCTTCGTCGTCATCGCCGCCGCCACCTCCACCGCCTTTGGCAGAGTCACTGGCCGCTGGCCCGTCGGGGACCTTTTCAATAATTGTGTTGAGGAAGTCGAATTGTTCGTCCTTGGCCACGGCGGCCTTGAGGTGTGCGGCGGTGATGCGTTTTGATGAGCGGCCGCGTGCTTCGGATGCGGCTTTGACGACGAGCGATATCATGAAGAGTTCGAGTGCTTTTGCTGTTTGGGAGGAATGGGGTATTAGTATTGGGATTGCTTGTGTGAATTTTTCTTCATGACGAGACTATAGAGAGGGATAGGTAAGGACGAGAACGTACAAACTACAACAGGCGTGACTTGTGCGACTTTGCCAACGTCTTCGTCTGCTTGCATGATCCGCTTGATGCGCGCGACGGGGAACTTTGTCTTCACTTCGACGTTTTCGAAACCTGGCAGGGCGGCGGCACCGGTGACGAGAGCTGTGGAATTCGCATTACTTGCTGCACCGACGCCAGCGCCAGCGCCGGCCCCAGCTCGTCGTGAGCGGCGGCCTGGTCCGGAAGGGAGCCAGTCGGCATTGCCGTGTCCGTTGCCCGCAGCCATGTGAGGATGATGAGAAAATGAAGGGTCGTGTGATGAGGAGGCTTGGAATTGGGGCCCAGACTGATGACGATGTGCAGAATGCGCAGGCGCGGGTGTATATATGGCTGATGACGGATCGTAGATTTGGTATTGTGGCGGCTGCTGTTGTTGCTGCTGTTGGTATTGGTAAGGCTGATGAAAGGCTTGGTGAGGAAGTGGTTGTTGATGGTGATGATTATGATGCTGGGAGTAGCGGTGTTGCTGCGGTTGTTGCTGCTGCTGCTGCTGCGGAATAAATGCGGATGCAGCGGCCGCCGCAGAGTCTTGCGCGAATGAGGCAGACGAGTGGTAGGCGGAGAGGTCCGGGGAGCGTGGAGCGTACGAACTATCGTCCATAACCGCTAGGAAAAGAATGGAGTTTGGTCCCTTTTTATTACTGTTTTTATGGTAGGAGTGGATCTTCGGTCAATTCACGTTAGTCGTGAGAAACTCTCTTTCGCGGGTTAGTTCGAAAACACAGTAGTAGTCTTTGATCCACACTGCCTCTCGCGTCTAACACGGTTCCGCGTCGAGTCCCCGGAACGAATGGAATTTTTTAGGTCATTCACAGATGGGATTTTGTCTTGACAAGATTGAAATGAATCTTCTCGACAACGATTGGGTATAAAAGGCCAATTCTTGAAGCGTTGCTCTTTCTCGTGCTTTCAAATGGCGGCGGCCTGAGAATCCTACGCCAATGGCAGAAAAACAGGTCGTGATTGGTGTTGAGGTATTATGCGGTCAACCGCGACGACGTAAGGGTGCGATCGTCAGGAGATGCGGTACTTTATATAAAGTACCTTAAACAAATATTTGTTGTTGCAGGTACTTTATTAGCAGTAGTTTTTATAGGCAAAGGTGCGAACGAGGGAAAAAATTGAAAGATGATCGTATCTTATATTATCAGATCAGCCTTATCGATCGAAGATCAATCAGTCTCGAGGGTAATCTGGCAAAGGGGCCCCCGGGTGAGCGTGGAGGGGGATATGATTGGCATTTATATCCGCTAACTCGCCCAAACCCCAAATTATGTCGCTATGCTTACTGGAATTCTTACCCCGCTGGGAAGGTGACGCTCAGCCTCTTGCCCAAATGCTCATCTACGGCGGATGCCGTGCCGAGAGCTTCACCGAAAGAAGCTAGTTTCATATCTGCGCGACAAAATGATTCAATTATTGAAATAAATTCAACTTTTCAACTAAATATGGGTACATGGTCTAGTGGTATGATTTTCCCTTAGCATTTCACCTTCTAAAGAGGGTAATTCAATTGGGAGAGGTCCTGGGTTCAATTCCCAGTGTATCCAATTATTTTTGCTTTTAATTATTTTTTACTGTTTTCTTCTTGCCAGCTGGCATTTTCCCCGATTTTTTGAATGAAAATGGTCGAATTCTGCACGTTGGAAATTGAATTTTGATGGCGAGAATAATCTATCGTGAAGAGAATTCTAAGTATTGTACGGTAGCCGAGAAAATCCAGCAGTGCAGGATAGCTCAACACCACAGCCAATGTCGAACGGCCACATCTGAATACGCAAGATTTCTTCTCTCATCATATGTTCAGTTGCATCCGGGCCACTGCTGCTAACACTAATATAAGCTTTACGTTCTTGTCATGAGCTTATTCTCATTTCAATCAATTGGAAATTCTGTACTGTATTACCCTAATATCTGAATTTTCAGATGCATGAAGCAATTCCTTTTGGGTTATGATATCCGGAATGACCATCTGAAATCTTTCTTTCTGCTTATACTCACGTATTTATATTGTTTGTTTCTGATATACCGATCTACGTTACTCTGTACATTTGCCTTCGTTTCACTTTACACGCCGCGGGTTGGCCTCACGCTCTCCTCGCTCCCAATCACCATCTCAACCACGCGCAAACTTATTAACCTCCAGATATTCACTCTCAGATTCGACTGCTGCCTAAGTCTTCTCCCAGCCTCTTACCCAGCTGTACCTTGGCGGCCGGACGGGGCTCTGACCTTTCGTCTATAAAATCCGCCCCTCTCCCCCCGCCCTCTTCTTCCTTTCTCTTCTTTCTCTTCATATCTTTTCTTCTATCTTCGTACGGCAGACCGACAGAGCTGAGCTTCTCTCCCGCCGATATTTATCCAACACCCGAAAACCAATACCCGATACACGATGGGTAGAGCTTAGCTTCCCCAGACGACCAAAGCCACCGGGGCTCGAATACGCGTTTATAGTCCCTCAAATTTATTTGGGTTGAGACAATAACTGGTCCGGACCTTGAAGCTTCGCTTCACTTCTGCTCTTCTTCTTCTTGTGCCGAGTGATGATAGAAGAGCTCCGGAGACAATGTCCCCTGAAAGGTGAACCGACTCAGTATGAAGATCATGTGCCGCTTTTGGAAGCCCCCGGTTACGTCCAGGTGGTTTCCTGGGTCCAGCATGGTTTCATCCGAAGTGGTCCTTTTATAACAAAGACATGTCGCTGATGGAGTCCAAAACTTGATCTAATCTGACGGCCCCTTCTTCTTTTTCCTTTCCTTTTACTTTTCTTCTCTTTCTTTCTTATTGTACTTAGAATCAATAACTTAGACTCAATTGATAGAACATCTTTTCGTATGGAACGTCTCTTGATATAATAAAATGTCTTTTCGCTGTCTATATATTACAACAATATAAAGTAAATGTTTTCCAGCTCGGCCAACTCTTTTTTTTTCCCGGTTGGGCCTGGTATCCGAGATTCCTCGCTTTTATTGTATTACAAGTGATGTATAAGAAGAACCCGTTTTCGCCATGCTACTATTCAATGCTAAAACGCCGCTATGTATTGCCGACTCATACATCGCGGATCCAGCTGTCATCTTCCATATGGCCCTCCAGTTTCGGTCCTTCGGCTCGCCAGGTCTCTACCAGTCCGGACTTGGGATCTTCGTCTGGCAACCCACGTTGCTGTCGCACACGAAGAACCTCCGCTCTGACCCGACTGGTGCACTCACGACGCAGCGCTACCGCTTCCTCTCCATACTTGAGCTCATCCGACAAGACACCCATAGGGAGGAGCTGCCCATTACCGGCATTTTCGGTCTCCTTTTCCCGCAGCTGTCGCCAACGCTCTTTAAGATCGCCAAACTTTTCCTCCATATCGACCTTTTCACCAAATGCGATCCGGACAGGCTTTCCTGTACGGGGAATGAAACGTGGGAATTCTCGTGACTCGTGCATAATTGAGTCAAAGCCTTCCACCCACATTGGGACCACGTCGGGGCAAGGGTCACTCTCGAGTATCAGTCTCGCAACACCCCACTTGAAATAGCGCATCGTCTTGTCGGTTCGCTGGTGCACCTTGCCTTCTGGGAAGATGTGAATCCAACCGTGACGCCGATTAGCATAGGCAGAAGGAGCGTGGAAGCTGTCTTCGCCATTTGTACTAAAGGTAAATTGGTTCGACGAAAAGGGATCGTTGAAAGCAAGATGCTTTTCTCGGTCCGCTGATAGAGAAGAGACAGGGGTAGGGGATGGCGACGGAAGTGACGTAGGAGGTTCGGGGGAGGTAAATGGACCACGCGAGAGAAGGCGAATGGCCTGTGTCATTGTGGGCTGGAACAGCCCTCCGAACGGAGAATGTGCCAGACGGTGTGTGGGAAGAACTTGGCCCGGCTCGAAGATTGATTTGAGTACCCTATTGTTACGAATACTCATTAATTCCTTATGCTCTCAATTATGATTCGCGCAGTTATCGGGATAAAGCGGAAGTTGCAGAAGCGCAATGTCCGTGGATTCTGCACATGAAAGGGACGTACTTGTTCTTGAAACAAATGTCATGACTTCCTAAACCCCACCGGAGATTATCAGGCACCATGTATGAGTAGGGGAGGCATCCCCATATTAACGGATCATCAAGACTGTTTAAGCAACGTAACCGTGAGCCGACGGTGCAATTGAGTCCAAGCGCATCGATTTACATACGTACACGCTGATATGATTCGAGACTACAGAGAGAAAAGCGAGTCAACAGGTCTATTCTTAAACAAATATCGAAAGTACCATGGGGTTGCGTCTCGATCTGAGAGTTCCGCCCCCTACCCTGGCTTGAGTAAATGGCAACGCACCAGTAATAAGCCCTCTTTCTCGGCGCGCAATGTCCTTGCGCTCATCGAGAATCTTCAAAAAGGGTTCAAGACCATAAATTTCCGTCTGATTAAGACCGTAGATGAACCAGCGCGAGAGCACGCCCGTCATGCCCATGACAAATTGGGACCGTATGCGCCATGAGAGGCTCGGCTGGGCAAGCTGATTCTCGGCCATGGTGGGGACAATTGTCGAATGAGGGAAAATTAGAATCTACCGCGACTGCATTGATGCCGAGAAATGAATCGAATATCAGTAAAGAAAAGACGCAAAATCTGGCCTTACGACGCCGATTGATGCACGGTGTCGAAAAGCCTCCCCTGGGGAAAACCAAAAGAGAGAAAGCAGAACAGAACGAGAACGCAGAGAAGGATTACGTTGGACTTACCATTACAGGATGGGACCTTTGGTGTTGAACTTCAGACCCGGAATTCTGCCGCCCACCATTCGCCCAAAGAAGTTTAGCTCCCGGCGTTTTATTTCTCCGCATTCCGCAGACCATCCAAACGAAGCAAACAACCTTCCACTCTTGTTTCTACCTGAACAACACTCGTCATATTTTGAAGCTTCATTTTGAAGCACTTGATATCATTGCTTGGCCGCAATTGCTGGTCACATTTCGTATGCATCATGTCGCATAGTGAGTTTCACTTTTTGTGTTCTATTGGGATCTTCTTCACAGACTAACAACTGCAACTCAGGCAAGCGCAACACATCTCTCGCCTTCTTCACCTCATACGAGCGTTCTCTGCTCAAGTCGACCTGGGGTTCACAGTCCACTCGTCTGTCGCGCGACGCCTTTCTCCCCTTCGCATCATGTCGACTATGTCTTCTTCCTTCACGCGATCCAGTGGCATGCGCCACGAACGGGGACATTTTCTGCCGCGAGTGCGCCTTCAACAATTTACTTGCGCAACGCAAAGAGATTAAGCGTCTCGAGAAAGAAATGGAGAAGAAACGCGCGGAATTGGCAGAGCAAGAGACGCATGATGAGGATGAAGCAAAACAGCGCGCGATTGAGGAATTTGAGCGCGTTCAAATGGGTCTTGAAGTGAAGCTTGGCGCGGGAAGAAAATTGGTGGGTAGAGGAGGCGGCAAAGTCATGGTCGAAGAAGACGTCGGACTAGACGACAGTCCTGCGGCGGTAGCGGCAGGGGAGAGGGGCAAGAAGCGCAAGTTCGAGCTCGACGAGGAGGAGTTGCTGCGAATCGCCAAAGAAGATCGAGGCAAAGCAAGAAAAGCGCTGAACGAAGAGAGGGTGAGTTGAAATGATTCGGCCTTCTCCTTTGCAGTTGTCTGAATATCACGCCGATATCTCATACAAGACACAGCCTCAGCTAATCATACGATATTTCAATAGGCAAAATCAACAGCCCATCTGCCCTCCTTCTGGGTCCCGTCTCAAACCCCCGAGAGCGGCAGCGGCAACTCTGCGAATCTATACAAGGTTGAAAAGCCGCCAAAGCTTAACCCCGTTTGTCCGGCGTCTGACCGAGACCGACCACACAATTACTCGCTCAAGACGCTGGTCACAGTACAGTTTACCGAAGAAAAGGATAGCAAGACGGGCGAATTACAACGAGTATGCCCGAGCTGTCAAAAGGCTTTGAGTAATAGTACTAAGGCAATGCGTGCGTATTCCCTTCCCTCTGCGTATCTTTAATCCTTCCTTTTCAGCTTTTCTTCCATGCTTCTTATCTCCAAAACTGTCATATCCAATTCCAATCTCTGGTCTTAACTAACACAAACGACCCTTGCAGTCGCCAAACCATGCGGGCATGTCCTCTGCAAGCCCTGCGTCGAGAAATTCATGGCGCCTAATCTGGCTGCGCCTTCTGTACCTTCATCCTCTGGCACATCCACCCCAGCATCGTCTGCAAACACACCATCCGCCACCACCGCCAACACATCCGATCCCCTCCGTCACCAATCACTCCTCAAAGCAAAGGCCAAAGCCAGTGCCCATGACGCTGATCATGATCGACCCCACGTTCACTGCTACGTGTGCGACGCAGATCTCGGTCCCAAATTCCCCGGCCTCTTAGGAGACACATCAACAACCACGACGAATAACGGCACAAGCCAAGCCACAGAAAATGCACCGCAAAACGATGACAATGACAATGAGAAAGATAGTAAAAGCAAGAAGAAGGATAAAATCAAGCCGGGTCTTGTCCAAATAAACTGCGACGGCACGGGATTTGCGGGCGGCGGACAGAGTAAGGTCGATAAGCTGGGCGTGGCGTTTCAATGTTGATTCATTACTTTCGATTCGACCCTCCCCGGTTGCTGCGGGAGTTGCAAGAAGCATTGTGAGGAGTAGACCTGCAATACATAGAAGGGTATAGCCTATCTTCGCGCGCATTCTGGCCAACGGTATTTGCACAAAAAAGGGATTACTGGCCTTCCGGTACAAGGGGCTTCCAACATGTATTGCTGCGATCCAGGGACCACCGGATGGACTGCACAGCTCGAGATCGAAATGAAGAGGGGAAGACGTCATTCTGTTTTCTCATGAGCTCTCGCTAATACGAGCGCTTGTGATACAACTGTTTCTTGTCAGCGAGTCTGGCCCATTTGTATTCCGTCTCTACCAACTTAACCTGGCTAGATCCTGAGCTGCCAATTATGCAAAGTCCATTCATATGTTCCATGCATTGGTGTAGCACGCAAGCGTGACTCTAGTCGCGAATCCGGAACCAACTTATCACAATGTACGTATTCCGCGGAAGATGCTGCGATTGGCAGCCCGTTCTCACCGCTTGATTGTTACATCCTACGCTTCTTGGAAGCAGGCAGCGTACTTGGATGATCTGCACCCAGCCTTTTCTTTTGTGATTCAGCATTGGAACGCATCGTATCCAAAGCCTCCTGTTGTCGTCCTTGATCCCAGCCGGTTGACGCCAGTTTGGCCACGCTGATCAGTGTTTGCGGATGCCCCTCTCCAAGCACCCTCTTCCGTACTTCCAGCACTTGTCCTTCCAGAGCTTCAAACTCTTTATAACACCCTTGCTCCCAATATATAGATGCTAGGTTGCCCATGCTGAGCAGGGTGTCTGGATGCTCCTCTCCAAGCACCCTCTTCCGTACTTCCAGCACTTGTACTTCTAGCTCTTCAGACTCTTTATAGCACCCTTGCTGCCAATATGTTGATGCTAAGTTGCCCATGGTGATCACGGTGTCCGGATGCTCCACCCCAAGCAGCCTCTTCTGCACTTCTAGGACTTGTAGATTCAGCTCTTCGGACTCTTTAAACAATCCTTGCTCTGTATATGTAATTGCGAGGTTGCCCATGCTGAGGAGGGTGTCTGGATGCTCTGCCCCAAGCACCCTCTTCTCCACTTCTACCACTTGTACTTCTAGCGCTTCAGACTCTTTATAACGCCCTTGCTGCCAATATATAGATGCTAGGTTGCTCATGCTAACCAGGGTATCAATGCGCTCCTCCCCAAGCACCCGCTTCTGCACTTCTAGTGCTTGTACTTCTAGCTCTTCGGCTTTCTTCCACCATCCTAGTTCTGTATATGTAAGTGCTAGGTTGCCCATGGTGATCACGGTGTCTGGATGCTCCACCCCAAGCGCCCTCTTCTGCACTTCTAGCACTTGTATCTTTAGCCCTTCAGACTTTTTATACCGCCCTTGCCGACAATATGTTGCTGCGAGGCTGGCCATGCTGGTCAATGTGTCCGGATGCTCCGCCCCAAGCACCCTCTTCTGCACTTCTAGCACTTGTATATCTAGGTTTTCGGACTCTTTAAACCGCCCTAGATGCCTGCAAATCCTCGCTAGGTTGCTCATACTACTCACTCTAAGGGGATGATCTTCTTCAAGGAAAGATTTGTTATCCTCCAAGAGACTTTTGAATAAGTTGTGTGCCTCCATGTACCGACCTTCGGATTCATAAAAGTCGCCAAATAATTGAGTTTCATCCATCATATCTCCGCTTCCAAGCCCGCGGATAAATTTAAAATGACGGCAATTCGCGGTACAGGCATCGAGATGCGCCAATAGCTTTTGTCTCGTGGCGAGGGGAGATTCTTCAGACCACGAATCACGAAGAAGAGTGCTCATGAGTCTAATGGCTTCCCGCAGAAACTTTTGCCTTTCACTCTTCTTCCGTCTCAGTTGGAGCCAATCACGGATGAGTGGATGAAGAGAGAAGGATGCAGCCGGCATAGTTTCAATGCTTTGCAGTAACGATAGTCGGTGCAGGCGTTCAATCACTTCCCAGAATTTTTCTTTGCGCCATTTCTCGCTAGACTCCTCTTCATTGCTTGATTCATCTTCATCTGAGTCGTATCCGGAGGTAAATATGTCGGTCCAGGGAGGAGTAACCTCGGCTTCCTTTCGATAAATACGAAATAAATATTCCCCTATATGCGAAGGCTCCAGGAAAGCGGACACAGTTAGGAAATGTCCCACTCTAGATTTGCGTTCTGCGTCCTGGGACTCAATCTGCTGAAACGACAATTCCCAGGTGGTGAATGCGCTTAGCGCTCGACTCTGCTCCGACTCTGCTATCTGCTTGTTGTAGTCCCAGAAATCTTCGCGCGTGTATTGAAGTATTTTAGCCTTTTGAACCTCGTACTCCAGGAGAAATGTAGTAAGATCAGTCCTCCTGGAAGCAATGTAGGCAGCTGCTTGATCGATTGCGAGTGCCAGACCACCGAGGCGAGTGACGATTTGCAGTCCGACAGGAGTATTCTTCTTGACCTCGTCAGCACTCATTCGTCGGAGAAGAAGTTCTACGCCCCCATCATGCAACATCGATGGCACTCGAATAAGTTCCCCCAATATACCGGTTCCCTCGGCACGGCTAGTAACAATAATCGCTCCATGTCCAGCTAGAATAGTCAGCTTGCAATCTTTTGGAAACGGAATGGGACATCTCACTTCTTGGAATGTATTTTCTCAAATCGTACAGGTCAGGTCTATCATAATTGTCGTACACCACGAGCCATTGCTCTTCCCAGCTTTCAATAGTTTCCAACACAAACCTAATTGTTGATGGCATGTCGTCGAACGTCCTTGTGACTGGCTTGTTGATCTCTGTGGCGATGGTTTCGAAGCTTCGCTCTGCAGAAGCTTCAGAGGTCGCGTCAACCCAGAAAATGCCGCGATAGCAGCCTTTGTTTTTCCTGCAATATTCAAGCGCGATCTGAGTCTTTCCCTGACCTCCTAAAGCTTGCATTACAACGACGGGAGGCACGTCACGCCCCTTATGTGGCCGGAGGAGATCATAGAGCTCATTGAGGAGATCTTTGCGACCGCAAAAATGGAAAACAGGCACGTGAGGGACTAGATGATACGTTCTCGGTTTGGCAGCTTTAACATAAATGAGCTTGCTTGTAATAGTCTGATTCTAAGATGCTAATACATACGCGACTGACGCTTCTTAATCAGTGCTGGCCCTCCCTTAACCATGTTCTGTAGAATGGAACACAAAGTTACGAAATCCTCCTCGTTAGGCGTCCCAAACTTGTTTATGGTGAAGTGGGTTCGAGGGAGGCCGTATTTATCAGACGACGTATTGATGTCGAGACAACCCGAGGATTCGTCGACAAGAATGACATCCTTTATCTGGTTTCACTTAGTATATATAAGTCTTTACATCTTTGAAGCGTACTCACTTCATCAGACTTTCCCACGATTGCGCCCACAGGTGATACCCTTTGCTCGAAGAAACATGCAACTTTCGGCATGACTTTCTGCCTAGCGGCGCGAAGGTAGCTATCGACTAGATCAACGAGCGTTTCGTCCCCTGCCCGCAAGATTTTGAGATTAGTCTCATGGACAGTCCCATCTGTGAAGCACTTCGCTGCAACCTGAAGGATCTCGCCCTGAGACATTGAATCATGCGTTCCTCGAAAAGGTGTCCCAAGAAAGATCAACCCGATTGTATATTCGTATATACTAGACCATCTCTTATTTTCAAGAAAGGCATCGAGAAGCACCTGGCAGCGGTCAGTAGAGTCCATCAATACTTGCAAACCAGACAACCTTCAGAACCACCAAACCGCCAAAACTATGTGCGATGAAGATAAGAGGTCGAGTGGGGTTGTCCTGGTGTATAGAGATTAGTAATACATGATAATCATGGCCTGAGAAATCTCACATTTCTCTTATTTGTCAGTGTCAACAGCAGCCGCTGGCTGATGTTGTAAGCTCTGGTGCTGATCGAATCTTTTCCAAACCAGTTGGAGTGGTATCCATATCTCATGATACGCGCATTTGGCACTGCTGCCGGTAGCATGTTTCTCTCCTGCAGCCAGTTCACGTAGTGCCTGTCGTCATTTGGGCCAACAGCTTTACACCAGGTGTCATCGGGATGTGCCCCCATGCCGTGCACGGCAACAATGCTGGAAGTTGTCAGGACGATCATCCAGAATTGATTTGACACCCGCACTCAAACATCTTTCCCCCGTTGGCAGGAGGATCATTTGCCATTCCATCATAAAGGACTTTGAGTCCCACGTCCTCGTCTGTAACTTCTCGTACCTAAGGTCTGTTCAGCAGTGTCCATCTCGAGTCTTGATCGAAGCCTACCATGATGTAGAAGATGAGACCTTCTGTGTGCAGTATGCTTGGGCGCCGTAAGATAGTGTTCCAAAGAGCGAAGCTGGAGTGGCGAAGAGAGGTATTTAAGAGCAAGTGAACCCGCAGGCGCTCTTACATTCTCATGAAGTGGGGATTGTGTATGCTGCAAGGCTGAAACAACATGCTAGCCCGAAAGCTTTGTACCTTGTATTGTCAACAACTACGGAAGGCTGAAGCCACACATCGTTTCTCAAATATGTCACCAGTCATGTTTAGCCATTGTTCCACAAGGACTCTCCTACACGCTGTCAATGCTGCAAGGCCTGGCGGAACTTTTGAATCTCATTGCCAGCGCAGCCTTCGGCGGATTGGGTTCCGCCGGAAAGAAAGAATAGATGGGCGAAGAGCGAAGTCTACGAGAGTGTTCTGCACCCGCTGAATCACTTTAAATCACCTATCTCTTATTGTGCACGATGCTATACTCCCTCCCTTTCGTAAAATGCTACCAGCTCTGCAGTGATCTCGACGATACAGCAACCCCGAGCAAAGTGAAACCCACCACAACACTACCGGGTCATCCGTACATCAAACTCGACACTCCTTCTATCCTGAGAAGCTTCCTCGAGAAGGAGCTTTATGCGAGGGATCTCGAGGCCATTGCGCCGTATCTCTGGGTGATGTCGACTCAGTCCAGTTCCAACATCAATCCGTTGCATCGACAAAAAGTCAAAGGTCGTGAGATTGTCGTTACGGAGGATCCTCGCCTACATCTGGTATGGATCCACGACCGAATCTTTATTAAGCCTCTGCCTCGTTATCTTCTTTCGTACGCATTTTGGGACTTGTTCCTTTCCGGCAAATCCACTGAACTCGGTGACCTCTGCGCTGTCTTAAGATCGGCAGCCCTGGGATACTTACGGACGTACCGGTATTTGATCCAACATGAAACCGACTTCTTCATTGCCCAACAAGAGCACCTACGTCTGGTCCCGAAAGATGTGGACTGGCCAAGATTCTGTGACTTCATATCGGAGCTCGACCGCGTCCGGGACGTTGATGTCTCTGGTCGATATTGCTACGGCGAGATCCGCCTTTCTCGGCTCAACTTCTACGCTCCCTTCTTGCTCCGGAGGTTCTACTATGAACAAGTCCACGGCCAATATAGCGACATCTTTGGAAGATTTTATGGCCCGGTTCTCTTTGTCTTCGCGGTAGTTACTACCCTCCTGAACTCCATGCAGGTGGGTATGGCCGTTGAGCAGGTGTCCAGCGAACACTGGGTGGCTTTTTGGACCACCTCTCGCTGGTTCAGCATCCTGAGCCTGACTGGGACAGCACTCATTGCGCTAGCCTTTATCCTTTTGTGGATGTTTATATTCATTGATGAATGGATTTACGCCATCAAGTGCTTGAGAAAGAGAAGACGAGAAGAAGTATGCTGCACATGACGGGACAACAAATCGTTCGTTACGCTCACTTCTAACAAGAAATCTGTACAGAGTTATTCGGATGGTTATCTTATCGCCAGTCGTCTTAGCTCAATTGGGAGAGCGCCAGACTGAAGCCCAACTTCTGTCCAAAACGCGCGATGTAAGTCGCTAGTTATCTGGAGGTACTGTGTTCGATCCACAGAGACGACATTTCAATTTTTTGGCCCTCAGGGCCCTTCTTTTTTTGCCCCTCGACCGCCTCAACCGATTAGACACAGATGAGCAGTGTTTTGCAGAGTTCAGGGGGGGGGAACTTCCCGTCTCAGCATTCTAGTAACCCAAATATTTCTGGCACGATAACCTTTTCACGACGACCGGGAAGAGCAGGTTTGGCAAGCCCAAACCTCTCTATACCTCTAACTTATCTTGGATCCTTTGAAGACGTTGATGAGGCAACCTGAATTCAACTTAGAAAGAACGGGATTTGGATGATTAACAATTTGATTGCACCAGTAAATGGAGCCGCGTCGACCATCCAAGACGTTGCAACCCAACACATTGTTCCATGAGAATCCCAACACTGCTAAACAAACTTAGAAATGATATATAAACACAATTTTAAGAAACGATATATATATTAAACTTTATAATAATCAGGGTATCACAATTGACAATAGAACAAACAATTCTTTCTTTTTTTTCTTCTATGAATCATTCTCTTCAGAAGCAGTATTGGCCTCTTGGCTTTCACTTGGAGGAGGCACAGAATTCTCCGCGGGGGCCTCCTGCGTGGCGGCCTCGTCATTGAGAGGTGCCTGCGGTTCTTGCTCTGCCTGCTCTGCCTGCTCTGCCTGCTCTGCCTGCTCCGCCTGCTCCGCCTTTTGAGTATCCAGTGACTCTGATGTCAGCGGTGCGTTGGGACCGCTGGGACTTTCTTGTCCTTGGCCCTGCACAGCGCCAGGCGCAGCGGGTGCTTCTTGTCCATCGACACCATCTTGACTTGTGGGTTGATTCTCAGTCTCAGAAAGTACTTCAGGTTCCGCTTTGGGTTGAGGTTCAGGTTCAGTTGAACCAGCCAATTGGGATTCCAAGGACTGAGAAAGAGGAGGTGGCGTGTGCTCGATCTCTGAAGCTGGAACTGCGTCATCGGGAGCTGCGTTTTCGGTCTCGGTTTCGAGTTTGGGCACTTCGGCCGAAGGAGTAGCTTCAACTTGTTGGTGAGGCTCTGGCTCGAGATGTTGCTCAGGCCGTTTTTCGGGTTGTGGTTCAGGTTGTGATTCAGGTGCAACCGGGGTTTGGACCTTGCTTGGTTCCTCCGCTGGAGTTTCCGATTGATTATCGACTGGCGCTTCGGAAGGAGGCGTGGGTTCTGGTTTATTTGCATCATTTGAATCAGGCGCAGATGTTAATTCTGCTGGCGTGCTCTCTTCAGGCTTCACTTCTACTGGCTCCTCTTCTGCTGCCTTAACCTCTGCTGGTTTCTCTTCCGCTGGCTGCTCTTCTACGGGCTTCTCTTCTAACGGTTTCTCTTCTGGCTGCACATTTTGCTGCTCGTCGTGAGAGATCGAAGGTTCTTCCGCGACGTTCGATGAATCCTGAGGCCGAGGAAGCTCTGGCTCATTGGTCTGAGCGACAGACTGCTCTTCCTTAGGCGCCTCTGCCTCAACTGCAGATACCGACTCTGTTCCTTGAGCATCCTCGGGCTTCGGTTCCAACTCCGGTTGCACACTTGGTTGTTCCTGCACACTTGGCTGCTCATCTTTCAAATCTGACGGCGCTTCCGTAGCAATAGATGGGTCTTGATGCTGAGCAACGACGGGCTCGTTACCCGTAACGTCAGGCTTATTCTCAGTGGAAGCCTCTCTTTCATCAGCGCCGACTTTAGTGTCCTCTTCATCGTCTTCGTCTTCGTCCATTTTCTCATCTTCATCATCAGCCTCGGCCTCGGGGAGGTCCGCGGTGTCGGACATCGGGACATCTTCATTTTCTCCATCCATCCCTGCTGCTGCAGAGCCAGTATCTTCGCCAGAATCCATGGGCGTTTGAGCCGCTGATGACTCGTCCGCTCCTGCTTCTTTATTGGCGAGAAATTGTACTTTTCTCTTCCAATTCTTCGGCTTCCTTCGAGGCGGCATAGGCTTTTTCCGTATCGGCGTCTCTGTGCCTTGCGCAGCACCACCATCTGCGCCGAAGCCAGCACTAGCGTCTTGTCCATCCGTTGTAACAATCTCTTCTATGACTTCGCCATCAATATTCTGCCCATCCGTTACCACCATGTCAATGACATAAGTATTTCCATTCGCGTCGACTTTTCGGATTTTCGTGCGCTTCGTCACATGCAAGTCACCGTCAGCCAGCGTGCCAATCGGTCTTGACGACAGGCCCTTTCTCTTCTTTGCCAAAAATTCGGGCTCTGGTCCTTCTTGACTGCGAGGCACTGCCGTCCACCGCTTTGCGACCAACGTCTTCGCTGATTCGTCCTCTTGACCTTCGGTACTGCTCTCCTGTTCTTTGTCCGCCTGTTGTGCAGGAGGTTGGTTCATTGTGCCTGCCCGCGCAGCTTGAAGTAGTGCTCTGCTCATGGGGCTGAGCAGATGCGATTCCTTTGGCATGGGAAGCTCGAGTTGTAAGTGATGCGGCAACGTCGCTTCCATTCTTGCTGGCGCGCCGACGCTCATGGTTGTACGGCGCCAGTTTCGAACAGGAAGTCCTTCAAAAACATCGTGGTCAATCTGGCTCCGACCAGAGCGGCTTGATCTTCCACTTGGGCGGTACTGCGATATTCTATTAGTTTGGGCACTGTGAAGGGACGCGTTCATCCTGCGATCTAAGGCGTACGTACTGGAGCCATCGTAAATACCGACAAGACTGAAAAGTCTTGCAAAAATAAGCTATATAGGTTGCGCTGGAGAGCCTGATCGCGGGTCCAAAGAGGGTATATTGCGAAGCTACTACACTGTACGTATGTCGGCTTAGTCGTGGGGGTTGGCCAGTTAGTCGCCCTTGCGGTCGTGGTACGAGGCGCGGGTCGGGTGCGAGTGAGCGCCACCACGGATTATGTAATACACGCATAGCCCGAACTTGTCCTGTGAGTTCGAGGCGCAGAGTCCTGGCAGGCTCGAAATTGTTTACAACTTTTGAGCAAGTCATCCGACTGCAGCACCAAGCTTTTTCATTAATGCCATCATCTTGTATATTATTACTTTTCAAGATTGAAGTCAAAAGATGGGGTCGTTTCATTGTCATGAAAGAATTCTTGATTCGATCGAAATTGAATACAGTACGAAGTGGTATCAAATGCAGACCTGCCGCTAATAGAAAAGCAATATCTAACGCCTGTTTTTATGCGTCCATGGCTCCTCCAAAGTATAGAAGAATCAAACCAAATTTTGCTGTAGAACCCGATTTTTAGCTTGAAGCAAAGCATCGTTCGGTCGAATCGGCATTATTGCCCCACCAATTCGGCATCTTAACCTGCTTTCCTGCACCAAAGAACAAGAAAATGAGCAACATGTTGAGGTTGAAGGCGGCATCGAATGCTGCAGCAACCATGTAGTTATACCTTTTCCAGAATTGGAAATGGCGTCTATAAACCCAGTACATGACCACGAAGCCACCAATAATTGCAGAGGTATAACCCGTAGACAAGTTACCATAGAAGACGGACATTCCGGAAAAGAAGATGGTGATGTTCCACAGGTCAAACCGCGCGCGAGGGAAAACGCGATGAAGGCCGTAAAATACGAACGGAGCGAAAGCGCCGACGAGGAACGCCCAGGGAAGAGGAGCAAAAAGAGCCTGGGAGAACATGCGCTTGGGTCCAATGACAGCGTATTGAACGCCGAGAGTATTGGAGCTCTGCAAGGCTTGGCCAGTCCATTGGTGTAGCGGGTCGGGCTTGGCCCCAGAGATGTAGTCGCGTTTGGTATTGAGCACCCAGCGGATAACGCCGTAGTTCATGGGAATGCCTAGAATTGTCCCGAAGACCTGAGAGAAAAAGACTGTTCGCGGAGGCATATGCATGTAATGCCCGATCTTCTGGTCCTGAAGCATGTACTGAGCACGATACCATGCGTCTCCGGCGATAGCACCGTAAGTGGACGGCCCGCAAGGGTGGAAGTGGTTGCCGCCAGCGGGGGAGTGTACCATGAGACCGTAAATGAGTTCATTGAAGGATCCGATTGCGACCTGGTAGTTGGATATGGCGTACAGCCAGCCCATAGGAATGACAATGACGATGCCGGTCGCGAGAGCGATGAAGAACGTCCAGAGCGGGATAAAGAAATAGCCCTTGGCCAGACAGGTGATGATGATAACGAATGCAACCGAAAACAGCGCAAAATACCACCAAAAGGGGACTTCCTTGTACGCGCGCTGCAAAACGTTTAGTCTGTCGTGGTACTGATGGTTGATACCTTCGCCTTTGTTCCGGTCGCCACGGATGCGAGAGTTCCAGAGGCGTTTGGCATTGACGCTGAGGTTGGCGAACCCAAAAAGAATGATCCATGTAAATGCAGACGGGATCTTGGCGTAGTCAAAGAATGTGTTCCAGATGTACTGCACACCCATGTAGATGGGGCCATTTTCGGCATAGGCGGTTTGATTAAGAGTATAGTCCGGATTGAGCACTTCGAGAACGGGATATTTCGTGCCGTTGGCGGTAAGGAGTTTGTTAGACATCAATCCTTCCTTATAGGATCCCAAGTTGCCCCATTTCGCGGCAGGGAGGAGAATCCAGCAGTTGAATACGAAAGCGCAGAACAAGACGACTTGCGTCCACCATGGTGTAAGCATGATAGAAGAGCCATTCCAGTTGATATTTGACCAGTCCAGAGTCAGATTCAAAAACCCCATGCCGCTCATGCCTGAGCCCATAAAATTTGCAACCTTGTCGTGCGGCGCGACCCAGCAGAGGAACGCAAGTGACGAGAGGAAGGGAAAGACGTATTCTGGCAAGAATTGCCAGAGTGTCATGCCGAGAAGTGAGAGAAAGAATACAAGCATTTGGCGCCGAGCAAGAGGAGAGGATCGGTCGACCTTGCGGAAGGTTTCGAACAGAGTGGTCTGCATCAAAGCTTGTGGCCAAATGTAATTGGGCTCGTAGAGAAGAAGTTGACGAGCAATAGCCGCAAAAGCATATCCAATCCAGGTAATGGCAAACATGAAAAAGATTGCAACAGCTGGATGGATCGTTTCGCCGTAGAAAAGCTCGGCCATTGAGATGGGAGCATATAGGAGATTATAGTTGGCACCGGATGCCGCAGTCAAAGTGACCAGAACATGCTCTTTGATGCTCCACGGCCCCGGGTTTAAGCTGAAGGAGTACTTCGTAAAAGGGACACGGATTACCCAATTGGGGAGAACTTTAGCCAGGAAATGCCCGACGTAATGGCAGGCAATTTGAACAAAGAATACCGAGTAGGGAGCTTGAGTCGTACGGAAATGGCTCATCTGCGAAAGAAATGCACCAGGAACGACAAAGATGATCGAGAGGATGAAATAGCGGAAAGTAATGGTAGGGAGCGTCGGATCGTCGTCGAGGCTGACGAGCTGCCGAACCTCGATAGGGAGAGCAGCTACCTCAGGGTGATCATGACTCTCCTCCTCAATCTTTTCAAACTCGCCACCTGCAACGCTCTCGTCGACGTTGGGATCGACATCTTCTTTTGCTGGATTTTTGACCGGCAGTGGAGGAGCAGCCACGGCAATTCCATCTGCATCTACTGCATGACCGTTGAAAACAGTTGAAAAGCCATCGTGGTTGGACTCGCGGGTGCTCTCGTGGGAGAATCGCATGATGATACCAGAGACGCCTAAGACGTCTTGAAGTCAAGTGTGATCTATCCGCGGGATGAGAGAAATAGCCTCCGTAGGGCAGAAACGGAGGTATTCAGTGGGGCAGAAAACAAAGAATCAATGAAGACGTCGGCGAAAACAGCAAGGTGTCCTCGTCCTTGTCCGCGAAATGATCGCGTTTCAAATCAGACTCGCCGCAATCAGAAAAATGTGAGGTGGCACGAGAGAGAACTCAACATTTCTTCTCACCCGGATGAAGAAGGGTATTTGGGCCATTCTGTCAGCCATATTTGCCTCTTGATCTGACACGAGTTGCGAAAGATGTGCACAATGTTGTAAATCACGACATCGACACCAAAAGTACCCAGATACGCCATTCTTGCCTGGAGGAGTTAGATTTGTCGGAAGAACAGCAACGAATGTGTCAAAGAAATGAAAACAAGACTAGGGTCTCCATGTTCGGATCCCAGAGAATGGACACTATGGGTCCGCCACTTGGGACCAGTTCTCCGCTTTTGACCTTTCTGATACTCTGTCATGCTTAATAACCTTGTTTTAGTACCCGTCAACCAGGTCAGTCAGTTTTGCTTTTCCATGCGATGGCGATCACGCAAGAGAAGGCGCACTGAAAGTGGACTATCATCCTCGTGTTTTTCATCTTTTTCATCATGAGGCCCACAAAATCGCCGAGACTGCTGTCGCCAGCGCCCGCTGCCGAGCCAGCTCATGCCAATTACATGCTGGCATGCCGATCCGTCTTTTCTCGAACCTTTTCGCCCCTGCCCTAGTTCTGACCGGATCTTCCACGCCGTTCCAACCTAGTCAAAAAACCTTTCCCGAGCCCTTCCGTAGGATCGGATTGAATTGACTTGCCAATCACAATTCCCAGATTCGTCCCGGACCGTCGTTTTTCAACAAATCATGCCGAAATGGCCAAAGAGAAGATGGCCGTGATCTCATATACTTAGAATCAATCTGGAAAAACGACATGATATTCGATCTGATAATCCAATTTCGGAATCAATGACTTCCTTTATTTGTAGAGCTCTCCCCACGTCACCAGATGGTCGTGGGTTGGTGCTTGTGAGTGTGAGGTTTGGGAATACAAAATCGACCGTTGCGCGCTTAGATAAGATTGCAACGCGAAAATCTTAACAAACCTAGACGTCAGACGGGTCGTCCAATATCTTGACTTGGATTGTGCAGAAGATATGACTATGTGATAGCGAAATAGAGCAATCTCTCCCTTAACTAGATGATGATGCCACGGCCAAAGCTGTTCCTGTCATAGACATAGGTAGACAATTGAGGCCGCACCAGAGTAAACTAGACTTGAAATGGGGCGGTTAAACTCAGACGGTAAGTTCGGGGAATGATGATTGATTTATTATTGTGTTTTCTATAGTCATTATGAAAAATTACATTCAAATGCAACTCGACACAATCGAGAAGACAGCCATAGCAGTCATCATACAATGTTAGAATTGTTTTTCGTATTGAAGTCTTTGAAGTATTTGATTATAACACTGCAACCATATCTCGGCTCGCTGGTTTTCGCCCGCTTAAATAAACTCAACAATCCGTGGAGATTTGTCGTGGGAGAACACAACCCAGCAAAGCAACTTCGAGCAACGTCGGAAATTAGCACTATGGAAGACAGGAGAAAAAAGCCGCGCGTCAGATAACATGCAACGCGCCTTCCGTGGAAGATATAAATTCCATCATCATCATGAACCATGCGACAAATAAACAGAAAAAGCAAACGAAATAGCAACGCCTCCGCCAACGCTGTCATCAATTTAAAGCATCAAATGACTCCTGCACTCCCAGAGCAGTTCCGCCCAGATGTGATGTCGAAGATATCAATCAATAAAAGCACAATGGCTCGCCATATCCCACCAGGTCCCGCCCGTGAACGATAAATGACACTGCATGGACCAGCCATGAGGGACAGAGGTCCGGCCACTCCGTTACGTTAAAAGAAATGCAAATATATGTGTCCAATGCCACTTAAAGAGTTCGAGATCATATTCAACCGAACGCCTCGCGCGCGACAACTCCCAGCCCGACTCAGGCGCTCGCTTGAGAATCATGAAGATAAGGTATGAGGCTTACCACTTCTCGTACGATGACTACCGGGCTTTTGTCAATCTGTCATCCTTGTCTCATCATGGATCGATCGCACCCTCCATTGCGTCGTCCATGGTCAAGTCTGTCGGCGCCGTCGTCGACGCTTCAACTTGCTCAGCCATTGGCTCACCCACATAGTCTGGCATGGTCTGCTCAGGGGCACTGACCGGGCTTCGCGAAGAACGATCCTCCTGAACCACTTCCTCTGGGGGCGAAAACGACCACACCTAGATACGGTTTAGTACATTTGGGTGAATGAGCTTCTAGCGGAGACATTTACCTCCATAACGGTTCGCTGTTGACGGGAGCCCATAATAACGGCCTTTTCCTCTTCAAATGCGACACGCCAAACTTGTTCTGCAGGGGTTCCAAGCTCTCGTACAAGGTGGCCCGTTTCCATGTCCCACACCTTGACGCGGCCATCGCTTCCGCCGCTGACCACCCGAGCATCATCAAATTGCAAACTCGTTACACTGTTGTCATGTGCAGCAAGCCGATGAATGGGTGCCATTTTTCGAAGGGACCAGATTCGCACAGAGCCATCCGAACCACCGGTAACAAGGGTATCACCTCGCATTTGAAGTTGGCCAACTAGTGAGGTGTGGCCTTGAAGAATTGCCTGACATTGACTGTTTTCATGAATCAGACCAAGTTCTTGCTTCGGTTGTGCTAGAGAAGACGCATGTCAAGACGACTCACCCACTGGCAGGATCCCAGACCCGGACACTGGTGTCAAGGCTTCCCGTGACGATTCGTTTACCATCAAAGGCAATGGCGTAAATCTGACTAAAATGACCAGTTAAGACTCGGAGGCATCTACCTCCAGAGATGCTCCAGATGCGTGCGGTGGTATCATAACTTCCAGAAACAACTAGATCCCCATTGATCTCCAAGCAGCGTACACTTGCCTGATGTCCGATCAGAACATTTTTGCAGACGCCATTGACGAGATCCCAGATCCTCAGAGTCGTATCGCGTGATCCAGAAATGGCTGTGTTTGCATCCGACATTTTTAAGCATCGAACGGTCGACGTGTGGCCACGCAGCGTATGAATGCTCTGTCTAAAAATTTCGGACAAATTTCCATATTAGCACATCACGACGCGCCAAAGGATCAAACTACGGAAATTCCTCACCCTGTTGCCATATTCCAGACTCGGACATCGCGGTCGCACCCACCACTGACCAGAATGTCGTCCCATGGCACCATGGCCCATACACCCATGACGTGTCCCTGCAGAGTCTTTTGATTATTGCCATCGGTATCAAATACGTGTATCTTGGCGTTGTCCAAGGCAGCCACAATATATTTATCTGTCAAGTGGAGGCTGGTCACTACCCCTTGATCGGGCGTGATGTGGCGCGATACGGCAGTTCCGCCCGATCTCCATGCTGTCTCAACCATATAGCGTTGTTTAAAATGAGATTTGTATGAAATTGGCCGAATCTTGCTGATGGCGCTCTTTGCAGTATTGGTATCGTCGAGGCTATGACTAGGGAGGTCTGGAGTGCTACTCGAGGGCCCAGTCCATGACGGGTCATACGAAGCGGATCGAGGAATGTGAATATAGGGCGAAGGCCGTCCAGGAGCGCTTGAACGGGAACGTCCATGATGCATGCTGGATTCCTGCGATAGCCGACGATAGGCATGTTTGTCACATAGATTCTTCCAGGTCATGTCATCCGCGAGGAGCTCATGCCATCGACGCGATACCTGTGAGGCTCGTGCGAGGGTTTTGGGGTCGTCAATAAATGCCAGAACCTAGTTAAACTATGTCAACGAAACCAAGGTCTGCTTTCCCCAATGTTTTGATGCGCATCGCATGCCACTCACCCTCAAACATAGCTCAGTAGGCAACGCCTGAAATGGATCTCTCTTCAATCGAGGGCTGACAAAGCTGTGAACGAAACTAAGAAGCTGACTGTTGCACAAGTTTAAAAGCTCGGCCAGAAACCGCTGCCGCTCGGGACCGCCTAAGCCGCTAAAATGGGCTCGAGCGTCTTTGAGAAAAGCATCCTCGTTTTCTCCCGCGTTGCTCCAACTCGGAGCACGTTGATGGGGGGTAGGGCTCGGCGCCGGAGTAGGCGGAGAAGCGGGTGCCGAAGGAAGCAGATTGTGGGGAATAGCTGAGGGGATTGCACGGCCAGGGGTGGTGAGTGGACGCGCATGCGGGAAGGCGGCCTTGTCTCGGGAGTTGCGTGAAGGCGAGGCAGCAAACGATAGAGGGGTCGCGCCAGTCATCTGAGAGATATATTCGTCGTTGGACTCGGCGAGTGAAGCACGTCTCTCAGCGATGCTCATCTTCTGAACATATTGACGGTCCATGATGAACGTCACGCAAGCAACTGCAAGCGCCGTTTGGGATGGCAAGGAGGTAGTCCCTAGCGTTCCAGCGTCGACCGCCTACCTGAAATCCTCTCTCTCTCTGCGTATCAAATCTCGGAATTGTGTTTCTTGGATTATTGTGTTGATAGAGGGAAGAGAGGAGGTGACGACACCTAAGCAGGCGGGCTTCAGGAACAACAGATCGGGTAAGGCTGGGAGAAGGAGGGCGTGACGTGCTTGGCGTAGAGGGAAGCAGAAGATGAGAAACTCAGCCTGCCGCTAAAGAAATTCACCACGTCGCAGATCGAGGAATAAATTTGTCAATCATAACGAAGATAATAAGTTGTTGGAAATGGAAAAGTTTGTAGGAGACGAAATCGTCGATCGAGAGAGTTGCTTAGATGAGAGAGTAGGATTGGGGGGGATGAGACGGGGGAGCCGCCAAAAGTCGGGCAAAGGAGCGCTTCGGGAGCGGGAAGCAGGGCGTCTGTACTGAACCAAACTTGAAATGCTATCCAGTACCTTTGAGATACCTCCTATCGTAAACTGATGTGGAGACCGAAAAGGTACTTTTGGGGTAGTGCAACCCCAGAACAGAGGGGGAATCGGCGCAGACGCCGTCTCTCGCTTCAAAGTTGGGGAAGAACCTGGCACGAATACGGTAGGGGACTGGGCACTTGCGGTTATTGCTCAATGGATGATGATCATCTTCATGATTTTTACAGCAGATAAGCTGTTGATTAAGACAATCGTACCTTTATTAGATTTCATGCAGACTTCGTTGTGTTCTTCCCATACACGTTTGGTGCTATTGCAGCTGCGCGAACGGTCGTCTACAGATAATCAAAGTATGAGAAGTGTGTAAATCATTCTGTTGGGTCGTTTTTAATATAAATGATTATAATCGAAAATAAATAGTTTAAATGACCCATAAATGTCCTCTACCAGATGCTTGAAAGGATTAAGATATGGGAAGAGATGAGCCCGACTTTCTGTTGGATATGCTCCAGTAATCCCAAACGCCTCCAAGCACGACCTAATCAGGTTCATACGCCTTTTGTCAGTGACATCAAAAAAGACACCAAAAAAAGAAGCCAAGTCATAAAACATTGCAGACTTCAATGACCATGGCCAAAGAGTTGCGTCACTAGAGGCAATAGCATGCCTGCAATCGTTGCAAAAAGATCTCGCATGGCCGGCCCCCGGCCAGGACGAGACTCCGGAGCATGTCCATCGCCGAAACCATTTGAAGCCTCAGTCGGGTTGGCAGACTGTACCTCTTGCATGGTGTGCATCGCAACGTACCTAAATGGAACGAACTAATTAGTTGAGAATCCTAGATTGCTTTTGTTCGGGAATCACTCACAAGAAGGTGCCCGCGGAGAAGAGAAGAAGGACGCCAGTCCACCATTGTGTACCCTGATCACCGCCCATGATACCTCGTCCTAGCAATTGAACAAGCGACCAGGTCCCCAAAGCTCCAAGGGGCGCCGCGAGAGAAAATATGATAAGATGTGTGCGCGCTTCCCTCTTGCTCCAGCCCTCGCGAAGAAGAACCGAAGTAAGACCAAATGCTGCCGGCGCCTTGTGGACCATAATAGCCACAAATATAATGAGGCCTAGTTTGGTGCTGCTAATTGAGGTAGAAGCTCCGAGGGCAATGCCATCTGCCGCAGCATGAATGACCAAGCCAATGGTAGTCGATAAGCTTCGAGTTTCTGCCATAGTGCTGTTAGACTGAATGAACCCTTCTTGTTCCTCGCCGCCGCTCGGAGAAGCGGACCGGTGAAATCTTTGAGACAAGTTATCTAAAGAAATGTGATATGGTCGTTGTTGAGAATGAGAATGGCCAACTGCATGCTGCGGCAATTGATCGATGAGATACATGAGAATGAATCCAAGGATGAGAGCCACGCCAACCCACACATGTGGCTCGGGCATGGATTCGTTGTGTTCCTCTTCGCCGTGCTGCTCATGCGGAACAGAGTCTGGCGCAGTCCCAGAAGGAACATCGGGCGCAGCCGAATCAGGTGGTAGCTCTGCTATCGAAGCATGTCCATAGTCCTGACTAGAATCCAGGCTTTCTTTATCACCTGGTGTGACTGGGCCCGGACTGCCGTTGAAGTCTTCCGGTATGACCGGTCCAGGTGGTGCTTTGAAGTCTTCCGGCGCTGCCACCGACACATCGTCCCGCTTTCCCGTAATTGGATGGGTTTGCGAAGGGGAAGTCCAAAGCGGCGATTCTACATCCACTGAATGGCCTTTGTTTCCCATCCATCGCCATTCTACTGGATTATGAGGAGCAAATCTTCGAGTCAAAGAGTGCGCATGAGCATGAGTTGGAGAACTGGCACTGTAGAGTGTTTCAACGCCTTCGGGGATAATCACTATCAATGACGTGCCAACCAAGACACCCATGCCAATGGTGGAGATGAGACGAAGTTGCGAGGGTTTCAATGCAAAGGAAAGAGGTAATGAACCGGCCAGGAATGAACTGGAAGCATTTATTAATTCAGGTATCTTCTGGTTGTGCTAAGATGAATTTCTTACGCAATTGCCATGACAATGCTCAAGCTGAGCAGCAAAAAAATGCCGTCAAGCATCTTGAGAGACCTATGAGAAGCCCAGAGATGTTGATTATGACCAGAAGGGAGAACTCCGCAAGTGAAGGTCTATGTATAGCTTGTTCAGAGGACGGCTGTAATGAGCTCAATACATGGTAATATACCCTCCGACATCGAAGAAGAAGGAGAAAATGATGGTGAAAGGGAGGCAAGGGCCTCGTACATTAAAGCCTAGCAGATCTGTCCTCCCCTGGGAGTTCCAGAGTGTTGGGAATCAAATCAGATAATGATAATAACCCCCCGAATAATTAAGTTATGCAAGGTCAAGCTTAAACGTGTCACAGCGCTGCTTATTCAGCCGATGATGCTCTTTTGGAGTAGAGTAACTAGTCTCCCGTTTAACCATTAGTTTAACCCCAAAGTGGTTTCGCGACGCAGATCCATCAACGCGACGCGCCAAGCTTCAACTTTCTAAAAGAGATTCATTATTGAATACGAATCTCAAATCATTTACTCTCACGATATTATCTGACCCAGAAGCAAGGAATATTACAGCTGGCCATCATGGAGGATTTAATACAATGTACGTCAAACATACTTGCTACCTCTTCTCTCCTCTACAATCCAAACGAAATTACATCGCAGAAAAGTCACTAATCCGTCATAACAGACCTCTCAGACTCCAACAAAGCTTTCCAAATCTCTCTCGTCCAGCCAGGCACCGATACTCCCAATGAAATTGCCACCTTTCATCCCGAATTTACATATCCCATCTTTGGCGAGGAAGAAAAGATCTTTGGATACCAAGGCTTAAGCATCCACTTTCGACTCGCTGCACACAACCTTCGCCCAAACCTTGAGATCAGCTATGATAAGAAATTCAAACCAATTGGAGACGCCAAGGCAATCGATCTGAACGACGCTCTAAAAGAACATGTCGCTCCCGGTAAATTATACGCTCTGCGTCCTGTACGCCTAAACTTTCCGTATGGCGCTGACCTCAAGCAACAGTTGCATTCGAGAAGACCTCAGACTTCAATGCTCTGCTCCAGTCGGACGAGACCGCAAAGGACTTCAAGCCGCCTGGTAAACTAATGCACACATACACGCGGAACGGCAGGACATTCGAAGTTTGGACCGGCGGCCTCGGCGACCCCGCGCTGCGAACAATCATATCGCAAGTGCAGACCGTCGTCCCGCTCTTTATTGAAGGAGGATCGTACATTGACATGGAAGACCCTGAATGGTCATTGAAACGGTGGAACGTCTACCTTGTGTATGTTCAATTGCCCTTTTCCCACAACCACACACCGGCGCCTGCCTCTAATCAAATTAACACTCTCTTAGCTACGAAAAACTCTCAACTCCGCCTACTCCCACCGCCTCCAGATATTCCTTCATCGGCTACTCCACCTCCTACCGGTGCTATATCTACACTGGTCCAAACGACCTACCAAAACCCACCACCAGCCGCTCAAAGTCCCGACCGCAGCGGCTCCAACCTCGAGCAAAAAGCGACTTCACGCTCCCCACCTCCGACCCCTTCGACCCGGACACACTTCCATGCAGAGAGCGTATTTCCCAATTTCTCATTCTGCCACCATACCATGGCGAAGGACACGGCTCGGAGCTCTACAACGCAATATATGACCACTTTCTATCCGACCCGCTCGTCAAGGAAATCACCGTCGAAGACCCCAACGAATCATTCGACGACATGCGCGACTTCTGCGACCTCTCGCGGCTCCGAGCAGACGGCACCTTTGCTTCTATTAAAATCAACACTTCTCCCGCCTCCACACCAAGCGGCAAGTCCGGCACCTCTAGGCGTAATGGCGTCCGCGTCTCTTCGTTACTCGACGGCGATCTTCTCGAGCAGCAGCGTCTCAAGCACAAGATTGTCGCCAGACAATGGGCCCGTCTCGTCGAGATGTATCTCCTCTCTCTCATCCCGCCTAGTCATCGCTCTACTGCGCGACTAACGCGCAAGGGCAACGCACCCGACGAGAACGACCGCGCCTATTACTACTGGAGATTACTCGTCAAGCACCGTCTCTACAAGCAGAATAAGGATACCCTCATGCAGCATGACCGCCTCGCGCGCGTGGATAAGCTCGAGGAGACACTAGAAGGTGTTATCGATGAGTATACGAGGCTATTGAAGGGCGCCGAGAATCGCGTCTCTGTGGCCGCAGCGGCAGCATCGACAACCGCGGACGAGACATCACAGCAGCCCGGTATGGACAAGAGAGAACGTGGCAAGAAGAGGGTTATTGTAGAAGATGATGACGAGGATGAGGATGAGGATGAAGATGCCGCTGATGAACCAGCGCAGAAGAAGCCAAAGACGTGAGAAGCCCCCGCCCCCTCCTCTCCAGTCCGTTCAAGGCTATGGTTTAGTGCGCTTGGACTCTATCTTTTCTTTGGATTAGTTATGGGTGTTATTTTATCCTCGGATTAGTTCCGGGTCTCATTTCATCCGTGGATTAGTTCGGGTCTTATTTCATCCATGGATTAGTTCTCGGTCTTCACTTTATCCTTGCATTAGTTATCTCTAGGTCATATTTTATTCTTCGGATTAGTTCTGGGTCCTGCTTTCCTTCTTTCCTATCACCCATCACCCATCACCCCATCTTTACACTTTACAATTCTTTTTCTTACTCCATTATTTTCCCTTACTCTATTAAAATTGATTTCCACTTGCGTTGTCTTACGGGGGTAAATGTTTCTATAGCACGTTAGCTACTTTCCTTTTCTTTCCTTTTTTTTGTTTTCTCTCTTCTTTATAGCGGTAATAGGATAGGCTTATTTCTCTGGTCCAGGCGATTCACTTTTTGAAAAAAAGATGCAAAAGAAATTGGAAATCAGATGGATGGGTGGGTTTGAATACGTTGTGTTACGAAAACGGGCGCGCGAGAATTGCAAATATGTCAATTATGTCACATTGGCGGAGTGCCAGATTGGCGGGTTGGTAGAGTGGCGGGTTGGTAGAGTGGCGGATATGCAGGGCAGGAAAAAGATATACAAGGCAACGCGCTAAGTGCGCCCCAAGAAGCTTCAATTTCTAAATTACAATCTTCTTCAAAAAGAAATGAAAACTACATTTAGTTCTGAGCGTGGTAGTAGTAGTTCTCCTCGGGAACACGGCCACGCATAAAGTTGGGCTCAGAGCCACGGACGTAGATGTCCTCGTAGAGGATCTGGGGGGTAGGTTCAGGGATGGGCATCTGCTCAGCCTCAGCGACCTCGGCGTCGACGTTGGCACGGGCCTCCTTGTCAATGTTCTTGAGCTCGTCCTCGGTGACGACCTCCCATTCGAGCATCTTCTGCTTGAGGCCTGCAATGGGGTCGTTGGTCGAACGCATGCGCTGGATTTCCTCTCGTGTCTGTGGTTTTTTCAAAAAAAGGTTTGAATCAATCACACTTGCTCTTCAAGGGGAATCGTATACAAGGGTTATAAAAGTACTTACACGGTAGGTGGTACCAGGGTCACTCATGGAGTGACCTCCGTAACGGTAGGTAACGTACTCAAGGACCAGAGGGCCCTTGCCAGCAGCGGTATACTCTCGGCCGTACTGAACAGCAGCCTTGACAGCGAGGACATCCATGCCGTTGATCTTAAGACCAGGAATGTACTGGCCACGCTTGTAGTACTCGGTAAGAGCGGAAGCACGGTTGGCGGCAGTACCCATACCGTACTTGTTGTCTATGAGGCAAAAGAGTGATCAGCGGATTGTTCTCCTCTATTGCGGCGATGATGTTTGAAAATCGGAGGACCAGGAAAAAAACTTACTCTCGCAACCGAAAAGGACGGGGAGCTTCCAGAGAGCGGCCATGTTGAAGGCCTCAAAGACCTGACCTTGGTTGGCGGCACCATCACCGTACAGGGCAATGGTAGTGTTCTGGTTGCCATTGTACTGGTTGGCAAAGGCGAGACCAGCACCAACAGGGACCTGGGCGCCGACGATACCGTTACCACCATAGAAACCGGGGGTGAACATGTGCATAGAGCCACCCTTGCCGTAGGCAACACCGCCTCTCCGGCCGAGAAGCTCACCGATAATGCTCTTGACAGAAGCACCACGCATCATGGCGAAACCGTGGCAACGGTAGGCAGTGATAACGGAATCCTCCTTGGTGATAGCATGCTCGATACCAGTCGACACGGCCTCCTGGCCGACGGACAAGTGGCAGAAACCACGGATTTTCTTCTCCTTGTACAACCGGTCGGCCGCCAACTCCATGCGTCTGTTTTTTGCCATTGCCGTTAGAGACTTGATCCCATCAAAAACTTTTATCAATGCGACCGTTGCGGACGCATTGAGACCATAGGTACACGTACCGAGTCGCCACCATGTCATAGTAGATCTTCTTCAGCTCCTGCTTGGTAGTGGTGATGGTGTAAGGGGGAGGGTCGAGCTCGTAGGTCTCGAAGCTCTCATCAGAGAGCGTGACCTCAAAGGGCTTGTCCTCGCCCTAAAAATGCGAATTGATCGAATTAGCATTGGCGCGGACAGGTTATGGGGGGTTTGATATATCGGAGGGTTTTCTCATATCCTCAAATTCCGGCTTACCTCTGGCAGACCCTTTTCGAGGGAGGCGGAGGCGGCGTCGGTGGTGACGGTCCGCCGGGTCAATGGAGCAATGACATTGCGTCTCAAAGGCAATGCCCAAGTCGGTCTCAATGCCTTGGAGAACATGATGAGGCTGCCCGAATGCACGGTGTTGACGGCAAAGACAGCGATTGAGCACAAGAGACGTCGAACGTTGAACTGGTTGGGATGTTGGCGCAACGGAAACCGAAGGTCATGTGACCCCTCGGATCCCACCTCTGAGCTCCAGCTTAAAAGGGCGCCCAATCACAGCCTTTCAATTGGACTATCCACTGGACTCATTGAACAAAGACAAGGAACTCATCATTATTCAACATTGGAAAAATTCAATGCTTGTTGCTCTTGCCAACATGATTGATACTATTGTGATAACTGTTCAGATACCTCATACTCTACAGATTTCCTAGACCAATCTTCTTTAAGTGCTTGAAAACTCGGCCCCGTATCCATTTTCTCAACGCCAACAGATGCTCGCTTATCCGGCACGGTTTGGCGAAATTATTGAGACTTTGGATGAGGGAACGACAGGAACGAGGAGAAAGTGCGCAGCCGTTGCGTTTAAACTATGATTGTAGACTCGCATTGCAGCTTGGAATTCTAGGATTGATAGGGGTCCCGAAGAATATTGCAAGTAACAAACGGGAAATGTCAATACCGTAATATATCCTCATCGGCTTGGTCCTGTGTCGAGAAACAAAAACATGGCATCTATAGCCAGATCCTGAGGCTGCTTCGTTTGTTGTCGTCAGCACGATTGGGTTTGACATGTGAAATGGGAGCTATTCTTCCAATGAGGTCATTGTTGTGCTTCTGACAAAATATCTTGGTTATCACAGAGTATGGCATTAATGACAAGCTCTACTAGCACATATGAACAAGCAATCTAATGCAGCACTATCGTTCCGTGCAGAAACGCAACGCTAGATGGAACGTGGTCAATGTCGTGTTTGCTATGATTGACAGGGGAAATATATGATAGCAGACAAGAGCTCCACGTACACACGAGTACTTTGTATTTAACTAAGGGCTGGAGGGCGACTGGCTTAGGCGGATAATTTAAAGATTCATCGTGTGTCGGATCAAATATGCTGCGTCTAGAGCTTTACTCCGTAGGCGAAGAGAAATGTGAGAACGGCGAAAAAGCACATGTTCGGGAAACAAAGTACTCATCTACGCCTACTTGATCAGTGCTCGCCGGTGCCAAAACTATTTGGTAGCAGTCAAGCCGATCGAAGTGCCTTTGAAACGGGCTTGAGATCTTAAAAAGGCGCCAAGAAATTCATTTGGGAAATTCCGCGCTCCCAAGCTCGGACTCAATTGTTCAACCGCTAACAGTGGTAACCCTGCCCGTAACAGAAGAAAAATTTGTCGACCGCATATCAATTACGTTCAAATTGGTCTCAATGTCGAAAGCCCCTGGCGCAACTGCTGATAATACGATTGAAGCCCAACAGGGCGGGGCTGCGCTTGGTCTCAGCACCATGTGGAAAAGATCGCAGGGCTATATAACGTGGCAATTTTAGGGGGGGCTACCAAGCATGAGCTTTCAATTCTATTCAGAGCGCTCCACAACCACCCAGTGGGATTTAATCCCGAGGCCGTGAGTTCTGGGTGGGACTATTCAAGAATCATTTGGCACCCTCGCACGTTGGCACAAGGGAAACCCCCGGTGATTCCAATGCAAGACCTCCATTCTGATTTGACGATTTGTCGAGATATTGATACTGGGGACATATACGCGCGAATTGATGGATGTACATAAAGTGTATCACACCAGGGATTCTTTGACTTACGAGCTTGACGTAGATTTTCATCCTCAAGATGCGAGAGGGTGTCGAATGAGATGGACCATTCATGCCATGAGTGTTGCTTCAGGGTATGTTGCGGTAAATGTGTAGTAAACAAGACAAATCAAATCTTGTCAAAGGCGACTTCAGTTGATCTGGCACAGGGTTGAAGGTGACGAGGAAAAAGCAAATTTTATTGTCTTGGTGGGAGAACTGGACACTACTGCAGGCGTCCGGATTTTGGCGATATGAACCAACACAATGGAACGGCTTTGTACAGGTCGAGAGGTTACCTGACACATCATATGAAAGAAGCAACGAGAGGGTCGGAGCACGAGTAGACACAGGTATTCCGTTGCAGCAATGTTCACGATTCTCTGGCCTCGCACCAGGAGGGAGAGAGAGGATGTGAGAGAGAAGGGCTCTGGGTTGTTTTGTTCACAGCACCCCCACTGCCCGTCGCTTCGTCCGGGATGATGCGATCATTTGCTGCAGTCTCAATCATCATTACTGGGTCTTCTAGAATTGGCGTTCTTAATCTCGGCGGAGCCCATGCCGTCTACCACGTTGCATGGCATAAGCGATGATGTCTCTCCCTTGTCAGCAGCTGCCGAAAGACTCAATCATTTGTATGATCCACCCTAGACAGGGAGCAAAGAGCAGCGAAAGGCTCAAAATGCAACCAAACCAAATTCCCCCCTGGCCCGCGGGCCAATTTCTCGGGAGAATAGTTGAAAAGTGAAAGATTACCCGTTACGACTTTCCTAAAAAGAGAGAGCTTCGATGGGACTAAGTTGATCCTATCAACCTCTCGCACACACACACGGCTTGATTTTGGCGGACGTCAATACTTTTGACACTGACAAGTGCTTTTTAGATGCCCTGTCTAACGGGGTAAGTCAAACACAGTCTCAAAGTCCCGGTGAACGGTAGCTTTTTTCTTTAATGCTTTTTAATTGATGCATCTCGCCAACGGTGGCGTGCAACTAGGTAACCCTTGGTTATAGCTTCTCTTTCGGCGTAACTTCGCTCGTTTGTAGAAGAGGAAGAAATGTATCAGATAAAGGGGTAGAGTAGAAATGCCGTTTAGTGTGAAAAAGCGGAAGTGACTTCAAGAATACGGCAAAGAATACAAAGTAACTAAGCGACATCGCACAGATGCCTCCACCAGAGACACCAAAAAATGTGCACGATGAGCGCCACGCGGTAGATGGCTTTCTGCACCGGTTAGCGCTCCGTTGGAATATTGCATCCCTACTACGGTACTGATTCTAACCCCCGACTGAGTGCGAAGAGGAGAAAAAAAAAGCACGTCCATTGCAACACAGTCCAAGTCACCACGTGTAGGGAGAAGACAAAATCATTCTTGCACAGCGGGTCCACCACGGAGACGATGGCAATAGTTCAAACCTAGACTACTCTTAGGGAAGAAGAAATCATTCGATTTCGATACACCAGTACGTGCACATGGGGCAAACCGACCCTCCATCATTGCAGACTTCCAACTATGCTCTTTGGAGGCCGGCCCGCAACGACACAGGTCGTTTATGTGACAAGCAAGTGTATTTGGTACCGCCCGTCAACTCTTACAATGGTTCTTCGCCCACAAAGTTGCAATGAAGTACCTCCTGGGCCGGCCAGGCTTGACCGGGATTTTCATGGTTGGCGTTGCAGCTGAAACAACCGTGCGTTAGTACAGACAGAATGCGCAGTTTCGAGGAATATTGAGTGACATGACAACGGATCGACGTCGTTTCTGAGATAATGCCCTCTTCTATTATGCTCTGGCAGTGAAATGACCATGATATTTTGAGGAAAATCAAGTCCCAGGAAAAGTGAATAGTGCAAGCACATCATGGGGCCAGGAGCGATTCACACATACTGTGACCTAGACTGGCAGGAGCATTTGATAGGCGATTCGTTAGAAAAGTGCCGATGCCCCCTGCGGAGTGGACACGGCAAGAAGAGCAGCTTTCCAGGGGGGTTTACCGAAGCTGAGGACTTGGGCCCTGGCCGATACCGAATGGAGAGCCAAGAACCGTAAAACGGGTTGCTTTCCGGCTTAAATTTACCTGAGCACAGCTTGAGATGGGTCGGGAGACGCGTTTGGGTCTAGAGACCCAATTTTACTTGGTTTGGCCGCGGGACCGAAAGGAGTCCGCCAGCCGGTTTCAACCAAGGGTCTCGAATGGCGTGGTGGTTGCAGATGCAGGTGGTTCCTTTCCGTTCCTCCAGTAGCGAAGCTGAAATCCCCTTGTTTGGGCGAATCATTGCTGCCAGCTGCTTCCTTGGGTTCTGGCAGACAGGTCAAGCGAGCTGGAACGGTCTGCAGCTCGACAAGCCTCCCTCGTGCTTTCTCATGAACCTGTCCAAGCCACTGCAGTACAGGAGTACCTCTGTACTCTACGCTCTTGATCTGCACCCACAAAAACGGAGACGTCACCGTTTCCATCCAATTCCTCCGACCAAAAACACCCTTCTCGATGAGTTGAGGGGAAAAAAAAGAAAGAGAAAATTATCGACAGCCCCTGCGAATCAACCCGACTGCATTAGAGTCAAACCAATTCATGGTAACGGCACAAACCTTGTTCGCAGTGACGACGATTCTCGGGGTGTACACAGAAATTATTTTCCCACTTCCTGTCAAGCAGCAATAATCATAGTAATAATCATGGTGGCCAGAGGCAATATATCCTGGAACACCAAGCACACATGGCGTCCTTCCTATCCCCACTTGGTTAATCGCGCTGTTCTCTTCCCTACCGTGAGTCTAAAGGACGCCGGTTCACCATGGGTGTGGGCACCATCCGTTTACGCAATAGTTTGGGAATCCCCACGCGAAATCTACGGAGCATTCGCCCTCAAGGCACCTCCTGGTCCCTTTCAGACCATTTGACAGTCCGAGGCTCAATCGAACCACGAACGCCGGTGCTGTTCTTGCCTCCGCTCACGACGCCGCAGTGCCCGCGGCGGGTCTCCCTGTCACTCTTAATCTCGATGCCCTACCCGGGTAGGGGCAGCAAGAGACGGACACCTTGACGACGACGGCAGCGCAACCTCCCTGCCTCGTCCGTCCTGCTTCACTCACCACCAAGCTTTTTGGGGGGTGGTTTATTCAGTCATTGGATTTCCGCTTGCTGGCCCACTACTTCTACTACTACTTTCACCGCCAGCTACTAACTTTGATGGTCGCCGCCTCGTTGACCCAGAGCGCCTCCCACCGGCGCAGCATACCGTTGCTCCTGCCCACCGGGATCCTTCTCGCCAGCCCTTCAGGTGTACTAGCAGAAGGTCTGTGAGATATAGGGGATTGTTGTTATTGTTGTCTCAGCAAACTCTACCACCCATGTCGATCATACGTCCCTCGTCTCGGGCCGGTCCACCAGGGGACGATAATTCGAGTCGAAATCAACTGGCGCCGTTGCGCGAGCTGGGTCTCTTGTCGGGCGCAAACTTGAGCTGGAAAGCAAAGTCCAAAGGTATGTTAAGATCTGGCATGTTCTTATTATCGCTATACCCCTGGTTGCCATCCTTTTCCAAACCATGTTCCAGTCCCTCCCCACTTTTGTTCCGCGCCTGCTGGATATGCTTCGCTAGGGTAAAGTTGATCCATCGTTGACCTTGGATCCTCCCCAGGACCCAGAAATCCATCATCCTCATCCTCGGGTTCGAGTCGTCTCCTGTTCCCCAAGTCCCTCCGACCCGGCCGTATTGTGCCTTCCACCGCGGAGCAGACCCCTTCATTTGACGGGCGACCCGGAAACACGTCTGCTTCAACATCCTACCTGGATCGTTCAAAAAGAACCATGAGGAGAGATCGAACATTTGTCGGCACCGAATGTGCCGTATGCGAAGAACCGCTCGAACACATTCTTCGAGGGGAGAAGATTTTGCAGTTGACTTGCGCACACGTTGCCCATGAAGCTTGCTTGTATGAATACATTCGGGAAATCGACTCGCAGTCTTGCCCGAGTTGTGATGCACCACTTGGATTGGACACAAGCAGAGGTGGAAATGTGCTTGATATAGGTATACACCCTCGTCTGCTTTGCACGACCATTGTTGCCGGGCAATCATGCTGACTCTATGCGCAGAGAAGCTGAGCAATATCGTGCGATCGGTATCGCAAAGCGGCCCTCCTGAGCAAGCCCAGACGACTCCGGATCCGGTCTGTCCCTGGGACTCGGTCTCATCTCGCTCGCGAGAGCGGCCTCCGAGCGTTGAATCTGGGGCTCGTCCACTGCCACGTGATAGCAGAGACAATGTGAGCCGGGAATCGAGGGAACGTGTTGAGCGATTCCATGGTGGACCGCGCTACTCGAACCATACCAGACATGATAGTGGCAATACAGGCATCGCATCGACGAGTGATTATGCAGAGACACATTCCGGCACCATTCCCAGACGACACGACTATGATGTTCAGTCAATGGAATCTGCGGTGACCCACCGTGCTAACCCCGTCAAGCACCCTATCCCGCCTCCCATCGTCACAGTCAGAAGCGAGTTTCCTACCATTTCTAGATCGCGAGAACAACAAAGCTTGACATGCTTGGTCACTGTCGAGGTGCCTGAAGGAAAATGGCGGCCGGAATCGGAAGAGCCACGAGCTTCCGTGGCCGCGTCGTCCCTCCACCCATCTGAAGGTTACGAGCCGTCCAGATCCTCTGCACTGAGCCGGCAAAGCGATCCTCTCAGCCGTCAGAGCGACCTCATCAGTCGGAAAAGCGATCTCATGTACGGGCCCCCCGAAGCTCTCGATGATGTTGCCGAAGATCTACGGATTCGCGTGGACAACTGGCATGGACTTGACTTCCAGAGGTAAGTCTTCTATCAATTGAGACTTCAGTTTTCAAACTATTGATCCCCGTGATAGGTTTGGCAAACTCCGCCGTTACGCCACCATTCGAGTCGGAAAGGACGGTCATTCATGGCAAGAATTGGAATGCTACCTGTTCTCAGAAATGCTTATTTGCATCAAGGAGAAGAAGGCGAATCCGAGGCGTGACTGGGATGAGCAAGCTTCGGTGCGAAAAGCCCCACGGTGCACGCTCAAAGGGTCAATCTTAATTCGAAAGCACCTGAAGCAGGTTGATGCTTCTACAGGTTTGTCTGATTGGGAATCTTCTCCGCCCGTTCTCTTTAAGCTAACATGATTTTGATTGCACCGCAAAAAGACGAACGAATCTTGACGCTCAGCCTTTCTGTACCAGAACTCCCATCTTTTCATCTCCAATTCCAAAATCAAGTTCAACTCGAACAGTGGAAGCGAGCACTTATCGATCTGAATTCGTTCGAGATCCCAATTCGAGCTCCAGAGCTTGAACTTGACAATTCTGGAACCGATGAAGATGACTATAGAACACTAGACACGACAAACCGGGTTTCCTCGGTCAACTCTTCCTATGGCGCAGCTCGGACCAACAATACATCCTTGACCGAGTACACATACCCAGCAGCGAACGGCCTCGATAACCTTCCAGCATCCATTCACATACCGGTCGACCTGGTGGTTGTTATCCCTTTGACCTCCTCTATGCAAGGGCTCAAAATCAACGTCTTGCGCGACGCTCTCAATTTCCTCGTGCAAAGTCTCGGCGATCGTGACAGAATGGGCTTGGTTTCCTTTGGATCCAATGGTGGTGGCGTGCCGCTCGTCGGCATGACCACAAAATCATGGAGCGGGTGGTCCAAGGTTCTCAAGTCGATTCGAGCCGTTGGCCAGAAAAGTCTCCGTGGTGATGTTGTGGAGGGTGCAAATGCTGCAATGGACCTTCTGATGCAACGTCGCTATAGCAATCCCATTGCATCAATACTTTTGATTAGTGACTCGTCGACAACTGACTCAGAGGGCGTGGATTTTGTTGTTTCTAGAGCCGAGGCCGCAAAGTATGTATTTTTTGAGAGATCTGGTTCTTCATTGTGCGAACGAAGTGAGATGAAAAAAAAAAAAAAAAAAACTAACTTTTTTACCTGCAGGGTTGGCATTCATACATTCGGCCTTGGTATGACTCATAAACCAGATACAATGATTGAGCTCTCTTCCCGCACCAAAGCATCCTACTCTTACGTCAAGGACTGGATGATGCTGCGGGAGTGCGTCGCTGGCTGTCTTGGATCCCTGCAGACAACATCCCATCAAAACGTGCGATTGAAGCTCAAGTTGCCGGAGGGTTCTCCTGCGAAGTTCGTCAAGATCAGCGGCGCGCTTCATGTCACAAAACGGGCGACTGGCAGAGATGCTGAAGTTGCTCTGGGTGACCTTCGATTTGGAGATAAGAGAGGTGAGACTTCTTTTTATTCCCGGCGCTAAAATGGCTTGGTTTGGCTGACATTTGGATGAACCAGATGTTCTTGTGCAACTCGTGATTCCCCCCGACAGCGCCACTCAAGAGCAGTACCCGCAGGATCCTTGGGAATCTATCGTGTCTGGTCTTGAAGCTCTTGGTGGACCTCTGGACCATGATGATCAGCGCACATTGAGCGTAGAGGAAGTACCCCTTATTCAAGCAGATATGACATATGGAGATATCGTCCGCGAGGGCACTTTGGCACACTTATCGCGGCCATCGCTTCTAGCAATCACGATGCTTCCAGCTCCGGCAAAATCGAGGCCTTCGAATAGGCCTCTCACACCCCCTATTCCTCCGCATCCGTCCGTGGTTCAGCGCCGCATGGAACTACTCACTTCTGATATGCTCACCCGTGCCCTGATTCTTGTGTCTAAGGGACAAAATGATCGCGCACAACATCTTCTCACTGAGACGCGCACTATCCTCAAAGGCCTCGGAAAAGGTGGCCTGCCTCCTCTCCCCCCGCCGGCCCAAAAGGCATCCACAAGCAGCCTCAAAGGTGGCTCGGCTAATGACGATGCCGCTTCCACAATCACCGGAACAGGGCCGGAGCGTCTTCACCCGCCATCGCCCATTCCAGAGAGTGCCTTCATCCCAGGGGCGGGCATAGACGGCAAGACGGTTGCCGCCCTGGATTCAGAACTCAACGCCGCTCTCGAATGGATGGGACATGCCGCCATTTTCGGCCGCGACTCGAGGAAGTCTGTGCTTCAGAGCATTGGAGTTATTTCTTCTCAGCGTGGATATACCTTCCGTACGCCGTGCGAGTCACTATGGGCTGGACGTATTGCAGGCATCAACCGCCTTGCCGCTAAGTCTCGACAGTGGCGCGAAGTCGGAGATGAGTCTTTGATGGAGGAGATTTGAAGCTGAATATCATATCACACATTGATGAGCTTTTGTTCATATTTTCTCTTTCCCTGTCGGTTCGGATATCCTTTGCTTTGGTGGCTTTGCTCTCAGGAAATTTTATCAGTTGTCATATTTCAAAGCGTGCGTTTTTTTTGAGATTTTTGAGGTTTGCGAGTCATTGATACCTCATATGGTTAGATCATTTTGGCGTTTGGCTACATTGATTTTGCGGACCAAAACATGCTTTGACGGTTCAGATGTATTAAAGGCGGCTATTGGGATTAATTTCGGTTTATATAGAAAGCGGGTTGTCGGGATACAGGATCGTTGATATTAGATCAGTAAGCTTGCTTTATACTGGGAGGATGCTCTGCCTTTCTTAGAAGAGGGGGGGTTTTTTTTTTGACTGTAACCTCTAGAGCTAGCTTTCTAGGTCATATTTCTCATTTCTAGGTGATGGGGAAGGGTTTAATGTTTGGCTAACGTTTGAGCGCGATTTCGGAGCTTTAGATGTATTGTTTCAAAGAGCAAGGCGTATACATTATATAGATTCACAGGTTAGAAGAATGTATAGATTGATAGACATTCCTGAGCAAATGGATATATATATTTGGAATGTAATGAGTCTTGATCTCGGCCATACAATCATATGTTGCAAGAGAGATTGGTCTCAGTGCTAGTTTGCTGGTTTGAACTTGGTATATTATACGCAAGGCGGCATATGCCGCTCAGAAGGTGGACCTCAACGTCACCAAGAACAACAATACCGTAAGCTCAAAAATAAGCTCATGATATGTCCTGTAGTTGTTCACGCGTTAGTACTTTTATACATTGATTAATCTAATTCCTGCAGGCGAGCACATCTAAATACTTTCTTGGAATTGGTCAATTTTACGTTTTCTTGACTTTTCTAAATGCTTTCAAAGAACGCTGATCTAACGACCTCTTGACTTGGAAGCTACTATTCCGGGCGTATTTGACGTGACTGTCACGTCAAATATTACCATGAGCGCGTCAATAGTCTCGATTGGTGCTGCGAGAGGCGTTGTGAGGCTGTCAGCTCTTCCCCTCACCAGTCTCGACTCCGCAATGAAGCTGGGACTCGGATCAAAAGTACCTTTATTGCGGTCATCCCAACATACATCAATATTGAGGCACCCTCAGAAGCAGCCACCGTTTCTCAGAAACTATGTATCCCCTGCACACAAAATTTCCTTGACTTTCAAAGAGGCTCAGCAGGATTTCCACTTGCGAAATTCCCAGTCACCGAAGCATCCATCAACTATACTCTTTACAAGCCCCGGCCGTGTAGGAGTTCAATGGAAGCATAATGCTTTCAATACCTACCAAACTCGATCAATTTCTGGCTTTGGCTTTCCAGGGGGTCCAAAGTATCGACGCTTTGGCCAGGAGTCGTCCTCATACGGCAGCACCGGGCACAACGTAAAGAATCTGTTATCCAACCCCACTTATCGGTACAGCTTGGGTATCGTGGCCACGTTAATGGTGCTTTTCTACGTATTGAATCTTGAAGAAGTACCCGTGAGTTTCTCCCTGACCTTTGATCGCTGGGCGGAACTCCGCAGTAGGATGTACAATCTGGTTCACGGTTCATCTATTATTCGGAAATCGTTTTATTTAATTTTATATTTTTCCGGCTGACGATACATTGTAGGTATCTGGGAGAAGACGTTTCAATGTGTTCTCGTCTGAGACTGAAGAGGAGCTCGGGAGGCAACAATATCAACAAATTATGCAGCAATATCAGCAACAAATCCTGCCAGCCTGGAATCCACATACGCGTATGGTGAGACGTGTGATGGAGAGATTGATTCCTGCCACTGGCTTGCAGAGTGCAAATTGGGAGGTTCATGTCATTGATGACCCCAATCAGATAAACGCCTTTGTCATTCCCGGGTACGTATTGGCAAAGTTCATAGGCCTTGCAATTCCGCGAACTTGTAAAATTGACCGGTCATAGTGGCAAGGTTTTTGTTTTCAGTGGACTTCTTCCCGTTTGTCAAGATGATGATGGCCTGGCTACAGTGCTGGGTCACGAAATTGCTCACAATATGGCACATCACATGGCAGAACGTATGAGCCAGAGCATTTGGATGATGGTGTTTATGACTCTATTTACGTTCTTGTTTCAAACTCCGGATTTCGCGAGTAGAATTTTGTTGGACTTGGTCTATGAGAAGCCCGGCTCACGAGCCCAAGAGGTATTCATCATTCCACAAACCTGGGGAGACTAGCGAGGCTAATACCATTTCCCTACAGACTGAAGCCGACTACATCGGTCTAAGTATGGGGACGATTCTTAGCCTAGTTGATGGTAACATGATACTGATCCTATTCCAGTGTTGATGGCCCAGAGCTGTTACAATCCCGATGCCGCTGTTGGACTGTAAGTGCCTGAAATATTGCATAAACGCATATCTTATTGACTTTTGCAGTTGGCAACGTATGCAAAAGGCAGAGAAGTATGCTCCGCCGCAGTTTCTCTCAACACATCCCTCGGTATGCAAAATAATCTCTATGCTCAGCGATATCCAAAGCTAACTCATACAGAGTCATAACCGTGTAGGGAACATCCGTGAATGGTTCGTCTCATAGGCTCATTTACCAATCAAGTGCTAAAGCTGACTGATCATTTTAGGTTACCAGAAGCTGAGCAAAAGGCTTCTGCATCAGACTGTTCGAGCACCTTGGGATACGGTAAATGCCATGCTAAATTATATGAAACTTTGCCGTTTCGCTGACATTCTTTGACAGCGGAAGATTTCAAGCGAGCCTTCAACCAGGTGGTTTGGTAAAGGCATCATTAGGGGGTATATTGGCGGGCGAAATTGGTGTTCACTGGCCTTGAATTGCAGTGTAATTTTAATATTATTGATATCCACTCAACATCCTAAGGTAGATATATCCAAACCACCTTTGTAAATTTTCGAAAGCATCTAGGCAGTCTTGCGTCCTAGTTATCTGCTGTTTCCCTTTGATTATGAAGTGGTGCTGTATAGCAGAGCTGGTCCTCGCGTCGGGGTGAATCGTGATTCGCCAAGAAAATGGAGATTTGGGGGGAACAGCCAAAGTTCGCATAATTAAGCGGCGCGCGTGGGACAATCTAGAGAGTCCGGAGACGCCAGACACCGCAACAGAATAATTTCCAGCTACAATTTCATTTTCTCCCTGTTGTAGCTTGGATTCAATTCTGTGAAAAGCTACAACTTGCTTCAACATGTCTCTCTCAATACCGACCGCGCCCAACAGCGGCCTGTTCAAGCAGGGTTATCAAAAGTACGATTTCATCACCGACAGCGGCCGATGGGTCCTTCCAACCTGCCTCAAGCTCTCATCACATACTGTCAGGGCATTTGAAATCAAAGTGTACAAGGCTAACAGAGATTGCGTTACAGCTACGATAGCGAAGATGGAGCCGTCCTCCGAAACATTGATGCCTGCAGAACCATCGCCCAGACGGTGCAGTCTTCCCTGGGTCCGCATGGCCGCAACAAGATTGTCATCAACCACCTGCAGAAGATGGTCCTGACCTCGGACGCTGCGACGATATTAAGAGAACTCGATGTGGTGCATCCGGCTGCCAAGCTTTTGGTCATGGCCAGTCAGCAGCAGGAAGCTGAGATGGGTGACGGAACAAATCTCGTTATTGTGTTGGCCGGCGAGCTTCTCCGAAAGGCAGAGGACCTTTTACGAATGGGCCTAAAGTCGGCCGATGTCATGCAGGGCTACGAGAAGGCGCAGGAGTTTGCATTGAAGGCTCTTGAAGGTATGACTATCAAGTTTCACGTTTATCTTCCATGTTTCATCCCCTCATTTCCACATCCTGCAAGGTTTTGAAAATCCCATAAACAACAACCTCTAACTCTACTTGCTCTACACTCGCAGATCTCGAAGTCGATAAAGTCACCGACATGCGCTCCCAGTCCGAGCTCAGCAAAGCCATCCGTACCGTCGTGGCCTCGAAACAAGCTGGCACCGAGGACCTCCTGGCGGACCTCGTCGCCGAGGCCGTTCTCGCCGTGCTTCCCAAGAACCCGGCCAACTTCAACGTCGACAACATCCGCGTCGTGAAGATTATGGGCGGCAGCATTGAGCAGAGCCGAGTAGTCAAAGGAATGGTTTTCGGCCGAGAGCCCGACGGCTCCGTGAAGAAGGCGAAGAAGGCCAAGGTCGGCGTCTTCTCATGCCCGATCGACATCAGCCAGACCGAGACCAAGGGCACCGTGCTGCTGAAGAACGCCCAAGAGATGCTGGACTTCACCAAGGGCGAAGAAAGCCAGCTCGAGAGCGCCATCAAGGAACTCTACGACTCCGGACTCCGCGTCGTTGTGGCCGGCGCCACCGTCGGCGAACTTGCCATGCACTACCTCAACCGCTTCGGCATTCTCGTGATCAAGGTTCTCAGCAAATTCGAGCTGCGCCGTCTGTGCCGCGTCGTGGGCGCCACCCCGCTCGCTCGCCTTGGCGCCCCCATGCCCGACGAAATGGGCAACGTCGATGTTGTCGAGACCCTCGAGATTGGCGGCGACCGCGTCACCGTCTTCCGCCAGGAAAGCGAAGCCACGCGCACTGCGACCCTCGTTATTCGCGGCGCCACCCAGAACCATCTCGACGACATTGAGCGTGCCGTTGATGACGGCGTCAACGTCGTCAAGGCCATCACCCGCGACGCTCGCCTCGTCCCGGGCGCCGGCGCCACCGAAATGCAGCTCATCGAACGCATCACCGCCTTTGGCGACAAGACTCCCGGCTTGCCCCAGTATTCCATCAAAAAGTACGCCGAAGCCTTCGAGGTCATCCCCCGCACTCTTGCCGAGAGCGCTGGTCTCGACGCCACCGAGGTCTTGAGCAGACTGTACGCCGCCCACCACCACAAGCGCGAGGATGCCTGGACTGCCGGTGTCGATGTCGAGAACGACGACAGCACAGGCGTCCTCGATGCCAAGGCTAACGGTATCCTCGACCTCATGGTCTCCAAGGCCTGGGCGATCAAGCTCGCCACCGAAGCTGCCCGCACAGTCCTTGGCGTCGACCAGATCATCGTCGCGCGACAGGCTGGCGGTCCCAAACCCCCGGGTCCCAATCCCAACTGGGACGAGGATTAAACGATTTCTAGCACGGGACGCAGGAGTGCTTTTGTCTAAAAAAAAAGAGATTTGATGTTTCAAGTAGCATTAGGCATGATTTCACAGAAGGTTTTCTTCGATTTTTTTTCACCCTTTTTTCACCCTTCCCCCTTTGTATGTATCGCTTCACTTAACATCTGACATACTCCGTATTGCATTACACAATTCCTTCAAAAATGAGAATTGGCAAATAAATTCCAGCCAATGGACTATGCATCAAAGAATTGTCACGGGGATTCATCTACTTGAAACTTTCGTAGAGTGAAAATATGTACATTGCTCTATATTCTCCTCATTCATCCAATGCTTAGTCTGGCTATAAACTGCTCAATTAAAAAAAAACACTATATATATGGATGGGTAATATCGGAAAAGGAGAGAACCTCAGACAGCATCACTGGTATGGATACTATCTGTGTCTCAACAGTGGTGTATCCAAGAAAAAAAAAACACATTCAGTCATCAAAATCAAATCCGTGGGAAAGCCAACCCCTCAAAAACTGGCCTGGCGTACCCACACGGGGATCGTAAATGCCAAATCCAAATCCAAATCCAAATCTAGCAGAGAGAGCCCCTTAATAGAAGCAAAGAGATCCTTGAATAGAAGCAGAGAGACCCGTTGACTAGAGATAAGAAACCTCTAATCCTCTAGCAAAAACCTCAAAAACGAAGCCGCGACGCCGACGCCATCATGCGCATTGTCCACGCGGGCCATGGCATCATTGTACATTTCATCGTCAAACACGCCAGCAGCATGTCTCTTGACCAGCATCTCGCGCATAATCTCCGCCGTGAATTCCGGATGGCCTTGCACCGTGATCAGGCGGCCGGGCGCATACATGCCGTGCACGGCGCATTTGGGGCTATACCCCAGGGGCTCGACACCGGGAGGGTACTCGTAGACGATATCTCGATGCATTTGGAACAGATTGATGTGTTCCTTTTGGAACAGCTGCTTGCCCCGCGGGGACAGTTGCATGGGACACACGGAGATTTCCCATCCTTGGGTGCTGCGGTCCACTTTGACGCCCATGGCCCGGCCGACGATCTGGTGGCCGAAACAGATGCCGATGATGCGCACGCGGGATTGCGCGAGCACGCGCTGCACGTAGGCGACGAGTTTGTGGATCCACGGCGCGTTGTCGAATGCGTTTTGCTCTAGAGAATGGCGGTTGTTAGTGTGGATGGATTGTGAGTGGATGTGATTGTGATAGTGATATTGGGAGAGAAGAGGGATACTGGGAAAGGAGAGAGGAGGGATACTGATAAAGGAGAGAAAAAGAGGAGGGAGTGAAAGGGAAGGGAAGGGAAAGGGAAAGGAGGGAAGGGGACACAAAGGACGTACTAGATCCAGTCAAAAGAATGGCGTCGATATCGTCAAGCTCAGGATATCGTTCTTCGCGCAGCACGTCCCATTTTGTAATTTCAAGGCCCTTGGTCGATGATAACACGTCCGGTTGGCCCAATGCGTCGGCGCCAGCGCGGATGAGTTCGCCAAAGAGTCCGCCGTAGCCGCCGTGACGCTCGTTGGCTTCATCCGGCGGCTTGTCGCATTCGAGGACGGCGATGCGGAGTGGTGGGCGCATTGGAGTATGTACTGCGATTTTTTTTTTTCCTTTCTTTTTTTGCCCGTGTCTGGAGCGTAGTTGATTAGTATGAAGGAATGATATGGCTATTGCTTGTTTCCTGGAAGTTAGGGGCTTGTAATTGAGGCGGATCAGGACGTGCTTTGGAGAGTTGGGATCTTCCAAGGTCTCTAGGAAGAAGAGGAGGCGCAAGAAGAGCAAGAGGGGCAATTAGACACAAATGAGATGACAGGTAAAACAAATAATACCCCAGAGTATAGCAAAAGAAGTAGAATAGTGGAGAAGGACTAGATGTATAAACTAGAGCGGTGTGGAAAGGGAGGGGCAAATGAAACGAGGGGTTGACGAACGTGGAGGACGTGAATAGAGATATGTAAAGAACAATTGACACTCACATTAAAAAGATATTCTTCTGCAGAACGTATCTGGAGGTGGCTCGAAAGTGAAATCACAAAGCCTTGTGTGTGTGTGTGTGTGTGTGTGTGTGACACAATGCAGTGTTGAGACTTTGGAGGGTGGAAGAAAGTTGACAGGACCACACACGGAAACGTCAGAGGGGCGATGGTTGACGGGTGGCGGCGATGTTGCGATAAGAGATAGGCGGTGTGTGGTGGCGTCGGAGAGAGGGCGTAACTTATGTTGTACTCTACCTCTCTGTGTTGTACGTCCCATTACCTGTAGTTTTATAAGTTTAGTGGTATTCTTCTCTGGAGAAACTCCGTACTGGCTCCGAGGATAACTACAGTACAGTGAGCCACCCGCGGGACTAGTGTTAATTTTTCAACTGGTTAGTGGTCAAAATACAACTAATCCAGTATATATAGTGCATTATTACTTACTACTCTATTTCGGACGAGATACTTTGGCAACAACACACGTACTTTACTTTTTCCCTACACCATCTTTTCATGGGACACCACCATCTTATATTCTGCTTTCTATGCTGCTTATTGCTCAATCAATCCTTATCTTGAGACATTCATGTCGTTTGGGTGGAACAGAAATGCTTATCTCCATGTAATATACGTACAGCGCTGCCATATCTCGGGCACGTCAGAGGAGCAGCATCACGAGGGTATTTTATGCAAGTTATCGTTGTGCAGCATGCATAAGTGTGAGTGCAAAGGATAGCGATGCAGGCAAAAAGTCAGAGAAATGTATAGATTGTGGGGGGAGGTGGAAATGTATTAGGCATGTCCGATAAGCTGTGTGAAAGGGAAGGGGGGATGACGACCAGAAGGAACAAGAAGGGTAGCTTGATTTAGATTGACAGAAAACATGAACATAGTTCACATCGTGGATCAAATTAACAGAAATTATCAGAGAATACAACTAAATTTTTTTTTGGAAAGCTGTGACCGAACAAACAATTAGTAACCATGCCATGTCCATTATTGAAATCTGATATCATCATCGCCCTTGCTAGTGTACACAGTTGATATCACCCATTTTTCAACAACGCCGAAGAGAAGAAACAAGAACCAGTGAGAGAGCCATAAAAGGAGACAAAGAAAAGCCTTGTAAAGGAAAAAGAAAAGCAGATGACAGAGGGAAAGGGAAAAGAAGGGGGAACGAAAACCACAATTTTAAAGGAAAGGGGAGGAACACTAATGCATGCTTTTCGCACAAACATGTAAGCTTTCTGTGAAAATTTTGGAAAAGGTGGAAAAAAGGAACAATACAAATGCTGGTGCCGACATCTCGCATGAACTCAGGTTATGCCAGCCAAGTCCTTTCCTGTCGAGTCCAGGTATGGCCACACACATGATCACGTCTTCTGTGTCATCGGCTTCAAGGTGGCTTCAACCTTTGACACGTATCCATCTGCATGCTTTAATGTGATGACAAGCCACACCTGTTCCGTGGCAAATCAAATCCATCATGGACAACGGTGTTTTAAACGTTCACCGTTGCATTTGCCAAATGTGCAAGAAATGCTAAAACACGAGACAGCGAAACACGTCGGCAGACCTGGGCGAAAGGCTGCAAAAAGCCTGCCTCTATCGATTCACGGCAGTAAAACCACCGGCTTCTGGCTTCTTCTCGTCGGCGTCCTTATCTTCATCCGCTGCGGGCGCTGGAGAGCCAGCATCTTCATCCACATCCATGGCGTTCTCATCTTTGACGTGTTTCTCTTTCTTTGTTCCATCAGCTGCCTTCTTCTCATCCACGTCGACATCTTCGTCCTCTGGATTTTCGCCATTCTCGACGTCTTCCGCTTCTTCGTCTTCCCGGTCTGCTAATTCTTCGGCGTTGTTCTCTTCCTCCTCTGTGACAAACGATTGTCGCTCCTCAGGCGCAAGGTCCCGCCATGCCTCCTCGATACCCTCATCCAATTGTGCCTCGCTTGCGTCCGGAAGCTTTTCGCGGAGTGAAGGGAGTGTTGATGCTCGGAATGTGCGGAACCCAGCAGGCGGACGCGCAGGGCTGCGAGTCTTCTTCGAGTATCTGGATCTTGATGCTGCTCTGCTCTTCTTGGTAGACGATCCCTCCTTACTCGCCTTGTCGGCGGCGCCGCGGGCGCGGGATGTGGATTTTCGAGACGACTTTTCCTTCTTCTCAGCTGGGGGAGGCGTCATAGCGGAAGAGCTGGCGCGACCAGTAGCTCCCGGAAGAGGCGGCGACGGAGGTGCATGTGCTTGTGCAGCGCGGTGAGACCGTTTGCTGCGGAGAGGTTTGTCCTTAGGCTACGCAGAATGTTAGTTATGACGGTGTGAAGCGACGGAATGAACGGGAAAATTGAAGGGAGACAGCAAAGGCATCGAGAGAACAAGGGTAGCGTCGTAGTATAGTGTTGAACGGTGAGAAGGGGACATCTGGACATACAGTTGGTGGTGCGTCCTCACTCCCGCTCGTCTCTTCGCCATCCATGATAGCAGCCTTGTCGGTTCGGCGCGCCAGTTGCTCGAGGAGAAATGCGCGCTCAAGGCGCATCTTGGTCACGCCACGGTTGAGTCGGATCTTTCGCAGTCGGAAAGCATCGTTGGAGTCTTCGACTTCGTTCATGCGCCGTTTGAGATCTGCACATTTGCGTCGGTATGCTTGCTCCACCGACGGCGGAAGCGGGCCCGGAATAGCGCCTATAGGCCCATCTGAATTAGTATTCGTAGTTGCTTTTGAGAGCTTGGTAGTATTGCGTGGGATTCGCACGTCAAAAGGTCAAAGTTGCAGTCAAGCTATTTAGGTGATTTCTGGGCGGGTGCTGGGAAGCTGTCCGCCGCCGAATATGGGTAGAGTTTGACAAGATGACCGACTCGTTCAATGACGCGCCCTCTAGAAGTAGGAGAAACTTACTGCTCGGAGGCATTTCTGGCAAGGTGAGCTCAAAGAGAGCTTTGACCTTTTTTTGGATGCCGATTGGGACTGGATGGAAATTGGTCGAGGGATTATCGAAAGAGGATGAGGAGTTTTGATGTAGAACGTTGGAAATGGCGGGATGAGGAGAAGATGGTAAGTTGTGAGAAAGTGGATGGTGAGCAGGGCGTCGCAGGACCTGTGGCTGTCGATCCCTCGTTCCGTTCCGTAGTGGTCGGCTGGTTCCTGTGCGGCGTTGTGTCTCCTTCTCGCCCTCTCGGCGGTTGCTCCGCGTGTCCCGAGCATCCATTTGGCGATGGTGAGGCATCAAGATCTAGCGGAACTTGCGTTATCAAGAAAGGGTGATGCTGTAAGTGAAGAAGAAAATGGTAAATACACTGCGCTTGATGTTTGTGATGATATAATTGAATCTTGCCCGGGCGATTGAGGATGGACAGTCTATGTGGTCAGGTCGCTCAAAACATTACATTCAATTCACTTGGATCTCTACTTTCGACCGAACATTCTTCATTCTGAGACAATTTTTCACTATCATGTAACAAGCAAAAGCCGCTGCAACGGCAAGCAGTGGATCAGAATCTCTATTCCTCTTTCGACCCACGTCGTCAATGTGCTCCACATAGTAAATAATTACATGACAGTATTAAGGACTATAGAGTTTTAGGTGGCCAATACTGTCAATCTTGCAGGGTCGCTGTCCATAAGAGCTTCGTGCTCGGACCTAATCAACTACCCGCCGCATTAAAAGAAAGGAACAAGGAGAGAAAAAGAATGCGCTCTGAAAAGTATTACAAGAAAGAAAAGAAATGTAGTATCTACAAACCAAATTTTCCACATATCCCTTGAATACCTCAGACCAAATCCCAGAGCACAAATGAAGAGTATTCAACAAGACGCGAAGAGTTCAGACAAAGGGCAATAGCAAGCATATGGTAAAGATTCGCTCATTCCCTAGTCAACGCCAGCATAAAGGTCGACAACAATGTTAATAGCAGCAACAAGGATCTCAGCCGCAATGAGAACGATGACTAGGTGAACGCATAGATGTTAGCGGTGAACCAATAAACCTCATAAGAAGCAAACATACCAATCCACTCTAAATATTCGCCATGAGTATGCGTCTGCTGATCACGGAGCACAGCAAGCAAATCAGCAATAACATCTAAACGTTCCGTAAGAAGCCCAACTCGTTGGTCCATTTCCAGATAGCTTCGAACAGCGACATAGATGGGTTCTAGCTGAGGCTCAGCCCACATGAGTTCGGGCGAGTCTAGCACGGAACCTTGTAAATGAATATTGATGCGGAGAATGAACAGCTCGCCAATCTGCATATTTAGTTGACGCCGTGTCAGGTTGACTTTCCCTTCCAATGCAATCCGCTCGGGAATGTCTTTGGTCATTTCAATGGTGTTGTCAACCAAATCTTCAAAAAGCGAAGTCTAGAGGTGAAGTCTTAGCGCCGCCGGGGTCATTTCAATATACATGGCAGAAAGAGATAAACCCACCTTGACACTCTGAGCAAGCGCGTGGCTGATTGCCAGCTTGGTCATGTAATTTCTCTTGTCTCGTAAACTGATAAAGTCATTGTAGATTCGCGCTTGATAGTCTCGGGTGTAGTAAAAGTTGAAGTCTTCTGTTTGCACGTCGTCCTGGCTGAGCTTCTCCTGTTCGAACTTCGCAATCTCTTTCAGAAATCGCTGTTCCTGTTTGAGGGTCATACCCCAAATGACGACAGTGCCGTAGTTGAATAGAAACACTTCAGGGGTGTGGACTTCGGTATCAAAGTCGACCGTATCCCCCCGTACGTCATCTGTTCTGTGCACCTCGTCGTGCTCGCCAGTAGCAAGCGTCGTGTCTCCTCCTTCAGTGTGCAAGTCAATCAGGTCATCTCGTCGACTCTTTGTATTGCCTTCCACTTCAAGCTCACTATCAGAGAACCTCCTCTCACGCATCTGCGGCCGGTCTTCCTCATTATGTTGGCTTCGAGATGACCTCGGTTCCATAGACCCATCTGGCTCTTTGTCCATTGGGGACCTGCCATAATTGTAAGGCGTATAGACACATTCGTCGATTAACTTGGGCATGGCTCCTCGCGATCTAGCCTTGCCTTTGAGAAACCTAACCAGCCCTTCCAGTTGGTATGCGTTGGCCGTACAATAAGCTGTAACTCGCGGAAGCTTGTCTCGGTCTGCTTTGCCTAACCTGGCCGCATCTCTGCGAGCGGTAGGATCTTTGATTCGGGTAAATTGCGAATATACATCTCGCCCACTTTCCTCATCTTGTTCTTCTTCTTCGAGCTCGGGGTTTGGGAGGAGCTTTAACTTCTGAGCAGTTCTGGTTGTTCGCTGGGGCCCTATCTTGGCTGCTGGCGTATTTTGGGGTGTAACCAGAGGAGATCCATGACTGTTACGTCGTCTAAGTTTGCTATTGAGTGCTGAGAGCATTGGTTGCGGAGCATGGCTGTATGCGGAGGTAGATGGTCTCTGAGCGGTAGTCGTTGCGCTGCTGCCGGTCGGGCCAAGAACACTTGGGCTAAATGTGACAGTTCTTGCAGGCCGTATTCCTGTTTCTATACTGTTGCGTCTTCCGGTGGTTTGTCCAGCAGATGTGGACTGCATCAGAGGCGTCGATTCGGTGGTGGTAGCCATGATTCCGGCACTCCCTTTCAGCGGTTCGGTGATGATAGGATTTTCAGCGAACCAGTTGACTATAAGGGAGACAGTTCCATTGGTATCAAGATAACGCTGGAGAAAATCAATTCGACCCAATTGAGCAGAATCAAAGGGGATTTTTGCAAAACTGCAATTCCACCTCCAACTATTCAACGCATCTAAAGAGAAAAGGCGGAAGAAGCAGCTGTGACGAAGTGACGTACCAGACACAAAACGGTAATGCGTCGCACTAATCCCCTTCCGGACAACCGTTATGATTCTTCAACCTCTTGGGTAACTAAACTCATTTGGAGCATCATTTCCCATGTTTACTACCTGTCCTCATCGTTCGAGGTATTCACTGGGAAATTATATGTGTAGATTCATAGATCCATCTCACTCAATTATCCTAAAAGACATTTCTAGCACAATGGCCACAAGCACAAGCTCCTGTGCCAAACACTTTTTTTTCTTCCAACCTAATAACGCCATAGATGCATGTCTAGGTATAAAATACAATTATCATCAATCGCATTATCGCGAAGTTGAATCGAAAAAATAGCACACTACTGAATAGAAATGGGTCAAAAGCCATCAATACCGCTCGATGTTTTTCGTCCACAGCCAAACAGTGAGACGCATACCCACACTTTGCAAAGCTCTTCAAAGCAAACTCGGCGTACTTCGACAGAGCTTAGACCATCGATATTGCCTGAAAGTATAAAAAAGGGCGAGTCTCTGAAAATAGAGCGCAGGCAACTGTTTACAATTGCCGGTCGGATGATCCCTCTGACTCGAAACGTGCGCTGCGCTGCCAAGACTGAAACGTGTCGAGCGACGACATGGGGACGAGTGCGGCATGTGGAACCTCCTCGTTTCGACTTTTTGGAATGTCTGCCGAGTATTGACGATATTCTCGCAAAAAAGCGGCAACGAAAGCCCCGACCAAGTGAGTGCAACACGGTGGAATGAAAGGTAGCCAAGTTCCCTCGATAACCGTTTTTAGAATGCACGTGCGAAATTGCATCACACGGCAATCTCAGCGCCGAACAAAGCCGCCACCCATCTTGCGTCGCTCCGTCCCACCACCAGCTCCCGCACGTCCCCGACATCCAGCTAGCCAAGCCTCGCGGACGTTCTTGCTCGACTTTGATCCTTTTGGCGCCAGACGCCCGTTTGCTTTGTCCAGAACCCGAACGTTTACGTCGCCGCGCCTCTTGTCCTTGATTGGTTTCTCATCCACAAAGTATTTGTGTCGCTTAGTGACCGCGGCGGGCTTTGCTGTCTGGTCATTCTCAAACTCTGGCGTAGGCGGTCTCATGGTAGGTTCAGCCATGAGAATTTCTTCGGGAAGAAGGGCTGGGAGACCGGATTTACTCGAGAGGCCACCAGACCCGTCTTCCATTTCCTCGTCGGAATGGGCTTCATCCTTTTCCTGCGTTTTTCGTTTCTTCGGCTTTTGGGAAGTTTCGGCTTGCTGTTTGAAGAACGCATCCCGTTCTTGTCTCTTCTTTCGCTTGGCATCCTCTAGACTGTAAATTAAATGTTAGTAATGCTCTGCTGTACAGACCAGATGAAGGAAACAAACCTTTTCGCTGCCTTGGCGGCCTCCAATGCCTGTGCTTCTGCCTGTGCACGTCCAGAAGAAACCGTAACAGCTTCGGGAGCCTCATCATCATCATCGCTATCTTCTTCTTCCTCTTCCTCTTCCTCGTCTCCATTTTGCTCTGCGTCTTCTTGTGCACTAGCAGCATCAACGCTCGGCAGCTCCGGTTCTTCACTGCCGAACCGAACATGAGTGGATTTCGATTTGGCCGTGCCATTCTCCTTTGTGGACTCATTTACAGTGACTGATTTATTGGACTCTTTGGAGGCAGGCTGGAAGGATGTCGAGACAGCCCCAGTCTCCGGCTCATCCGAAGAGCTCTCTCCCTCTACTTCCTCTTCATCCTCCTCTTCGCTCACCTCCTCTCCCTCATCGGAAGAATTCTTTATCGCTTGCTTAGTTTTGATCGCACTTTCGGGCTCATCATCTCCAAACATGCGCTGCGCACTCTTTTTTGAGGTAGCTGGAGTTTGGAAAACCGCTGGCGAGTCATCATCTTCGCCGTTATCCGGTTCTAGTCTTCTTCGTTTCCTCGTTGTTATGGGAGTACTGGGAAGAGGTGCAGTAGCCGCCGCAGCAGTAGCAGTCTGCCTCTTGCGTGGGCTTTTGATTGGTGTGCTACTTGCGCTGTCGGTGAGACCACGAGACTGTCTCCTTGTTGTGACCATTCCGTTCGCTGGCGAGGCTTTCTCCGCAAGCCTTGCAGACGCTCTGGTTCGAGGTCGAGGTGATTGAGTAGACGCAATCTCTTCCTCTTCAGGCTCAGCGAAGAGAGAGCGTGCTGACTTGACTATTGACGAGAACATATAGCGATGGTGTCAAGTTGTGCTTGGTGCTGAAATTTCAGCGGAAAGTGCAACTGAAAAAGCACCAAAAACTGACGATAATTAATTCTTCCGACTCGTGAATTGTTTTGCCAAGATTTCTCCGAAAGATTGTATTACATAATCAATATCGGGATATTATTTATCCGTGCCATGACAGTACCAAGGACCTCGGAACTCTCACCAAAGAAAGTGACTGCTGTGGCCGCCTTTTGTTTATTCCTTGAATTGAGAGATTCGGACTGGTATTATCGGGAAGGCTTTTCGAGAGATAAACCTTCGAACATAATGGCATCGACCAGAATATCAGGCTCTCTCAGAGCTCTTGTCCAAAAATCATCAAAATGCCCACGACTCATTTCTGCTAAGGGCCGTAACTTCCACAATACAACGTTCCAATCTGCCCGACCCAAACCACGTCCAGCTCCCAGCACACGATTGAGGCAAGCCCAGGTCCCGATACCAGACCTGAACCCCAACGGAGATAAGTCTGAAATTGACAGCTTTCTACAACGCTGCACAAACTTAGCGGAGGAGATCAAAGCCATTTCGATTTCGTCGGCCACTGCATTCGAATTCTTGCGCGCATTCAACGAACACGGCCAGAACCCACCCGTCAAATACATACGCTCTTTATGCGAAAGATTTGGCGTTTCGCCCTCGAATATCTTTGCACTTGCGATCATTGTCAATCGAGAAGGGCCAGGCCAAGGACAAATTATTGCTCGAAGCCTGCTAAATGCAGCCGCGAGCCTGGGCGATCCCTCCGCGGCCATTCACGCAATGCATTCTAACACAATGGATACGAGAGCGCAGAACCCACTGTATTATCGAGAAATGCAAGCACATCTTGCTGGTTTCGTCAAGGAGGATTCGAACCCTCTTGGATTGGTGGCAGCAGGAAACCTTAACGAGAAGCAAGGCAAAAACGACATTGCATTGAAACTTTACGAACGGGCAATTGTCCTAGCCCAAGTCCCAGAGAACAATACAATGCCCGAATCTAGTGTTGGATTAGGTGGAACACCGCTTCTTCAAGCTTATATCGCGCTTGCAAGGGTAAAGAACAGTGCATTAAAGGACAAGGAAGGCGCGAGAGCTGCGTATGAGAAAGCCGCGGAACTGGATAGCCCAGACGCATATTACCATCTTGCCCTCTTGATGGACAATCATGCGTCCGACCAGTACAGGGATCATCTGCTGATCGCAGCTTCGTCGGGCTATACACAAGCCGCCTACCGCTTGGGTCTCTACTATCTCCAACTAAAAGACTCAGACACCAGCTCTAAAACAGCACTGGGCAAGAATCAAGACGAACGAGAGAGGCTTGCATTGGAATGGTTCGATCTAGGCGCAGCAGCCAACGACAAAAATTCGATCATCAATGTGATTCTCCTCTGCAAATTACGAAGCCTGCACGTTAAATCACAGGCGTGGTTGTTCAAAATCAAAAGTTCCAGACATCTTTCGCAAGATCCGGTGATTGCCGAAATCCAACGAATGTGGGAGGACAAGAACTGCGATCTAGAGGACTTTCGAATCTTCCTAGACCAATATAATAAGGATGCCACAAAGACACGTCCGGATTGAGAGCCCTCGTCTCCGAAAAGAAAACCTGCCAGCTGCTTCCACCAGTCTAGCAATCTTTGATCATGCTTGAATACAGGCTTGCTCTGATAGCAAAAGCTCGCTCAACCTCGTGCCGCATACCTACAAAAAGGCAATTCTGTATAAGAAATTGATCTGTCTTCACGAACCCCGTGGCTACATTACAACTGCCATGCCAACATCAAGCGGACATTCCTCGGGCAAACTCCGATTCGAGGTCCCGGGGCTCGAATGTGGTGCTCCAGCAACTCTACTAACATTTTACTCCTCACCGCTACACCACATTCTCGTCCCAGGAATGATGTCTCTGAAAGTGACAGGATCCAAGAAAGGCATTACGAGATTCTTGCCCAGATCTTATTCTGGTCGTCATCTACACCATTTTTATACCTTTAAACCCCCACACGACACCGCAGGCACATTGGATTGACGCTGGTTCCTTCAATTCATCATTTATATGTATATAAACCGCAACTACTTAGAGGAGTTGGTCCGAAGTCAACGTTTTTCCTGGACCAAGGTATATTGTACAATAGATATAGCAGCATTATTGAAATATAAATTCACGAAACAAACCTCCATACCCCCAAAGAAATTCTGCACAATACTCCATATGCGCACCATCTTTCCCATAAACAAAACCCCCTTCCCCCAAAGGAAACATCCTCGATCCTCATCTATCGTTACCATCCCCTGCAGTCCAGAGATACGGACTCTACTCCGTATTCTCTACTTTGCAAGATAATATTCCATTCATTTTTTTTTTTCGCACTAGTACCTCGATCAAAAAAACATGCACGCCCACCTACTATATACAATCCAGTCAATCTAAGCCTCTCAGTCCGTGCAATTCTACTCGTATAGAGTAATTCCTTATGATGCGCGAGACGGCTAATCTACGCAGCGCCTCAAGACCGAGGACCAAAAGGAAGTTCCTTCGTCTCGCGCCAGCACACCTTGCCCCACCGGATGAGGGACTACGGTGTACACTAAAAACAACGCGACCTGCCCGGCTTCCGTCCGAGGGTGGAGCGAGGAGCTCTCACGCCCAAGAGGGGACGGTGAGCAAAAAAGAAATGACCAGTCTGAGACTCGAACTCAGGACCTTATCGGATTTTCTTGTTTTCCAAATGACTTAAAGCCACTTGTTAACGATACGTGATAACCAACTACACCAACCGGCCAATCAGCTTGAACAATCGCCTCTCCAAATGTGTTATATCCCATTATGTTATATCCCATTGATATCTGGTTGTTGCTTCATTTTAACCTTCAAAACGCCGTCCCGCCGCCCTGCCGCCAACCCGCGCCGCGCCGCGCCAACAATCCGATCGAAAACCGGGAATCGACACCAGGCACCTTACAATGTTCTAAGTATAATACGACCACTAATGAAAACAAGTGGTTCAACAGAGAGTGACCTGTCAAGGATTGTAGATGACGTACCAATGAATTATTCTAAAGTACTTTTGTTGTGGGGTGATATCACATGGTGATGCTCAGGAGAAATATAATCCTCCCGAAGAATAAAAAAACGCGGAAACAAATAACAATCAAATAATCAAATAATCAAATAATCAAATAATTAAATAATTAAATAATTGAAACGAGTCCCCGCAGAATAAAATCGATATAAAAATAGTAGAGAAGAAGATAATAAAGTAATGGAATCGAAAATCAAAGATACTAAATGAAAAAGAATAAAAAGGGGTCAAAAGAATAAAATAAAAGAGGCAGAAAATGAAACGGGCAGTTTCTGCAGACTGGAAAATTTCCACTGTCGCTGGGAGGCCACTAGGCATACTGCGAGGAAACTCTAGCGTGCGAGATGGACGGCCAGCCAAATGCGCCGATTTGGGCAATGCAATGGGCTCCACGACGGAAAATAAAAATAAAAATAAAGATAAAACAAAAGGTCAGTTTGAATTTCAGCAGCAGGAATTCTGTTAAATGAAAAAGCAAGTTAGGATCTCTAGAGGCTATTTGAATCACCAGAAGTCGTGAAATATATGATGACTGGGACTCGGGCAGACAAGTGACTAGTGTCCCTGGATACTGTATAATGAGAAAAAATAATGAAAAAATCCTTTTCCCTTGAAAGTTTGATATAATTATTATTGCTTGGCGATACAACGACCTTCAATAGCTACGAAGAAGCATGACAAGACCGAGAAGAGATACTCTCCGGAGATTCTGTTATGCTGTATTGTTCAATGGATTAGAAAGCCAGTCGTGTATCATTGAGTTGTCGGGCTATTCGCTTGTCCAAGGCAAGTAGCCAGAGCATCCATGAGTGAGAACGAGAGGATTAGGAGCAACGTTCATCCCCAAAAAAGAAGAGAAAAAGCGCAAAGTTTGAATTAAAGTTAAACACAAGTCTTCTCGGTTTTCAGGAAGAATCTTCAGTTACGCTTGAACAGAGCAGATGCGAAATCAAATCCGGGCTGAAGCAAATCTCGTCAAAAGTACAACTCAATGTTATGAGGCCTTTCGAGGCATCAGAGAAGAAATCCGGAGAGAAAACAGTAAAGCCAAAAAAGAATTGTCTTCTCCATATCTGCTGGCTGCTTATCTTCTCCGACGTTTTGCCATGGTCCCCTGACGAGCCAAGTACTCATCGTCGCTATCCGCCTTTCGAGAATTAGCATTGCTCTTCTCGCTCCCCTTCTTGACCGAGATGGCACAGCCCTGCCGTTTCAAAGCAACGGTCAATGGGGTGCTAGCGCGCATGCCCGGGAAATCTTTGGCGGTAAAAACCGTAAAGACATCGCTCATTGTCGAAGTAATTATTGACGTAGTAGCTCCAGGCTGTAACTCGCCCAACGCAAGCCTCGTGAATACAAAGCGAAGGCGATAGCTCCCATGAGTACGGCAGGATAAATCTGGGAAACAAAAGAAGCATCCTTCTTCATCTTTCTCGTCGAGGCCCATGAAGGGCGACGCAACCAAGGTCCCCATAAGCCTTCTAGTTGTCCGTCGGTCCGTTTGCACCAGCGACGTTTCGTCCGCCGTACCTGCCGAGTTCCAGAGCGTACAATGGACAATGCTAAAGGGGTATCGCAGATCAGCAGCATCTGCTTCAGCACCACTCGATTTCCTAACCTTCAGCTGTACTATGGGGGGCGGATCGATTACCCGTCGGTCTCTCTCGCCAAAGCCACAGGCTCGAGCGGCAAGTGGCTGTTGGCGTACAATGATCTCGAAGCGACCGCTGCTGCGAGTCTATCAGCAAAAAAGTCGGATTTTAAATGGCAGGATTCACTGCTCACGGATCCTTGATGGAAGTATTTTGAGAGCCAAATATTGGTAGCGGTTGCAGAGACGGCGGCAATCCTGTCGACACAGAGCCTGATCCTCGCGCTGAATTGACTGAGCCGCGCCTCGGAGTGTAGTCAGGCGAGGGAAATGGTTGCTCAGGCTGACGTGCCAAGAGCTCAGGCGCCAGAAGAGACACCGGCCGGTTAAGAATAATCGGCGTCGATTCTCCTAGCGGTCTCTCACCTGCTTTCCGTATGGTGGACTGATCGGTCCAGCTATTCGTAGGGGAAGTAGTGACTCCATACTGCGAAGTAGCTGAGCCTGATGGGGGTGAAGCGTAGGGTTGATCTGTGAGGATCCTCTCCAATGGTACTGACGGCCATCGATCGTAGCGTGCCGACACCGGCGTGGGCCGTGAGCCTGGAATCAGCGGAGGGCGAGACGACTGAATTTGCTGTTGTAATCGAGGAGGATAAGGCGGAATTGAGAGTTCAGTCAATTGAACAGGCGCTGGGGGCTGTGGATTTCGAGCATAACTATGCGCAGGACCAGATGTTGCAGGCAGGGCATAAGGGTTAAAATGTGCAGCTTGAGTTTCCGCCATGGACAAGGGAAAAGGAGCAGCTCTGCCAGGGTGTATCGGTAAGGTCAACGGCGATGAAGACAGCACCGGAGGGGTAGACTGAGAATGCGGAGGCGGCGGTCGACTGGACATCAGTCACTTCCTCCCTCGCACAAAATGTACTCGCAATCGAAATCAATGCTGGCGGTGACGGGTTCCCGCATACGACAGCCAGCGCCCATGGGACGGGATGAGCGGCCCGACAAGCTTGACGGGACCAAAGGCAATAAAAATAAGCCTTGATGTGTGGCGAGTTTGAGGTTGAAGCAGACAGCCGATGCAGGAAGCAAAGGATTGATTCGCACAAGTGACGGACCAGCCGGGGGAAGAGCTCAGGTCGTATAATCGCTGCAGTGACCGTATGGAAAGAAACGTGGGGAGGAGATATCAACACAAGACAGATATCAAAATACAGTCCCTTGGACTTGCAGTAAACATTGAGATTGAGCGTGTTTTCGATAGTCGGTAGACCATGGCTGCCAGACTAGGGCAGACATGCCGGCCAAAACTCTCCTGGGGTCGATTCCCATAGCATAATGTGCTGTTAAGGGTCAAGCCCAAAAGAGGACCCTAAACAAACACCCCTCCACGAAACGGCCAGGACAAGCATTGTGTAGGCATTTCCTGGAATGAGGAAATCTACGGCGTTAAGGTCAGGTACAGGCAACGAATCCAGAATAACAGAGATGGATGGGTACTCGTAGAGAACCCACTCCTTCGTAGACGCCACGCCTTCTGATGAAGGAAATAAGCCGAACCATCTCCCCAAACGTCCCTCAACCATGCCAGCCGGGGTCATTGTACGATGACCGATTGGTGGGGGCCCATGTTGTGCGGGTCCTTCTCGTGCACAACCGACCCTAGGTGCGAGGGTGGCCGAGCGGATGTGGCAACCGGATACGTTGGCAGACCAGGGACCCGTGGCCAGTTCGCCTCCCTTTTTCGTGGAGAGGCGCGGGCGGTGGGAGGTTTTAGCAATGGTCCGCACACACTCTAGCGTTGCGAACGGTTGTGCCGGTGATCCGTGTAAACATTTTGCACCGGAAGTCGAGGGCGCTCGTTCCACGCCCAGAGCATGCTGCTGCTCCAGATGGTAATAGTGACGGCGAGGTGGTGGTGGTGGTGGAATTCCGGTCAGCAGCAGCATTAGCTGCAACGTCTCTTACCCCCTGTCATCAAAGAAGCCGCGCCGATCGCAGCAGTCTTGGACGAGTCACCTCTATGTTTCCAGGCTAGATCAATATTGATTGTCTATGATCCAGGCAACCAAATCAAAAGCAAGACCCCTAATACTTGTAAGCCAGTACTCCGTAGCTGTTGCATAATTGATTGGTGCAACCGACGAACATCCCTGGCAAAAATGACCGGGGAACCAGTAGCGTCCGAGCCGCCTATCACATAACGCTCATTGAAGAGGATCGACACATATCTCAATAATTAATGCAATCGGTTCTCTGAGCACGTTCTATATTCGTGTATAGTACATGTTGAGACATTGAGCAAGAAATGATGGGCATCTTGTGACCTCCATATGTTAATCATGTTTTGCCCGACGGTTGTTTACCGGAGATGTGGCGGGGATAACATGAGATCGTATGATGAAGCCAGAGGGGTCTTTATATCATCCTGTGGTTCGTTCTGTTATAGTGTGATTGCCTGACAGCTGCCAGACGGGTTGGAAAGCGAGATTGCCGAATGGCGGTGGCGGTATCACGGCCCTTCGACCACCCTTCAGGCCCTCGCACATTGCTTATTCAGTGAAGAGCTTAATATGTGAAAGTGCCTTGTTTTAACTAAAACGGTTAACTAGTTTGACATCTCTAGCGAGTACCTTACCTACTGTTGGCAGGAGCGGATCACTAGAGCTTGTCGCAACTCCATCCGCGAAATTCCTCGATTCTCGCCTAACTAATGAATTGTCCGAGCCGTATCAAAGTTATCACCTTACAGGTCTAAACCCCGGAGCTGTTTGATTCTTCTCATGTGGCAGAGAAGTCTTCAATTTTCCCACTTACAATTCATGGTTTGAATTTTGCATACTTCACACTAGAATTGTGGCCTAGGCTCCTATCCCGTCTCAGCCATAAAGTACAGGTCTTTGCTCCCACGACAATTTAGAGGTGCATTTGCGACGCACTGCTTCGTTTTTGATAAGCCAAGTTCTAAAAAAATCATCATATTGACTTGGGGCGACTGAGAGAGTTTGTCATCAAGTACCAAATTAGCAAAGTCACTAATAAGTCCCGAAACAAAATTGATGACTTGTTTCTGAAGGTTGATGTCAGTTGGACTAATGTGGATGAGATGCTTGTATTGTGCTACTAAGTTGATAAACCACGCGGGAGCCACGTGATATGTTATCCATTGACGTCCAAACCATTTAATTGACTTTTTACGGTTTCAAATGATGAGAATGATAATAATAATGATGCGGATGAAGTGGTGATAGACAAAGGAAGAATGTCATTATTATTGCGGCTTTATTTGGGAGATTAAGAACGAAGAAATCGACAGATGAGGTGACGACCGATGTCGGCCTTAATATCAAAAGGGAATCGCGTCAAGTCTAACGATCCCGTAGTTCTTCAATGGTCTCCCGGGAATATCCTGCGACCCAATCGTTGGGTGGTGTGGTTTGTTCCTAAGCCAAAGCTGCCAGTAAAAAAAAGAAAAATAGAGCATGGCTCCCCCGTTATCAATCCCGCAGCTCCTCCGCTGCAGCATCATCCTTGACAATACCTCTTTGATCGTCATTGAGTCAAGATGAGGCTCCCTCAAATCGCGAGTCCAGGTACGTTGCCAACGGGGAAGGGAAAGAAAGAGCTCCCTGTAAATTACACGCTTCTAACTGAGCTCGACGTGCGCAGGCTCCAAAGACGTAGCTACCTTGGTAGTTCCTGAATATGCGCAATCATGGGATCGCGCCGTCGAAAGGCGGGTAGTCCGCAAAATTGATATGCTCCTGTTGCCTTTCATGTGGATAGGCTATGGCCTCGTATATTACGACAAGGTCCGCATATTCTCACTGCAAATTGTGACCCGTCCATTAAAAATTAACATGGCAATTAGGCAATTCTTGGAAGCGGTGCCGTGCTGGGTATGACGACCGACCTTTCCCTCAAAGTTATCGATAAATCTACGATTCCGCCTACCGTTTCAACGAAACGACTTAGTTGGGCGACGTCACTTTTCTACTTTGGAATGTTGGCGGGCTTGTATCCGTTTACCTACCTGTTTCAGAGATTTAGACTTGGTCGTGTTTTGGGGTGCACCGTGATCTGTTGGGGAGCCATTGCAATGCTCACGGCCGCTGTCACCTCGTGGCGAGGTCTCTTCGCGCAGAGATTCTTCCTCGGATTCACTGAGAGTATCATTCCTACCGCGTTCATGGTCATCACATCTGGATACTACACACAGTCCGAGCAGACCATGCGACAGTGCCTCTGGTATTCTACCACCGGAGGATGGACAATCATTGGTGCAGCTATCAATTATGGATTTGCCAAAATCGACCCCGATGCTCCGTTGGCTAGATGGCAATACTTGTACCTTCTGGCTGGAGGATTGACAATCCTTTTTGGTATTCTCTGCTTCTTTATTCCAGATTCGCCAGTTTCTGCTTGGTTCTTCACCGAGAAGGAAAAATTTGTGGCTGTGGAGAGACTGAGAATGAGCCAGACTGGACTGAGGTGTCAGTCGGTTAAATGGTCCCAGATTCGAGAAGCTCTGTTGGACATCAAGGTCTGGACTTTGGCTGTCATGATGGGTGCCGCATATTGCGTCAATGGTGCTGTCTCGGGTTTCGGGCCCCTCATCGTTTCCACTTTTGGATACACTGCGGCTCAATCGATCCTTTGGCAGATGCCATTGGGTGCGGTATGCTTCGTGACCATCTTAATTGTTGGATATGCCAGCCGCTACATTCCCAACATCCGCCTTTTCATGTTGATCTTTTGCTGTCTGCCCGTGATTGCTGGCTGTGCCATGATTTGGCGCGGCACCTGGAGCTACCATGCTCCAACTCCTGTGGCCGGGTACACTATCATCGGCTTCTTCGCTCCTGTCACCAGCCTGATTGTAAGCATGGGTATGGCGAACGTTGCTGGAGCCAGCAAAAAAAGTTTTATGGCAGCAGCCATCTTCGTCTTCTACTGTGTTGGCAACGTATGTCTCAAAATTATCCTTTGCCTCCCCAATTTTTGTCAGGCGCGATCTTCTAACCTTAACCCGTTTGCAGATTGTTGGTCCTCAACTAGTCTTCTCCAACACCATCGACAGACATTATCCGGCTTTATGGCTTGGGATCATCATTTGGTGAGCATGCATCTACCCTTTCCCATGATAGTTGTTCAACCCGATCTCTAATTAAGTTTTGCAGCTACTGTATTGTCATTGCACTGGCGATTTTGCTCTACATCCTCCTTAGGCTGGAGAACAAAAAACGTAACTCCCTGCAACTGGACGAAAAGGAAGCCGAGAGAATGGCTTTTGAAGACAGAACCGACAAACAGAATCCGCACTTCCGGTATGTTATGTAATTTTTCGCCCAGGAACAATCCATCTAGTAGGTAGATATCTTAAAGTCCGGGATCCGCGCCGCAGAACGCCTCCAAATGCCTCGTGTGATCCAATCGGCATTTGTTTCTTGCTCATAGATATTCATTTTATATATAATTTTTATTTCTCCCAGTACGGAAGCGATTGTCTCGGAAACTTTTCACTCAAATCGTGGAAAGATTTCCACAAGCGCGGAATCCTCATTTTGAAGTGATAGCTTGCTTGGATAATACTTCTCAGATGACCTGGATGGGGATCTAGCGAATCTCCTCGCTTTCTCCGTTCAATTAATTCCATAGTCACCAAAGGCAATTAGTGCTTGCCATAATCCAATTGCGCTGTACCAAGGCTTATCGGGACCGCGTGAGCTTCTTTCTTCAGGCGTGCCCCTCAGTGTAGCTCGAGCTCCCAGCTATGCCCTTCGCTAAACCATTTCCCCGAAGCGCCAAATTTAAGGTTACGACTAGTGAAGTTGGTTTAACCAAATTCAGGTAGCGCACTGTAAGTTAGTGGGAAGTGCCAAGACACAGCACCGACACCACCTGTGTATGATAGGACAAAACACAACACCATTCATCACGAGACGGTCAACCGATTGGATTCGGAGTCTTCAAATTTCCTATTCCAATTTCCCCAAATATTGGTAAAACATTTAATCCACTCCATAGCCCTCAACCATAATTTCATATTGTTTTTAGAAAGGCCTCGACGAACTTGGGTGCGGCCGGGTTTTTCATGGCCGAGCGTGGGAACTATCACAGTACGGCTCCCTGTACAACAAAGCAAGCTTCTATTTCCCTACACATCTTTAATCTTTCAAGATCCATATCTGTCTATATAATTTCTCCTCTGACACTTGAGCTATGCAGAATATCAAGGCATAGGTCGCCACGCCGGCTTGCCACCTGCTGCGTGCCATGTCCTTGACCCACGATTGTTATTCTCAAGTCAGCTTGTGCCCGGAATCTTTGACCAGAAGATCGTAATTGATTATGGATGTAACTCTGGATCTGTTACGGTGCAGCTTGGTATGTACTTGTGCCCCTTTCTACACTAAACATGATGATATCATTTATCATTGGTTGGTCCGTCAGCAGAGATAGCTAATCGGCAAATTGCAAAAAGTATTCGACTTCAATGCAGCTTCTGCCACTGGTATAGATGCCGATAGCAGCCTGATTGTACAAGCTGAAAGCCATCTCGCTTTCCGCTGGTCTCGGGTCAAGCCTGGCACAGACGCGTCGAGACCAGACTTTTCGAGAGAGAGTCATTACTTTCCAGTGTCGGCGATATTATCACATGGCCATAGACCATTGCCGTCGCATCCGTCTGAATCTGATGAAACTAACACGGTGAAATCTGGAGAAGGGAAAGTTGCGAAAAAAGAGCCTTTTGCCAGGGCTCGCCCTCTACCTGAAAATGTGCAGTTTAAGTGTCAGGATTGGGGCAGTAGTTCGGCTACGAAGGAAGATTCCACCCTGAGAAAAGCTTCTTGTGATGTCATTTTGGCGCTCAGTGTGATCAAATGGATACATCTGCAGCATTTAGACCAAGGGCTTCGAAGGTTTTTTCGTCGATGTGCATCGCTCATTGGACCAGGAGGTTATTTCGTGATCGAGGTCCAACCATGGTCGTCCTACGAGAAAGCAGTTAAGCCAAATAAAGCTCCGCAGCTGGCACTGAACTTTACGAAATTGGTTATTCGACCCACCGACTTTCCTAGCTTGTTGGCTGATGAAGGGTTCGAGCATGTTTTGACGTCGGAAGACTTGCCCCGGCCTATTGAGATTTATAGAAAGATTTGACCGATACCAATCAACGTCAAGTTTCTCTATTTCTCGTAAAGCAGATATCTATCTCATGAGTTGTCTATACGCTAGAACGAGAAGTTTCTTTAGGTATGTTGATAAGAAAAAGTGCATCCTTTTATGACATGCACTGATGCATTGCCGAAGTTATATAGCGCAAACCCTTTTGCCGCAATACTGATGTGTCGCTGAGAAACAGTGTAGCGACTGGCCAGGCATGAATCGACCCCTGCTCTTCATGGACTTCAACATAAGCGCCAGCCTTTTCAAGGATGGCCACTGTATCGCGAATCTCTGAGCTGAACACCTCTTCCGATCCTGAGCTGACGAAGAAACCGTGCAGCGGCGCCGCACGCTTCCACCATTCGATATCTTTGCACGTCCCAGGAGACACAAGTGGGTCATCTAATGAAGCATTGGAACCAGCATATTGCCGTCCGAAAAGATGCAGCCTTTCGGCGTCCAAGTAGTCGCTCGCTGTGTTACGATGCTTGGAGCTGACCAGCGTCGTCCAAGGAGATATAAGTGCCGCAAATCCAGGACGAGTCTTCTCACCAGCTTCAGAACTGGCGAGATGCAGCAATAGACTGAGGATTAAAGTGCCGCCTGCCGAATCTCCCGCAACACAAACGCGAGACGAGTCTCCAATGATGGAAATCACGTGCATGTATCCGGCCAAGGTCTGCTGAAGCTGAGTTGGATATACCCCATCCGGAACAAGGGTGTATTCCAAGGCAAAAACAGCTGGATTTGCATATCCGCGCTCCTTAAGCAGACTTATCCAGGCAAGCAAGAATTCCATGTAGAAGTAACTTGAGCCCATGAAGAACCCACCTCCTTTAAGGCCAGGGGCGTTTCAGCTTGGAGGGTTTCATAGCAGTGAAAAGCAAGGACACGTACCATGACAATAATAAACGACAACATCCGGACTCTTATTCTGATCTGCAATTATCCATACTCCATGAAGTCCACTCTAAAGTTCATTTCTCAGTACGGCTCCAACTCTCCAATTTCACATCTTGGCGACATACCTGATTTACTTCGCGCCAGAAGATGGGAGAACGCAGATATCCATGCCGCAGCATGCGAAACCTCAAAAAAGGCAAGGCGACTTGTTTGGAGAAGAAAACGCGGCCAATGCTCGGGGGAATGGTCGCAAATGCATATCTCACACAACGTATGACAAAGTCCTCAAACGGCGACGCTTGGCGAACAAATGGTGACTGGCCTTTCAATGGAGTAAAATAGCGCTCCTTTACAAATTGCACGGGTAATTGTAACCCTACCAGGCGCAAAGAGTCAGATGACACAAGACCTCTCCCCTTGCGAGGACATTGGCGTAGCGTACCTAAAAATGGCGCAGCTTGGATAATATAGTGAAGCGTATCAAGCAGTCCCACATGGATAAGTAATTGGGGTATTAACAACAACAGGAAGACAATGCAGTCTATGTAGCACATTTGTCCTAGTATCATGGCTGAAGTCTTGGGGTGACGTAATGCACCTTCCAACTAGTAAGAAGAGAAATCAAGTAGATTTCGAAAATAATGAATGTCAATCATCTGAAATGAAAGAAGAAGATTCTAGGTATTTTCATACTTCTATAAGCCGGAGGGAGTTTATTGATGAGATGTTTGTCAAGTTTTCGTGTAAATGCATGTATGACTGCTTGACTTTTGACGGTAAAGGGTCTGGCCACGGGGGGAAACCAAGATGACGCTAGTACATACACAGCTAGTCCAATACCCGCTAGCAACTTTATTCGCAAACACGTTCCCATACGACGAATCGGCTGTTTGAATACCAAAGACTGTAAATCTTCACTCTTTACGCTGCAACATACTTTCACGACGTCTTTTGACCCTGTTCGACGACTCATCATTGGTTTCTGGGCCATATCTTCCCAGAACGACCAGCCCAAATTCACGCTGGATCGTGAAATTGAGGGGTCGTACCTTTACACACGACCCACGCCGTCGACGCCGACTTTTGGAATAATCCACTCTGAGAAGATCGCAGTCTCTTTCATGAGGCACACGATGGCTCTGGTGTGAAGGAAATTTGAAGAGTGCAGAGTGTGAATATTCTTGGGTTGGGAATAGAGCGTGTAGCTGTGAGTGCATTGGAAGCAAAGCTCATCATGGCCGCCTCTACTCCGGTAGACATTGCAAGGTAAGCTCGAGCAAGGTTCACTACCCGCTCTGAAGCTGATGGCAGATCCTCTTGCACAGCACACTCGCCATGGAAGATATTCCAATCAAATTGCGTTGTGCGATTTGCAACAAGCTTGCCCTGAACGCTTTTCGTCTGCCGTGTTGCGATCAGTCCATTTGCGAAACATGTGAGTTCTTACGGCACTTGTCCATCTCCTTCACTCTCGTGGCCCATATCTGACTCAATCCAGGCCAGTCTGCGCTGCCGGACACTTGTCCAGTGTGCGAGCATTCTCCTGTCGCTGCCGATGACTGCAAGCCTCACAAAGCCCTCCGAACAACGATCAAGGTGTTTCTGAAGACCGAGGAGAAGAAACGCGAGTCTCGTGGCCGGTCGGAGAGTATCAATACAATGCCAGTGACGAATGGTACGCCTTTGGCTATTGCTGAGCCAGCCAAGGATCAACCTCCTTCGAGCACCCCGGCTCCCACGTCTCGTGCAGGCGAAAAGGATCTCGCAGACACTGTGGATCAAAGAGAAGAGATCAGCATGCAGGAATCTGCGCAGTCACAGACTAGAGGTTCTGAGACACTTGAAGCCGAGAAGGATATCCCAAGACCGTCAACAGAGGTGTGACTTTTTGCATCACTGAATAAGTTTCTTGCATTTGCTGACCAACCTAGGGTACTGTTGAGGGGGAGAATCTAGAAACTAGTAAAGCTTTGAATACAACAGCTGAACCCGTTGCCGACCACCCCAAAGAGAATTCACCTAATGATGAGAGGAGGCCATCCGTTGCAGACGAGCAAACCGCTGCAAATAACGAGGACCAACTCGGCCCAAATGGTCAATGGGGAAATGCCTCTATCCCGAGTCAGATGCCCTCATTCGCAAATGGAGGGATGTTCAATGACCCAAATGGGGCCTTTCCAAATGCTGGCTGGAATGGCAGCGATTTCAACCCTATGATGCAACCGATGCCTATGACAATGGCAAACGGAGGATGGGGACCATTCCCTAATATGATGGGTAAGCATTTGAAGCCCAAAATATTGGTTGTTTGATACTGATTCATGTTAAATAAAGGTGCTCCTGGAATGAACATGGACCCGATGGCGATGTCTCAAGGCATGTTTGGAGGCTATGGGGGTCAGGACGGCATGGGCATGAACGGTATGAATGGCATGAGCGGCATGACTATGGGTATGGGCTTCGATGCGGGGCAAGGCGGGTATGGCATGTGGGATGGAAACGCCGGGTGGAACGCAAATCAAGATAAATTCAATCCAAATGCAAATGGAAGCCATACTGCCGGTATGGGAGCTCCCTTTGGAGCCAACGCTGGGTTCGCCTCCAGTAATGGTTATAATGTGCAATCGTCGCACCCCGGGAATTTCAATCAGCTGCCTCTACAACCATTCCCCAATAATAACTTTCAAAGTGGCTTTAACGGACCAGATTATAGACGCAGCAGTGGGTTTGGTTTAGGCGGCCAAGGCCCAAGCCAGGGCCAAAACGCCTCTGCTCATAATGTTGCCGATGACAGTGAAGCGTTCCATCATCAACTCCCTCCTGGATTCCAACCTCAAAGCTCACAAAAACTACAGCCGCAGCAAGATATGCCAAGTGAGCCTCAAGGCGAGAATGGAGGTGAGACAGAAACAAAGTCTAACGACGCTGATGCCGAAAAAGGCGCAGATGCAAACCAAAAGAAAGCTGAAGAAAATATGCCTGAAGGCCTTGTGCCCGTCGATGAGACCAACGGTGAGCCAAAGGGTGCCGATACAGAAGAGACTAAATCAGAAAATGCTTCTTCTGATGCTGTTCAACAAAATGGAGGGCCATCTTCACAAAAGGGCACACCAGTCCAACATTCCGCTACCATTGGCGTGCAGAGAAGCATATCGGGCACGCCACCGGTAGGGCCAGGACCTATGCAAACTAACCCCATACCTACTGTTCCCATGAGCCAAGTCATGCCTACAGACTCGATGCCGCCCATGGGTTCTATGGGACCGATGGGGCCGATGGGACCGATGATGCCAATGGCAGGACCGATGGGTCCAATGGGGCCAACAGGGATGTATCCGGCTGGGCCTGACCAGTTCTTCGCAGGACGAGGACGAGGTATGAATGGGGGCTTTTACCACGGAGGGCCCAATCATTTTCGGGGAAACCTTCGTGGGCGTGGAGGGTTCGGCCCTGGCCCGATGGGACCGGGCCATGGCATGGACTTCTCTGGCATGCCTCAAGGCCCTCCAAGAGGCATGGGTGTTGCTGGTGCACCGACTGCTCCTAAGGCATTAAGACAAGGATTGCCAAACACGAGCGTTCTTAGGAATCGGAGTTTTGGAATTGGTGGCCGGGCATCTCAAAGCCAAACACCTGGTGTGGACTCATCGGCAGAGCAGCAGCAGCAAGATTCTCAACAACAGAAATCGCCACCAGCTGATGATGTTGCTGCGTTGGAAAGGTAACATGACACCCCTAAAATTCTTTTGCATATGAGTATGAGTATTAATTTTTATCTAGTCAAAACTCGCCCGATCAAAAGATGCCCGGAGATAACAAGCCTGCAGAGTTACCTCCACGTCCTCGAAGCAGAAGCCGATCACCAGAAGGTGACCGTGAGCTCTCCCGACGAAGCTATCGGCACCGCTCAAGGAGTGTCTCTGGGTCTGAAGCAGATCACAGCCAAAGCAGGAATGAAAGCAGACTCCAAAATGGACACAAGTCCAAGCAAGTTGAGAATGCTGTTCTCGAGGGACCTGGTATTACTGATACAAAAGAATCTCGCCTGCGCGACGCATCTGTCGCCTCGTCCAAACGGTCTGCCCACCACCGCAGCCGTCGTGAGCGGGATCGCGAACGCGAACGAGAAAATGAACGAGGTCGAGAAAGAGATTATCACGAGTCTTCTCATAAGCACAGCAGCTCCCATCATCGCTCATCTCGCCGAGACCGCGATCGCGACAGGGACCGAAGCAAAGGCCGCTCCTCTCACCGCCGCCGACGATCTCGCTCCCCAGAGACGAGCGCTCATTTGGACGGCGAGAGGACCGCCAGTTACAGAAACGGAACGGACAGCGCAGCTGCGACAAGGGAGGCAAGATCATTGACTCCATCACGTAGCAGCAGAAAACGCGCGGCGGGAGAACGATCTCGAAGCAGACATCGAGACCGAGAACGAGAGCATGATCACAAGCGGTCGCGCCGTGACCGTTCTGCCACTCCCGCAAATGATTACGAGTACGACAAACACCGCTCATCAGGGCGGTCCCGACGAGACGAGAAGCAAAAGGCCAAGGATAGATCGAGCGACAAGCAGCGCGACCGGGATCGGGACCGGGACCGAAGAGACCGCGACAAGGAGCGCGAAAAAGAAAAGCGCAGGGACAGAGCTGTTCGCGAAAAAGAAAAGGAAAAAGAAAAGCCATCTAGGCAAGATGTAGATCAACATACGCTTGAGCGAGAAGCGCGCAATCGCGAACGATTGCTTAAAGAGCAACAGCGCCGCGAACAATTGAAACAGGAGCGGGAACGGAATAACAAAGAGCGAGAACGCAGACGTGGAAAACCCCGAACGGAAAGAGACCGGGACGATTATCGTGATGACGCTGATGGCGGCGGCCGCAGAAGAGTCAGTTACAAATATGAAAACGACGAGAGTGAGGAAGCCAGAGCAGCGCGCATCGAGGATGAGAGAGAGGCTGCCCGATGGGGCTGAGAGTATCTATACCCTAGCATACCCTTTGACCTTATCCTCAGTCTTTCTCTCTCTGTGTTGACTTCACTTTACTTCGTCCTTGCTTACATTTTACCCTTTTCGCCAAAAAAGCATCATTCCCACCCCTCTGTCTTCCGTCTCCTGTCTCCTTCCAGCTCGCCTCCTCCTCCTCCTCCCTTACTCTCTTCGTCGACTTCCATCTTCTCTCATCTATCGACTTCTGTTTCGTGACGGGCGGGCGGGAAGGATAGATATCCCACCGTCTCACTCAAAGGAGCTTACTTACAAGTGCTTTTGCATTTCAGCTCATCAGTTTTTCATCCTGGGCGGAAAAAAAGAAACAATAAACGGCTCCAGGGGTCTGTCGCATGAGCAAACTGGACTGGACTGGACTGTACATATACCATACCATTGCCATCAAATGTACTATAATATAGCATCAGACATATAATAGTGTCATTCACATAAATAGTTTGACAAAAGAATCTAAATGGTCAAGCCAAGGTCAAGCCAAAAAAATGTTTTGGTTCTCCAGTTCTTCAGTGTCTATTCTGATACCCTTTGAAAATAAAAACGCCAGTATATACTGCAAAATTGGACAGCTGAAAAAAAAAGTCGAAATGGTGATGGGGGTGAAAAAAAAAGGAAGCGTCCTTGAAAACGGGACTCGGGGTGACATCTTCGTGAACCGCCCGCAGGACTGCAGAGCTGCAGGCCCCCTCCCTAGCAAAAGATGCTACAGAAACTAATTTTACATATTGTGTAATCTGTCTTCGCTTTCGCTTTTAACCTTCGTCCCGGAGCGGGGGTTAACGGTAGAAAGCTAGGTATGGATATCGTACAAATTCCGGTTTTTTAAGGAGAATGTCTTCGGTAAGTTGATATGAGAGCGTAATTGAAGCGAATGAAAGGGAAGAAGATAAGGTGAATGTCGCGACCGGGACCGGGACCGGGACTGCTTAGAATCCAGGAGGGTTAAGTCTTTGGCTAAGACGGGTCCATTTGGGGAGTTCTGTTATGAGGTTGCGAATGTTAGTGTCGTTCCAAGAAGATGATTATATGAATTGACGTCTGTGAGATGAACAAAACCAAAAAGGAGATAAGATGAAATGAAATAAACAACGACCAAGATAAAAACAAAAGAGAAGTAATGAAGATGAGATGAAATAAAGAATAATAGGATAGAACGTACTGTGAATGCCCTTGCGGTACTTCTTCTCCTTGCGGTCGAAAATGGTGTACTTGTCCTTGGGCAGCATCTCGGGCTCGGCGGGCATTTCGTTCTTCCACCGCTCAATGGCCTTGGCGGTCTCGCCCTGCTTGGCGAGCGCGCGATCAATTGTTGCGACGACATTATCGACTGCCCGGAGACGTTCGCGCTGGCGTAATTTTTGCATTCGCGAGAGACGCCATGGGACTTTCCTATCATCGTAGACTGGTCAGCTTGTGTCGTGAGGTGATTGATGCTTGAGGTCGTCGAGAGATTTTGGAGTTCCCGTATTGAGAGATATGGAGATTTGCAAGAAACCCGGGAACTCGAAATATAAATTCTTGTTCGTCAGAGTAGCTTGTATTTCTGGAAGTGGAAAAACCGTGGGATACGGAAAGGACGAGGCCCGGACTCGAATTGATGTGATTCATTCTGCGTACCATAAGAGACCGCCCGAGAGCGGGTTCGTTGCGCGAAAAGGACCGAACATAGTGTCCCCTTTTGGTGTTCTTCCTGACGCAGCTGGGATTGCTGGAAAGGTGTTTGATGATGGTCGACAGGTGTCGCTCTGGGTGATGCAGTAAGGTCAGTTACTGTCGGAGTTTCGATGGTTGAAAGTAAATCCGTTCTTTGTCGGCAGTTTAACTAATGAGATATTAATGAGGGTTAAAGTGGGATACGCTAAGGATTTGAGAAAGCGGCAGACTTGCTGACCAATCAGGTGGCAGGCGGTGAGCGAGACCTGATCTCAGGGACGGTGCGTACCTAACCACCAAGCGGTAAGTTATCGTTGACAGCTAGAGCTACCAGCGCAGGAATTACGGAGGGCAGCACGCCACAGCAGCGGGTCAATTTACCTTACGTGAAGAATATCAGCCTCAAATCAAGAGTGGGAATTATCAAGATCTTAGTAGAAGAATATCGCCATGTCGTACTACTTTGCTATTGTCGGGACAAAAGACAATCCGCTTTTCGAGCACGAGTTTGGCACGTCGAAGCAAGGCGGCGATGGCGTGGCGCGGTTTCGCGAAGAAGCACGACATATGAACCAGTTCATCGTGCATAGCAGTCTGGATATTGTCGAGGAGGTGCAGTGGGGTAATGGACAGATGTGAGTCTCCGTGCTGTCTTCTGATTCTCTCTCCCCTTAAAGCACGATGAGATGTGAGGGTTTTTGTATGCTGATGCTAAGAGCTTCGTGTCGTTGAATCAGGTACCTCAAAGTCATTGACCGATTCTACAACAACTATGTGTCGTGTTTCCTGACCGGCGGCAACATCAAGTTTCTCTTACTCCATGCCCCGACAACACCGAGTGCGGGCTCTGCAACATCTCGCTCCTCTACTTCTATTGCAGCGAACCCTACGGCGCCGGCAACAGAAGAAGCAATACGCTCGTTCTTTGTCGATGTCTACGAAATCTGGGTCAAGACGTTGATGAACCCGTTCTATCACATTGATATGGAAGTCCGAAGTCCAGTGTTTAGAAGCAGAGTCGTTGCCGCAGGACGAAAGTATCTATAACGCCTTCCGTTTTCATCATCTTAAGACCTGCATGTACGGCATGGCGTAACGGCGTTTGGGTATGGGTTGGGATATTCTGATGATATCATGAACTGTCGCATGGAAAGACGGAAGATAGCGTGTCACTATAAGCATTCATGGGCAAACATATTTTTAATTGTGAGCATTAATTGGTCCGAAACAAAAGGTACTGGAATTAACGGTATTAGGTGTATATGAGCGACTGTCAACGAATATAAACAATATGCTAAACCATGGCCAAATCATATATATGCGGCCCCTGAACGCCAATATATGCGAGCATTGCTGCGTGGTGTCTGTGCAATCTAATAGGAGATGAGAAAATGAACCAAAGAAGAATCCAGAATCAAAGGTGCGCCAAGTCAATGCAATATAAATCCAATACAACCCTAGCCGGAATCTTCTCTTCTGCGTCGTCCACCACGAAGAAAAATCATAGTCGAGATTTTCCCGCCCGTCGGCCAAATTTCTTCAATCGCTCGCGCGAATCCATAGTCTCTATAGCGACTGCGTTCTTACCCGCCGTATGCAGCACAGTTTCCAGTTCCTTCTTCTCGTTTCCTTCCTCCATTACAGTCCACAAATCAACGCTCGGCTCCCTCCATGCATGGCGATGCCCCGAAAGTGTCCGACTTGTCCGTCGTCCTCTCTTCTGCGGCGGAATCCTCTCTCGCCCGCGCTCCGGCTCGATGACGGTTGGCGGAGTCGAAGGCGAATCGGCGTCATCGATGACGATCATGACGACTTCGCTCGTCTTTCCCTTTTTCGATGCATGATGTTTCGCCACCAGCCGAGGATGATGCCTTTCCACGTATCGCTCCCAGCGACTGAGCAAAGCCTGGCGTGCCTTGGCCGGAATAGTTAAAGTGGAGATGTCATGGCTCGAATGAGAAATGGATGCAATCCCAGCAGAGACGTCTTCGAATGGATCATCCGTTTCTGACTGCGGGGAGACGAAGAATGCAAAGGGGTCTTCATCGATATTGTCTAATGGAGGCGGAGACGGAAAGTCTGTCGTTTCAAAATTAGGACCGCTGGATATGAAGGGAGGCCAAGAGTGCCGGCTGTGATGCGTGAGGAATGGCATAAGCTTTATATTTAAAGTCAAATAGTCCCGCGTATGATTATTGTTTCGCTCGAGGAAGGTTTGTATAATGTTTAAAGAGTGGCGAAATAGACAAGTAAAGGTTCTCTGTTTTTTTTTTTTTTTTTTTTTTGCCCGTAAGATAAATTATTCTCCGGCTAAATGCCGGCCAGAAAAAAAAATCAACTTGGTCAAATGCTTGAAACGAATGGCGAGTCCGTTGTCCGTTGTCCTCGAGATAAACGTTTCAACAAAGAAGACAAAGGGGCCGAACTCGAGAAAGAGGTACCAAAGAGTATCAGGAGCTCCAGGTGAAAGAACCTCCGGGTCACTGTGGTCCTTTATATACAGCTGGGAATAAGACACAGGATCGCAGGCAGGCAAGAGTTCAAGCGGCACTTGTCATGACAAAGGCGCAGGCGGACACGGCGAAGATATACAAATATGAATCATTGTTAGTCCATATGTGAGACACTTTTATCCCCCGGTCTTTGTAATAGGCAGCACGCGTACATTATTAGGCCACCAATACAAAATGGCAAGCGGCGTCTTTCAGCAAGCCATATGATTTGCTCAGCTCTCTCCTTTTGATTTCACATCCAGGGCTGTGTTAATCATTTTTCTCGTCGTTCTTAGTCTTCAAATCAAGTTTTTTTTGATCTATCTGCCATTTGCCTTTTGATTGATTCTGATTTTTTGCTTACCTTTCCGAAACACAGCGGACAGGCGAAGACGCGCGCCGTGTCGTTATGTTTTAGTTTCTTTTCTCTTCTTGTTGCAAGCTTCTTTTTTTTTCTGTAAGCTGATGATATGAAGAGATGATGAGAAGTTGGTATTGTCGTTGATGGGCACCAGGGCACCAGGGCCACCCGTCTCATCTCTCTTCACCCCTGCTGATCCCTCCGAGGGTGTGGCCAAATGGTTGTTCATGTGTTGCCCTTCTGACCATTCGGATCTCGCGACTGACGGAGACGAAACTGCAGCGCCGATCAAAGCCTACTGTGGGAATCGCACATCCTGCATCTTGCATCCTGCATCGCATTTTGACTTTTGGTTTTTGGTTTTCTCGGGGGGAAGCAAAGACCCTGCAGGCGGGTTGCGGCATGACGGCGGCGTTCGCGGGAAAAAGGTGTGTTGGTGTCAGCCCTGCGACCCTGCGACCTGCGGCAAACGCGACAACGTGCATGACCTCAGCACTACTCGTCCTGTCGTCCATGTTTATCGCCTTCCTAGTACAGAATATTCGTTCGCATGTCTGTTCTATCGTGCATTTCTTCGCATCTCCATTTGCTCTGTTTTTGTCTTGTCTTTTATCTTCCATCTACAAAGTTAGAGTGTTTTCCTTATGCTATTTTTCCATTCAGCTGAGCTCTAACATGCATAATCTCTGCACCCTTGTCGTTTAGAAGCAGGTCCACGGCGGTCACTATTCCGTGTCTCAGCTGCGCCGCTTTGACGTCTTTGACATTTTTGATATCCTTGAACTCGAGGCTACAATTGCCTGTCGCGTCCCCTCCCATACTGCCCCTCTCTTGGTCCATAAATTATCTACTTTCGCCAGCCCTTTTTCTATTTTTTTTCACCTGTAGCCAGCCTTGCTTTTCATCCTCAGCCAGCCAACTCTTCTACCGTAGTCTGCCAACGCTTCTAAGCTGAACACTTTCAAGCTGAACGGAAATCTATCAATACACCATGAAACCCTGACACCCAGCCCCGAATCCCCAATATCTCTCGCCGCTTCTTATCTTCCTCTCTGTAGTATACCAGCTGAATGCTCGATCTCAATCTTCCAATCTCACCTGCAACTACTAGCTAACCTACCTACTGTATTTTCCCACTGGCATCCATCCAAGTCCCTCTGTAGTGTAGCTGATCATTTTTCTTATCTTTTCCTATTTCCTATTTTCTATTTTCTATTATATTTTATTTTTATTTTTATTTTTATTTTAGATATTCGCACTGTTCCACTGTAACTTGACATTACTGTTGATCTAACAAAACACTTTGCCTTGACTTTATGAAACTTATTTATTTACTTTTGCCCTAATATTCATATCTATACATATCGTACGTTTTCTTACACTTCCGTAAAGTCCCATTCCCGTATTTCTGGCACATATATTCCGTATGCGCTGATACAACTACGAGGGATACATGAGGCCGTGTCGCGCCGCTCGGTGGACCTCACAACCAGGGACACTCTAGCACCCAGTTAAGAGATATCTAGGATGAGAGGAAATGGGGAAAGGAATATGTACCACTTTGATGAGACGTTTTCAACACAAAAGGTCGATTGGTCTAGTGGTATGATTCTCGCTTAGGGAGTCGGAGCGCGAGTTCCTTCTCAAAAACCTAAGTCAATTTGCGAGAGGTCCCGGGTTCGATCCCCGGATCGACCCTTTTTTGTCTTTTTTTTTTTTTGCTTGATTTAAATCATGCGCTGAAGAAAAGGGTAGAGTGGATAAATTGCACGTGTCTTTAATATGAAATTTTTTGGAAAGAAAAAGGAAGGGGGGGGGGTTTCTCCTGGATGAATAGCTGTTTAGCCTTTAACTGGGATGAAAAGGAATCGTGCGGAACTGAATATGTAGATAAAATCATGATGAATATTCTAAGAGAGATAGAGACGGACAAAAAGGCATCAAGGAATCGAAAAGGTAGCTAGCAATGTAAAAGTGTATGTTTCATTACTGGCTTGAGATAGTCACCATGTTCGAATTGAGAATATGTATTTGGCATAAAGATTTTATAAGTATACATATATATGTGCATGCACTAAATTCTTAAATGTTCGTTTATAGACTGAATAAGTAATGTAATGTGTGCGGCAATGCCTTGAAAATAAATACCGTAAACCCGATCCGACATTTATACCAAGTAAATACTATGCGTGTCAAAAGGTAGTGTCAGGTACTTGAATCATTTCTAAATACCAGACCAGCTGGCTGTTCAATTCCAATACCACATAAGACCCAGAATTGAACCAAGACACATGAATCAAGATAGCAAAGATACAAGATTGATCCAAGAATCAAGATAATAACGAAGAACCAAGAACCAAGACGAAAAAGACACAAGGATCAAATTAATAACCCTTGTGTCTCTCCAACTGATTCAGCAGTTTCTCACCGCTAAAGTACTTGCCCAGATTGATCCGTAGCACATCAAAAATGCGATCAAACGCCTTATCCGAGAGGAAGCTCATATGCGGGGAGACGGTACAGTTGGGGGCATCCCAGAGGGGGCTATCGGCAGGGAGGGGTTCCGGGTCCGTCACGTCGAGGGCGGCGCCGCGGATATCTCCCGCGTGGAGGGCTTTGATGAGGGTGTCCTGGTCAATGACCTTGCCGCGGGCAATGTTTGTCACAAAGGTCTTGTTACGGGCAAGAATCCCGAATTCTTCGGGCCCAATGAGCTTCTCGGTCGAGCTGGTCAAGGGCACGGAGATGATCAGGTGGTCGAGATCCTGCGACAGAAATTTGTGCAGCGAGGCTTTGTCCTTGCCGCTGAACCAGGCTTCGGGGATGCTCCCATCGGGGTCGCCCGTGCCGGGGATCACGTAGCCGTGGTCGCGCCGCGATTCGGGCGTGTCCCGAGGGGACATGGTGTATGCGATGACGGAGGAGCCCATGGCCGCGGAGAGACGGGCGACTTTGAGGTGTGTTAGTTGTATATATTTAAGAATGTGAAATATAAAAATAATTCAATAAATAACAAATGAAGAGAAACGGAATGACAAGTCAAGGAGCAGGAAAGGGGGGGAAGGGGTTAGAGGAGAGGGCGGTTTAAACAGAAGAAGGGACTGAAGAGAAATGATTGAAGGGAAAGGAGGGGATGAAGAACTTACTTTGTCGTCCGACACTACCGTAGCCCAGAACGCCTACGCGTTTGCCCTGGTTGTCGTAGACGCCAGAGAGGCGGTCGCCGAAACTGTGCCATTCGTGCTTCTGCTGCCATGCATATGAAGTATTGTATTTTCGACAAAACGTCAAGTAGCTCATGATGACCCATTCAGCGATTGGCGGGCCGTGAATGCCAGACACAGTAGCCATGGTGATGTCAGAGTTGGCAACGATTGGGTGTTTGCTGACATGGTCAACGCCGGCGGAGTGTATCTGGACGAATTTTAAGCTGTTACTCATTAGTCGACGGTTGATTCTGATCGTTTTTATTTGATCGTTTTGGGAAGGGCATTATAATAAGTAAAAGGTAAAATGAAACGAATAAAGAGAAATTATGAAATAAAGTGAATACAAAGAGAAATATAGACATACTTTGGAACATATTCTTGCTTGGGTGGAAGTTCTTTGAACGTCAACAAGATAGTTGCAGATTCCCAAACATCTATAGAATAATACAAGATTGAGTTAGCATGACACCCATCAATTGCTTCAATTTAAAATAGTGACATCAAAGCAAATAATAATCTGTCCGATATTGACATACCTCTAGGTACACATTCTCCAGGAGCTATCCCGAGCCCTGGATCCGGGGATTGGACCCATGTGATTTTCAAGTCGGGGTACGCTTTGCGGATGATATCCACCAGCCGAGGATCTTCCGGAAAGAAGACGGCGATCACCAAATGCTCCTGCACTGGGGCTCTCATCTTTGACACGAGTGGCAAGGAAAGAAGTTCGGGCGTCACGGTACGGATAGAGAGGAGCAGCAGAACACGGCTGTCCTTTGAACTGATCTTAAATCAATGTCCTTTGCGGACTGCACAATAGTACCTGAACCATTATGCCCGTAGGGCGTGTCAATTGACTTGCCGGAATCTTCCCTTATCTTAGCATGGGCCTAAAATCGGCCATTGGCCAAAAGGGTAACCCCCCTCAAAGGGGCCATGCTTTCTCACGCGCGAGTAGATTTCGCGTGGGAGGGTTTATCAGGCATTAAGTGGAACTAGGCATTCGCGGCATGTCGTTGAGCGGCTTGACGGTCATGTTGAGTATCCTCCCGAGACAAGCTCTTGTCGCTTTATAAACGAGGCATCCTCCCATGTCACCATGCGCATGACAATATGGCGTCGATTCAATGAGGATGACGTGCGTGCATTTCCTTTGTTTTGCAGGTTGCGCTGTGCGAGCTCGTCAGCCGGCAATCTTCCGTTTCAGCATCTAGATGCAGAACGCAACAAGTATAACCAGAAAGGGCTGCTGTGCTTAGCAACATCTGCAACGTCACGGCCGGACCGGTGCCTCGATAAGAGGTGCTGACAGAAGCGCGGAACTTGGGCGCATAGCCATGCGAAGGCAGTCGACGAATTGACCAGTGATAGTGACAGGTGGAAATTGGTTTAGTGAGGGGAGCGGTGCTGGCGGGGAGGGACGGAGGAGATTGCGACAGTTTTTGGCGTTATCTCGGTCGTTGTCCGATCGCTCCGATCAAGGGCCGAAATTTTTGACAGAATTTTACCCCGGCTATAAACGGGTGGCATCGGCAAAACAGATTGACAAAAGTCATCTCCCACCAATTCAAGGCTACTCAATATCACTTTCAAGGGGTCAAATTATAGACGTGTTATTAATGAGAATCATTTAAGATCAAGTCAATTGCATTTACTTACCGTTCTTTCCACCCGCGCAACTTGGTTTACTTCAATTTCCTCGAACCCGAATATCACCGATCAAATTCCTAACTTCCCGAAACTCCCTCGAACATCATCTTTTCAAGATCCAGTGTGTCAACGATTGATTGACAACATGACGATCAATTCTGCTAGCGGCCCTGACAGCTATGCTGCTCCAGCTGCCTCGACCCTTGACGCCGCTTCGAACCCATCCCTCTTTTCGGAGCTGCCCAGATACCAGATTGATTCAGTCTTCGCCCTCATTGCTGATTACATTGCCGACACCCATCCTGAAAAGGTCAGCCTGGGACCTGGCGTGTACCGTGATGATCAAGGCGCTCCCTGGCCGTTGAATGTTGTCGAAAAGGTCGAAAAGCAGCTCTTCGAGAAGAACGATGCTGGTCGCCACGAGTACTTGACCATTGCTGGCGATGGAACCTTTCTCGAATTGGCTCGCGACCTTTGCTTTGGCTTTGGTGAGGGCACTCCTGAGGAGGAGAAGCTCAAGCTGAAGATCGCCTCGGTCCAGACCATCTCAGGAACTGGTGCAAACCACATGGGCGCCCTCTTCTTGTCCAAGTACCTGAAGCCTGCCCGCGTCTGGATCTCGGACCCTACATGGATGAACCACCACACCATCTGGGAGCTGCAAGGCGTCGAGCGCCGCACGTACCCTTACTATCACGCTGAAAAGCGCGCCTTTGACTTTGAGGGCATGATGGCCACGCTCGAGGAGCAGGCTGAGAAGAACGATGTCATTCTTCTGCACGCGTGCGCTCACAACCCTACCGGTCTCGACCCGACTAAGGAGCAATGGAAGGCCATTGCCGATCTCTGCGAACGCAAGGGTCTTTTCCCCTTCTTCGACTCCGCCTACCAGGGATTTGCTTCGGGTAATCTGACCGAGGACTCGTGGTCTGTGCAATACTTCCTCCGCAACAAGCCTAACATGGAAATGTGCTTGGCTCAGTCCTTCTCCAAGAACTTTGGTCTATACGGCCAGCGTGTGGGAGCTTTCCATCTTGTCTCAAACGAGCCGTCGTCCGAGCTTCGCGAATCGATCAAGGTGAACCTGTGCCACCTCATCCGTGGCGAGTACTCGATGGCTCCTCGAGGTGGCAGCACCATTGTCAAGACCGTCCTCCTCGATGAGCAGTTGAAGAAGGAGTGGCAGAATGATCTGACGATCATGAGTGACCGTATCAAGGTGATGCGAAAGGCACTTTATGATGAGCTGCAGCGATTGGGTACTCCTGGAACTTGGGAGCACCTTGTTACTCAGGTATGTTTCCTGTTTACCTTTCCGCTTTCCTTTGACGATGGCATTGGACTAATAACATTAGATTGGCATGTTCTCCTACACTGGTCTGACCGCTGCCCAGTGCCATGCACTTCGGGGGAAGCACCACGTGTACATGCTCGACTCTGGCAGAGCATCTATCACCGGACGTAAGTAATCTAGTACTTCCCTCATCACTATCAGCAGACAAAAGATGCTAACATACCTTGCAGTGACCTCCGAGAACGTCGTTTACGTTGCTCGTGCTTTTGACGATGTCGTCCGCAACAACTAATGACAGATTAATGTTGGCACTTCCATATCGATGAAATTTCTTTTGACCACGTTTCATAAGCCCTTTATTTCCTTTTTTATACCTGATTTTCCTTTTGGCATCTTGACGGGCGTTTAGCATTATGTTTTTATGTTTGGGCGGTTAGCATCTGTAAAATTTTGTTTCAAAGCTCCAACAGGCATGATAGATGGAGATGATATCAATGAATAGATGAGAATCAAGCAACAATAGTAAATACCCTCAAAATGAGACAATTATACGTGTACGTGATTCTATAGCACTGCCAAGACATTGTGTGAGCGAGCACGGACCACTGGTTGTTGTTGTTTGTGTTCCTGGAGAATGACTCAGCAATGACAAAGCAACCTCGGCACTCGGAAACGGCGGATCGGCTACGTCATTACAGGACTAACTTGAAGCCGAAAATCCGGAGAAGGAGGCAGATCCAATGCCTATCATCATCCAATGAAACTCTATTAATCTGTTTACTGAACAATCTGGCACCGGAGAAAGGATATAATTCGGACGTTCACTGGTATTGACATAGGAAGCGTCCCCTGCTCGGGATATAATCCGTAGCGTAAAGAAAGAGCGGCCTGTGAGCTAGACGTCACTGCCCGTTCCTTTGACGACAGGGAAACGCAAGATTACCCACGCTGGGGGTCACGAAACCCCTAACTCTATCCGGCCGTCGGTTTACACTGACGGCAGACCTCCTCCCCAGCTTGGTTTTATAAATACTGTCTGACCAACATCCTGTTCTTATCTGTAGTTTTATGTGCCATTTGATCTGACCCGGCCTTCTCCTTTGCTCCCCTCTTCATTCGCGACCTCTCCCCTCTTTCAGATACCCCATTGCTCTACTGCCCTGGTTCCCACACAATTGCTGTAGAAAACAAAGTCAAAGACATCACACGACATCTTGAAAGACCAAGTCATCAATAAAGTCCTCCACCATGTCGAGCTTCAAGCTCCCTCAGCCCAAGAGCAAAATTGAGCCGTACTCTCCCACATATTTCGGTGCCTGCGCGCTGGGAGGCGTTATTGGTACGTTAGCAGATTTCAATGGCTCCCTCAGCTATGGAAATATTTGGCTAACCCTACAATTCTAGCTTGTGGACCAACTCACACTGGTGGTACGTTTAATTCTGGTTCTTCAATGCATACAAGAATGTCAATTGACTCGAACTCTGAACAGTTACTCCCTTGGATCTGGTTAGTCTCCTACTCTGGCCTTATTCCATTCCACCGACCGCATGAAACTAATTTGGTAACAGGTGAAATGCCGACGCCAAGTCGATCCGAAAATCTATTCATCCAACATTAGCGCGTGGAAGACGATATACAAGGGTTCCGGCCTGCGAGGTGTCTTCTTCGGATGGTCTCCGACCTTTATCGGTTACAGCTTCCAGGGAGGCGGTAAATATGGATTTTACGAAGTTTTCAAGTATCTCTACGGAGACAAGCTGTTCCCGAACATGAACAAAACTCTTGTGTATCTGGGGGCCAGTGCCTCGGCCGAGTTTTTGGCAGACCTTGCCCTTTGTCCATTTGAAGCTATCAAGGTCCGCATGCAGACTACGCTTCCGCCTTTTGCGCACACGATGAGAGAGGGATGGTCCAAGATTGTTGCCAAGGAAGGCTATGCTGGGTAGGTGTCATAAAGATTTTCCTGGAAATACGATGCGTTATGAAATGAAAAGCTAATGCGGTGGCAGACTTTACAAGGGCCTTTATCCTCTCTGGGCACGACAGGTCCCCTATACCATGGTGAAATTTGCAACCTTTGAGACGACCGTTTCGTACATTTACCAATTCCTCGGCAAGCCCAAGGAGAGCTACAATTCGCTTCAGCAGACGGGAGTGTCGTTCTTGGGTGGTTATATTGCCGGTGTTGGCTGTGCTGTCGTAAGCCATCCGGCTGATGTCATGGTCAGCAAGTTGAACGCCGAAAGGCAGGGTATGTGTCACAATTCGGGCCGTGATCCGCTTAAACAGAATGACCAAATTGGAACCACTTGACTAACGCTATCGTAGCTGGTGAGAGTGCCGTCAAGGCCATCTCGAGAATCTACGGAAACATTGGTTTCACTGGCCTGTGGAACGGTCTCCCCGTGCGAATCGTCATGATTGGTACTCTGACCGCATTCCAATGGTTGATCTATGACAGTTTCAAGGTTGCTCTGGGAGTATGTCTTTGCCTGATCCGGCATTTTGTTTTTCTCATTCATTCGATGCTAACATTCTTCTGTAGCTTCCCACGACTGGTGGTCACTAGAAACATCTTCTATCCGTACGATAATAACGACTGGTAATTTTCGGGATACACGGCGAACGGGTAATTAGTTTGACTCTTTTGGAGCGCACAAGTCAATATTACTAAAGCTCTGTATTATGTTTGTCGATGATATTCTTAACATCTCTTTTCTTGATTTTCTCATTAAGCGCCAGAACACCTGTCATAGACGGTGTGCTATTCTTCTTTCCGTTTTCAGTAAACTTTTATATCCTTTTGACCATCATAATATGATGAACATAGAGAAAGCAATAAAGCCATTATCTTCCATTCTCCAAGTCCACAAATTGAAACAGACTCACAACCACTCTCTAAGCATTCAATTCGCTTTCACTCCCTATTCCCAATCCCTCCAACCCCTCCAAAACCTCCGCCAACCCATCCCTATCATCGTCTGTCACAAGTCCTATCCTTTGCAAGACCCCACCATCATTTCCTTTTCTGTTACCGCCCAGCCGAGACGTCGAACTCACATCCAGCAATTCCTTTGCACAGCTCTGGATCTTACGCACAGCACCCATACACTTTTGACGCACATTGGCCGGCGACCGAAGCAGCAGTTCCACAAGAAGCTGCCACAACGCAATACGCACTTCAATTGGGACTGCCTCGCTCCTGGTTCCCTCCCCTTCCTCTCCCCCACCGACAGCCTGCAAATCAGCCAGTCCAGCTCCTCTGTGTAAAAGCGGCATCCACGTCTCGGACAAAGGCATGGCGCCTGTACCGGGCCGTGACTCGGTGATTTGTAAAAGGACACGGATGATTTCCGTAGCGAGGAGATGATCTATCGTGTTCTGATCGCCCGTGATCTCGTTGGGTTTGTCTCCGGTCCCACCTCCGACGGTTTGGCTGCCGCTGCCGCTGCCGCCGCCAAGTAGATCCAACAAATCAGACGCGAGTATTTTCCAGCCATTCTCGGTCATGAACGTGTCGATTCCAGATGAACGGGGCGCTTTTCTATCATCTTCGTCATCATCGTCATCATCGTCGTCATGATTGCGGGTACGAGCACCAGCACCAGTATCAGTGACGCCAGCCGAGGAGGAGGACCCAGCCCCCGCATCGACGATGCCCTGTAGCGCGTACAGAATGGACAACCGCGCCGTCGTGGGCGCAGAGGGATACATGCCCACCAGCACGTCCGTGATGCCGACAGCCTCGTTGCGCAGCGCCGTGTTGTCGTCGTCTTCGCGCAGCCAGAGCCCAAGCGGACCAAGTGCGCTGAGAAGTAGACTGTCGTGCGTAATTGGCGCAGAGGCGGTGTCCCACGGGAGACTGAGCGGGGCGGAGGGTTCGGAAGAAGTAGTGTTGTTGTCGGTCGTTCCGGATGGGGCGGAAGCACCTGAAGTAAATTGTGAGGAAGCAGCAGCAGCAGGAGGCCGTGGTCGTGCGTCTGGATGTAGTCCTGCAGCTCCGCCAACGGCCGCGTCCCATCGGTCCCGGAGGTACTCGATTGTGAGGGATATGGTTTCTGCAATGTCACGGCGGAGTTTGAGCAGGAGGTCTGGTGCGAGAAGGAGAGGCATGGTTGGCAGGGATGAGCGAGAGGCAGGGTCAGGGTCGGTGTCGATGTCGGCATCAGCTTCATCGTCAAGGTGGTCGAATGCGGAAATGAGCTGGCTTATAAATGTGAATACAATCTGATATGCGAAGCCTAGTCGTGTCGCGGTCTCGGGATATGTAGGCGATGCGAGATTCTCCATCAGCGAGGGAATAGTCGCGCGGATGTCGATGAGGAGAAGGTTAATAAATAGAGAGGAAAAGGGTTTGGTTTCGCTGGGGAGAGACGCAGCGGATTCCTTTTGCTTGCCGCGTTGCTTTTCGCTTTGAGTGGGGAAGCCGGGAAGGGACTGCTGATCGCGGAAAAGAGTACTGGCAAATTGACGATCGTTGATGAGCGTCCCGCATAGAAAGGTAATGGATTTGCGGGCGCTGGCTGTAGGTCGCTTGAAGAGGGCTTGTTGAATCAGGTTTACGAGGGACGGTATCCATTTGGGAGATGGAGAGAGGATCTTGATGGTGTAATGGTGTTAGTTAGGTTTTATGTGACGGATGGGTGCAGATGGCTGGGGAGGATGAAAAGAAGGGGGAACGGGACAAGGGCACGGAAGGATGAGGGGGCATTACATACATCTTCTGGTAATCGCATAAAGAGATCTGCGAGGGTTTCGAGTAATAAGTCTGCAGGAGCGTCACGAAACGAGAGCACGAGACTTGATATTATAGCTTCGAATCTCTGCTTCTCGGTCTCGCTGGCATCATCGGATGTGATGCCGTTCACGAGAGCATACTGGATTACGTCCAATGCCAGGCGGTCCTGTGGAGTAATCTCTAGTAGAGGTGAGAGATCATCTACATGGAAAAGCGTGCTGGCTCCAGCAGTGGTGCTGGAGAACGCAAGCAGTACTTGAAGGATCTGTGTTGTTGTCTCGGGCGAACTACGGTTTATTAGCATATAGATTATTAAAAATTATATGGTGATCATGGGGTGAATTAATCGGCTTGGGAGGAGAATTATAGGAAGTACAACAGTACTGACCTTCTTGTGAGTGCTGCCACTAGTCTTCTTGTCCGTCCAAGCATCTTTTTCTTTTCTTTGGCTTCGGGAGGTAGTAGGAGCATAAAAGAATGTATGATGCTGACTCCCAACGAGACCATATTGCTTGCTTCGTCCCGGCTCTTTCCCATGCTCTTGTCTGATCGAAGCAGACGATCGAGAAATTTGGGAGAAATCGAGTCCCAGCATCTTGAAATCAGAGTCGGATCATCCTGGAAATGCTCCCGTCTTCCTAGGATAGGTTTCAGCATTGCTAGCCCGACGAATTGTGAGGTATCGTCAGGTGATTGCAGAAGGTTGAGGGACCATTCCACCACATTGGTCGTTTCTTGAGAAGCTTCCCCTCCTGGATTTGTTTCCTCATTTCCTGTTTCCATGATGATATTTTGACAAAACTTTTTGAGAATGAAAACTTTTGAGACTTTGAGCTGGTCTTTTCGATATCAGCTGCCGAAATAAAAACACAATATAAACAAAATTTTTAAAAAATACAAGCTAAATGAAACTGCAATACGGGTTGCTTCAAGAATGAAACAAAAACAAAAACCTGGGTATCAATTAAATTTGTGCAATATATCTTTCACCAAAGAAGAAAAAAAATTGAGTGATTGTAAACAGAGGATGGGATAGCTTCCGTCATTTTGAAGAACGGCGTTTTGGGACGGAAATGTCAAGCGCTCGGCATGTTCCGAAGATGTTCGCATTCAAGGGTCCTCAAGGAAACCCTAAACTTGGGATTGATAACAGATAGCATGAAGTCATATACTTGAGTCGCATGTTTATTCTTCTTGGAAGCTTGCGATGCTGATGAGATAAATCCGAAATGTCAAGCTCCTCTGCGGGCTTTCCGCCGCCAGACTCGACCGAAGCCTCGTCCAGTCGCGACATCCCAATCATTGCGAATGTGGATAATGCGGTCGATATTGAGGATGATGACGATAATGATCCTATTGCCAGTCATGCTCGTGATGAAACCCTCCTCTCATTAGACCCACTCAATGATGAAGCAAATAGCGGGTTAGTCTCGAATAAGCATAGAGGGTCCCTGTGATAGTTCTCTAATATTGGCTTCAGAATATCTTTCAAGCGCAGACAAAAGTCACCCTCGAGCTTTTCCTTTTCCAAATTTCTGCCGTCGCCTCTTTCGAATAGTAGTCGCCAGACATCACCGTTGCCTCGACAGGCAAACGGTCAAAGTCGAGGTCATCGGCGAAACAGATCACTGGCAGAAAGAACTTCCCTGGACGACGAGCCGCTCCAAGACCGACCACTTGATTCTAAAGACGGCGATCCTTTGGACTGGTATGTCGAAGGTCCAGGACGGCGTGTAGGCTACGACAATCTTACGGCCATTGATTGGATCTTTGAATACACCAAGGAGCGACAGAGATTACGGGTTCTCTCTTCGAGCACTCAGGGTATCGTGGGCTCAGCATTGCAGCTGCTGGATGCCAGCCAAGTGTGGCTGGTTTTGATCGCCACGGGAATAGCGGCTGGCGTACTCGCTGCGGCTATTGATATCGTGAGTGATTGGCTAGGCGATATTAAGAATGGATATTGCAAAACTGGCCCAGGAGGTGGCAGGTTCTATTTGAATAAGGCGTTTTGTTGTTGGGGACATGACGGTACGAAGAACCTGACTCAGCGGGAAATTAATTTTGTGTTTGCTAATAAGGCTCAGAATGGTCGCAATGCCAGGAATGGACTCCATGGAGTGATGCACTTCACGTTGGAAATAGAGCAGGTGGTTATATTGTGGAATATATATTCTTCATTTTGTTTTCGGTATGCTTATCACTCTTGTCTTCGCAGATTCCGCTACTAACATCCATACAGGTATTTTTTGCGGCATGTGCAAGCGTCTTGGTTGGAACTTATTCTATATATGCGAAGCAGAGTGGTATACCAGAGATAAAGACAGTTTTGGGAGGGTTTGTCATTAAACGCTTTTTGGGAACCTGGACTCTTATTACGAAATCCCTTGGCCTGGTAAGTTTTGAAGCCTGCCAACCTAGAATTTGTAGTATTAATTCTTCTTCAATAGTGCCTTTCAGTTGCTTCTGGTCTATGGTTGGGCAAAGAGGGTCCCCTGGTACATGTTGCGTGTTGCTGTGCGAATGTCTTTATGAAATTTTTTGATAATATATCCAAAAATGAAGGTAATTTTCTCTCGGATGACGGTCGTTCGCAGCCACGTGGGCTAATATAACATAAAGCTCGAAAACGTGAGGTTTTCTCTGCAGCAGCAGCGGCCGGTATATCTGTCGCTTTTGGCTCTCCTATTGGCGGCGTTTTATTTAGTTTGGAAGTAAGTGTGCAAGCAAGTTTCAGCTCAAGGACATGTGCTAATACTTTACAGCAACTATCGTATTATTTTCCAGACAAGACAATGTGGCAGAGTTTCGTATGCGCCATGGTTGCAGCCGTGACATTGCAAGCTCTCAATCCTTTCCGCTCCGGCAAATTGGTTTTGTACCAAGTCACCTATTCAAGTGGTTGGCATGCATTTGAGCTTGTTCCGTTTGTCTTGCTCGGAATATTGGGTGGCCTGTACGGCGGTGCGTTCATCAAATTGAACATGAAGGTTGCAAACTGGCGAAAGACCTCTCGATTTGTAGACCACCCACTTCTCGAGGTCACACTGTTCGCTTTAATCACCGCCTTGGTCAACTTTCCCATTATGTATATGAGGGCACAAGTCTCGGAGCTTGTTTTCGCCCTATTCGCAGAATGCTCCGCACTTACTGATGATCAACTTGGGCTTTGCAAAACTGGGGCGGCCAATGCCGGCGTTATCGCTCTGCTTCTTGTGGCATCCGTCCTAGGCTTCCTCTTTGCAGCGGTAACCTTTGGGTTGCAGATACCTTCAGGTGTGCTTCTTCCTTCCATGGCGATTGGTGCGCTTTATGGCCGAGCGATTGGTCTAGTGATGGAGATTGTGCAGAGCAGCTTCCCGAAAGCTTTCATCTTCTCTACCTGTGAGCAGGACATAGCCTGCGTCACACCGGGTACTTACGCTATCATCGGCGCTGCCTCTGCTGTAGCAGGGCTTACACGGATGACTGTGTCCATTGTGGTCATCATGTTTGAACTCACGGGTGCTTTAACATACGTCCTCCCAATCATGATTGCCGTCATGATTAGCAAATGGATAGGAGATGCATTTGGAAAGCGCGGAATCTACGAAAGCTGGATTCATCTCAGCGAATATCCTTTCCTGGATAATAGCGACGACTATCCGATTCCAGATGTTGCCGTGTCGCATGTTATGACGCGGATAGAAGACCTGGTCGTCATTTCAGCGAGTGGCCACACTATCGAATCACTGAATCAGCTCTTAACTAATAACCCACATCGAGGTTTTCCTGTCATCAGCGATACACGCGATTCGCTCCTGCTGGGATACATATCTCGTACCGAGCTTGCGTTTGCACTGAACTCAGCTGTGAGCTCTCCGCGGAATTTGCCTCCCACAGCTGAAACATTCTTCTCTTCGCAGTCCATGGCTGATCCTACCACGACTCTGGACCTGCGACCTTGGATGGATCATACGCCAATCACGCTTGACTCGAAGAGCAGCTTGCAGCTTGCCGTCAATCTTTTCCAGCGGTTGGGTCTACGTTATGTACTTTTCTGCAATAGAGGCACCTTGCAAGGCCTTCTTACGAAGAAGGATGTCTGGTATATTCTTAACGGCGCAGAAGAAGATAGACATGGTGCTTCTGCGGGGATTCCCAGAGAGAATGAAGGATCCACAGGCGAAGAAAGAGGTTTACTTGGCGCAGATGAGGCCAGCGACGGGACAGAAAGCGTAGTAAATATACGATAAAGGGTTTCTCAAATTTTCTTCTTTTCTTTTCAACACCATGATCACTCCCATGGTGTGTATCTGTAATGTTATTGTACATCTAGATTGCGTTTGGAATTTCAGCTTTCTAACATTATTCATGAGAATAGAACTGAAACATCGCTGAAGAACTTTTTTAAATGATCAAGGGAGATGTTGAATGAGAGATACCGGGAAAATGCACTAAATGGATGAATCCACTCAATGTCTGGTTCCATTGACATTGCGGACTCCTTGACCCAGCTGGCTCGCCACGACTGTAGCCTCTCGCACGGCTCTGGAGACGGAGCCACGGACGCCACGTTCCTCGAGAACGGTAAGACCGCCAATGGTGCAACCGCCGGGTGAGCAGATCTTGTCCTTGGCAACGGCGGGGTGTTCGCCATTAAGAACCAAACCAGAAGCGCCGCGCATGACCTGAGCAGCCATCAACTGCGCTTCAGCGCGGGGCAGACCCATGGCGACACCGCCATCGGCCATGGCCTCGAGAATAACGGTCATGAATGCCGGTCCCGAGCCTGCCAGCGCGGTACTAGCATCCAGGCCCGAGGGCGGCAGGAAGACCACCTTTCCAACGCTATTGAAAATCCAGGCTACCAATGCTGCGGACTCGTCAGACAAGGGCGGGGTAGAGGTTTCAATGACTGTCATGGATTCTTGAATAAAGGCAGCATAATTGGGCATGACGCGAACAGCACGGCAACGACCCTCAGCAATTGGGTCGCCTGTTGATGCAGAGCCGTATAATGTCTCCTCGATCTGTTGAACGGTCACTCCGGCGAGCATGCTCAAGAGCAGTTTACCCTTGAGAGCCTCCCGCATGCCTTCGACGCCCAGAATGTCGCGGACCATGTAGGGCTTGCATCCTAGCAGGACAATATCCGCTTGCTCCACCGCCTTGACGTTGTCGTTGCGCATAATATCCAGAGAAGCAGAGTGCTTGGACAGATCGTTCTCAATGCGCTTCGCTGACTTCTCAGACCGGACGCAGGCAATGAAGCGGGTCGGGAGGCGCTTCGGAACGTCTTCCGAGGATGCGGAAGCCTGAGATTCAAGCTCAGCTAACTTAGCCATGACTCCGGAGAGAACTGCAATGCCCATGGTACCTGTACGTAGTGTCAATGGCATGTTATAAATGCAAAATAAACTGTCAGTGCTGGGGTGGAAACTAAAGTAAGCTACCTACCACAGCCAAGGGCAGTTAGGGTAAGGCCAGAGCCTTGTTGCGCTTGGGCGGGCATTGTAAAGAATAGAGGAAAGTGTTTGACTGGAATTAAATGTCGGGGAGCTGGAAAAGTGAATCCTGAAGAGTGCAGAAGAGGTAATAAATACGTGTGCCTGTTGTCGTCGCGGCGATAAGGCCCTGGTGGGGTTGACAAAATGCTGGAACCCTTCGGAGGGGTGTTCCGCTCCCACTCCACTCACCGCCTTCGGAGCAAAGTTCATCCACCTCCGACAGTCAAGGTTAACCCGAAATGGCTGCTGCAGGATCCAGCTACTTTGTGAAGTGGTTTACTAACTACCGGCCTTCATTGCTCAAGCCTAACTTCTGCCTTGATCCTATTGAACTTCCTGCGGCGGCTGCGTCCCCGTCTAAAAAGAGGCCTGGCAAACTTGGCTACATTCTAGCCTACAAAACCCGTCCTGATACTCAGAACGGATGGCCCCCTTATCCGCCCGAGTGGATTCTTACCTTCCCCGAACGAAAGCATACCGGCCTTAAGGAGAGCTCGAAGGACCCTTTTCTGCCTGTTTTTCTGTACGATATGGCGGATCCTTTTGAAGTCCGCATGCGCTTCACCTCGCAGCTGCAGCATCTCAACGCGTCCGTCACTTCGTCGCAAAAGGCTGCCCACTATGCTCTCAAGTACCGCGACATGGACGAGGATTTGCATTCCTGCATCTTGGAACAGCTTGAGCGGGTGAGTTTTGATTCCGATGAAAGGCCCCCTCTCTCTTGACAACAGCGCTCAAGATAAAGCTGAAGGGAGCGTTTTGAGGGTAAACGTTAAGCTAACTTGTTGAATTAGAATAGCATGAATAACCGCGCCAATATCATGTTCTTCATCGAGCATCTCTGCGATATGGCTCAAAAGGAAAATCATGGAGAGTTTATCCGTATGATGCAGCGGGATATCCTCCGTGTTGTGGATGCCGTCGCGCCAGAGGACGGATCTGGTGCAGCGAATATCAAAGTTGTCCGCCGCGTATGTTATTCTCATCGCATATATTCCGGAAGAAAGGGTCGGTAATGTGCAACTAACATGGCCATATTAGGTTTTGAGTGGACTTCGACAGAAAGGCGTGCTCACCGAGGAAGGCCTCGCCGAGATTGAAGCCTGCCTGAAGGAACGTGATACTCTCCCCACCCACTCTGCTTTTGGGTCTCCTCAGTCGAATGCCAAGGCCGCAGCTACTACTCCTCACGGAACAAAAGTGATGGATATCCCGAAACCCGAAAAGCGCCAGATTGAGCAGCGTATCGAGGAAGATCGCGAGCGGCACAAGCGTCTTAGAGAGAATATCTGGGCCGTTATCCCCGAGAATGATGCTGAGTTCTACAAACTCTGCGATGACCTTAGCGATATCGGTGAGGATGACTATATCATGGCTGGCGAAGAAGCAGCCGACCGATCAACCGCTGTTGCGGAGTATATGCGCAGCATGCAAGGAACCTCTAACTGATCTGCGGTCAAACGTGGACCGTACGCGGACAGTTTTATGTTCCTTTCTCATACTGGCGTTGTGATGATCCTTGGCGTTTGGCATATGTGGAAAAGTTGCTTTGCTGGTGTTCCATAAGATCGAATCTTCTCATGGTTGTTCTGCCGTTGAGTCTTTTTCAATGATTCCCATATTGTACCATAGTATTTCACGGTTCAGTGGTCAAACGTTTTCAGATTGATGAAATAAATAAAGGATTTCCTCTATTAGATTTTGACCATTGCAAAGCAAAATCTATCTGTACAAGATTTCCCATAAAAACAAAAGTATATATGCCCGAAAAAATGGTACAGCTTCAACGGAAAAAAAGACAATTTATTTGTCCGCTGGTCCGCGCTTGAGTCCCTAAAAGTACAGCCTTTTCCTGCCTCGTATTGGCAGATTATTTGTAGAATTGCAAAACAAGTCATCTTCCACCACCTTACTCCATGACAACGACGGCACCCAGACCCTTGAGCGTCTCGACAATCTTCTCACCGTCCTCCTTGGGGACGCCCTCCTTCATGACCTTTGGTGCGCTCTCAACGAACTTCTTGCTGTCAACCAAGCTGAGGCCGAGCATGCTCTTGATCTCCTTGATAATCTTAGGCTTGGAACCGGCTTCAATGGACTGAAGCTTCAACGTGAAAAGGGTCTTCTCCTGAGCGGCAGGAGCAGCCTCCTCTTCTTCGACAGGCGCAGCAGGGGCGGCAGGCGCAGCAGCAGCGAATCCGCCAACGGGAAGGTCGGGGATGTTAAGTTTTGTCTATTAAGGAGGAAACATGTTAGAAATTCGGCTCTCCAATATTCGATGTTGATGAGGGTTCAATGTCGTACCTTGAGCGTCGAAACAAGGTCTGCAGTCTCCAAGAGGGTCAATTGGCTAATCTGGTCGACAATGCCGGCAATCTTAGGGTCCACGGGGGCAGCAGATTCGGTCGACTGCCATCTCCGCGCAGCAGCGGGTCGCTGGGTCTGGACGAGGAAAGTCGAGGCTGCCGGACGGAGAGGAGCGGCAGAGAAACGAGCGGCGCGAGCGCAGCATCGCGCTGCCAGACTGCAAGAGACGGACATTTTTCCAGAGGACTGCTGTTAGGATGGAGGACGGATGGAATTGGCTGGCAAGAAGAGCGGCAGAGAGCGAAAGAGAGATTGGGGAATCGAATTGATCATTCAGATGAGCTCGCGAGTCTCGAAAATCGAACATTGATGGGCCACCTAAAAGGGTTTAGCGCAACACATTCGCCGACTCGCCGAGGCGAAACCAAAAAATATCTGGAGAGACAAGAACATTGAGAGAGAACCGTTAGGTCCAGAAGAGGACGACGAGGTGGGAGGATATAACTTAATATTGTGACCTTTTTTTCTTTTTTTGGAGGAGTTTAGTTCCAATTGCCAGAGACTATACTCCGGCCATGGATTGCTCCTGGAGCGATGCCGCCCTGCTCCAGGACCAAAACGTCCTCAGTTTACTTCCGCCTTACCTATTAGATGCCATCCGACATGGCTCGACGCCTATATATCTTGACGCCATTTCTGCAGCGGCGCTTGACCCCAGGTTAACCACTACAATATTTACCTATTACGAAGACCTATTCGCCGATTCTTGCGCAAGATGGGTCCTTTCTACTCGATTGCCGGAGCAATTCAAATCGGTGCTCTCGGCTTTTGCACGCATTCTGCCTTTTGCGCCTCATTTGTCTGTCTACGCCGAAGAGCTTTTACGACGACGGGAAGGGAATATATTTGCAGTCTTTTCTGCTAATTCTCAGGTGGACCTAAATGCTTTACAGGACGCGGATCTTCAGGATCTGCTGCTTACAACTTTTCGACTGTTGGTCCATGATAACGAGATTTTTGGAAAGCGCATTCTGCCCTCGAAGCTTCAGTTGCTGCTGAGACATACCAGCAGACAGGTACGATACCTGGCAATTAGGGTACTTAGTCTGTACTTGCATGCGGCGGATGCGGCAACGCATAGCATGATACAGAAATATTTAGGGGAGGATGCTGTCGAGGGCGAATGGGAAGGTCGTCAGATCGATTATGGATTCCTGAGGTGTGTTTCAATATGGAAATTTCTCTGAGTAGATCCAAGCTAACGATTGGTAGCCTTTGGGAGGAGAAAAGAATGGAAGACTTAGGAAAGCAGCTCGAAACAATTAGAGCGGCTCGACGCTCGGAATTAACAGACGGCCCCACAGCCCGATTGCTCACACAGCAAGATCTTTCACCTCTCGTCGCAAATTTTTATGGTGTTCTAGTCCCACGGTTGCAGGGACCTCCGACACAATCCTCTGCGCTGGTTGAAACACCGACGACTGTGGATAATGTGAGGTCTATTGCTAGAGCGCTCCTTATGCCGGACCCAGTTCTCATGCTGGGTGTGGCTGGTTCGGGAAAGACTTCGTTGATCGCAGATGCGGCACGAGAGCTGAACGTGGGATCATCAATGGTCACGCTCCACTTGAACGAGCAGACAGACGCGAAGCTTCTGATTGGAATGTACACGACAGCCTCCACGCCCGGATCCTTTACATGGCGGCCCGGTGTTCTGACTACCGCTGTTCGAGAGGGCCGCTGGGTTTTCATCGAAGATCTAGACCGTGCCCCGGTTGAAGTTATAAGCGTTATCCTGCCACTGATTGAGAGCGGCGAGCTGTTGATCCCGAATCGGGGTGAGAGGGTACAAGCTGGAAGAGGGTTCAAGCTTGTTGCATCCATCAGAACCAACTACAACCCCCGAGGGGAAGAAATCATGCCTGGCACAAACATGTTGAGCAACCGGCTGTGGCGGCGGGTTAATGTGAAAATGCCAAAAGATGAGGAACTGCAGAAGATTATTGCGAACGCTTTCCCTCTACTACACGCTTTCGTTCCCTCCATTATGAACGTCTATTCTAGAGTCGAAGCTCTCCATAAACATCCGCCGCCCACCATTACCAGCAAAGTTGCTCTCGGACGGCCAGTTGGGCCAAGAGATCTCCTGAAATGGTGCCGGCGTATCCACTCTGTTCTTGAGGCTGCCGGCTCGCTCACCGGAACCGAAGCCCTCCCTGAGAATGTTACAGACGACATCTTCATGGAGGCTGCCGATTGCTTTGCCGGACACCTCCAGGCTGGAGATGCGAAAATAGCTCTTGCGTCGTGCATTGCAGAGGAGATGCACGTGCCGCCGCAACGAGTGCAGTACTTCCTCGAGGCGCACATGCCACGATACACCAACGCCGACAAGTCTTTCCTGGTAGGTCGAGCGAAGCTTTCTAAACGCAAAGGCCCTTCAGGAGCTACGAAGCAGGCCAAGCGCGGCGCGAACCGACCTTTCGCCGTTAATAGACATACCCTGCGCCTTCTGGAAAAGGTCGGAGTTGCAGTTGGCATGGCCGAACCTGTGCTCCTAGTCGGTGAAACCGGTACAGGTAAAACCACAGTGGTGCAGCAGCTTGCGGATTCTTTGGGTTACAAGTTGACCGCGGTCAATTTATCTCAGCAGAGTGAAAGCGGTGATCTTCTGGGAGGTTTCAAGCCGGTAAATGTGCGAAGCCTTGCTATTCCTCTAAAGGAAGAGTTTGATGAGCTGTTTGCCTTGACCTTTTCTTTGAAGAAAAATCAACGATACCTGGATATGCTTGGAAAGTGTGTCGCTAAGGGCCAGTGGCCCAGGGCCTCGACTCTGTGGCACGAAGCATTGAAGATGGTCGAGGGAGTCTTCGGCACGCTCGAAGATACCGCTTCGTCGCCGGCCGATGAAGATGGTGAGCAGCCTAAGAAAAAACGCAAGATCGATTCGCCAGAGTACCAGAGCCTTAAGCCGAGGTGGAGAAGGTTTGCTGCGGATGTGCGAAGTTTCGATATGCAGCTCTCTGGTGGCTCAGAAAGCTTCGCATTTACCTTTATTGAAGGAAATATTGTGAAGGCTGCCCGGAACGGTGAATGGGTTCTTCTCGATGAGATTAACCTTGCATCACCGGATACGCTGGAGAGTATTGCTGATCTGCTTTACAGCGGAGCAGGAGATGGACCATCGTTACTGCTGTCCGAGACTGGCGATGTTGAGCGGGTTCGAGCTCATCCAGACTTTCGCATATTCGGTGCTATGAATCCAGCCACAGATATTGGAAAGAAGGATCTCCCTGTTGGTTTGAGATCTCGATTTACAGAAATCTATGTGGATAGTCCCGATACAGATGTCGACAGCTTGCTGAGTGTGGTCAGCGCTTACTTGGGCTCTCGAACACACTCAGATGAGCGTGTCGCGTCTGACGTCTGTCAACTATATTTAGCCGCAAAGAAGCTGGCAAACGAGAATAAGCTTGTTGATGGCGCGAATCAAAGACCACACTTCAGTCTTCGGACCTTGACTCGCACGCTGAGCTATTCTATGGAGATTGCTCCAACTTATGGTCTGCGCAGGGCGCTCTACGAAGGTTTCTCTATGAGCTTCTTGACCCTTCTGGATAAGGAGTCGGAGCGGTTATTGATTCCTTTGATCGACAAGCATCTCTTGGGAAACAGCCGAAATGTACGGGCTGTGTTGAATCAGACACCAAGAATGCCAGAAGATGGCAAGCCGTATGTGCAATTCGGTCATTACTGGATGCCCAGAGGTGATTACCCCATAGAGGAACAACCTCACTATATTATCACACCTTTCGTGGAACGGAATATGCTCAATCTTGTTCGTGCAACCTCTACAAGACGCTTCCCAGTTCTCGTCCAAGGACCCACGTCATCCGGTAAAACCAGTATGATTGAATATCTCGCCAAGATTACCGGAAACAAATTCGTCAGAATCAATAACCATGAACACACTGATCTGCAAGAGTATCTCGGTACCTACGTCTCCGACAGTAGCGGTGCGCTGCATTTCCAGGAAGGAGTTCTTGTCACTGCGCTGCGTGAAGGACACTGGATCGTCTTGGATGAACTTAACCTTGCACCTACCGATGTGCTTGAAGCATTGAACCGTCTGCTCGATGACAACAGGGAGCTCCTGATCCCCGAGACTCAAGAAGTCGTCCGTCCTCATGGAAATTTCATGCTCTTCGCCACCCAGAACCCGCCTGGTCTCTACGGTGGTCGTAAGGTCTTGTCTCGGGCGTTCAGAAATCGTTTCCTAGAGCTGCACTTTGACGACATACCCGAGGATGAACTTGAAACGATTCTACGTGAGCGCACGCAGATTGCTCCATCCTTTTGTACACGTATTGTCTCTGTGTACAAGGAGCTGGCACTTTTACGCCAGAGCAGCAGGCTGTTTGAACAGAAGAATAGTTTCGCTACCCTTCGTGACCTCTTTCGATGGGCTCTGCGAGACGCTGACGATCGAGACCAGTTAGCTATCAACGGTTTCATGCTATTGGCAGAAAGAGTGCGAAAGGCCGAAGAACGGGACGCTGTCAAGCATGTGATCGAGAAGGTTATGCGGGTCAAGATTAATGAGGAAGCACTTTATGGCGAAAAGGCATTCTCTGATGAAAGCTTCTCCGCAGAGAAATTTGCATCTCATGGGGTCGTCTGGACTAGAGCTATGCGCAGATTATACGTGCTTGTCCAAAGGGCTCTCGCGAGCAATGAACCGGTTCTTTTGGTCGGTGAGACGGGTTGCGGTAAGACCACTGTCTGTCAATTACTGGCAGAGGCTGCCGGGAAGAAACTTCACATTGTCAATGCTCACCAGAATACTGAAACTGGAGATTTGATTGGAGCTCAGAGGCCTGTGCGTAACCGTGCTGTAATTGAGTTGCAGCTTGAACGAGATCTAATCGAGGTCTTTACGCACCACTGTCAACGGGGGCCGCCGCCACTTGATGAACTGGATGAAATGATTCGGGAATATTCCACTCTGGATCCGGCCGCTTTAGAAAAGATTCCGAGTTCATTGCGGGTTAGGATTGAAACGAACCGTGTCAAGGCGAAGGCATTATTCGAATGGGCCGATGGTAGCCTTGTCACGTCCATGAAGACGGGCCAATATTTCCTGCTAGATGAAATTTCGTTGGCGGATGATTCTGTTCTTGAACGACTGAATAGTGTTCTTGAGCCCTCACGGACTCTCCTTCTTGCGGAGAAGGGCTCCAACGACGCTTTTGTCGTCGGCGTGGATGGCTACCAGTTCCTCGCTACAATGAACCCTGGTGGAGACTACGGCAAGAGAGAACTTTCACCGGCTCTGCGAAACCGTTTCACGGAGATATGGGTACCGCCAATGACTGAGATTGATGATGTCCTCCAGATCGTCGGGGCCAAGTTGACACCTTCAGCGGTCAGCCTGGCTGAGCCCATTGTCAAGTTCGCTGAATGGTTTGGAGCGACCTACAACACTTCAGTTGCTTCCTCGATTTCGATTCGTGATGTTCTCGCACTGGTAAATTTTGTGAACCAGTCGAACAGCCCTGACCTCAAGTTTTCGATGTTGCATGGGACTTCCATGGTGTATATTGACACCCTCGGAGCCAATCCCGCCGCTATGCTAGCTATTCCGCAAAACCGCATTCCGGAGGAAAGGCGAAGATGTATCGATCAGCTCAGCAAGCTTCTCGAGAGTGATGTCACATCGGTCTACATGGAAGACGTGCAGATCTCTGCCAACGAGAAGGCTCTGCACATTGGTCCATTCGCTCTGCCACGCGAGCAAGGTTCTTCTGATGACCTGAGCTTCAATCTACATGCCCCAACTACGAAATTGAATGCTATGCGAATCCTCCGAGCATTACAGCTGAAGAAGCCTGTCCTATTGGAAGGCAATCCCGGCGTTGGTAAGACTACGCTTGTCGCTGCACTGGCCCGTGTCCTAGGCAAGCGCCTTACCCGGATAAACCTGTCAGACCAGACAGACCTAATGGACCTCTTTGGCTCTGATGTTCCTGTTGAAGGAGCCCAAGCTGGGCACTTCGCCTGGCGTGATGGCCCGTTCCTCAAGGCCATGCAAGAGGGTCGCTGGGTTCTGCTCGATGAGATGAACTTGGCCTCTCAGTCTGTGCTCGAGGGTTTGAACGCCTGTCTTGATCACAGAGGAGAGGTTTACATTTCTGAACTTGATCGCACATTCAAGCGGCATCCAAATTTCACTCTTTTTGCTGCTCAAAACCCTCATCACCAAGGTGGAGGCCGAAAAGGATTGCCGGCGTCATTCGTCAACCGATTCACAGTTGTGTATGCGGACATTTTCAGGCCAGAGGACATGCTGATGATTTGCAAGCATAACTTTCCCAGCTACCCTGAAGAGGAAATTCGAAAGTTGATTCAATTCGTATCCACATTGGAGAACCAGGTGTCTGAGGTCAGCACCTTTGGTGTTCACGGAGGCCCCTGGGAATTTAATCTTCGAGATACCCTGAGATGGCTTGGCCTGCTCACCTGTAACACTGGCATCCTTCGGTCAAGACATCCGGTGGAATTTGTGCCGATGCTTTTCCGTCAACGTTTCCGAACCGAAAAGGATCAGGCGCATGTTGTGCATTTATGCATGGATATTTTTGGATCTAGCTTCCAGCAGCCCGTCCTACACACCAGCCTGGACTTGACTCATATTCAAGTTGGGCTTGGAGTGCTTCCTCGAGATAATGTCCTGCAACCGACACAAGTGCTTGCCTCTAACCTTCCCAAATCGCAATTGCAAGTCATTGAGTCCTTGATGATTTGCATACAACAAGGCTGGCCGAGCATTCTTGTTGGTCCATCTGGCTCAGGTAAAACAAGCTTACTTCGCCAGGTGTCAGCTCTGGCAGGTGTGCCTCTTGTTGAATTTGCTCTTAATGCCGAGATTGATACGATGGACTTGGTTGGAGGATATGAGCAAGTTGACCCCCAGAGGAACGCTACCAAATTTTTCTTACAGCTCGAGCGATTTGCGAGGGCATGGCTAGTCTCAGAGCACGCTGCCGGTGGCCCGTCTACTGAAGGGATCCATCTTCTCGAGAACATGCTCGCCTCGCTGGGCCCTACACCGAATCTCCTTGCGATTCACCAGTCCTTGGCTATTTTGCAGCGCCTGAGGCAGTCAGACGACATCGCAAATCTCATTGACATCTCCAAGGCTCTCCTGGATGAGGCACAGGTCGTTGATAAGGCTCGCTTTGAATGGGTCGATGGTGTCCTGGTCGAGGCAGTGGAGCAGGGGAAATGGCTCGTTCTTGACAATGCCAATCTCTGCAGCGCTTCCGTGCTAGACCGGCTGAATTCCTTGCTTGAGCCTAACGGTGTGCTGATCATCAATGAGCATCGCACTGCAGATGGCAGCGCTAAAGCTATCAAGCCTCATCCAAATTTCAGACTCTTCCTCACTATGGATCCTCGATATGGCGAGCTATCCCGGGCAATGAGAAACAGATCCATCGAAATCTACCTGTATCCATTTGAGAACATGGAAGCCATTCCAGATGCTCAGTCTAAGCACTTCACACTTGACTCGGCAATGTCCCGCTTCAGAGCGCTCAGACAGATTCCTCAAATCCAGCCTCCCACTAATCTCGCGAACGAAATTTTCGGCATTGGGTTGGACCACCTTTCCCTGGCAGACACGAAGTTATTGTCTAGGTGGCTAGGCCAAGCTGTTGAAGGGCTTTTAGAGTATGCTCGGGAAGACGTCGTCACATCACTTGTCCATAGGAAACGCATTGCTTTCTCGAATCCCCAGGGCAGTGGCTTTAACGCGCTCGCGAACTTCTACACCGATATGGCCCAGGGGACTGGAATGGATCCTGCATTTAAAGATGTGCAACCTCTTCATCCTCTTATTAACGAATCCTTGCTTCCCGTATACGCTATTACTTCGCAGGACCCTTATCCGCTTGCAGCCATCTACGAACTATCGATGGAATTGCTTGCCATGGACCAGGAGCTGAATCTTGTTGTAAAGGCATCTCAATCACAGAAACCGTCGCAGATGACTCGTCTGGAGAGGTCTATTGCTTCAACCAGGATAGCCAACTTTACCAAAGACTCTACATATCCTTTGTTTTCATTCTTGGTTACACTCCGTCAGACCCTGCTTGACTGGGCCAATGAAGTTTTGCAGAATCTCCAGGCGGTGCCACCATCAATGCTTGGGTTTGTTCGAGGAGTAACCTCGTATTGGTGGAGCATTTTCCACCTTGGACAGTCCAAGTCTTTCGATGACGCTGTTTTCCAAGTTCACCTAGAGATTGGCCGTACGATAGTCTCCGCATTGCAGGCTATTGATGGACCATCAGAACGTCTTCTTCAAGGAGTTTCGTCGTCTTTGGACTCCTTCAAGATGGCCTGGCAGTTGACAACCGGACTTTCCATGGAGAGGTTGTGGAACGCACTCAAACCCGCAACTCCTCCAACGATGGACCGATTGCAGATGCTGTTGCACATTGAACAGCTCGCTGATCGATTTGATGCTCTGTTATGGAAGATCAAAGCTCCTTTGACCGATTTGAGCACTGCCCGGGCCCTGATCCACGCGGCCCAAGATGCGATTGTCCTTCAGGGAGCTGATGGTGACACTCTGTTCAAAGAACTTACCGAAGCTGTTGGTAGCCTAGAGCAGGAAGTCAATGAGGATCAAGGCGTCGTTCGGCCCTTTTTCCAGGAAGAATTTGAGGGCATCTGCCAGTACCATGATCTTCTCTGGAGGAAGCAATCGGCGGTCGCTCTTGACCCAGTTGCCGAACTTCTCTCCGGCCGAGCAAGCAAATCCCGGTATCAGCGCAAGCAACAAGGCGAAGTCTCTGAGATTTTTGCGCGATTATCAATTTACGCGAACAGTCGTGAGAAGAGCAGCTTCATTGCGCTCCGTGGCGTGTTGCCGTCCGTGGTCTTACGCAAGACCGTCGCCCATGGGGATGCTACACTCAAGCAGATTAATCTCCTTGAGACGGAATTGAAGAGTCTCGGGCAAAGCATTGCTCGAAGCACAACTGCAATGGCACTTGATCAGCTAAGGCTACTTAATGCTGCTTTGTGCTCGTTGCTGAAGGCCACCCTTCAGGCACATCAGTCTTTCTTCGAACAGGATTCCTTGGAGACCTTCTTCGCATACTTGGATACAATTGCGGAACCATGGCAGTATGCAGAATCAGAGAATCAATGTTCTCACATTCCAGCGCTTCCTTTCAAGCAGACGGTAGGATCCGAAGACAATGCGCGAAAGATAATCTCAGACTATCTGTTCCCTTGTGTCGCGCATTTGAGTAAGGCTCTTCTCGAGACTGCTGGCCGTTTCTATGAAACATCTGCTGCTTGGACCTACTTTTCAATTGGATGTCTCCTTCTTTACCTACCAGACCGTCCTTTCGATCCGGCTCTTAAGCCTTTCGTTGAAAGACAACGCCACAACGATCGCAGATTGAATTTAGAGAAAGAGCTTTTCGCTCTGAAGTGGTTCCAGCAAATGGCTACCGGCCAAGATACAAATGTGCGCTGCCGAATTATCGAGTCTGAGCTCCAGACAATGGGAGAAGAGCCGGCTGTGCCAAACATTGCTAGGCCGGAGAAATCTGAATTGAGCAGACTCCAAGGCGACTTCCTCAATTTACTTAACTCTGTCGTCCGCCGACAGCCTGAAACCAACTTGTTGTCTGCAGTAGCCGAGAAAGCTCCCGAAGCTGTTGCAGAGGCCAAACTTATGCGGCAGAATATAACACAAATCAGCCGTCGACTGTCAGAAAGCTTCCGTGCCTATGCAGACATCACCGCCCCTGCCATTGGCATCTTGCAATGCTTGGATATCGGTCTCTCGCTTGCAATTTCTCAGGGTGTCGAGTCGAGCGATGCGTCAAAGGTCATTGAGTATTTCGCTCAAACGGTGCCGTTCATGGGCGGCAGGCACTGGAATCTTGGCTTGTCTTCCGACTTGTCCCTTGCTGCTGGAAGCTTCGATCAGCGTATGCATCGCCTTAAGACCATGTGTGCAGTTGAAAGAGTCGAACGTGGTAATCAAGATCCTGCAAGCTCAGCAAGACGCAATTTCTTCCTTGAAGCTTTCCAAAGATATTACAGCGAATGGAAGGAAAAGCTAGCTGCTGACCAAGAGAAAACTGCCGCTACTTCTGGACTCTACCGCTATCGAGGTGGAAGTGGAGATGAAGACGAAATGGACGAGCAAGAATTCCAAGAAACGTTCCCTACTTACGAAGACTCGGAAGAGGATCAAGAACCAGCTACGGAATCGTCGACTGTCCGCGATCCCAAGTCGCTCGCTATTCGTCTTGCCGAGCTACATGGAAGCGTTCTCAGCGGCTCCACGTCGGCTTTCGAGGAGCTCAAGTCTCTTTTCGAGGCTTCTGCCTCCGAGATTGGAAAACTTGACCTAGATAGTGATGCGTTCTTACCCACAACTGCCGTGGAAGATCAACTCTCAGCTTCTCTCGCCTCTGTCGCCAAAGTTTTGGATGGTTTGCAGCCTACGACCGCAACCCCTAGGTTGTATAACTTCTATGTTGATCCGAATATCCCCGAAACACGAAATCTTCTCGCCTTGGTTCACCGAATTCAGTACCGTTTCGCAGCAATCCGTGAGACTTGGCCCGAGCACGCAACACTCTCAGATGTATTGAATGTTTGCGAGGAAATCCTGGCCTTCCGCTATATCGAGCCTGTGGCAAAGCTGATGACCAAGGTTGAAAAGCTTCACGGACATGTTCACGAGTGGCAAACGGTTGCGAGCAGAGAATATTCAGCCGCAGCGCTCTATGATGAACTCACCTCTCTGTTAGTCAGCTGGCGTCGGCTTGAGCTGGCAACGTGGGCCCGCCTATTCGATATTGAAAATGAAAAATGTGAGAGTGATGCCAGGGCATGGTGGTTCGTAGCCTACGAAGCTGTCGTCGCCGCTCCTCTTGCATTGGCAGAAAAGGGGGAGCAACTGGGAGAGCACTCTAGAGAACTCTTGCGAACCCTAGAAGGCTTTTTCTCCTCCACCTCGCTAGGACAATATGCTCAGCGACTCCGACTCCTAGAGCAACTCAAGACACATCTTTCGCTCATCGCGCAGGAAGTGCCTCAGATCAAGATCATTATTACTGCGCTGGAGAACTTCCTAAGCTTCTACTCTCGATACGAAAGATCCGTCAAGGAAGCGATTGAAAAGGGCCGGCAAACGCTCGAGAAGGACATGAAAGAGGTCGTCTTGCTTGCAAGCTGGAAGGACACCAACATTGTTGCTCTGCGCGAAAGTGCCAAGCGATCTCACCACAAGCTTTTTAAGCTTGTCCGAAAATACCGCACATTGCTCTCTGGACCAATCGACAGCATCTTGAGCCAGGATATCCCAGATGAAACCGATGATGCTTCGCAAAAGATCATCACCTTTGCAGAGCCAACTATTCCAGGGGTTGATCATGAAGCCTTGCAAATGTGTCAGAAATCCGTGCCGAATTGGATCAACAGGCCAACGCGTTTCACTAATGCGACGACTACCATTAACGTAATGGCCAAGACTGCGGCTGCGCCGGAAGCTGCGTTGGACGGATCTGGCCTCCTAGAAGAATTTACGACAAATATCATATCCTCTATGGCGGAGCTGCAAAAGCAGACGCCTTCCACACTCACGAAAGATAACAAGGAGGAAGTCAAACATCTCAAATCCAGGAAGCGGAAGTTGTTCTCTGACACCCTCAAAGAAATGCGACAGATGGGCTACAAGTCAAACTTGAACGCGGCAACTCTGGAGAAGCAAGCCTCTGTTAGCACGATCTTTGCGACAACTATTTCCTTGCCAACTGGCTTGGATCTGCCTGCGGCAGTTAGTGCAGAGGGCTACCTCTACCGACTTTTGGACTTCATGCCTCGAGTTCGAGAGTCTTCTCGTGAACATTCTGGTGACTTGACTGGCGCTGAGGTTGCACGTAGCGTTGGATTCTTGGAAGGAATGCTGAATGCGTCTATCAACCAGCGAGGCGTGCTCTCCGAATCCATGGCACATCTCAACGCGCTGAAGTCTGCAGTCTCACAGATTGCAAACCTTTGGTCGCCCAAGGATTATGAACTCTGCCAGATTGCATCTGCTAGCTCGCAAGGGGTACGCAAGGCGGTCAGATGGCTCTCTCCAATTCTCGAAATGGGACTTGCTATCATTAGGACGCATGCAAGACTAGGTCAACTCCATTTCGAAGAGGTCGAGGGTGGAATGGTCAACTGGAAGGCAAAGATGAATAGCCTAGCTAGCGAATGGGAGGCGCTGCCGGCCATGCCCAAGGGCGTCTCTACGACTGCACATGCTCGCCTTTCCGTGCAATCTCGCGAATCTTTGGCCACGTTAAAGGAACAGGTTCTCCAGTGGACTGAAAAGTATCCCTTGATTGGCTTTGCCTTGAAGCAGGTTCTACTTTGGACTACGCCTTATGAGAACGTTGATGGAGCGGGCACAGATGCAATGACCGATGGCACCGAAGAATATGGCATTGACAATCTTGATCAAGGACTTACAAACTCACTTGATTCCATCCTGGTTGCTATTCAAAGAATTCAAGAGGTCAATTCGTCGTTGCCTTCCTCAACCGACGACGCTGGTTGGATGTCACGGGTTGATGGTAGCCAAGCTTCCGCCTTACGGTCCCTTCAGCCGAGAAACATTTGCTCTCTTCTTGAAGGAGTAATGGGCAAATTGGGTCATTCGGATATCCTTGTTGGCGGAAGAGCATCCGTGGCTGCTTCCCTCTTTTCAATGGCTCTTCCCATCATCCGCAAGTACGAAGCTATATACAGCCAGGCTGTTGCGCAATATGCCCTGCTTCATCGCTCGACTTGCAAGACTGCGTACGTTCTTGCAAAATCCTTCACGACAATCAGCAAACAAGGATTCTGCGAACCCTCCGAAAAGTCTGCTGGCGATCAAGGTCAGGGTGACAAACTTGAGAGTGGAACTGGACTAGGCGAGGGTGAAGGTGCCGAGGATATTAGTAAAGACATTCAAGATGATGAAGATCTGAGCGAGCTCGCACAACAACCTGACGCAAAGGATGACAACAAGGAAGATATTGAAGACGAAAAAGACGCTGTTGATATGCAGCACGATGAGCTGGAAGGCGAGATGGGAGACGCTTCTGATAAGGGCGAAGATGATGAAGAAGGCGGATCTGATAAAGAGGAAGAAGAAAACGATATGGACGAGGAAGCTGGTGACGTTGATGACCTTGACCCCACTGCCGTTGACGAAAAGATGTGGGATGGTGGAGGCGATGATGCCGAGAAGGACCAAGAAGGTGATCAGTCCAAGGGCGAGAAGAAAGATGACGAGCAGGTCGCTGGCCAAGAGAATGACAAGCAGCAAGCTCAGGAAGGAGATGATGCAAATGAGCAGGAAGAAAATGAAGAAGATGATGAGGCCGATGAAGGTGGCGCTCAAGAGAGCGAGGAAGTCAAAGGCGAAGAGCCTGAGAAGGCTGATCCCCAAACGCAGGAGGGCGAGACGCTTGATCTCCCTGAAGACATGCAAATGGATGGGGATAAGGGCGAAGAGAAGGAAGATGATATCGATGACGATATGATGGATGACTTGCCGGAATTAGAGCCGGAGAAGGAGGATGAAATGCAAGCTGAAGGAGAGCAAGAAGACGCGGAAGGTGAGGGCGAAGGCGAAGAACAAGACCAGGGCCCCGAAGACGAAAACCTCGATGCCCCCGACTTGGATGCCGAGCAGGGCGAGAATGAGGAAGGCGAAAAGACCGAAGAGGCAGGCGAGCAACAAGACGAGGAAATGGAAGATGCTGGCCAAGAAGAGGAAGAACAGGAGAAAGAAGGTCTCCTCCAGAATCGCAGCGACGATGCAGCCAACAATGCAGAAAATGCTGCGCCGAGTGAGGTTCAGGGCGTGGGTGAAGACCAGAACCAAGAAAAGGACGAAGCCAATGCTGCATCTAGCGCCAAACAGGACGCTGGCTCAAAGGGCGATTCAGACAATGCCGAACAGCAAGAAGCACCTTCCAATGAAGGCCAGCTTGGCCAGCCCAGCCAGCAGCCCGAAGGCGGAAAAGACGCCGAGGAAGAGGAAACTCGGGACAGCAATGAAAGTCAAGCCTTTAAGAAACTTGGCAGTGCTCTTGAGCGTTGGCATCGCCAGCAACGCGAAATCCGTCCGGCTTCAGAGCAACAAGAGGGCAAGGACCAAGAGCAACAACAATCCCACCCCAACGAACAAGATGCCAAGGATATGGAATTCGAACATCTCCCAGACGAGGATGCTCAGGCCGACGCACAAGCCCTTGGTGGTGCCAACGAAGATCAAGCCCACGCACTCGACGAGAGCAACGCTGTAGAGTCAGGCGGAGACACTCTCCCTCAAGATTTCCCCACTGAGGAAGAGGAGCAAGCGCAACAACCAGAGACCGAAGACGCCGTCATGGAAGAGGCCGACAAAGAGCCTCGTCCCGAGAAAGACGAAGATGAAGAAGGCCAAAGCGGGCGCGCAGGCGCATTCATCCCCGAGGCCGCCTCCCGCCAAGACCGTCTCCAGCGTGAAGCTCAGTCAGAAGAAGAAGATCCCGACCGGCTTCAAGACGTCGATCAACAGATGTCAACCATCCACATCGACTCGTCCGCCGGCGCCGAGGACGACGAGGCCGCTCTGTTGCCCCGCTCCGCCGACGAAGCGCGCCATCTCTGGGGCCACTACGAGTCCATCACTCGCGATCTTTCTCTCTCCCTGACCGAACAACTCCGCCTCATTCTCGCGCCCACCCTGGCCACCAAAATGCGCGGCGACTTCCGCACGGGCAAACGCCTCAACATCAAGCGCATCATTCCATACATTGCATCCCAATACAAGCGCGACAAGATCTGGATGCGCCGCTCCATCCCGTCCAAGCGCAACTACCAAATCATGCTCGCCGTCGACGACTCCAAGTCCATGGGCGAGAGCGGCAGTGGCGATCTCGCATTCGAAACCCTCGCTCTCGTCTCTCGCGCCATGAGCATGCTCGAAGTCGGCGAGATCAGCGTCCTCGGCTTCGGCGATAACGTCCGCGTCGCGCATCCCTTCGACAAGCCCTTTTCGTCCGAAGCAGGCGCGCAGATCTTCCAGCAGTTTGGCTTCCACCAGACCAAGACGGACGTCAAGAAACTCGTCGCCAATGCCATTAGTCTCTTCCGCGATGCCAAGAACAAGTCCAGCGGCCCTTCTGGAGGAGGCGACATGTGGCAGCTCCTCCTCATCATTAGCGATGGCGTGTGCGAGAATCACGATACCATTCGCAGACTCGTAAGAGAAGCTCAAGAGGAACGCATCATGATTGTCTTTGTCGTCGTCGACGCATTGAGAAATACCCCTGGTTCTGCAGCTGCAGCTGGTGGTGCCGGTAGCGGTGCCGGGAACTCTATTATGGATATGAGTTCTGCCGAGTTCGAAGCAGGCCCCAATGGCGAAATGAAGCTCAAGATGAAGAGATATCTTGATACCTTCCCCTTTGGGTACTATCTTGTCGTCACGGATGTCAGGGAACTGCCTGGAGTCTTGGCTGCCGCGTTGAGACAGTGGTTCGCCGAGGTTGCTGATACTGCTTGATCCGTCCGGGAGGGGTCCGGGTAGTGGTGGAGGGCTTATTTTGAAGATATTAAAGTTATATAATTGCGTCGTTGCGGCGTTGTATATACTGTTCGTTTTTTTTTTCTGGCACTGCATTTCTCTGGCGTCGGGTACATAGAAAAGTTGTATATTTTATTCGTATATTTATTTATTTTTTTCTTTTCCTTTCTTTTCTATTCTTATTTGCCTTTTATTTACTTCCCCGCAGATAGGCTCTAATCTTTCAAGAATTTAGATTTTATCAGAATTATATCTACCATTCAGACAGACCTGGGCTCGTCCTGATGAATATAGCGTCAAACGTGTACCTGAATAAGTTAACTCCTTATCAAGTAGAGAGAGGAAAGTTCCTGTATGCCCTCAAGTTTTCATGGGCGTAGAGAAGCACTCGACAGTCGCGACTTCAAAGCTGCTGCCCTCTGCCCTCAGCGCTCAAACTTCAGTCAACTTATATCTAAGTTGTTCTACAGGGTTATTGCATTATTCTATTAGGTTATACTGATACCCCTGATATTGGCATTGGCAATGGCAATGGTATGCCTAGAGCGCCTACGTGCCATCGTCCTGCAGTGGTGGCTGCGCCGTAATTGGACAGAAAAGATGCTGGCGAATCCTGGAAAAGAGGGTGTTCCAGGGACGAGGCTGAGACGGCAGGCGGTAGGTAGCAAATAACAAGGGTTATTTATAAATAGGAGAGATGCTACGGGTTGAATATAAAAATATGGCTGTATTCCAGCTGTACCCTCTGAATCATGAGGCGGGCGGCGTATGGCCAAAAAGTCACTCGTCACTATCTACTTTCTTTCTTTCTTGACTTCCTCCCCCCTTCCCCCTTCTAAGACAAGAGGGAAATATTAATAGGAACAACAAAGAAGGAAATAAAGAAATCAAGAAATAAACAAAAAGAAAAAAAAAAAAAAGAAAACAATTTTTGCCTGTTCGGTCTGTACCAAATGGATTCATTTTTACATGAGTGTGACACAGTCAAATGCTAATGCTCCTTAAACAGAATCACACGCTTATTGCAACATCTCTTCGAGATAGAAGACCCAAAAGGTTTTACAATGAGCTACCTGGAAAAGCGCGGGGTGACGGCGATCATCGACGACATCACGCCAACTTCACTCGAATCCAAAACCAGATCGTTCTGGATCACAATGTTGCCTGCGTATTTCCCAGACACGGACTACTCGATCGAGGCCGAGCCGTATCTTGAAAATAAGACCGGCGGTACCACCAAGCCCGACCGTGCTGGTCATCAAAGCCTCAGGACCGCTCCCAGTTGCAAATGGAGACTTGCTGTTTATCGAAAGCAAACGGGCCAATGTGGACAAGCCAAGCGTTTGGGAAGAAACAGAAAGGGGACAGCTGCTCAACCATGTGAAAGCCAACCGTAATGCGAACGATTGTGCCTATGGGGCAATTGCCATTGGTCGCAAAGTCAAGTTCTACTTTTACAACGGGAAGGAGCTACTGTTCCTATATGGGCCATACTCGATAGAGGTTCGCTCTGATGCCGAGGCTATTGTCAAAGTGTTTGACGAGATCAAAACTCACCCTCGTACCGGTTACACAAATTAGCTGCAGAGTCTCTTGTCTGTCTTTGGGCTAAAAATTTGTGCCAGTCCTTGGGTCATGTATTGTCTTCGGCTTCTGCAATGAAATCTTTTCTCTTGAATGAAAAGTCAAACGGTGAACGCAAGGAAAATCTCTCTTAGAAATTAGACATGAGATAATCGTGACAGGCATTGAAGATCCAATAAATTCGCTATTGCATAGAGAGTTAGTTGGTTGGTCGTTTGTCATGTGAAAAAAGCTCACCTTCTCGGTATGCGGTGTTTGTGATTCTTGTCCGATTGACTCCAATTCCGCCAGGGTCCCGAGAGGAAGTACCCGTTTGTTTGCAGATATTTCAATGCCGGTTAAAGTCCTGCGCTGGAAGAGTGCACTTCCTCTTATTTTGTAAGAACAGCGTATCTGCCCAATTTGCTCATTTTCAGAGAGTGTATGCTCTTGAATATTTGTCGCCCCAGGGATAAAATCTCCCAGGATCTTGTCAAGGCAGCTTTCTGTATAACAAAGCCTCATGCCGGTAACTCGTCCATGCATGTCAATTGCGCCTGTAACACTCGTCACGTTCTGTGTTGGAGCAGAGGATATGAACGCCTTCCACACATTCATGGCGACATGATCAATGATGCTCTTTGGGATTTTATCATCCGTAGATTGCCTGTAATCTCGGGACGCTATACTTGGTAATGGTGATGGCTTTGATAGTAATCCAAAGGACTGCAGAGACGGAACGCCCTTATCTAGAGAGCCAAGCCGATTTCCCTCAGTCCTAGACGTCCAATGACGGAACAGCCCGAAAATGCCAGTCACAAGGGTTTCAGCGGATGTGGCAGTCGATAAAAATTTGCTTGCTGGAAACCCAAGAATGAGCTTTCTGTGTGCATTTGTGCAAAGCTGGTAATTTTCAGCGGCCATCCCAACTATTTCGAGAGAAGATGGCTACTCACCTTGATTTGTTGGATTCCATTCTCAGTCATGACTATAGTCGCACGGGAAATTCGCTCCCCACTAGGGCCATCGATGATCTCACATAATCGGGTGCCAAAACAGAAACCCCATCGCATTGGAGAATGGCCCTGGTAGATAAATTCCAGCCCTGTAATGCCAGTATCTTTGCCTATGTAGAAGGCATTCACCTGGATAAGCTGTTCAAGGAGACTCTCCTGAGGACCGGCAAAGCAGCAACTTTGGTAAGGTTCTCCATCAAAGGGTTGGCAGTGCGATGAGAGGAGGCTTGTGTCATATATGGGTAGCTCTGGCAGCCACACCACAGGTGCCTTGAGCGAATCTCGCGGGCCGATCTTGACAGATGAAAGCTTGAAGCTCTATAAATCGTTAATTACCGGGTATTTAAAGCTCGGAGTTGCTACTCACGTCAAAGTTCAGACGCAGTATATCGCCCTTTTGGAACGCGGTCTTGCTCTTGCAGATATTATCCCCAGAGAATTGGCCAAGAAATGCCTCCTGTCCCTGACCTTGTTCAAATCCAAGACCGACGAATCCATTGTGCCTTTCAGAAAATAAAAGCTGGCCAGAATCGTTCCTAGGACATCCAGGTAGGTATTTAGAGGGGCCATTGTAATGAAAGCCGCATCCGTTGATGTCATCTAAAGAAAACTGGATGCCAGTGATATAAGAGGTGTGACCAACGGTAATGAATGAAACCTGCAGAGGTGGCAATGGTAGCTGTATATCAATCGTTTGGATTTCCCGAACCGTTGGATTCAACTCAAGAAGAGAAGGTTCCTTTCTCTGATCGATTGGAGAGCGCAATTGAATGATGGTGCAAAGTCGACGGGCAAGATTATATATCCTCCGCAGGTTTCGCAGAGAATTCGCCGCCCGACTTGTCCGCTGACGCAAGATTTGCTTGAGGTGTTTATATCTTATATCAAGTCGAGCACAGGGGTTTCCTTTTATGAAATCTGCATAAGGCATATCACTTGCCATGCGAATAGACCAGAAATGCGTCGAGAGTGGTGCTAGTGCCGCAGCAGTGCTTACACTTCTCAGCTTCTGAAGGTCTTGAGTTGGTAAGTAAGAGATAATTGCAAGTATAATCTCTGGGGGCAATGTGAGAAGATCATCTGACCGCGCTCCCTCAAAAATGTGCCTGACTTTATCTTCTGCAGAAGTTGGGTCGAAGGCCTCTAGATCATTCCAGCAGACTCCCAAAGGAGGTGCAAATATGAAATCATCAAGCCTTTCATCCTCATCATATTCATCTGGAGGTTCAGGAAGCTCACGAATGAGAATGCCATCGATTTCGATGTGGATCGCTGCATTGTCGCCCTCAAAGAACGTGGAAAATGGAATGACTTGTAGCAACTTGCAGAGAATCAGAGGAATGGCACCAAAGCCAGCGTCCCGCAAGGCTCTTTGTAGGATATCTTCGCAGCTGGAGTGTATCCCAAAAACATACGAGCCATCATCCTGAAGGCCAGGAGTGTAAATGGTATCCTCCGCTTCAAACATACCGTCTTCATATTGATAAATATTGATGATTTCTACGTTTGAGCTGTTCCAGTGCACTAGAAGAGTGTTAAATGGAGCGCCCGGACTCAAGACTCTGGCGACCTTACCACAGTGAAGATCATTCATCCACCCAATATGGGTTCGTCCAAACCCTAGGCCACAGATCGGACATCTTGGAGATCTCATAGCTTTGTAGATACGGGTTTTAATTCACTGTTGTTTCTCAAATTGAAGATAACCTCTTCCTGGGTGGGGTTGTGGATCTCCTTGCATGATCGTGGCCAAGGGCTTTTCAAACAATTGGTCAAGAATCACCGTCCTTCCTTACTATCTGGTATCCAGCATTTCAGCGCTGCTTCTCATATCTTGCCCACCAAAGAGTGGCTGGCATCGCTGCAACTATCTCTTTTGGAATGAATTTGGAGAGATACGCAGTGTAGATTTAATGGAGCAGTATGGCGTGCGCACGGCCCGCCTTTCAGCTGTCCACCCTACACAACTCTTAGCAGAGACGCCAAGTAGATCACTCACTATACCTAGTGACGGCTATCACCAATCTTTCGGTATGAATGGCACCAATATTACCTGGAAATACCATTTGGGGTTGCTCGGCGAATAGATGAAAGCTACCTGTGTGCATGAATTGCGTGATGGAATGTATTGAGTAAACAACCAACCGCAGACCATGCAAAGTTGTTCCTCATGAAGGGGAAAGATGCTTGCCATGTGCTTTCTTGCTGGCCAGTTGACCCACTACTTAAATTATTGACGGCAGTTATGGGTAATTTGACGAAACAGGCAGATAATTGAATTTTTCCCTGGTTAAGCTTTCACCGTTGGCATTCACTGGCTCCTGACTTAGATCTTGACCAAACAGGAGCTATTGGGGTAGACGGGTACTGGATGATGGAAAGAAGTTCCAGTTATACTACGGTGACTCAACTGGCTTCCGATAGCACCCGTCCTAGCGACTGATTGCCTTCCCGGAAGAGGGTAAGGAGTTACGGTTTATGACATCTTCCTACCTAGGTTTGAAATATTGCAAACCCTTGGTACAGTGATCGAGAGGGATTGCATCCGCCTCAACTCTGCAGAGACCTTTCATTCCTGCTAATTTTGACTGTGGCTGAGACTCAAATAGGTGCTGGCAAGGGTGGCTGCTATATCACATCTCGTCCCGCCTGCCGCTGACCCCACCCCGGCGGCTAAACGCATAGCCTTGCCGTTTCACTTTGCTTTGCAGCGCAACGGCAATGATGAGATTGGTCAACAGGGGTTATCAATTGTTTCCCGTTGAAGAGATAGATCTGAAATGAAACCCTGTTGAGAAATTCCAAAAAAGAAAGGATACTTAGCCTCTTTTAATGCCTCTAACCGCGTCCACACAAATCTTTCACGTTGGGACCCGGCCCTCAGGAAGATGTTAGATAACGGACGACATGAGGCACCGAGAAAGTGTACTAGGATAGTGTGTCCATGGCTGGACAACGGATTTCGAGCTAAATGCTTTGATGGTCCCCTTCTTTGCTTATTATATTGCGTTCTTTTTCATGGCTTCGAGCAATTCGAATTACAACCATCTTTAAATGCGCTTGATATGCATAGCGACTGTTGTTGATTTCTTCTACTCCTTTATTACATCGTCTTGGTTACTAAATTATGTCACATTCTTTTACGACTGGGATCTCTGGTCGTCAAAGTCCTCCATACGAAGTGGTCACTGAATGGCGTGATGCGAGATCAATTCAACAGCGACATCATGAGCTAGATAGAGAGATATCCCGAGAGCAACGGCCTTTACGAAATGCAAGCGGAAACTATGGCATCCGGGACGATGAACAAGATAGCGAGACTGCGAGCAGCAAAATCAATAATGCTGTGACTGTGTGTAAATGGGCTGTTGGCTGGAGGGTTCCGTTTATCATTACTGCGTCTTATTTTCTCGGTGAGTAGGACCGTTCAATCATTGGCACGTGGAATGAGCACCTATTCTGATTAAGCTTCCAGCTCTGGTGATCGCCTTTGCGCATCTAATATTCTTTCGGTATCTTAACGGGAAACGAGTAGATGATCTACCAAATCTACCTCAGACCTATGTCACCACTGTCTCGACGATTATGGCCAATATGTTTGCCATCTTAATTCAAGGTAGTCTAGCCGCGGCTTTTGTACAACATCTTTGGCGCCAAATCCGCAAGGCCCCCTTAGAAGTATGCCGCTTAGAGAGACTATTCACGTTGCGCTCGAACCCACTATCGTTTTTCGACATCCACATCTATCGAAATTATTTTGTGTTGGCCATCATGGCTATTATCATTTGGTTTTGCCCAGTCGTCACCAGTTTCCCTCCAGGAGCATTGAAGGTTTCTTCGGGGCCTTATGACCTCTTCAGCAACGGATCCATTCCTACGCTGAGTCTTTCAAATGTAAGTCACGGCGGGCATCATTCATGCATTTACCTCTGACGTTTATACGATGCTGATACGATTAAACTTTTCTCTCTACTTACAGTATGGTAATGGGTCAATTTCAGACATGGAGAAGAACGCATTCTTCTCGTACGTGCCGACAAAATATGCCAATGGGTCGATATATATACAGCTTGATCATGAGAGTGGCTTATCCATTTATCAAGCAACGCAGAATTTAGCCAGTAAAGTTACTTTCAACATGGATATGGACATCCTCATTTCGCCGTGTGGTCCAAACTGTTCGTTTTCCGACTCATTCGAAGGGCCATTTTTGGATTGCTCGCAGACGACGCACGATATCATGGTCCTCCCGTTGGAAGAACCGGAAATTACGGCTTATAGCGCTCGCTGGACTGATTATACGAGAGACGAAACTGATGCCGAGTTTCCAGGGTTCCATACCACGGTGCCAATGACGTTTGAGACCTACAACTTGACGACGTGCTACAACAATGCAAATAACACCTATGGGAATATCATTCAAAACTTGACAAGAATTACCCTGTCTTGCCTTCCCAAGAGGGCTATTTGGGATGTTAATTATAATTTTGACAGGAACGGGGCGCAACACGTTGAGGTCAAGACCCGCGACATTATACCCCTGGCGGATTTGAGCCAATCATTTCTAATTTCCAATTACACTGGCGATATGTTAACAATTCCCGCTTATAAATTGCTCCCGCTGACACCACAATTTCGGGATGCAAATATAGCCACGATATTATACAGCATGGTAGCTTTACTTGCGGGAGACATTGCCGCGAATGCTTGGTGCCCAGGGAATAACTATCCACCTGGGCAGTATGGTGATTCTACTTGGTCTCCAGAGTATGAATCACCATTTCTTCAGACAGGTTCGTATTCATCTACTCCTCTCGTCTTTTCAACAACAAATACCCGCCCTTTCTCTCGGATTCCCTCTGTCGGGCTCACTATCGTCTTCTCAAGATGAATGAGAAGAAGCAGATGTGAGACAATTGCCATCATTTAAATTTAACATTTCTGTTTTGAACTAAGTCATTACTTGAAAACTAACAATTAAATTTTGCAGCCGGCGTTTTATTAAACACTTCCATCGTCCCATTTACGCGTTTCTCCGCCCTCTCACCCTATGCTACCGATTACTTGGCCTACAACGCAACCAATCTGTTCAACATTACACAAGCCGGGCTCAATTCTTTGCTACAAAACATTACCCTTTCCTACATGTTCATGCTGTCGCCGTTCTCCAAGCAGATGCAGCTAAAGCAGACTGTATTCGAAAATTATTATTACTTTACCCACCCTCTCAACCTAATCTTGCCGTACTTTATCACGTTGGCGGTTGCACTTCCTTTGCTCCTACTCGGACTCAAATCTCTTTTCGTCAACGGCGTCCCCGCTACAGACGGCGGCTTCCTCCAACTCCTCGCGACAACACGAGGAAGCGAAAAGCTCGACCAACTCGCAGCTCGAGGATGCCTCGGCGAAGAACTCAATTTCCCCACCGAATTAAAGAAGACAAAAGTCATGTTTGGAGAGTTTCTAACTGATAGGATAAGCTGCATAGACGCCGACCATAAAATTGGAAATGACGCCGAGAATGCGATGCTTCCAAAAACTAGAATTGCCTATGTGCGGTATGGGGAAATTGGAGAAGACGAAGAAGGACAGACACAGCAGCTGGGAGTCGTCCGCAGAGCGGGATTCGGAACGGAAGATGAAGTCGTACCCTTGGTAAAAGGGAGATTATATGGGGGCGGATATCAGGACACGACGCCATGATGCATTGATATGGATTCTAGCAGTATATGGCTTGCTCTTCTGCGTCTCCTTCTTACGCCTCACGAACATGTTAATGATTGATTTATCATCCACATATATACTGGACTCTCATAACCCAATATTATACCATTGTCTTGCTTTATATTTGCAACTGTTCTTTTTAAAAAAAATTAATAACAATATGATACAGTCCATACAAGTTCTGCGACCTTGACTTTGACCTGAACAAGAATACACTGCTCCAAAAACCTTCCCATATTTGCTTGAAATCTTCACCGAATCTACCAACCATATTTACTCCCTGCCTCAGCTTTATTTCTTTTCCCCGTCGCGAAAGACTCCTCGAGCGCATCACGCTGACTACTCGCCGCACTGACAAGCTGTTTGAGACTATGCTTGCCCGGCGCAATCGAGCGCACGGGGTTATGCTGCACCGTCTCGCCCGCTGCGCGTATTGCTTCGTTGGCTGCATATTCTGCATCGGTATTGAAATTGACCACGCTGATAGCGGATGCGTCGGCAGGGAATTTGTTGTTGCCTCGTCGCCCGCCGCCACTACCACCACCAGCGCCGCCAGATCGGCCAAAGAGCTGCCTCTTGGCGGACTCGGAAAGGTTCAGGTCGTCGGCGATACTGGATAGTGATTGCGTGGCTGGCGGTCCGCTTTGATACGTCTGATTGTATGTCGCTGTGGAAGATGTTTCGGACTGAGGATCGTATGATACAGACGAAGAAGTCTCGTAGGAGTATGGATTTTGTGTAGCAGTAGCAAAAGACGAGGATGATGTAGGATCGGTATTATGGGTATTATTGGATTCGTAGAGAAGAGGGGTGTAGTCTCCGCCGTTGGCTTCAGCAGGGGCCGGGCCAGGGGCAGGGCCGAGAGGGGTATCGCGTTCTGCAGCAGCGCCGCCGAGTGAAAAGAGTGAGACTTTGGGCTTGGGCTTTGGTGCGGACTGAGGTTGAGATGCAGTCACAGGGTGAGCGGCCTGTGTGGTCTGAGTTATAGTAGCAGCGGTAGTAGACGTTGCTGGTGGTGTAGGTGCAGGTGCGGGTGATGGAGATCCTGTTGATGTGGATGTCGGAGTAGTCTTCTTCTTTTTCGTCTGCGGCCTTCGTGCGACGGATAGTGGCTTGAACATCATTGGATTGCCCACTTTCTCGACTTGGTCTGCGGATTTCTGCGCAGGGATTGATGGCGCGGGCGCGGCTTTCTGCTCAGATGCCGGTCTAGATGATGACGCTGGCGGAGGCGTCGGCGCATCCTTCTCTTCTCCGGCGGCTGCGGGCGGTTCTGCGACGGAAGACGACGAAGGCTCTGCGTCTCTGCTAAAGCCCGGTGCTGAGCCTGTTTTGAGACTGACGCCTGCGCCTATCCCCCGTCGTGATGCACTCGGCCCGCTTCCTCCTGCTCCAGCAACGGGACCTGCTCGTTTCGGCGCGGGGAGAAAAGAGTTGAAGCCGCTGAATGCGCCGCCACCTGTTCGGGCGCGCTTTGCGGGTGGCCCGTCCGGTTCGTCGTTCGCAGCCTCGCTGCTGCCATTGGTAGCTTTGCTGTCGGTATTAGATAGCTGAGGAAGATTGACGCGGATTTTTCGAGGGTTGGATCGGTCGACGACCTTTTCAAATGTCGGTTTTGATTTGGTGGATGATTTGGATGCAGGGGGGGCTGCAGAAGATGCCGGGACGGCCGGAGTGGTTTCAGATCCGGAATCTTCAGAGTCAGAGTATTCAACAAGACCCATGGTGAATGTATGTGAGGTATATGTGAAGAGTATGTGAAAGGTCTATTGTTGTTTTGTGACGGAGAGGTGTTGTGATTGTGAGAGAAAAGGTGAAGCTGCGTCATGAGGGAGGCGAGAGATGTCGGAGTTTTGAGGGTCCAAATTCCCCGCGTTTCTCATTTCAACTTCCCTACATGACCAGCCCATCTGTCCTTTCTTTCGTGACGGCATTACAGGTCATGCTGCGAATTTTCTCACGTGGATAGTCTTTGATCGTACTGAGCTTGACATTTTGAATTTGAGATAAAAGGATTTAAGCTCTTGAGTTTCCGACATGCGCGCGGAAACAACGTCATGTCATGTCTCTACTACAAAATGAAGAGTGAGCTACCCTGAGCTATACCCCTGGACGTCAGACGGCTAATATGTATTTCGTTGACAGCTTTGTCCTTTTGAACCTACGCACATCATATCTAAATTCTGTCAAAGATGGCGTCGGTGAACGTCTGATCAACGTCAATCCGGCGATCCTGAACGACCCTGGATTTCGTGCCGCAGGATGGACCGTCGATTCCTCTACAATCAAGCGGACATATTCCCCTCCTATACCTACTGCAATAGCTTCCGAATATTTCCAGGCTCCAGCTCGCTCAGGTGGTATTACGCCGGCTGTGTTCGAAGATGAGGAAGAAGGGGGGATGGTGACAGGGGGAGGAGCAAGCAATGAAACACCAGGACCGGGTCCCATGGTGCGCCGGCGAAGACGAAAAGAGCAACAAGAGGAAGATGACAGTAGCGATTTAAGTGACGAAAGCGATGATGATAGGGATAGGTATGAGGACTCTGAATTCCACGAGAGAGACAGAAGTTTCCCCTTTCTGACCCTGCATCTTTTATTACTAGGGCCGCGCAACAGATTAAATTCACAAAGATGCCCGTTCGGACCCGCGCTGGGTCATCTCCGCTACGACAGTCGCCAAGGGATGGACCGTCAGTGCATCTACCGTCTCCATCAAAGCCGAATACCCGTCGTGGGTCTCTGGGTGCGATTGAAGGAATGAAAGGGCGTAGGAGGAGAGACACCACGACGAGCAGCGAGCTATCTTCGGACAATGATCTCAATCCATCCTTTTTCAAGAGAAAGCCCTACAACAATAAAAAGGCGAGCTATATGCTCTCTGAAAGGATTCAAGAAGAGGAGCAGAATGCAAATGGCAACATGGAATCAGAAAGCGAGTCGGATGCGGGTTCGGAGGGTACGACTCTGTCATCGGAATTCGCAGAGCCAGCTGATTCCACCTCTCTTCTTGGGGTGGTTGGCAACCCCTTGGCATCGTCTTCGCCAGTCATGGAGATGCGTCCCCCGCAAACAGCCCATATGTCGCCGAAAAAGACTCGACCCAGTCCTGCCGTGCTGCAGGCATTACCGCCATCCCGCCCGATCAGCATGGTGCAACCGACAAGTGCTCTTTCAGAAATGATCAAGGCACGAAAGAAGAAACCCGCAAGTCCATTTGAAGCGTTTGCAAGTCTTTCTGGAAAAGGAGTGCCCAACCCGCTTTGGATCAAGATCTATGCGCCGTCATCAGATGAAGCAGAAGAACCTTACGAAATGCCCCTTCAGCGGTTTGGCGGAGAAAATGAGAACGGCGACCGCATGCCTGTCACTGTGGGGGAAGCCATTGGTCTTAGTCTGTGGCGTTATGTAGAAGAAGGCCGAAAGCCGCCGATACCCGGCGATAAAGTGAATGTCAACCGGTGGACGCTTCGCATGGTTGAAGATGGTGAAGTTGACTACGACTTCCCAGCTTTGCACCGCACACGGCCGATTTCGGACTTTACATCGAACAATAATCGCGGTGCCCGTGGCCGGTCTCGAGAAAAGCCCTATGATGAATTTGCTCTCGTGCAAGCGACAGAAGAGCAGTTTCAAGAGAATGAGAAACTCACGCCCCAGTACTCTACCGAAACGGAGCAAGTCCAAGATGATTCTGGTGAGCTTACGCCTCTGGCCGGACAGCAACCACCTGCTGGCGGACCCTTTGGTCCACCAGGAAATGCACCATCGCCTGATCCAATACGAAATGCATTTGGCCGACCTCCGTTTGGCGCTGGGTTCACCAATCTGCGAAGCAATTCCACCACCCCGGCGGACGTACCCGTCCCAACTTCCCACGCTACTCCTCGCACTGGCGCACCAAAGACGTTGAAGATTCACTTTACGGATTCGCAGGCGCTCTCACAGACAACAAACGTGGATGTCACAACAGACACGTACATTGCCGAAGTTCTCGAGTCGCTGTGTAAGAAATGGACCCTTGATCGAGCTCACCACGTCCTGCGCGTCAGTGGCACAAACACGATTGCTCCGCTCGATCGAACAGTCGAATCGCTCGGCGACCGATCTGATCTCGAACTCATTCGTAAACGTTTTGCCAATGACGGCTTCTTTGGCGGCTCGCCCACCAGCACCAGCCCTAATGCGCCGCTGTTACTCACCACAGATCCACCAAAGAAGGGCAAAAAGGGCGTCATCCATCCCCTTGCGCAGGACTGGATCGGCAGCACGGCCAATTACAAGAAATACAATGTGCTTCGAAAGCAGCCCATGTCATTCACCCCTTCGCACTCACGTATCCTCGTGCTTGATGGCGAGTATATGCACATTATGCCTGGGGAGACAGGACGAACGTTATTCGATGCGGGTGGCAAGACTACCACTATTCATTTCAGCAGCGTCGTTGGATGCAAAGTCAGCAGGAGGCATCCAAAGACTTTTAGAGTGAGTCTCTCCTCATTTATATCACATCCATATCTACTTCTTTATCATTTTAAATCCTTTCATTCTATCCTTGTTTGCATTCTGCTTTTTCCCTTCTGCCTGGGTTAGGGTTAGGGTTCTATTCCAAAGAAGCCGGAGTGCCGTTCAATACCACCTAAACATCACAAAATGCTAACTAGATATATCAGGTGGTTGTCTTCAAAGAACGCGAATCCAAGCGGTACGACTTTGAAGCACAAAATGCCGACGAGGCAGCGGAGATTATCGCCGAGATTAAAAAGGGTCTTGAACCATTTCAAGACAATAATTTTATCTAAGCTTCGATTGACCTTTTACCTGGTCCTCTTTCTATCCGCCCCTCAAACGCCCCGTTTGCGACTTCTTTTTTTTTTTTCAAAACATCCCCTTTTACGCTGTTCTCATCTTCTGGGCATCTCGCTCCTTTATGGCACACTCTTCGCCGCCAGAGGTTCGCCATTTGCAAACCGCATACTTTGCATATTTCGCCTCACTTTTCTTATACTTTGACATTTGCTTTATCCCTTAGTTGTCACTATCTACTGCATCTATCGACGTCTTCTTCCTTCTCCTCTCCTCAACCCTGCTTCTACTCCTTCATCATCTCTTTCACTTCTCTTTCAACCATATCGATCTCATCATCCCCACCCTCCCTGCCCTATTTCTCTCTCTCTCCCCCTCCCCTCTCGCTTAACACACCTCTTATATCCATATATCTCAGCGGCATACTACGCCGGTGCACTTTCTCCTCCCTGGCCAATTCTATTGCATCTCTTCCATCTGAAGCATGACAAGGGCCCCTTTGCATATCCTTTATCTTTCAGCCCTCGTTCTCCGAGACGGTTGACCGTCTCTTCATTTCTTATATTCTCAGTCTACTTTCTCTAGCAGACTTTTTCTTTTCTTTTTTTTGCCTATTCAAAGATATCCCCTGAGTGTGCCCTCATTCTTGCAGTCTACATCTCCTTTGTTTTATTTTTCGGTCTATTCTTCTTTGCATCATCGCCTTTCTTTCCTACGCGGACCCTTCTTTTATTTCCTTGATCTCCTTTTCTGTGACTAGGTGCAGGTAGAAATTTAAGAATAAGTCAATAGTCGAATGGAATGACTAATAACATTATACTACTAGCTGTGCCTGATTCCTTCAATATGTCTCTGGTACATCTCTGTATGACGGACGTTTTGAAGGAACGGGTTGACAGTTGATTACGAGACGTGCGGTTGGATGACAGGGCCCAGTGGCATTTTCGTAACGATATGTAAGGTTAAATGTTTAATGCTAAGAAATGCTATTCTATGCTCTGTGGCAACGAGTATGTGAAATAAATTTACAAAGAAGCAGAGGGGGAAAAAAAAAAAAGAGAGAGAGAGAAGAAGATAAGAAGTAATAAAAAAAAGAAAAAAAAAGGGGGAAATGAAAAAAGGAAAACAAATTAAGAATATAAAGGGTATCATAGAGATGTCAACAACTACCAATCGCTAGACGCAAGAAATATATTTCATGTCTTCTCCTTCATCTCATTCCACATACGATCAACGACTTGAAACACCGCCGTGACTGCTTTCACAGTCTCCTCGTCAAGCCCACCTGCCGCTCCGAAACGCTGCTGCATTTTATCCGGATGCCACCGGACACGCTCCAGTTTGAGCAGTGGGAGTAGTGGCTGTGCAACAGTAGAGGGAGTATTTGTGCCACTTGTGCCACTGCCACTACCATTACCACTCCCAGTAGTAGCTTTACCAGTTCCATTTGTGGCACTAAGAACATCGAGCGGCGCATTTGCGAGAAAACGCTCGACTTGGTCGCGACTAACGTCCTTGAAGTGGCCTGATTCCACGGGCCAAGGAATAGATTGAGATTTTGAAGGTTCAGAGTCAGTGGGGACAGGAGCGCGCAAGAATGTTTCCCAGCCGCGCAAATATCTTTCCCAGACATCCTTCCACTTTTTGCCCATGCGTCGTTGTTCGCCGCGCTTGAGAGACTCTTCGACGGCTTTTTCAAAATCGTGCTTTTCGCGGTCCATTTTGCGCGTCTGGTCGCGCCACGCGCGCTGTCGTTCGCGCGCTTCTTCGCGCTGTTTGCGCTCCTCGATAATGTGCTGGTGCGTCTTCTCGTACATGCGCGCTCGGACGTACGATGCGTATTCCTCGTCGGTCATTTGCTCGAGTTCGCCCTCCGGGCCGGGCTTCTGGGACGGATACACGTGGATGGGTTGGCCGTAGACGCCTTCCCAGAAGGCAGCGCCCTCGTCGTCGGCGAGTGCGTCGAAGAGAGATTCGCGGAAGGCGTTCTCGGGATTCATGTATTGCGCGGATCGGGTGTTGGGCATGTATGTGTCGTCGTAGAGGGACGGGTCGTCGGGTTCTGTGGCAGTAGGTTTGCTAGAAGAAGAAGGTTTTGAGGAGGAAGAGGAGTGGTCGTGGTGTCGCCGTCGCCGCCGGTGGTGGTTATGTCGCTGGCGAGTAGAAGAGGAGGGAACGTGGTCGTTGGAGTTCTCATTGTCATGGTGCGAAGGATGTGTCCGGGATGAGCGGTGACGTTTGCTACTCCGGTGATAATCACGGGAGGAAGAATCCGGCGCAAAGTCAAATTCGTAAGAATGGTCACTTGATGAGCGCTTGGACTTGTCTTTGAATCGGAACTTGGATGCCCTTGTGGAGTCGTATTCGCTGTTTGTTGGTCTGTCGTGCTCAGGGTTCGAGGTGAGGTTGGCAGCTTCGGAGGCACGCACGCCTGCTTCCGTCGCACTCATCTCGAAGGCTTTTCTCTGCTGAGAAATGTTATAATTGCGAGATCATCTCTGTATAGGTGCGTTGCTGATCGTAGAGGAGGGTATGATAAATTGTAGCAGCAGCGGGCTATCGATAGCGTCTCAACCGGAGATAAGTTTTGTCGCCACTGAATTTGGAGAGTTCTCTATTTTCAGAGAGGAGTCCTATCACGATATCTCTCTCTAGACGATTAATCACTGAGAAATCAAGGGATCCGTGAAGGCTGACTGCGCTCTCAAAAGTTGTGATGTTGAAGAAATCACTTGTCCGCTTTCGCCGTTAAAGTTCCCCAGATTTATTAGCTGTCGGCATTTGCCGCCGCATCATCGCCAGGGACTTCGCAGTTCAACTTCGCTTTACCTTTACCCTTTCAGATCCTACAATTCTTTTGCTAAAAGTCTCACACAATGCCAACTCTATCGTATGGGCTCAATTTGACAAAGAAGCCCGGCAGTGGCGGAGCGCCTTCCAGACCGTCCGGGCCTGTGAAGAAAAAGCCCGTATTCGGTGGCGACTCCGACTCTGAAGACGAAAGCTCCAAGGCGCAGAATGTCAACAATACCGAAGAAATTGGCGGCGGGATCCTCGGAGATGACGACTTTAACACTTCCTCCAAACCTTCATCTGGAGGAATTTCCAAACCGAAACCTAAAATGGACTTCAAAGCCGCACCCGCCAAACCCGCCGCAAAACCAAAGCCCAAATCCGCCATAACTCCCTTTGGAGACCTTTCAACCGCCCATAGCACGCGGAAACATGCTGAATCTGCTGTGGAATTAGACCCTAGTATCTACGACTACGATGGCGTCTACGACCAACTACACAGTGCGACAGAAGCAAAGAAGGAGGCACAAAAGGCGGACGCTGAGCAGCGCAAACCGAAATACATGGGCAATTTACTCGCTGCTGCGGAGGTGCGAAAGCGAGACCAGCTGCGGGCAAAGGAGAAAATGTTAGCCAAAGAGCGTGAAGAGGAAGGCGACGAATTTGCCGACAAGGAAAAGTTTGTGACGGGTGCATACAAGGCGCAGCAGGAAGAAATGCGGAAACTCGAAGAAGAAGAGCGTCTGCGTGAAGAGGAGGAATCAAAACGCCGCTCAGGCGGCCAAGGCATGATGGGATTCTACAAGGACATGCTAGCGCGAGACGACAAGCGGCATGAAGAAATCTTGACTGCGGCAGAAGAAGCTAGAGCAAATGCCAAGGATGCCGGTACCGCTGGTCAGAAGGACAACCCTGGCGAAGAGGAAGAGGAAAATAAAAAGGATAAAAACGAGGCCGAGGTCGCGAGCGAGCTGAAAGCGCGTGGAGTCGTTGTTAACGAAGAAGGCCAAGTCGTGGATAAACGCCAGCTGCTATCCGCCGGTCTCAATGTCAAGCCCAAACCGAAACCCGCTGCTGCGCCCGTATCCGGACCAGCGTCAAGGGTACCGGGTGGTCCGCCAGGCGGTGGCTACGCTGGTGGTCGCGGCGGAGTAGGCGTTGGTGGAGGTCAGCGAGCTATGCGCGAGCGCCAGTCTCGTATGCTGGAAGCCCAGCTGGAGCAAGCTTCGAAACGCGCTGCGGATGATGAAGATGATCGTCAACAGGAGCTTGAACGTGCGGCCAAGTCTCGGAAGACCGAGGGTGATATTAGTAGCGCCAAGGAGCGCTACCTGCAGCGCAAGAGGGAAGCTGCTGCTGCTGCCGCCGCAGCAGGGAAGCCGTGAAATGAATATGCGCGCGTGCAGTGCTGAACCTGCAGCCGCAGCTCTTTCTTTTTCATTCCTGTCCATGGAAATGACTTTTTAAACGCTCAATATACCCCAACAAAGATGTTTCCTAGGACAAGCTACACTTTCTGTCCATGCAGGCTCGCTCTTAGAGACTAATAGTCCACTCTTCGGCCATGTCTGCCAGCGAACAGCTCGAACTCAATCAATAACGGACCCATCCATCGTTCATCTGCAACTCGTCTTTCCGCATCGTACGCGGTTGAAATCCATCAAATTCCCAGAGGCTTTGGGTTGCCGTATCTGTCGGCATCTTGGGTGTTAGAATTCTGACATGGCTCAAAGCACTACCTTGCAGTCACGTTGACAAGGAGGGCCCGGAGCATTTCCTCTGACTATATGAACCTGCGAGGACAAAATAAGACTCCGCGTTCAGAATCTGGAGATAGTTTGTAGTCTCTCCAACTTCCTCTCAAGTGATATAGATTACCTTCACCTACGGCTTCATGCTCCTACTTCACGGACACGAAAAGTTGTCAAATGCTGCTATTGGAGAGCAGGTAATGCGTCCGCTATACATATTTTTATCGAAACATTGCTAGATGAGGGAATAATTAAAACCTGAATGATCAATTAAATCTATGTATTCGAGCTTGTCTGTTTGGTTCGTTTTCTCTTGATCGAATTGTCCGGGCACGATATGATCGCGCTTCAGCATCCGCGAAATTCGGCGCCAATATATCCCGTTTTCATTGCAGCATTTCCTCCCCGACGTGCTGTGACCGCAACAACCACCCGGCTGATTATTGAGTAAGAAGACGTTTCCTTGCCTTCTCAGCTAGCTCTGGGTCAAACGCTGCCACTTTTTCTATTAAAGCCTCGAGTTCTTTCTGCTCGCGGTCGAGTTCAGCTTGCTTCTTGGCCCATTCGGCCTCGTACTTTTGGAGTTGTTCCATTTTAGTCTTGGAAAATCCATCCAGCGTAGACTCTGGGATGGGTGCAAAGTCATCGAGGTCGGGATGGAGCTTGCAGATAGCCTGCCATGCTGGGTTATTGGCTCCTTCGTAACAGGCGTACATTAATTCGTGAAACCAAAGCTTGCCGTCGTCCATAGACTGTCGCATAAGGTCTGACAGCCGCTCAGGGTTCTCAATAAGATGATTTTCGTCCTTGTATCTATCTGTCTCCTCTTGCGCCAACACATGAAGGAAAAGCTCCAAGCATGTTTTGTACCTGTCAAGGTCTTCGCTGGTCCAATAAGTTGGCTTTTTGATTAGAAGCCAGCGCGGTGGAGAAAAGAACATCTGATACGGCGCGGTATACGCCCATTCCCAATCTAGGACGGCAACAATCTTCAACTCTGTTTCGTTGTTGACAAGGATATTGCCCAATCGCATGTCGTCGCATATTAGCCTAAATGGTGAACGATCGTATTTTTTATTCACAAAGCGAGGTATAAGGGCCAGCAGCTGCGAGCGGAATTTGTATTTAGAGCGAGCGTCTTCGGCGTCGTCGATGGAGTTGGGCTGTTCAAGAAGATGCTGAAGGTCTTGTTCAGCAACGTGACTAAAGTAATCTGTTGCTGATGAGAACAATTTGTCGCGGCATCCTTCTCCATTGAGCCTCGAGTCAGTTATAAGAGGAGTAAAGCAAACATCAAAAAGGAGTCGAACCTCCAACGCGAACCCCGCCATGTGCCTCTATCTCTTGCATCTTGAGCGTCAAAGGACTCTGCTCGACGTCGATGGTCTGATCACCATGTATAAAGAGCGCCCCTCCTTTGTCAAATTCCAGCCGAGATAATTCGAGAAGAAACCCTGCTATTTGACGGTATACAACACGCAGCTCTTGCTCGCTGATAGTCGACTTTAGTATTCCATCGCTCTTTCGTTCAGTTGGCTTATATTCCCATAGTTTCCCAAGGTCTTTGCCTTCAACATAATCCATTATGATAAAAGCTCCCAATTCCAGAGGGTTATCTTTTGATAGGCCCCAGGCATGAATTGCTGGTACTGGTATGCTTGTTCGTTCCTGGATTATCCGCATGGTGGCTACCTCGCGCGGGACTTTCTCATCTGGATCCATAACCTGTCCAGGAACCGCAAACCGTACTATCCATTTGACACCATCGTTGAATTGCACGATGCAGCTCCAATTGAAGGAGCCAAAGCAGTCACCTATAACCTGGCTCTCTTGATGTTCGCGAAAAGATGAAATCCATTTAGCAAGAGCTGTATCACGTTGTATGTGGAACTTTCTGCTCCATTCGGTACCAAGTTGCTGGTGTTTGATTTCTGCGAAGTCGTTGAAATCCATAACGGTGTGACGGGAGGGTAATGGTTGTGGAGTGTCAAGCGTTGCAAGAGCCTCGTTGTATGCCTAGCTGACGAGGCTGAATTGCATTCTCAGCCGCGGACACGCCACGCGAGCGGATTGGTCCTCAAGTCGTGCCGCAGACATGCCTCTTAAGACTGAGGCGGGGTATCTATATCATGCGTATATGAGAGAAAATGCGTATATATCTCTCTACAGAGTTTCAGAACATCCGAATTCGTTTTCCATCTCTTATAATTCTTTAGGAGAGTAATGGGCCTAGAGAAACATGTCTAGCACCAATAACAATAACACCTACGGTAACGCTGCCAGTAGCGCGACCACTGGCGGCTCGCAAAGCAACACTAGCGCGAGCCGGACTACAGGACAAACCGGACTCAACACCTCAGGTCCTCTCTACGATGAAGAACAGAGGACTTCAAGAACCGCTCTCTCCGGGGCCCTCTCTGACAAGGATACCAGAAACTTAATGATTATCATGGGTATTTCGTCCCGGGAAAAACGTGGTCGCTGTGAGTAATCGATCATTCTGTTGTGCCAGTATAGAATTGGATCACATCGCACCATGTCACTAACATTGACAATAGAATTCTCCCCAATTCAACAAAGCTCCTTTGAGAGCAAGAGAATTTGAATTTATAACTCGAAGCTGTCTTAATGGTGGCCTATGACAGACTTGATATGAATGCAATTCTCAACTGGGATTTATTCCGCACTCGCCTGAAGGATTTCTTGGAATTGTTTCCTTGGCGAAGATGGAACCTAATGTCTATCAGTAAATGCTCTTTACATTGAAGCTTAATGTCTCCGGCCTTGTGACTATCATGATAACTTCCTTTTACTTTTGAAGGACAAATTTGTGCAAGGGTAAAGCTGGAGACTATCCATTCATTAGGAGGCCAAGAATGCTGGCCATGTTGTCTACGGATTTTGAATCACGTTATCTCCATTTTAGAGACATTACCATCTTTAGTAGCGATTAACAATATGTCATCCAGCTTTTCATTGTTATAAATCCCAAAATTCTAGTCAAATGTGTAAACCAACGATTGTCAAAACAAATGCCAGTGGGCCCCGCGCTAAGAATCCGGCTAACCATCCGTTGCCGCCCGTCAAAGAGCAGCAGATCCCTCGGATCTCTCACTTTAGCGACAGCCGGTGTCGCGCTACCGCAGTAGCTGAACCGTATTTTTAGGATATCTCAACATCAAAAGAACAAAGAAGAGTCGCCGCATACATCATAAAGATGCTCTTCTAGCCTAGATATTTCTTGGTCAATTCTTCAAGGCAGGAATACAAATACTCATTAACCTCGTTGTCATTGAAAGGAATATCCTCCGATGGAAGCCCAGGGGGCCAAATTATAGCCCCGTTTCCAGTTCGGTTGCTGTCAAGGTTCATGTCATGTCGCTTGGTTGCCAATCTAAGCACGGGGTTTTCCATGGTGTACGTATAGCCGTGGATTGTTTCATGTGTTCCAAAAAATCTGTTCACGTGGTTTTTGACGGAGATGGTTATGTGGGGGTGGTCGGGGCGATAAACGCCTCTAGAAAACGAACAATTATGAATATGTGATCTGTGACAACAACAATCAGTGTCTTTCATGTAGATTATCGAAGTCAAATTTAGAAAAATAAAAAAATTTTATTAAAAGACATATTTACCTGATCAATATTTCACACGTATCTGGCTTTAGGCTCATCGCAGCTTGATAAGCTGCTGCCAAAAGCATTTTTACAACGTCTGCATTGGCCGGTTTGTCGTACCTCCAAACTATTCTAATAGTTCGTGTCGCCATTGGCTTATTCAAACAAAAAGTTAGCTCCAGCCTGAATCTCGGTGAGAAGGCACGGTTGTGGGGCCGAGGGACTTATTTATATATTCGTCAATTTCCTTTCTATTCGATTAACATAATACAAGATTCGGTATTTCGTTTTCGTTTTCTTCAAATTCAATTGCAGTAAAATTTATTTGAACTTTTGTCGTCCAAAATTCCTCAGTCATAAAACTTTCTTCTTATACATAAGGCCCTTGACTGAGATTTGAGACATTTCCAGTTTCTCATGATTTCTATAACAATTCTGTAAATTCGAGCTCTGACTCTATGAAGCCATTCGATATTCGAGTTCAAACTTCCAAGACTGACGTTGAAACTGTTCTAAAATCGTATATAGTCTACCGTCTTTTAAGGCTGTGGGAAGGCTCAAGAGACCGTGTCTTGTAGTCTTGTTAGACCATAATTCGTGTACAGCGGTACAAAGATGCTTTTCCTAAATGTATGCAAAGCAGGATGGTGTTTAGGACCAAAGGCGGCTTTGGTACTAGACCTAGACATCGGTCAAGAAAAACCTCATGAGTCGTGATCGCAATTCAATTAGAAAATCTATCATTCTCGAAGAATTGTAGAACCCATAGTAGGATCCTAGGTATTAGAAAGATAATATTTAAAGCTTCTTCATCGAAACTGCTAGAAAGGATTTATAAAATCTTTTGGTCCTTTTGACTTATTTTAGCATCTATTTCATAATCAAAAAGCATATTTTTACGACAAAACACCTCCCGTTCCTTAGGTGACCAGTGTGACAACACCGACCATTGACCGAACAAAGAGATTCAACACGGTTAAGCGCAGACGTTCGAACAGGACTCTGAATATACAAAGCAGCATGAGTAAAAAACGAATGCGCAGTGTCCGGGCTAATCTTTATTATTAGGGAAATCTGAAACTCTTCAAAAAAAAAAAAAAAATACCAGAAACGTCACACTGCCGGCCAACCGCAGCAGCACATATGATTTGTGACTAGCAGCAACACAAAGAACAAAGAAATCGCCGACTTCAGTCATATTTAAATATCTCAATCTCGCGGCTGTCATAGACTCATACATATTTTGCATCTAGAATACTGAGCAAAGAAGAAATTCATCAAATAACACTCTTGTTTTCAGAGCATTTTATAAATACCAACGACGAACCGCATCGACTGCAGTCAAACTTCCGTCTGCAATATTATTCATACAATGATTGCCGATGAGCTATTTCGTCAAATGGGCATTCCAGTACCTGTGTATTCGGAGGCCACAATTGTGACGCCCGACGGCATGGAATGGGCAGAGAGATATGTTCCTGGTGGCTTCCATCCCACCCACATAGGCGATATGTATCACGACGGGCGCTACGAGATCGTGCACAAGCTCGGATGGGGAAGTTTTGCAACAGTCTGGCTTGCAAGAGATAACAAAGAAGGCAGATACGTTGCGCTCAAAATCCACGCCGCGGATGCATTTGAAAACAGCCAAGACGGTGGAAATGACCGTGTCATACACACCGAAAGCAAGCACCTCGCCGCCATGAATTCAGGGCCAGAAGATCATCCAGGACGAGCGTATGTGTCTACGTTGCTCGACGAGTTTGTAATTAATGGACCGAATGGCCAGCATTTATGCATTGTCAGTAAGGCTGCGGGGTGCAGCGTTTGGGATCAAAAAAATGAGACGTTGGCGCGGTATTCGCCCAAAACGGCGAGGGCAATCTCTGCACAGTTGTTATTAGGGTTGGATTATATCCATGCTTGTGGCGTGGTGCATGCTGGTATGTCGTCCAGACTTAGTTAATATTCGATATTCTCCCTTACCCGGCCCCCTCCCCAAACCCAGCCCCAGTCGACCAACTTCTTCATCTGCAAGTGGGAAAAAATCGAGAAAGCCGCCTGTTTTCTGTGAGACTGTGAGACTGTGAGTCTGTGACTATTATACTAAACCAGCTTCTGCTCCCATAGACCTACACGAAAAGAACATTGTATTTCAATTTCCAATTTTCCAGCAAGTCACGAGCAACTCAGAGCTCTATGAAACCGTGGACAAGCCTCGAATAGAACCACTTCGACGGATGGACAGATGTCCGATTTCCGACGAAGAGGCCAGGCACCTTCCACGCTATTTCGTATATCCGCCCTACAAAATCTTCGCCGAAGCAGATAAAATTGTTGACCCGAAAATCCTAATTGTGGACTTTGGGGCGTCTTTTTCGCAAGGCCAAGGAAAACTTGAGGACTTGAAATGCTGTCGTACCCATTTGCCCATCGAAGCTTTCTTCGAAAAAGACGAACCGATCAGCCCAGCCGTTGACGTGTGGGAGGCTGGGTGCACCATCTATGACATTCTGGGAAAGCAACGCCTGTTTTTGAAGTTGGTCGATTCCATGGTTGATATACTAGGCGTTCTTCCAAAACGCTGGTGGGACAGGTGGGAATGGCGCTCAGATTCCTTTAATGAAGATGGATCACCGAAAGGGGACATGCATTCTGAGTCGTTGCCGATGCAAATCCAATATCTGAGGAGCGAGTATGCTCCCGCGACGCTCGAGTATAGTCCGGAAGAATTCGCTAGTCTAGAAAAGCTGCTGCGCGCAATGCTGGCTTACGAGACTTCTGAGCGGATCACGATTAGCGAAGCACTTCAATCGGAATGGATGGTGCGGTGGGCTCTGCCGGCAATAAAAGAGGCTTTGTAGTACTATTTGACATCAACCTCGAGCCATAGAACTAGTAGAACGTTAGAAGGGACAGCGGAGAAAGCGAGTCTTTTGATTGACCGGCTGAGAGGAAAGAACATTGTTATGAGGGAGCTCAATAGAAATATTAAATATTGTAAACAGCTCTCCGATTTCAATTCTAGATATGCTAGGATATGAACAGATATATGGTATCCTGGACTGCACTTGATACAAGGACTTTCGTTAGAACAACATTCATATATCGAAAATATAGGGGCTCAGCCGCCATCGTCATGACTCATGATAAATATCCTATAGTAAATCCTTTTCGAACATCTCCAAAGTATTATTTTTGGAGTCCAAATCAGCTGGCTGTCAGAGCAAAACTAATACCCAGAATCGCTATTCCGATAAATGCAAACACTATACAAGTGCCTCGGCTGTGGGACAGTCCGATGCTCTCAGAAAAGAGCTGAAAGGCGACCGATGTCATGATGCCGGCTGATCGAAAATATATCATATTAGTCTCCGAGTGCTATTTGGGCAGCCATTGCGAAAATCATCGTCCAATCCAAGAAGGGGAGGGAAATGGGTATTCATACCTGTCACAGCAAACATTCCACCATAGACTCCCTCTCCAGGAGCCATATGCTTCCTGCCAGCAAGTTTTAACGAGAGGGCAGCGATGCCAGCGCCGAGCGGTTGGCTGACGCCACCAAGAAAGGAACTCCATATTATGGCCTTCCAGCGAACGCCGATAGCAAGGTAGAGCGGCAGCGCCATGGCAAAGCCTTCCGTGATGTTATGGATAAACAAGGCAATAAAGACGGCAAATCCAAGCTGCGGGTTCGCGTGGTTCGTGGCATATGTGATGAAACCTTCTGGAAGCTTGTGCAAAGCAATCGCGATGGATGTCTGAAGACCAATGGAGAGAAAGGCGTTGGTGGGAACGTGATGATGATGCGGGGCCGAATGACTAGGTGAGGATGCTATACTGCGCTTCCTCCTGCCCTCCTCAATGTCACCTGCATCAGAAAATGCGGCGTCTGAACTGCGACGGCGTCCATAGTCAATTGGCGAGAAGACAGGGTGATCGTGTGTGCCCATTGAGGGAGACTCCTCTATCGTTTCGAGACCATCAGAGACGGGTTGGACAGGCTGAGCCGCTGGAACAGTTGCGCTCCTCGAGAGCGGAGGATGCGTCGAGTGAAGGAGGGCTGCTTCAGCCGCTTTAGAGTGCAGCACTTTTCGACATTCCTGTCCACATGGTTCGGATAGTCCGTAGCATTGCCCATCTTCTCCACACCTCCTGTCACTACCCATTACAATCGACGATACTTTTTGCGTGAGCCGCGACTGGAGCGAGGGGCGATGGATGTTGACCAGCGAGGGGTCATCAACGAAATGGGATGTTTCCCTGGGCGCTGAGGTGATTCGAGACGTGGTATCCGTATCGGAAGCAGTCCTCGAAAGCAGAGGGCTCCTCTCATGTGTGGCCCCACCATCCAAGTCGCGCATATTCTCTTTCCGAGCGGGGATATGAGTGGGTTCGTATTCGGTACTATGCGAATGCCCATAATGTTGGTGTTCGTCATGCTCATGATAATCATCGGGATGCTTGGTATCTTCGCCTGCATGACTATGATCGCAATCGACAACGTGTGATGGTATGAAGCGGTGAAGGAGGCGCGAGAGGATCTGAATACCGATAACGCCACCGATAAAGCACCCGATCAGTATGAACTCCGCAGCCTGTGGGGAGAAGCCTCCTTGCCGAAGTGACTTTTTCGCAGATGGGAGCATTCCGTATAGGGCAGAGAAAAGCTATTGATCTTTGTCAGCTCCGTGCAGAGGGGCTCGTTTTACTCCGTTCGGAACAATGTGCCGCCACCTACCATAACACCAAAGCTCAAGCTCAGCGAGGCCGACAAAAACGCATTGCTGTCCTGGATGCGGAAACCCTTCTTTCCTGGTAACAGTTGGACAACCAGGTCGACACATATGATGCAGGCACCTAGTATGCAGGCTAAACCGAGTCAGCCTTTGTCCAGCGCTCTTGAAGCACGGCCGAACATACCAACGCCGCTCACGCATGTCATAATCCACCCCCGGGTGTCATTATCGAGAACCATCGTGGGCGTGATAGCCCAAAGGCAAAGAGAAGATCAATGGTCCCGTCAGGGCCTTTGGGTGAGATGTCGATGGGAGGGTTAAATTGCACAGGGTCTCTAAGCACGTTCACGCCACAACCTGAGGTGGAATAGGGTAAATTAATCGGAAGTAGAAAAAATTTTGATGAGGCGCAGAGGGTTACTGAATAGATGCTTGTCTTGAGGACTCGCCAGTTTGAGCTGTGTAAATCCGAAAAAAATTATAACGAAACAGACCTGACAAGACTTGAGGGAGTAATCATTATCAATTTACCATAAGTCATAAAAACATTTAGCGGTGAAAGGATATGGTAACGTTGATGAGCTCAATAATGAGCGGGTGGGCTAAACATGAACGGGACGACCCGCGCTAGACTGTAAACGCAACGATTCGCTCGTCAACCGTTAAACCACCAAGGTCCTCATTCGAGGCTGACTCATCCGAATTTGTCTCCTCTCCTATTGGCTTATCCTATAACCTCCAAAACTTCCCACGTTCTGACTCGCTCTGTGCAGTGAGTGATATAACTTATGGGACGAGCTATTTTCCTTTTGAATTGGACAATACCGAGAATTGATACTAGCATGTTAAGAACTAGTTAATAGCCACTCTTGCCTTGAAACTTCACATACTGAGATTTATAAAAACAGCCTATCGTCGGTGCTAAACTTTTACTGAACAATGCCACTCATAACGAGTACAATCGATCTACCTGTTATATTGTGGTACTAGGGCTCACATGGTTTTCAGGGATATTATCCTAAGCAAAGCCTTCATTAGGTTCCTTTCAACGACCTTGATCCTGAGCTAAATATCTAGAATGAAGGGATAAAACACAGTATTGCCATCAAATCAATTCAAGTTCATGCAATAATCATCTCCTCCTAACAGAACTATCTGTCAAAGTTATTTGGTTCTTGCGAGGGTTCTTGATCAGATGTCACCGAAGAGATTTGCGAAAGTGCAAACGATGCAGTCGCAAAGGCTTTCTTCATGCAGTGGCTTGGTAGTCTCCTATTTTGATGTCTCGCACGGCAAATGACATATTTCTATGACCCTACTAATACATTCAATCCCATTTTGAAAGCGTATGCCGATAATACCCAGGTTTTTTCAACGCATAAAACATCTCATTATCACTCACTATCGCGATCTGACAGGACTACGCGACGCGATAAGTTGCATAACGCCCGGTCACGTGATCGATAATAACGAACTTCCGAACTTTTTCCCTGTCTCACTACTGTTGAAACCCGGACGAACCCCCAAAGTCACAGAGCGCGTGACGCCGAGGGTCTGCTGACGGTTATCCCCAAGATAAAAACAATAGGGGAAGCCCATCCTCTCGATAGGCTGTCCGCGTAATATATCGAAAATCAAGAAGAGCTTTTCAGCCCTTCTAGGAACAATGTCCAAGTCAACCTTTGCCATCATCGCCGCGGCCGGCGCGGCCTCCGGCGCCGCTATCACCGCAGCTTTCTTCTCGCGGCCAGAGCGCAAAGCCACGCCAGTCGCGACTTCAGTTTCTCTTCCTCCCTCTCCTGCAAGCGGCGCTCATCCTCCCGTGCCAGCCTCAACTATCGCAAAGGAACTAGTCCAAGCACCCGTTAACCCATCAGGGCTTTTCCAATACGGTTTCCCAGGCCCGATCAACGACCTTCGACCAGCTTCATCACTAACCTCCGCGTACGATCGACGATTGCGCAACCCTGCTTGGGTCGCCGAACACATCACTCCGGCCTCGCTGGCTCAGAACCAGGCAGACCGCAGGCACAGCGTCTTTGTCGAGGATGAGTCAGTTCCGGAGAAGTTCCGTGCCAAACTGAAGGACTACTTCCGCTCCGGATATGACCGTGGACATCAAGTACCAGCTGCCGACGCAAAGTGGAGCCAGGAAGCCATGGACAGCACGTTTCTGCTTACCAACATGTGCCCGCAAGTCGGCGACGGATTCAACAGAGACTACTGGGCCCACTTCGAAGATTTCTGCCGTCGTCTGACGAGAAATTTCCCTTCTGTTCGCATCGTCACTGGTCCGCTGTACCTTCCCAAGCGTGAACCCGATGGCAAGTGGAGAGTGTCGTACGAGGTCATTGGAAACCCGCCAAATGTTGCGGTTCCTACCCATTTCTACAAAGTTATTTTCGCCGAGGACGGCAAGACGGGCGGAAATGTGGCGCTCGGTGCTTTTGTCTTGCCAAATGCGCCGATCGCCAACTCTAAGCCTCTTACGGACTTTGAAGTTCCCGTAGAAGCTGTGGAGCGTGCGAGCGGACTCGAGTTCGCCTCGAATCTCCCGGCCGAGCGGAAGAAGAGGCTTTGTAAGGAAGTCAGCTGCTCAATCATTGTAAGAGAGTATGCGGATAGGCAAAAAAATCTGGCCGGCACGCCGCCACCTAAGCTCCCTTCGCCTGCAAGGTAAATAAGCTTGTACGGTGTCACTAAATATGGGTTGGTCGTTATCTCCTGTGTATATTGTTACAGCTTGAATTGCTTTGGCGGAGAGATGCTGTATTTGCACGCATGCTCCTGTCTAGCCGCTTTGTCTAGCATTGCATATTGGTTTTCCATATCCTTTCAAAGCATTTTCACCATTCCTCGATCTTGTGCAGCGCCTAAGTCTTCATTGACAGCCTATCTTTCAAAAAGAATTCGGAAAATTCTATTGTACAATAGTAGCTTTATATCATACATATCAACTAGAGGAGGTAGTAGGGAAGACGGAAGGATTTAAAAGAAATAAGTGGAGACATTGTAAAACCGAAAAGAAGATAACTTTCTAAAAGCACGAGACGAGGGGAGTATCTCGGGTTCGATCAACCAACCCAATGCAACCCAGCCCATTTTGGTTCCCATCCGTATAATGCACAAAAAGATGAAAAGTATTGTACAAATCTGCACCGACTCGGTGATTTCGCTCTCATCAACCGATGCTGGGCAGATGAAATAACTGTCCATCTCCGCTCCGCTATCTCTAGATCCATTCAACAACATACGCTGCATGCTGACCGAGAAAAAGGCATGTGTACAAAGCCACTGCTGGACACCGATCACCAACACGACACCTCCTCTTGCGTGCCAAATAAACCAACCGTGCTATTCAACATTGTCTTTGTCGCTCGAGCCTGAGTCGCAATCGCACGTTTGACGGATAAGTGCGACGCAGATGAAACATTTTACAATCCACCGCTCAATCCAGCAGCTGCCTGTTCCTTCTGGAGTCGGCCAATGTACTGTCTCGACACGGCGTTCCAGGCGCCCATGTACTTCTCCATGCACTGCGTAAAGCAGGTCTCTTCGCCCTTGGAAAGGGATGCGCCGGGCTTGGGGATGCACTTGTCGAAGCAGTGCTCGTTGAGTTTCTATATTGCAAATAATTAGCAATGCCTTCTAGAAGAACAGATCCTCATCTTTTTCCGCCGCCGCCAAAAATCCACTTGCGCATTGTTTTTGAAAGGCTCGCAAAAAGTAAAATATATTGCCAATGGTGCGATAAGAAGGGCCGTACCTCAATCAATTGCCGAGCGTTGGTGATGGCAGCTTCCTGGCGGACCTGCAGCATCAGAGCGGTCTTGGGGTCGGAGGAAGAAGCGCCGAGAGCATCCATTGTGAATTTTGGTAGAGAGTATATGAAGTCGATAAGATAATTTGCGTGATGGAAGAGTTAATCGGCGATTGTACAGAGAGTCAAATCTTATTCCGTTGGAATTCTTGATTTATGTGATGATTTGCAGATTTGAACTCGAATCTGTTTCCGAGATGTTCGCTACGGGTGGCTGCAGACAGCCCGAGTAGGGGCCAAGGCGCGCGGAAACGGAGGAAATTAGCCGCACTGCCGCGCGAAAGCGAAAGTGCATTTTAGGTATTTTGCGGACAACGTACTTCCCTTAACTGCTCGGTCATTCCCCGGGCGAGGTACCTAAAGGCCAGCTTGGAAACATAGCAGACGACACCAACACAATCTGTTGTGTATGATATCACCTTTTCTTACTGCAATTTTGAAAGGGGCTGATTTTTGCAGTGATATATTTGAAAATTTACCGCTCAAGGTCCAGGACTTTGAAGGGAATCCAAAATGCTGCTACCGCGGCTGTCGTCCGCCCTGGGCCTCCTTGCCCTGAGCATGGGCGTGTTTGGCCAGGACGACTCGGACGTTAAAAGCATACCAGTATGGAACCCAACCCGCGCGAAAGATGGAAGCTTAACTGACGGATTGTGTTTTAGCTGAGGACACATAGCCTTGTTTCGGTCAGTAATACACGTCTATATCGAGCTCGACCCGCTTCGAGTTTTGCGCCAAGCTTTTGAACTTTGTTGACATCTTCTGCGGGGCAGCCATATCTCGACACTGACATGCAAAGTCGCTGGTTTGACTTTGGCGGCGACACCATCATACGCGCTGATCAGTACGTGGAAATGTAACCATGATTAAGATTTGGACAATATTCTGACCGTGTCGCGTCAGGTACATCCGTTTGACCTCGGATCGACCCTCGCAGCAGGGGTGGCTCTTCTCAAGAGTGCCTCTCACGGCAACTAACTGGGAGGTAAGGCGCTTCGTTCGAATGATGGTTGCTGGCACGGGTCTGAGAATTTCTGGCACAGGTCGAGTTCGAGTTTAAGATTCACGGTCAAGGCAACCTCCACGGTGACGGAATGGCCATCTGGGTTACTAAACAGCGCAGCACTCCTGGACCTGTGTTTGGCTCCACAGATCGCTTTGAAGGATTGGGTATCTTCTTCGACACGTACAAGAACAATCGTCCGGGCGTTACCTTTCCCTATGTCATGGCCATGATGGGCGATGGGCAGACGACTTACGACCAGGCCAACGACGGCAAAGCCAATGAGCTTGCCGGATGCTCGGTGCGTTCATACAACCCATATTCCATTTTTTGGTGTTTGGAAAAGGGGAGGAAAGAGGGGAAGTTGAAGGAACTGACAATGTATAGGCCCGCGGTCTTCGAGGTGCCAGCGTTCCGACCAAGGCCCGTATGACGTACTTTCAGGACAAGAGCTTCACCCTTGACTTACAATACAAGCGCGAAGATGACTGGCAGCGCTGCTTTGAGATTCCAAACCTGTCGATCCCGTCGGTTGCCTACCTTGGCTTCAGTGCCGAGACGGGCGAACTCAGCGACAACCACGACATTATCCGGGTGGATGCGAAGAATTTGTATAGTACGAGTGGCGCGTCGGGCAAATCCACACGTCCTGAGCCGGTACGGGGCAAGTCCACGGTGCAGCAAAAGAAGTCGGGCGGCTGGCTGTGGTTCTTTTTCAAGCTGATCATGTTTGGCGGTGTGTGCTACGGTGGCTTTACCGGCTACAAGATTTATATCAAGTCGCGTCGGTCGTCAAGGTTTTGAGAGCGCGTGCAAGGGTATGAAGACAATCTTGGGAAGAGAAAAGCAAGAAGGGAATTCGATGTGGGAGAAGGAAAGAGAGGGTTGAGCATACCAATGGGAGCATTTGAATTCCAAAAAGAATTTTGTGGTTTATTTTATTGCATGCATCTCATTAACATATACCTGTCCGTGTACCTAGTAGCATCCAACCCCCATTAGGTCGATTGGAATTGAATCAAGTCAAGTCGCTCTTTAGGGAGCTCTATTCTAGATTTCAGTATCACTAAACACGTGAAGGCTTTGTTCGCAGTTGGGCTGTTTCCCATGGATATATAATGGTACTCATCAAAGTAACGGTAAACAGAAGAAGACATGGGACGAAAGATGGGACAAGAAGCAAACCAATCATGAGCCAATCGAGCGTACTCGTGTGCCTATAGGAGCATTTTGACAGTGAAGGTTAAAGTACCTACTCCGGTAAGGTAGTGAGCTTTGACGACACGGTAACTAAGTTACCAGTCCAACTTCACCGAGCTAATAATAGTGGGGCTTTGAGGGGGAAAGTAACCACGGGATTCCCATAAGGAACAATACCTTAACTACGATAGTGAAATGCAAGACACCACGAGTAACTTTACTTACCTTAGGTAGCTTACCTTGGGTATATGTATCGCTGTAGAGTGGTAGAGACCTGGATTGCCTCAGGCTAAACCAACCAAGTTCATGTATCGCCCCGAAACTTTAAAAGATGGAGCTTTGGGAACTTACAAGATACTTGAATTTGCATACAAGGTTTCCCCGCATATCGTGTAGAAATCAAGTTCTGTATGGTCTAGACTTTCAAGTAGGCTTTTCCCACTGAAGTTAGTTGAGAATGATGCTATTGTATAGCTCTCTACTGTCGTCTTGTTGAGCTCTTTTTTGGGACATGTACAAGAGGTAAAGAGAGGGGAAATTTGCACACAGCCTAACTTTATCTGGCTGGTAAAAGATGAAAAAGTCAAAGAAGAAGAGAGAGAGGGGAAACCGGTACGAGTATGTGATATCAAGCAGAGGAGCATCCGGGAGTATCTCGGGCGAGTAATCACATAATGGATATACCTACCTGCTGTCCACCATTATGATGGGCCCCTTCAACAAAGCAAAGAAATCTCAAACCATCCTGGATCTTCCCTATCATCCGGCGTGAATTGATTCAGAATTACTCCCATACCTGACGATTACGGGATAATTTCTTCCTCCTCGGTCCCCTCTGCATCCATTGCTTTTTCTTTTCCTGGTTTCTGCCGTGTCGCAGATCCGGCATCATTACGAGATATACCTCCCCCAGGGATTCATATCGTGGAAGAGTGACATCAGTGTGCTCCTCATCCGATCCCCGTCGTGTCCCCCATACGTCTCACAAAACACTCAAAACCACGATTGGGACCAACAGTGATCGACACATTGACTCCAGCGATTGGATTCGGTTCAGACCTCGATCAGTTACCAGGTTTACTTGCTTTCTATCTTTACCTTATCCCCCCCGCTTCTCCCTCACTCCTCCTAACCAAGCAGCGAACGTGACTTGTCGCTGCGGTTTGGCTGATCTTTTCCCCCTTCTGCTTTGGCAACCCGATTCGACTAGTTATACTGTATACACTGTGCCTCTTTCTCTCCTCTTCTCGATCCCTCATCCTCCCCTCCTCCCCCTCCGCAATCCTCTCTGCCCTCGTCCAAAGTCTCAATTCCTCCTCGAATCGTCATTGTGTGTACTTGTGTGGTGCTGGACAAGAAGACGAGTAACCTGGACTCGTTCAATTCTTCCTGTACGTGCTTGCTCCGATCGCCCTCGTATCGTGGGGCTCTCATTGTGTCTCCAGAGATCTCTAACACCCCTGGCTTGGTGGTGCTTGGTGGGTTCATTAGATTGATTTTGTCCATCGCCAACTCGTCACATTAATATTCCGCAGCTCGACCCGCGCCTGCTGCTTCGTCCTGCTCCCTAATTCCTCTTTTCCCTCTTTCTTGGCTCCTCCTGCAAGCCAATCACCGTTTGGGCACCAACAACTCCTTATATACTATTTTATTCTTTTTGCTCCTGCAGCGACCTGCAGCTCAATTGCTGCAATTTCTCAGAAGGGTTCGACACTCGCTGCACGCCAGCGTCACGCTCAAAGAAACAAAGTCGTTTTCCCCCCGGTCTCTGCGCGCCTCGAACGAGCACTGCATTACCGAGTCTCCACGGCGACAGGGAAGACACCGCCCGCCCACGCCGCTCTGATCTTCGATTCCGCCGCTCTCTCTCTCTCGCTCTCTCCCCCCCCCTCTTTCGCTCTCCCTCTTTCGTGCACGCACGCGCGCTTTGGGTTCCTTGTCCATTCGGCGCCCAGAATCGACGTTCATAATTTCAAACGCTTTGCATTTTTTTGTGACATTGGCCTACGGCGATTGCGCCCTCACATAGCTCCCACGACCACCCCCGGCTGAGCTCGCCGAAGGATCCACCTTCATCGCATTGAGATTGGATTGATTAGATAGTGAAGACCTTCTTCGACTGCTTTTGACTCCTTGTGCACTTTGCTGTCGTTTTGTCGACGACGCAACTGAAACAACTTGCACCCATTTCCGCGCCCCCTCTTCTAACCCCGCGTGCGCACGGCACCGAGAAAACCCCCTTGACCGCATCTTATGCCGAGACTCTCCTTTCTGAAGAAGAAAAGGACGAGGGAGTCGTCGGGTTCCAAGGACAAGGACCTCACCTCTCCAACCTCGCCCGTGAGCGAGACGGCCACCACTACTCCCATCACCCCGACTTCGTCTCAAGGTTTCAAGCCTTCGACTGCCTCTGCCGCCTCCTCTCAGTCCTCGTATCATCAATCCCAGTCGGGCGCAAATACCCAAGCGCAGCAAGAACCGCAACAGCAGTCGTCGACGTCATCGTCCAAGCCTGACGGATCCATGAACAACCATCAGTCATTGAACCCCGCCGCCTTGCAACAGCAAGCGCAGCAACACGTGCCGACTGCTTCTCCTTTCTCAGGCGCTGCAGACGGCTCGCCATCTCGGTCTCCGCAAAATATTCCGAGCATCAATAACCTCATCAATCCGCCCCAGCAATTTGACGACCGAGGCCAGGCACCCCAGGCTCAATTGCATCCCATACAGCATCAAGCGCAACAGCAGCAGCAACAGCAAGCACAACAACAGCAACAGCAAGCGCCAATGGACGGACAACAGCATCAATTTCAGCATCAACAGCACTTGACTCCGCAATCCGCCGCCGCCGGCAGCGTCGGCGGTGCCAAGCCGGCGGTGCGCACAACCAAGGGCAAATATAATTTGGCTGATTTTGACTTTCAGCGAACGCTGGGAACGGGCAGCTTTGGCCGTGTACATATGGTGCAATCCAAGCACAACCAGCGGTTCTACGCGGTCAAGGTGTTGAAAAAGGCACAGGTGGTGAAGATGAAGCAGGTGGAGCACACCAACGATGAGCGACGGATGCTGCAAAAGGTCAAGCATCCATTCCTGATTACGCTGTGGGGCACTTTTCAAGATTCCAAGAATTTGTACATGGTCATGGACTTTATCGAGGGTGGTGAGCTCTTTAGTCTCTTGCGCAAGTCTCAGGTAATGATCGTCCTCAATAGTTGCAATTCGGAAAACAATACTGACACCAGCGGTTCTAGCGTTTTCCCAACCCTGTGGCCAAGTTCTACGCCGCTGAAGTCACGCTTGCTCTCGACTATCTCCACTCGATGCACATCATCTACCGCGATCTCAAACCCGAAAACCTGCTGCTCGACCGACACGGCCATCTGAAGATTACCGATTTCGGTTTTGCCAAGGAGGTGCCAGACATTACATGGACGCTTTGCGGCACGCCCGACTATCTTGCGCCTGAAGTGGTCGCGTCCAAGGGATACAACAAGTCGGTTGACTGGTGAGTTTCTGCAGCAAGATTGTGAGAAAAGCCTCAGATGTTCTAATCATTTTTGAACACCCTAGGTGGTCGCTTGGAATTCTCATTTTTGAAATGCTGTGCGGCTTCACGCCCTTTTGGGACGGCGGTTCCCCGATGAAAATCTACGAAAACATTCTCCGTGGTCGGGTCAAGTACCCGCCATATGTGCACCCAGACGCGCAGAATCTGCTCCAGCAACTCATCACGCCTGATCTCACCAAGCGGCTGGGCAACCTGCACGGCGGGTCCAAGGATGTCATGCAGCACCCGTGGTTTGCAGAAGTCACCTGGGACCGGCTTGCTCGCAAGGAGATTGACGCCCCATATGTGCCGCCGGTGCGCGGCGGCATGGGCGATGCCAGTCAATTTGACAAGTATCCTGAAGAGACTGAGCAATACGGTCAATCGGGAGAAGATCCGTACGTCTAGTCCTTTCCCTTTCCTCTCTTCCTACCATCGTCTACTTTTCTTTTCCTACCTTTTCTTAGTTAGTAGTCAACAGTACTGACGTATTATAGGTATGCGCACATGTTCACCGAGTTTTGATTCAAAAGCCTCCTTTCTTGATACGTCTTGTATGCGACTCTGTGGGCTCGAATAATGAATATATATTGACGCGTGATGCGTCTCGTGTTTGCTTGTTGTGCGTCTGTCTCTCGGTCGGTCGGTGTCGGTTTCGGTGTCTGAGTATTGGGCGGTAGCAGTGCAAGTACGCAGTGCAGCTTGTGTATTGTCGTCCTCTGGTTCTGTATCTTTATTCATCTTTATCCATTTTTACTTTATATTTTATTCCTTCTTATTTTATTTTATTCCATCTTTATTTTTATATTCTATATTTCCATCTCTATTTCCATCTCTATTTCCATCTCTATTTCCATCTCTATTTCCA